ATATTTATATAATATATTAATATTAAAAGAATATAATAAGGTAAGAAGCTTAATCTATTCTTTAAATATATAAATAATTATTATTTTACTATTCTTAGAATATTTCTTTTAGATATACTTCTAAAAAATAATTAGTAAGTAGTTCTAGAGTACTTATTAAGTAGTTTCTAACTACTTATCCTAATAAAAGGATTAGTATTATAAAAATATATAATATTATTATAATATTATCCTATAGGATATATTAAAAGCCTTTACTTTTAAATTATTATATTAATATAATTAAGATTTAAAAATAAATTATAAATTTGAGCTAATATATATAAATTATATTAATAATAAAATAATTTAAGCTTAGGGCTGCAAAGAAACTAGGCTATTTTTATTATTAGTAATAAAAAGAAATAGTTAATAAGTAATTAATAAGTATCTAGAAAGTACTAATTAACTACTTTATATTTAAAATATATCTAGAGTTATATCTAGATTATTTATTTCTTTAATAATCTATATAATTCCTCTTATTATTAATTCTGGTGGTTTATATGGTGGTGGTGAAGGATACTAATAAATTCTATAAGAAGTAAAAAGAATATAAGATACTTTAGAAATATTAATTAGTACTAATATAGTAAATATAATATTATACTTTAAATATATTAGCTTTTTTAATCCTTAAAGATGATCACTATCTAAAAATAATTAGTAATTAATTAGGAAGTACCTTTTAAGTAGTTAGAAACTACTTACTATAGTATTTTTATCTTATTATTTATAGCTTAATAATACTATACTCCTTATCTAAAGGTATAATCTAATTATTAAAAAGCCCTTTAAGAAAGTTAAGATCTATATTATTATAGCCTTTAACAGCACTATAATAATATTTTTTTTAAAAAAGAAGGTATTATATTAATATAATTAATATATAACTAATATTCCTTATTTATATCCTAAAGATATATTAATATAAATCTTAAAATAGTTATTAAGTACTTCTTAAGTACTTAATAACTAGTTAAGTATTTATTTATAGGGAAAAAGTGCCTTTTAAATACTAGTATATATATAGATAATAATTTATAATAAGATTAATATTTTAGAAAGAAGGCTTTCTTTAAATAATATAGACTAAAATATATTAATAAATTATAATAATAAGTACTCCTTAAGTACTTCTTAAGTACTTAAAAGCTACTTATCTATAGATATTTTATTTTCTCTTATTATTCTCTAATAAATTAATATTTTATTATATATATTAAATTTTAGACTAAGTATCCTCTATAAGCTAAATATAATATAATATATAAAAACTTAGCTTTAAGTATTTATAAATTAAGATACTAGTATAAGTCTAATATTATTATTTTATAGTATAGTTTAAAAAGGAATATTATATCTTTTTTATACTATATTTATTAGATTAATAGTATTAAATCTAAAATAATTAGTAAATAATTAGAAACTACTTAATAAGTAATTAGAAAGTACTTACTTCTTATACTAATTATTCTACCTTCTTTTATAATTTACCCTTAATAGACACTATATATATATATTTTAATATATTACTTTTAGGATACTTAGGAAGGTCTTAAGTATATTTAAGAAATAATATCTTAAAAGGATTTAATCTTATATTAATTAATATAACTTAAGCTATTAATTCTGGCTCCTAAATATAAATAAAGGCAAAGTAGTTAATAAGTATTTATTAAGTAGTTTTAAAGTAATTAATTATCTTATCTTATATATATCCTTTTTAGAACTATTAAGATAGTTTATATTTTTAAAAATATTAAATAAGCTTTAGTTTTTCATCTTAAAAAGGTAAAGTACTTGATAAGTAGTTAAGAAGTAGTTAAAGATATTATTCTTATTATATCTTTATAACCTTTAAAGATTATAAAGGAAATTGAAATTTAACTAAAATATGACTATATTTAAATAGTTGAGGTGCCCCGCCCCGTCGCCAAGCCGTTCCCAAATAGGTTAGAGGGGCGCCGCACTAATTTCACGGGGCACCTGACCTGTGTACTCCTGTCATGGCGACGGCGAGGTCGTCCGGATGCCTTAGGCAGGCCGTGGTGAATAAGGTCGCTATTCCTGTTTTAGCTTAGCGCGGGGAAGGGGAGAGGGATATCAGACGCGCCTCGCGACGCACCTCTCTCTCCTGTCCTCTTTCCCCTCCTCGTTCGAATATTTTAGTATTGAAGCCACCAATTGATTATTCATTTGCTTAGGGCCGTCACAACAGCCTGGAAAAAATCAAGTGAGAGAAAGCAAAAGCATAGACAGATGAGTATACAGTATAGAATAGCAGAATGAACTGAATGTTGGAATTTGATTGAGGATCAATACTATGTAGAAGGAAGCTAATAGCTAGATAAAAGGTACCTGCCAGCTCCATAATGCAGTTCCCCTTCAAGCTCTGTCTATCTCAGTGGCAGGATGCATATTGTGGATAATAGTCCTCAGCTCATCAAATTTATCAACCAGTTCCTTAATCAGTGATTCCAACTCGAAGAGCTTTGATTTCAAGGCCGCATTCTCTTCGAGCACGTCGGCTTTTTTCATCCTCTTGGCTTCCTTTTTGCCTCTTTTCTCAGCTCGCTTCTGGTTCCAGTTCTTTGTATCCTGTTCAGTCATCGCGCTGACATTCTGTTCTTCGAGTTCCTGTTCGGAGATTCCACGTGCAATGTTGGCATGCTTCTGGTATTCATTCTCGAGCATCTCTTTGGGCATCGACATTTTGAATAACTGTAGGTGTATGACTTGCAATCTTTATAGAGATATGGAGTGTAGTTGAAGAGAGAGGTATGTGGAGTAGAGAGTTGGGTGGTTAGAAAGTAGTTGTAGTAGAGTGATTTATATATTTATATCATACTAAGTTGAGTGAATAGTACTTAGAGTATTCATAATATTAGTGACTAGTGGTAATTTTATATTAAGTGATAGATAGTGAATACCTTAAGGTAAGACTTCAATAAGTTATTATTGAATTTGAAACTCTAGAATAAAGCCATTTGAGAATAAAGCCACTATAGGTAAGCTAGATGATATATTGCCCCCCTTGATTGCTTCAACTTCTCACTCCCCTATGTCTTTCATCCAGACTTGAGAGCGGCTCATTTCACATCATCATCTGTGAGAAGGGCACCCTGCTTTCCTTTTCTCTTAAGACGTTTGCGCACATTACCACCTTTCGACTTGATTGAATGCCAGTCTCCTCTTTCCACAGATGGCATAGGGGAGGTAGACGATAATATATGAGGACCCGGATTTTGATGACGCTCAACACTTCGGTACCATGCATTTAGATGGTGGGCCACAAACAGGCGATGTGTAGTTACTACATATTTATGGATCTGGTCCACTAAATCTAGGAGCTCCCCGGCCTCCTGCCGATGGGTAACTTCCCCCCTCCAGATCAACTTCATGTGCTAATGGCGCCCAAGGGAAAGAATTAGCAAACCAGCCAGTACTCTTTAATGGACTAAGATCGCCTGGGTTGGTCACTCACGCTATCCTCGTCACAGAGGGGATCCTCTTCATCCTCCTCCATATTGACGTAAGCCAGCAGATAGCTAACGTACACCCGCCAAGTGCCGCCACTTAAAGTGAAGCTAAAGAGAGGGAATCCCACTATGACGGAGAACAATAAAGGGGGCACCCATCTCTCCCGGCTGGCGAAACAGGATCTTCATCTCATCAGTAGCCACTATGTTGTTTGACAAGATGATGAGTCTGGAGGGGTTGTATGAGACGGTGTATGAGGACTGTGATGAGATGGGTTTGGGGTCTTCCCGAGATCTGCCATGCTGCCGCAATGATTGAGAGATCGGGCTGGTCAGCGGTATGTTTGGATATGAGGGAATTACTCGCGTTAAACAAGTCAGGGCAAAAGGTTCAATATTAGAGATCACTAGGAGTTGTTTTGGAATATCTCCCCCAGTTTATCCAGGCTTTTCTTTCACTGGATACACTGAACAGGCATTATGCTATATCCTATACACCCCTCTATATATCCCACTGTCTCTATTCTTCTATCACATACGACCACAGGGTGTGGAAAACAGGGCTTCCCGTCCGCTCAGCCGTACTTAAGCCACACGCCGGTCAGTTAGTATTATGGTGGGTGACCACATGAGAATCCTGACTGTTGTATGTTTTTATTTTTTCACTTGGCCGTTGAAAAATAGTAATTATACTATATTGGTCGTCTTTGAGGAGGAGTTGACCTTTGCGAGGGCCGTAGACACGAGCGTATCGGGCCCAGGGATAAAAGCCGCCGCAGCTTTCTTCGGACCGCCAGACTTCTTCGCGGAACCAGAATGAGTGTGTTATGGCGCCATAATGGCGCCAGATAACAGTGTTCAGTTCAGATGAGGAAAAGGACATTGATATGAGCAGTATAGAGAGCAGTATCAGGGGGGAGTAGGATAAGATGATGCTCAAGTTCAAAAATCAACAGAATTTCAAGGTCTCATAATTTATCATTGTCTAGTTGTCCGTTCACTTTCCAGTCCTTAGCAGGCCCTTCACTATGAATGTGGCCCCTACAAACCTGAAACGCCTATCCCTATATTTACTTAATATCTCTATGCCTAATGGGCCTTTCTAAGAAGGATGCCTCATGGTCATATCTAAGAGACATAGAGGGGTGGTCAGTTTTCTTAGTTTTCTGGTCTGATTCACACAACAGCTTGGGTTACAGGCTCATTATACTTCTTCTTTCATTACCTTAAATATTATACATATTTGTGTATATTGTGTTGTTATATTGCAAGTAAAGATGTTCTAGTCGGAGATATCATCCCCGGGCGGATCCAGCTTCAACATGTGCCCCAGCTAGGCCATATTATTGAAGTGATCGACCCAGTCTTCCTCTCCTATGCATAGACTGTCTATTGGGAGGAACAATGACAGTGCAGATAGTTGTTCATCAGCTCCTGGGTTACGGCCGGGTATACATACCAGCCATTAGGTAAGTATATGGCACTGAGGAGTGTTACCAGTGAGTTGAAAGAGTATATAAATATAGTATTTTAATCTAATATTATACTCTTTTTTAGTCTTAGTATTAACATCTATTCACTATGTTATAGTGACTAAATCATGTGTAGTAGCTCTATATCTAGTTACTAATTAACTATATTACTTAATACCACTAATACTGATAATACTATGGCTACTCTTTTAAAACGCCCTTCACCCATAAGTGAATACCTATACTAATAGGACTTTATGATTCCTAGAAGCGTATAAAACACCCAGAAGACAGAGTTCTTAGTGGACTAATAGTACTAATGCAGCATATTCTTTAGCATATTATTTAATAAGTCATCAGTCAAAGCTCTATAGTACTAATGACATTGATACTTCTCAGAGCATAAAATGGAATAGATCTAGACTCCTAATCTCTCCAAAACTTCTCAATCAAATGTGCCACCTCAGACACACGCTGTCTCACAACGCCGTGTCCGACGTCTGAAATAACATCAATATTATGCATCCCAACCTGGTGCAGATCGTCTACAGTGCAGATATCATCTGTTTCTCCCAGCACACACAAACAGGGAATACCCGATGCTGCCGCCTTAGCAAATCCAGCGTGTTGATCAAGGACCCCCCCATCCCTAAAGATGGCCACAACGCTGGGTATATGTCCTTTATGCTCACGCAGCTCCCACTCTCGCACTGCCTCTGCGACGACCTCGCCGCGCTTCACTCTCTCCCTCCAAGCATCCGGAACCACCAATCTACCTCCCTCGAGGAACTCGAAGATCCAGTCCCGCGCAGCGTCTTCGACTCCTGGACCACCTTTCAAATACCGCTGTTGCTGTTCAGTAAAGTCTGAAGCGCGTAGTAACCCCGCTGGTGCAATCAGAACCATCGACGACACACGGTCAGGATGCGCAGCTGCAAACGTCGCAGTCGTCGACCCGCCAAACGAGTACCCGATAAAATGCGCAGAGGACCACCCGAGGTCATTCAACAAGGCGAGAATCAATTCATGGAAGAGTTCGGCCCTGTGCACTGCGACTGGCGTTTCGGTGAGTCCGTGGCCCCAGAGATCGAAAAGTACGCAGTGAGCGTGTGGGAAGCGCGACGACACGGCGTTCGCCAGCGGTTGCAGGCCGATTGCAGGGGTCTGGACGCCGTGCACGAAGAGGACGCGCGAGATTCGCTCAGACGGACTGTTTGATGCACGCGGTGGCAGCGAGTAATACGCTGCGCGGCCAGAAGGGGTTTCCAGGTATGTCGCTGCGGGAAGCAGAGTGCCGAATGTGGTGGTAAAACAGGATTCAGACGGGGCCGAAAGAGCTGGAAAAGACTCGTCCAAGGGGGTTGACCCAGGACGGGGGAGGACGGTAAACATAGACGTAGACATAGACATAGACATGAGAATAAAGTATTTAATTTACAACAGGTAAACTGGACAAAAGTGAAGATTTTGTAAGTGATGGTGGGGTAAAAATATCCTAATAGCCATGCTTATCTTTGAAAACCATTAATATTGACTTTAGTTGCAACAAAATATTTATTAATGATCATTATAAATGACTATATTTTTATTGCTTCTTATTCAGCACTAATAGATATATAGATAATAAGCTATTAATTTATAGAACACCATTAATACTGGAGAATTTCCAAGATTAAGCCCTTAGTCATGGACTATTCTCATAAACTTCTATTATATACCTTGGTATATGAAGGATAACTAATTCTAATCCCAATAGCTGGAGCCATAAAATTGCTGCACGATGAAATCAAAAGAGAGATATGAATAACTAAATTACTGCCGGCGGAAAATTTTCTTCAATCTGGAAATATAGTCGATTGGCGAGGTTGAGAAATTGACATGAAACTACATAATAATAAATTTAGAAAGCCAGATCGTCATCCAGGCTCTTGGTGCTATAGAACTCTCCCCGACTGTGAAATAAGACATGACACCAATCACTACAAGTGATAGCCACATGGTGATCCAGGCTGCTGTAAAATCTTTATATCTATTGTCCCTAAGGGAAGACTGCTAGTTTCTATCTCAAAGTGGTAGCAGCTAGGATGGCTAAGCTTGCATTATCTTGTTCTGTCTCTCCGTCGTCTGGGGTACGAGCTCGTCTGCATCTTGACATGCAAGCCAATGGCCCTCTTGGCCTTGTTCCTGGGTGCTATGCTCGAGATCCGATTCTTCTGCAAAGGGCCTCGACTCAATCTTACCAAATTGGAGGTACTAGACATGGTCTTCTGGCCCTGTAGCCATGGGTAGTGTGCCTGAATAGCTCATAATGCTGTCTCTGGGCAGGGAACCGGTGGCGAATGTGCCGAATATCCCGTCGGAAAAGCCCCCTCGCTCCATTGCCTCATTCATGATTTCTGAATGAATCAGATAGCATGTAAAATTGGTGTCAGCCTTGGCGGGGAGTCCACTTGCAATTTGAAACTGCGCCGGGAGCTTTGCTGGTGGAGAGGTTAGCCATGACACAAAAGAACAAGACTAGATACACACAGTTCGTTGATGCACCGACCAGTCATATCGTCCGTTTCCTGCTTCTGCTTGACTTCATAATGTCAGATGTGATTGAGTACATGTGTGCTTGCCTCGAACTTACCAATCCAGTCGTAGATGTTGCCCATCCAGGGTGGTTCATCAATCTTCGCCAGTATTTGGGTTATCTTGGCCGGAGTAGCACATATGAAGTAGGTTGGCAGCCACTTTCGAGATACTTCAGCAGAGAATAGCATCACCTTCTGCCGCGGGTAATCTCTGTGTAAGACTGGCTTTAATAACATCAAGAAAGCAGTCCTGAGCACGGCGACGTTTAAGGTCAGGCTCAAGGGTGTACTGCGCTGGGGCTTGCAGGAACAGAGCTCAAAGGGACCGGCTTTGCAGTCTAGGAAGACAGTGTCATCAGGATTCAATGACTCCAGTACCATTCCCAGGTGGCTGAAAAGTAGCGCTTGGTTAAGAGTCTTGGGCTTGGATGATTCTTGTCACTGCCTGGTGGTATGTATCTTCCGAATGCACACGCTCTGTTTTCTTGTCGACAGACTCCGTCTCCATGATCGCTTTGTGTATTTCAGCCGAGACAGCAGAAGGATAAAGGAAGGAAGCAAGCCGAAGAACCAGCGAGCCTAGAGCAGAGCTTGAAGGTGATAAGCAGATGCCTGATTGACCTGACAGGCACTTCCTGACACCTACCCCAGTTTGAGATCACCCCATATTCCATGTAGTTTAGCAATACAGAGGAGCCATTTAGAAAGGATATAATTACCCCTGGCCGTTGAATGTTTCTCTGGTCTGCCGATGCAGCCACTCACAGCTGTTTCCGAGCGCCCTCGGCAACGCATTTCATAGGCTGTTCAGGACCTAAGCTATAAACATATACTCAACCCATTTCTTCTCTTACTTTCGATCTCGACTCTATCAACTACCATGACCGACACTCTCCTCTCCAACCTCCGTCTGTACCCCAAGATCGCATGCGTGGCGGTCGCGCTGGCGTTGGCGTTTCTGCTCGCAGGCTACGACACCGTGGTGCTGGGCAACATCACAGCCGTGCCGGAGTTCAAGCGCGAGTTCGGCACAGAATACCACGGCAAGTCGATAATTCCGACCGCATGGCTCTCTGTCTGGAGCGCAGTCGGGCCTATCGGGTCGATGGCCGGCGCCGCGGCGGCCGGATGGCTCCAGGACCGGGCAGGACGGCGGCCATCCCTGGCGGCCAGCTGTGTGGTGTGCGCGGTGGGAATAGCAGTGGCCTTTTGTGCGAATCTCGCCGGTTCGATCGCGAGTCGACGCGGGGTGTTTCTGGTCGGTCGTACGCTGCAGGGCGTCGGTGTCGGCGGCGCAATGGCGGGCGCGCAGACGTACCTTTCTGAGACTGTCCCCGTCGGATTACGCGGCTCAGCGCTGTCACTGTCGCCTGTGTTTATGTTAATCGGCGAGCTAGTTGGGGCGGCGGTCATCGATGCTGCAGAGGGTCGGGGAGACACGGCGGCGGCGTATCTCATCCCCTTTGGCTCGCAGTGGGCGTTTACTGCGCTGCCGTTTCTTGTGGCTTGTCTGGTGCCTGAATCACCGGCATATCTGCTTCGTCGGGGACAGATTGAGGCTGCGCGAGCTTCACTATCTCGGCTGCACACTACCAGTGTTGACATCACGTCTATGTTGGAAGAGATCCGTCTGTCGCTCGAACTAGAAGAACAGCTGGCCCTCGAAGTCTCATACCGCGACTGCTTCCACGGCGTCAACCGCCGTCGCACTCTGATCGTCTGTTTCGCGTTCGTCGTACCATCCTTCTTTGGAGTTCCGCTGCTCGCCTCCGCCAGCTACTTCATGCAGACGCTGGGTATGTCCTCGTCTCTCAGCATTCTCGTCCTCCTCCTCGGTATCGTGTTGGGTCTTCTCGCCAACGCAGTCGGTGTGTGGCTCACCAGTCGTATCGGACGCCGTCCTCTCATGCTTGTCTCCCTGACACTAGCAACGCTTCTCTGGCTGAGCATGGGTATTGCGGGCTGCTGGCCCTCCACAAACGCAGTGACCTGGTACGCCGCCGCCAGCATGATCGCCGTGGTGGTTGTGTGCGGCCTCGGTGCTTGGCCGGCCTCGTATGCGGTCGCTGGCGAGGCCTCGTCGCTGCGTCTCAGGGCTCGCACGCAGGGGCTGGGTGTTTTGACGTATATGCTCTCAAACGTGGTGATGGATCTGGTGTTGCCGTACATTTACAACACCGACGCCGGGGATCTGCGGGCGAAAACGGGGTTTGTGTACGCCGGACTGTGTGCGGTGACGGCAGCGACTACTTGGCTCCTGGTGCCTGAGATGAAGGGGAGGACAGCGATGGAGATTGACGAGATGTTCGAAGCACGGTTGCAGTGTCGGCAGTTCGGGGGACATGTCGCAGCCAAGGTGTAACTAGTATAACCAGTAGGCAAGCTGAATTGTCCTGGTTAATAGTGAAACGTATCAGCTTTGAACAAAACAAGCTCATAAGATGCCTGCCTCGCTGCATGACTTACTGTCCAAGCAGAAAATGGCTTCGAAGACTCTATTTTTCTCCCAAATAAATCGTCTCGAGTGATGCCCACTGGGCCCTCTCTGAGACAATGCCACCCTGCCAGCCTTCTTATCATCATCTGGTAAAGACTGTTCTCAATCCTGAACCGGCCCATCCTTGACCAACAGGCGATGAGATGGAAGGCCTAATGGGCTGACGATTGGAAGTCTTACGACTCCTCCTCGCGCGCCCTCAAAATAATTGCCAGTACCAGCTCAACGAACCGCTGTGCCTCCTCAGACCGCTCCATTGACCAGCAGCCATACCGGTGCATGGTCGTGAAGTCGGTCGGGCTCAGAGTGGCCCTCTGGCCGAGCATATATTCCCTGTACACAGGGGTATACGTGGCCTGGGAGATATAGAATTCCGGCCCGTCACTGGCGACTAGGAAGGCTCTGCTGATAAACCAGTCGGTCAGTAGGAAATAGCAATCTGTTATAGGGATTACTCACTGGCTTTGTTTTGGACCGGCCGGTGGCCTGGCTTATAGCCAGGCCACCATCTCCGCCGATTCCTGCATAGAAACGGCGGGCTCGATGGCAGTCAGCAGCGAGATTGCCGCCACATTGACCTCTTCCTCGTTGACGGAGTCGCGGAGGCGAGCCTCATTGGCGTTTGGCTTGGTCTCCTTTAACCCGGAGACGCGCAGCACATTCTCCATCTGCTTGAACGGAACCATAAAGGCCCCCATTCCAATCAGATTGGCTGGAACCCCTGCGGCTACCGCCTGCAGGCCCTGGAGAAAGGCAAGGAACTCAGCATTTTGGCCCAGGAGCGCCCTGGCTTGCGTGAGATATGGCTCCAACGCGCGTTCCAGGCTTTCCACTGGCTCCGAGGTATCCCAGAGGACCCTCAGGAGTAAAAGCTCCTCTTTGGTGATTTTTGAACCGGAGTTCAGCTTCTCCAAGTCCGTGGATTGTCTTTTGTTCGATTCTCAGCGACCTGGCTGCCTTCTCCCAGTCATTCACGGCTTCCGGCACCGTTTTGAAAGCGGGGGACCTCTTCGCTGCCTTCTTCGCGTCTTCCTTCTGAGCGGGGGAGGGCCTTTTCGCGGGCATTGTGATCAAGAAGCTTGGTAGAGAGAATTGGATAAAAAGCGAGACCTGAAGGTGTAGAGAAAGCGAATCGTGTGGGGAGAGATTAACAGCAGGCAGGCAAGAAAGGAAGGCAGTCCTGAGTCCAAATCGACTGTCGGCGCGTGTTTGGCGAAGAGACAAACAAACTGGTTGGGCGTTGCACGCTACATACGGTTTTACAAGGTACTACTGCGTCTATCAGAGAAGCGATAGAGTAAGTCTTTTCTATAAAATGGCATCTTTTCCCATGGCAAGCGGCCTCATTTCCAAAATGGTAGCAATTCCAAGAGGCTACTAAGGACTTCATCATCTCCGTTTCGTGTCGCCATCCCCTTTCCTCTGTCTTCAGACTGTTCTTTGTGATAGACGTGAACCAAGGTAGGAATAAATAAGGGTGGCTACGCTGATGCCCAGAAGCTGTCTCTTCTTTCAAGTGAATAGGCCTGGCAGTTCTCGAATGGATGTTGTGGAGGAAGACTGTGGAAGGAAGCCCTAGACTTATGCCCTAGTTTCCTTTTATGGTAAAGTCATGTGAACCCCCATTGACATCATTGATATACAAACACAGCAAACAGAGCAAACAATGACAACTTCTCCTCTCCTCTCTTCTCTCTTCTCTTCTTCTCTTCTTCTCCTCTTCTCTTCTCCTCTTCTCCTACACGACAACCTCTTCCACAACTTGATCATCACCCACTACTCTTCTCCTACCCTCCACCATAGTCCGTGAATTCGGTCGCCATGAGAACCAGGGCCAGCACTCGTCGACAGCGAGAGCAGCGACTGATTGAGCTGCGTGACGAATACTACGCCGCGGCGGAGGCTATCGAGGAGGCCATGTCGCTTGACATCCATAAACAGGCTTACTTGCCGCACGAGCTCTCCAAGCTTGGACATGGAGTCGACCTGCTGGCCTTTGATCCCCTTGACCAGCACTTCCTAGACTCCAAAGGGTGTCTGTTTCGACCTCTTCCTGAGGACATTATGAAAGACTTCTTCATGGACCCTTCACAGATGGATGAAGTCGGCGGCAGTTTTGAGTGGCCGCCATCCTCAGAGAATGATCTCCGGGGGAAACCACATCATGCCGCCCAGTCAATCTTTTCTTATCTACGGACAAGATATCGCATGTTGAAAAAGAGCCCTGATTTCTACCTGAGCACTTTAACCAAGTGGGACTTCATTGAGTCAGTCAATATTCCTGTCTTTCCTTCTGTGCTGACTTCTTGCAGCTGTGATGATGATTTCCACACAGTGGACGGTGAATACAAAACACCACTATCTCGACAGCTCCGTTGCTGGTACCTATTTTGGATGCAGTACTATACAGAAGACGAACCCCTGCCCCATCTTCAGTTTATCATGGCCCATGATGCGGTTGGTAAGGAAGGAGAGCTTCTACCAGGCGAGCTTGGCCCAATTATCAAGGGGATTTACGGTCGCCTCGAGCAGGAGGATTTCTGACACACCTCTCTCATTCCGGTAGGCTTCGTCCTGTCATCTCTTTCGTTATAGGTCCCACTGAACTTGCCATAAAATCAGATCCAGATGTTCTCCTTCTTCGGACCCTGCCATGGCCGTATTCTCCAGGCCCGCTTTCATCCCTCCGGTCGACTTGTCATCCGAGCTTCCAACATCTACAGCTTTGAGAACAGAAAGGAACACCATGTTGTCGACCTGTTTCTGCGGTTCTGGCTCTCCGAGCCTTGCTTCGGCGAGGAGTATGAGTTTTACGTCAACGAGGACTCATCTGAAACACCCCCCCTGAAGGCTATCGTTGGTCAGTCATCCAAACTCCCTCTGGTGAGAGAGGATTCGAACTCACCAGGAAGTCTGGTCCCATTTCTCCCTGCTTCTGTCCCCACCCTGGGTAAAGAGAACGTCATTCCTAAGTGACAATAGGTAGCGCCGGAATCCCGCTGAGACCCAAACTTTTTTCGCGATATACCCTCGCATATGAGGCAGCAAGTCATGAATGATACGATTGACGACTCCTAGCACTGTTATTCACTAATATCTTGGATAAGTCCATCTACCTGACAAGTAGTAGGTCGGTTGCTGGTTTCTTTGCTCGCTTGTGAATTTATTGTGTGGCCATTTCCTTTCATTTCACGGTTTACTTGGCTCTATGCTAGAATAAATACCCATGCCAATGCTTTCTACTGCTTCACATATGCTGGGTACCTCCAAATGAGACTCCCGACTGTATGTTTTTGTGGCGAAGAAGTATTTTTAATAGTGATTCTTTATTCATAGCATATAGCTAAAACTTCGAACTGTGGTAAGAAAAATAAGAACTATGAGGATAAAGTGCAAAAACCCCAAGATCCCGATTTGACATTGAGACAATGGAGCTTAAGAAAGACTATTGACTCTGCAGCCCAGGAATAACACTCCAATCAGACGCCAGATGAGGTCTGCGGACGATGGCTCGCAGCCAGCTATACGCCCTGCGGGATTCATACAGAGCCTCAATTCCATCTCCCAGCGACGGGTGCTGGCTCGAGGCATCGAACCGGCCATACGAGAACCGGGACTCTCGAGTGAACGTGCTAGAGACCGACTGTGCAGAGAGCGAATGCGACGACTGACCTGCGTCCCGGGTGGAGAGTTCAAAATGCCCATCCTTCAGCGCTGGTTGGATGGTGTCGCGCGACTGAGGGACGACATCGATGTCGTCGGTGCTGCTGCCGCGGAAAAAGTCTCCGGGGCTGAAAACCGGGTTGTCGCGAGCTTGTTGGCAATCGTCTTGCCCACTTTGGCAACGGTCTTGCCCACCACCGTCTTGCCCGCTTGAGAAGAGAAGAGAACTGCCCACGGCGCTCTTGGCGGCGTTGATCCCGATTTCTGCAAAGTCGACCCCCCCGCCCACAAAGGCGTGATGGATAATGCTCGTGGACTTCTCAAAGACAACCCCCACAACCACATTGACCGCGAGCTAGACCGCAACGCTGGCCCCCGCCGTCATTACCGCCAGATCTCGCCCCGTGAAGCCCAGGAAAGCTGTCCGTGTTTGTTCAGAACTCGTTGATTGCCTGTGCACTCATATAAACCTAGACGGTTATGCACATCGTAGTGAAACGTCTCGTCACGAAAAGACGGCGGCGTTCCCGTCCACTACCTTCCGGATCTCGATCAGCCCTGTGTTGCAGCTGGTGGATGTTGGTGAAGCAGATCGACGCCGGCATCCGGCAACCCAACAGGGTGGTGACGCGCACCGGGGTAGACGGCTGCAGCCTGAGGAATGGCGAGTAGTGGATGGTAAGCCAGTGCACAGCTATTGCAATGCTTTCCGCGTCACCAGTACGAGTAACTCTAGAAGTATCTCATATGTCGTCATTAGACCCCACCCACCGGGTCGGGTCGTACCGCAGTGGGGCCCCGCAAAGTACTCCGTGATCCGTATCAGTTACTGCCATTTACTATAGAGTATACTGATATCTTTCTATTATCTAGATTACACAATCCGACCAAGAGACTCATGGTGTATACTCCGTCCTCTGTATGGACAACTCCGATGGATTCGACCTGCCAGTCCGGTTTAAAACCAGGCCGGTAGATCGACAGATCGATTCTCTCTGCTGCATTTCCAGCACTATCATACGTTTTCCATATAAATATGAAGCCTCCGTCTATAATAGCAGTGATATACGAACCGGTCACTAGAGGAAAAATATAGGTTATATAAGCTCTGTAATTCCCAGTAATTTATACTGCAGAAAAGTTATACACAAGCTAGTATTCAAGTGACCGCATAGGGTCTTCAATATACCAGGATAGTCAATTGAACATAAGGATAAAACTATTTACTCCTGCTCGCGGTAAAGAGCTGAAAGGTCGGGGCCTTGCTAAAGGCCACAAAGTCCAGCACATCCGGCACCTGCGGATCAACAGGCGTCAGCCAGCGGAGATCCAGCAGGCCTGCCTTGCGCGCAGTCCGCTCCAGCTGCTCGCGCGTATGTGCATTGCTGATGAACGAGAACGGGGTGGCAGTCTGCAGTGTGGTGTGGAACTGAGCGATGCCATCCGCGATGATGGAGAGCGGTTTCACCACAATACCGAACATGGCCTCGCCTGCGGTGGGGATGCCCGGCAGGAGATCCCAGTTGGGCACGATGCCAATACACCGGCCCCCATTTGGCTTCATGTTGTCGTGCAGGTTCTGCCACATGGCGAGCAGCTTGGCCTCGGTATCCGCATAGTTCAGCAGCCAGAACGCCATGACCAGATCGAACTCGCCCATGCGGAACGGCTTGCTGCAGTCTGCCACGTAGAACTCGGCTCCCTCCTCGCCCTTGGAAAGGATCCGGGCGTTGTTGATCATCGCGGAGGAGATATCGACCCCGATGGCTTGTCGTGCGCCCCATTCGATCGCCTTGCGGGTGTAGAAGCCCGTTCCGCAGGCCAGCTCAAGGACGGTGGCCCCGGAGATGCTCTTGCCAATGTGCTTCTGCACAGAGGATAACTGGGCTTTCCATGAGGGCAGCTGCGTTGCGTCGTTGAACTTGCCGCCGATGCTATCCCACTGGACTGTGGCCATAACAAATAATTTCCACTTTCTGTGTCTTGCTATTTGAATAAGAAATCTTGTTCTGTGAGTAATGGAGAATGAGAAAGAGAATCAGAGACAAATCACCTCGGTCAGACCCCTCTTTCCCCTCTCCCCTCTCAAGGCCTCCCCTTGGGTCTTCTGGTTGGTGATAGGCCTGTGATAACAATTTTAGACATGGGTATTATTAATCAGTATATGGAACCATGCTCTCACTAGTGGAAATAAATCTTTTTCTTTACAAAGAGTAGGTGATTGCCAGAAGATCTCCAAGGACTCTTTCTTAAGTCTATACTGGCTGCCAAATACTTCAGAACTTTCTGTGCTGTTATTGAGTTCTATTGGGGCTTCCCAATTATACAAGGTATATGGAAAGAAATCTTCAGAGATATATAAGCATATGGAATATTTCTATAATGATATAATAATTAGGTAAAATAATTTTAATAATTTCTGTGCTCTACTTATTTATTACTATGATAGATAATAGCTTACCTGGAATTAGGGGGCCATTGAAGTAATATTATATAGCTTTAGTTTATAAATGACCATTGTTAAGAAAGTACTATTTAAGGCCCCTAATTAACAAACTCATACACATATCTCGCCCGGGCGTCCTTGTTCCCATGCACCGCAACAATGCGCCGGGTATGATACCGCTTCCCCCCGATCTCTTCAAACCCCCAGACCTGCTCGTACGTCCAGCCGTCCTTGACTCCTTTTCCATATAGCTGGATGTTTCTCTGGCCCGCCGCTTCTTCCAGCCATGCAGACGGGGTGTGTCCGTCTGCCAGTGTCTGGCCTTTGAGGAAGCTTGCATTGGCGCCGCTGCAGGCTAGATCGATTTCCGAGATGGCACAGTATCTAGAGCGGCCTAAAGTGATATTGAATAAGCAGGGCTTGAAGAAATAAAAAATACTAGAAAAAAAAAAAAAAAAAAAAAAAAGAAAAGCTCACGCTCAACTGCGCCGAAAGGCCCATCTTCCTTGGTAACCGGGTTCCAGTCCATTGAGAGCTCATTGTTGGCCTCTTTGCCTCCCACCGTCACCGCCAGAGTCAGATGAACAGTTCCCGAGTCGTCTGTCGATTGATGGACGTCCATCTGCGGTGTCGCCATGGCCATGGTCTTGCGCATCAGGTATCCGATTCCTTGCTGCATATTGTGAGAAAAGAAATACAAGGCTTGAGGCTTTGAAGTCATGAACTGACAATAGCAAGAACAGCATCGGGATTATCAGATAAAGTCTTGTTCTAGTAAGGTATTAGTATGAGTAGAGCTAATCTTTGAATTATAGTCCTCACCAGGATGAACCGGCCAGAGAAATTCTCGGCAGTGATGTGACTTGGGATGGCCATGAGATGGAAGATTGGCAGCTTCTAACTATTCCAGTGTTGATAAAGAATTTCATCAAAATTACCTTTTGATTAATATTTTTCTGTGGTTGAGGCCTCTTATATACCTGTTGTCGCTCCCATCGCATCACTTACTCCAAAGTGATAGCGGCTTGGCTTTGCCTGACTGGATCCGTTTGAGATTGATTCAGCTGAGCCTTGTTTGCTGACAATTACTACAAATGGTTTGGCTTGCCTAATATTAAGATTAAGACTATAATGATAAGATTAGAATAGTACGTAGTATCTTTAACCTATATGCTTACTGCTTACACACTATCATCCTTATTGTGTAATAGGGATATGGAGATCTCATTATCAATCATTCAACTAATTTACGCTACTATAAACAATACGAAATCAGACTCTGGAGGTATGTAATATGTACTACAACAGTTGAAAGACAGTATCAGGGCTTGCGACCATAGACGACATAGAGCTTGCCGTATTGATGAACCGAGAGGTCCAGGAGTTCGCTATTAGCCTTGGCCAGGAGGACGGCGACTTCGAGGCTGGACCAGCCGAGGACGTTGGTCAGCAAGCCGGGCACATACGAGGAGATGCCCTGCTGCTGCTGCACCTGGAAATAGCGACCGATCTCCTTCTTCTTGGGGTCGGCCGGCCAGGGACTGATGGGGACCTTGATGATCTTGCAGACGACGTCGACAAACCCGGCATCCTGGAGGGCGTCAGCCCAGGTGTCCATGTCGGCCATGGGTTTGCCGAACTTGATGCTGGCCTCCTGGATGAGCTCGACCATCTGCTTGGTGAAGGGGGCCTTGTCGAGCGAGCCGTCGTCGGAAAAGCACTCGATGCGCAGCGACTGCATTTCTAGAAAGCCGCCGGGGGAGAGGGCGTCGAAGGTCCGTCGTGCCAGGAGCGGGAAGTCCTTGATGGCGCCCGCGAGCTCGCGCCCGTGGATGAAGTCGAACGGACGGGTGTGCAGCCATTCGGATTCGTAGTCGTCGACTTCGAACGCGAGATTGGGGGGGACCCTTGACTTGAATCAGTACCTCCATTCCACCCAGACAGCGCAGATAAAGAGGCAAGAGAACTACCATTTGGGCTGGATAGGACTGAGGTCATTCCCGATCACTTCTGCGTTTGGGTACTGGCTGGAGACGGATGGAGGTGAGTTTTGACCTATCCCCCTGGACAGAGATTCCAGCAACATACTCGGCAAAGTCGATGGCCCAGATGCCCGTTCCAGTACCGATATCCAACACACGTCGAGGATCCTTGATCGGGGCGAGGTTGAGCTCACCACCAAGCACCAGGCCGTAGATGTGATGGAGCAGGTCCATGCGGTCTTGTTCGTCTTCATCGTTGGGCTGTCCATATCAGCAATTTTTTTTTTGTGTTCTATTTATTTTAATGGGCAATGAAGGGCGTACAATCAAATAAGCTCCTTTCCGGAAGGCGTGATATCGACGGCCATTCTATCCAAGATGAGTTTTATTCTCATTCTTCATTCTTTGAAGAAAATACCTCGTATCTAGATGATCCACAAAGATTAGTATCCATAGTATCATTAGTACTATGATAGAGACCCACGTATAATCCAACACACTCGAATTGACCGAGGTCAGATCGCTTCCGACCAGGGAACCCACGGTGGAATCGGCATCGGAGGTCTGACGGGTCAGCAATGTACTTGGTAAGAGAAAATTTTTCCATAAAAAGGATGACGTACGCCAGCGACCAGGTCTGCGTCAGTAATGACCTGAACGGTGTTGTCGTTGCACATTGTGAAAGAAAACAAAGAAGCGCAATCCTTGTTGAAATGCAGGAAACAGGGGCTTTGCAGGTTCCAAAGTCTGTCTTTTATGGAACGGGCCGGGACAAGGCGGGGCAACACACGCTAGTCTGGCAGGGTCAGGCTGTTGAGGGTGATCAGAATTCCTCCATCTATAGAGAATGGGTCTTGCAGGGTGAAAGATATGGAGAAAATACCAGTAGTTTAGGAGATGAAAGAAGGTAGAGAAAGTCATTAGACTGGTGAAAGTTATTTGGACTGAGGCGGGAAACTGCAATAATCAGGCAATAATCAGGTGATTCGTTTATTATTGCTTATATAAGCCATTTACATAACTAGGTGGTTAACAGCATAATTTTGACATTAAATACTAATAAGGCTTCCTTATCATAACTATAACTATTATCTTACTATTTTGACCGACAAAAAGAATCCTCTTATTTGCCATAAATATAAAATATAATGACTTCATATATTATTAAAAATAAAGTAAATATATTCACTACTCAACTATTATTATACATAGATGGAGCATGTCTACTGAAATATTGCTTCTAAATTAGACCTAAACTGAATCTCTTTTGCTGACATGATTCTCCACTCCCTAAAACTACCCCTCATCTTTTATCCGCTCACTCTCGACTGCTCACTGCACGCAGTTTCCACAATCACGATTGACTCAATCTACCATGGCGCAGACAGCAGCATACGGCTCGTGGGCGAGTCCCATCACGGCCGATATGTTGACGCAGATGAACGTCACATTAAGCGATGTCGCAGCGGTAGACGTTTCCTAGTACTACCATTAGATATTGAAATGTCTAACAGTCAATAGACCTCCGATGGATCTATCTATGTATCCGAAGGAAGACCGTTCGAAGGCGGCCGGAACTGTATCGTCAAGTACTCCGAGGGGGTGATGGAGGATGCCCTGCCGAAAGAGTAGGAATACTGATACCAATCAAAAGAGGGAAGATGAACTAACCTCTGTAGGTATGATGCACGCAGTCGAGTGCACGAATACGGCGGCAAGGGGATGACAGCGAGTGCGACGACGGGGCAGATCGTCTTCACCGACGTCAAGACGTCCGGTCTGTATCTGCTGGACAGCGCGACAGGCTCCGTCGACCGCTTGACGGCTCCCTCGGACACGCTGCGTTATGTGTGCACTTCTGTGCGTGCATCCAGCAAGACTGGCAAGATCGACTGGATCCTGGCTGTCGAGGAAGACCACACGAAACCAGCGCCAGCGGACGTCCGGAACACGGTCGTGGCCATCAACGTGGGGACAAAGCAGGCCGTGACGCTTCTCCAGGGCGCAGACTTCTACAGCTACGCCCACTTCTCGCCGGACGGCACCGAGGTCTGCTGGGTGCAATGGAACCACCCGGACATGCCCTGGACGGGGACTCTGCTGTGGACGGCTCGCTGGGCGGACGGGGGAGAGCTCTCCCAGGCTCGCCAGGTGGCCGGAAAGGCACAGTCGGAGAGCATCACCCAGCCTCGATACGGACCAGATGGCACACTGTACTTTGTGGGCGACAGGACGGGATTCTGGCAGCTGTACCGTCTGCCACGGGGGTCTTCACAGCCAACACCGATCCCATTGAAGGGCCTGGAAGAGGCGGAATTTGCTGGTCCGGATTGGTTCATGGGGAAGTAAGTAAAGGAACCTTTCTTCAATGTTATAAGATGATAATCCTCTGAATTAACCGACCTGCAGTTCCACTTATACCTGCCTGACTTCTCGCCAGCTGGTCGCAGCCTATGTGCGCAACGCGCAGTGGTCGTTCATTCTGGTCGACCTCGACAACGACTCGTATAGGGAGCTGAATGTGCCCATTACAGACCAAGTCCAGATTGCCGAGTGTCCCCTGTCGGACACCAGCGTTGCTGTTCTCGCCTCCTCGAGCACCAGCGTGCATACTCTATACACGATGACCATTGGCGACACTGCGGTTCTCAAAGCTATAAAGAAATCATCCGATCTTGCCGTCCCAGAGACCGTGTATTCCATCGCGCAGCACATCTCCTTCCCACGCGTGCATGGTACATACCGTCAAGGAGAATGCCATGCCGTCTTCCTTCCGCCACACAACCCAGAGTATCAGGCTCCGCAAGGGACGCTGCCTCCTGTTGTCGTGTCTCTGCATGGTGGTCCGACCTCCCATTCTGGACCGGGACTATCGCTCGCCGACCAGTACTGGACCACTCGTGGGTACGCCATTGTCTGGGTGAACTACGGCGGTAGTTCAGGCTATGGCCGTGCGTATCGAGACCTTCTGAACGCCAGATGGGGTATGCCTCCTCCTTGTTCGCTTTCACTTTGAGATTCTGCTGACATTCTAGGCGAGCTTGATATCGCCGACACTGCCAGCTGCATCAGCTACATGGCCTCCAGCTCCCGGATTGACGGCACCCAAGTCGGGATCTGCGGCGGCAGCGCAGGAGGATACGGCGTCCTGCAGGCGCTGTGCGACTATCCCGAGCTGATCGCGGGGGGGGCGTCGCTATACGGGATTGCCAACCTGCGCACTCTCTGCGTCGACACGCACAAGTTCGAAAGCCACTATGCGTATAACCTGCTGTTCCCGCCCGAGACGAGCGAAGAAGACCGCGAGAAGGTCTTCAACGACCGTAGCCCGTGCTACCACGCGGACCGGATCAGGGCGCCCCTCTTGCTTCTGCAGGGAGAAGACGACAACGTTGTTCCCCTCAGTCAGGCGCAGGATATGGAGAAAGTCATGCTGGAGAACCATCGCGAGGTCAAGCTGGTCGTCTTCAAGGGCGAAGGGCATGGGTTCCGCCAGGCAGCGAGTAAACGCCGTGTTCTCGATGAGGAGGAGGAGTGGTGGAAGAAGAACCTTCTCAAGACGGAGGTTTAAGATTCAATGAGATGGAGAGAACAATGGAAGTGAAACTGCTGCCTGATGAATATAACCATTCACTCTTCTGCCTTAACACTCTTCCTCTACTGAAGCCTTATAATGCGACCAGAGTTTAAAGAGTCTCAAGGCGAGATGAGTATTGAATATATCTCCTCAGCTGCGACCACTACAGATCGACAACACTTCCCACTCAGACGGCCTTGTCACGGAAGAGTTCATCATTTTCAGCAAGCGGGAAAGAGAAGCAGACCACCAAGCTTCTTTCGCCGAGCCTGGAGACTCGGTCTTTTGTATGGAGCGATTAGCGTGCTGTGAGGCTCGCGGGCATGATTCAACGGTATGCCCATGCAGGACTGGCGATGAACATGCCGGATCCCATCGCCTCTATCAAGTGATGACTCTCCCTACTGCAGAAGGGGCTGCCTTGAATCTTCTATTAAAGGTACCACCAGTGTGCTTATACTACAAAAAATCTACTTCTGTCTCACTGTCGTATACTTATGAATGATTATTCAATAACTAGAGGTTCACTCATAGAAATATAGCACGCTCACAAAATAGATATGAAAATACCTTCATGCCGTATCATGGAGTGGTGTACATCCCGGGTACAGCGACAGACTCGTAGGTTTCCTTGCCCGAGGAAGGCTCCGTGGCCTCCTTGACCGGCTCTTTCTGCGATGGAAACCCCTCCTGGGCAACCACAGGAGTCGCACCCTGAATGCGAATTGGAGGCGGCTGTAGATGGAACGCAGGGGGAGATTTTGATGGATTCTGCGGCGTGGCATATTGCACATGCGCATTATCTCCAGCAGGAGCACCACCATAAAAGTCCTGGTGGAAAAAGGGCGACTTGGGCGTCGTCGCCATACGGAAGCCCGGGGTGTTGGGAGCAGACTGGAGACGAAGCTGGGCCAGGTAGAGATCCGAGCGGGCTCTGTCTCTGGTGTCCATGGTCTTCATCAATCGGCGCTTGGAGTAGAAGCGGTAGAAGACGACGGCGTAGATGAGGATCACAAACAGTTCGATCACGACTTCGATGATGGCGCACACCAAGCCCCAATTCTATCAGGTAAGTATCTTCATGTTTATATATATATAGAGAGAGAGAGAGAGAGAGGCAGAGGAAGGTACCTGCAGACGGCAGACGAGGTTATAGTTGATCTCCTTCTCGAACAGATCGTACCGCTCATTGGTCTTGCAGGACCATCCCCACAGATCTTCACCATTGCCGGTATTCTTGGAGTTCTGGAAGATGGCGGCGGCAACCACCCACATAACCAGATTGAAGACAAAGTAGCACACGGAAAAGACCGAGTAGTAGATGGCCAGCTTCTTGGCTCGCTTGTGCCCGCCCTTCCAGTACCCCCAGAACACGACCAGGCAGGTGAGAAGGGAGACACAGGACAGGCCGATGAGGAGGTACTGTGCCCATGGGTTCGTCCCCAGCGCCCACGGAGGCAGGTTGTTTCGTTCGGGCAGGGTTTTTGTTGCGTTGAAGATGACGAGGGTGGTGGAGAGGAGGGACAGGATGATCAAGCTGCAACTGAAATTGACGACGCGGAGGAAGGCTTTGGCAAGGCGGACGCGGGTTTTGACTCTCTACAAACACATCAGCTCTTGATCTAAAACACCTCCCAGTCAACCTCTCACCAGATCCTTTGCGTTCTGCCTCTCGGACGCCTTTTCGTGTTTATCCAACAGATATTCCTCCCGGGCAGTGGGACTCTGAAGGTCCAGCGCCCACCCTGGCGTGCCAGGCACTCTCAACGCGCTCTGGGGAGTCCGCTGGAGAGGGTCATTGTCTGCCACATAACCGAAGCCTAGTTCTGAGATATTCGTTGACCTTTTCTCAGACATTGTATCGTCGTATGGCTGTCTTACAGCATTCACTAAACACAGAAAGCGACGACGAGAGCTTTCTGGCCCTGTCGCTCATCTTAAGTTCCCCAAGGAGTGTGCTGCAGGCGCTCTTCTTCCCCGGCTGGATGGACGGATTGTTGTGCCAGGAGGAAAAGTGGCTGCCTATACGAGGCTGATATTAAAGGCCTGCCAATCAGTTCTGGTCTATAGGCGCGGGCGCTCGTGTTAAGCTTTCCAGGGTCTGGAGGAAGAACGAATGCGATCCACAGAATAAATTATGCTATAATTGACATCCATGCCAGGTGCGATACTCTGTGTTTCTTTCCTGTCCATCTAATAATAGGTGGATGGGTGAATATGCGCGACTGATTTGCTGGTTTAAATTGCGCAACTCTTTAATTGTAGGTGATATATGCCTCCATTTATTTGATTCCGTGGAAATATCTATTAATAGGGTTATACATTAAATAACAATAAACCAGTTTCTTGTGTATACCTGAAACACCCACTCTTCAGCTACAAATAGTCCTAAATATGATCTTAGGACCTGATATTTCTCTATTCTTCAGACCCGTTATCTGATTTTGGTTTGATACTTAAATTACTGTATGGATCTCAATCCTAATTGATATAAACATATAAGCCCTCTACAAAATCTAATTTTATATATATGTATAGGTATTGTATTCCTGACTGTAACCCCTATAGAGGCCATCATGGCGATGGAGACTAGAAGTATTTCCATGATCTTTGTGCAATTACCCAGAGATAATGATATACTCTATTGAAGATACAGCTTGAACTGAAGACATTTCTGATTATATGGCAGTGTTACTAGTAAGAATAATATTAAACCCTTGCCAAGGCTTCTGACATCGCCTTCTGCGGGGTCCGTCGGAGGCCGTCTTATTTTATCCGTATATAAAGTCATCCAAAAGAACTTTTCATTCATTTAAAGACTTGCATGACAACATGCACCAACATACCATCTCGACACGGACGTACAAGACTGTCCACGACAAACCCATCCAGGCGGACGTCTATACAGTTGATACTGCTCAGCCTTCGCCTGTTCTTCTCTGGTTCCACGGAGGATACATTGTAAGAAAATGGTTGAATAAAGAGGTCAAATAAGGGCAATATTCTGACTGATAGATAGATCACTGGCGACCGAACAGCCATCCCTGCATGGCTCGTCAACGCAGCATTCACACGCCGCTGGACGATCGTCTCAGCGGACTATCGCTGTCTCCCTGAATCGACAGGATTGGATCTAATCCAGGATCTCTGCGATGCGTATAGATATGCTGCAGAGGGTGTGAGCAAGGATTTCCCTTCTGTCCTAGTTGACAAGGAGCGGATCATCGTGGCAGGAGGCAGCGGGGGCGGATACTGCGTCGAGTTACTGGGATCCCAGACGCAGATACAGAAGCTGGATCCTCCGCCTGCAGCCCTGTTCGCTCTGTATCCCATGTCAAACCCTGCTTCGGAGACCTGGACGTTTAAGGGCCTGAAATGGGAGGGTAGCGAGCTGTCTGCGTCGCAGACGGCAGAGACAGCCGTCGATATCGCCCGGAGACAAGCGAGTCCCGCCCAAGTCAGCTTTGGCGAGGCGTTTCCCAAAGACGATAATATGGACACGCATGCTCGCTGGAATACTCTCCGCTATATTCTTGAACAGGCCCTTTTTGTCGACTACCTTACCGGAGTAAAAGGACTGGGGGCGAAGATCGCAGCAGAGGGCGTGGCGGCTGTCCCTCCTCATCTGCAGATCTTGTTCCCAACCCACTTCTCCATCACGAAGTTGCTGCCTCCCCTGGTTGTTGTGCATGGCACAGGAGATCGTGACGTGCCTGTCACAGACGGGGAGGCGTGGGTAGAGAAATGCCGTCAAGTGGGAGCGACCGTCGCTTATTATCCCGTCCAAGGGATGGAGCATGGTTTTGATCTCGGCTACAAGTCTTTCGAGGATGGAGATCTGGGCGATGACGGGGGGAAGATCGCTCTGGCCGAGAGTCTCAAACAGCTGGATCGTTGGTTAGTGGAGGTAACAGATAATAGGAAGATTTGAGCTATCAGTTGAGTCAAAGCAATAAGGATATATTCTGATCATTATTATAAGCCCCGTTCGTTTGCAATTCCTATATAAGCCCTAACATATATCCCTGATACCAATCTACTACTCATCAAATGCTCAGGCACATCGTGAACTCCTGTTGAAACTAAAATGTGTTGAGATGTGGTGAACATGAGTTTCAAGAGAATCAGGTGTCATCTGCTAATGTGCTCTGTTTTTATGATTATAAATTCTATGCAACTCTCGCAAGTGGCAGCATGAGGACAAGACAGCAGGTCTCCAGGCCGTCAATGGAACTAGACCATCTAGTGCAATGAGGACCACAGTTGATTTGCCCTGGGGCAATCGAATGCTCTGAAATCATAGTATTCAACTATGCATCAACCACTTGGCACCTTTGGCATAAGGTGTATCAGTTGATATTGAGACAAAAAGCCCATATATCAAAGAAAGGTGGAAGATAGGTGACCATATAAAGCGCTATTATTGTTTTTGCAAGACTCCAGCGTGGCCGACTAGAGGGAATTTTGGGCAGTCAATCCTGGCTAAGGACTTCAAAAGGTGTCATTAGCATCATGCCTTGACATACAAATTGAGAAACTTCCTGTATTTATATAGTATAGAGAAGATATGCCTGTAGACAAGATTCATGACAGAGATTAAATGCGAGGGAGAAGCCACTGTATTTATATGTCTACTGTATGGTTGCCTAGCTGTTTGCTATAGTACTATTCACTGACAAATACTATTTATAAGATGAAGTGTTTATTGTCCCTATGAATAGCCATCAAATACCCTTATTGCTATTCAATCCTATATACAAGTTGGCCAATGAGATCTTCTTGCTATGGTTCTTTAGAAGGATAGTGAAAGGTAAAAGAATTGATAATACTCTTATTAAGTATAAGAACTTCCTCTACTATTAACTTGCACCATGCAATGAGCAAATGATATAATAAACTACTTGGCCAATCTGCCCTCTATGGAACTACCTTATCCCAAGTATATATTTGGCACACTTTCCCGGCTCTAGTGGACCAATAAGTCATTCCAGCGCCTGGAAAGGTTCCTGGTAGAAAAGGGTATCATGTCGGTAGGCGGCGTGCATGAGAGACAAGGCAAGGACATCTAAAATAGTTTCAAATAGACCCAGACACTAGGTATCATACCTTTAATTAAAATGCAAGACTACTAGTAATCTGCCGCTGTGGCATTGACCCATTCATAAGCATTCACTTCTTAAAGCAGGACAGCCAGAATAAATTCTTATTAGACTTAGAGGGTCTAAATCAAGACAAAAATATGCCATTCATGTCCTAAGATTTTTCCATTAGAGCAAATAAGCTGTAAATTGGCCTGATTTTCAAACAGCCTAATACCTTCTTTAATCCCTTGATATTCTGAAGGACAAGCGCAGCGAAAGGCTAGGAATTATAACGGGTGCCGGCTGTTGGCACTGGCAGCTGCTGATATCTTCTCTGCTGATTGGTACTAGGTCTGCATAGTTCCTTCAATAGTGTTACCCTAACAAAGAAGTAATAAGCAGCCAGTGATAGAATGTAGTACAGACAAGTACAGTTGTTTTATGCTATGTAGGTCCAGGCTTGGGGGACGCTAGACTACCAGGACAAAAGACTAACCCAATTGAGATTCTCAGAGTCCTGCATATTACCTAGGGATTACTGCAGGGGGCCTAAGTCATGTAAATGTAAGGGGGGCTCTTAGGACGGGACGCCTGACATCTAACTATAGAGAGTCTCGAAGTATAGGCCCAGGAATGTATCTCAGAGAAAAAGAGTATATAATGCATAAGAAGTCAGACTCAAGATCACTACCATCCACTATCTTCCAATCTCAATCCAACAACATTTCCTCCAAGCTCTCCAGATCACATATTCGAGTTTATCTCTCCCTCAACAATGAAGGTTCATCTCATCACCCTCCTTACCACCCTTCTCGCCGCCACCCCCATGTCCTTTGCCAGCCAGATTAATGACTGCGGCGACTCAAGCTTTGACAATGAGACCTCTGGCGGCTCTCCCAAAGTCTCCGATTGCCAGAAGATCGCATCCAACATCGCCGGCGGTGGCTCTTGGTACCTGGATGATTCCACTACTCAGCGGCAGCTTGTCCAGTACGGCACCTGTGCATTCGGGGCTCGACTCACTGAAAACGGCCCCAATTATATTGGGAATCAGGACATTATCGATCTCATCAATGATTCCATCTCCAAGTTCCAGTCAAACGGCCTAGTCGGGTCCAAGGGATCCATGAGCTGTGGGGGCTCTGGTGTGGCCTGGGCCCTTTACCATACCTGAATTCATCACACCATGTATAGAATGAGCTCAAACAGCAGAGTCAGTTTAGTTTCATTGTGGCAGGGAGGTGACTGTGGTGTCGATCGACAGCAATTGAGGTTGTTAATCACCTTTCTCTTTAGTGGTAATATATATCAGGAATCCTGCTGTCCTTGGGTTTCCCTCTCTCTCCTCTTCTGGCTTAGTGCTGATAGTAGGCCAAGATCAATAGTTTTGGTTGCATAATTACACCGAAATTATATAATACTAATTGGGTATAGTAGCGGGGTGCAGCCGATAATACCCCGAAATCCTGGGAAATGCGGGGGAATAAATATACTGTGGGGTATTAAATTGACCATCAACTCTTCAGACGTGGTAAATTTCTTTGATTTTTCTTGACATCCTACAAGCTCTACTTTTCATGTTTGACTTGGAAGATAACTTACAATGCACATTCTCGTCGTTCTTGCTCTTATCGCAGCCAGCGCAGAGGGCAAAGGGACTACAGTCCGGAAGACTGGCACTGGCCCGACGGGGTACGAGGTTGACTTTGTCTTCACGCCCAATTCGACCACTAATGCTTCATCGGTGCTGCTGGGTGGGTTCCCCTTCTTCTCGGACCCGCTGCATGCCTCCCTGGTCAAGACAGATGGATACACCCCCTACGAATGGCGGGCGGATATGTTCTCGATGCGTCTGTCGCCCGACTATGGCAATGAAGCCGGCACGCTGTCTGGCCTGGCAATGCAATATAACAACCAGACAGGCGACTGGGAGGTCACCGTGCCACTCCCCTCGGGCACCTGGCTGTACGCCTATTATCCCGACTGCACGACGGGCAACTGGCGAGACTGTAACGTCTCGCTCGTAGACCCGTCCAATCTACCGCTGGAAGCCTTCCCGGGAGACCAGCTGCTCAGCGCCATCCAACTGCCTTTTGACGGGGAGTTCCAGGTGCAGAATTATGACTGGCAGCTCCCGCTTGAGGACGTCTCCAAACGTGGGAATGTCAGTTTCCATCAGTATGCCTCGCCCGGGTCGACCTCTCCATACCCAGATGTCCATGACGTGGGGATCTATCTCCCCAGTGAATACGGCCTATATTCCAACAAGACATACCCGGTGCTCTATCTTTCCAACGGTGGCCAGGGATCCGACTCTGACTGGTTCCAACAAGCCCAAATCCATCATATCAGTATAGTACCCTTTAGACTATGTTGTCGCTTCCCTCAACTTATATACCTCTCATAGTGGACCGTCTCATTGATGCCGGGGCCCTCGAGCCGACCATTCTCGTCACACCGGACTGGTATAACCTCGGCTTCACGCTCGAAGAATACGAGACCAACGCGACGCTGCAAGCCGAATACCTAGATGTTGGTACGTTTTCCATGTCTAAAGTAAGGGTATCTTGAATGAAGTCGTAACGGTTATAGTTGGCTATGACCGCTTTTTCAACAAAGTGCGCGAGAATTTCTTCTCCTACCTCATGCCATGGGTAGAGGACCACTACGCGATAGCCAACGACTCCTCACAGAGAGCGTTTGGTGGTCTCGCGCTCGGCGGGACATTGACACTGGCCATGCTCTTCAATGCTACTGACTATTTCTCTTCCTATTGCGTCATGTCGCCCACGCCGGCGCCGGCAGCGGGAGATTCGCAGTACAACGCTACCACCAACCCGGCGCTGCGGCAGGTGGGAATCCTCACGGGGGCAGGCTTCTATGATACTACCTTCCCGGCTGCGAGAGACTGGGAAGTTGCTTTGGCGGTTGAGAATGTGACGTATGCGAGCCATTACTCCATGACGGGCGCCCATGAATGGAGTACCTGGCAGGAGATCGTGTATGTGTATCTGCGGGATGTTTTATGGCGGCCTGTTCCATATAGTGCATGAGACCTTAGGGGTCTTTAACTATTAGATGTATTAGTGAAGGGGGGTAGAATTACTTATATGCTTAGGGCTTTATTATATAAGGTTCTTTAGACAGAATTATATACATCTGGTATCTTGCTTAATATAATATGATTAAAGAAGAAAGACAGCCATAGGATCAAGTAAACATCTAGATAAGGAGTTGAGATCATTAGTACTACTTCATGAACTTTGGAGAGATTCACTGGGCAATTCTCGAGTTCGTCTCATAGAACTCCCTGTCGAATCTCCTTGATATACAATTCAACCATTACTCCGTGAAGATGCTGATATCGTTAATCCCGTTGCATCCATCGCCCAATCTATGCGATATACATTCCGACCGAGTATGGAACGAATCTCCCTCAATACTGAAAGCCCCAAATCATCGATCCACCAGTGATGCCGCAAATGGTACAAGACCACACAATAATGCGCCAGTATAGCCAAAGCCATCGGTTCGTGGCACTCAATATGATCTAGGAACGGATCTGGGATGTTTTGGATCCAGGATAGCCCTGTCATAACGTCGGGGTCACTTCCTCTGGACAGATATGCGAGGCACGAAGAGAGATGGGCTATTGCTTCAGTGTAGAGAGATTTCCCTCCTCGTTGTTCTTGGAAAAAACTAATATTCTCCTCAACCATTCTTTGCAGCCCGTGCATGGCTAGTATGTACGTGTTTGGCATTCTTTCTGGCGCTGCGTTGATTCCTTCCCATGCCGTCCCTGGGAACTGGTCCAAATCGATCTGTATCTGAGTCGTCGTTGTCCGTATCTGTCGGAAGATCTGGCAAAGCGCACTGAGAGGGGAGGAGGATGAGGTGGAGAGACTGTGAGTAATAGTGGCAAAAGAATATATGACATGTATCCTGGACAGTGTGAGAGGGACTAGAATATTGTTGGTTTTGCCATAGTCCTCGGAATTAGCCTTCATCCAGTGTGTGCCGGAGCTGTTAAGAAGGCTGTTCTCCTTTTCTCCGAATGCCATTTGTAGAGTATAGAAGCATAGAAGGACACTTCTGACGGGATCTTTCTCTGATGGAAGGAAACAGCTAGAGGTGACGTTGCTTCTCCCTGTCTTGCGTTATCTATGTCTGGAATAAAAGTCAAATCAATTTGCAGTTGATGCTTTGGAGGCGACTTATAAGTCTCTAGATTCTCTAATCCTTATGTTAAAAGTGCTGTGTCGTCGGTACTTTTGGAAAGCCCCATACTGACTGCCTAGGTTATCAACATTATGCACGTTTCTTGAGGGCTTAGTATCCAATCCTACTTCAGATATTTCATCTACATGAATTCAACTGACTTGTAAATGTACAATTGCCTCCCCGGCTATTACCAAAAGAGTAAATGAACAGGCATATCATCGAGTCATGCATACCACCTTGATAAGTGAAGTTGCACTAACCTTGCCTAAAAAGAGTAAATGCACAACTGCGCTACTGCATAACACAGGAACCACATGTGGATATGCCAGAATCTAGACTTTCAGGCAGTAGAGTGAGCGGGTGGGGTATAGCAGGAGCCTTATGGGATTGCATAATAGTCTATGTGTATCACATTCAGAGGGTATAATTAGTACAAAGAATAAATACTTAGTAGCTATGAGCTGTTTAAATAATAGTCACCCCTTATCAATTCTGTAATCAAATAAATGAAGGTGATATATCCATGGATCATATATAAGGACTGGGCTAAATCCTGGACATTATTGATGGTAGAACAACACTCTTCTATTATCCTCATTCCCACCATCATCTCTTCCTATTCTACCTATTCCTCATAGGGAAATAGACAGACACCATCAAAAAATACTGCATCACTATAAAACAAAATCCTCAACTCAATCTACGGCCAAGTAAAAAACATACAACAGTAGGGATTCGCTGGTGGTCACCCACCCAACTACTAACCTACCGGCGTGTGGCTTGAGTACGGCTGAGCGGACGGGAAGCCCTATTTTCCACACCCTGTGGTCGTATGTACTATCAGTATAGGAATGGAGGGTTATATCGAGGAATTTAAAGCCACAATAAAGAGATTCTCGGCGGCGAGTATACATGGGATTTGAAGATGATTGTACTCCATAGTTCATGGTCAACATGATGACTCTGGCATTGAAAACGTTGATATGAGAGGAAGGACGCCTGGTAGTATCTCTTCCGAAATTATTTCTCATACCATATTAATTATAAACTCGGTGCACCTATAATACTAATAGTAGCTAATGGATAGATATCATGGAAGCTCCTGAGGCATTTCTAGCAAACATGGCATACTTTAACACACCGTAGGATTGGGCCTTCAGGTACATACCCAGAAGTTGGAACCACAACGTCTGTATTCTCGTGTATGGTGATTTCTAGTTTAGAAGAAATATAAGTAAGCCTTTAATTTTATTTGGGAGAAGGAAATACCTTCTATCTAGCAAATTCACTAACGCCTCCCTCCCCATTTTCCTCCCATACTTGCCATTATTAGCATTTTGGTCTAGCTTGGCAATGCTGTTAGTTTTTTGTCTCCAAACCTGCAGCTAGTTTAGTATTACTAGACACTGGTATTATAAGGGTGTATCAATGACTATCTCACTTGCCGTACTGAGGCACTGGACAACGTCGATCTCTCAGCAGCAAGGCTGGCGGTAAGACAAGTCTTTGAGATAAATGACACCGGTAGACTAACATGGATCTCTTTCTTCAAAGGTAACCCGCAAGTCCATCCTAGACAGTGTGAAAGATCAAGAAGTTTTGGATCAATTCGATAAAACCCTGAGCCCCCCACGGGCCTCTGGGGCACAAATCATTGATAACGTTTCCTACCCAACATGGACTCGCGCCTGGAATGGAGAGAGCATGAGCTTTATCTACAGATAAGTAAAAAAAACGTAGGGAAAACGAGCCTGGGATATGGACCAGATGTTAACAGGGAAGAACAGAAATGGCCAATTATTTGCAACGGCTGAAAGTCAATCCGCATGGGATACACTCTATGACGGACTCGATCTCCTATATGGAGTCAGAACACCGAGAAAGGCTAGCAGACTTTGGAGTCACTGTGTTTTCCCTTTAGCTGATTGGGATGTTCACAGCAATATCCCCAGTGCAACCGGCTTTGCTGTCGTCTGGACCGCTTTTGGTTCCAGAAGAAAGAGCTCAGCAACACCGTTTTTCCTCCTCTTCCTGTGCCTAGTACTCTGTGGGCTTCATATGCTGGGGTGGACGTATGAGTTCCCCGGTTTGTTTGAAGCATGGGCATGGCGCTCGGCCACAATTGCGATTGCGATCCTCCCTCCCCTGATCCTCGCTCACTCAAATGTTGCTGAAAGTCTCGACCTTCCCTGGCTGGTTGATGCGTGTATCCCGGGCATTCTAATACTTCTGTACATGGTGTGCCGCTTGTTCATGATTGTAGAGTGTTTTGCATCCTTTCGCCAAGCGCAGGCTGAGATCAAAGCCTTAGCCCAGAAATGGCGATTGTTCGCTAATTGTATGTCGTTGAGTCTACTCAGTAGGAAGAAGTTGGACAAAATATATAGAGCAATTGATTGATTTGGCTAGGATAACCTTTCAGGAATCTTCCCACTGGGGCGTATTATCCCTCAGTAAGAGCCACACAATTGTGTAACTGACTTGGATACAGAATTCTACTTTATTACATGTTCTTATAAAGGTAATCAAAAGCAACCAGGTCTATATACTTCTCCTTAATCGACAACATCAAAAAACCACTCCTGGCTGGAGATTTCATACTACACATATAAGGGAATATACATCTAATGCAGATTACAGCAATTACTAGGCTATTCTGCTGCAATCAATGGTAACATAAGTTCCCCTCTTTCATAGATATTTGACCTCAAGATACTCCTCATTGACTGAACGTTGTATATCGATCCGGTATTCCGCAAAGATGAGTCAAGCTATACACCACCTAATTAGTCTTCTCCCAAGTAGAGATAATAACCGCTTACCTACCCTGATGTAACTTAAAGACAGCCGTCTCCGCAATAGCAGATACCTCCTGCGCAATAGCCCATCCCGCCCTGAGCAGAGCAGCAAGATTTCAAAATCTCAGTAGGGCAGGTGACTTTGTGACAGACTTTCGGGGCAGGAGATGCAGCTACTACAGCAGCAAGAGAGAGAAGAAGAGCAATTGGGAGAGATATAAACTTCATGTTGGCTTGTTGTAGGATTTTTAATGAGATGATGGAAGGAAAAGGAGGTATGTCTGGGAATAAACACCCTTTTATATCTCAGGCCTTTGCCTGATCATTTCCTATTCCAGGGATATCACAGGGTATTTTCTGTCCATGCATGGCCTAGCATTACTAAACAGACCCAGATGAATCAATTCTCCCAGTACTTTAGGGCAAGTAAATGGGTATCGATTATACTCTAATCATATCACATTCTCTGGTTATTGTAGATAGACCATTATTGGAGTCAATACTTTAGTGTTTAAGGGAACATCTCTACTAATTAGAGATAAAGATTAAATCTCTTTCATTAGCTGTTTAAAAAATCTTCTTATAAATATATATAAATTGCAACTATATTGTGACTGTTGATTATGAACATTCATAAGCTGATGCTACTGAGGGAAAAACGAACCACAAGGGCGGCCCACAAGGAATCATTGGATCAGACTCCTTGCTTCCATCAAACCCCGGATGTATGCTATGGGCAGCCTTTGCATGCGGTTACCCTGAAAATGTTGCTGTATTCGAACGCTGATCCTTGATTTTCTATTATCGTACAAGAAACGTTGTCCGTCTGACTAGCTGATCAAGTAGTACGAAATATCTCATCATCCAAGACTACAATTTAGATCATCATTGGCAGCTCTCATCTCGGCAAGGAGTCTAGTGGGCCCTGATTAGTATGTGAATTGGAGACTACATAAAATTATTCAGGAGTTAGAAGGATAACATCTATACTCTTATATATAATGATCTCTAGTTGAGAAGAAATATAGGTCAGCCTTTAGTTTAGTCTAGGAGAAGGTGAAGAATACTAATCCTTTATCTTTTATTTAGTAAATTTACTAATGCCTCCCCCTCATTTTCCTCCCATACTTGCCATTATTAGCATTTTGGTCTAGCTTGGCAATGCTGTTAGTTTTTTATCTCTAGAACCACAGCTGGTTAACTATAATTAGATACTGGTATTATGAGGGTGTATCAATGAATATCTCACCTGCCGTACTGGCTGCTGCTTGGAGCATGTTGTTGCTTACTACGCTTGCGTATTGGCAATAAGGAAGTTGAATAGGATTATTGGTTGTGGAAGTAACCCTGTATTAACTAGATTATAGTGAATAGATATATAAAAAGGGAAGGTCTAAAGGGGCTGTTCAACCTATAAATACTCTAGAATATATTTCAAGTTCCATCTATTTATTCCGGTATCTAAATGGGTAGATTTCTCTCTCAGAATAGCCTTCTGCTTTGTTACTATGTAATATCAAACAAATATCTTTCATTTCAAAAATGTTAGGGTTATAGAGAATTCTATCCAGTGCTACAGGCCCAGGGAAGATGGTGGTCTTACATAGAACTAGTTTAGAAGACCATTTAGCAGACCCCTGCTCTAATTAAGTCTTAGTTATGCTACATGAAATATAAAGGCCTCTTCAAGTACCACATCCGACGGCTGTGTGATGGTTTTTAATCTGGTGTCATTTCAGCCATTGTGGACAGTAACTAACTGATACTAGAAAAATACATCAACAACGGGGAATCAACGACAGGGAAATGCCTATTATTACTCTTTACCAGGATGGACAGTGGTACCCGGGTAAAGAGTTGAGCCAGGAAGACTTTTGGCATAGTATTACACAAAGCCTATGGATAGTATTTAAGGCCCTTTCCCCTCCCTTTCCATGCAGTCAATGAGGTCCCTCTATATCACTGCTCAATGGCGTTCTTTCTAGGCTTTGCCCTCGTGCAAGCCACGACAGCTTTCCAGTTCTTCAACTCCACGCCATCCGGCTTCCCAGCGTCCTGTGGCCAGGCCTTAGCTGCTGATATCACTTGTTCTCACCTCATCTCTGCATGGTCGGTAGCAAATCGAGAGTACCTAGATGATTCAGCTCTATCATCTATCTGCACCCCTGCCTGCTCTGACTCCTTGCTCTTCTTTTATACCAGCGTGGAAGATGCTTGTGGACAGACAGAGTATATCTTTCCGGGAAACGTCAAGCAGACTGTCCAGCAATTCATTGAGCCCCTTGTATGGGCCTACAATGTCTCCTGTCTGACAAGCGCAGGGAACTTCTGTTACCCACAGGCGACTAATTCAAACCGTTCCCTGGAGCCTTGTTCATCTTGTGCCTTGCAATATGAGCTGGCCATGCTGAAGTCGCCCTACGGTCAGCTCCATATGGACCCTGGCTCCTTCTCATCGCTCCTGTCCTCCTGCAGTGTCCCTTCATCAAGCTATCCATACACTGCTACTGTCACTGCTACCATGTCTGGTCCTCCTGCACCAGAACAGAGCGGGATTGCGGCTGACTGTGAGTTACTCAACTATTTTATAAGTACCAAGCTGAGCGTGACACAGGCGATGCATATTATATTGTCCATGCGGGGGATAGTTGCTGGGGCATAGTGAACAAATTTGGCAATTTCACCCTCAACCAGTTCTACGCGTATGTAACTGCTTCTTCTTCTTCCTCCTTTCTGACGAATATACGGCTGACAGAGGATTCAGATGGAACCCAGCGGTTGGAAGCAGCTGTAACAGTCTCGAGGCCGGTATGAGGTTTCCCCTTGACGATGTTTCCCTCTTTTGTTCTGCTACAGACTCACCTTCCCACACAGGATATGCAGTATGCATTAGCACGACGGCAAGTCCCTCCGGCACTCCTACCACCACTGCCGCCCCTTTTAATAGTCCTTCTCCTTCGCCAGTGATGCCCAAGACCGATCCTGACTGCACAAAGTACCACAGGGTAGTGCAAGGTGATACATGCGATGGGATCGACAGGCAACACGGCATCACGCTGGCCGAAATCACGCATTGGAACCCCTTGGTCGGTCCAGACTGCACGAATCTCTGGCTAGGGTACTATGTGTGCGTCGATGCGCCGGACAAGCCTATCCCCAGTACAGAGACGGTGCTGTCGCCGCTGGAGCCAAGCACAGAGCCGAAATGCACCAAGTGGCATCTAGTCGAGTCGGGGGATACATGCTTTGGTATTGAGCATGATTATGGCATCACAGATGCCCAGGTAAGTGTAAAAGTGGATGAATAATTTCGTGTACGTTAAGGGCTGATGCACCTCTAGTTTCATAATTGGAATCCCCTTGTTGGAACAGATTGTGCTGGTTTATGGCTAGGGTATTATGTTTGTGTGGATGCGCCGTAGCAGATTCCTTTATAGGAAGTATTTCACTTAATTTATCTAGATCTTGTCTTGTATATTCTTGATGAACTGTAGAAAATATAGAGGACTACTTTTAATCAGTATCTATAGATCTATAAGTTAATATATATAACCATAGACCCTATGCGTTGTTAATTTAGGGTATAGAAGAAATGGAATCTAAGAAACTGGCAAATCCTGTATTAGGATGCCCATTAGATCTATAGGGAATGGGCCTTACAGGACAAGCTTCAGGAAGGGTATACAAAACTATCTAATCTCTTATGGAAGACAATTTCTAGCGCTAAGATATAATATGTGTATAAATGCAGTACCTCTCTATCTGATATTTACCTTTCTTTTCACTTTCTACTTCCTATGATGTTACTATGACATAATCAGTATGAGGGGCACTGCCTGGTAATCACCACTGCATCTAGAGTTGCTCATCATGGACCCTCTGAAAAGAAAGCGATCATCCCCTCAACCCTCACGACGCTCCGCAAGACTTCAAGCCCTTCATTCAAGTGAATCCAGCGGTCTTCTCACAGCCGCCAAGGATCGCATCGCTCACTATACTGACCAGCAGCGCCCTCATGAGGACAAGCTGAAAGCAGCACTTGCTGCATTTCTAGACTGGCTGCCTGATGGTGGTAGAGAGTCGGTCGCAAGAGATATCGTCAACGCAACCACTGACGACCAGCTGCACGCTGTCTTTTACAACCTTTTGACAGGCCTGGTCATGCCGAGTAAGCCATCAGACATCCTGACAGCCACCTACACTGCTAACTAGACAGTGAAAGTCCGCTCGGGAAGAAGCTCTATGGGAAGCTCCCCTCACACCCACAGGTTTCAACTCATAGAGGCCGTCACCGCCACCCTCAACCAGCCCAGTGAGCACCAGGAGAGTTTCCATGATCTTTGTCTAAAGCGTGATGGCCACTGCTGCGTGGTGACAGGAGAGATGGACACCAACACATGGATAGAGAGAGGGAGCCCAGAGGGCGTGGATTTTGGCCCGGTTGAGGTGGCGCATATCATACCTTTGTCATATGCATCGTGGAGCAGATCTACAGTAAGATATTCCCCGTCATTCATCTAGATCCAATAAGACTGACCAGGAAGGAATCGCCAAGTCAGACGGCCAGTGCCTGGGAAGTCCTTTGGCGCTGTTTTCCTGGTGTCCGCCAGGCAGGTTTGAAAGTTGAAACCATTAACAGCATCACCAATTGCCTCACGATGCGCAGCCCCGTTCGTTCCGCGTTCGGCAAGTTCGCCATCGCGTTCAAACCAACGGTGAGTAGACTCAGAATGAAGAAACCATATCTTACTAAAATAGCATGGTAGGACACTCCCAACGTCTACGAGCGAGTTCTATTCCGCAGATACCCAAGTGCCGAGCGGCGGAGTCTGCCCGCGAGCGACCGGATCGAGTTCAATCAGGCCCCTGGCGCAGAGGACTTGCCACTGCCGTGTGCAGCATTTCTGGATTGTCATTACCGCCTCGCCGAGATTCTCAATGTGTCTGGCATGGCCGAGACGATCGATGAGCACTGGCGCCGATGGGAGGACCTCAAGGGCAGCGCGGGGGATATGCTGCACCCGGACGGGGGGACTGACATTGGCGGATACCTGAAAGTCGCCCTGTGGGAGAGGGTGGCAAGATGACTATTATCCTATCATAGCAGATATGATCAGATCATAATATCTAAAGGAGAGGATGCCTATAGATTATGGATTATAGTATTTTAGAAGTAGCTCTGATGCGACTATATTTAGTTCTTGTATTCTCCACTATATGACATATGAAGTACTATTAAATACCTATTTGTATAGTAAGGCCTATTCTCTTCATCTATTCAACCTGAGTTGTGGAATAATATGATGGCCTAGTAATAACCTCAATACAGTATACCCGCAACTAGTGGTAATTATGTTCATCTCTCATATTTGCATACTATAAACCAGCTTAAATCTGCTCATAAGGAACTATTTTAGCACACACTAATCAAGCCTAGATTACTCTGCTCGCGCCTAAGGTATAAGTTCAGTGATTAGGACTAGGCTATATAGAAGGCGGGTTTTCTAATGAGACAGGATGATGAGGTACTCCGTATAATCCCGCCTAGATAAAGGAATTCTCTCAAATTCGCGCATTACATGATACCCTATTGAATGCCCTGGTGGATATAAGTGGCCAAGTATAAGGTCTTGACTAGCATTGACCATGTTTCTTTCTGTTCTTTTTCTCCCTGATTAGAAGCATAGGTACTATCAGGCCTCTAAAGCTGAAAAAACCAAGCGTAAGCCCCGAGGGTGCAAAGGTCCAGCCTGGGAACACCATATCAGTTCAATAGATGAAACACCACTTCCAAAGAGAAGGGAGTGAGAGATAGATACGTACTGGGGTCATTCGATCAGGCCACTGCGGGTCCAGAACCCAAGTGAGCCTCTGCACAAGGATGAAGAGAGAAATGTGCATTTCCAACAAGGCAAACCGTTCCCCCAGACACGCACGCAATCCCCCATGAAATGAGATGAACTCCGCCTGCGCCTTGGCCCGCTGGTACCTGTGAGCAATCTCTTCGTGTGAGCTGCCCCATCGCTCTGGGAGGAACTCGTCCGCCGTTGGGCCCCAAGCGGCAGGGTCGCGATTCGTGCCATACGAGTTATATCCCACGTACGTCCCCGGGGGGAGATGGATGTGGCCGTCGCCCAGCAGGACGGAGGAGGAGACCCGGCGATTGATCAGTTGTCCGATGGGGGGGAAGAGGCGCAGACACTCGAGAATCGTAGCTGTCAGATACGGGAGGGTGTCCCAGGGGCCTTGATGGAGATCATCAATGGGTAATTTCCGAATCTCGTCGCGGAGGCGCGCTTGGACTTGCTGTTGATGTCAATAAGCCTCTTTTGAGATGACTGATTCCACTGACTGGATACTTCCCAAGCAGATACAGCGAGGAGATCAGCAAGAGTTGCGGGTTCTCCTGCCCTGCCACGTAGAGAACGTTGAGGTTATCGCGGAATTGCTTTGCAGTCAGCAATCCATCTCGCTTGGCCTGCACCAGACTCCTGGCCACACTATCGGCTTGACCTTGTAGCACCTGCGTCTGCAGCTCGCCAGAGAATTCCTGGACGAGCTGTCGAGCCTTGACGCGGGAGGGGATGAGGGAGCCCAGCCAGTAGTCCAGCACAGGGAAGCTCATGAAGATGGGGTGGAACAGGTACTTCTTCAGGTCCATCTGGATGCTGTACAGGGGCACTGCATCTTCCATGGCCATCATTTGGGCCTATTGCTGTTAACAGATGTTTACTTTAAAATCAAGTGCAGCTCAGTGCAACTCAAGTGCAAGCAGGATTGAACATTTCCACCCACCCCAAGTTCCGGCACTCCCAATACCCCCTGCAGCAGGTTGGCGCTGGAGTAGCGTTGCAGGATGCCCTGAACGGTGACTCCCTGTCCGCCTGCACGACCCTGCGCCTGAAGAAATATTCCACAAAGGTTGGTCGCGTTTTCGCAGATGGGAATAGGATTGAACTGCGACGATAAGCCCGGCTTGATGAGTCTGCGATAGAGCAGCCAGTCATCGCCGCGAGATGAGATGATATTGTCGCCTACACAATTCATCAGCTCGCTCGTCTCATACGCTTGGTGAAAAGGGGAGTCCTACCCAAAAAGTCCGCCAACACACTATGCGGGATCTTTTTCTGGTTTCCCATCTTCTGAAAGACACGCTCGTTCCTAAACACTTCGGTCAGGTAAGTGGACCGCTGGATAATCACATTCCATTGACCGCCGAAGAAGATCTTGATGGCGCCGTGTTTCTCAAGAGGGGCCCGGATGTATTTCTGGAAGGTCACCTGCTGGTCGACATCGTGGAAAAGAGGCAGCAGAGTGACCCAGAAGGGGAGGTGGGGGATGTTGCGAGGATGCGTTGGTGGCTGGAGGAAGAGGTAGTAAAGCGAGAGGAGCACTGCACATAGGCCAAGAAGGAGAGGTGGCCAGGTGAGGGTGAGGAATAGAGTGAGTAGCATGTTTACTTGTCAGATAATGTGGTGGTTATTCAGGTATCATGCTGGCTAGGTCTGCTGGATGAGGTGGTATATTACTGCATCTATAACACTAACACCACTAAGTTATGCATTTATCATGCTGTATAGTAAGTAATCTATAAGCGTACTACTAGCACTACCTTTAAATACTTCCAAACGGAAATCTTTGTACTTGCTTGCATCAGTAGCAGTCTGTGTCGGTTATGGCCTCGAATAGGCGAACCCCGATCACTTCCGGACCCTCGTGCACCTGTTGGATACTTCGGAACTCATCCACAATGTACATCCCTTGCTCAGTGACTGCGGCTGCAGAAACGGGGCTGTTTCCACCACGCGTTCCGTGCCGCCCCGAGCTGTAGCCCAATACGAGCATCTCCACTCACCACAAACATTACTACAGAGTCAATACTACAATTTCATCGTGCTCGTAATGTGCTCTTGACGGAAACATTCCGGTCATTAGTCAGGAAGTGGAGTATCCCCACACAGTGGAGAATCTGACTCCACGCGACCAGTAGGATCGATCGGCGCTCCACTCCATGTGCGATTATCTAGGGGTATTCCCTGGGCTAGCCCTACTGAGGCTAGCGCTGCCGTGTATGCATGAACTCAATTACAGATACGTTCAAGTTGTACAGAATTCAGTGATTAGAGATCAGATGAGAAGCTGGAACTATAACAGGGAGGAACCAAATTTATATAATGAGCCCCATGGAACTACAGCAGTTACCTGTCTACATAGTGGTATCAATATGATATACTAGAGTACAATGAATAGTATTAGAAAAATAGCTGATTGAGCATCAACGGGGTTTCCTCGGTGCCGCACGAGCACAAGGAAGAAGGATTCACCATTGAGCAAGATACACGCACACGCCAAGTCAATCCACACCTCGTGAAGGCTCGCCGCTGGCTCGCCTAGATGCTTCCATCCATAGTGTACTGCAAGCAGGGTTGTATATCTTATCCTCTCGTTGATTGGATTCCCTCTTCGCCTCGCTGAGACTTCTGATGACTTCTCACTGACAAGATGGATAGCCTCCAAGATAAATAGCCATGCTCAAGACTGCTAGTTTGTCCTGAGAATGAAGACTTTATCAGAACAACAGTGATATTGCTTGTCATTATGGTACTTTCTCCTGATCCCAACCTGTATCAGCGGGTTGTCTGTTTCTACATTCGCTCTCAGGATGGCGAGCTGGTCCGCTGCTTTGGCAGGGAGAGCATTGTTGCCGAGTCCTCCTGGTCCAGTATTCGCGCATTCGTAACCAATGCATTCGACCGTCACCACCGAGTTCCTGGCGTATCTCTCAGTCATCAAACGGTGGACATTCATGAACTGAAGCCGTCGACTGTCCAAGACCGTGATATCGTGGCGGGCTTGATCCTCCAGCCCTCGACCGCCGCCGCCGCCGCCGCCGCGTTTGATGAGTTCTGTGCGCGTACACTCCTGGGACATGTGCTCCGGATGGCCTTTCTCTCGGTGACGCCGTCCTCGGTGGATGGGAATTCACTGCACTTGGCGCAGACCCTGGTGGATCTGCTGGATACGCAGCTTCTGGTCCACCCGCCAAACTGCCAGTTCAAGGTTACCGGCCGGGAATACCTGCTCGCGCGGGTGTTGTTCTTCACCTCGCGCAACCTGCCGCTGGAGATGTGTCTGCCGGCGTTTCCTTGCAAGTCCTCCAACCCGGAAAAGGTCACTGGCACCATGCCTGACCGCGGCGAGGAGCTGGCGCTGAGACGCCTGCACCAGGTGCTGCGGCAGATCAAGGAGGTTTACCCCCCGGGGGCTTTTATCTGTATCATCAGCGACGGGCATGTATTCAGTGACTGCAGTACGTCTTTCCTCTATCAAAGCAGGACGTCCACCATGATAAAGATCCGCTAATTGTGTAGTTGGCGTTGACGACGATACAGTCGACGAGTATGGCGCCAGATTGATTGCGCTCAACAACGCAATCATCCAGCAGAACAGGGATCTTGTCCCCGCCGTGCGTTTCCAGTCGCTCAAGGATATCTTCTTCCTGGATCCCACGGATGCTTTGGCAAGGGAACTGGCCCTGCCCGAGGTAGACCACTTCATCGCGACCAGGCTGTGCGAGGACTCGGAGTTCTGTCGCCAGGTGCTCCAGCTGTCATGTCAGCCAGACTCGAATGCAGTGCGCGATCAGATCGTCGCGCAGGATGCGGCCATGCTGGCCTTGTATCGCGGGTTCTCACGGTTCATGCTGGAGGATCTGGCGCTGCATCCCCTGGCGCAGCCTCTGTCGCGTAAACAGAAGAAGAAGCTCGCCGAAAAGGTCTCGTTCGAGATGATGCTGCGCAACCAGGCGTATTCCAATCTCGTCGAGTTGGTCTTCCCGGATCACATCCGTCTCTCGATCCATGCCCACGTCAACACGGGGCCCAAGTTCGGCATCACCTTGTTCGATCGTGCAGTGACTCGCGTCGTCGACAGCCTCGATCTGACCGCAGACTCGCTCAGAAGCCCGGAGACTCACGATCTTTTGCACATTCCTACTCCCTGGCACAACTGTGTCGCCCAGTTGGCCGATGCCACCACCACCACCACCTTCATTGCGTCCTCCAAGGTTGTACAGGACGCCGTGCTCTCGGGCAATCTTCACGGCCACTGGGTGGAGGGGGATGTCTCCAAAGGCCTGGGGAGGTACTTTGAGATTGAGACTGCCTCTAAATTGCCCACCACTGCCATCCAAGAGGTCTCAGAGCCACACCATCACTCGTATTTTGGCTTCCGGGTTGTGGTTGATTATCTTCTTAAGCTGCTGGGGGGGTGGAAGAGCAGGTATTGAGTTATACAAATAGCGTCTCCCTAAGTGTATGGATTGTATTGTTGGAGTGTCATTATATTGGGGTTTTATTGTACTAAATGGTTGTTGTACAAAGTATTGATCTTATACACCTGATGATAAATGGAAAATTACAACCGCGTCAACTTGGCTTCTTCAATCCCCTTGGGAATATCCACAAGGAAGTACAGCACCGTCCCGACGAGCATCAACAGCAGGTTGGGAATCATGGGGAAGCGCAGGTTATGCGTGCGGTCCTGGATGGCGCCCATGACGAGCGGGTTGATCCAGCCTGTGGCGAGATCGAGAGTGACTTCCAGGCCGAAGAACTGGGCCTCGAACCCTTTAGGGATGAGGGATGAGTATAGAGCGCGATTGTACGAGCGGAGTGCGCTGCTGGTCGACATGAACAACACCTGGGCGACCCAGAACTCGACCTGGTGCTTGTATCCGATGGTGACCGCGTTACTGATCCCGATACACCCCCATAGCACACAGAGACTGTTGACGGCGAGAAACAAGTACGCCCAGCTCTTGACGGGGAGGCGGAGTCGTGGGTAGAGATAGAGAAAGCCCAGACTGCCCATGCACGCGAAGATGACACTGGTAAACGACCAGACGGAATAGACGCCCGAGCTGCTGCTGAAGCCGGTGACCTCGAGGAAGAGCGCGGTCATCAGCGTCAGATGGTTGGTGTAGCCGGTGTTCCACAGGATCCAGCCAATGCACAGCTTAAAGGCTTCAGAATAGTGTGGTGCGTCGCGCAGCAGACGGAACCAGCCTTTGATCGGCAACACCAGGACGTTTTCACCAGGGCGCAGCTCTTTGCCCTGTACGGAGGGCAATAGGAAGTGTCCGACAAGCGCAAACACGACTGATGGTCAGCATGAAATAGAGATTGCTGAGGGACGACTCCTCTAGGGACTGCTTACTGGTGATGCAGCCTGCAATGGTGACAGCCAGGAAGTAATTGTCAAATCCCCCGCTGGATGCCGATCCGCGCCCGTAGACCAGAATCACGCCGATGATCAGGGCCGTGAGGGCGCCCAGGTTACTGGACACCATGGCTAGCACGCTGACCGACACGCCCGTGGTCCAGGGAGACGACCCCTGGCGTCCGGGGGCGACGGGGGCGATGGGGGTCTCTTGGAACCAGCCTGTGGCGCGCATAAAGATAGGGATATACGAGCCCTCTATAATGGTGTATACCCCCTGTACCGTCACCACCAGACAATACAGCACGGAGAGCGCGGTGAGCTGGCTGTAGGAGTCTCCCGTCAGCGCTGCAAAGGGCAGAGCCAGTGCGCCGAACAGCACGATCGAGGCGATCATCATTGTCTTGCGGTAGTCTGTCCGTCAGCTACTCATCCTCATCCTCGGGCTATACTCAGATGCGCTCACTGGAATAGTCTGCCACGCCGGCTGTGAAGATCGCCACCACGCCCTCGGTGGTTCGCGAGATGGCCTTGAGATACAGCCTGTTGGTTTAGTGGAATGAACAAAGCGTAGTTCTTCTCAGGTATACGCACGTAAAACTCGCATAGTCGATTTCTCCCCCCCCAAACCGCACAAGACAAGTAATATTACCGCCCCGCCGGGGACAGGGCTTGTCGGATCCCTGCTGGTGGCCCAGCAGGTTGGCTGCTGATAGGATTGCTGCGGGTACATAGCTCGCCACCATGGAGGACACCGGGCCTGTCTACCATCATTAGTACAGGCAGTGACTGAACGGAACACCGTGAGGACTGTAAGTCGAGACTCACCGAGTAGCAGAGGACAAGAAACGCCCACAAGGCTTTCTTCGAATTGAGCGAGGCTGTATTTGGTTCTGCTTCTGTTTCAACAATGGCACTCTCCAGAGCATCTTGGGAGGATCGTGAAGGCATAGTTCCAAGTACTAAAGAAAGGTAAAGTAAGGGAAAGTCAAGGTGTAGAGGTAATACTCGTATAAAAGGTAGAGGTATGGGTAAAGGAGAGAAAGGAAAGGAAAGGCTCAATAATACAGTATTTATCGTATTTGGGGCCACTTCCTCCACTATTGATGCCTAGACAGGGTTGGATAGAGCATGTTTGAGCAGATTAGCAATGAGCAATGAGCAATGAGTAGCGCAGGATGTAATCCCTGCACATTGAGCAGAATATGCACCTGCATGACTCGGAAACACTCGGCCACGCACCAGCCTGTTAGGCTTGTATATGATGCTGATTCTTTTACTGATTTTTCTCATTCTCTATCCTTCAACCTGGACATTGACCATGACGACGACAGCAGTAGAGGAAGGCCTGGCCGAGAAGGAAGCCATTGTTCATCCACAGCAGCAGGTTGATCCACAGCAGCAGGCTCATCCACAGCAGCCATACTCGGCCATCCCCCCATCGCGTCGCCATTTCATCCTAGGGCTGATCACAGTGGCAGGCTTCTTTGGCCCCCTGGCCGGGAACATCTACCTGCCCGCACTGCCCGTGCTGGCGCGCGACTTCAAGGTGACGACGACGGACATCAACCTCACTGTCACGGTGTTTATGGTGGTCTTTGCATTTGGCGTGAGAAACCCTACCCATCCTACTCTATCCTACCCTTAACCCTAACCCTAACCCTAACCCTATACTACCCTCCCCTACCTATCCTAACTTTTTAGCCTCTCTTTTGGTCCAGTCTGGCGGACTGGCAAGGCAGGAGACCGCTGTACATCATATCGCTGCTCATCTACATCCTCGCCAATGTCTTGCTGGCAGCCCTGCCCGCCAACTACGGCGCATTGATCGTCCTCCGCATCCTGCAGGCGTTTGGCTCTTCCGCCGTCATGTCCATGGGAGCCGGCACAGTTGCTGATGTGAGTGAGGTGTCTATGCTGTGAGTATCTCTTTGAGCTAATCTTCCAGATGGTTGAGCCCAAACGACGCGCAAGAGCCATGTCCTACTTCCTCTTCGGCCCCCAGTGTGGCCCCATTCTAGGCCCGGTGCTTGGGGGTGCCTTTGCCGGCAGCGCCAGTTGGCGATGGATCTTTGGCTTTCTCGGTGCGTTTTCTTGTGACCCGTCTTCTCATTCAACGGTCTGACCAGACAGCCATTGCCGCCTCTGTCTTATGGGTCGTTCTCCTCTTCGGTCTGCCTGAAACCCTCCGCGCCCGTGTCGGCAATGGCCGCGTGTACGAGGACCAGGGCTTCATCCTGTCCCCCCCCCGGCTCTCCTCGGTCCTGGTGCCAGAGTCCGAACGGGGGCCGGCACCCCCCAAGCCCAGTCTAAAGGGCTACTGGCGTCTCTTCTCATACCCCCCCATCGGCATCGTCAGCATGAACACCGCCGTTCTGTACTCCTCATACTTTTGCATTGCCATTCAACTGCCCATCGCCCTGGAGAATGTCTACCACTGGTCAACCGCAGAGGTGGGTGCCGGCTATGTTGTTGTCGGCACCGCCATGGTCATCGGGTCCATCGCCGGCGGCCGCTTCTCGGACTGGCGCAGGGCACAAGCCGTCAAGGCACTCGGCGAGGACAAGGTGCATCCGGAGGCAAGGCTGAATGATCAGGTCTGGGGCCTGCTTCTGGCCTCGTCTGGCTTGCTCATGTTTGGCTATTTTGTCGACTACGCCATCCATCCAGCAGCGACCTTGATTGCCACTTTCTTGGGTATGACTGCTCTCTCCTTTTGCTCCCTCGGTCCATCCCTTGCCAGGCTATATCTGACCATCTGCAACTATTCTAGTTGGCTTTGGCATGTCTTGGATGTTTGTCGCTTCCAATGCCTTCCTGACCTCCTGTATCCCCCGACAAGCCGCCGCGGCCTTTGCGTTGGGCAATCTGCTACGCAGTCCAGCTGCTGCCGTTGCCGCTGCCATCATCGGGTCCCTGGTCAAGTCCATGGGCTGGGGCTATTGCTTCCTGGGACTGTGTCTCTTGAATCTCGTGGGGATTGGTACTTCCCTCCTGGTGCTGCGTACCCAGTCTCCCAACTGGAGACAGAAATTGGCCCCAAAATAACTAGTTGAATAGTCTAAACACTGTGGAGGAGATACAGGTAGAATCTTGCTAGTCTCTACTTCCGCCCAGTCGCAAACAGTTGAAAAGCAATAAATCTACTTAGAACACATGAAAAAGTACACAGCTGTACTATTCCTTACTCTATACCTTAAAGCTTCAATGTACTATTGCCGCACCATTTAGTCGCTGGCGAGAATGACAGGGGTATATAAATCCTAAGCAATGATATAGTACCCGAGGCCAACGAGAACGAGCGCGAATATGCTCAAGTCGAGTCACCTGCAATATTCTTGTACTTTTAATGCATGCAAGTCTTCTTACATGCACGTCTTAAATGTGGAAAACTTCTCAAACACACGCAATCTTCTCAAATATGCACATATCTCTCAAACATACGTAACCCTCCCAATCACGCCAGCCCAGAGGAGGAAACTGACGCTATGGTGGATGTCCCATGTCACATATACAGCTTCTACATGATCAACTTGACCATTCCTTCATTTTTATATTATCATCATATTATTTATATATAATAGCTTCTACTAAACCCCAAAGTTATCTCGTTGGTGACTTCAATATCTAGTTGTTGGCTCCAGGGATAATTCTACATCATTAGCTAATATCCTGACTCTTATTGAGCTGCCTAATATTGATGCTTTGGAGATCATTGAGCTTACAGCTGAGCTCAAGTGAGGCCAACTTGCAAGTTAGAACAGCATAGAATTACTTGTAGACCACCGCAAAAACATTTTTCAACTCAAGCTTGACTCTTAATATGATCTCTATCTTCAACCTAGGGACCATTCAATTAGGAGATTCTCTGAGATCATACTTCAGGCTTGGCAAGATCATGCCCACTTTCTTAATTATAGAGTAACACAACTGCTTTAGATTAGGTCTGCTCAGTAAAGTGAGAGCACTATCACCATAAGTGATTAATGCTTTTCCTTCCTATCACCTAGTCAATACTCTCTCCTCAGACTAGTCGGCAGCAGAGCCGGTTCTTGAGATCTGTTCAGTATATAAATAGAGATTGAATTGCTTCTAAGGTTGCGGAAGAGGTAGTCTTCACCGGGTTGGATCTTAGTATCCTATAGTGTTTAATATTGAGAAATAGTAATACTCTGATAGTGAGTGAGTAGGAAGCATTATAAGTAAATAAATAGCTAAGATAAGGTTATATTCCCTGTTCTAAAAGTATGATATTAAACCTTGCTAGAAGAACAACAGACGTCATAGTTAAGTTGGAAAAGGCGGGGGGAGATTGGGCATTTCGCCTCGGATTCAAGAGCAAGTAACCAATAACTATTACCTGCCTACTACCTACCATAACTATTACCTACCTACACCAAGCCAAGATGGCACCTACCACACGCTCTCACAAGTCGCTACCAGCTGAAAAGCCTTCCCCTCAAGCAATGTTTATGGAGATTGTGCAAAAGATATCAACAGCCACTCAGCCTACTGAACTTCTTTATGACAAAATAGAGCGAGAGGAAGGAGAGCTCCTCTATCAGTCCCTCGCCACACAGAAGGACGTTGAACAGCGATCAGCACGGTATGCCACCTTTATTCATATACACCTGTAGGCAAACGTCAGCATTTTATTCTAACTCCTTCTTCTGGAATGTACAACAGACTCACCTACAACGCTTTCCTCAAGATCCTTCGTATCGAAGTGATGCCAACCAGGTTACACGATGCCCACCAACGCTGGGCAATCAATGCCAGCCAGAACTGGGCGAGAGATGGAACGCTGAATTCTCAGGAGAGTGAGATCCTGAATATGGGAGTCAGCACGAGTATATACATACAGCTCCTACGCCAGTGACGTTTAACATATTGTTGGCAACTAATAATGAATCTTCTTAGCATTTGATGGCTTCACTGGCGTCTATCAAGGTTCTGCCAAAGAACCAGACTTCTTTTTCCAGATAGATAGCAACGACTTCCCCTCTATCGTCATTGAGTCCGGATGGTCAGAATCATTCTCGCATCTACGCGCTGACAAAGACTTATGGATAATGGGTAATAACTCTGTGACCATGGTGATCCTGCTGAAATGGTCAAGAATGAGCGGGGGAAAAGTCCGTGGGCAGGCTGAAGTATGGCAGCGGAATGCTGGTGGTACCATCCTAAGTAATGAGACAGTGAGTATAATATGCCTCCTATCTTTTAAGCTGATCTAAAGCCAATATATTTTAACACTTTCAGTCAATCTTTCCTGAGCCTTCTGCTACTTCCCCCGACCGGATCCAGTTCACGAAACGCCAACTGTTCGGCTCAGCAATGCTTCCTGGCCAGGATCCAGATTCCGTTCTATCTCTTGAAATGAATATGTTGAGACAGATTGCCGAAGAGGTCATCACAAGGAAACTTGGTCTGGTACCTGCTTGACTGTTTTGGAGACTATTTAGTGTCAAATAGAAGAGCAGAAGACCGAGAGCTCTTTTTCCAGGATACCTGGATACTGAATCATTTGATATTAGCAATCCTTCATACATTTTTGACCTTTTCAATATTCTTTTTAGGACCATGCTCCACCCATTGAATCACAGACTAATATAATGGGGATGGTTTGATGCAGCATGACAAGACTTCTTCTAGACTAAGGGTAGTATCACTATATAGAGCTTTTACAATTAATTAATCTTGATCAGCTTACCAAGCGGCCCCCATTTAATCCCTAGTTAGTCACTGCATGATTACTTTCCTCTATTAGGATATCAGTACGAGACCACGTATAAGATTACAAATTCTATAAACCACTTCAAAATACTACCTTATCCTAGCCCGGAGATGAGATAACACTCTACAGTTTACATTATAGTCAACTTTAGTGGTGTTTCTTAAAGTAGTAATATGTTAGTAGTGTATTCATGCTATAAGCAACCACGACTTGCCATAGGATTTCACTGCCGATGAAGAATTTCCAATCCTTCTTTCGCCCCCTTTTTCTTTCTTCATATTCTTTTCTTTTTCTTCTTCCCCACTGTTCATTCCTTCTATCCCCGAGCTGTCACAATCTGCTAGAGATACCTGGCCAATTATGTGCTAGAAGAAGCTTTCTAAGGTGATGAGATGCGCAGTAAGCATCTCGGGGCGTTCCTGCTGCAAGAGGGAGCCAATAGAGATCTTATAATCACACAGACCACATGTTCTCAAGATCATAATCTTATTCCACTAGATACATCATAATAAAGCACAAAGCTACAACAGAGAGAAAAAATAATAATAGAAGAAGATCTAGGGTGAATGGGGAGAAAATATATATATATATTTAATAACATATTATCATAATCACTGCTATTAAAGATAGAAGATGGCAGATCTACTATGACCAGTTCATAAATATTATTTAAATGCTGTTGAATATTAGGCTATAGAGGTGCATCAACATAGCCAGGGTGTTTGCTAGTTTCATTAACCCTACTAAACTAGGCTAGATTAAAGAGGGGTAGAAAGTTATAAGAAGAGAGTGAGGAGACCTATACTTTATAACTTATTACTATTCTTATTATTCTTATTCACTGTGTTGTAATGCTCTCCCTAGTCATCTTCTTTATCCTGCAGGCCACCCTGGCCAGGGCTGCTTCTAATGTTCAAACCAGAAAGATCACCGTGGACGCAGGCGTGGTCACTGGCCAATTCAAGAACCTCCAAGGAACCAATAACTGCGACGTCCGTATGTAATTGACCTCTGACCAGAATATGGTGTTTTCTGGTTCTGACTGACGAGAAAGCCAATGCCAATGATGATCTGGATAATATCCACGATGCGACCCCTGCGGTACAGCAACACTGGCGTGACTCGGCCGTGAAACATGTCATGATCTGTAAGCTCAAACGGAATACATTTCTATTCTATTGTATTCTAACTTCCAGATACCTTCCCCGATGTCTTTCTAGGTGGAGATCCTTACGACAGTGCCAACTATAACTTCACGGCGGTAATTACCCAGTGTGGCGCATGTATACTCGATAACCAGCTAACGTGCGCAGTCCGATATGAGAGTGAGATATGTTGTGGAAGGAGGGGCTGTAGTGAGTTGATACTTGGTTTTTCTTTATTATTGTCTCCTGTTGACTCTATAAAAAGGCATCAGCGCAGTTCCAGGAAGGCGGAGATATCACTGACCTGACCCCTGCAGAGCTAGAGGGGATCGGGTACATGATAACTGAGCGTTATGCGTGAGATTGACGTTCTATTCTTTACATCCTGCCTCTAATTCAGACCCAGGAATGGTGCCAACAACTCTGGCTTTTCTAATGCAGTCGAGCTGTGGGACTTTTATCCGGAAGGGGACAAGGTAACTACCCATAACTTTAGGCGCTGACATGCAAATAACCCTAACCCTAATACTAACTGCGCAGGAATACTACACCACCGAGTCCACCAGCTACAAGGAAAATCTAGCTGCATATTCGGCATTTGCCCGGGGAGTGGCCAAGGCTAACAATCCAAACGTTGGTTGTGGTGCCTGGGGGTTTAAACGAATGTGGACGCCAACAGCCAGCTACACGCTGCCTGATCCGTGGAAAACAGAGTTCTTTGCTGATATTGTGGCTGCTGGGGTGCCTATCAAGGCGGCCACCATGCACTGGGACTGTACGTATTGATATCACTCAACCCTAACCCTAACCCTAACCCTAAGAACTATCTACTGAAGCCGTCCAGCCACTCTCTTCAGCTGGAACTCATACGAGCTTGTCCCAGGGGTGAAGCAGTTCCGAGAACTGTATCTCGCCCCAAATGGGCTGGGCGACCTTCCCATTTGGATCACGGAGGTATTTCTTTACAAAATTTGAATCATCAGGACATAAAGCTGACTCCTGATTGCCGATTATAGCATAACCGCAACCCTCTCGGCACGCTGCCAACCACCAAGGCTGCACTCGAAGCATACTGGGACCCTGCCTCCTTTGCGGCATGGGTGATATCTGTGGTGAGTAGTCAAGGAACAGTCAAACAATTATGTTGAGACTGCTGACTAAAGATTAATAAACCAGGCAATGTATGGACAAGACGCGGATGTCGAGCAGGTGATGAGCTGGACAGGCTTGGGATACGGTGGCTATGGATACGGGGATGCTTACTTTGTATGTTCTGATATATCTCACTCGCAAAAAGTCATGGTTTGGCTAAACTTTACAAGCAAGCATGGTATACCAACACTTCCAACGGGGACGTTGCCACAAATGCTGGCGCTGCATGGGTTCTGTCTGGCCAGTTTGTGACCGAAACAGCTAACCGGTTGGCGCTGACGGGGAGTTCACCAGACGGGTTCACGGCCCTGGCTGGTATTTCTGACGAAGAGGACCAGGTGCAGATTATGTTGAACAATTACCAGGTGGATTATGATATTCTTCGGCGTACGTCTTGGCTTTTCTTCTTCTCAAACCCTGATTCTAACCGAACCCGAACCCGAACCCTAAAACCAAGACTAAACCGCCGACTTTCAATAGAGAACACAGTCCAACTGGTATGTTGGAAGTGAATAATCAACGTCATTATCAGCTTGAAGCTAATTATTAGATCACTGAACTGGACGTCAATGTTTCGGCAAGCCCGATTACCCAAGAGAACGGACGTAAGTATTGTTGGCCTGCCTGAAAAAGTGAAGGAAAAAATGGACATACTAACAGACTCATAAATCATCTAGTCTTCAACGGCGAGCAGGCCTGCTTTACGTTTGATGATAACGCCGTCCGTAAGTATCTTGACTACTAGCTCCTATCTGTGGATAATGTTCTATTCCTTTAACTTGATATTAGTTGGCTGCACCACCTTCATGCAACCCATCATCCGGGACAACCACGCCACTGCGTATGCGCTAGAGGTGAAGAATCTGCCCTGGTCCTCGAGCACAAAGTATACAGCAGAGATTGTACGTGTGGGGGGGGGGAGATGCCATGCAGGAGGTCTATTGTACCATTCATGGTTCAGGGAGAAGCCTTGGTAAGATGATTCAAGAGTTTGGTGAGATAAACATATACTGACCTACCTAGAAATAACTGTTGACTTTCCTGCCAATGCGCAGGACTTTATTAGAATGAAGAAGGCTTAATCAGCTGAGGTTTACAGAGAAGAGTCTACATCTGGTAGGTGTTACACCCTCCCATCTCATTTTTTATTATTTCACTGTATAGATAATGGTTGTAAGTGTTAACACTACAGGGTATGATGGTAGTCCTAATTTGAACTATTATTTAGATATAGTCTACCTAAAGTAGGATGTATCAAAATATGCCTCCTCCACAACTAGAAGCATGAATAGCCACGTGCATTAAGAAGATGCCTTGGCATTGGAAAAACTGGGGAACATGTGGGACAGGAGTAAAACGTTTTGTAACGGGCCAATGGGATAATAGAAAATAGACTTTGGTCTCAGCGATCATCTCAGAAATGAAGACTAACATCAGGCTAAAAAATTAGACTACATAAAGTTAGAGCTAAAAGACCCTGAACCAAACCTACACTGTGAGGCTGTACAGCATCTTGGCATCTTGGCTTGATTCAGAATAATCTTTTACTCCAGTTATAGTTTCAGAACCATGTGGACTGAAAATAAGATTACCTACTAGTTTGCAAGTTCTAGAAAATTTCCACGACTGACACATTTTATTTAGCTTTCTTGGTATACTAGACTGAGACAAACTGACCATGGATAACTTACTTCCAAAGGTACTCGTGTCTTACCATGAGGACCATGAGGAACATGTAGACCTTCAACTTCAGGTATTTAAGGCCTGGCTCCCTTGCCAGTGTCTACATTTCTTCAACACCAAGTACCTACAATTCCTTCCTCAATTGAGTCCATTCTGGTCTATCTGATAAAAATGCACGCTTCCAAGCTCCTCCTCCTGCCTGCCGTCTGGGCCGGGCTCAGCATGGCTGCCAGCCAGGTCGCCCACGACTCCCTGAGAGCCCTGCCTCAGAACCTGGATAATTCTGCGACGTCCAACGCCGTCAGAACCTTCCAGCCCAGTCTCTATATCGACAGCGGCTGCCAGCCTTATCCTGCCATCGATGCCGAGGGTAACTGGAGGTACGGTCAAGTTCCTGGAATGATCTTCTAGACATCTCTGGCTAATTATTTTGTAGTGGTGGTGAAAACCCAAGCGGTAGTCCTTCTGGTGGCTGCCGTGACCAGAGCAAGGCTCAGGTGTACGAGCGTGGCGGCTGGCACAATGGTGCCTACGGCATCATGTATACCTGGTATGTAAACTATATTCACCTGTTGATTCTTCTACGCCCTTAATCATCCCCTACTAATGGTTAACAGGTACATGCCCAAAGACCAGGGTGGTGGCAGCTTGGGAATCACCGGCCACCGCCACGACTGGGAAGGAATCGTGGTCTGGGTCAAGAACCCGGCGGTTGCCAATCCCACTGTTCTCGGAATTGCCACTTCTGCGCATGGCAAGTTCCCTGAGAAGCTCCCTGGGGCTCTTAAGGATGTGATGCCCGGCACCAGCCACCCGAAGATCAAGTATTACCAGGATACTGCCGTGGTGGGCACTCACAGCGTGCACACGACCGGCAATGAGGGAAGATACCAGCCGATCATCGGCTGGGACTTTATGAACGCCAACATGAAGAATACGCTCAACACTGTCAACTGGGGTAACGCCAACTGCCCTATCAATGACGCGAACTTTGCCAACAACCTCGCCAAGGCTGCCCTTTAGGTGCTGGCTATATAGTATGCTAGGGCTATAGATTCACTGGAGAAGAGGTGTGCTAATTGTCTTTTTGGTTTGGATGGCTATAATTTGTAAACTAGATATATTTTATACCAGTATTTATAGTATTTATATTGCATGTTTGAGTTGAATAGAATATTCCTATAGAATTGATAACAGGTGTACAGCAATATATAATAATATTATATATAATAATATTAATATCAATTAGATAACTTATAAACTGTCAACTCACCTGCCGGTAGTTTATATTCTATATATACTTATAGATATTCAATACACCACAATGCACCAAATATTTAATACTCTATACACCATGTACAGCTCATACTATATATAGGATGATTAAATATTCTCTTTGTCTAATACTCCATTTAGGTACATCTTGGCGGTTAATCAAGCCAATGGCCCTAAAAAGCAGGGGTCTGGATTCGTATCACGCAAGCGCTGCGAGTCATGTCAAGCTTTGGCGTCAAAGCCGTTCATTAAAAGGCTCTCCATCTCCCCTCACCTTTAGCTTTCTTTCTAATACTGAACATACCAGAATGATTATACCACGTTTCTACTTGTTTATATTAGCGTCCGTTGCCTTCATCGGCATCTGGTTTTTGAGCTACAAGCCTTTTCTATACCAACAACTGTCCGTCTCTCAGTCAACTGATGGAGGACGTTCTCTACCTTTGAATCATTCACTGCCTCCCCTAGAAGCAGCAGGAAATGAGACACTTGGAGTATGACATCCTTCGCAGACTAAATTATACTATATATCCAGAAATATATATTGATGTGCTGATTGCAAGTTCAGTTTCAAAAAATCCTCATACTCTCAACAGGCCCCTCATGGCGGACTAGAGGACTGCTGGCTGCGGCACATCTCACAGGTCTCCAAATCACGATCCCACCGCAGCCTCCCATTGATGAGGCGATCGTGGATGCGTTTGGGCAGTTGGGCGGTGACGACGATGACGAAGAGCATCCTCCCCACGGGGCGACTATCGCCTGGCTGGCACATTTGGATCTAATCAAACATGCGATCCAGCTAGATTTGGAAACGGTTCTCATCATCGAAGACGACGTCGACTGGGACGTCTCCATCCGACACCAGATGGTCCGCATCGCATCTGCGATCAGAAACCTCACACACACCGAGCAGAGAGACCAGTCTAGCCATCCAACTCCCTACGGCCATGACTGGGATCTGCTCTGGATCGGTCACTGCGGCGAGTTCTGGAACGAGGACTTTGAAACAGTCAGCTTCGAGGACCGCTCGGCGTGTCCCAAAGCTCAGTACTCCGGGTGGGCCAGGAACTATCTCTCTCACCTCCCAGACCACCACCGGTCGATATACTGGTCTTTCAACCCCGTGTGTTCGTTTGCTTATGCTCTGTCGCGCAAGGGGATGCGCAATGTCCTTCGCGTGGCGGGCGGGGGTCGTGGAGAGGCCTTTGACGTCAAAGTCATGCAGGCGTGCAAGGCGAAGGCCCTGCGGTGTATCTCGGTCGTACCAGAGGTTGTTCACCAGTACTTCCCTGCGGCGTCGTATGGAGTCAACAGTCTTGTTGATATCGGTAATGGAGAGGCGGTAGGCCCGGACGAGACGGAATTCGAAAGTGTTATGGGTTCTACAGACAATATTCTTGAGAGTGCCCGTTGCAACGCATTATGGGGAAAGACATGTCTTAGATGACTTGAAGGTGAAGATGATTGAGGTAGTTTGGTATCATAAGAAAAATAGAGAATTAATAATAGTAAAGCCATAAGTGATAGTAGACCCTGGTGGTCACTTAAATCACCATGCACAGAGCGAAGACATGAAAGCAGAAAGATTAGTTAAGGACAGTGTTCTGTCTTGAGCCAGTTGTGCTGCAGTAATTCAGCAGCCGACTTTCGATTTTTTGGATCGATTGAAAGCATGCCCCGGAGGAAGTCCAAAAAGACAGGCATCTCAGCTTCCGGCATATCGTCAGGCTTCAAGAAGGGCTTTTCCGTGCCGTTTAAAAGGCGCTCAAGACTGGTTGCTTTCAAGTTTGGGATTCGGCGAAGATTACCTGATTAGAGAGATTAGATCAATGAATAATATATAGTTGGACAGATAAACATCATAGAGAAGGTTCTTACCGTGCTTGTCAAAAAAACCAGCCGTATGCTTGCCCCTCTTGAGAAATTCAGTTGGAAAGGGACCGAGAATCTCAATCATTCTTGCAAGACGGTCGTCGTCCGCCGTCCAGGACCCTTTTTCTGATGCTTCACTGGAAAACAACACTATTCCTTGAACGAATTCCACAACCTTTTTTTGGGAAGAATGAGGTTCATTAGTGACAGAAAGTCTAAAAGCATTAAATAAAGTCGACCCCTTACCAGACACCCAAGGCTCCATATGTCAACAGCGGAATCCCATGGCGCACCTATTGTGACCTCGGGTGCTCTCAAAGCTGGAGACTGGATTACATCTGAGAGATGGTTGCTTTCCCAAGAGGCTTTGAAAATAGTTAGTATACACGAGAGAAAAAGAGAAATAGCAACACATACCAACACCGAAATCAATGATTCTTATATGGGGATGTTTCATATGCGAGACTAATGGCGTCCTAATAACTTCTCGAAGCGGCTTTGCATGGCCACTCTGGTTATCCACTCGAGGAGAAGTTTCTGACAGATAGCATGAGATATCTTGCATTGGATTCTCCAACTCAAAAAGAATGTTGGCGGGCTTTATATCTATCAAGAAGTCGGCGACATGACAGGCAAAGGCGCTCTAATAATGACTATACCAGTATGGATAATGCCACATTCCCTATGAAGAAAATCCAATCGAAGCAGAAGTTGTCGTGTAATTGTTTTTACCATTGCGACGGGAATTCTTCCATCCTCATATTTAGCAGCTTGGGAATCAAGATGACTTCTTAGAACATCAAATGCGAAGCATACATGTTCACCATTTGGCCCTTGATGTTTGAAGTGGTCTAGGAGATGTGAAATATAGTCACAGCCTTGGTGGTCATGATTTTCAGATACTTTGGAGATCTTGAGAAGCATCTCTTTCTTAAAAATTTCACGAGGACCGCCATAGCAATCAGCTCTGAGTATCTTAAGAGCAACAAAGTGCTCTACCCTGCATGATTTATTACCAGCTGAGCCTTGGTGATCTTAGGGAAACCAACTTACTTGGAATCTCTCGCAAGCCAAACAGTGAAGATATTGTCCATAGCCTAATTTCCTGAGAATAGTATATCTCCCAGAGTCGAAAGTGTCTCCTAACGAGATCGGGTGGAAGCCCCCTTTCTCATAGAAGTTCGGTTCTTCCACAGAACGACGACCCGGTAATGGCGATGAGGTCTGTTCAAAGAGCTTGGGAATTCCAAGCCGAAATTTTGTGCGTGACAAAGTCGAGAATATTCCTTTAATCATCTTCCCGCTGTTGGACTCAGCCAGTATGTAAACCGGTCCCTTGAACGCGGCCGAGCACGGCAGATAGTACTAGTACTCTCAATCAATCCGAGCAAAGATTTCTCCTAATCAATAACATTGCAGCTGTAGATTGAGTAGAATGTTCCTCAGTTAAACCAGCAGCAAAAGGGATAATTCAAAGAGTCTTTCCGTGCTCAAAGCAGCAGATGGTTGCGTAGCGTGTTGTCTCTTCGGCGATGCTTAGCTTATTATGCCACTAGATACCGCCTGCTCTTTTCTTCTATGCTTTTTAGGGCTGTTCTGGTATATAGTTAGGTATCTTCTCTCAGTCATCATCGTCCTGAGAGGGTAGTTTAAAATCACCATTTAATACATTGCTGCTGAGTATATTATACCAGATAATGAGATTTGAGTGAAAAGAAAACGTGCGTTGCTTTTAGAGACTAAATCAATAGACTGAATGACATCTGAATGCATATTTGAGCCCTTCAATATCCAAGGTAGGTTCTCTACAATTGATTAACTCCCTCAGGCTACAAGAGCCATGCGAATCGGGAGGTGTACCTGCAAGTAGCGCCAATCAACTAGCTCTTCCAGGAAATTATAGATGCCCTACAGCAATATGTGCCGAACAATCTGTTTAATGACTAAACTGGTGGTAAATGATTGGCTTCTGTTACTGGTATAAGCGCTCAGCTAGGTCCTCCAGGATTAGATTGATCTAATTATAAACAAATTATTCATTAATATCATTGATGAAAAAGGAAAAGAATGAGGGATAAGAGGAGGTATAGAGGCTCTATCTATGCTTTCAGGTCATTGAATAAATAACTAGCAACTACAGACTAGGAGAATGTATTAGTAGAAGAGTTATTCCATGGCATTGATAATTACTCTGTAGGCTAGTGAGGAGAGCATTCCTCTTTAAAGCTATAGATGAACCCACCTTGGTGTTTATTATACCATTACTATAAACGTCTTCCTCTGCTACAAGACCCAACCTCCCCTGTCTTCTGTTTTCTCCCTCTATTTTTGCCTTTCACCTCTGACAATCTACCTTTTTAAACTATACAACACAAAATCCCTAGCAGCAGGGAGTAACCAATCCTATTATAACAATGACACCGGAGCCAGACATTGACATTCTTTCTCAATTGATAGACGATGAAATGAATACTATCAAGTATGGGTGAAGCAAAGAGTCCACTATCTCACAATCTCTTCGGGCATATTTGAGGAAGATACCATGTGTCGGCAGTATGCGCTGATATCTATTGTATTCTAAATAGCTTTATTATCATCTTGCACCTATCGCTTCCGCATCCAGAGCGTCTTGCCCCCAAGAATATATGGCCCCTAACAGCCCAAGACCCTTTTCATGTAGATATGCGGGCAGAAGAATATAAAAAATAAAATATACCTTAGCCCCTACCCAAAGCAGCTTAATAGGTATAAAGAGTAATAAAAATGATAGAAACAACTACCGTTCACTATTAAAGGCAAATAGGAAGAGAATTCTGAAATGTGGTTGTACTGTCGGCCAGACTCGAACAGAACAAACACGGAGCGGAGCGGAGCGGAAGGCTTGGTAGGACTAATCTATTATTAGGATGATATCTTTGCTACCAGCAATTAATTCTATTATATGTTGGGCGAGATACAAGGTCACCATATAATATTAGCTAACCCTCCATCTCTAATACCTAAGCAGTACTAGATAAATGCAACAAATATTAATGTCAAGCTCTACCTATTTGTCACCATAGTTAGTTAGCCTTAATGATACCATAATCTTCAACAATGATACAGTTACTCTGTGCTGATATAAACCCCATGCACCATGTCCTAAAACGCCCTCCATATATTCCCTCTTCTATAATAATCTATCACATACGACCACAGGGTGTGGAAAATAGGGCTTCCCGTCCGCTCAGCCGTACTCAAGCCACACGCCGGTAGGTTAGTAGTTGGGTGGGTGACCACCAGCGAATCCCTACTGTTGTATGTTTTTTTCTTATCTACTTGGCTGTAGATTGAGTTGAGTGTTTATTGTTTTGTGAGTCTAAGAATATTTTGTTTAGGATAGGAAGCCCATTAAAACCATATGATTATTTTTCTCCATACATCTGGCCATATCAAGGCCCACTCAACCATTCTTAATAATGCCGGGCTTGTAAAAGTGAGTAAAATAGCCGACCCGATCAGCCTCTCAGCTATAACCTGAACCGCTCTAACTAATTTTTAGCTCTGTTGATAGTCTGATAACCACAGCTGCAGGGGTAATGTGGCAATGAAGACTCATTTAATAGGCCAACCACCTCCAGGTGTCTTCTGTTTTCTCCCCCTTCCAGTGCTGACCGACGATGCAGTTCTCCCCTCTGTCCCCCGCCGCCATCGCGCTGTCCCTCCCTCTCCTCCTCCTTGGCCATGTCTCTGCAGCGGGCGCGACATGCGAGACCGTCACGACCAACCTGCTCAGCAATCCGTCCTTTGAGTCGGGCGAAGTGAGCCCCTGGTCGGTGATCGATGGCACCGGCACGATCATCAGTGATACCTCGGATGGCGGCGAATATGCGCTTCAAGTCTACGGCACCACGTATTTCGGCGTGGAGCAGGCCGTGACTGGCCTCACCGTCGGCGAGACCTACACCCTCTCCTTCGACTACAAGCTCATCAGCAGCACCCTGTCGGGGTCTTGGCTGTGCGAGTTTTTCATCGAAACTGCCTATGGCACCGCCGTCGCAGAGGCCACCACAAGTTACTCATCGACCGATCCCACCTGGTATACCCTCTCGGCCTCCTGGACAGCGACCAGCGCCTCATGCGAGTTCATTATGTGGGCTTATTGCCCGACAGGCGTCAGTCATCGACCGTATATCGGCTTCGACAACGCCCAGTTCCTCAGCCAGGAGACCGTCTGTTCTTCCTCTTCTTCCGCAACCCCGACTCCTACTACTCAGGCCTTGTCTGTCTCGAGTTCGGCGTCTGGGTTGCCTTCAACTTCGTCGTCATTGCCATCCTCATCTCCGTCGAGCACTGTCGTTACCTCGACCTCTGCCTCCGGGCTGTCATCATCGGCTGTTTTTACATTGAGCACCTCTTCTTCAGCTATATCCAGCGCAGGTGTCTCAGCTATATCCAGCGCAAGTGTCTCTTCAGCCGTATCGACAGTGAGCTCTTCACCAGTCATTTCCAGAACAAGCTTGCCCTTTTCATCAGCAAGAGGTTCGCCTCGTCCGTCAGGGCCTGCCTCTTCATCCAGCCCATTACCTTCTTCTTCCTTTACTCTCAGTCGTTCGCCGTCCTCTAAGATCTGGCCATCTGTGCGCCCTTCACGTTGTTCTAGACCTATCTCTAGATCAGGGTTCATCTCTTCCACCAGCTTAACTACAGTTCAGACTTCCCAGTCAACTACAGTTCAGACTTCCCAGTCAACTAAAGTTCAGACTTCCCAGTCAACCACAATTCAGACCTCTCAGTCAACCACAAACACTATCGGTTCATCATCGACAGAATCAGCGTCTCTTCTACCTCAGGGTTCTACAACAGGGTCAACATCCCCTACAGTCCCGTCTCAAGGCTCTACAACCTCTGTCGATCTATCTTCGACAGAGTCCACATCTTCAACACTTTTACCTCCGGGTCCCACCAATTCTATCAGTTCATTCTCAACGGAATCAACATCCTTGACACTTCTTCCACCTCCAGGTTTCACAACCTCCACAATCTTCACCACACGCACTGCAACCGTCACTGCATGCCCATCATTTGTCCGCAACTGCCCAGCCACTGCCAGAACCACCTTTGTGACCACTGAAACTGTGGTGGTTTCTACTACTGTGTGTCCCCTCACTGAGGCCTCCCAGCCGACAGGGAACGGCAAAGGCCCAGGGAACACAAAGCCGGGCAAAACCCTTTCTTCATATCAAAGCGATTCAACTACCCTCGCCACCCAAACTGCCACTTCCTCTCTCTCTTCCTCTACTTCTTATTCTACCACCGCCACAGAGAGTGTTCCCTTACAGCTGGAAGCAACGACTGAATCTAGTACTTCTACATCGGCTACTTTCTCATCTACTCTATCTAGCATTTCGTTTACCTCTTCATCGACTACCTCGGCCTCAATCACAGAAGAAGCCAGCACTGGATCCAGCACTTCTACAGCAACTACTTCTCTATCTAGTGTTTCATTCATCTCTTCATCGACTGGTTCAGCTTCTATCTCAGAAGCTAGCACTGGATCCAGCACGTCTACAGCGACTTCTTCTCCACCTAGTGTTTCATCCATCTCTTCATCGACTACCTCGGCCTCAATCACAGAAGAAGCAAGTACTGGATCCAGCACTTCTACAGCAACTACTTCTCTATCTAGTGTTTCATCCATCTCTTCGTCGACTGGTTCAGCTTCTATCCCAGAGGCTAGCACTGAATCAATTACTTTGTCGACTACTTCACCATCCGCTTTTTCCGGCTCTTCTTCCATCTCATCAACTGCCTCGGCTTCCAGCACGACCCCCACGGCACCTGTGTATACCGGGTCCGCGCCATCTGCATGGAAATTCACACCTAGCCAGAAAACTCTGCTGGCAAGCGCTTTCATTGGATTGACTCTTCTTCTTGTCTAGATATTTAATTTCATTCCCATCAATTCATCTTTTCTTCTATATTCAATTGGGTATCTCATATCACTCTTATGTACTTAAACTATCTAATTTATGCTTAGGCATTTTCTAAATCGACAGAAGAAAGCAAGCCTTCTAACCATATACTATGCCTCAATGACCACTATTTAATGATGAATGATAATATTTCTCTCACTCAACAACATTCCACTGTCATATCTCTAATCAAGATGGATGAAATGGATGAAGATAAAGCCCATCTCTATTCTTTCACTGCTGTCTCCTCGAATCTGCGCAAGGAATCCACGTTTATTCACGCCAGGGAGCAACGTATCTTGTCGCCCTGTCAAAGTCGGCTATGGACACCCACAGTCGAGAAGACGTTGCGGCAGATCTCCTTTGCTCACTCCATTTTTGGGTCCTCGCATGAGACGGTAACGTGTCGTGCTGAGCGACTGCTTCGTCTGTGTGATGAAGGAAGAGACACTCAACCAAACTCGAGTGCTGCACCCATGCGTAAGGTCTTCGGCCACTCTGGCTCAGATGCCAAAGATACTATCCTTAAGCTCGCCAGACTTCACTTCCTGGCCAAGGGCGAACCATAGAGGACCAAATTACTCTCCTGCACAGACAGCTATCTCGGCACGACCTTTGCTTTGGCCAGTCTCTTGGGTCTACTGGACCATTATTGCAGCTTCGGCCTTCCAGATCCGTCCTTTGTGCATGTCTCTATAATTGCTCGGCTTGGATGTCAGCGAGGTCGCTTGTAAATGTCTTGATCTGGGGTTGATCCGTCTGGGCCATTGTCGCTCGAACCATGATTGGCCTGACGCCCCTGTTGGTTACTACTAGGGATGATGTCCTGCAAATTGTGGAAACAATTATCGGGGCTGTGTCTGGCATTTAGTAGAATATATATGTCAATGGTGCAGTCATTTTTGAAAGTAGTTATATAGAGTGGCTTTGGTAACTTTGTACGCAAGAAACATTATGATATAAGTTGTAGTGAGGAATCTGGCCTACAGAGCAAACACCCTACACGACCATATGGAGAACAAATCACTGCCTTCAAGGAATTGAAACATAGAACTGAAAAGCAAGCCTAGGCGTCCTTTCGGCGACAGCGGTACTGTTTTAATAAAAACCGGTAGTTACGCTTAGCCTCCTGCGCAAGTGTCTCATTCAACTCCTCCTGCCGTTTTGCTATCAACCGTTGGGCCTTGTAGGCCTTTTTTGCCGCCAACAGGCGGTTCTCGAACAGCTCAAAGCGCTGTTTGAGCGTCAGCAACTCCGCTTCATGCAGCTCCCTTTCTGAATCTTCCATCCTAGTCCTCTCGTAGTGAGGCAGACGGGGCGAGCAGACGCGGACAGCAGAGGGACCGGGCTCCGGCGATCTGGAGCGACACGGCAAGACTTGGTGAGAGCGCTCAGGATGAGGCTGGGGGCGTTCAAACCAGCTCGGCTGGGCCATTCTAAATTTAAGACAGAAATTGAGCCAGTCACCGGTCAAGATGCCAGGGGGGGCTTTCCATTCGTTCCATCTAAGGAACTTGGGACTTGATGAAGGAGGCAAAACAGACAGCTTTAGAAGCAATCGTATTGGAGATTCGGACTTTTCCAAGGCTCAGATGTGTCGGTAAAGAGAACAGAATGATCCTGCACATATCATTGATCTGTTGGTCAGCATCCGAGGTCAACGAATAGACAGGGAGAAGGATAGATGTTTTGGTCTACTTAATATTCTCAGGATATTGCCCCTCCCATCGAATTGTGTGGCCAGCAAGACGGTCAGAATCTCTAGAACTTGTTGCTTGGTATGGTTGCTCTGCTGGGTGAGCCTCTCGAGGTTTCAGCTCCTTCCCTAATTGGGAATGGCTCGACTGTCACAACTTCCCCTGCTCTCCTTCTCTTCCTTTCCTTCTTGTTTCCTTCCTTCTCTCTTTCCTCCACATCGATGCCCACTCTTGTATCCCCTCCCGCTAGTTTTCTCTGGCTATTAATTGCCCGCCTTGTTCCGGTGCTGCTCATCGGGTCTTTGAAAGGTCACAGTGTTTTTTTCTTCTTTCGAGTGAGAGCCATTGAACCTCCAAATCCTTGAGTGAAAGCTCTCTCCTGACTCCCTGTGGTTTGCAGTATCTATTCCATCCAATACTCCCAATTTCTCGACGGCATGATGGCGAATCCAAGAGCAAAAGAGCAGCCAAACGCCGAGTGACACCAGCAGCAATCAAGGTGAACGCGTGGTGGGACAAGAACGGGATCTCGAGGACACCGACCGAATTGACTGACACCGCCAAGAAGGTGGCATTCGACAAAATAGGAAGAGAAACTCAGGCGTCAAGGAGACATCGTTATCCTCCCCTCAGAAGAAGCGTGGGATCTCCGAAATAGACGCTAATTTGTCCACGGAGTCCAAACCGACGATCGAGACAAGTGATCCCACACACCCCAATGAAGGGAATAAGGGGAGGGATGAAAAACAGGACGACAGTTCCAAATCACCACTTGCTGGAAAGACGGCGTTTGAGGTTCACATCATGGACCTGTCTTCTTCAACTACAATATCCAGTATCCCACACCCTCACAGCACGGATTCTATGGCACCGGGTGGATGTGAGCGACCTCGCTGAGGGCAAAGGTCAGAAGAAGCCTTCCACAGACGCAGCAGTTGGCCTAGGATTCTCTACCGAAGCAGAGGATTATGCTGCTAAGCTCCTGAACCGCAATCGGGATTGGAAAGGTATCGTAGGCATATCAAAAAGCATGGTGGAGATCCCAGCCCTGACGCCTCCCGACTCAAAGGCGAATTTGCCAACGTGCGAAAAGTTTAACTGGAGGTCCGCAAGCTCAAGCAGGATGGGGAGCCCATGGACCTCGACGTTTCTTTGGATGTGGGACGCTCTGTGGGAAGCCACCTGCCAGAGGGCAGTAGCGAGACGACAGGGACTACTTCCTCCGAAAACACGCTCAGCCAAACCCTCCGCAGCCATGTCGAGGCCGCCGCCAGGAAGAGAGAGCCGGGAACAGGACCGTCCAGAAGATATCACCAATGCGTCGCTCATGTTCCTTCTCGTGAAACTCTGCTTAGACATGAAAAGCCCGGAAGTCCAATGGGACTTGCAGAAGCCTCGCCTGATCTTTCAGCTGGCTCATCAGGGTCATTCATTGACTCTATTTGCAGATGGTCAATTGGTCGCGGTTGACAATCAGGAGGATATCCACTGTCTCGTAGAGGTGAAACCCCACCTTATCACGACGCCATCGTCTGCAGCCAAAATCCTTCGGCAGGTGGGCTGCGAGATGATGTTTTGAATTGCCCAGGATGCGAGGGAGAAACGGTTGAAAAATCGGTAAGCTCTGATCTCTGCCGTCGCTGATAAGTGATATTAATTGCATTAGCTACATCATGCTCACTGAGTTCTCCAATGAGATCTATCTGGTCGTTGCCCGTTACAAGCAAGCCTACCTTGATTATCTCGTCGACAACACAATCAGCCATGACAAGCTCGCTGAAGACCAGGACACCTTTCTGCACCTCTATCTTGCCGGCCCGCTAGACATTTACGACTCGGACAACGTGCAGATCGTTGGAACCTTTGCGGTCACCCTGACCAAGCAGCAATGCTTAGATTTGCAAAAGAGGAGGAAGGAGAGGAAGAAGAAGAGTTAGAAGGAGGAATGTTTGATAAGGTGAGGGAAATGTAATTAATTTGTACTTCATGTTTAAGAACTACGTGGCAATCCATGTTGTGAGCATCTCTACTGGAATTCAAGCCAAATGCTCTCTATTCCACCCGAATAGCTACATAGGGTAAAGATTATAGCAAGCTCGTCTCAGATTCCATCATCCTTGAAGCAAGCCAAGCCCTCTAGCCGTCTACCTGCCAAACGATGCCTTTGCTGGTGCTGACGAAGAAGAGACTGGTTGAGTAGTATCTCCCTGCGCGAGAGGCCATGTCCAGCGAGTCAAAGAACCCATCAGGCTGCAGTATTCGTCCTCATGTTCCGGGTTCAAAAAATAGTTAAACCTTTCATCGTAGTATGCGTATCGGCCGATTTCGAAAAAGTCCAATACTTCCGTGAACTGGACATTTAGGGTGCCGTCATAGTAGTATCCATGGAGCACTCGGACCTTGAGATATTTATCATATGAGATAATAGCCACCTATGAGTTATTGATAAGTTATCAGAGTTAGTCTTCTTCGTCAGGGGAGTACTCACAGGGAAGACACGATGAATGCAGCTGTTTTCAAGCTCTGTGGCTTTCTTTTTCCATGCGCTCATCGCCTTCAATATTTCGTTGACCAGCGCAAGCAACTCGGTAACAGATGGGCAATCGTCATCTGATTCATCTGTCATGATGACTGCCCACCGGTGGCCTTGATATGGGCTGGTGGCCTGACCCCTCCGAACCTGTCGAAATGCGTGGTGCCCTTCTTGGGCCTTTTGGTTGGGCTGGCGCCAGGAATCATAATAACTGTTCACATCCTCATGTCAGATTGCATCTATAATTGGATTGATAGTCCTCATTTACTTACTTGGTAACCACCCAATACTTAGGGGCCAACGTCTCGGCACCCCTCCAGTCAATAGAATGATTGTACCATTGTTCCTCATCGCTCTCATCCTCACTCTCCTCCTTACTAATATGGCCATCGCTCTCCTCTCCACTATCCCACTCACTGCTCTCTTTATCATCATGATTATGATCATTATTGTTATCATGATTGTTGTTCCCTGCTTCATTGCCAGAGTCTTCTCCACTTTTGTACGCGCTATCAGTCTCACTCATCTCGTCACCGTTATCTTCTGTTTCCAGATATTGTATATTCCTATCCTTGAGGCGCTTTTGGTACTGAAGAAAGCTATCGAGAAGCTGGTATTGGGTACTCCCATACACCATGTCATCCAGTCTTTCAAACGAGTGTTGGCGATATCTGACGAATATATCGCGTTTGAAATCGCCGCATAGTTGGTCAATATCTTCGGCGTCAGGGCTCGGTAAGAAGTAGGGAGGACCAGACGACGACGAAGAGAGTCCAGAGTCGACATCGATGGAATGAAGCGCAATTCCAAACTCCTGGAGCACCGGCTCAGGGATAGAGGAGCCCCTAACATGCCTCAAGGATTCATGGATCTTCTTGAGCTGGGCGTAGTTTTGATCGAACTCGAGTAGAGCTGTCTCGGGGATTGTAGTGTCCATCTGGGGTGGAAGGCTAGTTATTTGTGGATGAAAGGGGGAATTCTTACAGAGAAATAGAAGAGATTGCAAGGAACCAGGACAACTTGTAAAGAGGTAGAGACAAGTTACAGAGTATTGGAAACGAAGTTGTAAAAGGCAGGTCATAGACTTGGGACTAAGCCTATTCAGGATCAAGTGGTGCCTGAAACACCGTTGGTTATCCTGTAGCCTGAGGCATATAATTGTGGCCTGAGGATCGTAATCAACCCAAAAGGGAATCCGCAAAACACTCACCTCGCACTTTTCTCTTCTTCCCCCCTTTTGCTTCTCTCGCCATCTTCCCTTCTGCGCCCGCTCAGCTACGCGTCTCGCTTTGACTTATTGCCTCCCTTCTCAGTCCTTTCTAGACTCCTAAGAGGTTACGATTGCTTCCAGAGCCGTCCGTTTCCTACATCGGACCTTTATAAGGTTACAACCTTTTCCAAAGACGTCTTATCCTTGACGTCCACTGACGAGCCCAACGGGAGCCCAAGGGGACATCCTGGGTCAATTTTGGTCAAGTTAACGCAATCCAGTGCCTTCTTTCATCGCTTAACGCCTTCCAGAGCGGTGGCGGTGAACAGATTGTCCCGGCGGACGTCATGATCATCAGTCCTTACAAGGTGAACCGGAACCTCGTGGCCGAAACTTTCCACGCCAACGGAATTGACTACTCGGAGAACCTCACTATAGACGCCTCACAAGGGCAAGAGTCGCTGATTGTTATCATCCCCCTGACCAAGCCATCCAACAATGCGGAGGATATTGGCTTTGTCGCCGACAAACAGCAAATCAATGTCACTCTAAACCGTGCGCAGAAGGTGTGTGTCATCATTGGAGACCTTTCTGCATGGAATAATGTGGTCTGTAGCTTGATGAAAAGGGGGAAGCACTTGGGCTCCTTACTCCTTGACGCCAGGGAAAAGGGCCAGGTGTTGGAGGTACTCCCTAATGAAAGCCGCGCTATGGGTACCACTGGGGTGTTGACCAAGTACCTCTCTCTCCTCTGTAGAAAAGGAGGAAGATGACACAATGGACATGGATGGGGCAGCCGCTCATCCTGGGTGCTCTCGCCAAGTCTCACCGCATTGCTCTAGATCACCAGAGCCCGGTCCCTCTGCTGACCGCGCCCGCTCACCCTATCCATTATACAGCTATAGGACTGGAATGGAAGACTCAGAGATGGAGCTGCATGAGGCGGAGTTGCTGATGCTTAAACGGCGCTGCAACTTGTCTGAGAACCGGTTGTCGGCTCAGCAGTTGATAGCAAAACAATAGGAGGATTTGGACGAGGCACGTGTGCAGGAGGCTGGCTGAGTGCAAGTATAGTTTCTTGTTAGAACAGCACCGCCGTCGCCGACGAGACTCCCAGGCACCTTTACCAGTTTCATGTATTATTTGTTAAGTTGCCATTCCATTCTCTCATGGTCTTTACTCTTTATATGATTATGCAGGTTTATTTTCTTTCAACTGTCTCAGGATGCTATCTATAGTTCTCCCTGAATCATCATAAGACTTACTGAATCTAATCAATCTTTTTAATCTAAGTTTCTGATCCCGTTGAATGCTAGTTACCTGTCTCAGTACTTCTATTATACATTCAGTGAATAGTATTATCCTCTGACTCAGAAATGTCGAGCAGACAGGGAAGATAAGATGCAGGAAGGTGTCTGCATTCTCGGCGAGCTTGTCATGGCGGATTGTTTTGTCGACAAGATAAAGTCCTTGCTTTACTCAGCTGAGTGCAACATTCAGCCGGTTTCCAGGGCGCTTTGTGATGGTGAAGTCGAAAATCACAACTCTCCTCTCCCCCCCCTTGGAACCCATCGATTCCCTTGACAACAGCCTCACTCATCCCGTAGGTGGCGTCATTTTCATGGTGCCGTGCAATTGCCAGAATGTACTCGCGGAACTGTGCCTCATATGGGGTGAAGATAACAAGCTCTGCGGGGGTGACAATGTGCTCCTGAAGCATTTGCACCCCCCATGGATGAGGTTTGCCCAGGAGGTACCGTGTCGGAGCACCTCACTATCCTTGATGTTGATGAATACGTTGCTCACAACACTAGAGATGTCAGGGTGCACTAAAACAATTATTATCATTCATCAGCAACAGCGGAGATGAAAGCTTACTGATTTTTCATCCGTTTCTGCCTCGCAGACCTCCAGTTGAACTTTTTGCACGTTGGCAAACTCGCCTTGGGGTTGGGATCTGTACCATGTACGATACATTTGTAGTGTCGATTGCGTTTCAGGAGGTCGCTCACATCCATCCGGTGCCATAGAATCCAGGTTGTTAGAAAGTGAGGGTGTGGGATACTGGAGATTGTCGTTGAGGAAGGTAGATCCATGATATGAACCTCAAACGCTGTCTTCCCAGCGAGCGATGCCTTTTCGCCCGGCTCTTAATCACTCCCCTGTCTTCGTTATCCTTGTTTGCGATCACCGTCTCGGTCTCCAGATGGACTCTGTGGACAACCGATTGTCCATTTCTGAGGTCTTGCGCTTCTTCTGGGGAGAGGATAATGATTAAATATTGAGACCATGGTTTATATATGAATTAATATAGCTCAGTGGAATAATTTGAAAGAAATGGATGAGATTGACTTCTGGGGAGAACGAAGGAGAGGAAGAAGAGAAACAGAAGAGAAATTACGTGCCTTATAAAGGGTAGACGCATTAGGCAGCACTTTCCACTGATTATAAAGAGAAGATGATGTCAATTGATTTATATAGGTTACTCTTATATTAGACGCTATATGGTGTGCCTAACACCTAGATAGAGTGTCAGTTGTGTAGTATTCACCATAGCTATTTAATACACTATAATATAAAACGGTTACTAATACTATATAGTAGCCATGAAGTGAAGGAATCAACATCCTATATATATAATTCATAGTTGGATGTCTATCTTCATGTCTAAATATTATCTTTAAAGTATTTTAGTAGGCTCATACATTAAATTCCCTCACATTTAATACCCAGACCCATCCACAGCAGCATTGAGAGATCATCTACCCCTTTACACCATCTAGAGAGTTCAGCATCCAGGGCAGTGATATCATCATGTATAGGGGACTGTTGAAGTAAGACCAGTATCCTCAAGGTTAACCCCTGTTTACCCTTTCTCTGTTCGATGTGTTCATGATATCGCTTCTCCCATTCTGTGTTGGAAACAGGCTCCCATAATTCACGAGGACAAGGGAGCGGCATGTCGAAGAACTCGGGGCAGTCGCCGGTGGAGGGTGTCTGGGTGTCTGTTATGAAGAGGAGGTCGAACAGATAGAGAAGACAGCCGATCCTAGGAGATCAGTCGTGGTGACAACAAGTAGCATATTCTTGTGTGCACACCTCCGTAGGCTTTCAATAAAGACCCATTGGCTGCGCGAGAGGGAAAGGCTGTCGACGTCTAATCCCCATGTGCGCAAATCAAATAATGTCTCAGCAAATGTCTACTCGTCAGCAACACCATGAATAGTCAAATGGAAAAGCATACTTCAATCGTGTCAACCATCCACGTCGAATCATCAGGTACGGACTCGGCGCACTGCGCGCATAACATGCCGTATACTATCACTGCCTGCAGAGCCTGCAACATTTGTTCCTTATTATAGTAGTCATACTAATGGTTAGCATCAGTTCTATATCAAATCTGATACTCTCACCTCATCTCGCAGTTGTGCTAGATGCGCACGGATCTGGTTCCATATGGAAGCATGACTGCCCGGTATACGCTGATAAAACAGATACACAAGATTGGAGCACACGGCCAATGCTTCCGGCAGACACTGGTGGGGTGTGTCTGAGGGACATTGATAGGCACCGAGGGAGCACGGGGGATAGATGAAGGGCGGGAGGGTTTTGTGGTCGACCATCATGCGGGCGTAGTCAGTCAGCCTGCTGAAGAGCATGTTTGCCGTTAAGGAGCCTTGCTGGAGGGATCTCTCGCGCTGCAAAAGGAGAGTCTTGGTAGTGGTTAGAGTGAGTTGGCTGTCCGATGTTGAACTCAAACTCATCAAATCGTGAAAACCTGGAGACAGCAGGTCCTGAAAGGAGAAGGGCATATCGGGGACGAGATGGCAGCTGAGATGGAAGGGAGAGGGCTGATTCTGGAGAGAGACATCTGGTATCATTGCCAAATCGCTCCTCACAGGCTGTGCAGCCCTATCCAGGCCATCTGCCGGCCTGATCGGCCGGAAGCCAGTGTGTCGAGACCTCGGACGCGGCTGGGAATAGCAGCATTCAAGTCGGCGATCGACGCACCGCTTGCACGGCACAGCAAGCGAGCAGCGGGCTTTGGCCTGGCGACAGCCCACACACGCCTTGGCTTGTCTCATGGATCTTCTGCGGACGGACTGTCCCTGTTCATTCGAGTGTCGTCGGGATGAAGTCAGACACCAACTGGTCAGGCTTAGTCAGCATATTACGTGTCTCAATCTATACCTATTATAGTTAGTAGCATGGCATGGATGGCCGCACATAGCAGCCAATCAGAGCCCTCTTTCTCCGGACATGCCACCAATCACATCAAGTAATACTATATATAAACATGGAAGATTAGGTATCCTGTCAACGGTGTTAGTCGCACTTTTATCACTCTTCCACATCAACAACATGCCCAAAACGTGTCTGATCACTGGCTGCTCCGACGGGGGCATTGGCTGTGCCCTCGCCTTCGCCTTCCAAGAGAGGGGATACCATGTCATCGCGACCGCCCGGTCGCCGGCAAAGGTGCCGCAGACCCTCCACGCCGCCGACAACGTCACTGTTCTCGCACTGGATGTCGCTAGTTCAGCGTCCATTGTGGCCGTGGCAGAAACAGTGAATGCGCAGACGGGGGGCAAGCTCGATGTGCTGATTAACAACGCCGGTCTGGGATGCGACATGCCGGCCTTGGATACTTCCATCGCCAAAGCCAGGGAGCTCTTCGACGTCAACTTCTTCGGCGCCCTCGAGATGATCCAGGTGTTCAGTCCGATACTGGTCAACGCAGGGGGGTGTGTTGTCAACAATTCATCTGTTGGCGGCCAATTTCCCATCCCGTTCATTGGTAGGAGAAGGATTTTCATCAAGTATCCATCTCCTCGATAACCCGTTCTAAATCACTTTAGGCATCTACCAAGCAACCAAGGCGGCTCTCATCCAGGCCGGCGAGGTCTTGCGTCTTGAAATGGCTCCTCTTGGAGTACGTGTCATGACACTTCTCACTGGAGGGGTCGACACGAACTTTCTTGGGAATCTGCCCCCTGTTGTTCTACCGGAGAACTCATACTACACTGGCATCAAGGATATCATAGAGCATCAGCCTGACCGGGTTCCCTTTGCTATTACACCAGCGAAATACGCAAAGGATGTTGTCTGTCAGGTTGAAAATGGAACCACAGGCAAGTATTGGATCGGGGGGGCTGCCAGTATGGCTCGCTTCTCATTGTGGGCTCTACCCCAATGGATTCTTGTAAGCTCTATATTTCCTCTGTGACTTTTCTCTTTCTAACTCAATAGGACCGCTTGTCTCTAAGCCACAAGCCATTCGCCGATAAGCTGGCTGAGCAGTATAAGCAGGTAGAATAATCTTCTACTATGCATAAGCATATCCGTGTACTCTTTATAACATAATTGGTTGAAGTTTTATTTATATTTGACTGCATCTTTGCCCATGTATCAGACCTGGCGGTCACAGATAACGCCTTCGTATCAGGGCATACCACAGAGCAATGGCCAGCATGGTGAGAGGCACAGATATCGCCCAGAAGATCCAGATATTCCGTGCGACGGTGACCTCGGCGGACACAGTGCTGCTGATACTAAAAGACTGGCTGCCGAAGATTGTCTAAATGTTGTGTGGATTAGAAAAGGAAAAACAACAACCCTCTGCATCGACTAGACTTACCGCGATGGTTGAGATGGGCAAGAACATCAAGGTGACAAAGGCGATGGTTGTCATTGAATTGCTATCTTATTGCATAATCACCGTTCCTCCCTGGGTAATCAGATGGTAGGACTACAGGGCATAGAAAGTCATTCTTAGTCAAATGGCAGGAAACCAAGGAACGAACCCCAACTCGTTGACACACCGTTTCAATTCAGCTAAAAACGTCCGCCATGTCCCATGTTGTATCTGCCATCTGATGAGACAGCTCCTTGAGGACTACCACCAGGAGACTGTGCGGGTCCTGCACCTCGCTGGCGCACAAGACAGAAACAGGGAGCCGTAGAAGACTCCGACGCAGAGACTCGGGCGCCTGGAGACAGAGCATCGTCACCTGCGACGACGCCTGGGTGTCCTTCTCAGGCACACTCCATCGCAGAAAGAAAGCCGACTGGAACCACGTTCCATCCCATTGGGGCAGATTTAACCCGTCCGGCCGCGGGTCGGCTATCCATACCTCCTCGTCTCTTTGATGGATTGTGATCTTCTTGCACAGGTAGTGAAACCAGGAGCCTGTGCATTCCAGATCAGATTGGGGTAGAGGAATGACAGGCTTCTACGCACATTGGGAAGCCAGAATCCAGATCAGCAGCGCCAAAGGAGTGCGTCACGGACTGGATGTGTTCGTCGAGGAAGGCAGAGGGTACTGAAAAATACCGGAGAAGCCTGACGAGGGGACAGAGACTGTTTCTGCTGTGAGAAGGCAAGAAGAATGTCAATAAGGCTGAGACATACATGACGCGTACTTGTGTTGCAGCGAGAGATGCCACGTCTTGAGCTTTGACCGTCTGTATGGACACGAGAGGAGAGTCTAGACTATTTCTTAGCACGCCAGATTGACAACAGACAAGACAGGCAGACCAATATTCCAGTCCAGAATCTCCAGCTGAAGATCGTCTGGCCGAGAAGATCGGTAGGAGGGCAGAAAGGCTTCAAAGACAGAAGAGTTCTCGTATATGGCGCTCATGGGAATCAATCTCGTTTCCTGTCGACTAACTCGAAGACTTTTCCTCATTTTCCCTCTTGTTGTTCGAAGAAGAGTAGAAAGAGGGGGCATTTATAAGTAGTAGTAGAACTCTTTGGTAAAATATATGCTGGTGTGCCTAGAGAAGAAAGAAGTGACAGTAGGAGTAAGTCAGAAGAGTGAATGTAGTTATTAGTAACTGCTAGGCAGCAACCAATTTGTTTTTCTCCTTTCATCTAGATCAATAACCAACCAGAGAAAGGCAAAAGAACATGCAGTACGCAATACTCCTCAAAAAAAGTATTCTTCAAGCCGTGTATAACCGTGGATTGGCCCATGTTTCATTGGAAAAGTTATCTAGTGTCATCACTGGCCATCCTATGAGCTCAATCTCCAGATTCGTCTGCCACAACTGACGGATATTACGATGGATGTACCTGTCCTTCTTGTACCCGAGAATCTTCCAAAGTCTCTCCCAAACCAAAGGCAAGAAAGGGTCATAGATAAGGCTGTGATCCACGCACCTGTTCGGGTGAAAGGGATTAGTCTCTGATGAATAAGACAGTGCTTGAAGTCGTGGGAATATCCTGCGCCATTCTATTGCGATAGACTCGGCTTCGCTGTGGTGCCCCTCCAGTTTTTCAAAGGCAATCTTGTTGAAGAACATTGCTTCCAGATGCTGAAAGGGAGCAAATTTCGCCATATGCTCATGGCAGAGGTATAATACAGCGCTAGGGAGCGCAAGCATGATGAGTCGCGGACAGAACTGGCCAAGGAGTCGAAACGAGTCGGTGGACAGTCCGATGGCGAAGTCGAGATGCAGAATTTCCAGGCGAGGAAGACACAGAGCCAAGCATAATAACACATACACTGGCATCTCGAATTCCACAAGCTCGCAAAAGACAAACCGAATATCGAGTCGTTGCAACAGCGGGCAGCCTCCCGCAAGAATGAGGAGATCATCCACATCGTCCAGCTCATGGAAGACAAGCTCGATCGAGCGCAAATGTTTGCATTGCGCAATATTCTCAAACAATGGTTTAAAGGTGTCTCCATCGAGAAACAGGGGGGCAATGTGTCGTATGTCGAGAATTTCCAGCCCCTCAAAGAAGGGCAATTTCTCCTGCCAGAATTCATCCAATTCGAGGAGCGACAACGCCTTCAATTTGGGCCACGGGTTTGCCTTCTGTGGGATGAGAGAAATGCCGCTGACAGGCAGAAGCAACGCCAGTGCCGTGAGGTCCTGGTGTTGGCGAAGAACTGACAGGAGCTTCTTACTGAGCTCGGTCGGGTCAAAGGGGTCGTCGTACGGTGACTGTCGACTCTGAAACAGAAACAACTCCAGGTTACAGAATTGGAGAAGCCGACATAGAGCGTTGACGTCTCCGTTCAAGTCCGATTTATAGATATTGAGTGCTTTGAGGTGGTGGTATTTGTCCTGCTGGAGTCAGAATGATGAGCTCTTGAAATACTGAGATGGAGTGGACGAGGTGAGAGTTACAGCAGAGTTGATTGATTCTGTTTGAACCAATTGCTGACAGTAGGGATAATGGATGGCCAGGAATGAGATGGTCGGGCAGAGGAGATCAGAGATGGGTGGGAAATCTTGATGCTTGATTTCATGGGGAATGACCAGACTGGCCAGTCTCTTCCGACGGCAGATTACGCGACACTCCTCAAACACAGCTTGCCAGTTGCTCCCAGTCGGAATCTCCTCTGGTGTCTCATAGTATTCGCAGGAAAGGAGAAGATGGCGAATGTTGCTTGTATTGGTAGCAAAGCGCGTCCGTGATGCTGCAAGAAGTCTATCCAGAGACTCAATGAGTGGCGTGCGAAGCTGCCTCTCGACCAGGGAGCCTCTATACAGCTTCTTCAAAGCTGGCAGACTCCACATGCTGTTTACACAGGCACAGCTCAGAAGATCAGAGGCTACTTGAACATGCTCAATAACCATGTAAACAATTTCTGGGGTCAGAAGAGCGTTTGAGGTATTGACACTAGGAATAGTAGCCATGATGAAGAAACCAGCAATAGTAAAAGTAACAAAGATGAAAGATAGCGAGCTGCATATGTGGAAGAGAAGCCGGGAGGGAGCACTTTTCTGATGGCACCCCCTTGCATACCAGGGAAACAACCAAAATAATTAAAGATGATAGGGAAGTTTAGATAAATGGCTATAATGGCCTCAAAGTAGCCAGGCCTAATGATTCAATAGAGTCATTTATTGGTAGAGATTTAGAACACTACAATAAGTGAATCACTTTATAGTATATTATTATCTATAGAGGATTCACTTGTAGCTGACTGCAGCCTAGACTACTTATACTGTCTTCTTTTTCTTCCCTTTTTTCACTTTCTTCTTACTCCTATCTCATATCTTCTTCGTCTTCTCATCACACTCAGTCTCTCTCTACTCATTGTCTTGATAATTTTAAACACTTGGCCTGTCTATTCTCTTAATCTTATAATATAGCTTCCTCCTCAGCTATTCCTGCAGCGTGTATTGATCCTTCCCGATCTATCACTCGTTACAGCAGAAGATGCGGAAAGCCTGCCAACAATCATCAGTACTGACAGAATTTCCCTGTAACCAGCTGGTAATTACCAGGGTTCTACAACTAGAACCGGAAAAAGGAGGGCTCTTCTTTCGATTCTCATGAAAGAAGAACTGAACGACTCGCAGCAAGGTATGCCATGCTCATATAGATATACCATAGTGAGGGTCCAACTAAACTCGAATTCAATATCGTCATAGACCCACGTACAACTCATTCTGAAAGTATTGAGATCAATTCAGTGGTCAGCATCAGATATGTCTCTTATTAAAAGCAAGAGAGGCATTGCAGGAGTCAAGTCGCCTGGATGACACTCAAAGTGTGGTTTCGCCTGTCTGCCAGCGCCCATCAAGTCAGCTGACTGCAGCCTAGACTTCTTTCACGGTCTCGTCACTCCTTCCTCCCTCTTGTCTCTTTCTCCTTCAGCCTTTCTCATGCCTGGGATACGCTCAGTCTCTTCCCTACTGATTGTCTTGATAATTTTTAATGCCTAAACTGTCTATCGCCCCCCTCAATCCTGCGAAACGGCTTTATCCCGGCGACTCGGGTCAGTTTTCGTACCCTGCTGTCCCGGCAGCGTGTATCGATCCCCATGAGCAGACTCTCTTCGGACGCCGGGCGGGGGAGCTCCAACCCATAGACGAAGTGCCGAGTAAGCAGTGCTATGCTGTCCTAAAAGATACAGAACCCCTACTGACTAATTATTTCATATCTTTGTAGGAACCGATTCCCAAGAGTGGGGGGGCCAAATTGCTGCAGCGGCGCGCGCTCTTCTAGAACCAGAAGTGACTCCAGCAAACGAACAGTTGATTCGGACTCACCATCCCTCCCTCGGCCCTATCGAAGGCGTCTGTGTCGTGCGAGAGTCAAGCGAAAAGTCGATATGGCTCGTGGCTCCAGATACCTTTGTCATTCCGACCACTCATGCAGCAGGGAGGGAGATACATGTTTTCCCCAACGGTATCCTGGAGCAGATGGCCCTGAGCCCCCTCATACCCCTCCAATGGGATCCCATCAACGTCGTGCTGAATCCCCGCCGATTCCTCTCCCGTAATGACCTACACATGCTTCGAGTCATGTTTCCATCTGCAGTGGGAGCCAGAGTCTTCATTGGCGGGTTCATCGTCATACTATTTAGATCACAAGCTGACATCAAGAAATCATGGACTCGGGATGGGCTGGCATCGGAGTTTGGAACTTTGAGGCTGTTGTATGACGTGATTGAAGACTGGGCCTCAAGGGAGGAGGTTTGTGGAGCTTCAGCCATCGCCTCGACTCCAAATTCCCTCGACACCCATGCTTCCCTAGGTCTGAAAGTCCGTTTTGCAAACGGGCAGGAAGCCATCACAGTTCCAACCCACGCGTTCGTTAAGTTGGGACACCTAAACTCCCGTCCTCTACTACGGATGGCCGACTGGTACGCGAGAGCAAAGTTGGCTCTCTCGAGACTCGCACCTCTCAAAAGACGCTCTAGCGAGCCGGATATCGGGACCCTGCGGTACGAAGAGGCAGGAAATTCGCCTTTGGGGAAATCGGTTTATCTTGCTGGAGAATCTAAAAAGGTATGCCTTTACATCTATCAACAGCCTCACTGCTTGCTCAAGTATTGCTTGCTAACTCTCAAACAGATAGGGGTTATCACGTCGACTTATGATCCAGTCTCATCGGACCTCATGCGTTTTCCCTCCGGATTCTTGCACGACCTATCTCTCGTCACCGCGGAAGAAGGAGGAAGCCTCCCAACAATAATCAGCCCCGACGGCACCCCCAGAGTAAATGGCTGGGGCGATTACCAGAGAGTGCTCGACGGCGACCCTCTTTTCGTCTTGGCGTTCAATCTAGCGACTGGTACCCAGGTCCGGAGGACTGGCTGGGGTATCTTGCCAAACGCAAGGAAGGCTATTGCAGAGGGAACCGAGTACATCTGGGATAAACAGTTATGCAGCCAAAATATCTCTCTACTGTGGAGAACGGAAATGGTCGGAGATCACCTGCAGGGATTTTCCAGCTCAGCGCTCTGCTTGGGAAGCCCTTCAGATAAGACTTGCGAGGCTGTGTGTTTCCAGAACTTCGAGTTCAATCTTTCCTCTCGAGATCTCCTCGCGGTAGACTACCGCGGCGCATCGCCACGAAGACACCCTCTACCAGTGATCAAGGGAGGTTTCATTCTACCAGCAGAAGTTCGGGAAGCTGAAATCCTTTGCGAAGACAAAGAAGTATCAGCCGCGCCTGGAACGTTTCCTGGTCAGGAACGAGTATCGACTGAGCTCAGACGGTCGTTCTTCTCGCATCGGTAACTCATACGATTTGGTTCCTGTGTTCTTTCTCTTCCCAGTGTTGCTTGCAAGTCTGCCACTAGCTAGGAAATAAGAATCCTTTTTACTTGAGAAACTGATGGGAGGAAAATAGTCGCGAGGTGTAAGTTTGATGAAAATAGAAAACCTCCATGTTTCTAAAGACATTCCATGATAAGAGCCCTGCAGTTTGAAAAAGACATATAGGATGATACATTGAAGGTTCTCATCTTCCCAAGGCCTCATCCGTTCCACTTTTTTCATACCTGACGGTCAAAAGAACCTAGGCGAGCAGAAAGAAAGGATGGCATCCCGATCAGCGTCTTTAGCCCATGCCTCGTTGATATCCAGTCCAAATATCTCGCAATCGCCAGGCAAATAGCGCCGCAAGTCTGCCATCGGCACGACAAGCAGTTTGCCAGAGCAGGTGGGGATAAAGAAGTCGGAGACTCCCAGCAGAGAAGCCATGTTTTCAAAGAGAAAGGATTGCCGGACGATCCGCGGCGCCATATGCGTCACGCAGACCTTGGAAGTTATCATGCTCAGACTGGGACACGAGCGACAGTTTGTGGCCAAAAGCGTCGAGTATGGCCCACAGGAGGGCGCGTTATCTGCCGCCGTGAAGAAACCGAGCCGTTCCTCCGCGGCATACTGGATCAGCAGGAGATGGGAGCATCCCACGCAGTATATGACCAGGTGGCTAACCTCGGGTTTGAGAAGGGGGGAATAGGAGTAAAAGCAGTGTTCTCGCAGGGTATCTCGCAGTTCCTCAAACGTAGTAGAGATGTCTTCGTCGTGGATGTTGGTAGGAGTAGGAGTGGAAGCGGCAGTCGTCGTGATCTTGTCGTCCAGGGGAGTCAAGATGATCTCGCTGGATGATTCCTCACTGCCAGGCACTGCGGCCTCTGGTTCATCGCCGGTGTCGGTGCTTGGGACAGGGTAATTCTTCCACCATTCATCGCAGGGGACCAGCGAGGAAGACGTTGGAGGAATATACTTGCGTGCCTGTCCAGCACTCTTTTTCTTTTTTTTGCCCATTTCTATGGTCTCATAGAAGAAAAGATTGATGGAGATGATTGAAAGAGGTCCTGGCAGGTTATAAAGACGGTTATGATGTATAAATTATTCCTTGATGACCTGTTCAATTCTAAGGATGACATCATGTGTATATAGTATTATATATTTTCATATTTAATTCAATCTTGAAACTAGAGATATCATAGAATCCTAATGTCAAATAGGCCTTCTCTGACAGCTGAAATGATTCCTTCCCACTATAAACCATAGCTTATAGATACCAATTCACCAGCTAAATAAAGTCCACTGCTATAAGTGTCTCTCCTGTATAGGAAGTAACTAAAGACGAGGTCCATAAAGAGACTAGCTCTGCTTATAGCTAAACCTTATTTATGCACATAAACTGTCTGGATAATGATCAACCCTTCCATATCCAGTTAGACCAAGTAATTATCCACTTGTTGAGCAACATCCTCACTCACCATTCCGCCGAGACTGAGTCTCAACACTTCCTCATTCCTATCTTGAACTGAATATGACTCATTGAACTTCATATAGCCAAACTAAGTATATAAGCAGGCATCCAGCATCCAGCATACTATATAATATATCATATACAACTCAGAGCTCTTCATCATGTCTATTTCCGGGAGCTGCCTCTGCGGCACAATCACCTACCGTCTTACAGGGGATCCTCTCTTCCGCTCTCTCTGTCACTGCATCAACTGTCAGAAATCGACTGGATCCAGTTTTCTGGCGCATAGCGTGTACAAGGAAGAGGTGAGGCCAGCCCTACAAACAGTACAGCAGCAGAAATATTGATCTGGTATGGAATAGTCTGTGGAAATCCTCACCGGTGAGGATAATCTTCAATCGTACGACGACAAAGCCACGGATACAGGCAACTATCTCCGTCGTCGATTCTGTCGTACCTGTGGCTCCCTGGTCTTCGGGGTCCCAGAGGCCCATCCGGGCGTCGTCGTTGTCGCCCTGGGCACAATGGATGATCTCCAGCCGGGCGAGTGGGTGCCTGTTAGAGAGACGTTCTGTAGACGCCGGATGGACTGGTTGCCTGCTCTTGAAGGGACAATTACCCTGCAGGGGATGAAATGAACGAACAGTGTCATTAATTAGCTGAGAGAGACAGAGACATAGAGACAGACATAGAGACAGACATAGACAGACATAGAAATATAGCAGTACATCCAAGACAGACAGACTAGAGGGTGAAGTCAAGGTAGAAGAAAGAAAATAACCCAAATTACAACTCCTCCTCTTCCTTGACGGCCGTGTCCACCACCTCCCAGTCCTTGATCGTCAAGTCCAACAGGTCAGCATTGCTCTCGGCCTTGCCAGAGCCAAACTCCTTGAGATTCCACTTCTCCACCCCCTCCACGCCGGCAAGTTCCTTGTTGAACTCCCGGAAGACGTCCTTGTTGAGTCGCTCGTACTCGCCGTACTCCTTGGGCCAGTCGCCCAGCCGCTCCACGGCCAGCTTGAGCAGATACAGGTGTCGTCGCACATATTCGCCGTCCGTCAGCACCACCACACCACTGGCCACTGCGGCGCCATTCGCGGGGATACCTCCCATCTCAACCGAGTAGATGGACTCGTCCATGCCGTGCATCGAATCTCCGCCACCCTCGAGCTCCGCGTACATCGGATCGCTAAACACCCGCAGGATGTTCTCGTGTACCGCCGCCGCCTTGCGGAAGTACCGGTGCGCCATCTCTTGTCCACCCTTCTGCGCCAGGTACCGCTGTGCTGCGCTGCTGTACAGCTGCGACAGCAGCACCGACATGTCGAGCGTGTTCGGATGCCGCGCCCCATGCACCCGTCGGCAGTTGTACACAATGTCCTCCGCCAGCCGCAGCGCCGCCGTCATCTCACCCACCAAGTACCGGACCAGGATGAATCGGCGGCCCAGAGCAAGCGTGGCGGTAGATTGCCAGGTACGCTGCGCCTCGCGGCTGTTCCACAGCAACGTGAGCAGCCAGGCCAGCGTCTTGTAGTCCTGCTGCTCGCCTAGGAGACCGATTAGGCTGTTGAGATGGGAAAAGTCGACCTGCGCCAGGTTGATCTTCAGGCCCTTAATCACCCGTAGCGCGTCTTGCATGATCACTGCCGACACCGCTAGCATCTTCTTGTGCGACGCTTCGTCCGCCCGCACCGACGCGTCCCGACCAGAGACACTCATTCCCAGCTGGAAGACAAGTTTGACGATCCCGGCCGTCTGGTAGCCCTCCTGCGTCGAGATGTACCGGAACGAGGCGTAAGCGAGGTCGCATGCGGCTTCATATTTGCGCGCCGCAATCAGCTGGCGTACGTGGTCGCGGCTCGCAATGCCGATCGAGCGCACAAAGTTCGACGACGCATGGACGCTGAAGTAGTCGAGGATGGTCTGGATAAAGATCCGCACTCGCGGCGTCTCGATCAGCTTGATTTGTTTGCCCACAGTGGCGAGGAAGTAGCTGGTAAACTCTTCAAACACGCGCGTCGCCGTGGCCTGGCGGTTCCGGCCGAGAAGGAATCCATGCAGCCGCGCGGCTGAGACCGATACGGTATGCAGGCTGCTGCTCGTGGACTTGGTTTGACTGCGGAATTCCTCAAAGTAGACGTACTCCGTCGTCAGCGCGGAGAAGATCTCGTTCAGCGTGACGGAAGAGTTCTCGCGGAGGCTGTACTCGAGCTGAGCCAGGAACACGAGACTCTGGCGCTCCTTGGAGGTGAGATCGAACTGCACTGACTTTACGTTCGCAGTGTCCTTCATGATGATCTGGCGGTACATTTCCTGAGACAGCTCCGTCGCCCGGTGCACCTGGCCAGATGCAATATAGCTGGCAGCAATCGTGGAGGCGGCCGCGATGAGTCTGGTCGACGACAATTCGGTCGATAGAATCTGCACGGTCGCTTCCTTCAGCTCTTTGACCACAGTCTCACTCTCGTTGCGCTTTGAGTAAAAGGAAACCATCTCCTGCATTTTGGACAGGGACTCCTCGTGTGCCCATCCGTGGGTCTGGCGAATAGATGAGATACGGCGTTTGAGGACCGAAACCGCGCGCTCAATCTGGGTCGAGGAAACAGATTCCGACCGCGTCGAGGTGACAATCGCGGCCTGTTCTTCGTAGATGCTGTCCAGAGTCTCGGTGATCTCCTGGTAGTCAATCTCCTCGGACTTGAGCGAAAGTAGCTCTTCGTACAGATGGATCGCTTCAATCTCATAGCGTTTCGACTCCTGACAAAGCTTCGCTAGGGTCAGGGTGGCCTGTATGGTGATCGAGGCAGTGGCACTGAAAGTCGCCTTGATCTTCGCGTGGTAATCAACCGTGACGGTGTGAATGATGGTCAAATCCGTCTGCACTGTGCGCAGACAACGTACATAGCGAGTGAAGAAAGTCTGCACAAACTCCTGGACCTCGAACTTCGCACTGATTTTGTGTTGTTTGAGGAACGTGTTGTAGATTATCTTGTAGTAATTCACGGCGTCCGTATACTTCCCTTGGTTCCAAAGTTCCGTGGCAACGATGACAAGAGCCTCAAACGCTTCTGGTAGGCAGACTTCCGAGTCCTTGTTCACAGCACTCACAATCTGACGGTAATAGTCAACAAAGATGGGTCGTGGCCTGGTGAGCTCAGCCAGCTTCCAGAGATTCTGAATAACGACGGTGTGATGGGGTCCGTAGTGCTTGATGTTGTCCGCCAAAATCTCCTGGCGAAGGCTGATGATCTTGTCGGGCTGAGTTGTACGCTCAAACAGGCGGAGCAGTTCTGCAGTGACATGGCCCAGAAGCTTGTCGTCAACCTTGCGGTCAGAACGAACAGCGCGGTAGATCCTCTCGCGGATGTCTTCTTCCTTCGTCAGGCGCCGACGTGAGTGATAGCACTGGCTGAGGCGTTCAGCCATCTCAACGCAGTGATCTACAAACTTGGCGGGGATCGTGACGTCTGCAAGAGACGGTGCAAACAGGGAGGGCCAGATGCCATGCAGAACCCTCTTGATCATCCGAGTCGCGTCATGCCAGCGGTGCTGGGAGACGTACGTCTGGAAGAGAGTAGAAACTGCGGTGATAGAGCTTTGGTCAATCGTCGTGATGGTGGTCGATGCCTCATAGACCATCTCCTCCAGGGTTGTCTCAGAGGTAACGGTCGTCGTCGAGTTTGACATTGATTGCATGACCTCTTTGGAGGTGGACTGGATGCTCTGCTGGATCTCCTTGTAGCTCGACGTCTGGGTGCGGCTGGTGCTCTCAAAGTGGTGCGCGCATCGCTTGTACACGGTAAGGGCCAAGGCAGAGAGACCGACGGTCTTCATGACTTTGGCAATCTCGGTGAGATGAGAGATCGAGGTCTCAGAGGTGGCAATGCTGGTTTGCTCATACTCTTGCCAGACGGTGGTAAGAAGCGACGAGGCTTCGTATTCCCGCTTCTGCGATTTCAGAAACTTGGAGTACGCGAGGACGGTCTTCACCTTTCTATCCTCCCATTCGGCAGAGTAGTTCATACGACACTCTGAGCTTGCTCGCTGCCAAATCTCGACAAAGGTGCGTTCAGCAAGAGCGAACTGTTTCTCGGCGATGTACTTCTCCGCTAACTGGAAGAGAGAGACGAAGTCGTACTTTTCGGTCTCAACCCATTCATCCTCCTCGACGATGTCCAGACCCAGTCCGGTGCCAACCTCGATTTCGGTCTTGGTCACAGGGCTTTTCAGACGCACATCCAAGCTGCTGCTGATTTCGCGCACCTCTTGGGAGTCAGCACCGTACTGCAGAACCGTAGCAGACCGAATTGAGATGTATATCTGCTTAGCCTTTTGTTCTTCCTTTATCAGCGTGTAGTGCTCGGCAAGTTGTGTCAGGGTTGAAATGACGATTTCAGAGGTCGATCCGTAGTGAACCTTGTAGCACTCAACGAGAAGCAACAGAGTTTCCTCTCTCTTAATCATGATTTCAGTCTTCGTCTCAGTTATTTGATCAGTCGTGACTTCCAAGAAGAAGCTCGCCATCTGCATGGCAATGATGTGGTTGGGCGCAAGCACGGTCCGGCTGACGGTGATGGCCTCGTAGAAGAACTGAGCCGCGTCGGGAAAACGTTCGATCTGGCGATACAAGAGGGCCAGATTGATGATTGACTGGAGAGTGACAATGTGGTTTGGAGTCAGTATGTGGCGATACAGACGGTGCAAGGTAAAGTGCCAAGACAACATGACAGGAATGGACTTGTGCTCCCAGACGGTCTTCTCGAGAAGGACAAAGGTTGTGTTGGATGGGAAAATCTTGCCGAATTCCTTCGCTGCGCCCGCCTCTCCGTCGGCACTGAAAACGGAGGTTCGTCTCAGGTGCGCCACCCAGTAGCGGAGGGAAAAGTCCAGCAGAGGATGCTTGGCCAAGAGGTTGTTGGTATCATAGCGATCCAGAGCCGTGAGTGAAGGCTCGTGATCCTCAGTCACGATAAGCCGCACGTAAACCAGCAGTCTCCGAAGTAGGTCCGCGTGTCTGTCTTTAATACTCGGCACCAGCTTGCCCTTGGAGAAGACTTCCAAGATAGCGGATCGGATCTGGTCGTGTCGAATGTAGACACGGCCATCCTCGAGATAGACCAGCGAGCTGGCAGGCTTCAAGAGACGGAGAATGTCAACGTTCTTCTCCACGACGGTGAACTTGTCAACATGGATCGAGAGCAAGGTGGCAAGTTCCTTGAGTGTGAGGGGACGGTAGGCAGTGGCAAGCCAAATCAGCATTAATTTAGCATCTTCCACAAGGTCGGCATCTTGCAGCGTGCGAGCCACAAAGTCCGTGATGGTAAACTTGCTGGAGGATGGAAGACTAGCCACGGCCTTCTGAAGAGCCTCAGGGGATGGTTCCTGGCGGACCTGCTTTACTGCAAGCTTGGCCCAGAGGAAAGAGCCACTGGAGGCTTGGGTGATGTCGTCGATCAGGATCTCCTGCTCTGTTTCGGACATGGAGTTGAATGCTCGGTTCTGCTCGAAGCTGTTCCGCACAACTGCAGCGATGTCATCGAAGATCAGGTCGGCGCCAATTGGAATGCTCGCATGGTCTGGGGCTGACTTCAGCGCCTGGGAACCGAGCGTGATGAGCTTCAGATTGCTTGCTTTTGAAGTCGCAACCTGTAATTTCTGGATCAAGGCAGCTTCGTCGCCGGACACCTCATCCAGCCCATCAACCACGATAACCAAAGGCTTAGCACCCCGAAGGGGAGCCCCCAGAGAGGCTTCTAAGGCATCCCAAAGAAATTTGTCGTACTCCTCATCAGTGATTGCCTTCCTGCTGGATTCGTAGGCATTGATAAGGATCTGGAACAGTTGGACGTTCCCGATACGCTTCTCGAACAGCTGGCGCAACACAGCCTTGACAACAGAGCGGGGATTGGTCTCGGCGGGGATTCGGCTATCTGAGTCGAGGACGCAGGGCTTAGTTTACTGAATGGCGTGTCTGTCAGAATGGATATCAGGAGGACTCACTAATTGGCACAAACAAGGTTTGGTAAGAAACACCACCGATAGGGTGCTGGAGGTGATCAACGATCACCGATGCCAGCACAGTCTTTCCTGAACCGGGTTTCCCAAAGAATGAAAGACCCTTAAGCTGCTTGCTGTTCAGGAAGCGAGTCAAGTACGGACCCAGCCAAAGGCAGGTCAGTTCCTCCCGGTCTTGCGCGAGGTGCGAGATGGTCTCCGCAACATTGGCCAACAGACGATCCTCTGGAACCAGCCAGTTCTGGATGGTCTTGACCTCGGAGACTGTACACAAGCAAAAAGAGGAGGCCGCGTTATTAGCAATAAGGTCTCTGGCGAATACTTCGATGTAGGGTGGAAATAACTAAGACCATCTTACCGCGATTTCCATCCAGCCCGTCTTTCAGAAGTTGATGCTTCCACATTGCCTCCGCGATCTTGTCACAGCGGCCCCGAAAGTTCTCGATTTGCCCGGCAAAAGTTCCATAGATATTAATTGAGATAGACTCTCTAGATAATCCACGAAGAGCTTTGTGGAAATAGGTTGAGACTCGAGCAACCAGGGTCACCAGGTCCGACAACGCCAGGACCAGCTGTTCGCGGATATCTTGGGAAACAGTGAACAGCTCTGTTCGCTCCAGCAGGTTTACGAGAACCATAGAGGTGCTGTAAAAGAAACCGAATGAGATCTTGAGCGCAGAGGCGTTCTCCTCTCCAAGCTGTCAAGAAAGACCAGATTAAATTGACGGTACAGAAAGTTATCTGGTAGACAAACAGAGACATTACCTCGAGGAGAATCGCGCAGTATCCATAAGCGAGCTGAGCAGCCAGGTAGCTATCGCCGACAAAATGCTCGATCGCCAGGTCAAAAGAACGGAGTCTCTCGACAAACAGCTGGGCCCATGCCAGCACCTTATCGTAGCTACTCCCCTCGGGGGGCAGCTTGCTCATTCTCTGGTGACGGATCCAATTCAAGAGAGAGGTATCTGTGTTATTCAGGAGCTTGGATGAGGTCGTTACACCTAGCTCGTCACCGCTCTGGCGCTTGAGAGAATACACCATAGTGGAGATAGCAGATGATTCTCCGCCGGCAAGGGTCTTTCGGGAGACCCGGCGGGATGCGATCGAGCGAGCAGGCCCATTCGAGACACTATCGATGTCCAAGATACCACCAGAGATGCGCCTCCATTGAGGAAACCCCCCGGGAGAAAGAGGGGATGCCAGATGAGCACCATTTTCGACTAACAAAGAGGGGGCCATTATGTTTTCAGTAGGGGTAGATGGGCTGGTGGTGATCGAGTCAGTGATATTATCTTTGGTCTGGTCCGGTAGAATGGAAGGTTCCACGGGAGGTATAGAAGGGAGGTTGGAAGGAGATTTGGAGGAAGGTGAAGAGAGACGTGGGAGAGGAGCAGGCTGCTTCGTATTATGCTCTTGGGGGATGAATCGTGGTAGAGCAGGTGGAGGAGAAGCAGGGCTCGTCGGGGGATCTCGTTTGCTGTCACTCTTGCAGTACGCGAAACAACAGGTACAACAATGAAAAGCGGATAGTCAATGCATTGCAATGATAGACGGTACACGGATTTATATCCTGGCCTCAAGAACCGCGAGTACCGTGCCCGTTCAGGAGTCAGAACACGCCTTCTAATGCCTCGGACCCCTTATAAGCCCGGACTGGAGAAAGACGGTGGGGGACATAACATCTGATCCGTCCGGTCCTACGGAGTATATCTTCTTCTTTGACGGATGCTCCCCTGTCATGACGAAGACCCAGTGAGCAGGCCAATTGAGAGAACTCATCTGTGGCTTGATGGAGCCCTCTTGCGAACGTATGATCCACAGCGACTGCAACCCATGTCACACCTCAGCTGTGAGGTTCAGAGCCAGCAATTGCGGATCTCTACAGAGTACGGAGTAGCATGATGGTCACGGACCGCATCCACATCCAGAGGAGCTGGTTTACAGCTTAAGAGCTACCCCAAGAGCCAAACAGAAGTAGCCACGGTTCCGTGGCTGCATAAACTTTCTGGGGGTTCCAATCCAGATCGTGCCGAAATAAACCTCCAGACGGGATGGCAATCGATTCCTCTTGCCAGAGTGACAAGGTCCTGGTCTGATTGAGGCTGGCTGTGTTGTGTCGATCAGTCTCGACCGCTGTGTGGTCGACGCATATTTGTCATTCCTCTTGCCAATGGCAGGATTCAGGGCCTTGAAAGAGCGATAGACCAGGCAGTGGAATACTGTGACACCCTAGTAGGTAGAACGCAAGTACGAGGTAGCCGCGTAGCTGCATGAAGCAATCATACCCCGAGCAGGTTAGTGTACAGGCTTTCTACCGGAGTTCCCGAGTCACTTGTCGCGAGAGGATAGAATTATCATTATTCGACAGCGAACAATCCCTGGATGGGGAACGACAGGCAGAAGATACTCCGTATACGAGCTGAATGCAGGAGGAGAGCATGCAGAGTCCAGAGCAAGATTTGGCGAGAAACTCGCCCAATTGGATAACATTGTGTAGATCCGTCGCTCCCCACAAAAGTATGCTTGACATTTGGCACCGGCACCAAGAATGACTCTAAAAGTTAGTGAAAGTGGGTTTGATCGCGAGTTCTCTCATGCAAGGTGATTGTCTATCAAGTGCGGATCGATACTCTATTACTCTATGAGTATTCTGTACCCTGCTCCCGAGGAACCGTCCCATGTTCTATAGCCCTTTCGTTGTGGTGTCGATCAAATCTCTTCAAAAGGCACGAACCAATGCAGGGAGATCATTCTGCCTGTCTTTTATGCACTATCAGTTCTCGAGGTTGGTGAAAAGAAAGCCATTGGCTCTTTCCTCATCTCTCACAAAAATAGGCCATTCTGGGCGCATGGCGATGCCGTTTGACAGCGAACGAAACCCCCTGAAAAAGAAGCAAAAGGACTCTGTTCTCATAGAAAAGATTCGGGTGGCTGGAGCTGAGTTCGTCAGGGATACCGCCGCGATCCGGGACGACGGGCCTATGAGAAGGGAGATCGCTGTGGGCGAAGCGCCGAACCCCCGGACAAAGCTTAAAAGTGGTTGGAAATGGTTTATCTTGGGAGGGAAACGAGGTGGCTTGTTGTAGACGTGCAGTTCACTGCCGCCAGACGTGGGTCGGCTTGCATTCGTTAATTTGTTGATGGCAGTGGCAGAGGCAGAGTAATCTCCGTAAGTCCGTGATTACATGACGATGTCTAGGTTTATGGACAAGATCCAGGGATCCATCTCGACAGCCTCCAGGCTCCTGGATTTTGATGATTTATTGTTTATTCCGGACTCCACATGACCTTCAGTTGCAGATATCCACGAAAGCTGTCGAATGATTCAGACTCATGAAGTTTTGAGGGCTGTACTCCGTAGATAACTAGTAGCCTTTTGTATCAGAATTGAGAGAGATACCATTGTAAGAGAAGCAGAAATAGTACTCTTACCAGACTTATAGAAGCAGCATAAGTATAAACCACGTGCTTTTATGTCGCAGTAATAGTATCCGCTGATCCAGTGTTATGCCGATGTCGTATGCAGAGTGGAGCAGGTGCGTGCTTTTACTGTACACAGAGCCACGCTCGATTGCAAATAGCATCTTCTGAAGATTCGGCTATCAGTGCGGAGCACACTGCTGCTGTGTAATAAATAACACAGATCGAGATGACCGAAGATCATGGGACCAAACCTACCAGTTTTCCCCCAGGATAGCCATTTCATTAGCCCTCCAGACTATCAGAAAAGGGCTTCTAAAGTCGACATTCGATGACAGCTACCGCTGTCTGCCACTCGATTTGCCTGAAGGCTGGCTTCGATGTTGCAGTCGTTGTCGCTGATGATAGGGAGTAAGGAGTGTAGTTGAGGTTGTTGAGGTTGTTGAGGTTGTTGCGATGGATGGCTCCTTCCCAAAAGAAACACCGGAGTCACGTGTCGATGGCCTACCTTTTCTGGGATCGCGCCGCTTCTACTGAGCCTGAGACGAACCTCAAGACTGCAATCAGCTCTCCGTCTACTCTTCCAAACCCGTGTTCAAGCGCCCAACTGCAATGGTTCCTGACCAAGACCCTTGTCTCAGTTGCTGCAGAAGAGGGTAGGCATAGTGGTGAGTCCTCGAGACTCTGTCATGTGTTAAACAGAGTGCAAACACATGTTCATGGCGTCCTGCTCTTGGCGGTCTAGTTGGAAGGCCTGGGGACAATTCATCTGAATGACTGCATGGCATATGCCCAGGAATGATACTAATAGGAATTGTCCGCCTGATCTTCCCTTCTCAATGAACATGGCTAACATTGATTGTGGTCTAGTAGTTATCGTCTCTTATGTCCGATGAGAACCTCTGGCTATCCCTCCGGTCTTTGCCCTCGTTCTTGTGGAATCACAGCCCAGTAGCTATATATATACATAGCAGTTCCAGGAGGAGAGAAATAGTTTGAACGAGCTCGCTGTGACTGAGATTTCACACCCGAGATCGAAGATGCTATGCATCTAAGCGAACAAATCTCTCTCGCCAGAAATCACCGGCTATTTATACAATATATCGAGGCACCATGCTCGTACCAGGGTAAAAATCATGCTTCATACCTACTTGCCCTTCGGGAAAAGTCCCTGCGTCATCGAAAGCGGAATACTGGCACATTATACACAGCAAGCAGTCGTTCAAAAAATTCGGATACATCAAGTCCTCTATTGAAGTAGCTGGGGGGGATATTCAGTGACATCAGTGGTCTCAGCTTGTCAGATAGTCCGTGACTAATAAACAAGCGTGGCCGTCAGCAACAATAAAAAATATACCAATTGGTTGCTTCGCCTCCTTTGTGGAGTAAAATAATTGATCTACGAATTACTAACCCCAATTTACAGAGTCCAACTTTCCCAACAGCCATGAAGGATCCAAAGGAATGCCTATTTGAACAGCCCAGATGTGAGATGAATGATTAAAGGCAGGAGCTGTCTTTTTCAAACCTGAGATACTTCCACTAGGTAACTAACGAGAAATTGGGGAGTTACCAAAGGTTCCTTTCATGCTCGACCAAATTAGCAGCAGCCCGATCGGTCTCGGCCTGTTGGGCGTGGGTGCCTTGGCTGCCTTGTACCTGCTGCATATCCTCCTGGACGTTCCCCTGCCCAAAGGAGTCGATCGAATCCGAGAGCCGCCAGGGAAGACGAGCTTCAGCTGGAAGACACGGCTTGCCTACGTGACTGACTGTCAACAGCTCTTCCACGAGGCGTATCATGAGGTAAGACCATGTTCTTCGACTCAGGCGCGAAAATTGCACCGCTAACAGTATTCCAGTACTCGAAAAAAGGCAAAGCGGTCATCATCCCCGGGGTGGGAGCCCGCTCAGAGCTCATTCTACCCGTCAGCTCGATGCGCTGGGCGTTGAGACAGCCTGAACATGTGCTGAACGTGGGCGAAGCGTTTGCCGAAGTTGACCAGATTAAACACAGTCTTGGCCACACCAGGTTCGTCATTGATTCGTGGCCCGGTCTGCTGATTCGGACGGAACTGAATTCGGCCTTGGAAAACATCGTCGCGGCGATGAACGATGAGCTAAAAGTCGCGTTTGATGCCCATTTTGGTACTGACGACAAGGAATGGAAAGAGGTTCCCCTATTGGAGACAATCCGGGTTATTGTTGCACAGGCAGCAAGTCGCTTTACGGTGGGCTTGCCCTTATGTAGGTCTCTTTTTTTTGAATCCTTTCAGTTTGACAGTTTTCATTAATTCTTTCAGGTCGTAATCCAAAATATCTCAAAGACGCCATAGCCGCCAACGAAAGTCTCGTTCTGACGGCCGGTCTTGTCGGCGCCGCCCCTCCCATCCTACGACCTGTCATCGGTCCATTGGTTGGCCTGAAAACCGAGCTTATACAAAGAAGAATCAAGAAAATTTTCGAGTCAACCTACCGTGCGCGTCTGGAGACGCTGAAATATGCCAAGGACGATCCGGAGCACAAGGAGCCTGGAGACCACCTACAGATGATGGTTCGCTTCGCCCAGCGAGAACGGCCTCAGTATCTCTACGATCTTGACATCATGGCTCGGTACTTGACCACGACGAACTTTGGTGCGATGCACCAGACAGGCATCCAGGTGACCAACATGCTGCTGAACATCTTGGGCTCGGACGCGGAATACAACACCATTGCCGTTCTACGCGACGAGGCGACGCGCATCATGGGCTCCGAAGACGGCAACGGCCGCTGGACAAAAGCTAAGCTCTCCAAGATGGTCCAGGCCGACAGCGTCGCGCGCGAGACCCTCCGCTGCCACTCGTTCGGCGGACGCGCCGTCTTCCGCAAGGTCATGGTCGACGGGCTCGAGACCGACACCGGCCTCAAATTACCCCAGGGCTGTCTCTTCTCCTTCCTAAGCCAGCCCGCACACACTGACGAAGCCACCTACGAGGACCCAGATCAATACGATCCCTTCCGCTTCTCTCGTCTGCGCGAGAAGGCTTCCAACGGCGGGGACCCAAGCGAAATAGGTACTCTGAGCTTTGTGACCACCAGCCCGGACCATCTCCCCTTTGGTCACGGTAAGCACGCCTGCCCCGGTCGGTTCCTGATTGACTTCGAGTTGAAGATGATCATCTCTTACGTGCTCAGCAACTATGATGTCAAATTTCCAGAGGAATATAATCACCAGCGGCCACCGAATAAGTGGTTGACTGAAGCCATTCTTCCGCCGGACGGAGTCAAGGTGTTGGTCAGGAGACGGCATCCCTAGTTTTGACTCATCCATATACAATACATCATATACCAGTATAGTCCTGCAATGTCTCATCAGACGAAGTAGAGTGGTTCATGTCTTGTCTCATTCTTAAGATTAAGTAGTCTCTGCGAATGAAGGAATGGGATCTTCACCATACATGCCCTGTCCATACCATCCGGAAGTGAGAGCCATCGTCAACTCCAAAAAAAACCCCCCAGGCCAATAAGTAGTAATAACCAAATTACTCCTGTCCTTGCATCGCAAATAAAAAAAAAACCGTCATGGTTCCTTCATCATGCTACCCGGCCAATCCAAACGCCAAACCCAAATGAAAAAAAACGAGGTATAAGTAGAGAAGGATAAGAGGAAGGAGAGAATATGAATAAATAAAGTCAAAAGACTAGACCTCCTCGATGACGACGACCTGCTCGACAAGCGAGTCAACCAAGGCCTGGCCTTCGGCTATCCACCGGCCGTCCAGCCACGCATCTATCAGCCAGTACTGCACTGTCTTCCAGGAGTCGGACCACTGCAGGTCCCACGACCACGAGGCAAGCTGTTGATGGTGATGATGGGGATGGTTGTGCGGGTTCGGCCCGGGACCCTCGGCGACAGGGCGCACGTTGGCAGTGTACTGGTTGAAATCTGAATTGACGTTGCGCAGGACGCCGCCGACACCTACGCCGTGGCCTGCGACTCCCTGGCGGAGGCGCCATTCTCGCTCGGCTTTTTCTCCCGCGCGGCGCGCCACGGCTTCTTCGTCCTCGGCCTCGTAGAGATCGCACTTGTTGCATTCCGTGCATCGCGAGCCCGGGTTGATCCGGAAATGCTCGCAGAAGTGCTTGTACCCTTCTGCTTCTTCCGCGGCCTCTTCCTCTTCTTCATCGTCACGTTGTTCGTCTTCTTCCTCGTCTACCATCCCTCCGTCTAGATTGAGATTCTCTCGCCCTTCCAGATGGCGGCGGAGATGTATGCGACGGCCACCGACGCCTTTCAGAGGTGGCCCTAGAGCTTTGCGACAGAGGTAGCACATGGAATACCCGCAGACACATGTCAGCTTATTGCAACCAGAGGACTTGACAAAGGACAGCCCACACCGTGGACATGTCCGCTTGACGGCGGCAGTGCGAGCTGCCTCGACGGTGGCGCGCAGATCCAGTAGAAGGGGTTCGTGGCAGATGTGAGGGTCACGCCAGGGCTTGTTGCATGTGATGCAGCTGCTGCGTCGGCAGGTTGGATTGGCGCAGGTGAAGCGTTTGGGGCGCACCTTGAGGCAGAGGCTGATGAGAGAGTTTCTAAAAACCGCCGCGACCGCAGCAGGATCGATAAGCAGGAGTATCAGAACTGGAATGCAAAGGAGCGGGATCAGATCCAGCAGCACGATGGTGATGACAATGCTTGAGATGATGCCGCCTCGACGAAACCGCCACACTATCCCTCGAGTTGACGGATGGTAAGCAGAGTCTGCTTCGGCATAGGAGCAGAAAGGACACCGAACAAGCTTGAGCTGCGATTTGAGGAGTGCCTCGGAGGCAAGCCGATCTTCAAACTTCCGGTACGTTTCGAATCCCGACGTCTGTACGAGAATGGCCTGCTTGACAACCTGCGGGTGAAGACTCCCATCGCACATGCCGTGAGGCAGTGGTGCCAGACACTTGAGGGTCGCCTTCTGCGCGTCAATCGATTTCCCCCACCCTTGTCCGAAGAGCGCTTCGTGAGTTGTCCGCTGTATGCAGTTGTAACAGATGATGTGCGAATTCGTCGAGCAGGTTGAGGCTTGTTCAAAGGTTATATCCCCCAGACAGCATTCACACTCGTACAATGCATCGGCTGCTTTCGCCTCGGTTTCGTTCAGCGCCTCCGCCAGCTGAAAGTCTCGTCCCTCCTGCGCTTCTTTCTGCTGGGCCAACAGAGGAGCAAGGATTGTATCGTAGAGTTCCTTATCCAGTTCCGCACTGCCCGTCTCTTTCAGCTTTGGTAGAAGCTCGCCATCGTCCTGTCGCTGCCAAACCAACATCAAGTGGGCATCTTTATCCTTCTTCCGTCGGAAGGAAGGGAAAATACTGTTAAACGTCGCTCGCCACGTTTTTCGTGAGAGGTCTCGCAGGATCGGTCGAGCCCGGGTGTAGGAGAAGTTGACCTCCGCCAACACTGCATCAATCGTGCTCTTGCTGAGGCTGCTGAACTCCTTCGCCAGGACGATTCTCACCGAGACCTTGTAGTCGTCGCTTCGGAATAGCTCGTCTAGTGGAACCGCAGCACCGTCTCCTAGACTTCCATCAATTAAACCTCCGCGATTCATCACCTCTGGCACGTTCCATCTTCCTGCCACCCATTCCTTCTTATGACGCAGCAGCTGTTCCACACAGACATGTAACCTGCTCTGGCCATCGAACCGGACCAGCAACTCGCGGAATACTTCGATTTTGACGTCTGGAAAGACATATGCCAGCACATTCAACGCATGGTTCAGCTCTTCTTGCTCCCGTCGTTGTTCTTCCGTCTGGCTCAACGCCGTCTGCTCCGCACGTGAACGCGAGGTGCTGCCGAAGGGGTTGTTTCGTAGGGCTTCGCTCAGTGTTGTTGACTGACTGCCGTTTGCCGCCGATGACGCTAACGTATTCAAGGACGGCCACGAGGGTTTGCCGGCGGATGAACCGGTTGATTCCTGGCGATGGCGCGGGGGTTGCTGCTGCTGGGGGGGATCGCGAGGGCGCAGCGGCGGGGTTGACGATGTAGTAGTGGATCGGGTGAAGCTAGGCAGCGAGAGCACCATCGTGGCAGTGGTCAGACGCGTGCTACATGATCGAAGGGCACGCGATGCTTGAATAGAAAGACCATGGATGGGAGGATCACCCGGCGTCGTACTCACCCTGGGTAGAAAGGAGTTGCTGCGGAGTGCTTTGGCTTTGCTGGCCACGGAGGAAACAAACCTGAGGCCAACAAACACCTTACTTAAGCGACAGTCACCGCCAAGACTTGCGTTGTCTTGCTATAACCATCAACCTTGAGCAAGTAAACGCTCTCTAAACAGTTACTTTGGCTCTATTTTCTAAATATAGAGCCTGAGAGTTGCGTCTCGTTTATCTACACATGGTATGGAACGGCTGTCGTCAGCCAGCACCCCCACCTCAAAGGCCTGGACCAGACCATCCGGTAGAGCCCGGCTTCCATGGCAGCGATGTTCTCCTGCAACTACTTCACAGTGGAGGCTGCTATAATGGTAGGATCTCTAGTGTATCCTGGAGCTGCGAGGTGTATATGATCCACCGGGAAGCAGCTGCGTGGGGGTCAATACCGGAGCTTGGAGAGGGCGTGTAAGGGCTTTTCGTTGTACTCTGTACAGCGCACCATAAATCGCCCCAGCCCTGGTCTAGAAATGAGAAAATAAAAATGACAGGTCAGAATTCCTGGCGCTGATATCGATTCCAAAAGGAATGTGTCTCCAGGACAATCCTCCCTGTTAAACCGTGAACTGTAAACCCCGAAAACCCCGAAATCACGCCGAGGGAAGAAACCACCGGCTGCAGGACTAAAACAGTAGGTCGGAAAGAAGGGCTTTGTACTCTGTACTGTTCAGTCGGTGAAGATACATTGTCTTGACCGTCAGGGCGTCATTAGCATTCCTTCTAGTACCCCGTACCGAAAAAAACTCACCGCTGGAATATCTTGAGAATGTTCAGTTTTGCCAGGGGAATCATCGATGTTATCTCACATTTGGAACCGGCATTGACAGACATCACTTTCGTGTTGATGACAAAGGAATCCATCGAACCGCTCAGGCCCAGGTACGGAGTACTCCGTACTCCGTACATGGCCCCGGTGTCTTATCCGATAGCAGATGAGTCCGATGCATGAGCGGCCTTTAGATATCCAATAAAGATATGGTTCAGCAGCCGCATGAGCGGTTTTCATGCTCGCAGGCCATGCGGATTGGAGCAAGTTGGAGGACAGAGGTGAGCCGGTCTGAGCTGCCGGGATGAGCACATAGAGCGGGTGGCCTTGCTAAAGATCACTGCCCCCAGTGGTCTTAGTAAGTTAGGTCTTCCTCCCGTCGTCATTATATTGAATGGGTCCTTCCGTTTGAAGGTGTCTTACCTCGGGACTGAAGACGAAACCCGTGATGATGATAGCACCTCCGGGCTCAGTGGACACATCAGTCACCGGTAGCTGTTGTGAGATCGCTACCGGTATAGCAGTCACTAGATTCGGGAAAAGAAATCCGCGCTGATCTTCGCGTTGCGTCTGTCTGGTGTCCGTATATGCAGCCGAGAGGTTCAGACGGTGCACCGACGCCAGCACGGAGACTTCTAATCACATCGAGCCTTCGCTCTCCTAGACTCCTACTTGTAAGATATGCCCGTCGGCAATCATTGTTCCGGGGCTTACTCCGTACTCCGTACAACGTAAGAAGAAATCCCTGCCTTACCCTAGTCAAGTCAACGTCAACAAAGAACCGTTCAAACACACGTCAGCGTAGAGGTACCTCTAACAAACGGTTTCTGATACGCCAGGCATCAGGATCCAGACTTTCCCGGCTCCATTCATCCGAGTGTATCTCTAAACATAGTTCCATGATTTGCTTCCATGACGAAAGATGGGAATGAATATCTTTCTAACTCCGTAGTCCGAACGCTGACAGGCAGCCGTTTTTATTGTTGGCCGAGTTGAGTTCCGTCTGTCTAGTCTAAAAGTAGACTAGCGTACTCACTTTGCTGCTTTACCAAATCGGGGCAAGCGTCTCACCAACGGAGGTCGGAAACGGAATAATTAATTGCTCCGTACTCCGTACCAGCATAAAGTGCACAAATTGATAATGCCGAGTTTATGAAGTTTTGTAGATACTTTCATATGATCAAATGCCTAGAGAGCTCTGTGGTAGAGACGAGTAGAGGAAAATCAGTCTTAACCTAATTACTTGATAGTTTTCACTGATTTTAATATAATACAACTGTATACTATTAATTCTATAGACACAGTGGTTGCTGATGGTGATGTCATCCCTCCTACCTCCAACGTTTAAGCCGTCTTGTACCACCTCATCTTCTAGACTTCAAGACTTCTGCCTCTCTCCACACGACGCTTGTTCATCCTCCAGGATTCTCACCGGATCGGCGTCGATCAGCTCCGTCCAGTCCGTTGCCTCGGATGAAAAATAGGAAACAATGATAGGCTACAGCCTTTGAAGATGACGCGTATAGCCCAGTCTCTCTGCTATGACCGACCAGCCGATCCCTTACAGAAGCGGGGATTTCTGTAGAAAAACCGCGGGAGTATCACTAATCCGTCCGTTACAACGTCTGGGTGACAAGAGATAAAAGGCATTGCTTCTCGCTGTTGTTGATTCTCTCGCCATTACAAATACCACTACTACCATTGAAAGTTGCCAGCCACTCACTGGGTCTCCCTCAAGATGCTGCCTTTTTCCGGCCTGCTTCCCTTGGCAGCCATTGCGGTTCTCGTCCGCCTGGTGCTGTCGGCCTTTTCTTCCTGGCAGCATGCGCGAAAGGCCCGTCAAATGGGCTGTCGGCCGGCTCCAATACACCCCGGCGATCCATTCGGCATCTCCGGTTTAGTGTCGACTGTCCGATACGATCGAGAGAAGCTGCTGCCGGAAATGGTGGAGGATCGAGTGGCAACCATGGCCGAAATTCATGACCGAGTTGTATCGACGTATCGAGTCCGGCTGAGCTTCCAGGACCATCTGTTCACCGTGGATCCAAAAAATATCCAAGCGGTGTTGGCGACTCAGTTCAAGGAGTTTGGGTTGGGGAGCTTGCGCATAAAGATTTTCGGCCCTCTCTTAGGGCATGGTATTGTAAATCAAATCCAGCACCCAAGTGATTTTGATCGGTTTTTGAAGTGTATTATATCAGGCTAATCTGCAAAAGTTCACCTCAGATGGCGAAGAATGGTCCCATGCAAGGGCATTGCTTCGACCGCAATTCACCCGGAGCCAAGTCAGCGACCTGGACCTCGAGGAGCGCCATGTCAGAAATGCAATGCAGGCACTCCCCGTGGGATACGATGGGTGGACCTCGGACACCAACATCCAGGCTATCTTCTTCCGGCTCACCATTGACTCTGCGACGGAATTCCTGTTCGGAAAGAGCTGCGAGAGTCAGCTCGCTGCTCTTCATAGCAACACCGGCTTAGGCACCAACGATTTTGCCTACTGCTTCGATCGATCCCAGCAGTTCATAGCAGAAAAAGTCCGATATGAGAAGATGTACTGGCTCTTCAACCGCGAAGAGGACCGCAGGTGTCAGAAGGTGGTCCACAACTTTATCGACCATTATGTGGAGTCAGCGCTGAGAAGCGCTCGAGGAAAGGCGAATAATGAAAAGGCCTCCTCCAATGATGAAAAGCAATCGACCCCCTACGTGTTCCTAGAAGCCCTAGCCGCCTCCACGCAAGATCCTCTCGAACTGCGTGCGCACCTAGTCCATATCCTTCTCGCGGGGCGAGACACGACCGCATCCCTGCTCAGCTGGGCGGTGCTCCTCCTCGCCCGCCACCCGGAGATCCAGCAAAAGCTCCGCCAGGTCATCCTCGACGAATTCGGCACCTACACCCAGCCGCAGAAGCTCACGTTCGCGGCGCTCAAATCATGCCAATACCTACAGTATTGTCTGAACGAGACCCTCCGACTCTACCCCGTTGTGCCCTTCAATCGCCGCGAAGCCCTCCGCGATACCACCCTCCCGCGCGGCGGTGGACCGGATGGTCTCTCGCCCGTCTTCGTCCGCAAGGGCCAGAACGTCCTCTACAACCCGCACGTCATGCACCGCCGCAAGGATATCTGGGGCGAGGACGCTGCAGAGTTCCGTCCGGAGCGCTGGAACGCTCGCAAGGTCGGCTGGGAGTATATCCCTTTCAACGGGGGGCCGCGCATCTGTATCGGACAACAGTTCGCCCTTACCGAGGCCGGATACGTCCTTGTCCGTCTGTTGCAGCGGTTCGATTCCATCGAAGACGTGGCTCCGCAGCGCAGAATCCGCTACAACCTCACGCTGACCAGCTGTCCGGCTGACCCGGTGACGGTGCGGATGCATGAAGCTGTCAATTAGGTAGATCTTCTTTAGGTTCTTTTCTTGTGTTTATGATTACTTCTTATGATTAGTATTATAATAGTACGTCTTTATTTCTTCTACTCGACAGTTTTGATCCAAGATGAGCCATGTATTTGAGAATGTAAGAAGTAAAAAATATAGGTACACCGAAAGAGTGAAAAAGAGGGGGAAAAAGAAGTATCAAAGTCAAGAAGTGAAGAATCACCTTTTAATCAGCAAGAAGTCCAGTCTGGACGCTAGACGAAAGCAAAGACAGTATACTACCTTGCTGACAGGCCAGCTGTCTAGATGCACTGGTAGTAATACGCGTTCTGCTCGGTGCAGGTGTACGGGCTCTCGCAGGCCGTGGCACCGGTCCATCCGATCCCACCGCACTGGTAGTAGTGGCCAACCGTTTCCTCGCTGCTGCTGCTGCTGTCGTCGTCGTCGTCGTCGTCGTCGCCGCAGTCATCGTCATCGTCGCCGGAGTCACTACCGGTCGCCGAGGCGGCCGAGGCAGAGGCAGAGGTCGTCGCGGCGGCGGCCGGGACGGTGGCGAAGGTGGTCGGCACCGAGACAGCGATGGCGCTGGCAGAAGTCTGTTGGGTGGAAGTGCTGGAGGAGGTCACCTGCGGGGCGACAGCTTCAGTGCTAGAGGTAGCGGAGGGGACGGACGCCTCAGAGGTGGCAGAGGCGGCGGAGACATCAGAGGGAGCAGCAGCAGCAGTGGTGGCAGCGACATCAGCGGCAGAGGTGGCAGCAACTTCAGCGGCAGTAGTGCTGGTGGTAGAAACAGCGGCGGCGGCGGCGGCAGCAGATGTGGTGGCGGCCGTGGTGGAGCTGTCAGGGAAGTACTTCTCCAGGATGGGCATGTAGACCGGGTAGGCGACACCATCATCAGGCTCGAGACCGTAGATGTAAGAAGAACCCCACCAGGGGCCAGCGGCCCACCATTCGGCGCCCATCCAGACATCGCTATTCTCGTACATGTAGGCGAGCATGCCCTCGACGGCCTCCTCGCAGACATCGTTGACACCGCCGGCGAACTCGCCGATGAAGCCCAGCTTGTCGTTCGCCTTGAGCCAGGCAGTAGCCGACTCAATACGGTTCTGGCCGATGGTCGAGTTGACGCAGGTCGATGAGGTCCCGGAGCCGTCCGAGTCGAGGTACTGGTGCATCTCGTAAATCAGCTTGCCCTCCGTATCGTTCAGGCTCTTCATGTCGTCGTTGATCTCGGTCCAGGTCCAGGCACCCGTGTATGAGTTGCCCTCGGCGAAGATGTACTGCGTCGTCGCACCGGTAGCACGGATCGCGTCGATGGCGGCCTGGTTCAGATCGACCACCAAGCTCTCCTCCATCCCGTAGTACTCGTTGTCTGAATTACCGGGTTAGCAAGCCCATGCGTCCAGTTCTGGAATGGTGATCGCCTCACTGGTGTCAAAGATGACCAGGTCGTTGTCAACGAACTCGTTGGCAACGGTGGTCCACCAAGCGGCAAAATCGGTGGTAGACTCGATGATATCTCCGTAGCTGTTATATCACTGTTAGTTCTCTGCAGACATCTAGCCATGCAATCTACTCCAGTGTCTCACTCACTATCTTCCGTAGTTGTGGGGGTCCAGGACGGCGTAGGCACCACTCTCAGTAACAGCCTCGACGGTCTACCCAAGCCTGTTAGCTCCGAGTCCTCTTCTCACATCTTGCAGATTGACAGTGCATACGGTTTTCAGAGATGCAAGGTAGGTAGCGTCAATGGTACCGGTCATCTCGGTGGGAACGAGACGCTCCATGAGGAAAGGAATACGGAAGATGTTCATGCCCTTATCCCTCAGGATGCCGATGGCAGTCGTGTTGGGCCAAATGTAGTCAGTGCCCTCGGTTCCGGGGATGTTGGTACCCCATTCAGCACCGGATTCATTAGCACCGACCCCTAGATCATCCGTATCAGCATGGCAACTAGAATAGCAAGAAGGGTGGATGAATATATACAGGTAAACCCGGAGCTGCGCTTCTTTGCTTGAGCTCTCACCGCAGCGTGCGCCAGGCCTGCAGCACTGGCTGCAATGATCAAGTTAGTAAACCTCATTTTGGAAGTGGAAAAGAATGTGGATGAAAATGAATGACAAAAAAAAGAATGAATGACAAGGGTTGAGAAAAGGTGAATGGAATAGAACAAGAACCAGTCTTGTGCAACGCGTTGGATGGGAAAGAGAGAGGATCAAGAGAAGCTGAAACCCACCAAGGGCAATGATTCTTATATACTCTGTGCCAAAGTACCGGGGGTAACTTGTATGAAACCCTTCATCTCATGCTCATTTCCTTCGCAAGACCCTCCTCCCCACATGGGTGCATTGCATCGGGGATCGGCCCTGACGCAGTAGCACCCTAGCCTCAGGCTATAGTCCCCTGTCTCCCAAACAAGCATTGTTATTTTCCAATGACAGCGCTCTGCTGGGGTCCGTTTCCTCGACTTCGAGAATCCGGAAAGCCACTCCGACACGGAGCATCGTCCGTGAGAGAAGCATTGTCGTTTCGCGTAGTCTCATGATGGACCCCTCCTCCAGAGTCGACACAGCACGATCGACTCCTGAGTCCCTTGTTCTTGGCTTACAAGCAAGCCAAATGAGAGAGTCTGGGATGAATTCCGTGGTCTCGCCGGGGCAATTAGATTAAATCCAGGGTCCATAGTCGGTACTAGCTGCCACTGGGAGCTGCCGCTGGTAGCCACCACCACCGACCTGGAGCCACGGGGGCAAAAGACAGTGTGGTATTGAACTCTCAAGATGGTACACCAGGCCGAACAGTTCCATCACGGTGGATATTCCGGCCAGCGTCTAGTGAAGCCACTCCTCGGCACTCCGTATCCAATCTGGACACGGGGGGAGAGGGCTGCATGTTAACTATGCGCCCACTGAGCCAGATGGTCTTGCTGATGAAGGCACCCACTGACCCTGTCATCTCACTAAATTATTTTCTTGTCTCAATTGTATTTCCCATGCTACCAGGACTCGTGGGGCGTAATGAAACGGCCGCTGGCGGTGACCTTTCAATATGAAACACGACGGGGGTGGGCGTTCGTTGGTGGAGAAATCCATCGATTCAATCGTCTAGGTAGCGCCTATTAACTAGAGAGATCACTTAATTTGATTGTTATTATTGCCATAGTCTCGGCACCTGAAATAATTAAACTCACCGGCTTGCGAGATCCAGCTCATCTCGACAGTGCGGCGCAGCACTGCGTGAGTCGATGCGAAGTCTGTCGAAGAGCAGGGTGTTTGCAATTCCCCTTTGCAGTTCCCCTCGTTCTGTGATATCTTGTGTTGAGAGAGGAAAGGTCAAGCAAGACGAGTGGAATCGTAGAGATGCAGCATCAGTTGGGAAGGGGAAGAGTTGCAGTCGACAAGTCGAATCTTTTGTGGAAGGAAGAATCCTGACAGGTCACATGAGCACGTCAACTTCCATCTTTTTTGTTTATGTTTACGAGGAAGAAAACTGCTTATCGGAAATGCCAAATGGGTATTCGTTGAATGCCTGGTGCGGCTTTTGGATGGTTTATCTGATCGGCTATATACAGGCGAGGGTTTTAATTACCCACCGCAAAGCTATAGACTAAGAAGAAGAGGGTGGAAGAGGCGCTTGGCCAGAGATCGATCCGGTCATTCATTCATTCGTGCACCTGGTGTGCTCGTGAAGATAGCAGGGAACACTCTGACCTGCAGAGCTGACCTGCAGAGTAGAGGTAACAGCAGGGGGAATTTCATGAGGAACCCTCGTCAGGGTTCGACGGCGGCGGCTCAACGGTAAACTCGACCGATGTGTCGCCCTCCCCTTGCGGAACGGGGTTGACTTGCTGGTCATAGAGAGTCCTTTCAAAGTAACGGACGCGGCCCTGGTCTGTTACAAGCACCACGGTTTGCTTCTGGGTTCCATAGGCACCCTGTATGTATGCCGGGTCCAGAGCAGCATCTGGCTGAGAGGCTGCCTTCAACCTCTCCTCCGCTCCCTCCTTGTCCAAAGCTGGAACGGGTTGACGGTCCGTATGACCGATGACAGGGATGAAGATGCTCTTGCGTAGATGCGGGAGGTATGTCTCCAGACCAGACCCCTCCGGCATGCGGGGGAGGGTATCCGTACACAGCACAGCGAGCAGTCGCTGGATCAGATCCTCCTCGTTCTCGCCTGCAGCGACATGTGAGGCAATCGCCTCCTCCATCAGCCTCTCGCCATCGAGGATCTTAGGCCATGACCGGTCATCGAACGCGGTGTTGCTGAGCCCGACTGTCTGCTTCTTCTCCGTGGCAATCCAGTCGACGTTCTCGATCTGCGATGACCGGTTCGATACCACCGCCAGAGGCTCGTTGACCCTGCCAAATACCAGACTGAACCCACCGACGCCGGAAAACGTCTGACTGGCAATCATCTCCTCGGCGAACTCGCGGGTTGTTCCGCTGCCGTCTGCCGGCGTCGCCAGCCAGCTGTTAACGATCACACCTCGGCTACGCATCCCAGACACGGCATCCGCCGTGTCCTCGCGGTAGTTGGTCAGGACAGCCACTTTCCCCTGCCGTGTCACTCCCATCCAGGTGCCATGGACGGCACGCGCCAGGTCGCGCGAGGCCAGCACATGGCCATTCGGCTCTGGCCACCACTCGAGAGATGAGGTTGGCCGACGGAGGAATTCCTGTAGAAAATCAGCAAGAAGAAGAGAGGACGAACCAAAGGGCGAGTAGGGAACAGCAGCGGTTCTTCTGACTCACATCGCGGTTGTCGATGACTATAAGCGAATACGACGGGTGTGAGGTCGAGACGAGTGCAATACACATGGCTCCGGATTGAAATGATGGAAATCAACAATTCTCCTGTCAGCATCCAAGGGTATTGTGGGGGATTGATTGATCCTTGTTCATTCACTGCTTTTGCTGAAGGATCGCGGGAGTCTCTCGAGGTCCCAAAAGTTGCGTCCAAAACAAACCGCCTCCGCCTTGGCCCAACCACTGCCCGATGGCCGTCTGCTGGCCCTACGTGGTCGATTCGGAGAGCCGGGGGTGATTATACATTTCCAAGTGCATGGTACGGTCTGTGACGTTCTAGAAATTGAAGTTCCTGGGGCCACTGGGCATTTTTACTGACGCTGAGGTGCTGTTCCAGGACCAGCAGCACACAACTCGCAGAACTCACGATTGATCTCACCAGCAACTCTCCTTTTGACTCCTCAGGGTAGATTTGTTCTCTACTACATAGAATTTCTAGGCAGTCTCAGGTTCCTCCTTCGCCTCGCCAGATAAGAATACGAAGCTCGGCTCGTCGAATGGACAATTACGAGACGTGAAGACCACGACATCAGCCTTCTTGATAAAACAGGTAGACAAGATAGGTTGGAAGAGACTGCCACATCATGCAGCCTCTCAGTCGCTGTCGAGTGTCTTGAGAGCCTCAGACCATGGATAGTTATGGACCCTACGCCAATATTCGACCGATCGTGCAGCAGATAATGTCGGTGCTATATATATATAAATAAACGATTAGCAGCTGCAGGGCAGCCTCGACATGATCACTGGCTGAGATCAAAGCAATATACCAAGCAAGACAGATTTAAAACCGCCTGCCTGTGCAAAACAAATAAAAAAAAGTCTTCAGTCAATGATGACGTGAGGCTGCGGAAACGGCAGGCAGCGACCAAAAGACACACAATTCGGTTTTCTGCAACTGCAACTGCAACTGCAACGCCCTGCCGATCGTCCTTTCTCCCTCCTCCTCTCGGCCTCTACAGCTCGTACCGGACAGAGTACGTTACGATTTCTCTCTCTTTCTCCCATTAGCTGCATCTTGCTCACTGTTCCTGCTTCTTGCTCAGCTCCTGGCCTTTCGCCGGTCGCGTGAAACCGTCCCCCTCCCAGCTCCCCCCGCACTCCGCCGATAAGATACTGGTCACCGACTCCAACTGCCCGACGGTTTCGACGAGAAATCCCCATCAACAGTATATACAAAACGGTCACGAAGGAGGTTCCGAGAGAAGAGACGGCTGGTCTTATCCTCTTGCATCATGTTTGGGATTTTTGCGGACTTGATGTCGTGAGTAGGAAGAAGGGAAAAAAAAGACGCATGCCCTGGAGCTGCCTGCTGACCGTTGTTTGCCAGCTCGGTCGTGACGATTTTATTCCCTGTCTTTGCGTCCTACAAGGCTCTGCGCTCCTCCGATCCGGGGCAGTTGGCACCATGGTTGATGTACTGGGTGGTCCTGTCGGTGATTTTGCTGGCAGAGTCGTGGACGGTTTTTATTATAGGATGGTACGCCTACACAGTTGTATTCTTTTGTCGATTAGACTTTCTGGGGCCTCCGGGCTCTCCAAACTAACTGCTGCTATAGGTTCCCGTTTTATAGCTGGTTGCGGCTTTTCTTTCTTTCCTACCTCGTTCTTCCTCAAACCCAGGGCGCCCGGCTGCTGTATGAACAATATGTCGATCCTTTCTTGGCACATCACGAGCGTGAAATCGAGGTATTTATCGGGCGCACTCATGAACAAGCCAAGGCACTGGGTCTGCAGTATTTTTACCAGGCTATCGATTTCATCCGTGAGAAGGTCCTGGGCTTGCCTCCGCAGCGTCCTGCGCCCCCGCCTCCCCCCGCCGCAACGGGGCCTGCGGCATATGCCCAATCCCTCCTGTCGCGGTTCAACATCCCCGCTGCCTCGGGTGGTGCAGCTGCACAAGGCTCTTCGACGGACTGGATGTCTCCCTTGGCAGCAATACTGCAGTCTGTGGTTTCTTCGGACAAGAGCCGTGAGGCTCATATGGAGCAACTCTCAGCTAGCGGTGGATTCTTGCCGCGGGAGATGGCATCCATGTCGCGTAAGGACAGGGCGCAGTACATTGTGTCGCAGCGCGAACTGCTGGATATGCTGCGGTCGGCGCTCGTCCGGGAAGAGAAGGGTCTAGACGGTGACAAGGACGAGGGTGACGACGCCGAGACGGAGACCGACGATCTCGCGTACGGCATGCCGCTACGCAAGAACCGCAGCGATAACTCCTTTGACCATATTGAAGCCGATGACCTCGGCGGCGGGTCTCGCGAACGGTCCTCGCCTGAGGACTCGCGGCCGTCCAGTAGTAGCGGGGGGTGGGCGTCCACCTGGTTTGGACAGTCGTCGGGGGCAGAGCATGTGCAGGGGGAGTCGAGAGCGAGACACCATTATTAGGCTGGACTGGTAGCTTGGATAGATGCTAATTGATTTTACTAAGTATACAGTTGTAACCACGTAGGTATTACGTAGTACATGATAATATTCAGTAACTACGACTTTCATGAAGACTTATTCAATATCAATTAACGGTAAAGACAGATGGACAGATTCTGATCAATGATATCAGACAGAACGAAAGAAGGAGACTCTGATAGTCTCATGTTCCCAGCAAGCCATATGCAAGCGATGGTTTACTGGATACTTCTGGCCGAAGTTTCGGTAGCGGTGACCAGATCGCCACCATCAAAAGGGATGCCGAACTGCTCGAGCAGATTTGTAGCGGCGGTCTCACCGGTAGCAAAAGCGCCGTGGACACAGCCATTGGCGACGAGGGTGCAGTGTTCGCCTGCGAACTGCAGGCGGGAGTGACGGTTGGCCTCGAGGGCGTCGAAGAGGAGGTGCGGCTCGTCGCCGACTTTATCGGCGGAGTAAGAGCCAAAGCCCGCCAGGGGGTCCTGTGTCCAATGTGTTGTTTCAACGTTGAGCAGACGGGGCAGGGCTTTGTAGGGTTCTGTACGCAGGAGTTTGAACAAGGGCTCGAAGAAGCGGTAGATCTCCTTGGAGTCGGTCATGGCCTCGATGCGTTGGGTCAGGGGTTCTGCGATCTGCACGCACAGCGACTTGCCGCCTGTCATGATCCACAGGTTGATCGTCACGGTGGCGTAGTTGAGGATGTTATCGCCTACGGTGGAGGATGATGTGGCTGAGCGGGTGCTGCTGGCCGAGGAGGAGCGCACGGAAGAGGCGCTGTTCGAGGTGGAGGAGAGGACGGCGAGGTCGTCGCCGTCGGCCTCCTCCGGGGAAGGATAGTAGATGAACTGGTCATTGTCTTTCGACCAAAAGACCTCTGCGAATTCAAAGAACACTTTGCCCAGGGCGCCGTAGCTGAAGCGAGCCAGGCCCTCTTGGATGTCACTCGGCAAGGGCGGCTGGAAGGCGATAAGGTCATGATGGTAGACACCCAGGGGCACGGTCATGACGACGGCGTCGCCCTCGATGGTCTGCTCGGCCCCCTGGGGGTCGGTGAGCTGGACGCGCAGGGGCCCGTCGTCGCCGTGCTCGTTCCACTGGACGGCGCGGACGTGGTGGTTGAGACGCAGGATGGAAGGGTCGTCGCGCAGCGGCTGGGCGGTCCAGTCGACGATGCGGTCATACCCGCCCTTCATGTACAGGTTGCGCTCGGTGATGAAGTAGGACAGATGCTTGGACGAGGCCTGCTCGACGCTGGTGCCGATCCACAGTTCTACCTCGCGGACGGCCTGGGGCGCCCACAGACGCTCGTCGTCGGTGATCAGCTGGTGCTGCTGGACAAACTCCTTGACAAACTCGTCGACCGGACGGTCGGGGGCGTCCGGGTGAGTGTCGTAGTACCACTCGCAGTAGTCGGCGAACTCGTCAGCCACTTTCTTCGCCTTGAACTGCGAGCCGGCACGCCCGTCCTCGGTGAAGTAGAGCGGGGCGCCGTCGTCGTAATAGTAGGGGATGGAAAGCTGGGGGATCAGCTTCACCAAGTTATTCTGGGAGGTTTCATGCATCCAGGCGGCTCCTAGTCTTCATCAGCACTCTCGTTCATCTGACAACACTGTCCAAAGCAACGACTCACCAATGTCTACCACCGAGTCGCCCTTTCTGCTGGTCAGAATGCGGCCTCCGATCCGGTCGCGCGCCTCCAGCACGACAACCCGGCAGCCATGGCGACGCAGCACCGCCGCTGCCCGTAGGCCAGCAATTCCTGCTCCCACCACAATCACCGTCTTGTGGATCTCCGGTCCTGGTGCGCAGGATGCCTCGGGGGCCGACTCTGCCAGAGTCGCCGCCTCGAGGCGCGCAGCCAGGCCGGAGCCACAATTACTGGGCTTTATGGGCTGATTGTTGGGAATCAGAGAGGTGACGTGGAATGACTGAGACATTCTGAGTTGGCAAGTGGACATATATGTAAAAAGAAGTGCTGTAGGCTGTAGCTGTGTAGACTGTGTAGACAATCAACTGACTGAGAAGTTGGAGAGAGAGAGAGAGAGAGAGAGAGAGATACTAATAGCAGGAGTAGCAGAACTAATAGCAAGACATAGTCGAGATACTACAGATAGATAGACGCTTACCCAATCGGGATGGTGCACGCGGAACGACGCTAGCGTTAGCGCCATCGCGGTTTATTGGGGTTTGGCAGGTCACATGACCTCACATGACCCGCTGGCTCTTCCCACAACAGGCAGGAACAGCCCGGCCATCTCGACCTCGTCTCTCTCCTCCCCCCTGAGAGTCACGGAGACGCCCAGACATCTTGACGGCTCCAGCGCCCTTCTGTGCAGCGAATACCCCGGATGCTCGCCGAAGAGGCGACTCGTGTCGATCTGCTTATCTGCCAAAGTCTCTCCTCCACTCGCTGAAACTGCGCCATCACTTTTTCAGCAGGTTTACGCGGCTAACACGGCTGTGGCTCGGTTCCTTATCAGCGCGGCCAGGATCTTTGCCTGCAGGGTCTGGTTGGGCATCAAGAATTTATAGCTGTTGAAAAGTCAGCTTTTTTCGCTCGTCGGATCATGCCATAGCACCTTCAGACCAGACCCCCTCCCCCCCGCCTTAGTATAGTGAAGTGAGTGGTGGTTGAGACCACCACACGACACCGCGAACCGTTCTATCTATGGAGGCCGACGAACACCTGCCTGGCACCGAGCGCCTGTTCCCCGCCGTGGATGGGGAGATCACGCTGATTCCCACACCCACGGACTCGCCCGACGATCCGTTGAACTGGAGTCCCGCGCGACGCTACTATCACGCCTTTCTGGTGCTGTTGGTGGTGGGTTTCACCGCCGCCACCTCCAACGATGCGGGCACGGCGGGCAACGGGATGAACGAGCAGCTGGGCATCTCCTGGGACGCCATCAATGTCGCCGCCGGCGTGCTGTTCGTGGGGATCGGATACTGTACCTTGCTGCTGAGCCCGGCGCCGTTTCTGTACGGTCGCCGCATCTCCTACCTGCTCTGTCTGCTCTTCTCCATCATCGGGTCCATCTGGTTCGCCCGCGTGCAGACCACCGAAGACAACATCTGGAACCAGCTGTTCGTTGGCGCCTCTGAGTCGTGTGCCGAGGCGCTGGCCCAGCTGTCGCTGTCCGACCTGTTTTACCAGCATCGCCGTGGCTTCGTGCTGGGCGTGTACGTGCTGGCCACCAGTGTGGGGACCTTTCTCGGCCCGCTGGTGGCCGGTTTTATCCTCGACAGCCCCCTGCTCGGGTGGCGCTGGGTCGGCTGGCTGGGCGCCATCATCTCCGGCGGCTTGCTGGTCCTTTGCTATTTCACCCTCGAGGAGACCGCGTTTGACCGCAAGGCCGTCATCCACGGGTTGAACGTGCAGCCCGGCAGTGGTGCGGGTGTCGCGGCCGCGGCGACCGACGAGAAGATGAAAGGGATGACGGAGATGGAGACGGAAACCCTCCCGGTGACCCCCCGGTCGAACGACGACGCCGAGGATGGGCGCAGCAAGCAGCAGGGCAAGACATACTGGCAGCGGGTGGCGCTGATCACGCCATCGCCGACGATGGTGGGCACCGGGTTCAAGCAGTACTACCAACGGCTGTACCACACGCTGCGGGTGTTTGCCTTCCCCGCGGTGCTATACTCGGGTCTGCAGTGGGGGGCGCAGGACGCGTGGCTGACCTTCTACCTGACGGTCGAGGAGGACAACTGGTACGATGCGCCGTGGTTCTACACGGACGCGGCGGTGGGGATCATGAACGTGCCGACGCTGATCGGGGCGGCCATCGGGTGCGTGTACGGCGGCTGGTTCTCCGACGTGTTTGTACAGTGGATGGCGCAGCGCAACGGGGGCGTGTTCGAGGCCGAGCAGCGGCTGTGGTTGATGTTCCCCGTCGCCCTGATCGGACCGGCGGGGCTGATGCTGTTCGGCATCGGCTCCGACCTGGGCTGGAACTGGCCGTGGCCGTACGTCGGCCTGGGCTTCATCGGCTTCGGCTGGGGCTGCGCCGGCGACCTCAGCATGGCGTATCTGATGGACGCCTACCCGGAGATGGTGCTGGAGGGGATGGTGGGCGTGTCGGTGATCAACAACACCATCGGCTGCATCTTCACCTTTTCGGCGCAGTACTGGATCGACGCGCAGACCCTGACCCAGGTCTTTGTCGCCATCGGCGTCCTCTCCTTTGCCTTTATCATGACCACCGCCCCCATGATCTACTGGGGGAAGGCCTGCCGCCGCATGACCCGCCGCCGCTACGAGGATTTCCTGCGCATCCGCGATGGCCATCTCTGACAGTCAGTTTTTTGTATAGTGCGTAGTGTTGGGAGTATCCCTTGCATATATTATTCGACTCTTATGTCTACTAGCAATCACCATAATTACTTTATTCCCTACTTTAATCCGAGTATATTCTATGTATTATTAATAAGAATGAGAATAAGAATAAGAAAAATTATATTATGAATTATGATTATGAATTATGATTATATCCTTATTATTTAGTTATTATTTACTAATTAATTAATCTTCTTCTTATTACTTATAAATCGTCCTTATAGACATAGACATAGACAGACAAGGACTATTCTGCCTCCCCACACCGCCCGACTCTCGCCTCGTCTCTTCGCCTCTCGAATGGCCTCACCCTCTCGCGCCCGCCTGGGATTTTTCTTTCGATTTCACCGTGGCCGAGCTGTTTCATCAAACACTCGCCAAATTCCGCCGGTTCTTGTCCCCCAGAACCGCCGTTGTGGTGTGCCCGCCTCCCTCTTCGCTGCCCGGCTTTTTTCCTGCTGGTGTCTCTGCCTGCGCACATTTTTTTTTTTTTTCTTTCGCTCGCCAAACCACGCAAGTCTCGCTCTCCTCCTCTGTGTGTTTTTGTCCATAACCACAACCCAAACACACCCTCCCCCTCCTCCCTCCCCTCGACCACGACCGAACTCCCTCCCCTCCCCCCCGTTGTCGCTGGTCGCCTTTTTCCATCTCGACTTTTTTCTTTTTTTCCTTTTTCTATTCGTCTTCGACAAAAGGCGTCTCGCTCGCCTCTTCTTCCCCCCTCCGCCGCCGTTTGGTTCATGCCGAACGCTGCAGTCTGCTCGACCTGACATCACCAAAAAAAAAAAAAATTCGCTCACCCTTGACCACCTTCACCTTCACCACACCCACCACCACCACCACCTTCTTCATAACTCCTACCATCTCAGCGTCATCGTCGTTCCACGATCCCCAACCTGTCTAATGACCTCGATCCCTCAGAAGCCCGGTGCCCACCCCGCAGGTCAGTCCTCCGCCTCGCCCTCAGCAAGTGGCAAGTCGACCCCCCTGGCTCCGGCGACTACTACCACCACTGCGAGATCGTACGCCTCTGCGACGAAGAAGGATGGCCCCGCTGCGTCGCCCGTGAGTATGCAGCAGCAGCAGCAGCAGCAGCAGCAGCAACAACTACAACAACAACAACACGTCACCATCGTCAACGGTGCTCCCGCCGCCGCTGACCACTCCCGCAAGCCCTCCGTCACCATCACCTCCGCGGGCGCCTCGGGCGTGATCCCTAACGGCCAACCTTCCGCTGCCAGTCGCCCTAGCAATCTGCAGTTTGGCTTTGCCAACCCTCAGAGTTCGCCCAATATGGGGTCTCCTGCCGTCCTGGCCCAACAGCCGGGTGGTCTCACCGTCTCTTCTCCCAACCCGCGCGTCGTCTCTCCCCAGACCTCGCCTTCGCCCATTCCCCAGCCTGCCTCCAGCGGCGGCCGGCCGCCTCCATCTTCTTACCAGGGGAATGCTCCTAATTTTGGCAGCTTTGGTGACGAGGTATTTATTTTTCTCTTTCTTTTCTTTTTTTTCCTCTTTATTTCCTTGATGTTTTTATTTTTATTTTTATTTTTTTTTTTTTGATGTGTTCTTTTTCTAACAAATTAGATGCGTGCCCCCCAGAGTCACCTCCGTCGTGAATCCGCTCAATCCACTCACAGCGATGTGGGCAGTCAGATGGGTGGTCGACCCGGTTACCCCCATCAGGGCGGTCGTGGTCGTGGATACTCGCAGTCGGGTTATCAGGGTCAGATGCCCTACGGCTCTCCCGGTCCGACTTTTCGTCAGACTCCCAACCAGCCTCGAGGCGCTCCCCCGATGGGCCCTCAGTTCCATAACCAGGGTCGTCCCCTGGCACCTCCCTTCCCCAACTCGCCGCATCAGGCCAACCGCAGTCCCGCCCTGGCCAACGCTCACCCTGTCACCCCGAACATGAACCCCGTCGTCCCCATGGCCCACGCCCAGATGCCCTATGGTTCCTACGGACAACACATGGGCCCCCAGACTGTGAGAGACCCATTTTATCATCATTATCATCCTCATCCTCATCCCCCACGTAGCAACGGGTTTGGTTCAAGGAGCAGCAGTAGCGGTGGCAGTCGGCCGCCGCCGGTTGCTCGCAGGAAGACTGGAGGACCACGTTCCCGTGTGTCTTCGTCCTCCTCCGGGTCCCGGCAGGCCATCCACACCCCGACGACGCCACTGCATGCTCCTGCCACTCCTGCTACTAGTACTACCAGTACTACTCATACTACTCTTCCTCCCCCAACCAACTTGGCGCCCGAAAGTGGCCATTTCGAACAATATCTCATGCTGATAAAATCCCAACAGACATACCCCCATGCCGCCGCCGCCTATGACCACACCTACGGTTACTATAACCCGGCCGCCTACGGTATGCCCCAGGCTCCCTACATGGCCCCGCCCTCTCCCCAGCCGCGCCCGGGAATGCCCTACAACCAGCAAGGTCCCTACCTCCAGAACCAGTACCCCGTTCAGCCGCCGCCACAGGCCGCCCCGCTGTCCCGCTCGCCCTCCCAGCTCTCTACCGACCGTCCGGGCTCGAGTCTGGGTGGCCAGGGTCCTGCCGGTGCCGCTGCCGTTGCGGGCGCCCCCAACCCGGCCGTCGCAGTCGCGGCGGGAGGTCACGCCCACAGCGCCAGCCGCGGGGCCAACAGCCCGGCTCCCCCCAAGACGCACTTTGTCATTCCCTCGGCCAAGAAGAGCGTGCTCGTGATCAAGGATCCCAGCGGGGCCGTCAAGACCTTTGACAAGACCCCGGCCTCGCCCGCCCGCGCCACCCCGTCCCCCGTCAAGATCACGACTCCGTCCGCCACGCCTCCACCCTCCCGCTCCGCTGACCATGCTCGCTCCGATAGCAAGGTCACCAAGACGGACGAGGAGAAGAAGAAGGAGCTGCGCGACGCCGTCTTGCTGAAGATCTCGCAGGATGAGGCTGAGCAGCGCCGCAAGGCCGAGGAGGAGGAGAACAAGAAAAAGAAACAGGAGCAGGAACAGCGTGAGGCCGCCGAGAAGGAAGCCGCCGAGCAGGAAGCCGCCGCTCGCAAGAAGCAAGAGGAAGAAGAGGCCGCTGCTCGTAAACAAAAGGAGGAGGAGGAGGCTGCTGCTGCTGCTGCTGCTGCTAAGAAGGCCGAGGAGGAAGAAAAGGCCGAGGCCGCTCGCAAGGCAATGGAAGAGCTCAGTCTGAAGCAAAAGGCTGAAGAAGAAGAAAAGGCCAAGGCTGATGCTGATGCTGATGCGGCTGCAGCGGCCGCCGCCGCCGCTGAAGCTGAAGCCGCCAAGGCAAAGGAGGCCCCTGCTGCCGACGATGAGATCGACTTTGATGCCATCGAGCGCGAAATGGCCGAGTTGGAGGCCAAGGAGGCCGCCGCCGAGGCCGAGTACTACGCCCGCAAGAAGGCCCAGAAGGAGGATCAGGAGCGCAAGGAGCGTGAGGAGCGTGAGGCCTGGGAAAATAACATGAAACAGGCCGAACGCGAGGCCGAGGCCCTGGAGGAGGCGAAGATGAAGGGTAGCGCGACGACCGGCGATGATGACGCCAGCCGCAAGGAGCGCGAGGAACTCTTTGCCTCGCTCAAGAAGGGTGGACTGGGTGGTGTGGGCACGCCTGCGACGGACAGCCCGGCCGACAGCGGCGTGGCCACCCCGGCCTCGGACATGTCGTCGTCGATGCTCATGGGCCCTCCGGCCAAGCCGGTCAGCGCCCTCAAGCGCGACAAGCCCGCCGCCCTCAAGCTCGAGACCAACAAGGCGGTCGAGCCGCCGCAGCCCAGCGCGGCGATGAAGGCCCTGCAGTCGGCGCGCTTCCTCGACGACCTCAGCAGCATCGCCTACCCGCCCTCGGTCGTCTCGCCCAACCCGGCCCTCAACGCCAACGCGCCCGCCGACCGCCGCTTCCACTACAACAAGGAGTTCCTGCTGCAGTTCCAGGCCGTCTTCAAGGAGAAGCCCTCGATCGACTGGGACGCCCGCGTGCGCGAGACCGTCGGCGACAGCGACTCCTCCCGCCCGCAGTCCGCCCGCACCCCGATGCTGGGTCCCCGCCACTCCTCGCGGCCGGGTGCCTCCCAGAGCTTCGGCGGGCCCATGGGTGGCTTCACCCAACCCCCGCGTCCCATGGCCATGCCCAACCAGGGTATCCGCCAACCCTCCATGGGTGGTGGCAGTCCCTTTGGCTCCTTTGGGGGCCGCCCGGGCGGCCTGCCCATGGGTCCTGGTAGTGGTCTAGCCGGTGGCAGCCGGAGCTCCTCCACTCGGGGAGGCCAGCGCGATCCCTCTCGCGCATCCCGCGGCGGCGGTGGCGGCAAGAAACCCTCCAAGAAGGAGGGCATCGCCGGCGACAAGGACATGCCCCTGACGGCCAACATGAAGATCGAGGCCCTCCAGATCTCGACCACGGGCTGGAAGGCTCGCAGTCTGGCACAGGCTCCCGGCCCGGTCCCCGGAGGCGAGGGTCACCTGGCGCCCGACGTGGTGCAGCGCAAGGTGAAGGCCGCGCTGAACAAGATGACCCCGGAGAACTTTGACCGCATCTCGGGCCAGATCCTGGAGATTGTGTCGCAGTCCAAGGACGAGTCCGACGGGCGCACGCTGCGCCAGGTCATCCAGCTGACCTTTGAAAAGGCCACCGACGAGGCCCACTGGGCCCCCATGTACGCCAAGTTCTGCAAGTGTATGCTGGAGAGCATGAGCCCCGAGATCAAGGACGAGAACATCCGCGACAAGAACGGCAACGTGGTCGCCGGCGGCAGCCTCTTCCGCAAGTACCTGCTCAACCGCTGCCAGGAGGAGTTTGAGCGCGGCTGGAAGATCAACCTGCCGCCCAAGCCCGAGGGCGTCACCGAGGAGATCGCCATGATGTCCGACGAGTACTACACCGCCGCCGCCGCCAAGCGTCGCGGGCTGGGTCTCGTCAAGTTCATCGGTGAACTGTACAAGCTGGGCATGCTGACGGAGCGCATCATGCACGAGTGTGTCAAGAAGCTGGTCGACTACGAGGGCACGCCCGACGAGGCCGAGGTCGAGTCTCTGACCTCGCTGCTGCGCACCATCGGTGGCAGCCTCGACGCCTCCGAGCGCGGCCACACCTTCATGGACGCCTACTTCAGCCGCATCAACATGATGGTCGACATCCCCGACCTGCCCAGCCGTCTGCGCTTCATGCTCATGGACATCATCGACCTGCGCAACGCCCGCTGGAAGTCCAAGGACGCCGACAAGGGTCCCAAGACGATCAACGAGATCCGTGAGGAGGCCGCCCGCGCCGCGCAAGAGGCCGAGATGGAACGTATCCGTCAACAGGCCAGCCGTGGCGGCGGCGGCGGTGGTGGTCGCCCGCCCATGGGCCGCGGCGACGCCCGCTCCTTCTCCTCCGGCGGGTTCGGTGGTCAGGGTGCCCCCCCGCAAGACTTTGCTTCCAGCAAGGTCGGCACCGACGATCTGCGCCGTCTGCGCGCCACCCCGCGCAACACCAACCAGCTGCCCTCCTTTGGGCCCTCGAGCATGCTCGGCTCACGTAGCAGCAGCGGCCGCAAGAACTTCGGGCCCGGCGGCAACCTCGTCCGCGGCAGTGACGACAGCGCCGCCTCCAGTCGCAACGGCGCCTCCACCCCCAAGAAGGATGACAAGGAGGCCGCCTCTTCCATCAATGCTTTCAGGTAGGCCTCACCCCTACTCTTCACCCCTCTAGAACACACGACTAATGTAAACAGTGCTCTCGCCGCCTTGGATGACAACATGGCTACCTCTCCTCCCTCCAACCCGACCTCCCCCATGCTCACCAAGTCGCAACCGGCCGACCGCCGCCCCTCGAAAGACATGCACGAGTAGATCATTTCAAATCCCCCCCCTGCTTTGCTTCTGCCTGACTGGGCCCCCACCCAGTGTCGGACGTATAGTGTATCATTTCTCATCCCGACTTGAAAGCACGAAACGAAAGCATTTGAAGGAAAAGAAAAAGAAGAAATGAACAAAAAAGAAAGAAACCCAACCAGAAACAAAAATGAGACCAAGTTGGTTTGCTGGAACCCTTGCTTTTGCATTTTCCTTTTCCTTTTTCTTTTCAATACCCGAGAGCCACGTTTTCCTCCTCTTCTTATTCCTTTCTTCTTCATCTTACTACAACTCACCTAACTTGTCTTCTTCTTCTCTACTTCTCTCTAGTAGCAGTGATGATTTCCTTTTTTTTTTTTTTTTTTTCTTTTCGCTGATGCATTTACATGGATGGTTCTCTGGTAATTTTTCTCTTCTTCTCATGTCCAATTTTTTTATTATTTTCCGAATGTTGCTTTCTCTACTTAGACAATGTGTTAGAAAAGTTCCCTTCTAATGATTTCTGTACGTTGATATTATTTCAATACTACCGACTTTCCAATATGAGATCTTGTCTTGTAGTAACAATCTAAATTCGTATCCCTATGTTCTAGTAATGAACCGCTATGCTATGTACTATGCTATGTACTGCTAACTACTTGCTGTCCTCCGTGATAATCACAGGAATCACTCTCTCCTCACCTTCCGTCGCAAGGCCAACCTGGTCCGTCCCCGTTCCCGACTCCTCCGAGCTACTGGGCTTGATCGTCGATTCCGAGTCCGGCTCGTCGGTCGCCGTCAGCACCGCTCGCAGCTCCGCCGAATTATCGAATATGGGGTCCATCATGATCGCGTCGAGCGAGTTCCAGGTCGACCCCGCCGGGGCAAAGTCGGCCTCCTCGTTGCCCAGGCTGATGCTGCTGGTATCAGAGACCGTCTCGGTCGTGGACAACGAGCTGCGCGAGTGCGTGTAGTCGCGCGGCAGGCCTAGCGCCTCGGCCACGGCGGCCTCTTCGTCCGGCAGCCGGGAGATGTTGCTGTCTGTGCTGGACCGCGCATCGAAGATGCTGCTCCCGCGCCGCTCACTCATCTCCAGGATATGGTTGTACCCGCGCCGCGTCGGGTCGGCCTGGCGTTTCTTCTTTTTCTTCTCGCGCTTTGGCGAGGGCCGTACCACAATCACGGGGATCGGCGACTGTTGCAAGCAGTACTTGGATACCGAGCCAGGCAGCAGGCTCTGCATGCCACTCATGTTGCGGCCACGGGTGCCGACAATTAAAACGGCCGGTTCATAAATACGGATCTAGCCAGCAGAATCAATTAGCAGGGAAGATCGGTTAGGGGGAAAAAAAAGGGGGGGTAGGGGGTAGAAAATACCATCCGTTGGATGATATCCTGCACTTTGCCGACCGCCAGCTCCAAGACTAGACTGATAGCCTTCTCGTCCTGACTGTTCTTGCGAATGACCTGCTTGAAAAGGTTCTCCGCCTCTTCTCGGTATTTGCGAGCCTCGAGGGCCGCGTCGGTGGTGATGCTCGAGTCCTTCTCCACCGCTCGCAGACAGACAATTTCGTCGCCGTCGTCGACCAGCTCATCAATGAGCCACTCTAGCGCATACTCCGAGTAATCGTTCTGGTCGATGCCGCACAGAAAGGTCCGGCTGCGGCGGGTCCACTGGAAGCCCTTGTGTTTGTAGTTGAGCGTCAGAGAAAAGTCGGGCGCGTCGCGGTTGTCAAACGTATCAAACGAAACCCCACGCTCGTAGGTTCTAGCACGAGAGCAGGTCAGAAATTTTGAGAAAGTATATCGTTGAAACATTTGGGCATACTTTGGTGGTGGTGGTGACGATGTCCTCCCTCCTCCTCCTCCTCCTCCTCCTCCCGCTTTATGTTCCTTCTCGCTCTCCACATGCTGCGGTACTCTCCCCTTGGCGCTCTCCGTCCGACGGGGCAAGGGTCTCTCTGCGGCTCCGACGTTGAACTGGATGGATTTGCGTCGAGCGTTCTCGTCCGCATCGAGGGTCCGCGAGGTGCCGAATCGAATCCGCGAGGCGCTGATGCTGCGATTCGACGAGGGCCGGCTCGGAGGACCGGTCGGCAGGTCGAAATCAAAGGACAGCTTCGGCGTGTCCATGTCGGTGCAGTTTCTTCGACTGTATGCAGTCACCCCGTGTTGATCAGGTTAAGCGTAAGCGTGTAAAACAGGGGTCCGGGTCAAGTCAGCTACCGGGAAGCTCCTGGCAACGGGCGAGATACACGATGCCAGACTCGCAGACCATGATAGAATAGAAAGAAAGGGCCCAGTGAGGCTGCGTCGAGGCGTTCCGGCATGAGTGACTGGGAGGAGGAGTCCGGATGCGGCAGGGAGGGGTGAAGGCGGTGACGCCTGCCAAATCCGCTCATACTCAGTAAAGAGGTAGGGAAACAGAGATGACAATGCTAATGATTGATTCTATAGGATATTTGATTCGTTCAGATAAACCTCGTGTCCTATTTACCATCTCGGGATTGAAGACATGTAAGAAAGAAAGAATGGAATGGAATAACAAGAACTAGTTAACTTCATGCTAGATATCACCGGCACGCCCGGCAAAAAAGCCCTCCTCCTCATCTACGACATCTTCGCCTTCTCTCCCTTACTCCTACAGGGAGCAGACATTCTCGCCTCGACGGAGAGATTGGCGATTATCCCGGGCGCGCCGTGTGCGAATCCCGAGTGGTTCCTCCCCGGCAATGAAGCGGGTCAGGAGGCGAGGGCGGCGTTTTTCGCGACCACGGCGAATTCAGCCAATATCGTCCCCAGGATTGCTCCTATGCTAGCCGGGTTGGAGGAGAAGTATCCCGCGGTAGACAGCGTGGGAAGCTCGTTGCGTCGTCGTTGTGCGGGGACAACAGGGACTCCTCCCCGTTTGCATTCAAATGTGCGGTGCAGACTAGTCCGGCCTTTCTAGATCTGGCTGATGCGGACGCCGTGATGGTGCCGATGGCTGTGTTGGCGAGCGGCGATGAAAATGCGGACATACTCGACGAGTATATCGCGAGACTGCCCCGAGGCAGTCAACTCACGAAATTTCCCGAAATGATCCATGGGTGGATGAGTGCGAGGGGGAAGCTGGCCGAGCCGGAGGTGAAGCGTGGGTTCGAAGCAGGATATCAGATTGTCCTCGACTTTCTCAAGGAGACTTCCTAGTTGTTGAGCCCGGGAAAAAGGCTGTCGAATTCTTCCCATAGCTCGTCTGTGATAGTCAAACCCCAGTCATTGTCGTTGTTGTTGTTCTTCTCTTCGACTTGTAAAACATCTGTGATGTCTGGATCAGGATCGGTCTGCTGCCCATAGATCGACCAAAGGGGCGCCCGTTTCCCCTGGGCCCGGTACACGATCAAGAGACAGTCATACACTAATCCTGTCGCCATGCGAGTCCTGGTATAGAAGACATGTCGGTGGAGAGTTTCGCATCTGCTCGTTCGCCGCGCAGTGCGCGCACACCTGGTCCAGCAGGTTAGCCTCCCGAGCAGCGGCATCGACGTCGAGCACCACGCAGCGCCGTAACGCAAACACGGCCATCTGGAATGACAGCTTGGTGGACTCGTAGTCGATCTGCCCGGCAGCCACCATGGACGAGTGCGCTACTTTGTTCAGAAACGCGGCGGTGGTGAACAAGGTCGCGCGCAGGAAATACGCCGGGCAGTACGCCAGCATGTCGGACCATGTTTGGGACGAGGTCAGCGAACGGATTAGATCAACTGCCAGGCGATGGGCGTGCAGGAGCGCGTCGCTACGTCCAGGCCGGTCGGCGGCGGAAAGAAGAGGTGATATGTGTACAGGTGGAGGTGGGCGGCAGCCAGCCAGATCGAATTCACCGAGGAGGAGGACACTTGAGGTAATAACTTTCCGAGAGGCTCAATCTCGACAATACACGCTTCCCCGGGCACGCCTCGGTCATCGGCGTGCTCTGCCATGACGTGGGAGATGCGATTTGCAGCCTGAGCGAGACACAGACGCTCGGCCAGGCCATCTGGTAACGGGATCTCCCCACGACACAGCTTCTGTACGGCCTTGTCGGTGGTCAGGTTCACTGCGGGCGGGCGACCAAAATTCTCGGCCATGTTCTGTGCAGTAATCGTGACGGCGGCCCACAGCGAGGCATGAGAGGTAGTATGGGGTTCATGGGTACTCCCGACGACAGGCAGGTTAATGCCTAAACTGTAGCAGGCGAAAAGCACCGCGCCAATGACAACAGACGAGGGCTCTGTCCAGAACCGCGTAGTGGGCACCGGCCAGGTAGTCATCAAGCCTCTTCAACTCACTTTCGAGGTCGGTATCCCTTATCACGGTGGCACGAGAGATCTAACCGGACACATCGCGGGCAGGGGGTCGACGCGTCGCAGCGGACCTAGCGGAGTGTCAGTACTCCGTAGAGGAGGTGAGTTATCACGTAGGTCTTTGCAATGGAGTAGGTACGGAGTATAATTACCTTTGCCTGGCGGCATTTCCTGCAGGCGATGCTGCGTTTTGCGGGGGCATGAGAGAGGGGCATGAGAGAGACTCGAGAGACACGAGAGACACGAGAGACACGAGATGAGTGTACAGTGTACACTCTGGTTAGTCATAACCAGTAACTACGGAGTACCTACACAGTAATACAGTAAGAATTATCGCTTATTACAAATACTACATATCTATGTCAATTATTATGATTCTCTACTATCCAGTTACTTACAATAGTTTAATTATACACTTCAGAAAACCTGGAATCCATTATGCAGCTAATTGTGTAGTTTTGTCTGTCTAGTTACATAGTAACTAATTATTATTCTGTGTACTATACCAGGTATTCCATATTATATATTCATCTCTGGTCACTGCTGTACTCTGTACCTTATGTGCGGGTCCATGAATTGAAAACTAGTATCTAATAGTCGGCGATCAGCGATGATCAGTTACTAGTAAACTACTTGATAAGAAATGAGTCGTAAACTATTGTATATATATATATTCACTAGTCTCAACCGGCTAGTCCGGGAGATCCAGTAGAGTAGAGATCATCAGAATCATAAATAGGGTGAGAAACATGAGAACATGGACAAAAGAAGAAAAACGCTGCGCTGTCTAGATGCACTTTTTGGGGTATCACATATCAAATATCGTACAGACTGCAAGGCACCACTCCACCCCCGCCACTAATATGCGGAGATGATGCCCTGGCCTGTGCGTGATACGTAAAACTCCTCGTCGAACGAGTCCAACAGGGCGACCCCTGTCGACGACGTGACGGCTTCCTTGGTGCACACGCTCGCCGAGTGGTGCGTGGCGGGGAATGCCTCGAGCGCCGGCTGCGGCGGCGAGGGCGGCAGCTCGTCGTCGGACTCGTCGCTCGAGTCCGACGAGAGCTCGGGCGGGGGGGAGGTCATGGCGTGCGAGGAGGTGCGCGTGAGCGTCAACTCCGCCAGGTCTTCTTCGTCGTCGTCGGCGTATTCAAAGTCCGAGTCGGAATCATCGTAGTCGTCCAGTTCGTGGGAGGTGATGATGGCGACCGGTGAAGGAGCCCGTCGGCGGGGAAGCTGGACTTGTTGTTGCTGTTGAGGGAAGAAATCTTCCTCATCATCTTCCTCCACCTCCTCCTCATCATCCTCGTAGTAGTCAGAATCGCTATCCGAGTCGCTCTCGCAGTCCGAAAGATCACCGTCCAAGTTCCATTCCTCGCTCGAGTCAATGACCGTCTCGGCCCATTTGATGTGCTTCGGGCTCTCGGCAGCGGCGATGGTGGTAGTGGGAGTAGTAGTGGTAGAGGTAGTCTTGACAGTCTGGTTGAACCAGCGTTCCTGCTCGTGCTCGGCATCCGCCAGCTCCAGCATCAGCGAGTCCAGCAGGTTGGCGTGACCAACCAGCAGGCGCAGGTCGTGGTCGGCACGACCGGCCTCGACGGTCAGCTTCCGGCGGGCGGTGTGCGCCAGGTAGTAAGTCTGAGTGATGCTCATTTTCTTCTGGGAGCGACGACGCAGGATGGAATCGAAGGCAGCAGAGGGGGAAGAGTAGGTAGAAAGGGTTGTGGTGGTGGTGGTGGTGGTGGAGGAGGAAGAGGGCATTTTTGTGTAGCGGATGGCGGTGTAATAAATCAACTAAATAATGACTTCAGAGCCAGTGACTCAGCCGGCTGTTTGCGGCGGTGACGGGGCGGCCAATGACCAAGAGGCGGTGAGAGATTGCAAGGGTGTGTTGGGCAGGCAAGATGAGATGGATAGATTATCTTGCTGATGAGGTGGCAATCGTTGAGATGACTGGTGGTTGCTTGTTTGAGATGAAGAGTGAGATGTGAGATCCGGAGGAGTCTTAAACTGATCCATCCAGGCTGATATATTTTTTTCTCCCCTTCACTAAATCCGCCTCGGCCAGGGTATGCCCGAGCGGAGCGTCCGCGGATCCTCTCGTAAAACTTCGTATCGCCGCCAAGTGGCAGCCTGAATAATGGATCGGTGCCGGCGCTCCATAAAGCCGTGTCCGAGGGGTCTGGCTAGACCCAGTTGGGCAAATCGTGAGTCACTTTTTTTCTTTTTTTTAGGCTAACTAATTAATGCCTATGACTGACAGGGTATAAGGATATTTTTGACCCTTAATTGTTGTTACCTAGAGCTACTGCATCTGGAGTACATTCTCATTTTCTTAGAATAGTATTCCATCTGTAGTTGATTTAGGACATTGGTTATAATTAGTTACTACTAATTCAATCAGGTAGATTAACATAGAGTATACTAGGTAGAGTTTTTATGGAGTACTGGACTAATCCGTACATCGAGTCTATGAGTTACGGAGTACATTGAGTCTATCGGCGATTTGTCACGCACGAGGGGTCTTCCACCGACTTCCGCTGATAAATCACCCGTAATTTATCGTGTATCATACCGTAGTACCACGGATTTACGGAGTAGTACCTACCTAGTACCTAGTTACCTATATACCTACCAAGTTAGTACCTAGGTAGTATCACTACAGGTTCTGTCTCTCGATTATTAATTCTACAGATCAATTAAGCTTCACTTTGTTCCACAAACCAACTTTGAATTATTAATATCAGATAAGTCTAATAAGATGGTGCTCTAGTTACTACCTCGGTATTTACCGTTGACTCGGTCAGGCCGAGTTCCGTCCAGGTTATGAATCAGATCTTGATTCATAAATTATGATCACAGGAGTAGGTAGTTCTTAACTTCTTATACTCCTTGGTATTACCCAATACAATGGTAGTGCTCTGTAATTAATACTCCATACTTTATTCAAGGTAAAGTAATGCCTAATACCACTACATAACTACTCAGAGTACTCTGTCATGTAGGCTAAGCCCTAGGACCAACTGGTGCCAGCAGCGACAACACTGCACAGTCAGCCCCCAACACTCGGGTACGAAATACGAGACCCTGTCAATATGGTCTCTGCGCAGTGAGATCGATAAATAGATAACTTTATTTATCCCCTCCTACTCTATATTATTACAGTGTCAATAAAATGATAATCAAAATGATACTCTTCAGTTAAATCCGAATGTCCGTCGGAGATTTGGTCCGTTCACCTCCGAGCCGGAACGGACGAAAAATCGCCGAGGTCGAGACTCCCACTTACTCACGATTACTAAGGTAACTTCCCATTGCTTCGTATCCGTTCCCCGAGACACAGACTCATGATGTCATGACTGCACAGTGCACACTAAGTAATCAGTAGTCGCCGACTCGGGTGTATCTCCGTACGGGAACCCATCAAGGTCTAAGTTAGAGTTGAGTCCCATATGTCATACTTGAATAGCTGGAGCTAGTAGCTAGTAGCTACCGATTGACTCCTGGGGTACTCGGTCTCGGTGCTCGGTAGTCGCACCTGTCCGAGTCCATCCTGACTCACTGACTCACTGAGTATTGTGGAATCGTGGATGCTGATGCATAAATGATTAGGTAATATCATGCATACCGTGTTGCTTATATAATCCATGCACTGCATAACTATCACATGCTCTTGGCTCTGTCAAGTGACACTCGTGACTCCAGTGACTCTGAGTCTCTGAAGCTGCCTCCTCCTCCTCCTGCTCCTCTCCTCTCCTCTCCTCCTCCCTCTCACTGACACGGCTGCCACGACTGTCGCACTAGGGATCTGTATAGTGAGTGAGTCTTTTATCTCGAGTCCTAATTCTTGCCTTTCGCTAACTCTAAAGTATTTCCTCGGCTCCTCTCACAGATGCTGGTGGAGCTGCGGATTCTCCGGTCCAAGTGGATAAAAGTGGGCAGACTGTGGCAGATTGTGGCAGATTGTGGCAGGTGTGGCAGGCTGCAATCGTCGTCAACTACTAGGTTTCGGACCGGGGATACGTATATACTTGGTGCTGAGTATACTACGCTCCCGGGTAGTTAATTGATTCTCGAGCAATAGTTGACTCTTCGCTATTGACCAGGTAGATCACGGAATCGGTGCTCCGTACGGCATGTTTCAATATCGGCTCAGAGCCCTGTTTAAGCAGTGAGCGGCACGCTGCACATTCGGATCATCGCCGACTTCCCGTAGTCAATGCTTGGCAGTCCAACGTTAATCTACACCGGCCGTTGAAGATCGATATGGCTCTTCAAGCATCAGGTTTCTCACCCTCCCACAATCGCCTATATCCCCACGCCATGTTGAGTACGGGTCTTTCTGGGGTAGAACGAAGCCCACGTTGAGCGGGGAAGCGAGGGCAAAAACTGGGTACGTCCGGAGTAACTACTACGGAGTGCCAGTAGATACTACACTCTCTAGTAGTACGGAGTGCTAGTAGGGACTTCGGAAGTGGTCGGAGAAGATTCGGGACTTGGTCTACAGCCTAGCTAACTCGTAACTAGCAATCTACCTGCTCCATAGTTGCTTTGGTAGCGAGTCTAGCAGGGCAGGATGTGATGACGATCTCTCCCCAGAGTCCCCACGCTTACGTCTCCCGCTTAAGCATATTTCCCGCTACTGACACGTCCCCACGACTAGTGTTGAAGCCGAAACAGTGTACAGTGTGGAAGACGGGGAGGCAAACTGTTTCTGTTAGTGAAAACCCATCTGCCGTACGGCAAGTCACCCCATTCCTTTACCCGAAAGGGGAAGACTTCTTGGGAGGTAGACGTGGACGCCTACGTGCAGAAATCCTAAGGGAGGGTTGCCCCCACAGGCCTTGGGTGAAGTATAAAACAGAGGCGCAAGGCGCGTCTCCCTGGTCAGCTTAGCAGGTCCTCCCCAGCTCTCTCACTCTCGGTCCCCCCCCCAAAAAAAGAATAAACTTTCCATCACCATGGCCCGTCTTACGAGACTCGCGGCCACGGCTGCGGCGGCTGCCTCTCTGGCGCACGCCAGCTCGGCGACGCTGGACGACGTCTGCACTGTCTCATATGTGCAGTCGTCGCTGCCAGACGACGACTACTTGACCGGAGTCAGCACGTTTCCCGACACGGTGACGGCGGCGGTGGTGACCAACGCCTCCATCTCGGGTGAGAACTTCTTCCCGGACGCCGTCATCGACTTTTGCAACGTGACTTTTGCATACACGCACCGTGGCCGCAATGACACGGTGCTGGTCAACTACTGGCTGCCCGCGCCGGCCAACTTCGCCAACCGCTTCCTGGCGACGGGCGGCGGCGGCTTCGCCATCAACTCCGGCACGACCGTGTCCGGCTCACTGCCCGGCGGTGTCATGTACGGCGCCGTGGCAGGGCTGACGGACGGTGGGTTCGGCAGCTTCGACACGGAAGTGTCGAGCGCCATCCTCATCGAGAACGGCACGATCAACTATGACGCCCTGTACATGTTCGGCTACCAGGGCATCCATGAGATGACGCTGCTGGGCCAGGAACTCACGCAGACCTTCTACAACTCCTCCTCCACAAAGCTGTACAGCTACTACCAGGGCTGCTCTGAGGGTGGCCGGGAGGGCATGAGCCAGCTGCAGCGGTTCCACGACCAGTTCGACGGCCTGGCCATCGGCGCCCCCGCGCTGCGGTACGCCTTCCAGCAGGTGCAGCACCTGTGGGCGGGCTACGTGCAGAAGAAGCTCGACACCTTCCCGTCGACGTGCGAGTTCAGCAAGATCATGAACGCGACCATCGCCGCGTGCGACAAGCTGGACGGTAAGGAGGACGGCGTCATCGGCCGCTCGGACCTGTGCGCGCTCGAGTTTGACCTGCAGAGCATCGTGGGCGAGGCGTACTCGTGCGCGGCCGACTTCACCATCAGCGTCGAGTACGGCGCCGGGGCCGAGCCCGTGGACACGCCCGCCGTGAGCGGCAATGTCTCGCAGGAAGCCGTGACGATGATGAAGACCATCCTGGCCGGCCCCAAGGACTCGGAGGGCCGCCAGATGTACTTTTCATACCAGCCGGGAGCGTACATCGACGACTCGGTGACCGAGTACGATTCGACCACCGACACGTGGGGGCTGGACATCTCCGCGCTGGGCGGCGAGTTCGTCACCCTCTTCCTCGAGAAGGTCGAGCTGGACAACCTGCCCACGCTGGACGGGGTCACGGCCGACACGCTGAAACACTGGATCATGCAGGCCTGGACCGAGTTCGAGGATACGCTGCAGACGACCTGGCCCGACCTGACCCTGCTGGCCGAGTCGGGCGCCAAGATCCTGCACTTCCACGGCGAGCAGGACGACTCCATCCCCACGGCCTCCTCGGTGCGCTACTACGAGTCCGTCCGCAGCATCATGTACGGTGACCTCAACACCACCGCCTCCTACGCCGCCATGGACGAGTTCTACCGTCTCTTCCTGGTCCCCGGCGGCGCCCACTGCTCGCCCAACACCGCCCAGCCCAACGGACCCTGGCCCCAGACCAACCTGCAGGTCCTCATCGACTGGGTCGAGGCCGGCGTCGCGCCCGCCACCTTGAACGGCACCATCCTGCAGGGCGACCAGGCCGGCGACAACCAGCAGATCTGTCCTTGGCCGACTCGTCCGTACTGGTCCAACGACACCGCCGCCAACCCGGACTGCGTCCACTCGGATTCCATCGAGGCTATGATTTATGACCTCGACGCTTTCCGCATGCCTGTCTACTAGAATTGTGCACGAGAGTAGTATTCCGATGTTAATTCATAGATCTTCATTAGTTGTACGTTTCGGTCATCCCCACCTCTTCCGATCGGAAGCGTTCGGAAGTCACATAATGAATAACTAATTATATAATCAAGTAGTATATAACAAGTACTTTCCTATATCTCCATACTCTCTATACTTCTCACTCCCATTCTATGCCCATTCTATTCTATTCTATTCTATTCTATTCGCAATGCACATCGCTATTATCGGAGGAGGCATCGCGGGAGTCACCCTGGCGATCGCCCTGCACCACCGCAACCTCTCCGTAACGCTGTACGAACAAGCCGGCGAGTTCAGCGAGGTGGGCGCGGGGGTCTCCTTCAGCCCGAACGCAGTGCAGGCCATGCGCCTGTGCCACGAGGGGATCCACGGCGCGTTCGAACGGGTGTGTACGCGCAACCTGTGGCCGAGCAAACAGAACGTCTGGTTCGATTATTTGGACGGACTGTCTACCGAGGGGAAACGGCAGCCCATCCGCTTCACGATTTCAAACTCTCTCGGTCAGAACGGAGTCCATCGTGCACATTTCCTAGACGAACTCGTCAAGTTGCTTCCGGATCATGTCGCGCAGTTCAACAAACGGCTCGACACTATTGAAAAAAAGGAAGCAGATGGAGAAGATGGTCGGCTCCGGTTATCCTTTACGGACGGTTCATTCGCAACGGCAGATCTTGTCATCGGGTGTGATGGCATTAAATCGCGGGTGAGGCAGATCTTGCTGGGTGATGCCCATCCCGCTGCTAAACCGGGGTATACGCATAAATACGCTTATAGGGGGTTAGTTCCTATGGAGAAGGCCGTCGAAGCTATAGGAGAAGAGTTGGCTTCGAATGCATGCATGCATGTAAGATTTACAAAACCGGAAAGATTTACAAAGCTGTGGTGAAGATTTTATTGACAATGTGTGTACAGATCGGTCCGAAAAACCATATGTTGACCTTCCCCGTCAACCAGGGCAAAACGTTGAATATCGTCGCCTTCCACTCCTCCCAGGACGAATGGAAGGAGTATCCCCGTTTGACGCGGATGGGGACCAGAGACGAAGCTCTGGCCGATTTCCACGCGTTCGGCGAGAATGTGACGCGGTTGTTGAAGTTGACGGACGAGCAGTTGTCGGTGGTAAGCTCATTCATCCTACATTCTTGTGTCTCATACTAATGATGTAGTGGGCCATCTTCGATCTGGCAGACCATCCAGTCCCGTTCTTCAGTAAAGACCGCATCTGTATCGCCGGCGACGCCGCCCACGCAACCTCCCCCCATCACGGCGCAGGAGCAGGCTTCTGCCTGGAAGACTCGGCCGTGCTGGCGGCCTTGCTGGCGGACGGCAGCGTCCGGTCCCACGCGCACATCAAGGTCGCCCTGGCCGTATACGACGATCTCAGGCGGGAGAGGGCCCACTGGCTGGTCCAGAGCAGTCGCTTCATGGGCAACGGGTACCAGTGCATGGCTGACGGCGTGGGCAGCGACCTCGGCAAGCTCGAGGCGGAGATCAATCGCCGGAATGCCATCATCGCCGACTTTGATGTCGAGGCCTTGTGTCGCGACGCGACGGCCGAGTTGGCCAGCCGATTGAGCAGTTTATAAGCAGCAGTAGTTACCTCGGTACCTCGGCGAACTACCATTGTATACCTTTGTATACCCTTGTATAACTAGAAGGCTAGATATATATAAGCTTCGAAGCAAGATTAGTTTTAGGACAGCCACACACTCTTCCCCGGAACCAGCATCAACCCCATCAACCGCTGCACCAGATCCGTCAGCGCCTCGTCTCCCGCCGGAGTCCGGTTCACCATCGACTCGATCGACATCCGGTTCGCCAGTTTCTCCAGCTCGCGCTTCTCCGCCACGGCCTTGAACGCAGACACTGTTGGCGCCAGCCTCTGCAGGAAATTCGCCGCCGACGGATCCGCCTGGCCGCAGAAGGTGAGGATCTCGAGGCTACATTCCACCAGCTGCATGTCGTCCGCCAGTGTCGACGCCGCTTGTCCCATCAGCAGGCGGTGTGTCATGCTCAACAGGAGAAGAATGCTCGAATGGAATGACGTGTTACTATTATCAATTAGTCAAACCATGCAAGATAGGAAGATTGAATGGTCACCCACATGACGAGCCAGCAACGCTGGAAAACTCCGTTTTGCCGGTAGAGCATGAAGCACATCTGGGACTGCTGCCGCGTGACAGCCGTATAAGCGCTGTGGATGCACGCCGAAGACTGGAGAAAGCCCATGACGCTGAACGGATCTCCTGCTGTAACCGTCCGCCACGTCGTCCCCAGCACGTGCTGGTAGAGCAGCACATGGCTGCCGATGTGGATCATGTGCACGAGGAAGAGCGCCCGTCGCCGGGGAGCGGACAGACCGTCGTCACCAACCTGCAGCAGCGTCTGGAGCTGCAGCGCGGCGGGGAGCTCTTGCGACCAGCGGTCGGCCTGTCGCAGACGTTCGTTCACCGTCTCCCACGCCGGCTCCTTCATGTGGCAGATCTCCGAGTAGATCTGAGCGCAGAGCAGGGCGATCCGGCTCATTTGCATCTGGATCAGGTCTGCGCTGACCACATCTGGGTCTTCGACACGCAACTGCGAAATCTATAGGGAAACCGTGAGATGACTGGTCATTTTGTTTATCTAGATGGCGCGGGAAATCTTACCAACACCATGTCCTTGTTCGTCAGTTTGAAACTGAACCCAAGAGTGAAGGAGAGCCAGCTAAACAAAGTCAGGAAAGGAGCCAAAAATGCATATATTATATCTACACCACAGACGCACCATTCCATAAAGGCTAATGTTCGCATAAGCCGCGCCCATTCGGGCCATGTTTCTTCTTCAGCGCTGTGGATCCGGCCAAGAAGATTGTACCGAGCGATCTTGAGACCGTAGGCTATAAACAGCATCAGTTTTTTGACGAACAATGCCGGAAAAAGAGAATCTCTCACTCACCAATCAACCTCGGCGCCCGTTGGCGTTTCTCCATGATCGACACCATTGACAGACAGATAAACACCCGCATGCTGCGCATGTCATCCTTCTCCATGGTACCATGCATGAGAGCACACGCGTATCGGAAGTATAGATCTCTCATTGCAGACGGGATCTGGGTGACGGCATACTGGCTGCCGATCGCCGCGAGGGCGCACATGTCACAGATGTCCTCCGTGTCGATCGTGTCACTGTGGTACACCTCGGTGATCAAGGCTGCAGCCTCCTCTTCTGTCGTGATATAGAATAACGTCGCGCCGCATGAGAAGAATGCGTGGATCGCCTGTCGGGTGAGCTGCTCGGGTGGAAGGTTAGAGACCTTGACCTCCGCTATGAAAGCGTCTGGGTCGGGTCCGACGGCCTGCATCAGAATCTCGCCAATGCTATCAGGGGGCATCGTCGGCATCGTCGCATCTTGCGACATTGATGGCTCCGTCGGAGGCGTTTGTCCAGGCGAACTGCTATCCTTGGCCGTCCGCATGCTGCTGGCGCTGGTCGAATCGGAATCACCACCTCTCAGCTGCTGCAAAAGCTGCGCGGCATCGGCATCTGTACTGCCCTTAAGCCGTTCGATGATACTCTTGAGGCGCTCATTCTCGGCCTGTAGCCTATCGACTCGTGATTTCCAGACAGCTTTTTTGCGGTTGTCATCTTGCTCGTAGATACATATCTTCCCGTTCTCCGTACATCGCATGCACGACGGCAACGTGGCAGAACACTTTTTTTTCGATTAGTTGATATTTCCCAACGTCACGTTTTTCCAAGCCAATATTGAGATCTTACTTTGAGTCGCCGCGATCGGCAGTTATTACACGCTATCGATACGTTTTTCCTCTTGGCAGAATGCGCGTGGCCGTCGTCGCCTTCGACAGGCAGCACGGATTTTGTTGCGCTCATCGCTGTGACGCTTATTATTGACTCCTCTCCTTGGAGAGGAAGCAACCCTCAGGTCGGTTCGACCAGGAGGAGGGGGAAATGCCGGGGGGGAATAAGGATGAAAGCGTCGGCCTGTTGGTGGAAACAGGAATTGTTTTCCGGTTCAGCAAGGATTTTAATGTGACATTATTGATTCGATGGCGTGTGGTGCGGAACTGGTCACTTTCTGATCAACCAACAGCAGTCTGCCCTCCCGCTATATCGTAGGTATCGGGTAGTATCAGTTGGTATCAGTTGGATTATGGTGTTATATCCTTCCTCCCCGCTATGAGGCCTGGACTGGGGTAGAAAGGAAAAATTGATGGGATTTGCCACAAATGATCCGGCCCCAGTGGACGATCGGCGCTGTCGGTGGCAAAGAGGGGTCAGATAATTATAACTACTTCCTTATTATTATTATACAATAATAATAGGAAACGTGAATTTGGATTCTCAGTTCAGAAGAATAATCTAAACAGAAAAAAAAATTGTTAGTTATATGCATAGTCCTCTATATGAAACCATCAAAAAGGTTTTCGGAAATATACTCCTACTTTGCGTCAATATATATAACTATATATATTGTGTGTATCACCTCCGCCAGTCTTATCTTCTTACTGGTCATAAAAAAAAAAGAGATATGGCAGGTAGACTGACAGAAAGCTGGTCATTATTGTCACTATCAGCTACAGAGCAAACATTGATCGTGCAAGATAAATACACATACCAGGAGGATCAACGCCGCGTATCTAGTGGTCGAGTAGATGAATGTCTAGCTAGCAAGACGGAGTTGTGTGAGGGTCGAGTCGTCCATATCAGAACCTTGATCATTTTCGACGCGATGATGCTATTGATAATGTGTTCACTTTAGAGCTCTCATTCACTAGTACTTCCACGATGCTGTGGAGACCTGATTGCCAAATGCCAAGGAGGTTGAGAACTGGCCCGTCATCTGATGCAGATAGATTTCGATCGCAGCCAGGGGGTTAGGTGAAACGATCGGTGGTGTCTCTTGACATTGCAGGCGGCCCCAACGGCAGGGAGTGATGAGTTAATTGTAGTGTTTGAGAATTGTAAGCAGGTTCAATACTGAATCCATCGATCCGAATATTCAAATCAACCGCCACGGTGTTCCTCAGAGGGCCATTGTGTGAAGGCTGAGAGGTGAAGTGTACCTAGGAGAGACTCGCAGGTTTGGGGACTTGAACTTTGAAGAGCAGACATCACGTGCTTTATCCTTTGGGCCCAAATAGGAAGGAAGAGCAGGTGACAAAACACTAGTACCAATTTGGTATAGCTGCAAAGCCACTTCTAGCCATGCGTGGCTTGAAAGTCGGCGACGCGTTGTGGGATCGCCTCAATCCAACGATACTTGCTCGACGAACCAATACAGCCACAGCTAATGTAAGTGCTAGCAATCCTTTCCAATGACTGCTCTTCCTGATTTGCGTACAGCTTAATATACCAGGTGAAAATTGGCTGCGACTGCAATATCGTTCACCATGTTGAAGGTGGAAGATCACGATTCAACGAATCCACAGGCGAACATCGTCAACTGGGACTCCGAGATGCAACTTGTCTCGTCGCTCAACAAGCTGCAAGAGCTTGAAAAGAGGGTACCACACCCTCTTTCTCTTTTGTTTTTTTCTTCTTTTTTTTTATGTTTTTTTCTAATAGATTAGATTCACCAACTCCGCACGTTACTGCCCGACCGGCTGCTGTTACCTCTGCGACCCATCACGCAGCCCGAGGCGGCGAAGCAGATGCCTCGGTCGCCGCAGGTACTCCTGCAGGAACTGAAGGAGTCTGCACGCAGCGGGGTCGCAGAGGTAGGGACCTTCCAGGCGATGTGGCAGAGCCCGGAGATGGCGGCGGTGTGGGCACGCGTGGACGAGCGGATCCGCGACAACGGCGGCGAGCTGTTGCAGCCGTCGGGGGTATGGGAGCGGGACTACGACGTGCTGCTCGAGGGACTGGTCGGTTCCGAACGCGAGGAGAGGCAGCACCGCGAGCAGGCCGAGCGGGAGGCCGCGAATTCCAAGGCGCAAGCGGCCGAGGGTGACTGGCGGAGCGTCGTCGCTGCGTTTGCGACGCGAGGCGTGCCGGGCGTCCATGTCCTATCCAGCTCCACCGAAGAGCGTATTGTTACGATCGTCCTGGTGCGAGCGGGGATAACCTTCCAAGCACAGAATGTCTGCAGTCTGGACAACAGCGGAGCGCCCGAATGGCTGGTCTCGATCAAAACAGCTCCTGGCACGACGAGGACGAAACTCGAGACAGCCGTCTGCGACTGTCTGAACCAGCGAGGGCGAAAGTGGGATCTATCTTATTTACTTGTACGCCCCCTCCCCTCTTCTCCCCCAATCCTACATTCAAATAGTGTTTCTCTAACCAACTAGGATATGATTTCATCCTATTCAACCATCAAGCAAACCCCCTGCAAAAAATGCCAGCAGATGACAGACCGCACCGCCCAGCTGCCTACCATCCGCCGATACCAGAATGGCAACTGGGAAGCCTACCACGAAAGCTGTTAACTTCCAACCAGTAGATAACTACTAGGTAGTAGGTACATAGCAACAATTAACAACATGAACAACAGGCTTGGTCACTGTGCGCCCCATAAACCACATCATGCCAGTATTCAGCCGGATACTCTTCCCCCCGCCAATCCCAGAACCGCCTCGGGATCAAATGGCGGCCGCCGCGCCTAGACGACCCATCACAGTACTGCACGCCGCTCCACGAACTCTTATCAGGGACTCTATACCGTCTCTGTCGGAAATCATACCGCTCAGTCGACGGGGACTTGCTCTTATCTCGTCGGCGTCGTTCCGCGCAGTGTTGTTGTCCTCCTATCAAATCGTCCTGTCTTCTTCCCGTCTTCTTCTTCATCCAACCAGACCACTCCTCCATCTTTGGAGCATTGCTCTCGATCCGTCCAATGAAGATACCGGGCCCCCTTCCGGTGATGATATCCAAGACCCGCCACCGGCGCGGCCAGTGTGTTGGGTTTCCGGGTCTGGGGTCTTTCGGCCAGATCCAGCCGAGGGTCATTTTAAATAAGAAAGAATAGATAATAAATATATCGCATGGACAACAGGGAGGGAGGGAGAAGAATACCTTATATATATATAGACCTAGAGCTACATACGTACAAAGAAGCACTACAGATTGTTATCCCATCAGGCCTAGTGTAACATTAAATGTTTGCTCTATTAGAGTATAAGACAATTCCGAACGCTGCTAAGAACCAAAGATCAACGCCGAAGAAAAAGAAATCCCAACCTAATGATGATCATGAAGGAAATCGCTGCTCGATGCAAACCATATATTCATGGAAGAGAAATATGTCGAAGGATTTAATGGAGAAGGAGGATTAGATCGATTAGAGAGTCAACATGCGCGTCCCCCCCACGAACCAGGTGAAGGAGAGGACGGTGATGGTGAACATGCCGGCGGCGAATTTGAGAGCGTTGCGCTCCATTTCGGAGAAGGCTCCGCTGCAGGTGACGCAGAGATATTCTGGGCATGAATTAGATTGAATTTTTCATTTTTACAACTCATCTTCATCCCCATATCTTACCATTTAGTGGAGTATATGGCTGCGCAGTGTACATGGCAAAAGTGGTCGAGGCGGCCGACAGATAGCCCGGGCTGGCGGTGTCACTGATAGACTTGCTGGCGTCATAGATGATCAAGGTGTAGGTGGCAGTGAGCAAGGGTGCCGTGGCAGAGCCCTTGTAGTTGTTGGTATCCCAGGTGACACGGCCAGTCGGGCCCACGCTCATGTTGCCGGAGATGGTATAGATCTGGTCGTTAAGACTGCATGAGGCGACGACGTTGACGGCCGACGGGGTCACGGATAGCGAGGTGTAGTTCCAGGCAAAGGTCACGTACTCGCCGATGCGGTAGTAGGTCGTCGAGCCCGCGGAGGGAGTCATCATGGAGATACCGCCCGCCGCGGCATCGGCGGGGATGGAAGAGGTGGTTGTGTTGCCCGACGATGTTCCGGTAGATGTCCCCGTGTCGGTGCCTGTCGTGGTCTTTGTATCTGACTTGGTCGCCGTCGTCGTCGACGTATCAGTGCCTGTTGAAGTCGATGTTGACGCCGAGGTTCCTCCACTGGAAGTGCCTGTCTCTGTGGCGGTCGTGGTCGAAGAGGCTGCCGCGCCCGTGGTGGCCTCGGTGGTAGTGGAGGAGGTCGACTTATCTGCCAAAGATGAGCATCTACAGCCAGACGGAATCAAGAAAGAAAAGCAAAAGAATCCTTACCAGCTCGCTTGTTGACCACCTCCCCGTGTGTCAACCCATACGGCCGCCACGGCCAGGCCGCCGACAGGGTTGCGAGCAGGAGGATGAAGAGCAAAGGAAGACCACGCATGGTGGAGCGGTAGTAACCGTAAACAAGATAGAAGTATAGAGCAACAGACGATGAATCAACAAGAGCTCTCTTTTTTCTTCTTCTCAACGAGTGTGGTGTTCTTCTCCCCTCTCACTAAACCTCAGTCACTGGGCCAGAGGGTGAAACATGCAGATCAGAGACACCAAGAGGGGGGATTGTAGAAACACCCGACTCCAGACCGGCGAGGCAGACGGAGACAACAACAGCAACGGCAACAGCAACAGCAAACAACACGCCAAACGAAGGTGTGGAATGTGGATGGGAGCGAGCGACTGGCAAGAGAATCCAGGGGAGGGAAAAAAAGACGATAGCCCGACCGGGGAAGGGCAGTTGGAGGTGCAGCTGGTCTGTTTGTCTGGTATGCAGGGCCTATTTTTGGCGTGTCTCGGCTGGACGATTCTCCGGCTAAACCCTTGACCCTCCGACCCTGAGCCGACCCTGGCCTGACCCTGACCCCAGACCCTTAACAGGTACAAGTATAGTGGTACTTCGGTAGGTATTTAGGTAGGTACCTACCTTAGGTAGGTAGTTGTCTCTCCCTCTTACATTTTCTCACAGTTTGATCTACTCTTCTTCACGAATAATTATCTATTAATTCCAGTAATTAATTACTACAAGTACTCCTGCTGTACTTCGCTCTGCACATTGACTAACTAGTTTAGTACTAGCCTGCTAGTCCGCTCTGTAATACAACCGATCAATAATAAAATCAATAGTCGCATCCAATGTTCCGACAACAGACATAAAACTCATGCAGAATCATCATTATCATCCTCCGTCCCTCGCATTAATAGATCCCATGATATCATGTCTCGATCATATGTATTCTGGAACAAGATCGACCGTGCTGCAGGACGAGGGCAGCGTAGGCGAGATGAATCGGTACAGCCAGAAGAGCTGGGGAGCCCCATGCCACCAATCGCAGACTGAAAGAATGAGAAGGCCGTTAGGTAGGTGGTTACCTAGGTATGTCGTGTAGAATAATCAAGATAACTCACCCAACCATCCGCCAAACCCATCGGCTTCAGACCACTGTACTCCGGTGTCGTTGAGGGAGAACCCGGTCGTTCCGTACCCGGCGTTGATCTCGACGAATTCCCAAGCTACATTGTCAACAAATATATTTATATATATATATATATATATATATATATATATATATATTTAAGAGTCTCTTAAGAATCTTACCAGCATAGTTTGTATCCGCTCCCATGGAAAAACTCCAGGAAAAAGGCGTCCCGAGATCGAACTCGAGGTACGTCTCGTTGAGAAAGGCCTTGGCGGCCGTCGCCGTGGACGAGGTGAGCACCGCGTCGTTCAACCCAGCTCCCGTATGGTACGCCTCGACGTAGAGGTTATTATGCGCGTCGTTGGTCGACGAGGTGGTCTTCAGCAGGAACTCCTGGGTCGTGTTGATGGCGCGGGGGAGGAGGAGTGGGCTGGCGGTTGCCAGGGCGAGCGAGGCCAAAACAGAGAACAAATGATACATTATTATAAGTAAATTAGGGGAGGTAGAAAAGATATTACTGAGAATAAAAGAAAGAGAAATACTATGCTGGTTGTATGTACTGATAGAAGATGTACGGAGTACCTGTGAGGTGGTAATGATGATGTAGAAAGAGGAGGAAAAACGCTTTCTTATGTCTGTCCCACCGTCGGTGCAGATCCGTTACGAGGAGATCCTCCACGGCCAAGGACAACATTATCGTGTCATTGTGGAGATGATCATCTGAGACGGCCAGTAATAAGATTAAACCAGTGGAGTTGAAGGACCTTCATTTACCTACTCTGTCGGAGATGAGCTGCTCGGTACTACTACTACACTATTAACTACTATTCTTCAGGGATCTGCCAATTTCAGCCCTTTGACTCAAGCCGTTACGTACCACGTACTGCTGGATGGACCGTGCGATCGACACGACGGACAAATATCCCAGTCTCACGCCTGTCCCATGGTTGGTTCAGATGGATGCACTCTGTACTTAATACTATGTAACTGGAGTAGTAACTACCAAGTTACTGAGTAAGTAGTTACTGATACTCAGTACTCCGTACTAGTTGTGGATAGTCATTCTATAATGATAATAACTGTCTTGCAAGATCAAGCAGATTTATTAATAGTAATGAATAGAAATGATATTGACATCATCTCGAAACTCAATTACACCCTTCAAGACGTCACTTGGTAGATGATCCATGGTTGAGGGTCGGATGGTCCCAGGCACACTATGACTAAGAAGTCATGCAGTCATTGACATTAGTATTATCATATCGACATTATTCATTTCTATGCTCCAGAATACGAGCACGGTGGCCGTTATTCTATGGCCTTGCGTACGCCGACTTCAGCGTCCACTGGCTCCGTCCACTGCGCCCCCCCGGCGTGATCTCTGCGATCGTCCGCAGGATCTCCTTGAACTCGGCGGACCGGCGAGGCGTGTCGCACTCGTGGTTGAACCGGTCGATCAGCATCTGCGTGTACACCGTCCCGCCGTGAGAGATCATAAAGTCGCGGATCCGCGTGAGAAAGTTCACCGGTGCTGTGCCAGCAGCCCCGTTGGTGGGTAGCGACGCCGACGCCGACGACGACGACAAGGATTGTCCCCGGCTCGAGAGATTGGCCAGCACGCTCGCCGATGAAGGTCCTGCACCCGCCCGTCGCGCCCGGCTGCTCGCTCCTCCTCTCTGCTGGAAGGCCGGTCGACCTGCGACTCCACTCTGGCCCGTCCAGGTGGGTGTGCCGATGGGGACTGACCGAGCTGCTTCGCCGGCACGCCGGAGCTCCTCGGCCGCTTCGGCAGCAACACGTTTGGCTTCGGCCTCGATGATCTTGGGATCCGCTCGGATGACGCGCTTGCCGTTGACGATCTGCTCGTGCTCCATCGCAGAGTGGACCCCGGATTTGGAGAAGATGCCCTGCATGATCCGCGCTTCCGAGTTGGTTGCTTCCGAGTCCGTCTCCTTGTCTTTCCCCTCGGACTCGTCGTGGTATTCTTCTAGTCCCGATACGCCGGCTATCGCCCGGATTTTGCGTGTCTCACCGCCCTCCTCCGACTTGATATCCTGCCGACCTGTATCATACGTGACCTGCGCATCTTTGAACAGCTTGCTGGTCTCGGTTTCCGACTGGGTATCCGGCTGGAGTGTGAAGAGATCCTGGAGATCACTCAATTGGAAATTCTGCCTCTGTTTCGGGTCTTTCAAGATTTTGTTGGACAAGAATTGCTTGTAGATCTGACGGTGATAGATCTTCTCCTCGATGGTGCCCTTACACACCAGCCGGCATATCATCACCTCACGCTTCTGGCCTAGTCGCCATGCGCGCTCGCGTGCCTGCAGATCCGTGGATGGATTCCAGTCCGGATCGAAGATGATCACCCGGTCCGCGCCGGTGAGGTTGATGCCCAGCCCACCCACCTTGGTTGTCAAAAGAAAAATATGGATCTCCGGGTCGTTGTTGAACTCGTCCACAATCGCCTGTCGTTTTTCCACGGCTGTCTCCCCGTCCATCCGGCGGTAGTTGAACCCGGGCATCGCGCTGATGAGTTTCTGGAGAATATTCAGAGTGATCTTGTGTTGTGCAAAGAGCAGCGTCTTGTGGCCCGTCTTTTTCCACAGCTCCAGCAATGATTGGACCACTTCCATTTTCCCTGACCGCTTGGGGTTGCCGTAGTCTGCCTTATGGGAATTCATCTCGTGCTCTATCAGGTCTGTGTGGTTACAGATCTTCCGGAGAAGGTCGATTCCGTAGAGTACTTCCTTTCGCTTATTCAGGATCGCAGTCATGTCCGGCGAGGCAAGAAACCGTTCGTAGGCCGTTCGTTGGGCCGGCGACAGTTTGCAGAACAGAACCTGTTCGGATTTGTTTGGCAAATCTGCGGCCACGTCCATTTTGAGTCGTTGCAGCAAGAAAGGACTGATGGCGTCCTTGAGTGTTTCGGCGCATCGGGCCGCAGTCTGAACTTGGAGATTGGAGGCATTGGCATAGCCGCCCTGGCGAATGGGGATGTCGAACTGGTTGCGAAAACTGACCAGAGTTCCCAAGCGCATGGGGAACACAAAATCAAACAAGGACCAGAGTTCTGTCAGGTTGTTCTGCATCGGAGTTCCCGATAGGATCAAACGGTGGGGAGTCCGGAGCTCTTTGGCGTAGATGGTGATGGTGGTGTCCGGATTGCGAATCTTGTGTCCTTCGTCCAAGATGACGTAGCCCCATTCGACGGGGGTCAATAAGTCGGAATAGGTATGCAAGCCGGCATAGGTCGTCAAGAGCACATGGCCTTCTTGAACGACGCGTTGAACAATTTTCCTGCCGGCTTTGTGCCGTTTGGGAACTCCGCTGCGGCCATTGGAGCTCCTCCACATTTGCGATGTAAGCATATCTTCTCGGTTACTCTCGCTCCCAACGTTAAGCATGCCACTGCCGGTTGAATGCAGGATAGAGACACGAAAAGCAGGCCACCAGCGATGGAACTCTTGAACCCACTGTTGCAACAGGGTGGCCGGGCAGACCACAAGCGCCGGTTTGGTGAATTGCTTGCTGTGGTGGAGGCTGGCTAGAAAAGCAATGACCTGGATTGTCTTGCCCAATCCCATTTCATCTCCAATGATCCCTCCAACACGCTGCTGGTGGAGCTCCCATATCCATTTCACCCCAGTCTTTTGGTAGTCAAAAAGCAGAGGGAAGATGTCGCCAGGAATGCGAAGGCCTTGATCTAAGATCGTATCCGGAACGGTGGGATGTGGCATATACCATTCGTCCTGCTCGCCTTCCTCTTCTTCTTCGGAAACCAATCCACTACTGGCAGTGGCACGTTTCCGAGCAGCGGATCGGCGACTGGCCCAGTCTTGAAGTCGGGTTTGATACATAGCTTCGTTTCCATCGTCGTGTACTTCGGATCTCTTGGTTTTGTGCCGGACTGGAATCGCCCGCTCCGGTTGGCCCTCGGGGAGAAATTCTTCTTCGTCTTCGGACTCTGTTTCCTCGATGGCCACGTAATTTGCGGAATCATCATCGTCATCTGACAGCGCATCCGCCGAAGAACTGGTCCTCGACTTGGCACGTTTCTTTCTGGGCGAAAGCCCTTGCTGGAGGGTTCGGCGCTTTTGTCCCACACTCGTGTCGCTAGTCTCGTTGAACCCAAGATCAGGAAGCCGAAGCTCACGATGGGAGACGGCAGAACCGTTCTTGGCCTGTTCCAGCGCCTCCTGCTCAGCACGCTCATCTTCCGCATCAATCAAAGCATTCTGGAGGTTGGCAAAGGGTCCCTCGTTAGGGCCAGCACCCATGTTGGAGAATGGTGTGATTTTCCCGGTCCGGATGAGGTAGTCTCTGCGTGACTCATTAGGCAAGCGACCGGATCGACTAATTTCTTCATCATCTTGGCCTTGCTGTCTCTGGTCGAGGCGTTCCTGGATATCTCGGAGGTCTGTTTCAATCGACGACAGGCGTTCTTCCAGCCTACCGATTTCGTTTTGCGTGCGGACTCTGGCCGAAGTTCCGATCGGCTGGGAGAGGCGTTGGTGGAACTTGAGGATCTGAGTCTCTAGTTTTCTAATGAATATCAGTAAACTAGTATTCGAAGTGAAAGTTAAGACAAGCATACTCTTTCTCTTTCAAAGTCCGTTCCAACATCTTCTTATCACGTTCATCAGCTTGCTCCGCGAGCTCCTTATCAGCCTATGGATTCATTAGCAATAGTCGGAGACATGAAAGAATATCAGGCCGTAGTAAAATACCTTTCGAGACAAGTCTCGTTCAATGTCGTCCTGCGCTCGAATATCGGTGTGGAGCCTTTGCAGGAGGCTCATCTCATCGTCCACCACCACCGTGCCAGTGGGATCAGAGCTTGAACCAGATGCTTGTCCATCTTCTGGAGCCTCTCCCACGGTATTCTCTGGAGCCGACGGGTCCATCCTGTCTGTCCCTGACTCTTCAGACATGACGATAGGCGACCCTCAAAGGAGAGGGCGCCTTCCTGTCCTTTTGAGGGAATACGATCAAATCGTCCGGCCTCACCCACAGCCCCGTACCACTTGACTAACTCCCTCCGTGTCCACAGTCCTCTCCCTTTGTGTTCCTCCGCTGTAGCCTGAAATCGAGATGGCGGATAACGAGGGCGTCGACGGCGTTAGGGAAGAATATATAGGAGAGAGAGCACTAGGTGAGTAGTAAGAATCCATATATAAGACATACAGACCCCAGACAACAACGACCATCAACCACCAGCACACAGGAGACGTCGAAAGGCAAATCGCCTCCAAGGCCCTTCCCTGATCTGTTATCGTGAGAAATATGACGGCAGAAAAGTTTAAAGTCTCACCGCCCAACCCACCGCCAAAATAGCATTGCTTATGTAACCAATTGCATAACTAGTTATTTATAGCAAGTTCATAACTAAGTACTACATACCCAGGTAATAAAAGAGACAGTTTACTCATTAACTAATTACTGGAAGTAAGTAAGAAAAAAACCTCTAGATACTTAGTATACTTCTTATTCATGGTTTGCTAGAAAATCTAGTGATCTGTCTCTATGGTGCACTCTAAACCTTCTTCCAAATCTCGGTGTCTAGACTTGACGCATGCGGTACTAACGATTGATGGCACACCAGAAGCTGAGTTTTTATCTACTCCAGTATGGTTGAAGGTCTGCTGTGACTGATACTATAACCAGGCGTTAATAAATATTAGACTTGATGATTTTATATTATACTGTAATATATTAATATTATTTAATATCCTTGACTAGTTATTATCCACAACAGTAAGGTGAATTGGCTTTGAGAGCGAGTATTATGTTAGATCCAGGTAGCTACTAGGTACTCTTCATCACTCAGTCCACACCTACTCCATAAGTATTATCATCAAATGTATGGAGTAGCAACTGGCAGGATTAATCGCTGAAAACAGGATTATTTCACTGGGGAACCCCAGTCTTTGCCTCTACCCTGGACTCGAGATGCTGCGCCGCTAAAATCGCGACTCGACCGTACGCCAGATCTAGCCTCGATCAATATTAGATTCCTGTAGTATAAATAGATCTAGAACTTTCTACATATGAAATAACAATGATAATTTTGCCAAGTAGTAGGAGAAGTAGTAGTAGAAGTAGTAGTAGAAGTAGTAGTATCTGCCCAACGCTGCCTGCTGCCTTGCTGCCTCGTTGCCTGCTGCCTGCTGCCTCAGGCACCAGGCCTCGCCTCCCGAGTGACTCGTCCTCGCTCGCTCTCTTCCGGTTGCCAGCCCAGCCCAGCCCAGCTCCCCTCCCACTCCGCATCTCCAGCGTCTCGCTACCTCCTCATCCTGCCCCCCTCCTCTGGAGTCGCCCGTCTGTCTTGCGGGCTCCAGAAGTGGCTCGTCTCTCCGCCTGCCTCAGCAACCGTTGCGGTGTTTTGTCTTGTCGCGTATCCAACCAACCCGCCTGAGAGAGCCTGATTGCTCCCTCTCTCTACCAATTGCGGCTCGTCTCCCGCCCTCCCCCCCCCCAAACACACAGCACCTGCAAACCACTGCTGCTTGCCGAAGTCTCGCTGCACCGTTTCTCGCTGGATCATGACGCTGGCTGCGATCCAATAATTTCTGCTGTCGATCCTGCCATCGATCCCCCGGTGATCTTTCGCACTGCTCAGTGCCGAAGCTGGTTACGTGTGTGGTCGTTTCCCCTCCCCTCCTCCGATCGCAGTGCCCTTGTGCGCGGTCGACGGTGCCGAAGCCTTGCACCGCGACTCGAGAACACCACACGCAATCGGCGAACAATCAGACTGGTACCGAGAGATGGATTCGCAGTGGCAGGCCTTCCAGGATCCCTCGGCGGGGCGTGCTGCGCCGTTTGGCAATAATAATGGGTTGACGTCTCACTCCCAGCAGCTCGCCGCCCGATACGGCGCCCAGCCCCCGCCAGCGCCCTCAGCGCCGGCAGCACCGCTGGGATACACCTACGAGACCTTCCAGGGTCCTACCGCTGCGACGAACCCGCCTGCGATCGGCTCCAATGCCAACCCGCCTGCCATGGGCTCCTCGTCCAACGCCACGCCACGCGGCCGCGATTATGTCACGGATGCCGATGCCACCATGGAGGACGCCGATCCCTACAACCGCGCCAAGTATCCCACGCGGCCCAATCCTCACAGTCGTGCCTCATCGCAGTTTCTTGCTCAAACACAGGAGGAGTCTACCGCCGCCCGCAGATACTCCCCGATGAATGCCCTCTCCTCGTCGGCGCCCTTCAATAACGGCAGCCCCAGCAAGGCCCAGAGCCTATATGCCTTTGCTCCCGCCTCGAGCCATGCCCGTCGGTCCTCGCCAACGAGACCCGATTACTCCTCATCGCCGCAGGTCTATCAGTCTCCTCCATGTGAGTTCCATTGTTGGATCTTAATATTTTTGTTTTCTTTTTCTTTTTTTCTCTCTTTTTTGGGACAAATGCGCTGACTTATGCCCGGTCCCAGCGGGATCCCGACCTCCACGCTTACCGCCGCTCCAGTCGGCTGACATGAGCCCCGACCAGTATTTTCCGCCATCGGCTGGTTCACAGTCGAGCATGGCCTTCGGTCAGGAAGCCAGATCCCCTCGTGCTCCCCAACAACCTCCGCTTCCGGGTCGAGGCCCCGTTCCCAAGTTCCAGAAACTCTCGTCCGTTCAGGAGCTACGTCCTCGAGTCAACGCCCAGCCACCGTATCGCCGCGCGAATCCTGAAGGTGGCTTTATCAGCGTACGTAGATGGATTCCCCCCTCCCCTTTCCTTCTGGTTTCTCTTCTTTGCGCTCCAACTAATGACCTTTTTGTAGCCGCTGCAAGCATTGACTGTTCACCTACCGGCCACTTACCGGATCTGCAATCCGGGCTTCAACTATGAATCGTCGAGGAACCCGAGACGGGTGTTGACAAAGCCTAGCAAGGGCGTGAAGAACGACGGTTACGATAATGAGGATAGTGATTATATCCTCTATGTGAATGATATCCTGGGAAGTGATGATGCCAGCCACAAGTAAGTAATGCACAGAGGAACCTGCTTCGAGGGGTTGCACCCCATATTAATCATGGGGACTAGGAATCGCTATTTGATTTTGGACGTGCTGGGTCAGGGTACTTTCGGGCAGGTCGTCAAATGCCAAAACCTCAAGACCCAAGAGGTGGTAGCCGTCAAGGTTATTAAAAATAAGACGGCCTATTTCAATCAAAGTATGATGGAGGTGTCGGTTCTTGACTTGGTGAGACTCCCTTTTGACGACGTGGTCTGCCCGCATCATCCCCAACCACCATGCTAATTGCTCCACAGATCAATAGCAAATACGATAAGAACGACGACCACCATGTTCTTCGACTGAAGGATACGTTCATCCATCGACAGCACCTCTGTCTAGTATTTGAGCTCCTCAGTGTCAACTTGTACGAGCTCATCAAGCAAAACCAATTCCGAGGACTGAGCACGACGCTGGTGCGCGTTTTCGCACAACAACTCTTGAATGCGCTTAGCCTTTTGAACAAAGCTCATCTGATCCATTGTGATTTGAAACCGGAGAATATCCTCCTGAAAAAGTTAGTCCGGAATTTTCAGTCCTTGTCTCCCATTTTCTGTGTTTCGAGGCTAACGTTAAATTTTCTAATTGCATAGCCTCGAAAGTCCCATAATCAAGGTAATCGATTTAGGATCCGCGTGCGATGAGCGACAGACCGTATACACTTATATCCAATCGAGGTTCTACCGCTCGCCGGAGGTTCTCTTGGGTCTACCGTATGTGTTTTTACCCCAGGCTTCCCCAACTTTCATACACACCTTTCAGATATCTAATGCCGATACTATCCAGTTACTCGTCGGCGATTGATATTTGGTCCCTGGGATGTATCCTGGTCGAGCTGTTTCTTGGACTTCCCTTGTTCCCCGGCTCCTCCGAGTACAACCAAGTATGCCGAATTGTGGAGATGCTCGGGTTGCCCCCGACGTGGATGCTCGAAATGGGCAAGCAGTCGGGTGAATTTTTCGAGAAGTCGCACGACGAGTTCGGAAGAAAGACATATAGGTTGAAGAGCTTGGAGCAATATTCCCGCGAGCACAACACCAAGGAACAGCCGAGCAAGAAGTACTTCCAAGCGTCCACGCTTGAAGAAATCATCCGCAGCTATCCCATGCCGAGGAAGAACATGAAGCCGGCGGAAATGGAAAGAGGTTTCCCCCCCCCCCCCCCCCTCAGTTGCAGTCCAAGCGCTTTTTTATTTTTTTGCAGTATCGCCTAATTCTCTTTTTTTTTTCGCTCAGAATTGAATAACCGTGTCGCGTTCATTGACTTTGTGCGCGGCTTGTTGGCCCTGAACCCTCTTGAGAGATGGTCGCCCCAGCAGGCCAAGCTGCACCCCTTCATCACCCAACAAAAGTTCACGGGTCCATTTGTGCCGCCAATGAATCTGAAATACTCGTCTATCAGCAAGACCGTGGCCCCCGGCGTTCAACAACAGCAACAGGCGGAGGCAGCGAGCAAGCAGAGAGCTGCGCAGGCTGCGCAGGCGCAGGCGCAAGCGCAGTCAGCCGCTCAGGCTGCATACTCGATGCAGGTGAACCAATACCACACTCCTCCCCACACCCAGCCTCCCCCGATGTACAATGGGATGTTTGCCGGGCCTCAGCAAGGGGCCCCGCCGCCCTATCCGACCCAGCCACCGGGTTATGGTCACCAGATGGGTATGATGCAGGGACAGTACGCCCCATCTCAGAGCCTCTACGCGCAAGCAACGACCAGGGCGGGCCGTCAGCGTGCATCGACGATGGATCATCAAGGTGGCGGCATCCCTCCGGCTATCCAACGGGTTGCCAGCCACCTCGATCCTAACGCCCCGATCCGCCTCCAGCCCAGCCCTGCCTACTACCCTCCTCCTCCGGATGGGTATGTTGATCCAAACGCAAACAATCAAAGACGGCGCGGAAGTCGTGCGGGTGCTAGCCAACGCAACCGAGACTTCATTCGTACCCTTGAGGACGGTGTTCTCGGCGAAGGTTACATTGGCCAAAACCAATGGCACTGAAGGATGATTTTTTTTCTTATTTGCATGATCGACCGTGTCTACATTTTTTCTTTCTTGTCGAACAAGAGGACACAGTTGCTCCTGTTTTGTCTTTCTCCCTGAAACAACAATCGGGTTTCCAGACGCAGAGCTGCTCCAGAGTATCATACTGTCTTCCCTGTCCCCTTGCCATGTGGTGCTTGGGCTTTCCACCAAACCCCCTTCCCATTCTTCGGGTTCCTCGGTCCTTCCTGTCATGTGAGCACACATCTTGTTACCGCGATGTGGGAATACAATATTCAATCTCGCCTCTAGTATTGCTGGGTTCAATGTGCCAATCAGCAAGATAGCCTCTCCAGCATGGATCCCGCCACGGTATTTGGACATTGAAGATACTGGACACTACTTCTCTCTGTCTACTTTCTGTCTGGGCTGGACATGAGGATAGAATGGTTTGGTCTCGACAAGACTTGCGAAAGCAATTCTCGCAGACCATTTACGCTCGACATACCATGCTCTACTCCAACCTGGTCAACTTCCCCCGATTTAGTGAGATCGCCTCCCCGCCTCTGGCCATTATTGGAGCTCTTCCGGACGAGCGTGATTCATGTCTATCTTCTTCTTCTTCTTCTTTCCCCTCCCCCCGTTTTCCATTGCTATGCTGCTTTTTCTTCCCAACACCTCCCCTTGATCGATTTTTTGTCCCCCCCCCCTTTTCCATTATTGACACACACATTGCTTTGGGTTGGAACACAGTCTTTTATGTCTTGTCCAAGACCGTATGATGCATTTGAAAGGAATGTGTCTTCTTTTCTGATCTGCTTGCATCTGACGGCTCAGCATAGCCAATGCATCTTCACTTTTTTTTTTCCACGATAAAAGTAGAAATATATCAATTGAGTACACCGTCAGCTATAACCCACGATTAAGCCATAACTATCTATCTACTTGTCCTGTGTGAATAAATAGCCAAATGATGTCGCTGTCGGCTCTCATAGTCTGGGGATCGTAGTTACCCGAACGGGCTAAGCGCCACCTCGCTTAAAATTCGTGTGTGACTCGCGGGTCCAACGCTGCGGCTCGCGGAACCCTCACTTCACAATCTGGATTTGAGGCAACCAGCTTCTGCTCTTTCATTACCATCAGAACCCGAGTTCTGCGGCCTGCGGCGTTTTTCTGGTCGACCAAAAAAACCGTCAACAAAAGACAGCAGCCATGTCGCGTTTCTTCTACGGTGGCAGCAGCGACAGCGAGTCGAGCTCTTCCGACGAGGAAGAACTCTACAGCGACCGCGAGGCGGAGGAACAGTCCGAGGAGGAATCCAGCGAGGAGGAGGAGGACCAGGACGAGGATGAGTCCTCGGACGAAGAGGAGGGAGGAGCGGGTAAAGCGAACCGTTTCTTGAAGGACATTTCGGACGAGGAGGAGAGCGAGGATGAGGACAAGGTGACGGTGGTGAAGAGTGCCAAGGACAAGCGGCTCGAGGAACTCGAGAGCACAATCCGGTTGATCGAGAATGCTGAGCGGATCGGTGACTGGGCTGTCATTTCGGCTGGTGAGTTTTTGATGGACATATCTTCTCCTGGTTGTATGAGAGGGGAAGGGGGAAAAAAAAAAAACAAAAAACAAAAAACAATGATGCGGGGACGCTGACAGAGTGCAGAATTCGACAAGTTGAACCGTCAGATCACCAAGATCGCACAGGCCGGTCCCACGCCCAAGGTGTACATTAAGGCGGTTGCCGATCTGGAGGATTTCGTGCTCGAGACCGTGACCAAGCAGAAGAGCTCTGGCAAGAAGATGAACGCGGGCAACGCCAAGGGCTTCAACGCGGTCAAGCAACGGATCAAGAAGAACAACAAGGATTACGCCGCTCAGATCGACAAGTACCGGAGCAACAAGGACGAGTACATGCAGAGCGATGAGGAGCCCGAGAAGCCCGTCGTCGCGCCGGCCTTCCGTCCTGCCCGGGTGGAGCGCGTCGAGGCCGCCGCCGCCGCTGCTGCTGCCCTCGCCGACGACGAAGGGTTCGCGACCGTCGGCCGTGGTGGAAAGACCCTGCAGTACACCCCCGAGAGCATCCTCAAGCACCTGCGTGTCATCGTTGAATCTCGCGGAAAGAAGAACACCGATCGGATGGAGCAGATCCGCACCATGGAGAAGCTGCTGGAGGTCGCCCAGACCCCGTACCAGCGCATCCGGGTCTACCTCACCCTCATCTCGACCCGCTTTGATCTCACGTCGACCTCGGCCGGCAACTACATGAGCCCCGACCAGTGGAAGCTGGCAGAGCAGGAGTTCACCACGCTACTCTCCGTGCTCGAGGAGAACCGCAACCACATCGTGGCCGAAGGCGCCGAAGAGTGGGAGGATGATGAGAAACAGCCCCAGGTCACCGCGGGCGAGACCTTGTATATCCCCGGTAGCATCGTCTCGTACGCCGAGCGCCTCGATGACGAGCTCACCCGCTCGCTGCAACACATCGACCCCCACACGGCCGAGTACATCGAACGGTTGAGCGACGAGCAGCAGCTCTACAACAACCTGGTCCGCGCTCAGCTGTACATGGAGGAGCTGAACAAGTCCGAGCCGTCCGGCCCCCGCCAGGACAGCGTCAACCGCGTCATCATGAGACGCCTGGAGCACATCTACTTCAAGCCGTCGCAAGTGGTGACGATCCTCGAAGAGGCCACATGGAAGGCCCTGCCCCCAACTGTGGACTCGGCCGTCACCCCGCGCAGCGCTACCGACGTGACCGACCTCGTCCAGACCCTCTGCAACTACCTCTTCCAACACAGCGATGGCATCATCCGCGCCCGTGCCATGCTTTGCCAGATCTACTTCCTCGCCCTGCACGACCAGTACTACCGCTCCCGTGACCTGATGCTCATGTCCCACCTGACGGAGAACATCGCCAACTTCGATGTCAGCACCCAGATCCTCTTCAACCGCGCGCTGGTGCAGATCGGCCTCTGCGCCTTCCGGGCCGGCCTCATCTACGAGGCTCAGAACACCCTGTCCGAAGTCTGCGGCAGCGGCCGTCAGAAGGAGCTGCTGGCCCAGGGTATCATCCTCCAGCGCTACTCGACCGTGTCGCCCGAACAGGAGCGCCTGGAGCGTCAGCGCCAGCTGCCCTTCCACATGCACATCAACCTCGAACTGCTCGAGTGCATCTACCTCACCTCAAGCATGTTCCTGGAAGTGCCTCTGATGGCCCAGACCTCCTCATCGCCTGAGATGAAGCGCCGCGTCATCTCCAAGACCTTCCGCCGCATGCTGGACTACAACGAGCGCCAGGTCTTCACGGGCCCCGCCGAGAACACCCGCGACGGCGTCATCATGAGCGCCAAGTTCCTCGCCGCCGGCGACTGGAAGAAGGCCGCCTCGATGCTCAACTCGATCAAGATCTGGGACCTCATGCCGCAGCCGGACAAGATCAAGGAGATGCTCTCCCAGCAGATCCAGGAGGAAGGCCTCCGCACCTACCTCTTCACCTATGCCCCCTTCTACGATACGCTCTCCATCGCCACCCTGGCGGACATGTTCGAGCTGCCGGCCAAGAAGATCGCCGCCATCGTCAGCCGGATGATCTCTCACGAAGAACTGGCCGCGGCGCTCGACCAGGTCAACGACGCCATCGTCTTCCGCAAGGGTGTCGAACTTTCCCGTCTGCAGTCCCAGATCATTACCCTTGCCGACAAGTCCATGTCGCTCCTCGAGGCCAACGAGAAGACCCTCGAGCAGCGCACGCAGGGTATGGCCAATGCCTTCCAGCGCGATCAGGGCGCCGGCGCCCGTGGCGGCCGTGGTGCCGGGCGCGGTGGCCAGGCACGCGGCGGACCCAGACTCCCCGGTGGCCAGCAAGGTCGCCGACCTGGTGGCCAGCAGTTCAGCGGTGGTGCGTTGGGTGGAGCTATCAAGGCATAAATTCTTTTGTAATGGGTGTTATTAACATTGTTCATTTTTTCTTCTCTCCACGGCTCTTTTTTCCCCCTTTGAAATGTATCGGAGTTTTCAGCTATCCACCACCCTTCCTCCTCCTCTCCCACCACCTCCTGCATTCCTCCAAAATCTGAACCACCGAAAAAAAAAAATTATTTAGGCCTTCAAAAAATGAAGCGGAGAAAGACAGGTCTTGGGCATGGATATCACTCAGATAAACCTTTTCCTTTATTACGTATCATGTTTCCAGCATTCTAGATGATGTTTTCTCATGTCTGAATGAAATGAATGGAGAAAATCTCATTATATTACTACCTGTAATAATTCTTTTTTTTTAAAAAAAAAAAGTATCATATTCTTCCTAGTTGGTTCTCTCCGTCTGGTGTAGGAACTATATATAAGCCTAGGGATTTAAGAGTTCAATTCTCTCATCAATGTAGGATATACTGGGTGATCAGTTGGTATTTATATAATTACTTCATTCATAGCTGACTAGGTATGGAGTAATACCTTTTCTAACCATATGTCCACTGGGCCCTTGGTCAAGTTAGATTCGACCTGAAGCGTCTTCCCTGTGGCGCTCTGTAGTGATGATATAATCCCGAATGGTTCGATTCCAGTTGATTGCTCCTTAAAGGTGACATGTCATCTTGTCAATGGTTGGAATCTTCCGGGTTGTGGTAATTTGGGGTGCATATATATATGAATATATATATATGTATATGCTGAAAGGCTAGAAGGTCTTTGCGGTCACAAATTCCAGAATGCTATGATGTTTACTTTCGGGATATCAAAAACTATCATCCAAGAGATTTGCAGGAGACCAATACTCCTTCTCTTCGGCCTGGGCGTCTACCCAGACAAGCCCGTCAGCGAGCAAATCGTCAATGACAGTCTGTGACCGAGCTTTCTCCCAGTTCAAGTTTAACTGCAGCATCGACACGCTGACATAACCCAAAATCTGGATGACTTCGAGCACTGTGGCTTGATCGGTATTGAGCTCCTTGGGGATTGACCGAATATATTGTTTCTGCCCGACGCGGACGATTGAAAACCCCGAGCCTAGCGGTTCCAACGACTTGACCGCACGAAGAATATCATCTCTAAAGAAAGTTCGGTGTTAGCTATTTTTCGAAGCATCGCAAATCACAGAAGAAATAGCACCAAAAAAAGAGATAGTTGTATGCGCATACTCGGTCACCTCCAACCCGCTTCCAATCGCCTTCCCTTTTCCAACCCGCTTGCGGCATTCCTCCACCCCAATTAGACCCCCATTCTCGCTGCGTGTCTCTCGACATAGCTCCACGACCCGGACGGCGACTTCGAAGTAGAAATCGTTCATGTCGCCGCCCAGTATCTGCGTCCAGAAATTCCCGCCGCCCTCGCCCAGGCCCCTCCGGCCATTCTTGCCCTTGATATTGCTTGCTGCGAGAGGATCTACGCCTATGGCATTGCACATGCGTGCAAATTCCGCCCGGAACGTCGGGTTGGACTTGATTGTCGAGCTGTGTTCCAACGCGAACGTGTGGAGTAAGGACTGGAATACGGCCAGTTGGGTCTGCAACGATGACAGATGCGTGGATCGTAAATTCGCGCCATGGCTCGCATATGACTGGGTAGCTTGATTCCGATTAGCAAATGCGCCGAGACCGACACCACGCCGAGTGGACATGATTGTTGAGCTTCGAAGTCGTTGTCGTTGTCGTCGTCGTTGCGGGGTTGCTCAAGCTCAAGATAGAGGACGATAAGGAAATATTGCAAGCCTGAGGCATCCAGCACGCCGGGCAGATGACATTTAAAGCCCTAATCACGGGACCTGTTCAGGGCTTGCCCGCTCGGCGACTTGGCTTGGCACTGGAAGCTCTGCGTACGAGCTAGTCCTTAAGAGGCTAGCGTTGCTGTCCCCGCCCACACAACCGAAATTGAATGACCTTTCGCGATGCCTTTTTTTTCTTCTTCCTCCGATCGTAATCCAGCAAAGACAACTTCGCCAAACCGCCGACTCGCGACTTCGACGGACCTTCGAAATGGCTGCTACGTATGCTTTCCCTTCTTCTATTGATGACTGATTTAGTGCCCGTGATTGTGAGGTTCAGATTATAGTCGTCCTTCTCGCTGGAGATGCTGAGAGCAGTCCTTGACTGCCTGGCACCAGCTCGATCTTTCCTGCGACCTCCGTTGTCGACCATAGCTCCCGTTCTGGAGATGCAAGTCTCATTGAAAGAATACAGGCTTGGTTTGGGGTCTGGGGTGTTGGGGCCGAAAGCTGAACTGCCTTCGCCCTGAAATTTATTGTTGTTCGCTATCGCTCCTCCTCTCTAGGGTGTTGCGAAGAGCATCAACACTAGTCTTCCTGAGCGTTATGCTTAGGGTATTGTCGGATGAGAATCTCAATGGTTACCATGATCAATGCCATGCCGAAGTGAGAACTGAAAAATTTTTTCACTTCGGGTAGGCGGTGATGCTGGGTGTCAAATGACATTACTACCATTTCTCACTGATTAAAAGAATTTCGTCGAGTTCTTTATTTTCACCAATTGCCTTCAGTTGAGAATGTGGCGCTATATGCTGCAATTCTTTACACTCGGCGAAATCATGTCTTGAGCAATCGGCGGACAGACTATACTGACCTTCACAGCACCGTTCCCACCCAGGAGCAGGTCCTCGTCCCCGAGACCCTCCTCAAGAAGCGCAAGAGCCAGGAGCAGGCTCGTGCCGCTCGCCGCTCTGAGATTGAGCAGCAGAAGAAGGTCAGTTGATATTCTCTTATGCATCCTTCATCACGACAGGATCATCATCTATGTGATGATAACAACCACATACGCGACTAGACCTTAGGTCGATGCTGTCGCTTACGTTAACCATCTTTCGGGGCTGATACGATGTTGATCCTGTCGGACGACTGTTGTGCTGTCTGAGTTATGCTTTTGAATCTCCACTAACTCGGATTCTGCATAGGCCAACAAGGAGAAGCGTGGCGTCATCTTCAAGCGCGCTGAGGCCTACGTCAAGGAGTACCGCGATGCTGAGCGTGAGAAGATCCGCCTGGCCCGCGTTGCCCGCCAGGAGGGTAACTTCTACGTTGCTGAGGAGCCCAAGCTGGTCTTCGTTGTCCGTATCAAGGGGTAAGTTTTGTCAAGCAGTTACACATTCAGTGCCAAGAGAAAGTCTATGATACTAACAGCTCCCAACAGTATCAACAAGATCGCCCCCAAGCCCCGCAAGATCTTGCAGCTTCTCCGTCTCCTCCAGATCAACAACGGTACCTTCGTCCGCCTGACCAAGGCTACCCAGGAGATGTTGACCATTGTCAACCCCTACATCGCCTACGGCTACCCCAACCTCAAGTCTGTCCGTGAGCTTATCTACAAGCGCGGTTACGGAAAGGTTGACAAGCAGCGTGTGCCCCTTACCGACAACCAGATCATCGAGGAGCACCTCGGCAAGTACGGCATTGTCTGCATGGAGGATCTGATCCACGAGATCTACACTGTTGGCCCCAACTTCAAGCAGGCCAACAACTTCCTCTGGCCCTTCAAGCTCTCCAACCCCACCGGTGGCTTCCGCACCCGCAAGTTCAAGCACTTCATCCAGGGTGGTGACACTGGTAACCGCGAGGAGAACATCAACGGCCTCATCAGACAGATGAACTAAGTCTTGTTCTCTCTGTACTCGTTGGGGTTGGCGTTCATCACGGGGCCTGCCTTTGCCAAAAAATTTTTCTATCTTACATGAAATGATATCACTGGGTTGTTTGTTTTGCATGGACTGTTTTTTTTTTAGCGATGTAATGGTCTAGGATTCCTAAAAAATATATCAAGAAGCTTCAGACAACCCATAAACCTGTTTAAATATGTATTCCGTACTTCATTTCCTCTTTCCTTCAGAGACCGCCGATCAGTCAAATAAATTCTCCTGACGCGTACTTTCGCAAGCCAGCCCTTGCATCCCAGGTGTCGTAGGCCACGCGGCGTATATATGTGCTGGATCAATCCTGGATCGCAGTGGACCTCTTGCCACAGTCGTCTATGCCTGGGAATGGAGTAACAACTACGGAGTGGTTTCTCTCAGGTCCTTGGTTTAACCTCCTATCATGTAAGGTACATTAGCTGCAGCCTCAAGGATCAAGGATGAATTGGATTACAGGCATATCACGGAGTTCATCCGCACCCCTGACGCCTCCACCTGTCATTCAAAAAAGAAAAGAGAAGAAAATTTCTTTTGCCATCCATATGCAGTTTGACGAAAAGGACAAGACACGAAGCCAGGGTATGAAGGATCAATCCTTCATTTCTCTGTCCATCCTCGCAAGCGGCTTCTCTACCCACCTATTGTTTGCGGTTTCCCATCTGCATCACGACTCGAGGACCATCGACTTACCAGGTTGCGCGATCTTCGTCTCCGAGAACGGAGTGGACTCTGTAGCTGCTAGTTAGCTGTAATATTAGGAGTGCCTGAACCTAAAGCCTTCTAGAGTTTTGCGGGTGTAGAATTCCGCTGACTACCACCTGGTGTTTGGCGATATGTTTATATGCGAAGTTCCTCCCCCATCCCCCTTGCAAAATGGAGAACGTCGAAATAGTGGACTTGATACTCGATATTCGTGGGTACCAGTGACAAAGCAGCCCTGCAAGGCTATCTGCTTGTAGTATAAGGAGTAACTCATAATCTCCCGAGTCGTACGAACCCCCACTGGAAAGCCATGAGGCTGCCAGGCCACAGACTTGCCAGGCAGAGTACTTCGTACAGTCACTTCCTCCACTCTTTGGAGGGACTTCTAATTCGGGTGATGCATGCATGAGGTCGCTAGCACCCTGGTCAATGCAGAAATCCTGGTGTGTGACGAGGACTCGAAGTCGACTTGGAACACGGTGGCAACCCGAGTACCGTGCATAATGCAGATGAAGAAGACGTTGAGGCAATTATCTCACAGCAGATAGCGCCAGGAAACCTGGAAACAACGGTCTCGACTCTTCACGAGTAGCGAGGAGTTTGTCTGAACACGGGATGTCTCTGATCAAAAGGACTGCAAAAGTACGCAGTATGAGCGCTAGACGAAGATCTACCGGGTGGATGACTCCGTTTTTCGTACTATTGTACAAAGAAGGCCCAAAGAGACTGACTAGTTAGTATCAAGGTAGTTATACATAGTTCTCTGTACTTCCGAAATGTGTGCTCCGTATTCCATATTGAATATCAAGCATGATTAACTTTTTTTGCTCTGACTAGACAACCATCATGCAACCGGTCCGAGTGATTGAATGGTGATCGACATGCAATGCTATACTTCCAATTTCGCAACCTCCCAAGACTGAGCGACAGCAGAGAGCATCAGGCGTCCCTGTATTTTGCAGTGTCTTCTTTTGTAAACGATGGGGGGAAGTGGACCCAACAGAAAATTTTCTTCCTCCCAAGAAAGATTCACCAGGAAGGTGACTCGAAGAAATGAGAGATCTGCATGATCGGATAGTCGCAAGCATGATGCATGGCCAGTCTCGATAGACTCCGAGTGCGTCTCGTGGATGGGTTTCTCCTTACATGAGTATCTTACGAGATGGGAACCCGTGTCCATCCATGCGCTCCACCTTCGAGTCTCTTTGTCCCCAATTGCCAATCGCCTACTCCCAGTGGTCTCTGTTGCTGGGATCGAATCCTGACAAGACCGAAAAGCCATGGCACAGCCAACGCGTAGCGCCTTCTGCAATATCTGGCCCAATGTGTCTGCCCTGTGTAACCAAGCCTAGGGGATCCGTGGCCTCTTCGCCGAGAAGATCGCGGCTGGTCCTATTGTTTGCACGTAGTTCTTATTCGGATCATCTCGGGATTCCCAGATTCAGCATGTACAACGTACTCACCGAGAATTGCCCGGTATAGACTCGACCGCCTCTCGATCTGCAGATGGTGACTCCTTTTGGGATCTTCAGCTTTGCAAGAGGCCTGCAGGATGTAGCGTTGGGCGTAAAATTGCTCGTGATATAGTAATAAAGTCTGGGCCCACGCCGGATGCTGGCATACTAATACTAAGGGTATGGGAGTCCTTCCATTAGCTCTAGCCCTCAATTGTTACACACGCTGTCACGCACCGATTATACCTAATATCCTATTTCAGGCACCCACGGTGATAACAGAAGTGCTTCACAATGGACTCCCCGGTTGCATGTTTCTTTCCCAATCTGACAGACGGCGTGCTATACTCTGGCCAAGAGCAAGCCGCCGAGGGCCTCGAGTCTTTACGCAGAAACCTGGATATTAGCTTCAAGTCATCTTTCAATGATGAAGAATCGTCAGAGACTCACGATTCTTCCCGCGAGGCATTCTTTGGTGCAGCGTGGGGACTGTTACTGGCAAGATACGTCGGGACAGAAGATGTGTCTTTTGTCGTCGCCCGCGCCAGCGCAGGCAACTGCACGATGACCACGTGCACCTGGACCGCGCTGGATTCTCAAACCCAACAACAACTGCTTCTCCAGGCACAAGAGACCCTTTCCAGCACGGTAGATCAGGGATCATGGTCAGAGTTTGGAGAATCGAAAGAGCTGCCGGTGCCGGACTTTGCCAATACAATGATTTTGTTGGAGGATGCGGATGTTGAAGGAGCTGGAGATGTGCTCAGCAGTGTGACAACGAAGGTAAGTTTTTCTGGATGAAGATTGATAAATAGTCTTTTACTTATGGGATCTATCTTCCTCTTTTAGAAAAACCTCCTGGTTCTTCACCTCGCGGTGACAGCGAATGGTATCTCGAAGGCCAACCTTGACTATCACTATTCGATGCTTTCCGATAATCAAGCGGCCAACGTTGCTACCACTTTGATGAAGATCCTTGACGGCTTGAAGAACGCCCCCCAGGTACCGATTAAGGACCTAGACTATATGAGCCAAGAACATCTGGAGCAGATATGGCGGATGAACAGCCATGTCCCGGAGGCTGCGACGGAGTGTTTCCATGACGTGGTCCAAAAACAATTCGCTATCAGACCAGAAGCAACGGCTGTCGATGCTTGGGATGCCAGACTCACGTATGGAGAGCTTGTGCCGTTGGCAACTCGTCTTGCAAGCCATCTTCAGAGTCGTGGGGTCTGCCCCGGTGTTGTCGTCCCTCTTTGCTTTGAGCCCTCTTCCTGGTCCGTCGTCGCAACTCTTGCCGTGTCGATGGCCGGAGGAGCGTTTGTCAATATCCCGCCGTCGTTGCCTCAGGGAAGAAAAGATATTATTTTGAGCGCCATCGACCCTCCAATCCTGCTTACCACTTCTGACTACGGACATCTTTGGGAGAACACCGGAATTAATTGGATTACAATAGAAGACAATCGAATAGCCGATTTGGAGGACTGCGACAGTCCACCCGAACCTCTCGCAAAACCTAGTGATATGTTCTACGTTGTTTTCACTAGCGGCTCGACTGGCACCCCGAAAGGATGCATCGTCGCTCATGATGGCTTTGGAACGGCCATCCTCAGAAACGGCCCGTTATGGAAGTTCACACCTGATCGCCGTATCTTTCAGATGGCCAGTCATGCATTTGATATGAGTACCTTGGAAATAGGACTCGCCCTGGCCTTTGGGGCTTGTGTATGCGTGCCGCGGTCCACGGAGATCCAAGAGAGCCTTCCTGAAGCCATGAACAAGTACAATGTCGACCTTTCTATCATGACGCCTGCCGTGGCGCGTATCTTTACACCAGAAGAAGTTCCAAGCATTCGAGTTCTCCTTGTTGGCGGCGAGGCATGGGCGCCCGAGATCATCGACACATGGGCGGAGAAGATTGATCTCATACAGATTTACGGACCTACCGAGTGCTCTGCTATTTCTTCATCTGCACCGGTGACTCGACTAGATTACGACGCACAGATGATCGGGTACCCCCAATCTGCGGCATTCTGGGTCGTAATGCCAGAGAACCGCAACCGGCTGGCTCCCATAGGATCACCAGGTGAACTGCTCATCTCTGGTCCTATTGTCGGATTGGGTTACTATAAAAACCCCGAGAAGACTGCTGAGGCCTTTATTGATGTCCCCGATTTCGTGAAAGACGATCCTGTGTTCGGTTCCACGCGCTTCTACAAGACCGGTGATCTCGTCCGGTGCAATTCGGACGGAGGCATCACCTTCTGTGGCAGAGTCGACAACCAAGTCAAGCTTAATGGCCAGCGGATCGAGCTGGAGGAAGTGGAATACAACATCAGCCTCTTCGACGGCCACCCTCTTTCAGTAGTCTTGGTGCCAAAGACTGGACACTGCCAGAGAAATCTGGTGGCAGTCATCGCTGCGAAATCAAAATCCCCTGGAGATCAACCCGGGGGCACCGAAATTGAACTCGTCAATGGTCATTCAGAGTTTCCGACTTTAAGCCTGATCCAGAGTTACTCGGAAGAACTCAGGGGTAAACTGCCGCGGTACATGGTCCCTACGGTGTGGGCGTTCATCGCGTCTATGCCCATAACAATTTCGGGGAAGGTTGACCGGGTGCGAGTTCGCAGGTGGCTCGAAGGCATAGACGAGGACACGGCTTTTTCCATCGTTGGAAGGACTAGAAAGCCAGTCGAAGACACTACCGAGAAAAGTGACCTCGAAGAGCGGATACAAGCCATATGGAGCGAAGTGCTCAAAGTACCGCAAGATGAAATTGGGTTACACCAGAGCTTCTTCTCTCTGGGTGGCGATTCCGTCCTGGCCCAGAAAGCTGCAGCAAAATGCCGCAAAGAAAATATCTTATCGAGTATGGTTCATATACTCTCATCTGAAGGCGTTTCTGAGGTGGCAGCGTTGGCGCACCGGGTGGAAATCGGTGATGGGCTCAAGAGCTCACCGACCTTGGGCTTCAACCTTTCAGATTTGCAGACGATGGTTGACAATGGCTACCAGCTGACAAAATTCGGTCTTTCCAATATCGTCGAGATCGACGATGTCTATCCGTGCAGCGCAGCGCAGGAGGGAATGCTTCTTGGCCAGATCAGACGACCGGGATCGTATCACCTTCGGTTTTTTTACCAAATCCACACCAAAAACGACGAATACCCTGATTTCGAGAGGTTCAGGGCCGCATGGACGGGTGTTGTTGCTCTACATCCAGGCCTTCGCACGGTTTTCGTGGATGATCTCCCCGGCGATGCGGTATATCACGCGATTGTCTTGAAAGCACCCCAAGCTGAGATGAACATGAAGGAGGTTCCACCAGATATGCCTCCATCGGAGGTTGTGGACTTATTCAGAGCCTCGAAAGTTCCATTCCGGCCACATCGCCCTCCCCATCGTTTAACTGCTTGTGTCTCCGCAGGCAAGCTCCGGTATTGCATGATAGAAATGTCACATGCAATTATCGATGGTGCTGGTATGGAAGCCCTGTTCAAGGACCTCGTGCGTGCCTACCATGAGGGTCCAGATATGCGTGAAGTACCACCGTATCGCAATTTTGTAGAGTATGAGATCCAGAAAGAAACGGAACAGAGCGCTCAGTACTGGTCGTCTGCCTTGGAGGGATGTTCTTCTTGTATTCTGTCATTCGGCACCACTCGAAAAGCAGATGTTTCTGCATCGTCCATTGGTTTGCGGAGAGATTTCGATTTTGACAGAAGCAAGGAGCTGCTAGATTTCTGTCTAGAGAGACGCCTAACTATTGCTTCTGCCGTCCGGGCTGCATGGTCGACAGTGCTTCGAACGTACACGGGCTCTAACGACGTATGCTTTGGCTATCTCTCTGCCGGACGACATATACCTGTCAAAGATATTGATGAAATGGTCGGCCCATGCTTCAGTATCCAGCCTTGCCGCGCACAGATTGAACCAGGTGCAAGTCTTGTCTCTATTGCGGAGCAAATCCAAGACAAGTATATGGAGGCTCTCCCGTACCAGCATTATCCGTTATCGAAACTCCAACGGCAGCTGTACCCCAATGGAGGCGGAACGATGTTCAACACTGCCGTTTCGATGGAGTGGATTCCCGGAAATGACTTATACTCTGGTTCTTCTTTCTCCCTGGAAGAAATGATTGGGCAAGAAGACCCTACTGAGGTAAGACGAGAAAATAATTTCCTCCTTCTATGGTCGCTAGAGTCCATCAACTGACGAAACGTTGTAGTTTGAAATTGCTATTTGTATCGAGATTGTGGATGGCCATATCAAGCTTGGCTTCCTGTACTGGCCGACTGTCACCGAGTTCGAATTGGAAAACATTGCGAGCGCTTTGACCGAGGCTCTTTATGGCTACCTCAAGCACCCTGACATGCCAGTCGATACGGTTTCACTGGTTTCTGAAAAGGAGGTCGCAAAAATGCAGGATACTTATCTGCACCAAGAGCTGCAGGAAACAAAAACGATTCTCACGTCCATTCGCCAACACAGTGAATTGTACCCAGATAGTCCAGGCCTGGTCTCGTGGGACGGCGAGTTTTCTTACGCCCAAATAGAAGAGATTACAACCAAGATTGCCCTGGACCTTATTAGGCGTGGCGTTCAACGGGGAGACAAAGTTGTGATCTGTATGTACAAGTCATGTTGGGCTATCATGATGCTCATGGCCATTCTCAAGTCTGGGGGTGTGTTGGTCGCTGCGACGCCATTCCAGCCGAAGGAAAGACTTGAGAAAGTCGTTTATCACTCCTCTCCAAAACTGGTAATTGTCGACCCGCAGCATATTGAGTTATTCCAAGATATGCATGATAGCGTTATTTCGTTCGAAATGAGTGAGATGGAGTCATTACCGCCGCAGGAAGGCGAAATACCGACGATTGAAGACACCGACGTTGCCACGATAATATACACTTCAGGCAGTACCGGTGAGCCGAAAGGTATGATGATAGATCATGGCGCATTGGCGACGTCCATCCTCCTCGGCCACGGGAACATTGTGGGTTTCTCAAGAGACACGCGTGCACTGCAGTTCTCCTCTTTCACATTCGACTTCAGCTACGCCGAGATTTTCACTACTCTTGCGTTTGGTGGCTGTATCTGTGTACCATCCGAGGAAGAAAAGTCTTCTAATCTCGCCGGCTGTATCAACCGAATGCAGGCAAATTTGGCTTTCCTCACGCCATCGGTGGCCCGGACGATCCAACCTGAAGATGTGCCATGCCTAAAGACTCTTCTCCTCGGTGGTGAAGCCATGTCGGTGCAAACTTTACAGACATGGGCAAGCTCAGTTGCGCTCTTTAACGGGTACGGGCCTGCAGAAGCAACGGTCCTGATCTCTGTGCGCGGGCCTATGACACCTGATGATGATCAAATGAACGTTGGTCATCCAGTCAAGGGTTCTAGGGTATGGCTTACTGAAGTAGCGGATGACAGACGCCTAGCCCCTCGAGGTTGCATTGGGCAGGTCATGATTGAATCTCGACAACTTGCACAGGGGTATTTGAACGCCGAGGAAGCTACAAAGGCGGCTTTCATCCCGAGTCCATCATGGTTGGCTGGTAGTTCTTCTACAACGATATATAAGACAGGCGATTTGGCTCGTTACGAGGAAGACGGTACCCTGCGTTTTATCGGACGTCAAGATACTCAGACCAAGTTGCGTGACCAACGTCTTGAACTGGGTGCCGTGGAATTTCACCTATTGGAATGCATCCCGGCAACTAGCATAGTTGCGGACGTTATAATCCCGGCTGGCGAACAAAACACTGAAAAGGCAATCCTCGCAGCATTTGTCTACGGGCTGGAGGGTACTGAGACTTCAACAGGAAATGAGGAAACGCCCTCGGCTTGTCCTTTCGAACTGTCCACGGATGTCAAACAACAGCTCACAAAGCGACTGCCTACTTATATGATCCCCCTCGTCTTCTTCACTATTGACCGCTTGCCACTCAACATGTCTGGAAAGGCGGATCGGAAGCGTCTTCGGGAGATTGGTGCTACATTCACTCTCAAACAACTTGCGGAGACTCGCAATGGGCAGACAAAGAAAGCTCTGACTGCAGCGAATCCTACAGAGGAGAGCATTTTGAAGCTCTGGAGTCAAACATTGAACATCGAAGCGAAACACATAAGCCTGGATGATAACTTTGCGCATCTGGGTGGTGATTCTATTGCTGCCATGAAGCTCGCTGCAGCAGCCCGACGCAATGGCATGACTCTCTCTGTCGCGGACATTTTTCAACAGCCTACGATAAGGAAGCAAGCCTCGGTTGTCTTGTCCAAGATGCAAAATACCCAAACCAACGGATCTATAGCGGTCACCAACGGCTACAATAACTGGAGCTCCCGAGAAATAATCATTCAAGCGGCTGTGAGTCAATGCCGGATATCACGGGATTTAATTGATGATATCTATCCATGCACTGCACTCCAAGAAGGAATGATGGCCCATACCGTGAAGAAAGCCACTGCGTACACGCGTGTATTCACCTATTCGCTTCCTGCCAGTGTCGACCTCGATCGATTCCGCGACGCCTGGGAGCAAGTGGCGCAAGCACATCCTGCTCTGCGTACTCGCATTGTGCACGTGAAAGATCATGGTAGCTTCCAGGTTGTTGTCAAGGAGAAACTGAACTGGGAAGTGTTCGAAGCAACCCAGTCGGCAGAGGTCCCTGACCTAACGTCCAGTATGGGATTAGGAACGCCATTGGCACGTTTTGCATTCTTCCACTCGCTGGCCGAAGGCTCAGAGACGCAGTTTCACCTTTCTTTGCACCATGCTCTGTACGACGGTTGGTCAGTGCCACTGCTCTTGGATGAAGCTGAGGAAGCCTACCAAGGAAAGTCACTACAATCACATCCGGTCAAACCCTTCATCTCCCATCTGGTAGATCAAAGAAGTTCTGCCGAGGAGTTCTGGAAGAAACAACTTGCGGATGTCGAACCTCAAGCATTTCCACACTTACCATCTGTTGGTTACGACCCATCTCCAAAATCAGGTCTCAGCCGAACCTTTACCATTCCAAGCGGCGGCATAACCAACTTCACGCTCTCGACCAAGTTGAGGTTCGCCTGGGCCCTGACAGTCTCGCAGTACACCAACACGAAAGATATCATTTTCGGCATGATATCAACTGGAAGAGGTATCCAAGTCATGGGAGTTGAGGAGCTAGTTGCCTGCACCATTGCAACATTTCCAGCCCTTGTTGTCATTGACCAAACACAGACGGTCACGGAGGCGCTGAGGGCTACCGAAAACCGCTCAATCGACACCATTCCACACGAACACTTGGGATTGCAAAATATCAGTCGTTTGGGCCAGGCCTTTGAAACAGCTTGCCGATTCCAATCCTTGTTCGTAGTCCATCCACACAAGAAAGAGTCGACGTCGACATTGTTCATTGAAGAGCACGACCCGTCGACGATCGAACCGATTGACTCGTACGCTCTCATTCTGGGATGCCAGATGCTCACGGGTGCCGTGCAGGTTGACGCTACGTTTGATCGCAACGTAATCGACGAGCTCAAAATGGAGCGCATTCTTTGCCAATTTGAGCATAACCTCAGATTGATCTATTCAGAGCCCGACATGACTGTTTCAAGCATCGAAACTCTCACTGTCGCAGACTGGCACCAAATTGAAGGCTGGAACAATCGGGAGCCTTATCCGAGCGAGATGGATACCTGCGTCAATGACCTGCTTCACCAAAAATGCCTCAGTCAGCCCGACGCGCCTGCAATTTGCTCCTGGGATGGTGATTTGACGTACAAAGAATTGGACGACTTATCTTCCCAGCTTGCCCTTCATCTTCAGAATTCTGGGGTGGGACCGGAGACATTCGTACCCTTGCTTTTTGGGAAGTCTCGCTGGGCTGTAGTTGCGCAGCTCGCAGTCGTCAAAGCAGGAGGTGCCCTGGCTCCCTTGGATATTGCACATCCATTGGAACGGCTTCAGAAGATTTGCAGAGACATCAAAGCATCCATGGTTCTCGTTGCAGAAGACCAGTTGGAGACTGCTGGACTTTTAGCTCTTCCACCGACGACAGTCAATCACGATCTGTTCGTGAGCGGGTTACCAGATCTCGATCAGGAGTTAAAATCCACCGTCAGCCCGTCCAATGCGCTTTTCGCTATATTCACATCTGGCTCCACAGGGACTCCCAAGGGTGTCGTCATAGAACACCAGTCGTACTATGTCAGCGCACTTGCTCAGATCCAAGGATTCAAACTCGACCAGAACTCGAGAGTTTTGCAGTTCGCTGGATATGGGTTCGATGCTAGTGTTATGGAGCATTTGACCACCCTCGTTGCCGGTGGATGCATTTGCATTCCATCTGACCACGACAGACTGAATCAGCTTGTAGATGTGTCGAACCGCCTTGAGATCACGCATGCCTATCTCACTCCATCAGTTGCAAGAAGTATCAATCCGAAGGAGCTGAATACCCTGAAACGGCTGGTCCTGATTGGCGAACCTGTCACAGAAAGTGATGTTGAGCTTTGGTCACCCTTCCTTGACTTGATCAATGGGTACGGCCCTTCCGAATGCTCCATCATATCTACAATCCAAGAATGCCTCAGCACCGAAAAATCACCTTCCAATATCGGACAAGCTGCTGGCGGTGTGTGCTGGATCGTTGACCCCAATGATATTGAGCGATTGTTACCGATTGGTGCCATTGGTGAGCTGATCATCGAAGGCATTATCGTTGGACGAGGATATCTGAATGGGGCAAAAGCCAATGCTGCATCTTTCATAACCCAAAGCCCCGAGTGGCTCAAACGACTTAGAGGTGCTGATTCCTGCCGAGTCTACAAAACCGGAGATCTCGTCCGGTATACCGCAGATGGCTCGTTTGAGTATATCGGGCGAAAGGATACCATGGTCAAGCTTCGTGGCCAGCGTATTGATTTACTGGAAATCGAGCATCACCTCCGCCTTTGTTTCGAGACCATGAGCTTTGTTATTGCGGAGGTAGTTATGCCTCAGGACGGTCTTTCACCAATGTTAGTTGCCTTTCTCGGATCTCATTCATCAGGAGAGATCAACCGCGACCAAAGCCTGTTCCTCCCTCCGATGGAGCAATCGCCGTCCGAGATCCAGCAAGTGAAGAAACAACTTCGAGATCATCTACCTGCATATATGGTCCCGGAGGTTTTCATACCATTGAGAGATGTCCCTCTACTTAAGGTTTCTGGAAAGGTTGACAGACAGTCGCTGAAGAAACAAGTCACTTCGATGTCTCGAGAATGGTTGAAAAGCTACAGCTTCGCTGATGCACCGAAAGTCGCACCTTCAACCGAGAAGGAGAAAATGTTACGACAGACCTGGGCCCGCATTCTTAACATTCCATCCGACGACATCAGTATCCACGACAATTTCTTCCATATCGGCGGTGATTCAATCTCGGGGATGCAGCTCTCGATGAGATGCAGTACCCTTGGCCTTCCTGTTAGTGTCGCAGACCTGTTCCGGTACAAGACGATTGCAAATCTTGCGGCACACCTGGAGACTACAAAGCTACCACTCGTCAACGCCTTTGCACATCACGAGGAGAGGGCTCAAGCAACTGAATGGTATGAACTTTCTCCAATTCAGAGAAAATTTTTTGAAGTTTTACCCGACGGACTCAATCACTTCAACCAAAGCTTCTTTCTGCGGCTCACAAGACATGTTCACGACCCAGACGTTGCTCGAGCAATTGAAGCAATAGTGATTCAACACCCAATGTTACGCACTCGGTACAGAAAAGAACCTGATAATCAGTGGAAGCAGGCAGCAACAGGGAACATATCTGATTGCTATCGTTACAAAACTCACCAGATCAATGCAAAGGAGGACATCGCGGCTTTTGCTATTGACTCACAGACTGTCTTAGATTTTCAGGACGGTCCCATCTTCGCCGTTGATCTTTTCATTCTACCGAATGGGGAACAATATATCTTCCTTGTTGCACACCATCTCGTCATTGACCTGGTTTCATGGAGAATCATCTTGGAAGATGTCGAAGAGTTCCTGGTCTACAAAAACATCACTCGGATCCCCTCGATGTCTTTCCAAACCTGGTGCCACCTCCAACTCGAATATGGCTCTCAAATACTTACTCCAGAAAAGGCTTATCCTGGATATAGCCAGTCACAAGAAGTTGTGTGCGAGGATTTCTGGGAACTGAATGGCAAACAAACCACGTTCGAGGACTCGGAGATGTTCGATTTCAGCCTCGATCAGCAGACTACCAAAAATCTTCTGGCAGAGGCAAACATCGCTCTACGCACTCAGCCAGTTGAGATCATGCAAGCAATACTCCTCTACTCCTTTGTTCAGGCATTCCCCGACCGACCTGCCCCCGTCATCTGGACTGAAGGCCATGGAAGAGAACCGTGGGACCCATCCATCGATTTGACGAGTACGGTGGGATGGTTTACCACTATATGGCCGACTATAGTCCAACTTTCTGCTTCAGATGACGTTGTCGAAGCAGTCAGGCGTACTAAAGATGGGCGCCATCAGCTTCCATCCAACGGCTGGGCATATTTTGCATCACGATACCTTAATGCCGACGGTCAGAAGGCATTCAAGGAGCAAGAGCCTCCTGAAATCATTTTCAACTACCTTGGGCGCTACCAGCAACTTGAACGAGCCGAGAGTTTGATGCAGTTGGAAAAGCTTGATGAAAGCGTCTCTGATGTTGCTGTCAATGCCCCGCGCTTCGGATTGGTGGACGTGTCAGCTGTTGTCTTGGAGGATCGGTTGACATTCAATTTTGTTGTCAATCGGAATATGAAATACCAGACTCAGATTCGACAATGGATTGAGGGATGCGAGGCTCTACTTCAAACAGCAGTTCAGAAATTGACATCCTTGCAGCCCAGCTTGACCCTTGCGGACATTCCTCTACTGTCCCTGGGTTATGATCAATTGGATGAGTTTTTGAACATTCATTTGCCCAAGGCAGGACTTTCTGCAAATGCTATCGAAGATATCTATCCGTGTTCGCCAGTGCAGACAGGCATTCTACTCAGCCAGCTCAAGGACTCGCGGACTTACCAATCCCGCGTCGTGTGGAGAGCGTATTCTCCTAGTTCAATTGATGTTGATCGACTTCGGGATGCATGGAAACAACTTGTCAACCGTCACACTGCCCTTAGGACTATCTTCCTGGGAGTTTCAGGGAGAAATTACATCGACCAAGTTGTACTGAAGAGCGAAGCCGAACTCGCTCAACTAGGTATTGAATATGGTTCAATTTCTCAGCCTACGACAGACGTGAGACTGCAATCTCCTCACAAGTTCCTGGTATCTCAAACACAGACAGGCGATGTTATCTGCGAGTTTTCATTCAACCATGCTTTGATGGATGCGATCTCGCTGGACAATATCACGCAGGAGCTCGGATTGGCATATGACGGAGAACTGCCTAGTCTCCAAGGTCCGCCGTATCGAGACTACGTCGCATACCTTCAAGAACTTGACACCCAGTCCGCGCACGAATTTTGGCAAGGCTATCTGTCCGACACCGAACCTTGCTATCTTCGGAGTTTGGATCGGATTCTTGCCTCTGGCGATGAAAAGAGGGTCGAATCGATTCTAATCAGTTTGGACGTAGTCAGTGAGATCCAGGAGTTTTGCAAACTGCACACCTTGACTCCTACCAACGTCATGCATGTTGTTTGGGCACTGGTACTCCAGGGCTATACCTCCATGAGCACAGTATCCTTTGGCTATGTTACATTTGGTCGCGATATACCCATGAAGGATGCTCAAGACGCGGTTGGACTCTTTATCAACGCCCTCGCTCGTCGAATCCATCTGCAGGGAGACTCGTCTGTTCTGTCCGTGATGAAGAATGCCCAAGAGGAACTGATGAACAGTTTAGCACATCAGCATTATTCATTGGCGAATGTTCTTCACGCCAAGGGCCTATCTGGAAGAGCACTTTTCAACACTGGGATATCCATACAGGATCTCATGGGGTCTGAATCGATAGGTCAACCAACTGTGGGTTTCGAACAAGTAGAAGGAGAAGACCCGACTGAAGTAAGTGTCTCAAAGCATCAATTTATCCTGTTCCCAAAGCCCTGGTCAAATAAAAGCTAACCAGTTATCCAGTACGATCTCAGCATCAATATTGGCATAAGTAAAGAGAATTTGGATGTTGCGTTCAATTACTGGACGTCTTTCTTGACGAAGGAGCAGGCTGCTTGCATTGCACAAACTTTCCAACACGTTCTAAGTCAAGTTTTGGAACAACCCTCAAGAAGAATCGACGAAATCGAGGTCATCAGCAGGGAAGATAAAGTACAGATTAACAAATGGAACCAAGATATCCCTGAATCTGTTGACAACTGCGTGCACAATTTGATCCAGGAGTTCGGCGTCACACAGCCAGATGCGCCGGCGGTATGTGCATGGGATGGGGACTTCACCTACAAGGAGCTTAACGACCTAGCGTCTACGGTATCAAGGCACATTTTCAAACTCGGAGCCTGCACTGATATTGTGGTCCCAATCTGCTTTGAAAAGTCTCGATGGGTGGCGGTATCTGTACTTGCTGTGCTCAAAGCAGGAGCTGCTTTCGTGCTCCTGGATCCGACGCACCCCCTGCATCGTCTTCAAGAAATCTGCCGAGATGTTGGTGCACAGCTTGTGATTTCTTCCCAGCAAAATAAAGACATGGCAGCAGAGCTTGCTGAGAAGGTGGTTGAGGTCTCAGACGAGGTGTTTGAATGGCCTGAGGATGACAGCCCTCCCTTGATACCAGCAGCGGAACCCAGCAATGCAGCATACGCTGTATTCACGTCAGGCTCTACTGGAAAGCCGAAGGGGGTTATGATTGAACATCGGTCTTTATGTGCGGTCATCTATGCGAACAAAGGGCCCATGGGATTAGATTCTAGCTCTCGGTTCTTTCATTTCGCCTCCTACGCTTTCGACGTCAGTGTGCTTGAAATTATGTTTACGATTACCCTTGGGGGCTGTCTTTGCGTACCGACAGACGCTGAACGGAAAGACAATCTTGCTGCGGCTGTTACAAGGCTCAAGGCGAACATCTTGGATGTGACCCCAACCGTTGCTAGAACTCTGGATCCAGAGACCGTCAAAGGTATAGACATGTTGGTCCTAGGTGGCGAAGCCGTTTCATCAAGTGACTTCGAGACATGGCATGATAAGACCAAATTGGTCGTTGCATACGGCCCTGCGGAGTGCACCATCGCAGCGTTTGCCACCACCCCACGCACCATGTTTGACGACCCTCGAAACTTGGGCAACACGACAGGATGCATCGCATGGATTGTCAGCCCCGAGGACCATACGAAGCTCATGCCAATTGGAGCAATTGGTGAACTTGCCATCGAAGGTCCAACTGTCGGTCGTGGATATATCAACAACCCTGTCAAGACAGAGGAAGTCTTTGTCAATTTTCCGTCTTGGTTAGCAACGCTTCGCAACGGCCAACAGGGCAAGTTATATAAGACCGGCGACTTGGTGAGTTACGCGCAAGACGGCACCATCCGCTTCTGGGGAAGAAAGGATACACAAATAAAGCTCCGTGGGCAACGAATCGAAACTGGAGAAGTGGAATACCATGTGAAACAGGCATTTCCAGATGTTGAAGAGGCTTTTGTGGATCTCGTCACTCCCGCCGACAAAGACAAATCGCCTTACCTTGTGGCCTGTGTCCTGCAGCACAAACATGAGGGCCATCCCCAGAGCGCCCAAGATGGTGAAAGCATATTCGAAGCGCCGTCTGACCAGTTCAATTCCGATGTGAAGCAAGCCGAGCCCAAACTTCACGGCGTACTGCCAGGCTATATGGTGCCTACCGTGTTCCTACCTCTTTCCTTCATGCCGATGACCAAGTCATTCAAAGTCGACCGCAATCTGTTGCGCCGTCAACTTGCAGCCCTTTCCTGGGAAGATATCAGATCCTACACCACTGCATACGTTGACAGGCGTGAGCCAAAGACTGCCAACGAAAAGGCTCTCTTCGATTTGATCTCTGGGATCTTAAATCTACCTCCAGACTCGATGTGGCTCGATGACGACTTCTTCCGCTTAGGAGGGGATTCCGTCGTTGCCATGCGGCTAGTTGATTCGGCTCGACAAAAAGGCTTCGAACTTTCTGTATACAACATTTTCAAGCATCCAAAATTGTCAAACCTGGCCCTCAAAATGACTCGGATCACTGGAAACGACAAGATCAGTATCGAAGCCCCCCGTTCATGCTCCTTGTTACCACAGTTCAGAGAAGCCTCTCCAAGGTATCCTTTCGACCTTGACGACATAGTTGACGTCCTTCCTACAACCCAGATTCAACGGTTCTACGTCCAAAAGGCGCAATATACATACTGCACTATCGACATCCCAGGCTCTATTGATGTTGACCGACTTCAAAAGGCTCTCCGAGCACTGTTGGAGAAACACAGCGCTTTGAGGACCGTCTTCGTCCCGTTCCAGGAAAGCCTGGTACAGGTAATCCTGCGTCAAATCAACCTTGACCTGGAACAGTTGCATACTGAAGATGGGATACCAGCTTTTGTGGAGGCGATGTGTCGCCAGGACTCAGTTGTGCCTGTCCCCTACGGTACACCGTATTTCGAGGCCAAGCTAGTTTCTCAAAATGAGTCTCTCCACACCTTGGTTATCCGACTCTCTCATGCCCAGTACGATGGAGTATCTATGCCTACGTTCTTTACAGACTTGGCCACATCCTATGGAGGCGACTCGCTGGTCTCTTCCCCTGTGTTTGCTGATTTTGTCATTCAACGTGCAGAGCTGAATTCGCGGCCAGAGACGTCTCAATTCTGGGAGAACCTTTTGGCTGGCTCCTCTATGACATACCTTGAGTCTGATGTCAGCAACAGGACCAACGGTGTCAACAGTACCGCCGGTGAAAAGGTCATGAATCGAGTTGAAGTCTTCCGTACCATATCTATGGACAGCCTTCCCGAAGGAATCACACTTGCAACTGTCTTGAAGACTGCCTGGTCATTGGTCCTCCGAAAGAGAGCGCAAGCAAATGACCTTGTATTTGGCCAGGTGAACAATGGCCGCAGCATGTCATTGAATGGAATCGAAAACGTCGTCGGGCCATGCACTACCTTCGTTCCTGTCCGGGTGACTCTTGAACCCGAATGGAAGGTTCAGGACCTCTTTAACCACCTGCAAGACCAACATGTGCAAAGCTTAGCCTTCGAGACCATGGATCTAGACGATATCGTTCATCACAGCACTGAATGGCCTACAGGTACCCGGTTTGGGACAGTTGTCCAGTGCCAGAATATCTCTGTTGACAATGACTACCTCCTCGACGGAATCCAATGCAGCACCCGAGCAGTCGGGTATAACCATGCACCTGAGAGTCTGTTCGTCCTTGGTGTTCCTCAAGGGTCTGAACTGAAGGTTTATATTGTTGGTAATGACGAGATGATCGATGAAGGTTCCGGAGAGATTTTGTTAGAGGAGGTTTGCCAAATGATTGGAGATGTCTTGATTGATTCTGAGAGATTGGTGATGGACCTTTGAGGTTTTGGATAAAGGGTTTTGTACCTTAACCTTCATATATAAAATGCATACTCATAAGACTTATACTAACAATGACTGCTCTTGAGGGCCTAATAACTTTTTTAAGGTAAACATTGTATTTTTCCATCATACTTCTACTTGGACAACTCTTTTTTGGAAAGCAACAACACTATATTTCTAAGTGCTTCAATTCCTTTCTAGCTGAGGCTATATAACTATAACTACAATTTAATCTCTGGAACGAACCTCCTAGATCTTGATCACCTGTTCAACCCTTCTCTGCTTATTGACAACCAGGCGAAGCTGTCGACCTGACCGGCCTGGTAAGGAAGCAGGTCCTGTTGACGATGTCTTGAAAACGCCAGCTCGGAGATTTCCGGTGAAGAGTTCATAAGATGGGTAATCTACAGAGAATGAGCTAACGGTCCGAGAGAAGTGAGAGAGGGGGGGGGCAAAAAGAAAACCTGATAGGGGTACATACAGCCGTCAACAAATTGGTTAACTTGTTCTTCGGTCATGCCAGTGCCTTTCGCTGCGCGGAGGGTACGCTCTTGCTCTTGACGCCAGTCGTAGACGAAGTGGGAGTCCTGGGCATCACTTTGCAAGTTGTTAGTGCCAGCTGATAGATAATGGCCCAGGGAATTTTTTTAACGTACATATGAATAAGGGCGTCTAGCTGGCTAGAGGCAGAAAAAAGACATCAAATCAGTCGAAAGCCAAACTTTAGGAATGCAGCGCAACTCACTCTGTAAGGATATCATAACGCTTTAGTGAATCGTTAACGGCTTTGACATCTTCGTATTTCACGTGTCCCAGTCTTCCGCTATATTCAGGATTGCGCTCCTTCTCCGTGACAGCGGCCTGCCATTTCGTATGGAGAGTCGTCTCGTCCAACGGGCGGAACCCAACGCACCATCCCTCAAAGATGACGACGCGGATCTTGGATTGGCCGGCGGCATTGACGACTTCCCATTGCGATTCTGGAACCCGGTCTCCCTGACCTGAAAACGCGGACTTGTCGTATTGCGGGATAGCAGTGAGGTGGCCCGCGCGAAGGGAGCTAAAGACCCTCTCACCCAAAGCAAGGTCGTGGGTCGAAGGCTGCCCGCGATGCTGGAGGAGGGGGTTCGATGGGTTTGCAGCTGCAAGAGAAACTTGATCATCGTGAGTGAGGTAGATATCGTCAAGAGACAGTGTAATAACGGGCAGGGAATATGGTGGGGAGCGGAGAGTCTGATAGAGAGTCGAAACCTGATAGCAAGAAACTTGGTTACTGTCTGGGAAACCCCGGAGCAAATATCATAGACAGATCAAATGGGGAGAAAACGCTTCACATTACACATACTAGAACGGTTTTTCCCGCGCCCTGGACGCCATTGAGACCGAGGAAGAAAGGGGGTGCCTCGGGAGAGTTGCCGTGGCGGGCTTGGTGGGCTCGCAGTCGTTCCAGCAGAAAGGGAATGCAGTGTTCAGACTTGTCGTCGAAGATTTCAGGCATGACGGAGGCCAGCAGATCCTTGCAATGCTGCACGATGGGGTTTCTGCAATGCGGATCGCAAGAGGTCTTGTCTGTTCCCTCGACCTTGCTGTCGGCCGAATACCGTCGTGTATGGAGACTGACCCCCGCGTGGGGCTAGAGAGTTGAGCCTGAATGTTTCTCATCGCACGGGGCGACGCTCTCAACACTCATGTCAACCTCCAGTGACCCCATCAAAGCGGTGCGCGAGAATGAGCTCGCGAGTCCATTGCATACAGACAGTCTCTCGGTAAGGCGTCTCCTGAGTCGGTCAATGTCGAGGTCATGTGCCTGGCACATGATCGTCTTTGGATTCAATGCAAACAGTGCAAACACCCCACGGATCACATGAAACGGTGACGGGACTGTCACGTGACTAATCGCAAAGAGAGTCGGGACTCGGGAGTCGAACGAAGCATCATTAATTAGTGACGACTCGCTACCCGAATTAGTCCCTGGTGTTTCCCAAGGTCTCTTCGTCGGATTTCCTATTATCTATTGCCGATATACGTCGGTGGGGGGCATGTGGAACTCGCGATCCCCAGGTTTTGGCTACTGCAGCTGTCGCCTTGTACGAGCCGAGGTTCGTTTTCTGTGAGCCGAGCTGCGACCGTCATAGCCAGCTATCCGCATTCTCGGTTTCTCTTGTCTATTAAGTATCCTCGACTCGTCTTGTTCTCTCGCTGATCCAACATATATACTATTCCCTCTGCTTAAATATCTTCTTGCAGTGTTTTCTTATATCTTTTCTGTGTCCGGAGAGACTGTTGACAGTCCTTGTAGTCCCCAAGGGCGCCGGCTGACCTCCAACCTCACACTGCTATCTATCCCTTCAAATCCTCTGCCTATATCGTACCATGTCTAATTTACGCTTTGATAACCAAGCTGTCGTGGTGACCGGCGCTGGTGGCGGCTTAGGGAAGGCATATGCTGTCTTCTTCGCGTCGCGAGGGGCGAATGTTGTGGTGAACGATTTGGGTGGCTCCCACAAAGGGGAAGGCCACTCGGCAAAGGTGAGAATGAGCTTGGTTATTATCATCTGTTCTAGTCGGTACTAACTTTCTCAAGGCTGCAGATGTCGTTGTCAACGAGATCAAAGCTGCAGGGGGCAAGGCGGTTGCAAACTACGACAGCGTCGAGAATGGCGACGCCATCATCGAAACCGCGATCAAGAACTTCGGCCGAATCGATATTCTCATCAACAATGCCGGTATCCTGCGGGATGTAAGCTTCAAGAACATGAAGGATGCGGATTGGGACCTGATCAACTCGGTCCACACATACGGCGCCTACAAGGTGAGAGAGACGAGCCAAAATAATCAGCAACCGCGGCTGGAATCATAATAGCTCGAGGCTGACTTGTTATAGTGTGCAAGAGCTGCATGGCCTTACTTCCGTAAACAGAAGTTCGGACGCATCATCAACACAGCCTCCGCAGCCGGGCTGTTCGGAAACTTCGGGCAGACCAACTACTCCGCTGCGAAGCTTGGCCAGGTTGGGTTCACAGAGACCCTTGCCAAGGAAGGCGTCAAGTATAACATCATCGCAAACGTCATTGCGCCTATTGGTGAGAAGGATACAAAACATTAAGTAAAGGGTAATTGTATTGCTAACATCTCCGACAGCTGCCAGCAGAATGACTGCAACCGTGATGCCTCCTGATATCCTAGAGCACCTGAAGCCTGAATGGATTGTGCCTTTAGTGGCAGTGCTGGTTCACTCATCGAACACCACCGAAACTGGTGGTATTTACGAGGTTGGCGGTGGCCATGTTTCCAAGCTGCGTTGGGAGCGCTCCAAGGGCGCTCTTTTGAAGCCCGATGCCTCGCTGACCCCCGGTGCTATTGCCCGCAAATGGGAGGACGTCTATGACTTCTCCCAGCCTGAATACCCTACTGGAACTGCGAATTTCATGAGCTTGCTCGAGCATAGTTTGAAATTGGGCCCTGCTCCTGCTGGCGAGGAACCTGATTTCAAGGGCAAGGTCGCTCTTGTCACCGGTGGTGGAAATGGGTATGTTCTTCTTGACTTGCCGTTTCGAATGGATCGATGGCTAACTCCATGATAGACTTGGCCGGGCTTACTGTCTGTTGTTCGCTAAATATGGAGCTTCGGTTGTCGTCAATGACTTGGTTGACCCTGAACCTGTCGTTCAAGAAATCAAGAAGATGGGCGGTCAGGCCGTTGGAAACAAGGCCTCCTGCGAGGACGGTGACGCGGTCATCAAGTCTGCGATTGACGCTTTTGGCCGCATTGATATCCTTGTCAATAATGCTGGCATTCTCCGGGACAAGGCTTTCACCAATATGGATGACAACCTCTGGAATCCAGTTATCAACGTTCACTTGCGCGGCACCTACAAGGTAACCAAGGCTGCTTGGCCATACTTCTTGAAGCAGAAGTACGGCCGCGTGGTGAATACTGCCAGTACCAGCGGCATCTACGGCAACTTTGGACAGGCTAATTATGCCGCAGCTGTAAGCTTTAAATACCCTCTTTCAGCAATCGCTCCATTTTGAGGACAGACCAAAGCTGACACCTTGAAGAAACTAGGTATTCTGGGATTTTCTCGTGCCCTTGCCCTTGAGGGTGCCAAATACAATATCAAAGTTAATACCATTGCTCCCAATGCCGGCACGAACATGACCCGCACCATCATGCCCGAGGAGATGGTCCAGGCCTTCAAGCCCGACTACGTCGCTCCTCTTGTTGCCCTTCTCTGCTCGGACATGGCTCCTGAGCCTTCTACCAAGGGTCTCTACGAGTGCGGTAGCGGGTGGTTTTCTTGCACCCGCTGGCAGCGTTCTGGCGGCCATGGGTTCCCCGTTGACGAGACGCTGACTCCGGAAGCCATCGTTTCCGAGTGGAAAAAGATTGTTGATTTTGACGATGGCCGCGCAGATCATCCCGAAGATACGCAAGCCGGCTCTGAGCGAATCATGGCCAATATGTCCAACCGCCGTGATGGTGGCGAGGAAGCCAGCGGTGACGCTGCCATCCTGCAGGCCATCGAGAAGTGCAAGACATTGACGACCGATGGTACTCCCTTTGATTATACCGATCGGGATGTCATCCTATACAACCTTAGCGTCGGTGCCAAGCGGACCGACTTGCCTCTGGTCTACGAGCACAACGACCACTTCCAGGCCCTGCCCACATACGGAGTGATCCCCTGGTTTAATACGGAGACTCCGTGGACCTTTGACCAGATCGTCAAGGACTTTTCCCCTATGATGTTACTCCACGGCGAGCAGTATCTGGAGATCCGCAAGTTCCCTATCCCCATCGAGGCCAAGACCCGGACATTCCCCAAGCTCATCGATGTGATCGACAAGGGCAACGCCGCCGTCGCTATTGCGGGTTATACCACCAAGAACGCCGAGACGGGCGAGGACCTCTTCTACAACGAGTCGACGATCTTCATTAGGGGCAGTGGCGGGTTCGGCGGGTCCTCGAAGCCGACTGCCTCTCGCCCACGGGCGGCCGTCGCTGCCTACAAGCCTCCCCAGCGCCAGCCCGACGCGGTTGCCGAAAAGAAGACTTCCGACGACCAGGCGGCTCTTTACCGTCTCAACGGGGATCGCAACCCGCTGCACATCGATCCGGAGCTCAGTAAGATGGGAGGGTTCAAGGTCCCCATCCTCCACGGCCTCTGCTCGCTGGGTATCTCCGGCAAGCATGTTTTCGATAAATACGGCCCGTTCAAGAACCTCAAGGTCCGATTTGCCGGCGTGGTTCTCCCTGGTCAGACTCTCCGGACGGAAATGTGGAAGGAAGGAAACACCATCATCTTCCAGACCACCGTCGTGGAAACGGGCAAACCCGCCATAACCGGCGCCGGGGCCGAACTACTAGAGGGCGCAAAGGCGAAATTGTAGAAATACTAGCCGAGGGGGCACAGACTGCAATCTCGTCCTGTCATGGTGTTTGGGCGAGTTTATTTTTTCTATTTCTTTTTAACAAGATGATGAATATTTCCCGCTCTCTCTATGTACATCCAATCACAAGAATTATCTTCATTTCAACATATTTTACCAACAAGAGGGTAATTTCTCTACTTCAAAGTTCAGACTGCGGCATCGAATGATACTGAGTCGATACGTTTATCCGGATAAGCCACTACCACGGACATCCCTATTCTCTCTCACTAGCAAACAAGCCGAGGCTTAGAGCAAGCGAGGCGATTAGTGATCGGGATTGGCGAGGCAAGGCAAGTAAAACTATCATCCATCGTCCACCTCACCGGGGCAGTGTCTGAGGACCTTCTTTTTTTTTCTATCCATCATATCCAGATCTCCTTCATTTTGGTAATAATTATTATACCCTTTTGCATCCCAACGACCCCAGCGGTGGCCCATCGCCGGTTGACACAGTGAAACGCTCAGCTCGGCAGTGATCACCACAGACAGGCCTGCCTCAATGTGGGGCATCTTCCAATCCGATCTGAAGGGGGACGGACTGTCAACCCAGGGTCGGCTGTCTGATACTCTGTCAGCTCGTTCATATTTCGATATCGATGGGATCCGGATAGGACAAAAACGCGGCAGGTCCCGCGATGTAACGCCCGGGATTGACGAAGAAGACGATGATGGGGCGAAATCGTCGGCTCAACCCCCTAGCAAAAAAGCCAAGATCATCACTAGTAGCGCCAGCAGCAGCCACGAATTTCCCATAGTACAAGTGAAACCGGTAAAAAGACGTGGACGACCTCGATTAAGAGATAGCGGGGAGGATGCGGCTCAGGTATGCTCTTTCACTGCTCTTCTCCTGGAAGTAGGAAACTGAGTGAAGTATACAGACACGTCGATCGCAGATCCGTCGTGCACAGCAAACATATCGCCTCAAAAAGGAAACCACAATCAAGACGCTTCGCGAAGAAGTGGAACGACTGCAACAGACGTTACGTACAGTGGCTGGCGGTCTCGCTGAGCTCCGTGACGTTGCCTTGGGCTTCAACCTGGAGCTGGCAGATAGAAACCTCCCCTCTTTGGTATCGAGAAGGGCAGACCATTTACTTACGGAGATTGAACACTCTTGCCAGCTGTCGGGCAGTGTAGACCGGCATGATGATCCTCGCCCATTACCCAGTCTAAGCCAGCAACACCCAGTCCGCGGTATTCCCAAGGCATCCGAAGGGGATAATCTTGACGACGACGACGACGACGACGACGACATGTTTGGATACCAGGTATCGCACCAGCTGTCGGCAGGCGACGGCAAAACGTTTCTTGTTGTGAAAGAAATGCAACGAAACCCGGCACTGCATGGGTTGCGGCACTGGTGGAAGGAACGGACAGCAGCACCAGGAGGAGGAGGAGGAGGAGGAGGAGGAGGAGGAGGGCAAGTCCCGCCGCGGCACGTGCTCAACAACGCCATTTCCATGCCGGCCACGATCTCAACCCACCCTGCGTTTGATCTCTACCACCAGGAGCCTGAATTCCATCGGCAGCTACTTCGGTTCTGCCTGGAACGGTCGTACCAATGGTTTGTGGATCCGGAGGCAGACCGTGAGGCATTCCTGCGGGTATTTGGGCTGGCGCTGCCCTGTCTGCGCGATGACCCGTCGATGGTCAAGTACCTGTACGAGCAGTACCTGAATGGTGCGTCTGAGACCTCTCCGGGCTTGCTCAAAATGCCCTTCTACACCATCGGGGGCGCGGCAACTCATTACCCGCGTCGCGACAGGACGGGGAAGAAGATCTTCCCGCCCAATATGCGGACGCCGCAGCGGATTATCGGCCGGCTGATCGAGTACAGCGGTGGTGGCAAGGATGTGCCAGCGGACATGCACCCGGACGAGGCGCTGAAGTACCTGGGCTTCGAGGGTGAGTGGTTCGATTGCCATGACGTGCAGGGGTTTCTCGAACAGAGGGGGATCATCTTTGATCGGTCATCATTGTTTGCCGAGGTCCCGGATGCCACCATCCAATCTCTATATGAAAACACACGCACTTTACAGGACCAAGCCCCTCTTGGCCAGGCGGTGGGTTTGGAAACCGTGTCGTTTGACGCTAGTCAGACAATATATGATAATGACGAGGTCGTGTCTTCTTCAGGCCATAGGCTGGTCCTACGGAACGGTGAGTTTTGTGCATTTATGCAATACCCTCTGTGAAACCGTGCAACTAGATTTCTGATAAGCTCTAACTAGATGATGGACCCCCCTCTGAGAGCGTCACTTTTGATTACTTTCTTGATATCGAGTGCTTTTTCACCCGTACGCAAGAATCTCTTCCTTTTTTTTTTTTGCTTCTATGCGGACCAATCAGCTAATCGAAACAGTTCTCTTGCAGAAGGTCAGAATGCTCGGCCGAGCTCCGGGATTCCGCAAATCCGACGTGGAAGATGCCCTGAGAACCGCGGTGCGCAAGCGACCTTGACTGATTACTACTTATAGCAACTACGGACATGGGAGTATTGGATATGATAATTGTTAATACCGTTCAATCATGACGAAATTGAATATCCATAGTAATAACCAGACATATAAGATAGTCTTCCAAATCCATTACCACAGAAATCCCCGACTACTTCTTATCCGGAGCTGGAGATATAACCATCATAAGCAAGTTCTTATACAAAGCAGAAAGTTCTGAAAGAAACTCACGCCGACACGAATCACTCCACCCATCCCTCCCAATCTCCTGGCAATGATTCCAACAATACTCGACATACTTGACCTCTCCGCGCGTCGTGTCACACTGGAACAGGCCGTCTTGGATCCGATCGCGGAGAGGAGCAGGCACGCTCGGGTTCAGTTCCACGGCGTCCCAGAGCGTGGCTTCAGAGTAATCTAGAAAGAAAGAAAAAACAAATCAATTATTCGTGACACATAGAAAGGGTCTTTCCCCTACTGTGCACTTCCATCAGCCAGTCGCCGCAGTATTTCTGGCCGACGTGGCAGCTCTGCGCGAAGATGGTGGAGGCCAAGCTGACAAGCAGACAAGCCGATGGCTGCATTATGTAGTGTTGTCTTCTGGATTCGGATATACAAGGAGTGGAATATATAAGAGATAGTTATTGTCGGAAGAGACGGGGTTATAAGCAGCGTAGGTGTATATATACTGCCCCGAATAAGGTTCGCATGGTTGGATTGACGATCCATCTGCATGTGCGATATTTGCAACGGCGTAGGTGGAACTGGTTCTGGTTATCTTGGAAATGGTCGTCATGTCGACTGTCCACTCCATATGGAGTGGTTGTGTACTGGCCCATACCGGGCACTCTTCATGGGACAGATCAAATTCAAACAATGGTTTAATTTCCACTCAGTAAACTACTCGTGAAGGAAGGGTATAAAGAGGTCTTCTGTCATGACAACAAAACTCATCAATCCAGTACATGAACGTAAAAAATGAAGTGGTGGAAGCGGGCAGAGCGGATGCTCGCGGATCCATGTCGTTATTTAGCAGCAGCACTCGCAGCACTCGAAGCAAGCGATACCGGCGCACCTGGCGAGCTTATCAGCGGGTGTTTTGGTTGTATTGGGTTTGGGTTGTTGCAAAACTCACAGTCCGCAGCAGAATCCAGCCTCACCACCTCCACGGAGACTCATCTGCATCTGTTCCTGGGTAGCCTGTGAAGATTAGAATGTGCGACGGACTAGAAAAATAAAAGATCATCGCAAAAGAGGTCGTACAGGCTGCTGAGAGACGATCTGCTCGGGCGCAGCAGGGCTGCTGGGCTGGTTCTGTTCAAGAGTCTTGGGGTCCCAGGTGTTGGACTCGGTGTTCTCCGACTTGGAGGAGCTGAAAAGGCTGAAACCGAACATTTTGATAGTGTGACTGACGGTGGACTGGGAGCGATGGAGGAAGGGTAGAAGGTTAGATTTATAGGAATGAGGTTGAGAAGCTGAGAAGCCGAGGAACTGAGGAGCTGGATGAGATCCGAGCAGATTAGGAGCAGGGCTGAGGGCTCTTTATGTGAGACCCCCAATAAAACGGGGTTGCCTAGTCACCTGCCTGCCACCATCCGGTCCAGGCCGCTTTGTTTAGGAAGCCACAAGTCGTCCAGGCGAAGGGCCGAAGGCTCCAGGGGCTCAGCTGAGATCGTCCCTGGTGGCCCAATGGTTGGCTGTGGCAGGAGGGGGGGGAAAGAGCTTAGCCCTTTTGGGGACAGTTCATTTCCCGCAGCCAAACACTGCGCTTGCCCTGAAGGAGGCTAGTTTGGACACACACCGCTCTGATAAGCCACCCATGTATCACTCGGCGTAACCAGTACAGCCAAAAAAGATACTGTACGGAGTACGGAGTAGTTACTACCTACTATCTGCTAGGTACGGAGTACTCTGTAACTTACTAGTAGCTCAAAGTGTTCTGGTTTTACTGCCACTCTCAGCCACGGAATGACGTACATGCGTTGCTATTATTATTCCCTCGTTGGGACCCCACTAGACTCTCGGTGTCCATGGTTGGGGCTGTGGAGTTTAATTCTGTAGGTACTCCGTAGATCCTACTAGGTACCACCTTAGGTACCCAGGTATTACGTTATTACTCGTAGTTAGTACTACCTACTCCGTACCTACGTAGTGCTAACTGCTAACTACTGCTTACTGTACAGCCATCTATTTCTATATGTAGTAATGAAGGATGCCTAGTAATTATCTGATGGATAACGAGGCTGTCATGCCAAGCCATGGCTCAAATTGACTGCTTATCGAGAGGAGACGAATCTTCAAATCCATTCCTTTTTCATAAGTCCACTGGCATTGGGGAGGCCTTCGTCTGCTCGTGGTCTCGGATGGCTTTACGAGTACGAAAGTTACAGACCAAATGGTATTAGATTTGTACAGAGTACCTCTCTATGCAAGCAATACTGGTCTAGTACTATTCAGGCTGTATGTTGGCCTGAGGCTTGTAACTACAACTACATCAACTCTACCTCTAAGCAGACAACAGTTGGATCTTTATCACTTATATAGACAATCAAGGTGTTAAGCTATTCTTTCTTTTGGAATTCTTTGTCTCACCCTAATCACTTAGTCTATCTAGATCAAGAATGGTAATCTAGTCTCTTATTATGGACTTTTATGGCTGCCACACACCGATACTGATCAAAAGCTTCAACTTTGGCTACTAGGGCTATGATGCCCTATTCCCACGCTGAACATGCTAAACACCTCCCTATCTCTTTCTTCTCTCATCTCTCTCTCACCTCTCCTCCCCTCACCATCTCTCCCCCTCACCATCTTGTCGAACTCGAGCATCATGGCTGACAAAATCAATCCAGTTGACGTCCTCATTATCGGGGGAGGTCCTGCGGGCCTCTCTGCTGCTCTTCATCTTGCTCGCCAGTCTCACAGCGTTACCATCTTTGATTCTGGTAGCTACCGCAATGACCCCAGTGCCGAGCTTCACGGTGTTTCCACCTGGGACCACCAGCACCCCGTCGATTTCCGTAACAAGTCCAGAGAGGAGCTGGGCCAGTTCCCCAATGTCCGCATCGTCGACATCGAGGTCCAGAAGGTTGCAAAAATCAATGAACAGCTGTTTTGCATCCAGGCTGAGAACGATAAATTCTGGATTGGTAAAAAGGTGCTTCTCGCCACCGGTTCGCAGGAAATCTTTCCAGAGATCGACGGATATAACGAATGCTGGGGAAGACGCATGTAAGTGATTGATCAGAAAGGAAGTAAAAAAGGGGAAAACCATTTGAACTAAGAGGTCCAGTTTCCACTGCCTGTTCGCCGATAACTACAAAGTCCGCAAGTCTGCTGCTGCTGGCGTTCTGGCCGTGAAGCCCTGCGGCAACCTATCCATGGCTCTCTACCTTGCCCAGAAGGCTGCACAGTTCAGCGCGGAAGTCATCATCTACACACACGGGGACCAGCAGCTGGCTACCCAGCTCGAGGCCGCCCTGGCGGAGGCCGCTCTTCAGACCGGTGGCAACAACGACGCCAACCAGCAGACCTCCAAACTCTTCAAGGTGGTGTCCGACCCCGTTGACGGCATCGTCACCGTCTACGACGCCGACGGCAACCCCATCGCCCTGGAGCTGTACTTTGTCGACCGCACCGAGGAGATCGCGTTCATGCTTCACAACCCCATCGTCGTCCTTAGGGGCACCTTCGCCGCCCAGCTCGGGGTCGAGGTCGCCCCAGGTCCCTTCCCGGGTACCGGCAACATCTCTATCTCGGCGCCCTCCCTGCAGACCAACGTGCGGGGCGTCTTCGCTGCCGGAGACTGCATGGCCAACCCCAAGACCATCCCTAATGCCATGGCCACGGGATGCAATGCTGCCATCGGTATCTCGGCCCAGTTGCTCGCTGAGAAGCACCATCACGGTCCTCTCTTCTAAAGCTTGACTTTGAAATTGGCCTAGGGATATTTTCATTCAGACGCATGTCTTCAGGTCTTAACTCTAAGTTGGTCTCCTTTCATGCGTGCTGCCATTGGCCTACTGGTGATTTCACTTGTACTGTACTTGACCCAGGTAGTTCTTAGGTTGTTCTTAGGTTAGTCTAGGGACACATTAGTCAGTACAATAATATCACCCATATTCTGAATACGCTGTCTGTATAATATACCTAGGTCAATGACCTGTCCAAAGTGTTTTTCTCGGCAATTCCTCACTGAGCAGCTAGACGGCTATTCTATCTAAACCACTACTCTGACTATACTCCACTCTCATGACTGACGCCTCTCAGCCCTGGAAATCATCCAACAAGAAGAGGTCTGTTAGGAGGCGTTTCGCTGACAGTCGGCACTGAGGATTAAGCTGCAGCATGAACAAAAGGAACGAGGCGAATCCTTGTTTATTTTTGGCGCCGAACGTGTTATGTAACCTATTCTGTAGGTACTCTGGAAAATCTCCATCCTTCTGACTGATGGGGCAGAATCTCTGGGTAATGAGAGACCGGTGGTCTTGGTCAACTTCGGCCTCTGTAAGACCAAAGGTATCCAAAGGAAATAACGGCTCGTTTGTTGCTAGTTCAAATATCTTTTCATAAACGTCAGAAGGGTAGAGCTTTAAAACAGAGAGGTGCATGCAACATACTGAACAACCCAAAGTCCAGATATCAATATTCATATCCCATTTCTCTTGGTTTATTATCTCAGGAGCACGCAAAGCTGTCGGTGTCGCTGGGCGCTGATTGCATTGTTGAGCCCATTGAGCTGGAAAGACACGTCAGCTTGTGCCGTATTCGCTTCGGTATATTCAATTAAACGGAGGGATCTCACCAGCGCCGAAATCACCAATCTTCAGGGTAAGTGTCGAGAAACAGGCATTATCTAAATAGCCTCGAGGTCTCTGCGTAGGCATCAAATATCTCGGGGCGCTATCATCTCTCGCCACCCCTTCCAGCCATTGAACAGGGCAAAATTCCGGCGGTTGCAGGAACCCTTCGTCATTTGTAGAGACCGAGAACATTATATTAGCTGGCTTGAGATCTAAACGCACCTGGTCAATGGATACTTGTCTCGAAAGTCTTCGTGGAATGTTGACTTACCACAATGAACTATACCTAGATGGTGAAGGAAGTCAATAGTACCCAGGAGAAGCTGCCGGCAGATAGTTCGCACATATCCTGAGCTATGCGGCTTGCCACTGACTGTCATTGAGCTGCCGTCGGATACCATAACAGGTAGAACGAGACACAAGTGAGTTCCGTTAGGGCCTTGATGATAAAAATGATCGAGCAGTTCAATGACATGCGCTCTTCCAGGATGGTCTAAATCGCAGGATGCCAGATTCAGAAGAATTCCAAGCTCTCTGTTTTCCGAGGATGCGTCTGCTTTCAATATCTTCAGTGCGACCTGTCGCTGGCTACTTGTTTACCCATTGGTAATTAGTGCTATTCTCCAGTACGGTAGTTTATTCCAGCAATACTCTTACATCTTTCTGTCCTTTGCAGCCCACACAGTCGAGCTTTGGCCAAAGGCCAGCTTTCCAATGACTTCGTATCTTGAATGAAGAACATCTTTAAGTTGTACTGGATGGTAGCCTCCTGGACGATACTCTTCGACAGGTTCAACCACGTCGTATATTCGTTCGAAACGGCGCATTTTCTTTTCTTTTTGAATTCTATAACAAAGTAAGTATTAAGAAAACGAGACTCGGTATGCCTTCTCCTAGAATGACAGTGAACCCCGTAATGGACATCGGGGGATGCGAGACGTTTCTAAAGCCGCGATTTCAAATCTCAAATCGAAGGTGAGTCGTGACTTGCAGAATCATGTGACAAAGGGAAACAGGCTGCTCTGCTCTGCTTCTTGAATCAATGGATTAACGAATGAAGATCTCGCTCTTGGACTGGTGGCTTATATATGGAGTCTTTCCTCTTTGGTATTTCACTTTGGACAAACATGTCTCTCTTCGTTTAACTGACCATAAAGCCTATATACATTCTAAACCTTCCGTTTGACCAAGCCACGAAAGAAGTCAAAACTGTTACTGTCGCTCTGTAGCTGCCAGATCCGCCCCGTCGGCCGGTCATTCCAACCCAGCTCCTCGGCGAGAAGAAGGCCGTAGTCGCGCGTGATGCCCTTGATGCGTGCTTTGGCGCATCCCTGTTCCTCCAGCGTGACGACCTGGTGCATGTGCAGCCAGTCGTCGTAGTAAAGCTCTTCGAACTCCTTGTCGAAGCCTGTGCGCAGGAAGCGCGTGTATAGCTCTTCGAACGAGGTCAGGATGCGCGCCAGCAGTTTTTCGAGTGTGATCGGCGCTGCGTTGCGAGGCAAAAACCGTTCGCGCAGGGCGTTCAGTGACGTTGTCGGCGAGGCATTGGTTGCGTTGATCCCGACACCCACGACAGAGATGTATTCTGTTGACGAGTAGTGCGAGTTGACCAGGATGCCGCCCATCTTGCTGTACTGGCTCGTATCGGGTTTCTCGGGGTCAAGAGCGTCTTGCAAAAAAATATCAGCATTTGTCCGCATGTTCTGAAAGAGAACCAACCACTCACAGATATCGTTAGGCCACTTGAGTTTCACGGGCATTTTCTCAAAGCCCTTGTCGTAGCTCTTGATACCCTTGACCACGGCCATAGCCGCTAAATACTGAATAAAGACGACAGGAGCGGATTGCATCTTCTCGATCGGGTGTCGGATCACTGTGGAGAAAATGAGAGCACCCGCTGGTGATACCCAGACGTTTGAACCACGCCCTCTCCCTGCCACTTGGACGGTGGCCGTTGCAGTGAGGCCATTAGGGAGGCGTCGAAGGAATTGGGGGTTCCTGGAGAGGATTAGCAAAATATCGATTAAGCAAGGGAAAGAGAGAAAAAAACTGCTCACTTTTCCAAAATAGTGTTGGTGCTCGTGATAACCTCCGCATACAAGATATCAGAGCCAAATTCCGACGCGCCCTCCCTGGACTGGGAACGGTATTCGCTCAAGTTGGAGTAGAAAGCATGGTGGTTGAAATACGGTGTCATCTTGGAGGGCGGGGTGTCGTCGTGGACCACCAATCGCTTGAGGATGGCATTATAGTCGACGATTTTCCCCACCGCTGCCTCTGTCTCCTGCTCTTTGGACTGGGCAGGAAGGGACTCGCCCAATTCATTCAGATTCCACACACCAGGCCTCTCGATGCAGAACTTATCATTCTCATCCTTCAGGTACTCTTTCCCGTCCTCCCTGACGATGACCTCTTCAAGGCGAGTAAGAATCTGTGAGGTGCTCTCAGGATCTGCCGAAGATAGGTGCAGCGACGATAGAGAAGGTACTGTTGTCGTATCCTGGGCAACGTCTAGGCCTAGCTTGGATAGACAGGCCTTGAGGAAGTCTGTCCGCGACTTATCATCGGCCGCCAACGCGTCGACTAAGTGGGCATACTCGGGTCCTCCCGCTGACTTGTCAAGATTGGCTGCGGCGAACCTACATATTACTCGGTCAGCGCAATCCGTCTAGATTGGGCAGGAGAAAACGGAATATACTCACTCCGGATGAGGCCCTGTGAGAATGGCCGCACCGTCGCCGGCTTTGCAGTAGACGACTGCCGCAGCACCTTCGCCAGGGTGTACATTGAGCTCCTCGGTGTAACTTGCCAGCACTTCGACTCCCTTGTCGGCATACAGCTGTGCGTCCACGAAGACCCCGCCTCCATTGTAGTATGACCGGAACGTATCGGGCACGGCTCCTTGGTTCAGCACCTCCTTGGAGACCTTGAGCTCGGCGGCACGGGCACCCGCCTCACTGTGGTATACGAAGCCCGGGAAAGCACCGCCGCGGCAGATCCCCGGGAAGAAGGGAAGCTCGCGGTCGCCAACCACCTGCATTGTCTTGTCGCCAACCTCGAACTCACACCGCTTGGAGCCGTAGTATCCCCCTGCACAGAACCCCAGGTAGGCGCCTCCCCTGCGTACAAACCGCTCGATCTTCCGGTTCCCTTCACCGTTGAGCGAGCGACAGTACCCCAAATCTGCACCTCCGGGAATAACCAGCAACGCGCAGTTTGCTGTCCATGGCTCCTTGACCAGCATATCCTCCGTGACTGGGATCACAGCATACCGATGCGAGAGCAAACGACGCAGGGTGTAGAGGCAGTGGCGGACCGAGTCCACTGTGGTTCCATTTCCTACCCAAGCCACATCACCAGTCAGAAATCAATCATAATCCCAAAACGAACACGGAATCGGGGCCAAGCAAACCAGAGTATACAAGCACATTGACCTTCTTTGCCGTCAGATCCGGCGTGGTTGCGGTGGCCATGGTGCGAGGTTGGCGGGGTAAGTTTTGGTTTGGATACTGTGAGGACAGGAGCTCTCAGTTCTTCTCCGAACTCTCTCCACCGTCAACACAGGCCGCTGCACCCTCGTCCACGCACAATCGCAATGGCTGGCAAGGAAGAAAAAGCAGCGAATCCCCCGACGAAGGTTCCGGAGATCGTTGATGACGACGACGAGCCCGATGACTGGTAAAAACCCTGGACGCTCCCCTCACTGGCCGATGCGGAGTCCAACTAACGAAACGGGTCCTGGGCAGGGATAAGCGGATCTTCAGCACCGGCTGCGCAGGTACGTCGAGTTGGAAGCTAAAAGATATAGAAAATACAAAACAGGGTGCTAATGCCAGCAGCGGAGCAAATGAAGATGAACGATTGTTACTACCAGAAGCGAGACTGGCGGAGCTGCAAGCTGGAGGTGAGTTGTTCCGGCAGTCAGGAGTCCAATTCGACTACGAGTTGAAAAGACACGAAAGCAATGCTACGATTATATTCCCTCTCAATAATGATCTATCCGCTGACTTGTCAGATGGAAGCCTTTCGCGAGTGCTGGAAGCGACAGGGTAACGACGAGCGAACCGAGACCAAGAACGCGTGAAGCGTTTGTATACTATTATTGTACATACTCTCAACTTGTATTCTTTTAGATATTGATATATACTTGGTTATCTGCTACCAGTAGCCAGTGTTTAATTACCAGTCAGTCCAGTATTGGGCGTTATAATCCTCTTCTCGAAAGACCAGGCAAAACACGTGACCAATATCGCCGGAAGGCTGAAGCTGAAAGTGTCCAGGCATCACAGCTTTGTCTCAACGACGACACCAACTCTCAACACCAACAAAAATGGCATCGCTACAGGCCACCAGGGCAATCCGACTTGCCGGATCTCTGAACAAAATGCACTGTATCCAACGACCATGTCTGACAAGCGTCTACCGTACTGTGTCTCGCAGTCTTATCACCTCGTCGAAGCGCCACCAAGCAGGAAACAACACGACGACAACGGTGCCCGCGTCCAAACCTCCTACCTCCCCGATCCCGAAACCCTCATCGTCTCCCTCTACGACTCCAACCGCAGCTTCTTCTCCTTCTACTACCACCCCCTCCCGCCCGACGACCGACAACATCTCAAAGACAGGACTAGCAGACAAGCCGGTCGAGCTGGAAAGCAGCACCGAGGACAAAATCGACTGGACGCGGTCCTTCCACGGCCTCAGCGCCGCGCCCTTCCCCAAAGAAGCCGCCTCAATCCTCCTCGCCGAGATAGACCCGGAAGAAGTGGAAATCAAGCCCGACGGGATCGTCTACCTGCCCGAAATCAAATACCGACGCACGCTGAACAAAGCCTTCGGGCCGGGCGGGTGGGGGCTCGTCCCGCGCAGCGAGAGCATCGTCACCCCCAGGATGGTGACGCGCGAGTACGCCCTCGTCTGTCATGGGCGCCTCGTCTCCGTCGCCCGCGGTGAACAGGACTATTTTTCCCCAGAGGGCATCCCCACCGCGACCGAGGGGTGTCGTTCGAATGCCCTCGTGCGCTGCTGTAAAGATCTGGGTATCGCAAGCGAGTTGTGGGATCCGCGCTGGATCCGCAAGTTCAAGGCCCAGTATACGCGTGAGGCGTGGGTCGAGCATCTTGTTAGCAAGAAGAAGTCCAAGATCTGGGTCCGCAAGGATGATCAGGTTTCTTATCCGTGGAAGGAGACAAAATAGCCTGTATTATATTATAATCCTCTGGAAGAATACTACAGAATAATAATAATAGAACATTAAATGGTCATTCTATCTATACAATGTACGAGAAGTTTCAGTGAGATCAGTCTTGATTCTCATCTTCACTGGATACTGTGCTGTGCTGCTGCGGCACCGGCCGACGGCTGGGAGGAGGCACATACAGAGGCGGCGGCGCAGAAGGAGAAGCCTGGGACGGGGACGGGTGGGTGGTGAACGTCGAGCTGGACGACGCGTACTCAGGCGAGGTCTGGTAGTGGCTGGGCATGTTGTTCAGGGAATTCCCCTGCGTCGATGGGGAGTAATACGGGTTGTTGGTGTTGGGGTTGGTGTTAGTGTTGCTGTTGGGGTAGTACGCCGCAGCACCCGACGCAGTAGGCTCGGCGATGATCGGCACTTGTTTGTAGCTTTGCGCGTCCGAGGGGGACAGGGTATCCTGGTGATGGCGGAAACCCGTGAAGTGTTCTCGGTTTGGAGTGGTCTCGTTGACGGGACTGAGGTGTCCGCCGCCGACAGACGAAGCAGTGCTGGGCATCCGGGTGAGACCAGCTGCACCAATTCCGTCGCGCGACTCGTCGAACCCTGGCGAGCGAGCGTTCAGCTGCTCCATATATGCCAGCTCCTTTTGCTCAGCCGTCATGGCCCACTGGTGAGTGTCGTTGTTGTTGTTGTTGTTGTTGTTGTTGTTACTGCTGCTGCTCCCGCCGCGATGCTGGAGCGAGCCTGAAGAGGAAAGATTGTCAACCCCCGTAGACCGGCCCGCGCCCGAGTTGATGATCTGTTCCGTCACAATCAGACGGTTGACATCCTTCTGCTTATCTGAGCCGGCATCGGATTTCTTGTCGTCACCGTCGGCCTTTTTCTCCTCTTCCTTGGCACTCGAGCCCGGAGCCCGCATGGGGATCTTACGCACGGCCATGACGAGCGCACACATGAACTTGGAGCGACGAGCAGAGCGGATGGTCTCATTGGACCAATTGGACTTGTGGCGGATGTCGACGCTCAACTGCAGTTTGTCCATGTCGCCGACGCCGACAACTTCAATGTTGATGTCCGGCTGGAAGTCGCGGCAGTTTTCCTTATCGCGAACAAACTGCTCCATCTCCGCCCGCAGCATCTGCACGTCGGCAAAGGTCGTGTCAAAGGCGACCGGGATGGTGAGCACCTCGTGCATGGCATTGGCACGAGTGAAATTGTCCACCCACAGACTGTTGAGGACGTTGTTGGGCACCTGAGTGATCCGGTGATCGGTGATGCTCCGCATGACGGTGAAGAGAAGGGAGATCCTCTCCACAATGAAGGGCTTGTCGCTAACCTCTACCCGGTCTCCGACATCGAAGGGGTGCTTGACAAAAAGGAAGATGCAAGAGCCCAGGACCTCCTGTGCTGTGGTGGAGAACACGAACGAGAGGGACAGCAACGTGGTAGCACCGGCAGCGATGACCGTTCCAAAACCACTCGTCACAAACGATACTGCAGAGGTTAGCTATGGAAAAGAAATAGTGATAACGTTCTCGGAAGGAGAAGAAGAAGGAAGAGAAAAATAAGAACGTACTAAACACAAGGACGCCAATGATAAAGGCAACTGTCAGCAAAAGGTTATCGAGCACGCGAATGGCCTGGTCGACGTCATGCATGCTGTGGTTGAGGGCTTTGCGTCCGCGTCCAAACTCGGCGACGGTCAAGATCATCTCGTCTAGACTGATGTCTCCATTGCCATCGCGGTCAAGGACATTGAAGCATTCCTCAGCCAGGGCCTGGCGTTCGGCGCCCAGTACCTCAATGATATCCTCCAGGTAGAGGGCGTCTCTGCCCTCGACGACAAAGGACATCCAGATGCGACGCGACAAAGCCTCGGAGGCCTTCTTCCGCTCGAGCGCCTGGAGGACGATGGAATGCGCCGCGGTGGGGTTGAAGACCTGCTTGCCAGTGATCTCCTGGGCGACGTTGCCAAAGGCGGCGGTAACCTTGTCTCCGATGCGACCGACATTTTGTCCAACATTGCGGATGATGCGCATTGGGTTGGTCGAGTTGTTGCGCTTGTGGCCTGGGCGTTGCGCGAGGATGGAGGAGATGACGGCGTCCTCGTCCGCGAACTCCTTACAGTGCTCCGGGAAGAGGGCACGAGAGGCATCGTAGAGCTGGCCGATAAGGTAGATATTGCGCTTGGACTGTTTGATCTTGATATCAAACTGCTTGCGGTGATAGCTAATGGAGATGAGTTGGACTATGGTCTTCTCACCCATGAAGATCAAGCTGCAGATCAACAGCCCAAACAGGATGTTCTTGATGGTCCGTTCCCAGGGTTTGGTGCCGGTATCACCTTCTGCCACTTTGGCCGGGTTAAGGGTCATTGTCTAGTTTCCGGATCAGCAGAAGATTCTCTTGTAGACTGAAGGGAGGCTTAAAACGTACCGGCAGAAAACTGACGAGACATATGACACACCAGAAGACGATGGAAAGAGGGATCTCCAAAGCGCGGAGGATCAGGGCATACTTGCGAGTGCCGGAGCTGACGATTCCGCAGAGGAATTGGAAGACGAAGGGCAGGTAGTAGGCGAAGGCCTTGGAGACCCAGAGACTGACCCAGACGACCTCGATCCAGGCGAAGAACCAGTAGACACGGACGCCGCCGATGGTGGCATGGCGCGCGGCGACAGCGGAGACGATGATGGGGACGGCGATGAGCAGAGCAATCGGGGCCACGTAGAGCATATAACGAGTGACGATGGAGAAGTTAAGGAAGGCGCGGTAGAAGCGGCCCATGCGGGTGACGGTGCCATCCTCGGGTTCAACGAGGGACTTGCCGCTGGAGTCGACGCGGCGACGACGGCCAGGACCGGAGCCCGGGACATCGTCTGCCACCAGATCAGCTTTCTCGCTCATGTCGGTGCCCGCGAAGTCGGTGGGCGGCTGGTAGCCCGAGGGGGAGACGGCGCTGTTCATCTTGCGCGCCCCGGTCTGGCTGCGGCTGGAGATGCTAGCCAAGGGAATGTCAATGGTGACATCGTTGCGGTTCGCCATGTCGGCAGACAGCGACATGTCTGGGATTTTCTGGAATCGATGGGATGACCAGCGCTCTTGCGAGGTGCCCTGATGGGAGAACATAAAAGGAATCTCTTATTTTTTTTTTTTTTTTTTGGCGTCGTCCGTTTTGAAATAGGCCTCGACGCAGGAGCCACTAGTGAGGGAGCGGTCGACGAAGCTGTCCCGCAGCTTGCGCCGATGGGAAAGTGGAGAGAGACCAAGTCGTGGCAATTATTATTTTGTTATTCTCTGGACCTCGAGTCTGTGTGAATTCCTACTGAATAACGAGTGTTCTGGTGGAGGTCTCTGTGGGTCTAAGATCAGCAATTGGCAAAGGCAGCAAATTATGTAGAGGATTATCCTTTAGACTAACTGCAAGACCGGAAGGATTGACTGAAAGACTGAAGGACTGAAAAGACTGTATGAGAGAGAACAAAGGGTGGATTAAAAAAAGAAAAAAAAGAAGACATGAGATTATATTAAAGATCGAAGATTACCCCATTGTCCCTGGAAGCGAAAGTAATGGCCGTGCCCATTCCAAGTTGTTTCAGAAGGCCAGGGCTGAACGCCACAGTGTGAAATTCTCCTGGTCGCAGGGTCTGAGACTGACTCCAGTCACTCCACCGGTCTGCTCCATCGCTATCCAGATCGGCAGTCGATCGATACGATAGCATGAAGGAGATGGGACTCTGTCAGCTCATGATTGCAATCGTATAAGCTCTTTGCTGCGTCTCTGATATTCAGAAAGATGAAGAAGTACGGCATGCCTACCTGAGTAACTACCGTCCAGGGGGAGGAGGCTCGACAGAAAGAATTTCTTCAGGTTGGAATTGGGGGGACGAGATACTCCCAGAGCGCAGTCTTGGCAGGCAACGCGTGTGCCCCTTTTGAGAACTGGCCAATTGGAACGTGCATATCCGCTGAGGAGGGTCGTGCCTTCTCGAAAAGGAAGCGAGTGGCCGGTTCCGCGTTCCTCATTGGGAAGGACGGGTCAGAACCAGACAATGGCGTCATCATCCATAGTATGGATAACACATTTTCAACTGTCAACTGGTATGGAGTAGAAGTAAATATAAATAACTTGCCACTTACCTAGGTACCTAAGTAAATTGTTCATAGTACTACGGAGTTCATGTGGTTGACACCGTAACTGTTATTGTATTATTTTAGTAGATCTTACCTTGGTACTCCAGATCTGGGGCAGACGTGCCCGCTGTTGATCACTCGGTGTCTCTCCGTACAGAACACGAAGTATAGACTCTGGAGGACTCGTATTGACTGGCTGACTCACTACCAGGTACTAAGGTACTGAACTAACTATATAAACTAGTTAGTCATCTGTAAAACATTCCTTTAGGATTATAATTGATCAAGGAAGTATACAAGTTATCTAGTAATTGATACCTACCAACCATCTCCCTAGATGACATCAATCTAATGGAACAGTCAATACTACATGCCGAGGCAATCAATCTGTTCTGTGGTGGAGGAGTTACTTAGTACCTACCTAATTGATTGTTCTAGTCTTGGTATGAATGCAACAAGGACCATGACGTAATTGGGTGGACAGAAAAGTATACATGAGATAATAGCTACATATGTAATGAAAAATTCTATTCTCACTAGTCTATCTTACAAATACCTCTCTACAGCCGTAAGAGACATAACAAGTGGTAAGCCTAAACTACTATTACCCAAACGCTATTTATTGGATTCATATACCCGTTTCCCTCTATGCAGTCTCGCGCACCACACTATCCACCGCTTCGGCAAAATAGTCGAGGTTGTGCGTGTTGAGGCCTGCCATCGAGATACGCCCGTTTTTCGTCTATTCAGTAGATTAGTGGGGGAGAAAAAGAAAAAACAGCAAGTGAGTAGGAAAAAAAAAAGTAAAGACGTACCATGTAGATGTGCCACTGGTCACGGAGAACTTTCACCTGCGGCTCCGTCAGCCCTGTGAAGCTGAACATGCCGATCTGCTCGGTGATGTGGTTCCAGGCGCCCGGGGTGCCGCGCTCCTCGAGCCTGGCACGCAGCCCGGCGCGCATCTCCTGGATGCGCCCGCTCATGGTGCGCAGGTCGGCCTCCCACTCGGCGAAGAGCTGGGAGTCGTTGAGGATGAGGCTGGCGATGCGGGCGCCGTACGCCGGCGGGTTGGAGATCTCGGAGCGCTGCAGGATGGCCAGCTGGCTGGCGACGTGCTGGGAGGACTCGACGGCGTCCGCACCCGGGGCAGAGACAAAGTGGAAGGCGCCGGCACGTTCGCCGTACAGGCCGAGGTTCTTGGCAAAGGACTGGGCGATGCACAGCTCAAAGCCTTGCTCGACGAAGTAGCGGATCGCCCAGGCGTCGCGCGCGAGGTCGCCCGAGGCGAACCCCTGGTATGCGGTGTCGAAGAAAGGGAAGTGGCCCTGCTCACGCATCACGGCCGCGATCTGCTGCCACTGTTCCGGGGTCGGATCGACGCCCGTGGGGTTGTGCGCGCAGGCGTGCAGCAGGATGATGGAGCCCCGCGGAGCAGCACGCAGCGCGGCCAACATGCCGTCGAGGTCGAGACCCTTGGTCTGCGGCGAGAAGTAAGGGTATTGGGCAATGCTGAGGCCAACATTCGAGAAGATTTGGTGGTGGTTGGCCCATGTCGGGTTGGACAGGTAGATCTGGGGCTGGGGCCGTTGCGGGTGGAACTTGGCGAGGAAGAGGCCGCCCAGGTGGACGGCTCCCGTGCCGGAGATGCTCTGCAGAGTGCACACGCGCTTCTCACGGATGGCAGGGCTATCGGCGCCCAGAACGAGCTTCTGTGCAGCCGAGGTGTACGCACCCAGGCCGGCAATGGGGAGGTATTCGTGGTTGACGGCGGGGTCGTTGTGAATGGCCGTATCGGCCTACACGATAAGCAGATATTCATTTCATATCCCCCCCCCCAACAGAATTAGAAAAAAAAAAGGGAAGAGAAAAGATACCTTCTTGACTACCGGGAGAATCCACGGCTTTGCATTATCATCTCTGTACGCGCCGATACCCAGATCAATCTTGTTTGGCGAGGGGTCCTGGCGATAGGCGGCCATCAGCCCGAAGAGAGGATCCTCGGGGGCCGCAGCAATGGCGGCAGCGGTGAAAACCGCGGCAGGAGACGGGGAGCCCATGATGTGCGACTTGATAGATTCGAGACGATTGAGAGGTGACGAAGATGATGAAGAAGGAGGAAGAGAAGAGGGAGAAGAAGAAGATAAAGACGTAGAGTCAGAGGAGAACGTTTGGGGAACGTGCGGAGGCGGTGGGGACATCTTATGACTGAGTCTGACACACACAAATCACACCACGCACAAAACTGGGCTGAGGAGGAGGACGAGGGGGGCTTCACCGGAGAAAAGAGAGGGAATGGTTGAAGGATCAGGCGACTGCAGAGACGAGACGAGATGAGATGAGATGAGGGATATACGGGGTATCTATGGAGTAAGAGAGGGATTGTGTGAGGTAATATTCCGGACGAGTAGCCGAGGTCCTCACATGTATTTGGGTAAGATATATTATTAATGAGGTATCTACTACTAGTTGCTATCTCGGACTGGAATGTTGCTCTTTTCTTTATGAATTATCTTCTTGAATATTGGAATTCTCGATAGATACGGCGTGTTTTTTTTTTTTCTTTTGGAGAATCCCAACTAATGGAATATAGGCTAGACTCGACCCCTCATTGAAGAATATCCCCTCACGATGAGTAATGGCGAATAGCTTGGCACCATTCGTCAGTATTTATTAACCGATAGTGGAACTTATTCTTGATTTTGAATTTTACCAGGTACAGAATTCTCCCTGGTTGACATGGAAGAAGCAGTGTTGTTCTTGATTATAAGTGGAAGCTGTGTCCGATAAAGAATAATATCTCTCGGGTATCGGGGCATCACGGCGACTTTCAACCGAGGTAGCCAATACGGTTCCTGATCAGCGTAAGATGTGATAGATTCCAAGGTACCTGGTAGGCAGGTGGCTCTCCAGGTTTTTGAGCTCGGCATCCCAACGAGTCACGTCAGTCCTCGAGGCCGACACACCGCCCCATCCCCATCGCCGATGGAGGGCAGGGCGGCGATCTGGGTAACCAAAGCCCTCGAAGAAGCCACGAAGCAGGGGAGGGTGGGGGAAGCTGCAAGATGTGATCAAGGGGCATTGTTTTCCTGGGATAGTTGACACTTGGTGATGCTCCGAAGAGTCTATCACTGGATGTGCACCCCTTAGCCAGATCCTTCGCCAGGGACTTCACGCACCGAGAACACCACACGCGGTCTGAGAAGCTACTGAGCGCCGGCAAACCTTCATCGACCTTGGATTTCTTGCTGGGAGATTGGTCATCGCCGCCGTCGGAGTCTCCTCATAGCCATTCAAACGGACCTCGGAGGGAAGGAGGAGCGTGGACAAACGAACAAGACGAACAAGTCAAGTTCGCAATTCATCTATCTTTTCCTTCCCAACGAACAAGTATACATTCGGAATGGTTTCGCCGTTTGAAGAGGGGGCCATCGATAGGTGGCTGTTTCAAGAGCAGTTTGATGCCTGGCTTTGATGACTAGGCGAGGCTGCAAGGCTAAGGCATTGTCTTCGTCTTGGAATAGGTCATGGTTAGTATCTTCAAAACGAGCTGCACAAGTCGCCCATACCAGTAGGATCAAAGCAGATGGCTGTATAAAGCTTCCGAAGAAGCCATCCATCGTCGCCTTTCATTAGAATCAATCTATCTCGTAAGATAGCCTTTGATGAACTCCGTGAATAGCTGCTCGGGCAACTCTGAAGATTAGAGAGCATTTCACATGACTTCTCACATGACTTCCTCAGTCAGGTGCTACCTCCAGACATTGAGCGTTGAGATCCTCATTGGAAAACTTACGGAATCCATAAGACATACAGATCCATGCAGATCATACCTAGGTACCCAAGTTCACTAGTATGATGAATACATTACCGCGGACATACTCCGATCGATTATTCGACTCTCGGTCCGTTTCGGTTGATTGCGGATATCCTTGGGTGAAAAGAAGAGGCTAATTATTATCTTCAGGTCCATCTACTACTACGGAGTATGTGACAGGCTGCCTTCACATGCAAGTTGGTATTCAACCGACCGCCTGTTGAGGGCTAAACGCAAGATCTAGTACAGATTACTAGAACTCTCCGCACCGATAATATCGCTCATCCATCGAATGAGGTACCCCTGCAGGGATAAATTTATCAACGACCTGAGCCTACCTGCGGTGTCAAATATCGTCGAAAGAAGTATGTTGTCATTGTTATTTTTCTGGATGAACCCACAGAGCTGGCATGATAGTCGTTGTCTCGCCTTGGCCTTCAATATGCCATACCATATATATTAATGCTGTCTGTAGTGAGGTCGTGATTTCAAGGTTATCACATAGCATAGTTTTTTTCAAGATTGTAGGGGGTTACAATGGAAGGAGAAAAGAGAGATAAGGGTCAGGAGATGCTTTACAGGGTAAGACTAGCAGATCTATAAATACCTTCAATCCGCATTCACTAATAAACTACCCTCTCCAAAGCACCTAGCAGTCACCTAATTATCTCATGGTATATTCTGCCTAGTGGAAAGCTTAGATGACATGACTTGTTTCCTCAGATGGAATATATATCCTAGTCATCATATCACGCAGGTCAATAGAAAGAATCAAAGCAATTGGCTCCGAGACTTACCTGTACACATCGAGAATCGCTCTTTAGACTGGAGTTCCACTCCATATTCGTAAAATAAAGCTTAAAGGTAAGTTGCTGAGTACTTATTGCAGGATACTCCAATCGACGAGATCATCCCAGGGAAGCTCCCACAGCTCGCCCATCTGACCGATCCCATGGAGCAGCATTTCTATTAACTGGTCGAGGGCGCGGATGAGACTGCCCGACGCCGAGGAGCATTGGACCTGGAAAGCACGACACAGCTGCACTAGCTCTTGCTTGCGGGGCTGGCTCTGGGTCTTGATGGCCTCCATTGATAGGAGAAGCAGCGCGTTAAAGGAGTGCTGGTCCATACTGTGCGAATGGGAGAGTTGCTGTTGGTGTCGTTGATGTTGTTGTTGATGTTGATGTTGATGTTCTTGCTGAGTACTATCTCTGGTTGCGGCGTGGATCTGTAATAGCTGCTCTGCACACTGGACTCCAATGGTACGCGAGGCAGCATATGTTTGGTTTTCGAACGCTTGCAGGGCGTACGGGCGATGTAAGCGGCCGAGCCGCGAGAAGAGACCGTACAGGAGGGCGGATCGCTGACGGGCCAGATACGGCCGGCCGGGGATCTCGACCTCGGTGACGGTACTCTCAGGCTGGAAGAACCAAGGGAGAGCATCCAGGAAGGCTAGGAACCGACCGCTCATGCGGAGCGTCACCTCGTACCGCATGGGTTCTTCCTCCACCTGCCGCAGGGCGTCCATGGCGTCGCGGCAGAGAGCGGCAAATTGGATCCGATGAAGAACGTACGACATCTCTGTCGGCTGGTCGGCGCTTTTCCCTTGGGCACCGGGCACGATATCTCCATCGTCCAGGTTGACAGGGTAAGGAACCGAGAAATGGCCCGGGTGGAAGGTGTAGACGCCTTCGTATGAACCGGGGACCGTTGCAATAAGCCTGCATGAATCATGAATTAACAAAAGGCAAAAAAAAAAGAAGAAGAAGAAAGGTGGTACCAGTCCGTCGAAGCTAGATGCCACCAGAGACGCCGTCTGAGCTCCGTTTCCACAGGATTTGGGCTGTGTGTGTCTCTGTGAATACCCAGCTGTATGGCCTGCGCGTACGCCAGACCACGAAGCGCATGAAACTCCGCCGACTGGCCTTCTGCATCCCAAAGCAGATAGAGCAGGATGGAGAGGCACTGCAAGGTGATCATGGATGGCGAGACGACGCCCTGCCGGCCTATTATGTAGGCGATCGCCGCCTCTCTCCACCGGACAGTAATAGAAGTAGTGCTGGTCGTGGCGGCCGTACTCGTACTACTGCTACTACTGTATCCGGTATCTTCTTCGTTTGGGTTGTAGAACGCGCTCGAGGCAAAGATGGCGAGAAAAAACGCCAGGGTCTCGTCGGGCACGGGATTGCCTACCATGAGCTCGGTATATGTGGTCTCCATCAGGGCGCGGGTGGAGGGGATGTGAATCTCGCGGTGCAGACAATCGGCCGTGTGCACGTACTGTTCGAACAAGACGCGAGCGACAGGCAGCGCAGGGAGCTGTACTGCCAGACGACTCCCCTCTCTCTCCAACACGGGGCGATGGATGATATCGGCCGACGCCGCCAGTGTCTCGAGGCGGTTGCACGTCTGCGAGATCGCCGAGCTCGTATCCTGCCCAACCCCGCGAGGGACGGGGTTATCCCCCCCCGACGAGTCGACACGAAGCAGCAGAGCCTCCAGTCGCTTCAGTCGTACATCCATCTCACCCACCGTCTGTTCCAGCGATGCGTGGCGGTCGGCAGCTCCCACGACGACGTTCCCCCCCGCAGCAGCAGCTGAGTCGGCATAGCGACACTCGACCTCTCGCGTCGTGCAGCTCGCACACGGGCGACGCTTGTCGCATCGGATCTTCTTGCGGCGGCACAGCTCGCACGAGGCCGGCTGCTGCCAGGGGCTGCGTCTCTCGGAGTTCATGGGTTCTGCAGCAGGAGGACGGTTGCTTTTGTTGTGTGGTGGTTGAGGACTTCGGACCTCCGCGGGTTCGGCTAGTTATGTTTACTACGAAATAGTTACGGACTACGGGATTAGTTATATGGTGAAGAAAAAGACTTGGTATTAACTATTAGATAATTATATAAATGTTACTTGGTCTTGCCCAGCTGAAACTGATCGATTACTTTTTTTTTTTATTGGTGACTCACAGGACCTCCGCGGAGGGCGTCATATTTTATGGCCAGGATATGCTTAACTGGACAGTACTTATAGAGGCAGTCAACAATGACTGAATATCGAATATCGAAGATTCTTGTCAATTGATAATTCAGTAGGATCAGAATGGAGAAGACTGAGCTGGACACTGCGAAATCATGGGTGGTGGTTACAGGAGCCTTCTTTGGTCTCTTTGTGACTCTCGGCTGGACAAATTGTACGTTTTTATCTCCATTTCTATTTCTATTTCTATTTTATGTTTATATTTCATCTTCACTCTTCAGGCGTCGGTGTCTTCCAGGCTTATTACAAAGCGCACCAGCTCAGTTCAATGTCGCCCAGTACCGTCTCATGGATTCCTTCCGTGTCCATGTTTATCATCTTCATTACGGTACTGTATATTGTCATACACTGTCTAAATTATACACTGTCTACAGGTAACTGTATACAGTTAGAAATTTATGCTAATTATTCATTCTTAGGGACCCTTCGTTGGCCGTCTGTTCGACCGGGTTGGCCCTCGCCCGCTGTTGGCAGCCGGCACTCTTCTCCTGGTCGGCGGCCTGATGTTTACCTCCCTCTCAAGGGAATACTATCAGTTCCTGCTTGCCCAGGGGATCTGCAGCATGCTCGGGGCCAGTATGATACTATACCCGTGCCTTGGCTGCGTCGCAAGAGCGTTCACGCCGCGCCGCCGAGCGCTTGCCATGGGCGTCACGACCAGCGGATCGAGCCTTGGGGGGGTCATCCTGCCTATCCTGATTGACCGGTTGATCCCCAAGGTGGGATTTCCGTGGGCGATGCGGATCAGCGCATTCATGCTGCTGGGGTTGTTGGTGATTACGAACCTGACGGTCAAGTCGTTTGTGCCTCTCAAGCCGCCTGCACACCAGGGAATTTGGGTCTTTGTGCGCCCGCTGGCCTCGCCCGTCTTTCTCTGCACCGTCCTGGCTTCGTTCTTCTACGCAATGGGCATGTTCATTCCCATCACCTTCATGCAGACCTATGCCGAGTCGGTAGGCATGTCTGGGGCAGGCTATATCGTTTCCATCTACAATGCTGCTAGGTACTATACTCTACCCTTTTCTAGGCTGTTCTTCTCGTCTGCGAGCTCTATCTAATGTTTAGTCTGTTCGGTCGTATTCTCCCCGGGTATGCTGCCGACCGGTTCGGCTCCTTCAACATCTCCTTTGTGGCAGCCTGCACGACGACCATCCTCGTTTTCGCCCTGTGGTTGCCCACACACACGGTATCGACCGCCATCGCCTTCGCCGCCTGCTTCGGCTTCACATCTGGCACCTACACGGCCCTCACACCGGCTCTGGTCGCACTGATTTGCGAGTACGAGAGGAAACACGACCCAAATCCGAATCACCACTCGCTCAACGAGATCGGAACCCGGTCAGGCACGTTGTATGCATTTACCTCCGTCGCCGCGCTGACGGGGAGTCCCATCGGCGGCGCCCTCGTCTCGGCTGCTGGGGGGGGTTACAATCGGCTGCAGATATTCACAGGAGCGATGCTGGCGGCGGGGAGTGCCTGTTATTTCGCGGCGAGGATGGCCGTGGCAAGAGGGAACCCGAGTCCATTCATATAGTCTCTCTTTTTCTCATTTCTTTTCTTTTCCTCTGTACACTATTCTCGACTCACTCCTACATATAGACTACTATACTCTCATATCTGTCATAGCTATTGTACTATAATAGCCATTAGTTATACTATTTGATACACTAAATATTATTCAATACTCCAGATACACTATCTAATCAAAGATTCAATCCCTGTTCGTCTCGTCCTGCCCTTCAAGGTTAGTGCAAAGAGATAAAATGCAGCGAGCAAAGAGATTAAGTCTAGCCAATAATATGTTCTATTCGACAGCGAATATCGCTAAACTAGCCGTTGTATCTAGTAAACTATAGTCACTAATCAACTCCATACTACATAAACTAAAGTCTACGGATCACCTATTAATACTCACTCCGTACGCTCAAATTAGATTCATTCTCAATTGCTACTACCCAAGTAACTAATACCAAGTGCCGATATCTAAATGCTTCTGCTTCTGCTTGCCTCTCTGGCCTACCTCTACTACCGCTCACGTGCGCTCTCCCACGTGCCTGGCCCATGGCTCTCGCGCTTCACCAGCCTCACGCTGAAATACCACGAATTCCGCGGCCGGCGACGCGAGTACATCCACGCTCTGCATCGCTGGTATGGTCCTGCGGTGCGTCTGGCGCCCAACGAGGCCTCGTTTACCTCCCTCGAGGCCGTGAAGGAGGTGTACGCTGCCGGGGGGAGCGGGTACGACAAGACGGAGTACTATAGTCTGTTTTGCCAGTTTGGCATTCGGTAGGTTTTTGAACAAGTGAACAAGTAGGAGTGAAGAGAATTCAGGAAGCTGATTACTGCAGGACGATGTTTTCCACACTGAATAAAGAAGAGGTGAATAAATCGGATAGAGATCAAACACTACGTACTCAGTGCTGACTCGCTAGCACCGCCGGCGAAAACGGATTCTGGCCGAACGATACACGATGACCAACGTCATGCGCGAGCCGTTGCTAGAAGGGATCCAAGAGCGCGCCAGGGCGTTTACAGCGAAATGCGCAAACAGCGTCGGAAGCGTGGATATCTACGTACGCCGTTCTCCTTGATCTCTCCGGCATCCTCTGATGAGTTAGGCTCTTCTACACTGCTACGCTCTCGACTGCGTGACGCATTTTCTCTTCGGCGACGGGCTGGACTCGCTATGCCTGCCGGCTAATTATGAGATCATGGCGGAAATGACATACCACCAGAGTTTGCAAAGTGAGTTAGTAGTATTTACCAAAAGGTATAAGTCTAACTTGGGGGATTGTCGACTAATTAAAGAAAACCTACTACACTACTACCTGCCACGCATCGCCCCGTACCTCCCCTTCTGCCAGCCCCGACACGCCCCTCTAGCCAACGAATACGTCATCGGAGCGATGAAGAAGAAAGTCGACCAGGAAGCAAGTAGCAAAACCCAGCAGCACGAGTCGTACTCGCTGATCGACCGGCTCCTTTCCTCGATGGAGGGCATGCCGGCCGCCGCGGAATGCAAAGACCACATGGCCGCGGGGATCGACACAACAGGCGACGCCCTCTGCTTTGCCATCTGGCAGCTCTCCAAGGAGAAGCATTCGCACGTCCAAACCAAGCTGAAGGAGGAGTTACGCGAACACTACCGATCAGACCAGGCCGGCGATCTTCGCTCCCTCGATCGCCTGCCCTACCTTGACGCCGTGATCAAGGAGACCCTCCGCCTGACACCCCCGATCCCCATGTCTCTACCCCGTTACGCACCAGGAGGCAAAGGTAAGAGCAACGTCGTGATAGACGGCTACGCCATCCCCGCGGGCACAATCGTGAGCAGCCAGGCGTACAGCGTGCATAGACTCAACCAAGATGTGTTTCCCGAAAGCGACCGCTTCACTCCGGACCGCTGGCTAGGCGACGCTCTCGACCAGAATAGACTCTTCTTTGCTTTCGGGCAGGGCAGTCGTGGATGTACAGGACGGAAGTAGCTTTCTCCTAAACCCTCTCTATTCTATAAAAATATCAGCTAACGAATTAGTTTGGCGACGATGGAAATGAAAATCCTGCTGGCAGAAGTATACCTGCGGTTCAGCACTATTAATGAAAACGAAGACCAGATGGATATGGAGCTGGACGACCAGATCATCTCTGCTAGACCGAGGGGGCAGATGTGTAAGGTGGTGTTTACATAGTATACAGGTATTACAAGTATACATAGATGTATGTATAGAACCTAGAATGCTCTGCATATTGATATACATCTATTGACAAGGATGAAACGCCTGAATGCAAAAAAAAAAAAAAATAAAAATAAAAAAAAATCATGAACCATATATCATATATCCAAGGAATGTGCACTTTTCATAAGCCGGGCACTACTGGTACTCTCCGGTAACCTAAGTAGCGGTAGTGGAGAGTGTTGACCGACGGAACCGATCCCTAAAAGAAGACAACCGATTGCGCTGCTGCGACTGCTGCGCGGCACCGTCCGAGCCGTTCGCCAGACTCACCTGCCGCACACTGCGCAGCGCAGCGAGCCGTTCCTCGACGCTGGCGTCACGCATGCGCCGCGCGTTGAGCGTCTCGTGCAGGTAGGTCGTGAACCGGCGGTGCTGGCGCGTCTGGCTGGCGTTGGGGGCGGTCGACGCTGATCCCGCGTGTGCGGTCTCGGGAGTGGCTTCGGCCTCGTGGTTCTCGGCCTCACCATCTGGTTTGGGGGGGTTAAGGTCGATGCGACTGATGGTCAGCATACACACATACATAAACACATATACATATACACTTCTATAGAAGGAACCTACCATAAAGGACATGTGCCAGACACGTTGATCAGCCATGGATCAATGCAATCCGGATGGAACTGATGGTTGCAGGGCAACACGCGCAAGTCCTGCCCCTTGATGAAGTCGTCGGTACAGATCGGACAGGAGAAGTTGGCGAGTTCCGCCGGGTGGTCGGATCCGGGAGTGGGCGTGCCAGCCGCCTGTCTCTCAGTGGTACTATCTTGTTGATGATGATCCTGCATGTCAGAAGTGGTAGTGGTTGTGGTCGGCGCCGTCGTCGGTTCTTCCGGTTGGCTTTCTGTTTGTTCTGAGTCCTGAGTCTCTGTGTGGTGATGGTGGTCCTCTGCGACATGCGAACTTGCCTGATCTTCGGAGGAGAGGGACATCTCGACGTCGCGCTTGACGGCGTCGGAGTTGGCGTCGTTGGGATCGCCGAATTTCACGATGGGGATGGCATCGAGCATGGCTCGACCTAGGCCGCGGGCTCGACTTTGCCGTGGACGGCCGAGGGCGTTGCGGGGGCCGTAGCGTTCGGGGTGGCGATGGGCGCGGACGGCACCGGTGATGATGATGCCCAGGAAGAGGGCGGTGATAATTCCCGTAATACTGTACAGGATGATCATAGCTACTGCAGTGGTTGGTGAGGGAGACACATGACTGCTAGTGAACGACGACGCACCAGTATTTGGGGTGCCGGTCGTGCTATCCGACGGAGAGGTCGAGCTGGGAGTGACCATCGACATGTTGGCAACGACTTGGGCCGAGACGTTCCCAGACGCAGCGGATAATTGGGTATAGATCTCGCGGGCCTGGGTGGCATTCAAGACCGTCAGAATATTGGAATACGAGGCTGTGCCCGTACTGTTGTTGTTGTTGTTGTTGTTGTTGTTGTTGTTGCTGTTGTCAGTCGTGAGGTCGCAATGGCTAGACTGGGTACTGTAGAGGAGAACGGCGTCGGGGGGATTCTGCGCGGTCAGCACATCGACCAGCGTCTGGCTAGCGTTCAGGTTCCCAGGGTAAGCCGAGCTGTCACAGGACACAAAGGCAATATCCTGATCTCCGAGGGTGAGTAAATTGGACGAGTCAACAGCCACCAGTGGACCGGTGACATTGAACGACTAGGGTATTGAGAAGAATTCAACATTAGCGAGACTGGTCTTTTTTTATTTCTTTGTTCCATTTCTTAATAATGATATTTTTTTTTTTTTTGAATTCGACCAGAGAAAAAAGAGTATCACATACGGCGAGTCGGTTCTCACTTAGATAGACCAACGGGGGAGTCAATGGAGCAAGGCTGACGCTGACCGGCAGAGACAGTTGGCTGCTTTCGAGACGAAACCGCACGCGATCGGTCCAGGTAAGATCCTGGGAGCTGTTTGAGGGCGAGACAGCGAGGGTGACGGCGCGAGCAACAGTCGAGAAGACAGCCAGAAGGACCAGCGCGGGAGGGAAGAGGGAGGCGAACGAAGAAGAGGAAGAAGAAGAAGAAGGGAAAGATGAGCGTAGAGATGGCCTCATTGAATGGAATTAGCCCCCCACGGAAATGCGACCGATGGGGGGGGGGGGGGGGTAAAGCTGACGAAGGATGATGAGTGAGACGTGGGCAGTGCACCATTAGTCAGGCGAGGTCGGAACACGACACACGCACACACACGCACACGCACACCGGATGTCGGAGATCAGGGTCGTCGGGGATTTGACGGATGCTAATTCTGATATCACCCGCAAAACGATCGCTCCCAATGGAGGGGCCAGGGCAGGATGTAGTTCCTCGCGAGCCGGGGAATCCGCGAGACGAGCGGCCTTGGGCAAGCGAGTGGGCCGGGACAAGATAGCGGTCGCCGGTGGAGCAGGAGGGAGCGAGCACGGCCCAGACAGAGCCCGAGACGAGACGAGACGAGACGACCGACAGGATGGGGATATGTCAGGATGATGTTGCGGGGATGATGAAATGAAAAGAATCGATGATTCGGAGAGAAAAGGGCCTTGGTTCTTGATGATTGTTCTGCTGCTGGAGCCGGCAGTGCCGGAAGTGAGTTGCAGGAGGGAGGGAGGAGGAGGAGGAGGAGGAGGAGAGGCTGGCAGCGGTTGAAATCCGGACAAGAGATGGGGCAAACCAACTCATGCACTCCGGAGTACTCCGCAAAAGAAAAGAAGCAGGTAGAAGAAGCCTTGGAGGAGTTAGTGAACTTGACTAGTGATAACTATCTTTGATCCTGCGGAGAAAACGAATCGCTGATCAATTAATAGTCGGCGCAAGCGAGATCGGGTCTCCGAGAGACGCCTGGTATGGGAGGTGGGAATCGTGGGGCACTTGAGAGTGGGAGAGTCAAATCCACCAATGGCCATGAGTATGTAGTAATGTGAGGACCCTGTTGCAACAAAGGTGTGTGTGAATTACAGTTAATACTCGATTATCTGATATTTAAGGATTGATATTGGAGATTGATTAGATTCATATTGGACAGTCAGTCAATATTACGACTTGGGCAGGGAAGACGGAGTAGGAGAGTCGATCTGTTGATCTGCCGCCATGACATCATCGACTCTACGATCGTAGAGTACAGACAAGGACCTTACGGAGTACCTTACCGATGATATCTACAGGAGTAATTTTAGTTAGTAGTACTATTATAATGATATATGGAGTATTTACTTTACAATCTAGAATCTATCCCTGTACAGTCTACTTTTGATAAATATACGACAAAGAGGATTGGATCAGAGAGTCTGGTATACTATATAACTTAAGTACGCTCTAGATACTTCATTTAGACATCTATAAAGCATGGTCTTCAGATTAACTATGCCTGTTTCCATGCCAACAAGAGTGTGGAATGCGAAGGAGGCATAACGAGACTACAAAGTATCTTTGCGCTCATGACTAATCATTGGATATTTGGACATATTCTGCATAACTATTGCATAACTTGCCTACTCCGTGCCTACTCCGTACAGTAAGGGACTAGTACATACCTACCTAGGTAGTATCATAAGGCTACTCCGGACCTAGTATTTACCTGCTAGTTAATCGAGTCCCTGCCTGCCAGGTGCTATCTAAAGTACCTAGGTACCTTATCATAGGTATTACCCAAGTTACAGGTATTCTACTCTGTACTGATGACTTACAAAGACTTAGTATAATAGGTGCTGAGTACAGTAATAAGACACTTGCCACTTTATCAACTGCTATTACTCCATAATATTTCATATTGCCTCTGCTATCTCTATCTAATACGAAGTACAGATCCGAGCCACAGCCACAATATAATTTTCATCCTCCAGATCACAGCAAACCCAAGCGTCAGACAACAAAGAAACCCGGCAGTGGCCTAGCCTGAAGGGTGCAGCCTTACGCCGCCCGGCGAGGGCTATGGGAGGATTATTGGCGGGCAAGAGTCAGGGCGAGCAATCCACTCCTGCAATGGCCAGGTCTAGTCCTTCTATGGTCGTACACATCTCATTGTACCTTGCTTTCTTTATAACGAGTCAACAGAGCCAAGTACGGAGTACGGAGTACAGAGTACCTATTAGGTACTTGGTAGATACTAGGTAGGTAGTTAGTTACTCTGTACTCCGTACTTGGCTACAGTGAAGATTCTGGCAGCGGTATGTATTGACAGAGTATTTAATCTGATAACTAACAGTTACCTAGTAACTAGATAGTACCTGTTGAGTTACCTAGGAGTTATACCTTACTCTACAAGATCATAGGAAGAGACTAGAACTACTGATACTCTAGTATAGTAGAGCAAAAGTACCTATAGGTTATTTTGCTTAGTATACTCCGTATAGTGCTCTGTCTGACTCAAGAAGTACCTAGTACTTTAGTTAACAAACTATTCTATTCCCATGACTATCTGCCTAGTAGACTGATCATATCTTTTTACTGTCCCCTGAAGAAACCATAAGGCTAGTACCTCAGGGAGTAAGTAACTACCTAGGTACGGAGGAGTACCTGGTACCTGAGTGCCTGTTATGGAGTACGTAGGTACCTACAGAGACGAGACCAATGGGGATGCTTGAATATATTAACTCCATCGTCCAAAAATTGAGTCAATATCGGCAATCTATTATTACTCCCGAGATGCCACCCGGGTAAGCGTCGGGTAAAGGATCCAGCCAATGTTCTAGAGTGACAATGTTCCATCCAGTACGGGATAACCGTATTTAGAGACTTGCGCTGATTTCCAGGTTATCTCGTGGACGCTTTATTAGGATAATATTATGATATACCTAATGGAGTACCATAGAAGTACCATCTAGCATAATTAGTGTATATACATCTCTAGTATTGAAAAGGCAGATCACAGAGGATACCTAATACTTCCACCATACCAAGATGATTATAGACAAACACTTTATAGTAGGTACAGGTACCTACCTAAGTACCATACCAAATATAACTACGTTGGTACCTAGTACCTACCTAGGTATCTACCTACTCCGTACAAACATACTCCGTACTCGTACAAGCTACCTACCTAGTAGTACCTAGGTAATTTGTAAGGTCCAGCATAAAGATAAAAATGGCAATCGGTCTAGACTGGTGAGTGCGCATCTGCCGCAGGTGGTGGATCCTGTCAGCCACTCAGCACCCACCCCCGCCCTCCATGTCCGCGCCCTGCCCCCGCCCATTGGCCAAGGCCTGGGCCGAGGCGCCCATCGACCCGGCCGGAACTGGGAAGGACCTTGCCGCTGCTTGCCAGGTACTTGCTCGTTCTGGCAGCCCTGTACAGTCCTCGTATGATTCCACTTACCAGCAGCACCCGGCAGCCTTTGCCATTGGCCCATCTGGTCCATGAGATGGACAGAAGTACCTCCACACAGAGATGTACGAGTATGTATGGAGGATGGGTACAGAGTACTAGTACTATACTATGCCCAGTACTCCGTACCTACTAAGTATTATACTCTGTACAGCCGTACTTTGTGCCGCTGCTTGCCCTCTAAAAATCAAACCAAATAATAGTAATCACAAAACTCGTACTCCGTACTTGAATCTCCCGCCCGACGCACCTCCTGCCTTACAGAGAGAGAGAGAGAGAGAGAGAGAGAGAGAGATAGAGAGAAATAACCCAGAGCCCAACCCTCCTGCCCCGTCATGCTTCATCTCCGCTCCGGGCCCCGGACATGATCGCTGCTTGCCCTGTCGACCGGGCCCGCTCCTCGTCTCTGTTGTTGTTTTCTCTTCTGAGCGAGCGGCCATCTCGACATGGACCGCGCGGATCTTGCCCGCCCAAACTCTCGGCCCAGCACCAGCACCAGCACTACTAATGTTGCCCGCTTGCAACAGTCAAGGAGGGCTCTGTGGAGAGAGAAGCCTGTTTCCCGGTGAGTTGGAATCATAAAAATGAAAAAGAAAAAAAAACCCCCCATCATTTTCCTTTTTTTTTTTTCCCACTCAAGCCATGGTTGAGTTGTGTGGAATCGTGCGACGGAAATAGCTTCCTACAACCAAAACCTATTTCGCTACAGCGTATGGGCGGTACAGCACAATGCTGATGGACAGGGACCCGGTGATTGCAACCCTCGATATCGAATACAACGAGCTGACCGCCAACTGGAAATATTTTTATGAAGCCGTCGAGCCCAGCGACCTCGGTGTCGGTGAGGCTTGTCGTCCCGACTCCGCCGCCGAACTCGTTGCTTTCGTGCAAGAGGCGCAGAACAGCAGCAGCAGTAACGTCGCCGCTCTATGTAGTCGCTTCTGCAGTTCGTTGGATGTCCACCGGGTACTCCTGTTGCCCTTACCCGCAGGCGAGATCTATCTGTCGCTGTTTCATGGCGTGCTTCAGTCCCTCATCAAGGTGAGAGAGAGAACTCTTCCGTAACTCCCAGAGGAAGAAAGTACAACTCACTGCTGTCCCAAGGCGTCCGCCGCGTATCCCCGGATCATGGAACGGCTTTTGCAGGCCCTCGTCGAGGTCGGCGAGGCCATTCACTCATCACAGGAACAACAACAGCACCACCACCAGCGTCCTCTACCGTCTATCGTGGTACGGATCTATTCGTTGACCTTCCTGCTGCTCGGCGAGCTCATGAACTGGTATATCTGCATGGCCAAGTGCCGGCTGCTCGGCAGTCACCACTACGATTTATACGAGGACGTTCGCACCCTAGTCGCCAGCGTCCGACGGAGTACCTGCTCACTCAATCTCGGCGGCTGCCACAACGGTGACCAGATGGACTGCGACGAAGACCCTACGCCGCCAAGCCCTTGGGAAGCCTCCAGGCTGCACCAGATCGGTCTGCAGGGCCAGGACCGCCGGCTTGCATGTCAGAACGCCTTGACCCGGCGCCTGATCTGGGACATCCAGTGCGACGCCGCGCAGCGGAGCGCCCTTGTCAACGAGCGGGAGGCGCTGTTGTCCCGCTTCCTCGAGGCCATCACGAGTCGGCTCCAACCGGTCGACGGGGAGAAGGAGAAAAATGAAAATGACGAGACGTCAAACAGCAGGACTGTGTGTTTGTTGACGTCGACAGCAGCAGACCTGGGTGTGTACTGATCTATATATATCCGTTGGTATGCCGGGTGGAGGTAGAGACAGAAACGGAAAGAAAAGAGCGAGAAAAGAGCGAGAAACAAAGGGGAGAAAGGGGAAGAAGAAGAAGAAGAAAGAGGAAGTGGAAAAAAAAAGAATGGTTATGCTAACGATCTTGCTACTGGCTGTCATCTAGACCACCCTCGCTTCGAGTGGAAACACGGCTCCAAGCGCAAGCTGAGGAGGAGCCAGCTCCAGCTGGCCTCGAAACACTTCCAATCCTTCTTCGACGACCACGATCAACGCCTTGACTTCGACGTCGACGTCGACACGGACCCGGACCACCGTGATCTGCCTGTAGAGCAGTCGGTATTTGCCTCGCTGCATCAATGGGTTGTGAACCCACAGATCCTCTCGATAGGAGGAGACCCGACCATGAACAGCACAGGGCAAACGTATGTCCTTTCCACCCCGAAACTCATCTCCGCCTATTGCGTGCATGCAGCCCGCACGACGAACATTCCTCTCATCTCGCACTTCTGCACCCTTCCAGTCCCGCCGTCCGAGACAAAGGCATCGTCATCTTCATCACCAGCATCAGCATCCCAGGGTCTGATCAGGTTGGCCTACAGCCTCATCCGCCAGCTGATCAACCACCTGCCACCCGTGTTCGACTGCGACGCCGGCTCCGATCTAAGCAGCGAGCGGTTCCGTCGCTTCGACGGCTCGCTCAAGGTCTGGGCCGACACTTTGTCCCTACTGGATAGTCTCTTGTCTGCTGCTCCGCCGCTGCTGCTCTGCGTGATCGACGGCGTCGACGTCCTTCTTGCCCAGGACGAAGACGAGCAGAGGACGAGAGAGTATCTCTTCGCGTTGTTGCGAGTGCTGCGCACCTTTGCCTCCAGGAACAGACTCAAGGTTTTGTTGACTCTGAGGTGTGACCCGTCTGTTTTGGCCTATAACCTATAACTTATTATAACTGCCCTATCTAGCCTACAGTAACCACAAGGCTTATTAAATCAATCCAAAGTTCAAGTTCTGAATTCAAAAAATTAAATCCCAAACAACCAGCCATGAACATAAGCCCAGCGTGCCCCAAAAGACAAGCTGCGCCGTACTGCGCCGCTCCGCCGCACGCTTCAGTTCGCGATTCCCATGGCCCAGATTCGTCTGTGTCGTGCTCGCATCGGCGACAAGCTGTCCGATTTGTTCTTCTTGGGTGGTCAGGTGCGACACCAGGGTTTCTTGTAGCGAGGAGATTTCAAGCAGCGATTTTTCCGCGTTCCTAAGTAGATGAGTAAGAAGAAGAAGAAGAAGAAGAAGAAGAAGCAGCAGAAGGGGGAAAAAGGCTTTGTCTACGTACTGTACTCTGCTCAGGGTATCTTCATAATGACGAAGCATTAGATCGTTCTCCTCTGCGAAAAGCTGGAGTTGTTCCCGCGAGAGCTGGGCTTCTATCTCCCTTTCCTGCTCGTGCACTTCAGGTGGCGGAAGAGGAAGAGGAAGTGGTTGTTGTTGCTGTTGCTGTTGCGGTTGTGTTCGGATCTGTGTTTTATAGAGAATACTCCTTTCCTTTTCTTTGGCTCGTTCGATGCGTTTCTCGACCATCCCGCGCTGCGCCTCGACGGCACTCTCCAGCCCACGCCGTAGGAACCAGAGGATATTCTCGCGGACGGTACGGAGGGCGCGCGCGGACTCCTCGTCTTGAAGCTGTTCGGCGGGCTTCCCTGCGTCGCTGTCTCCTTCGTGATGGCCTGGGCCTGAGAATGCGCTCTCCCCGCCTGCCCACCGCCAGAGGAGGCTGTGCGTGTGCCCGTATTTCTTGTCGAGGAGGCGCGTCTGCGTTTCTACCCGGAGGGACTCGGCGGAAGCCAGGTTCGCAATCGAGCTAGACAGGTCGCGCAATAATAGGGCGGTTGAGGAATCGATCGAGTCGCGGTCTGCATCGCTGAGCTGTTGTTGCTGCTGCTGTTGCTGGTGCGATTTGGAGAGCGAGAGTCGGCGTCGAGGAGGTGCTGCGGAGAGGTACGCGTGCCGGATGGACTGGAGGTAGCGGAGGAGAGATTGAATATGGGAGTTCTGGTGATGATTAGCTTGGTAAAAAAAATATGTCCTTGGTTTGGAATTCAGTACAATCCGGTATGCTTCCTTTAGGAACTCGTCGGCCGTCTCAGTCGTCCCGCGAGACACACCCTGCGACCCGTTTTTCTCGCCAAGGAGGTGCTGAAGCGATGGGGTCAGGTCCGTCATCGCAATAATAATGGAAAATGACTGGAGAAACTTCGTGTCGGCTGCAATTGACGATGCTGTCTTGAAGCTCGCATGTTGACACGCTCCACGTCACTTCGCACAGTTGGTCGCTCTGGGTCCCTGGACTCGTGACCGCACGTGCCCTAAGTTCTACTTTACTAGGAGTGTTTATTTAGTTACTACGCAGTAGGTATTTATCTACTTGGTCAGACATTTATTTCATTTCACTTCATTTATAAAGCTAACTGTAATAGAAGCTAGGTTTAATTATAGTAAAGCTAGGCGTATACAGTGAAGTCGTGAGTCATCATTGCTATCATCTCATCATCAGCCTGAGCATGCGGGTATATCTAGAGTAGACCGCGAGAAAAAAAAGAACAAGGAAAAAGGGGATAAAAACAAGGAAAAAAAAAGCAGAAACGAAAAAAAAGACATAAATCATGCATGAATAGTGCAGAAATCAAAGTAGCTAAAGTAGCTCTTCAATCCAGACCTAAAGGATGGTCAGCATGCCGTTCCATAATTTGGAAGAGCCGTTCGTCTGCTTACCTCCATCTTGCCCATATCGCTGCCGTCTTTCCTGGCAAGCTGTTTTGCAGAGCTCACCAGGAGATCGAGATCGTCCTGATCGCCCATGGTGATCATGTCACCGTCATCCTGCATCTTGATGCGTAAACGGGAGCGGAGCCCGAATTTTTCACGGATCTTGCCCTCAAACTCGGCAAACTCGACCGTCGGCCCGATCATAACGTACCGCGTGTCTTCGAGTGCGTGGACTTTGATGCGGAACTTGCGCACCTCTGGCCGGCGCGAGTTGGCCCGTCGAGACTCACGTACGGGCGATTGGGTGCGCCGCCGCCGCTCGCCCATGATCTCGAAGCCGCCATCGTTCTCGGCCTCCTCATCGCAACTCCCGCTGTCTTCGTCGTCCTCCGGTAATGGCTGGCGATGGTGGCGTGGGAAGGATGTGCCTCCACGGCCAGGATCAGCCATGGATCGCGAGTCGCCAATACGGATCTGAATGTCTCCCTGTATGTGTTCGTCCTCTCGAAGGGGGTTCTCGCTGGGCTCCCAGCGGGCGAGCCCTCGCTGCTGTCCACTGTGCGTTCGGGAATGCTGCCGCGCGGACGGCCCACGAGGCTCGGATGCTGTGCGAGTGGTTCCAATCCTGGGGTTTTCGCGTTGCTGTCTGTCGATGGCTAGCGATTCACTGCCACCCGGTCGACCGCTGACATGCAAGGAAGACTTCTCAAGGTCCAGTCGAGGCGGGCGGCTGGACCGACCAGCAGGCGGCAGAGTGCTGCTCCCGGTGGCGTTGTCGAAAGCGGCTTCATTCCCGCCGTTGGCCTTTTCTCCCTCAGGTGGAGGAGTTGGAGGGAAGGCAATCCGGTTCAGGGGAGGTTCTGACTGTTGGCGACTTCGCCCTGCCAGATCCTTGTGAACCAAATGAGTAGCAGCATAGGAGATATTCTCTGGTAGTCTGTCATCCGGCGCGTGAGCCATGCCGGTAAGCGGAAGTTTGTAGTCCGTAATGTTATTATTAAGCCGGTCGGCCGAAGCCACCACCCTAGCTTTCCCAAGGTAGTCCTTGGCCTTGAGGTTCTTGACCTTTGCTGCGTTGGGTCGGTACACAATCCCAACTGGGATAGAGAAGACCGTATAGCCCTGTGATAAATTGTCAGCTGCGTATCCGAGGACAATTACGCATAGAATGGCCCACCTCTGCATTTTCACGAATAGCATCGTCAATCACATTGTGGTCAGGCGTGACCTTTTCTTTCACGGCATACTCTAGATCTTGAATACCAGGGCCCATCTGGCACAGGTAGATGTAGCATAGGCCCCGGTTAAAGAGGACTTCGCATGAGAAAAGTCGGAACTTGAGACCCAGCTGCTCGTAGTCGATCGAGGTATTGCCTCGTAGGTAGAGCAGGGTGTCATTGAAGTTGATTAGTGCCTCCTCGAAATCCCCAAGAAGGAAATTGGAAACTCCTTGCTGAAAGTAGGCGATTGCTAGATATTGATCCAGACGGATGGCGCGCTGGTAGCATTCCACCTGCACAGGCATATATGTCAGTCCCACTGCAGACAAAAACCCCCCTGCGAGGAGTTGTTCGTGTGGCATACTGCTTTCTCATGTTCCCCCAGGGTCGCAGAGATCACGCCAAGATTGAAGAAGATCTTGGAGGTTTCGGCAATGTTGCTAAAGATCGAGATGGCCTCTTCGTATTCCTGGTTATCATAGTATGCGAGGGCCTGCACCCACGTCTCAATCTCCTGTCCCAGGGGTCAGTACATACAGTACCGGATTCATCCCGCCAAAAAGAGGATTTGGATGACGTAACGTACTTGTTTCAATGACATTCTCAAGATTCCTTGAGAAACCCAGAACCCTGAACTGCGATTGTGTGCGTTGCTTTCCAGCCGTACCAGCTGAGAGCGTATGCGCAAGGAAAAGGGTTGATCGACGTTTGAAGGAGAGCAGGCAAAGGTGGGACAATAATACTTGGACAAAAGCTTGCAGCGACCTATTTTCGGCAGACAGTCCAACCAATAGCCAGGAGCACACACAATGAACGCCGTAGAGCTAGTTCCCAGCACATGGGAGAAACAAGTGGGTTATGGCTTGCTTAGCCCTCACTGGGGTGGTCAGTTGGGTAGACTCCCACTTCCCATTCACGATAGGAACAGACGCTCGGTTCCTTCGGGGGCCAACAAAAAAAGCGTTCAATCCAAGATACGAGAATGGCCCGTAAACGATAGCTCACTCTTCCCGAATGCGACGATTATTGTGATTCGAGGAAAACGCAGCCCGACCGCCAACTTGCGAGTCAGCCAATCCTTTTCGTATACTCTGCGGCGGCGGATCGCTTGCAGTTCCGGGAGAGACAAGGCCGGTGATGATATAGACAAGGGCCGATATTACGGCCAGGGAAAGAGGTCAGTCAGTTGTCAGTTCAGGTTCTCCGTACTCAGTCCATCACGATAACGGAATTCAACTACCGGGTTAAGGCGAGGGGCTGGGGAAGGCCAAAAAAAAAAAAAAAAAAAAGGGAAATTGCGGCAAGCAAGTATTATTTCCTCCACGTCAAGATGCCACACCACCAGGCAGGGGTTCATGCAGCGACTTAAGGCAGGGAAAAAGAATCGAAACCCGGCGAGGCGTCTCCCAGAGAATAACAGGCACACGCGTGCCGACTGGGAGGGGGGTAGGAGGAGACCAGGAGGATTTGATGAGTTATAAAAAGAAACTTTTTTTGCTGCTAATGCATGTTGAAAGCCCGGCACTTCTCCTATCAGAGCCAGCGCTGGCGGGAGGATGATGGAAAGGCACCAAGACTCAATACCGTCCGAGGGGCAGCCAAACATCCCTGTCCGTCATCGAGGGGCCCTAATATTGACCGTGACGAATGGTTTGCCCTCATGTGCCCGACGTCGTGCAACACATCAGTCAATGCTCCCCCGTTGGCTTCCAATAGCACGAACAGCGGCCACAACACGGGCCGCTCCTTTTTTTTCCTTCCCGTGGTTCTGTTCTCTTCAAACTCTCGCAACAAGTCCGTCAACTAGGTAGATTACCAGGTTATTAGCTGCGTGGAGACGATGGTTAATGCGGGGCAGATCCCGAACGAAGCAGACTCGTCACATCGAACGACAAATAATCCCGTCCCGCCCTTCACCACCCATATCGATGTCTCGTGAGAGTATTATTTCCCTCCTTCTATCTCCCTCTCCTTTTTCTCTCGACGCATTCTCGCGGTGTGCTGATGACTGGGCGTCGGGGCTCCGCTGTAGATTCCCAGTCCCCGCTGCGGCGCTTCTGAACATCGTACCGGTTCAAAGGTTGGCGAAACAAAGCCCGCGTTCCAGCCACTGAGGGGCTAGAACGGGCATACTGTAATATGTAGGATGCATACTAACTAGTATGGTGCGATCTCGGGCAGAGGAGGTTGATCTCAAATAGATGCTTTAGGCGGTGGATGTTCTCCTGCAGTCTCCAGTGACGCACATACGTTACTGCCCATGTGACTCGACTCACATGATCGTCTCATAGCTTACTCCGTGCCCGGTATCGTGTACGAACAACGACTCTTTCGAGTAAAAGCTCCGTTTCCTGTAGGACAGGCGTCCAGGACTTTCATATGGAATCAAATGGCATTTTCTGTTGAGAATGAATAGACAACGATTGCACTTGGATAAAACAAGAGAGAGAGAGAGAGAGAGAGAGAAATCCGCAGAGCAGAACAGGAGAAGGCAACGTTCTCGTAGCAACAAAAACCGTCCAGGGGGGTCTGTGACGTTCAGCACTAGGCCAGAAAGGGATGTCAGGTGAGAGCACCTGACACAGCCAGGCTGCTTCTGCTCGACCGTTTGGCATCTACGACGTCTCGGCTTGCAGGATAGGTCCCATCAGGAGGTTCAGCAGCTGTGAGGAGTCAGGGCGGTGCCGGAGGCAAGATAGGTGCAGTGCTCACCCATTGTTCAAGCCGCGATTCATTGTCGCGAAGACTGGCGAATTCGTCGTCGAGACGATCTGGACGGTCAGTCAGTAAGGGAAAGAGAGGCCGCTCGAGGGGAGGGGAGGGCAGATACTGACCGGTAGTGCAGTATAGGACTTCGTCTAAGTCTGGATCGGATCTCAAGGCTCGAAGAAAGTCGGCGGCCTGGTCGCTGGAGCCAATCTGGCTGATCTGGAACCGAACCACTGGGGGAAAAGGTCAGACCGAGAGATATCATAAAGCAATGGCATAGAACCAACCGTTTCGGTGATATCCATGTGCCTCCAGCACCCTCCCACACTCCAGAATCACTTGTTTGATTGTATCACTTCTCTCCGGTGTACCGGGGCCTCCCTCAGGGTGGCCGTCAGTGATGATGGAGACCAGCACTGGACGCTTCAGATTTTGTTGTCGTAGCGGTGCATACACCGTCTCCTCGAGGACCCTGAGTCTGAGATTTGTGCCGATTTCGGTCCACCCTCTGAAAGGAACTCGTTGCATAATCTCGCCGATAGTTTCGAGCGACGGTCTACTCATGCATGGTTCGGTGGGCTGATTGATGAACCGCAGCTCGATCCCATCGTCATCGGGAACAATCCGCGTCGTGATGCTGGTGATGCGCTGGACAAGTTCATTCTGGGGCTCGATTCGATGATATCTTCTCATGGAGCCACTATCGTCTGTTATGTTCTATGTGTGAGGTGAGATTTCAATGTAGGGGCTGCTTGTATTGACCTACCGCAGTACAGGACGGGCTGATAGAGCGCCAGCAAAATCATATCTTCCACATTTAGGGTGTTGTCCGGGTGGTCCTGCAGGTTGATGGCCTTTCTAATCACAGTCTTCAGGAATGGGTCATTTCGGCGAAAGAAACAGTCGAGTTTTGACTTCTCAATGTACTCCTCCATCTCGTGTTGAAAGTCTTCCAGCTTGGTAACTTGGACCTCCTGTTATGAACGCTTCTGTTGAGCTGAATGGTATTGAACACAACATACAACACGTACGCACGTACCTGTGGGATCTCTTTACCGACTCTACCACTCAATCCGAACCGTTTCTTGATCACACCTCCCAAGGAAGTTTCAGAAGCCCCCACTACCACTGCCGTTCCGGCCGCGATAGCAGCGCTTGCGGTGTACTTGTTCGCCCACGCGACAACAAACAGAACAACTGCAGTAAGCATTGCAAGGACCGAGAGTCTACTGCTGGAACGCTGCTCTCGAGGAAGCAACGCTCGTGCCCTCTCTCGATCCTTTTTCTCTGCTGCCACATTTTCTGCTGTCTCGCGCTTGCTATTGGGAATTGTGGGCGATGCACCTGCGTCAACAAGCGCCCGGAGTATAGCAGGGTGCCGCTTGTCTTTAACTGCGCTGAGCAAGGGCGTCGAGTCATCGTCTACTGGCGATGGTAGATTCGGATCCGCTCCCTCACTTAGCAGGATCTCAATCATACGGCCAACGTTTTTTTTCGTCCTTGCTGCTGCAACCCAAAGAGGTGGCCTGCATCCACAAGCACCGTTAGGGTTTGCCCCGTTTGAAAGAAGAAGCTTGACGGTAGTCTCATGGCTTTTCCAGACAGCTGCGCCTAGAGGAGTCAATTTGCTTCGGTCATGGACTGAATCGATCTTCTGGGCTTTCCCGCTTAGATCGGCTGCAGTGAGGGTTCCAGCCAATGCACACTTATAGATATCTGCCATGGTGACGAAGGCTGTGAATCGGTTTTGAGTTAAAGAGGAGTCTGGTTGTCTAAAATTATGAGGCGCCGTTCCTCTTCAACTTGATGCTTTATATTCCTCTATATCCGTCACGCTTCTACTACAGCCTCCCAGGGTTATCAGGCACCAAACTAGCTGATTTCACCCTGAATATCACCCTCTGATCCATGTCACAGATCGATTTCAAATATATGGAAGCACGATATATAGAGGCATGTTTGGTCCAACCGCAGGCCTCGGAGTGTGTGTACAATGTTGGGCGGCAAAAGCCACGTCATTGCAAATTCATCGCGTCAACGAGCTAAGTGTACGAGTTTCCAAGCCATATATCACACGTCAGAGTCCTCAGCCGCATTAGGCAACGATAATGATATGCCCTTTGCAAACAGGCAGACTACAAGGGAGCCAGGGTCGCCCCATCCTCATCGCTCAACATCTCATCATCCAGGATGTCTGCATCTAGTACAAACTCTACCAGCCCATTAGCCTTCAGCAAGGCTTCCCCCCAATCACTCCAAGTGGGGAGCTCCGAGGCCGCGCAAGATCTGTACGGGCTCGGTGTGCGAGTTGGGTTCTATCTTCAGGCCCTGGGCATGAACCTGTACAACTACGGAGACAAGCACGACTATGGAAAGGGCTTGAAGGTAGCGTCTGGGGCAATCACCGTCTCTATCATGGCCTCGTGGTTCGAGTACGCTGCGCGCAAGCTGTTCAGCCCCAGCGAAGCACTAATCGTGCTGCTGGTGGTGATGTGCTTATCTTTGCCAGCAAAAACTACCCTGCTGAACCCGCATACCATAATCGGCGAACTGACCGGGCTGGCCGTTTTGCTGGTGGCTGAACTCGGAGTCTGTGTTGCATTAGTGTGGACGTTTGCCCGGCTCGTCGATACACTGCCAACGTTACAGACCAGCAATGTGGTCTTTATTTTCGCAAGAGTCCATCTCAACAGCTGGTTCCGGTATGCGGCATTGGCTTGCTGTGCCGTGGACTCCATCACCTCGTTATCATTTGCGATCAAGATTGTGCGTGTCACCATCGTCGCCTGGCAACACTACGTGACCGAGAAAGCAGAGGCCGACAACGATGATGTGGCAAAATTAGAAAATATCATCGACTGGAAGCATATGAAGTGGAGTATCCAACTTCTTCGCTGGATGCTTTTCGCCTGGACGATTGTGGCCGTGGAGCTTACAATTCAATGGAATCATCTCTCGCCGACGGCAAACCTCAAAAACCCGGGGCAATTAATGCCTCTTATCACGGGAATCATCATCCTCGTCGATAGTTGCTTTGTTTCCGGGCGCCGGGTTCCTCACTTTCTGCGAAAAGCCCGTCACTCTCTGCAAAAATCGGCTCTCAGTGCTACCCTGTTCGCCTGTCCAGACATGCTGTTTCGCGTTTGGAAAGCACTCTGGGGAAATGTCACCACACTGAGAAGGCCCATAAACCGCCTTTTCGATGTTGAGATGCACGAGATGGCCTTGGTGGTCACGCAACGAGCCGGCGAGGTTAACTAGCTACGGTAATAGGACCGATAGCCTTACGGATTCAAACGGCAGTCTATTCAAAGCAAAATATGTTGTACTGGCTAGTCAGAATGTTGTTTTTTTCTTTGCTTTTTGTTATACGTTGAATTGGAAACGTACCTTTGCCTTCTTGCCTCTTCGATGTTTTTCAAACGAAACTTCATGCGTCTCTACGTCTCCCATTTCGATATCCTCGGCTTTAATCATGCTGTCTCCCATTCGCAACTCTACCAACTCGCCCATATCTCCCATTGGGTTGACGAGAACTATGTGCACGCCTTCTTCGCCGCCATTCTTCTTCTGGACCTTCCTATCACTCGCGTTGACGATTCGCACAAAACAGTAATCCTGCAACGTCGTCGTCAAACTTACCGCCTTCTGCATGATATCCCACAACACCCACAATTGTTTATTGTTCATTCGCGGCCAATCCTCGGGTGGGCGAAAGCGGAAGACATGCAGAGGATGGTTTTCCACGGCCGAAGCGGGGGCATAAGCGGGAAAGATATCGAAACTCGTGTCCAGACCATCGCGGCCAAGTCGCACACAAGCGTATTCCTCCTCGGGTGCCAAACGGAGATACATATCTTGCCCAAACGCAGGCTTTAGTTGCAGGACTCGCAGGGCTTTGTCCGTGTATCCCACCTGAGCCCAGCCGAAGATCTCTCGGAGCGTCGGTTCACTCAGCCGGGCACCTCTGCTTCCCTTCTGGCGAGGACGGGGGGCATTGTTGCTAGGTTAGGTCAGAAAAAGATCTGGTATCTGGATCTCTTGCACAGATGGATATCTTACTGAATGGCAACCACGGTCTCATGTCCCTTGTACGGTATGAAGACCGGCGATCCGCTTAATCCCTTCTCAGTCGACACATCATATCTCAACTCGTTTGGTTGGCACACGACGCATGGTCCACTGCTCTCAGTTGGATCCTCTAGAGTCGAATCTACGAGATAACCGACGACCTGCATTTTAGAATTGCACAGTCTATCATCCCTGAGATTCAGGGCAAAGCCAAACCCTCGAGCCTGACCACTTTGGCTTGACTGTACTAAGATTGCTCCATAGTCGTTCTCTGCCTTCCCGGCCTTTGGGTCTCTCCGGTAAGCTTGGGAAATGAAAATGTTTGAATCTTTTGGCGCGAACTCTGACGAGTTCTTTCCACGGACTCGCAAATTCTTCGATAGCTGGCCGCCTTTGCTAATCAAATTATGGGCTGCTGTTAAAATGACATGCATTTTCGTCCCAGGGATGTTGATATAAAACCCAGTTCCGTAGCTGGTGTTCCCTGGGAATGAAACTAAACGTTAGCTTTGGGCTCAACGAGTCGGGGGTGAAATAATCGACGACAACAGCCAACCCTGCTGTTCAAACTCCAGTTGCACAATCCAGTCATATATCTTCTGGGTATGCGAGAAATGCAGTCCTCCATGGTCTTCAACCTGAGGGAGTCTATCCCAATCGATGTCATAAAAGACCGGATCCAGCACGAAGGTCGACATTGTGTTGATAAAAAAAGGAAGGAAAATAGAGAAAAAAGAAAAGAAAAGCAAAAAGGGAATGAAGCGCAATAATAAGAAGCTCACCCACACTGCTTTCACATCAGTCTTTCCCTTCGCTTCCGTTGGGTACCGATCGAAAGTAACCCACCTCGTTGGCGAGGCTGAGTAGTTCATACTGAGTTTGGCGGGGCAGGCTGCCTATCATTCAGGTTGCATGGCATTATGCATGCTGGGAATGCACGCTGTCATGGGAACTGCCACGCAAGATCTTCCAATCGGGTTGTTCACTGGTAAGTGGTGCCACGTCGACAGCCTTGTTGTTCCCTATCTTGATGGTGTTGATCAGGCTCGGGTGAAGAGGCAGGTGAAGTAGAACTTCATATCGACGGAGGGGACATGGAGAAACCAGGAAAAGGATATAAGCATCGAAGAACTGATTGATTCAGGCTGCTGATTAAACAATCGGCATAAGATTGTTGCCTGTTTTATAGGGATATAAAAGGGTCCCTGATTTCCTTCCTTTCTACAAACAAAAGCCAAGCCTGCAGAGAAATCATCAGTCAATATGAACTTCAGTCCGCAAGATCTTGTTCATTATTTTTCAGCCGCTGCTGGCGCCTTTCCACTCGACAAGCCGGGCATTTATCTTGTCTCTGAAGACGAGGAAGACCTGGTGGAGAAGCTGTGGACAGGCACTGAAATCAAGGATGAATTCTGGATTGCCGGTGAAATACGCACGAACAGTCCAGCATTATATTTGCTGAAAGAGAACGATGTACGCATGGCCACTCCCTCGTCACCTTCATGTCCTCGATTAACGTTTCCAAGAGACGTGTCCTGTGCGTCGATCAGGATAACAATCTCTTATGCTTTACTTGGGACGCGGAAGAAGATGGATGGAACCAGGTCACCTTGGACTCCAGCGAATCACTTGCTGTCCACGCTTCGAGCCATCTTAGCGGTTGTTATGTCCCTGAAGGCCAGATAGTCTTCTTCGAGGACCCTTCTGGCAGCTTGCAAAAGATCCGGATTGATGATAACGGAGTATGCGAGAGACTGCCTTCCCTCGTAGAGGGATATCAGAGCGGAACACCGCACTGTGCCGTCATTTCAGAGGCCCACGTCCTCCACCTGCTCTATGTTCATCAAGACCATTCCATTCATGATCTTGCGCAGGGGCTGAGAAGCGGCGAGTGGCGGGGTAAGTACTCCATCTCCCTATTCAACAAGTCGAGATCGGTACTGAAATGATTGATCCAAGACACGGCACTCCCCGGAACCCAGGCTCGGCTCGAGGAGAACGAGCAGATCATCAAATTTATGCCGATCCCCAAGCACGATCTGAGCTTCGAGCTCATCGCTTTGACGTCATCCGACGCCTTGGTTCGTATCGATAATGACGGATCGAGGATAGTCCTAGGAAAAGTCGTCAATGGCCGCTTCATGCCCACATCAACCGAGGAGTGTGTCATTGAGACAATGAGATTGATCAAGAAAGGCGTCAAGGCTGTGTCTGGCGGGTTAAAAACAAAGAAGTAGTCTGATTAGGCTGATGGGCTGTAGTTCAGGTGAGAATTTGTACAAAATACTTGGTACTATGGCCAGGCATCTCATACCACGAAATCAAAGTAGAACTTGGTCCCAGACTGGACTTGTTCATGTTCATACTCTCACTACTCTTCTTAGAGGATCCAGCTAGATAGGTGCAATTATACTCAAAGGAAGATATGACAGACTGGGCCAGATCCAGGTCCAGGCTGTTACCAGTAAGTATTTCTCTTCGGAGAACAAAATAATTTTCATTGATCCTTCAGATTTTACTTATACCATGCCCTTACCGACCTGCTCCTGGCGTTCCTGCCAGACATTCTTCCCCGAACATGAGCAGACCGTCTTGTCGTTGTCCCAGACGCCTGCGCTGCGAGCGATCACGCCCACCAGCGTATCCGGGTCCTCCTTGCTGAAAGGTCCCTCCTCCGTCTTCGAGACCACCATACTCCGGCCGATAATTTCCCACACGGCTAGCTGCCGCTCGATGAAGACGTGCCCCAGGCCCTTGTCGGTCACTTTCATATAGCCAAAGTTGCCGCGGGGTTCCTTGACTGGTTGTGGTCCTGACCCTAGCACCTTGGACTTGAGGCTATCCCAGATGCCTCCTGTCGACTCGGCACCTTGTGAGATGTCTCCGGTCTCGCGGACGGTGATGCAATATCTCCCAGGGCCAAGGCCGTTGATCGTAAGGTCGAAAATGGTCTTGGACGAAGAAACCTGGACAATGCGCGCAAGTCCGCGGATATTATTCTGCACGGTGGAGGAGTGTGTTTCGAGAATGCACACGGCTGAGCCTAAGGTCATCATTCAAGTTAGAAACCGGGTGCGTCCAGGGAATATAGCAAGACAGATGTAGGGACGTTCTGTCTCTCCGCCCGACTCACTATCTGTTGAACCACTGCCTCGCAGGATCGCATCCCGACCAGTCCCTTGGATAGCGGAGACAATGGAGCTGGGCGGCGCAGTTCCCTCAACGAAGACGAGCTGGTTCTCCAGGTTGGCCTCAACCTTCTTGATTCCTTAAACAGCGCAGTACTGTCAGTAACGCCGGGTAGGAGAGCTCGGCTGCAGGGGTCTATCACGGAAACTCCTCACCTTCAACCTCGATCAGAGCGTTGGAAATATCCTTCACGCAGCTATCGCAGGTCATAGGGACCGCAAATGTAGTCTGGTGATGGCGTCAATGCTGTCTAGACTCATCTGTAGTAGTCCGAAGCGTACCTGGAATGGCTCAATCATGGCGAAGCGGAGGAACGGGTAAGGAATGTATTTTGCACGCTGGAAAGGAGGTCGACTTCTCGCCTGAATTAATACGACGAAAAGACAGAAAGAAGAGCAGCTCTTGATTGATTATTAACGTCGACTGATTGCGGCGGGGTTCGATTGGAAATCGGATCTTGAACTGCCGATACGGATAGCGTCATCCCCGTAAATAATAAATCCTCCCTCCGCGTTCCCATCTCCGATCGGCGACGACACATCTCCCTCCCTCTTGACCATGTCCGCCCCCTCCAAGTCCCGCTGGATCGACGACGATGATCCAGAGACTCAAGCTGCAATCGAACGTCAGAAACGCGAGAAGGAGGCCCGAAAACGCGCCAAGGCCGAACGTCAGCGCAGGGCTGAGGAAGAAGAAACAGCTCGGACGCGCGAGGCAGCAGCAGAAAAACAGCCTTACGGGACCGTCAATGGCGAGAATGGACCTCCCACAAAGCGTCGCAGGCTCTCCGGAGAGCCATCGGCGGACGGTTCGGCCACTGGGCCGCAGAAACGACCAGGAGAAGGGGGCGCCCCAGCCGGGCAACGCTCGCTGCTGCGATTTCCGGGTCCTGAATGGGGACCGTGTCGACACGTTGACAACTTTGAACGGCTGAATCACATCGAAGAGGGCTCGTACGGATGGGTATCGCGCGCCAAGGATATCACGACAGGTGAGATCGTCGCGTTGAAGAAGCTGAAGATGGACAACTCGCCCGACGGGTTCCCCGTGACGGGCCTGCGAGAGATCCAGACTCTACTGGAATCCCGGCATACAAACATTGTATATCTACGGGAGGTGGTGATGGGGAACAAAATGGACGAGTGAGCACCCTTTGTGACCCTTCTCTTTATTACGTTTTCGACCTGGAAAGTATTGGATGCGGTCTGGATTAACCTAGCTGGCGGCCGATTTTCTTTGCAACAGCGTCTTCCTCGTCATGGACTTTCTCGAACACGATCTGAAAACCCTGCTTGACGACATGCGCGAACCGTTCCTCCCGTCAGAGATCAAGACCCTGCTTTCCCAAATCGTCTCGGGCCTCGACTTTCTTCATTCGCATTGGATCATGCACCGCGATCTGAAGACCTCCAACCTGCTCCTGAACAACCGCGGTGAGGTCAAGATCGCCGACTTCGGCATGGCGAGATACTATGGCGACCCGCCTCCCAAGCTGACGCAGCTGGTCGTCACTCTATGGTATCGAGCACCGGAATTGCTGCTTGGCGCCGAAAAGTACGGTCCGGAGATCGATATGTGGAGCATCGGCTGCATCTTTGGCGAACTGCTCACCAAGGAACCATTGTTGCAAGGGAAGAATGAAGTCGACCAAGTCTCCAAGGTAAGCGAGACTCCTATCGTACAACTTGATTCTTTTTCCGCGTATCCTGCTAAACAAACAACCCTTTTAAGATCTTCGCTTTGACCGGCCCTCCCACCTCACAAACCTGGCCCTCCTTTCGCTCGCTCCCCAACGCCAAATCCCTCCGTCTCCCTGCGAGCAGCATCGCCGCTTCCTCCGCACCTGAAGGGAAACCCCCGCTTCTCCCGCGCTCCAAGTTCCCCTTCCTCACAAACGCCGGCCTCCAGCTTCTCTCTGCATTGCTTGCCCTCAATCCCACCGCGCGTCCCAGTGCCCTGGACTGCCTGACCCACCCCTACTTCCGCGAAGACCCCCGCCCAAAAGCAAAGGAGATGTTCCCGACCTTCCCGTCAAAAGCGGGTATGGAGAGGCGCCGCCGTCGCGAAACCCCAGAGGCGCCAAAGCGCGGCCAAGAGGCCCCTCCGCTCGACTTTGCTGGGGTCTTTGGTGGCGCCCCAGGCGGAGACACTGGCGAGACTGGTGCAGGCTTCACCCTGCGACTAGGATGATTTAGAATACAACCTACATAGCCGACGTTTTCAAGGTCGACATTTAATTAGTAAAGATATCAGCTTGGGAAATCTCAGCCATTTATGTAAAAAGAAGAGATCATTTGGATTCTATAGACAGAAGTGGGGAGACGCCCAAAGAAGGATTTTCAAGGAATGTCCGGACACCATGGCGGTGGCATCACCAGCATGTAAGAATAAAACTATATAAGTACGTGGGTAGTATCAATATCACTGCGTATCACTCATTGATTGGTATCACGTTGCCTTCGGCTGCCATAAGATGAGCCGATCGAGCTTATGAATGGAAATGTTGAGAGAGCCGGGAATAGCTATGCAGGCGTTCGTGGCTCGAGAGACTACCTTTGCTCTCTCTTTTCATACGATTCTTCAGTCGTACAGCGCGAGCTCGGAGATGCCAACCCGGCCCCACGATTTCTGGAACAGCCTGATTTTTTTGAGTCAGCTCGCATCCAAAGCCTGGATTGCCGTGGATGCTGAAGTTTCTCCTTGTTTGAAATGAACCATGAAATCCCTTTGACCGATCTCCCTCGGCAGGGCTGTGCACGATACAGTAACCGTCTTGAGTTGACTTTGCTGACAAATAGTCACCGTCCTCTGTGGGGGAGCATCGTTCGCTCCAGGGAGAATGGTTGCTATCTTCATCGAGACATAAACTTAGAGGCGGGGGCTTGTGGACATTTGGGTTCAGCCCGTGTTGCTTGGTGGACTGAACCGGTGGGAGGCCAGCCAGATTTGAAATGGGCTGCATGTCGCTAAGAAGGCTTTCTTTCTCGGCGTCATCGGGTTGCTCGGGCTGCTAGTAGTAATGAATTAGATCGGTATTGTTCATGGAACCCCTTCAAACTCATTTTGGGCTTACCGTATTGACCATGTCATTATCTCTTCTCTGATGATCATTACTGCTAAGCGGCTGGCTATGAAATATTTGGGTGCTCATTGGGATATCTCCATTGTAGAACGAAGAAGGGTGTTGTTCATCTGGAGGCTTATTCTCGGATTCATCCAGACAGGAGTATGAGCTACTTTCGGCAGCCGAGTGGTCGAAAAGACGGAGGGGCTTCAGGTTGAGTCTGATCTCTCCGATTTGCGGAGCCCTCGAGCCGAGAGATTGGTTAGATGATGCTGCTCCCAGAGCATAGCCCAGTCTCCCAAAGCCCGAGTAGTCCGCCTGTCTCGGCCGTTGCGAAGCCGTTTCTGGTAACAGAGATCCGAACAGGAAGGTTTCATTGGAAAGTTTACACGGTATTGTATCTGAGAGAAGTATTGAGGAAGTGCCCGGTGTGCCGTCTAGCCTGCGGTGTCCAACGATATCCGACAATGGCGTAGATGAGCCTTCGCAGGCGTCTTCGGCGGCTTCCCATATCAAGGAGGGACAGGCCCGATGAAGCTCGGCTCCAAACTCCGAATCATGTTCCGTGCTAGCTTCGGAGATGGTGTCTGGGAAGTGACGTTCTGGATTATCGAAACAGGCCTCTACTGACTCGGGCAGAGAACAAACGTCATCCAAGTCACCACGGGAAGCGGAGTCTGATGGGATGGAGCGTCTGTAGATTCCGGTTCTCAGGTTGGACAAGCCTGATCTTGCCTTTCGAATGGATCGTCCAGGTAGGCTCTGTACCCAGCGGATCGAACGCTGTGAGGACGACATGTGGGACCAGTAGCCGGTTTGCACCCATGTTGACGTCGCAGATGGGTTGTGTCGAGGGTCGTGCGGGTTAAATACTGGATAATGAATACTCTCCTCGCACGTCGGCGAAGGAAGAGGCGAAGGCACTGGGCTCCTGACATCGTATCTCGTTAGTGAACAACAGATCGCACCGCCACGGGGGCCTTAACACCTCACCTATTCTTGCTCTCACGCTGCCGCCAGCCCGCCAAGGTCTTGGATAATGCATGATGGCGACCGCGAGCACCATCAAGGGGCGCAGTCTGCCGGCCTAAGAGCATGTTTCAATACACAAGCGACAGATTGATGCTGGATCCAAAAGACATAGAAACAGCCAAGCAAAGCTTATCACAGCCAAGACGAGGTCAAATATGTTCCAAGAGATCTGTAACTCTTATGCAAGTTGGAAGGAGGGTTACAACAGAATATATGGCAATATGCAGGACGCCCTGGTATGATGATCGACCAGGAATGGGACCGAATAAGCAGTGAAACAATGTCTCCTTGATTATCAATGAGCTTCTTTAACACCAACAACTATAGGAATGGAGCGATATAGGGTACCATTTCTCCATTTATCCAGCAAACCTACTTCCACAGGGCGGGAAAGAATAGCCCTGGACCAAAGGGGGCGGCGTTGTTGCTCTTCCATCCCTCATCCTCATCTCATGCCTTCTTTCCCTTAGCTGAGGTTATACAGGCCAGGAAGTAACAACCCCGGGAACCAGTCCAGCCCGGCCGTAGCCACGTCGCTTGAGTAACTGTGTAGGCAGCGCTGGAATGGCCATTTTGGTTTGCGCTGCGCTGGGCCAGCACCAAATAATAATAACCTCAGGAAGCGATGATCGACCAGTGGCTGAAGTTAAGGTAATAATGCGGGTTCTGGCCGTTTCTGGGTTTCCTCCGCATCGGACAGCTGCAGGTGTTTCCCCTCAGGAAAAAAAAAACAAGGTGAGACCTGCGACAACAATCTGCAACTCGGCCTGTCGGTGTCCAACGGTTTGTTAGCTGAGGTTACGAGTGTTTTTATTTTTTATTTTTATTTTCCTTTTCCTTTTCTTTTTTCCCTTCCTCCCTTACTGTGTTACTCTGCACCCATCCCTTCCCTCGCAATGGCGGCTGCTCAACAGGCCGTCTCCTTCAATGAGATCATCCAGGCCGGTAAGCATCATTCGAAGATATTACATGAAATAGCGCTTGTTAATATGCTCGTTGTATCTAGGACGTCAGAAGAAGAAACACGAGCAACTTGCAAATCAGATTCTGGGGAAGAACAGGCGAACGAGCGTGTTCGGGTCGGGGACCAGTAACAAGACGCAGACCGCCTCTCCTGGGAGTTTGGCAAGCAGGATCAGTGTGACAAAGGTAGGCAGCAACATGATCGGTCGCTCATCGTCCCCGGGGATCTTCTTGATAGGTCCTTTTTGTGGAAATATGGAGGCTGATGTGACGGGGATTTCTCAGCGCGCGGCGTCCACAACGTTCAAACCCAAACAGAATCAGACACCATCCACAGCCACACGTCCCCCGGTCTCGTCTCGCCTGAAAGCTCCGACCAAACGTCGTCCACATGAAGAACGCCTGATTGCAGCGCTCGACCCTGCCAGTGGGCAGGCAGCAGTGAGGGACAACAGCGTTGGGATCACCATCAAGGGTACAGGCTCGGGGCCTTTTGTGGTCGTGGGGAGTAACTTTGCCCCCGGTACTACGGCAGCGGATATCCAGTCGGCTCTGGAGCCTGCGATCGGACAACCGTTCAGTTGCTGGGTGAAATCCCATCACCCGACGGTGACGGCCGAAATGGAATTTGCAGACAAATGGGCGGCAGAGAACGTTATCGCCAACTTTCACCACCAAATAGTAAGTATCTTCGCTGTGAAACCATCTTTTTACGATCAAAGCTGAGTGGTCTGTAATACTTGCAGGCAGACGGAAGACTCCTTACAATGCGTCTCAAATCTCGAGGGTCAACTCTCGGTGCCGGAGCGACATCGCAGTTGGAGCAATCCCAGTCTTCATTTAATGGCCTCCGAGAGCAGGTAGACCGCGAGCGCCGACAAGGTCGTCAGGCCGAGCCAGACTTCCAGGATGGGCGCTACGGGTTTCCCGAGGTTGGTGGCCAGGCTTCACAAAGAGCCAATGGCGGTGGGGGTAATCGTGCAAATCGGAAATCTCAGCACCAAGCATCCGAAGCAGGGCTATACAGTGATCAAATGATGGTTGATGCCCCCTCGCAAACATCGCGCAATCGCGGCCGGGGACGCCGTTGAACCTACGATCAACTGCCAGCATGGCTTCTCATCTATAGAACCTAGGTTTCTGCGCCAAGGTGATCTTTGAGACGGCAATCCCGACAACTGGTGATCGTGTATCGAAACAGATGAAGTCGACTGGTACTTCTGTTTCACCTATTATTGTACTCTATTGAAAATACTCTGAATACCGGATCCTCCTCGGGAGCGACCTATATGAATAGATAATATCAACTCGGCGCCGAGCTGGCTTCGCATCTTGTAATTTTGTTGCATCCATGGATAATGTATTGCGTGCCTGAGGCTCCAACGGCTATCGATATTGATAAGAATAAAATCACGTGCATTTGTTGATAACATTTTACTCTGCGCAAGGCAGTCACAGGAAGTCTTTGGACTGCATTCATTCTTGAATTGTGCCTTACGGAGCTTTAGTTCTCTCTTCTCTTGCACTGGATCAGTGCACCATTAGCGCCGACGACTGTCTAGCGAGTAGCTAAGATGAACCCTAGAGCAAGAAGGGCTCTGGCGCAAATCGCTCGAAAACAACGAAGCCACTTTCTCTGCAGCTCGGTGCGGCATGCCTCGACATTCGACAAGAGAAAATGGTCGACTCCGCTGGCACGCACGCTGGCTGATGCCATCAATGTAAAACTCTATCTTTTTTTTTTTTGCTCCACTTTTGTTTTAGGAGTTCAGAGTGCTGACCTGGTGTAAGGTGACGGGTCCGATACCTATCGCGGCATTCATGCGCCAAGTGCTCACCAACCCGGAGGCAGGATACTATACGACGAGACCTGAAGATGGGGGCGAGGTGTTTGGGAAGAAGGGCGACTTTGTCACCTCGCCGGAGATCTCGCAGGTGTTTGGGGAACTGGTTGGTATCTGGACAGTTGCAGAGTGGATTGCACAGGGGCGGACACGCAGCGGCGTGCAGCTGGTAGAAGTTGGACCGGGGAAGGGAACACTAATGGACGATATGCTGCGGGTAGGTTGCTTGCTTCGATCAGTGGATTTGATCGGTTCTTTTTTTTTTTTTTTTTTGTCTAGACACTTGCTTATGCATGCTGCAGACGTTTAGGAACTTCAAGAGCTTTGCGTCGAGCATCGAAGCCATATACCTTGTCGAGGCTAGTGCGGCTCTAAGACAGGTGCAGAAGCAGCGGCTGTGCGGCGATGCACCGATGGAAGAAACAGAGATTGGACATAGGAGCATCAGCAAGCATCTGAATGTTCCGATTGTGTGGGTGGAAGACATCCGGCTTCTGCCTCCGGGTAAAACTCCTTCCCAGCCTATATGATACACAGGAATACTTACAGATGCCGGTAACGCAGAGGAAGAGAAGACTCCGTTTATTTTTGCCCATGAATTCTTTGATGCGCTCCCAATCCACGCCTTTGAATCCGTCCCTCCGGCACCTGGGAACGAGGTGCAAGAGCCGCAAATAGACGAGATCACGACGCCTACCGGCCGGGTGAAACTGCATAAGCCCCTGAAGCCAGCAAATACCTCACAATGGCGCGAGCTCATGGTGACTTTGAATCCGCAGGCTGTCGAGGAGAATATCGAGGGAGAACCGGAGTTCAGGCTCACGCTAGCCAAGGCATCGACCCCGTCGTCGCTGGTCATCCCGGAGATCTCCGCGCGGTACAGGGCGCTGAAGTCGCAGGCTGGATCTACGATTGAAGTCAGTCCAGAGAGTCGCATCTACGCTGCTGACTTTGCACGTCGCATCGGTGGTGCTGCCGCTGCTACTGCTGGAGGTAGTAAAAAGTCAACGACAGCGCCTGTCTGCAAACGAACTCCGTCCGGCGCCGCCCTGATCATGGACTACGGGACGCTTTCCACTATCCCGATCAATTCTCTCCGGGGCATAAGAGAGCACAAGAACGTGCCCCCGCTGTCGGCGCCGGGACAAGTCGACGTCAGTGCAGATGTGGACTTTACCGCTCTGGCCGAAGCAGCCATTGAGGCCAGCGAGGGGGTCGAGGTGCACGGGCCCGTCGAGCAGGGGGATTTCCTGCAGGCGATGGGGATCGCGGAGCGGATGCAGCAGTTACTTAAGGGCGTTGAGGAAGAGGACAAGAGGAAATCGCTAGAGAGCGGGTGGAAGAGGCTGGTAGAGAAGGGCGGCGGCGGGATGGGCAGGATATATAAAGTCCTGGCCATCGTTCCTGAGAATGGAGGGAAACGAAGGCCTGTTGGCTTTGGTGGGCATTTGATTTAACCAGTTGTATTATAAGACAATCAATATTATAATAGTTCACATAAACAAATTTTATAAATGGTAGAACTCCAGACACTTGCCTATCGTCGCCAGCAACAAAGAGACAGCTCTTGAATCCTTGTATTCTTGTATTCTTGCATATTCATAAGGTCGAGATCTAGTATTCCCTCCAGATATCCTCCACATACGCCTCTGTCAAGCGAGTATCTTTCCCATACTTCTCCTGCCACCGGACAAACCCGCCGTCGAGCACGTAGACCTCCTGTTTCTGGCTCTCTTCTGGGCCAAGCACGCGTTCGCGTTCCCGGGCATACCGCAGCGCAGCAGAGGGCCCGCGCTGCTGGCTGAGCGCGCAGTGGAAGACAACCGTCTCCTTATGCTGTAACGTGCGGACGAGCTCCGGCATGCGGAAGTCGAGCGTCGAGCTGGGCACCCAGGTAGAGGTGTGGATGTGTCCGCCGACGTGGTCTATCTTGTCAATACGGGATCAAGATCAACAGAATAGGATGTCTCTTACCGGAGTCTCGAACGTCGATGATGGCGAATTTGCTGGGTGTGCTGGGTGAGAGGAGGAGAGCTGAGAGCGCATCGCGACTCATGCGGGGGAGAGTGGCAATCGTAATTGAAGACATCCTCTCGGTGGTGACTGATTATAGAAACGGTTTGAGTGCTGTCTCTAAGAATAGACCTGACGTGAAGCTGGGATGTTGTCGTCTCAAGTCCCCGCACTTGGAAAGAAGATTGTTTATCCTAAAGGCAGCCACATACGCCTTTCGGTAGAAGAATAACAGACTAACACGGTGATTAGGACTTGAATCTACTCACCTCTCTCTATAGACTAATTAAGAGACTTGAAGAAATGTTTGAAGAGGCTTCAATAATTGAGTCAGGGAGCCAAAGTTCTATACTAGAAGCTGAACCACAATGCTATTCATTGAAACGGTATAAGCAGATAAAAATACATACAATCGACCTCCTGTCTCATATTCATTTTTTTAAAAAAATTTCCCTCGTAATATTTCAATCCAAGAAGCAAAAGACAGACAAGTTGAAGGAGCAACTGCAGGGCCGGGGCCGGTGGGAGAGCGCATCACGTGACTAAAAGATTTCCTGCCGGCGAAATCGAGGCCTCCGCTTTGTCTACAGACTGCGAGACTCGAGCGTTGGAGAATCCGGAGCCTTGAGCGAGGGCACTTTCCTTTATCTTCTTTCTTTCCTCAATCCCAGCCCAGCTACGAAGGGAGAAAGGATCAGGACAATGGAGATGCGCGGCGTGTTACGTGTCGTGCGGTCGCAGCCGGCCTCGTCGCTGCTCTTCAAGCCGCCCATGCTCTACAACCCAGTCTTCCTCAGATACAGCTCGACGACAGCGCCAGGGTCTCCCACCGTGAAGCCATCTCAACGGTCCTCTGCTTCTTCCTCGTCTACCAGCACATCCGCCCCGCCCAAACGGGCTCCCACCTCCTCCGATTTCGACGACATCCTCGACAAGCTCGACATCAACAGTCGGCAGTCCGCACAAACTTCACAAGCCGGGGGGCCGGGGGGAAAACCCGGCAAGAAAGCCGGATCATCACCGTTGTCGTCATCCAACCAGCCTGTTTTCTCTGACCCGCTGTCGCTCTCTCGCGCCGTGAGCCAGGGAGTCGAGACAGAACAGTACTACCGCTCTTCGTCGTTGCGGCGGGTCGAGCTGACGCTGGGCCCCAAACTCGGCCGCCAGGTGAACGTTGAGCCGGAGCGTGGGCTTGACCTGCCCTCTGCGCTGCGCAGGTTGCAGATCCAGTGCAGTGCCAACAGGATCAAGCAGCAGGTCCGCGAGCAAAAGTATCATGTTCGTCGTGGGCAGAAGCTCAAGAACCTCAAGGTCGAGCGTTGGCGGAGGCTGTTCCGCCAGTCCTTCCAGCGGACGGTGACTAAGATCCAGAGGATGAGGGCTCAGGGGTGGTAGATGGATAATGTACAGGGGGGGGGAAGATGTTTTCGAGAGCGTGGTGGATTTTATTCCTTTTGATGTATCACTATTTTTGTTCGAATAGATTGAGGCCAATGCATTCCATATGGACTGTTCTTTTTTTTATAATACTAAGCTCAAGTATCTTGCTGACTGTTCAGGTGCAAGTACAACATTCCACAGAGACATACAGGATTCATGTCGTTAAATCAGCTATACTCCTCCCACAACATCAATCCCTCTTGCCACTGGTGTACCCGCTATATCCATATCCCCCGCCCGCCGCCGAGCCGTTGCCCCCAGCGCTGGCCGTATAGCCGCCATACCCGTTGGTCTTGCCCCCGTTTCCGTACGAAACGCCAGGCATCCCGACTCCGGTCCCGCCACTGGTTTTGCCCCAAGCCGACGGCGCGCCCAGGATACCCTCTCCGCGCCAGGCACTGCCGCGGCCGCGCCCGCCGTTGCGTTCCCAGTAGAGCGCAGCGATGGCGCCCACCCCGGCAGCCAGGAGGAAGAAGAACAGGCGAGAGAGCAAGCCCGACGAGGCGCCGTCTGCAGAGTCCGAGCGCGACGGCCAGCCGATACCCCGTCCACCATCCAACCAGCTCACATGGAAGGTAAGAGTCAGGGGTTCGCCGCGGATCACCTTGGTGCCGTGGCCGGAGGTCCAGGGATCGCGGGCCGCGTCCGCAACGGCCGCAGCTTCGGTCTCCGCATCGACGCTGGCCTTCTTCTTGAACACCGAGGCGTCGAATTCTGGGACAGAATATGCTGCTCCCGCGACGACGTATCCTGGCGCTGCTTGAGCCTTGCTTCTCTTCCCCCTTTGCGGGCTTGACCCCACGCTGTGCACCAGCACGTTCATGTCCGTCCAGATGTGCAGGTGGCTGCTTTGCAGGGTCCCCTGCAGAGCAAACGTGATGGGCGTATACGACGGTCCGTCATTGTTCAGCACGGAGATCGTGTTCATCTCCTCGTTTTCGGCGTCGTCCGCCTTCGATTGCGGGACGGTTTGCACCAGCGGGCCCGTGGGCACGCGGCAGGTCAACGGCACATCCGAGTGCACGTAGTATTCCAGTAGGTGGTACTGCTCGTCGGAGAGGGTGTCAATCGTACAGTTGACCGTTTCGCTCACCCCGTACCGGAAGGCAAGGGGTTTCGAGGTCTCATTGCAGGTGGGAAACGGGATGAACTGGAGTTTTCCGAAGCTGTCGGTGATCTGCACATACTTCGTCAGCCCTCTGGTTCAATATTCATTCACTCATTTAATTCATTGTGTAGTCCCAACGTAGCGTTTTTTTCTGTCATATTTACCGTTGGGGTCATGAGTGTTGAACCGTCGGCAACGACAGAGCGCGCGTGGTCTCGGGGAGTGTTACATGTTCACCAGAATCACTGGTCGAATTAGCAGGAATTTTTCAAAAGAAGAAGAGCATAAAGGTATCTCACATTGTTCGATTCAGACAGGTCACCGGAATATGCTGTTCGTATGTGTAACCAGCATCGCTCTTCCCCGCAGTCGCAAATTGCCATAATAAACTGGCAAGGAGCAATTGACAGGGTATATCAGTCCAAGGGGCAGACCTTTTCCTTTGACTCGATAGCATGGTGTTGTATGTATCGCCGCCTGGGGGCGGATGGGTATGTGTTATGGTGATTGTCCTTGTTCTCGGGGAGCTCAACGTGGTATCTGGAGCTGCACCGCCAGCGCTGCCACTGCGAAAATCGCCACCGTAAAACCCAGGCTAGCAATTCAACCAGGAACTCTGGTCTTACAGTGAGAAATACTAATGTCGGACTTCTAATCTTTATTGATTCATCTCTACTTTGCTCTCTATTAATATTATCGCTTACAATGTAAATCGGTTTTAGAAAATGGACACGGTATGGGCATAATGAGATCGTGAATTCTGATCATGTAAAAGAAAAAAGGCAACCGAAGGTCAATTGCATAACAGGCTGCAAAGAGCTGTCAAGGCTCATATTTCATGTTTTTAATTGGTGTGTGGTACAGATTAAAAATGCGGCGGTGCTTATGCCAGGTTGGCCTTCTGCTTGAAAGCGAGGAGCAGGCCACTGGTGGACGCATCGTGACCGGCTCCGGCACCCTCGGTCTCGAGCTCCTTCTGGATATTCTTGGCGAGAACCTTGCCGAGTTCAACACCCCACTGGTCAAAGGAGTTGATGTTCCAGATCGCACCCTCGGTGAACGTGGCGTGCTCATAGTAGGCAATGAGGGCACCCAGTGTGGCCGGGGTGATTTTCTGGGCAAGGATGGAGGTCGTTGGGCGGTTGCCCAGGAAGGTCTTGTGCGGAACGAGGTCATCGGGAGCACCCTCCGTCTTGACCTGCTCTGGGGTCTTGCCCACCATCAAGGCCTCGGACTGGGCGAGGAAGTTGGATGCAAGCATGCGCTGATGCTTGCCCCCTTCGACGGGGTTGTGGGACTCGGCCGCCATGATGAAATCGGCAGGGATGAGCTTGGTGCCCTGGTGAAGCAGCTGGAAGAAGCTGTGCTGGGCGTTGGTGGCGGGCTCGCCGAACAGGATGGCGCCGGTGGTGTACTTCACATACTCGCCGGAACGAGTGATGGCCTTTCCGTTGCTTTCCATGGAGAGCTGCTGGAGGTAGGCCGGGAAGCGGTGCAGGTACTGGTCGAAGGGAGCGACGAGGTGAGTCTGGGCACCGAAGAAGTCGCTATACCACACACTCAGGAGACCGCCGAGGACGGGGATGTTCTGCTCCAGGGGAGCCTCACGGAAGTGCTTGTCCATGGCGTGGGCGCCCGCCAGGAACTGGTAGAAGTTGTCAAAGCCAATGTAGAGGGCAACCGACAGACCGATGGCACTCCACACGGAGTAGCGGCCGCCAACCCACGACTCGAAGCCAAACATGTTCTTCGCATCGATGCCGAACTTGGTCACCTCCGACTCATTGGTGGACAGGGCAACAAAGTGCTTAGCGATATAGGCCTCATCCTTGGCGGTTTCGAGGAACCACTTCTTGGCGGTATTGGCATTAGTCGTGGTCTCAGCAGTGGTAAAGGTCTTGGACGCAATGAGGAAGAGGGTAGTCTCCGGATCCGACTCCTTGAGAGCCTCTGCGATGTGGGTTCCATCAATGTTGGAGACAAAGTGCAAGGTCATGTTACGGTCACCGTAGGGCTTGAGCGCTTCGGTCACCATCACCGGGCCGCTATACATTCCCATTAGCCAGGGGTTTCCCAAAAGGAAAAAGAAAATGAAGGGGGAGGGGAAGAGACATACAGGTCAGAGCCACCGATACCAATGTTGATGATGGTGTTGATCTTCTTGCCGGTGTAGCCCTTCCACTCACCACTTCTCACCTGTTCCGAGAACTCCTTCATGTGCTCCAGCACGGAGTTCACCTCCTCAACGACACTCTTGCCATCGACCTGCATGGGCTGGTTGGTGACATTGCGCAGGGCCATGTGGTAGACAGCGCGGTTCTCGGTGAAGTTGATGGCTTCGCCCTTGAACATGTCATCGCGGAGCTTCTCCACGTCGGCCTCCTTGGCCAGCTTGACCAAGTAAGACAGAGTCTCATCGGTGAGGAAGTTCTTGGAAAAGTCAAACAGAATCTCGGTGTTGTCCACCGTGTTCTGGAAGGTGCGACTGAACTTCTCAAACCGCTGGGGGTCCTTCTCGAAGCACTCCTTCAGGACAATATTGCGTCCCAGGGTGTTGTGGTGGTCCTGCAGAGCCTTCCACGCAGGAAGCTCGGTAGCCTGAGAGAAACCAGGCATGATGGCAAATGTTCAGGCGAGGTGAGGGTATGGGATAATTTTCCTGCTGGCAGAGAGCAGTTGCGTCAGTGCGGGGCAACTAAGCAACTGTACGAAGCGCGTCTCAGCAGACGGATCGCGACAGAGAAGAGTAACAGGAAGTGAAAAGCAGCTAGGAACGTACCTGGGGAGACAGACAACAGGCGTGAGAAGCCAAAGGGTGAGCAGAACAGAACAGAACAAAACAGAGAGCAAGAGCGGAAACCACGAGGTATGGATGTCGTCAACTGCTGCCGGCGTGTTGGGGTCCGGTGGAGGGGCAGCCGTGGGGCAGCGTCGACCGTATCAGACAATTCCGTGAGCAACTGGGAACTTCCAGGGAAGACGGGATAGAATTTCAGGCGTTCCACCTACGAGGGCCTGTCTGCCAGTCGTGTGTCTGGATCGGTGGTCAGTAATCAAGAAGGCCTGGCCCTGCTGGATTAGTAGGCAGTGGTACTGGAGGTAACTGCTCTGTACTCCAAACGGCCTCCGGTGTCCCCGAAGACATGCTGAATAGCCGTCGGCAATGAGTTGCGGCGGATATTGACCGTTATATTTGCCTGAGGCTGCAACAGAACAATTCTATGGTTAGTAGTAATAGGTAACTAGTTGGTAGTAGTAGATGGTAGTTGGTTATATTAACCTACCTGTTTTGTTATCTCTGCTCAAATGACCCCAGCTCCTATAATAGTATTTACTTACTCATTTTGAGTAGCTATACTGACTATATATTCTGCTATAAAAATAGCTTTAAGGTCATCACTTTATCTCTGCAGAAACTTATCAATCAATAGTTATTCAAAGATAGTGTCATTGGTGGTGTAACTATATCGATGCCTTATTGCCTTATTACCTTATTGCCTGAGGCATGAATGCCAAGATGGAGGAAACGCTCAAGCCATGGACAACATCCCAGCGGAATCTTCCTGGTCCTTCAGCTGCAACACCGTCCAGCGGTTTACTCGTGTGTTTCTCTCGTGTGGCAGAAAGGCCCTTTTTTCTCGTCAAATCTCCTGATTTGGTTGGCAGATCGTGGCAACCGCAGCTGTCGCCCGTGACTGGCTTGAGAATTTCGCGTGTTAAGCTCCTCTCGCCATCATGTACAATCCCTATCAAGGTGAGTGGCCACAGCAGCCTCTGTCTTGTCTCTGGACTATTCGCTGACATTGATCTAGCGCCGGGTGTCTATGGCCGCCCCCCTGATTATGGAAGCTACCCCGGAGCGCCTCCAGGAATGGGTGAGTGTGGAAGACTCGCTTTATACGTGCTATCCTATATCACCGTCCTGATGATTCTAACTTCCGATCCTAGCACCACCTCCAGGCATGTCGGCTCCTGGTACAGCACCTCCCCCGGGCATGCAGCAAGCGAACGCACCCCAGCAACCGGGTCGACCTGGGGGGTTCCCGCCCAACTTTCAACCTCCTCCGAACATGCCGAACATCAACTTCTCCGCGCCTGTGATTCGATTGGGAACCTCTGGTCCGGCGAAGCCTGTCGCGGCAGAGGGCATTAAGGAGCGCGGCGGGGAAACAACGGGACGACGGACGGGCTTAGGCTCTGCAAACATGGATATGCAGCGGCAGAATGTTCGGGAGTCGATGATGCAACTTCAACCGCCCACCAAGGATGAGGTTGTCAAAACCATCTTTATCGGGGGCATCACCGAGGGTACGGGAGGTGACGAAGGTGTTGAGAGGATCCTGCGATGTGCAGGAAAACTGAGGCGCTGGATTCGGGCCACAGATGCGGATGAGAAGCCATGCAAATTTGGTTTTGCAGAGTACGAGGACCCTGAAAGCCTAGGTACCGCGGTTGAAGTGCTAAAGGACGTGGAAGTGCCTGTGAAGAGACAGACGCCGTCCGAAGAGGGTGATGAGAAAGATGGCGAGATCGAAAAGAGCACTCTATTGGTAGGTTTTTCAAGTCATCTCCTGGGTTCCGCTTACTGAGATTTTTTTTTTTTGCACCCAGGTGATTGTGGATGAGGGCTCTCTTACCTATTTAGAGCAATTTGAGGCCACCAGAGGCGAACAAGATCCCGTTGAGCTCCAGGCTCGCTTGGACACTGCCAGGAAGAATTTGGCCGACGTTTTATCCAATCTCTTCCACCCTGTTTCCCCTACTCTGAAGGTCGACTCTTCTACCATCGACCGCGAAGGCGATATCTCTATGAAAGACGCGGAAGGCCAGGCCGATGGGAATGCGGAAGTGGTGACCATTCCAATTACCATCGAGGATGAGCTTTCTGATATTCCCGCGGAGATGCGTGAGACGGTGGCGAAGGAAATCGCAGCGTTCCGGGAACGCAGTAACCGCAGAGATATCGAACGCATGAAGAGGGAAGAAGAAATCGAGGCAATGGAGAGAGCCAGGAATGCCGGTCCCCGCCACAGCAGACTCGCTTCGCCTCCACCAACGGCACCCAGTGGCCCTGCTGCGGGTGCAAACGGGATTCCCCTGGGACCCCGTGATCGCGGAGTTCCAAATGCGCCCTCTGGACCCAAAGGATTTGGGGTGCAGATACCCAAGGACTACCAGAAAGGGGTTTCTTTTGTTAACGGCGGCGGCGCCAACGGGGCGACGACCGCGTGGATCGACCGTGAGGACGAAGATACCGACGCCAGTGACGATGAGCTTGAACGGCGGCGCCAGGAGAAGAGAAAGGCAGAGGCTGAAAAGCAGTTCCTCGACCAAGAGCGCCGCTGGCTCAATCGGGAACGAAGCAGGACTGCTGCTATTGAGAGAGAACAGAAGCGCGACCAAGAAGACGACGCCAAAGCCGCAGAAGCCGCGGAGGATATGGACAAGCGCCTCCGGGAATGGAACGACGACATCGAAAGCGGCCGCAAGGTGGAGGACTACTACAATGACCGCGGTGCTTGGCTGCGGAGCCGAGCCGCCTTCCGAAGCCGCGAGATCAGCCTGGACGATGCCGACCGCAGCGCCGAGGAACGGGAGCGGGCCCGTTCCGCCCAGCAGCGCGAACAGGCACGCGGCATGGCGGACGACTTCCTCTCCCGACAGGCCGAGGAGCTCGAGGCCCGCAGCCAGGCTCCCCGAGAACCGCAACGCTTCAAGCTCTCCCTCGGAGCTGCCGCCCAGAAGGCCCAGGCCGCCACGACGCGCCGCACGGTCGCCGAAGTGGAGGGTTTGCTGGAGGATGAAGAGGAGCCCGAGGCCACCACGAAACGACAGCTGGTGCCGATCAAGTTTGACAGCGCTGCGGAAGCCGCTGGGCTCACGGACGAAGAGCGGGCGCAAGCCGCCAGACAGCTTGCCGCCGAGATTCCCGCCGACAAGGACGGCCTGTGGCAGTGGGAAGTCAAATGGGAGTTTGTCGATGAGACCGTCCTGCGCGACCAGCTCAAGCCTTTTGTGGAGAAGAAGATCGTCGAGTATCTGGGTGTCCAGGAGCAGATGCTGGTCGACGTGGTCGAGGAACATGTGCGCAAGCATGGATCTCCTCAAGACCTGGTGGAACAGCTGGAAGAGGTATGTTTCTTTCTTTCTTTCTTTTTCACTTCTTTTCTTTGCCAACGAATACATCTGACAATCATTAGGCGCTTGATGAAGAGGCCGAGGTCCTTGTGCGCAAGCTTTGGCGGATGATCATTTTCTTCTCCGAGAGCGAGAAACGAGGGCTGTCCGCATAAGATGCCTGTGATTCTCCATCATGGAAGTGAAAGTTGCCGCCTTTGAGTGTTTATTTAATATCTAGCAAGCATGTGTACACTAGTTCAGCTGGTCATCTACTCGTAGTTACCTCCTAACAGTCTACTACTATTCTAAGAACCTAGCCTCTATCAAGTCTGTTAACAGAGTAGGTAGCCAGATAACTAGATGTCTCTCAACCTGGATGACTACTTAGCCTTGGTATAGGTACCTACATACCTACTGAACCTTGGTACGATACCTTGTACAGGTACTTACTTACTCCACGGTTAATATATTGTTAGTCTCACGTGCCCCGGAGGCGGTCCGATCGGCCCATTTCTGCTTGATTTCCATTGGTGGAAAGACACTTCTGCCCTGTCTCTCAGTTCTTCCGCCAATGACGCACGTTTGACGCCTGAGGATACCCTTTTTTGCCCCCCCGCGATTCAACGGATTAACTCGTTGGAGGGGCGCGACTGTCAGTGGAAGGAGAGGGGAGGGCAGAGAGGAGAGAGGAGAGAGGAGAGAGGAGGGGGTGGGCAAACAAGACAAGGAAATGAGCTGAGGTATATATTCGTGATTTCCCCCTGTTCCGTCCCTCTCTTCTTCCCCCTCGTCGTCTTTCCCCCTTTCCTTCAGTTCCTTCTATCTTGATACCCCGCAGAGATAGTACTTCTAAATTGACAATTGCGATCGTTAAGAACCAGGGTTTCTCAGTCCGACACAATGGTTAAGATTACTGGGTTCAGCACCCGGGATGTGAGGTTTCCGGTATGTACACTGGAGAAACTGAACAAGAGATACAAAGGCGTGTGCTAATGGAGTAGACCTCCCTCGATAAGACCGGCTCCGATGCCATGAATGCTGCGGGCGATTACTCTGCTGCGTACTGTATCATCGAAACGGACTCCTCCTACGCTGGACACGGCATGGTGAGCTTCTATCTTGATCAAAAACTAATTACAATATGGGTTGGGTTCCTGGGACTAATATAGAGGCTCTGTTTTAGACCTTCACTATCGGCCGTGGAAACGAAATTGTCTGCTCTGCAATTGGCCTCCTTGCTCCTCTCGTGGTGGGCAAGGATCTGGACGAGTTGACCGCCGACTGGGGCAAGACATGGCGGTACCTTGTGTCGGACAGCCAGCTCCGCTGGATCGGCCCGGAGAAGGGCGTCATCCATCTGGCTCTCGGCGCAGTGGTCAACGCCCTCTGGGATCTGTGGGCCAAGACGCTCAACAAGCCTGTTTGGCGCATCGTTGCCGATATGACGCCCGAGGAGTTTGTTCGCTGCATTGACTTCCGGTACATCACCGACGCCATCACCCCGGAGGAGGCCATTGCTCTCCTCAAGGAGGTGGAGCCCACCAAGCAGGACCGTATCCGCGAGGCGGAACAGAGCCAGGCCGTGCCTGCCTACACCACCAGCGCTGGCTGGCTCGGGTACAGTGAGGAGAAGCTCAAGTCGCTGCTGGCCGAGAGTGTCCAGCTAGGCTACAAGCACTTCAAGTTGAAGGTCGGAGGCAGTGTTGAGGATGACCGGAGACGTCTGAGCATCGCCCGTGAAGCCATCGGATACGACAAGGGTAATATTCTCATGGTTGATGCTAACCAGGTAATTTGTTTCCCCCCCTCTTTAACAAAACCAATACTGTCTTCATCACTAACAACTAAGGTTTGGTCCGTCCCCGAAGCTATCACCTGGATGCAGCAGCTCGCCGAGTTCAAGCCGTGGTTCATTGAGGAACCTACCTCCCCCGACGATATCCTCGGCCACGCGGCGATCCGGAAGGCCCTGCAGAACACCCCGCACGGCCCCATCGGCGTGGCCACGGGCGAGATGTGCCAGAACCGTGTGATCTTCAAGCAGCTCCTGCAGGCGGGAGCGCTGACCGTCCTCCAGCCAGACGCATGCCGTGTCGGCGGTGTCAACGAGGTCCTCGCCATCCTGCTCCTGGCCCGCAAGTTCGGAGTCCCCATCGTCCCCCACTCCGGCGGTGTCGGTCTGCCCGAGTACACCCAACACCTGAGCACCATCGACTATGTCGTTGTCAGCGGCAAGAAGAGCGTGCTGGAATACGTTGACCACCTGCACGAGCACTTTGTTCATCCCTCGAGCGTCAAGGACGGATACTACGTCACCCCGATGGAACCGGGATACAGCGTCGAGATGAAGCCCGAGAGCATGGACGCCTTTGCCTTCCCTGGCGAGGAGGGTAAGAGCTGGTGGCGCTCGGAAGAGGCCAAGCAGATCCTTGAGGGTCCTCGGATATGATTTTGAGCAGTCTCTGTCTTTTTTTTGTGTGTTTTCCTATCGTATCTAATGCCCTAAAATGTCCATAGTGTATCATCCAGGTAGAGCCCTTGGTTAACTACCAATACTCTCCATAACTGCATTTTCTCATATATATGATCCTAGTACTCCATTATTCAGTAATACTCGACGACCTATGTAAGGCACAAAATAGTTAATACTCTGGCACTCCATACTGCCCATATAGATGCCTGAGGCCTCTGGACAGTGCTAAATCGCCGAAATACCCATTTTTCCTATTGGTGAGATTTCATTTACCCGATCAGGTACTTCATACTTTACCTCCTAAATAAAGCGCAGGCTAAATAATTACCTCAGCTGCAAATGCCCAAATGGCTATATATTATTATTATTAATAGCTGCATTGCTTAGTATGATGCTTATAGGTAAGGTACTCTTGCCCATAGTTCGTGTTGCTGCTTGAAAAGATGCTGTATTGGCAGCCGAGGCAGGTTTATTTATATAATTACCTATTAGTTATAAGAGATACTATTCTTCTATCAACGGTGCTCACATTTCACGTCAATTTTTCCCTTCTGTTGTAGATGGTACTTCCTAAAGGCTTATTCTATAACCTAGTGTACAGTTCATTTTGTCCATATTGTACTTTCTACCTAGTAGACCTTTAGCAGAATGCTATTTAGTAGTTCACACTATATAGGTAGTATTATAATGGGATTTCTAATGTACATTGAGCAAAAGCATACGCACACTGTGCGTTGGTATACAAGTTACCTAGGAAATATAATAGCATAATGGCCTGATGATACAGATTGACGGAATGTCTACCGCCATTGGATGCCGAAAATCTTCAGCGCCTTGGACCCTCCGGCTTTATCGGCGGCGTGTTCAAGGTAGATGCGAGAATGGCCGCGGACGTCCAACGCAAGGAGGACGTATTCCCACTGGTTTGTCTCCTGGGACTTGACCATATGCACGAACACAACGCCAGAATTGCGAGGCCCTTCGACCTGGAGGGGGTGTCAGTTCTTTGACGAGAGGATTTGCCAACAGGTGAAGGGAGGTATGCTCTCACATGGAAGTTCATTCTCAGATGTTCCCGTCCGAACCGGTCCTTTTCTTGCGAGGTTCTACCATGTCCCCGTCAGCATGTTGTAGCCATTTGTAGTTTTGCCCCTCTTACGCAATCGGTCTGTTCCGAGCCCATTTACTCCCGGTTTCCTCTCCGTAGGCCTTGATCTCTCTGCGGTCGCCGAGCAGGTCTGTGCATCGACTGTCTTCCTTGATGCGGTCAACTGCCTTCTCGAACTGCCATGTGCTGCTGTTGGGCGAAAACACCTCGGTGAACAGCAGATAGAACACACCGCCCTATCTCTGTTAGAAATTCCGCATAGCCATTCAAAAAGAGGCAGTCCGATATTGGTTTAATCTTCCTTACAGTCAATACCGCCCCGGCGAGCACGACCATAAAGTTGACCGACTGCTGCGTGGCCCGTGAAACCTTCTCCCTCCCGCTTAGGTCCCCCCACTGGATACGCCCGTCATCGGAAAGAACAGAAATCGTTTTCCTCGTGGGCCCCGTTTTCCCTCCACGGCTTGGTTCGCTCTGTGTGGCGTATGTGTATGTCTGTTGAGTCGCTGCGGTGCGGGGATAGTAGACCGGGCTGAGAAGGGCAGCGGCGACGACGCTGTCGAGAGCTCGGGCGCGAGTCAGTCTAGGTTGAAGGTAGCGATTCATCGTGTCGGCTGGTCATGATCCAAAGGTCTTCCACATTGGATCACCCTCCTGTCGACTGCTTTTCCTAGAATCTCTTCGTCCGGCTCGAAAAAAAAAGGTGCACATGGAGCCGAACAGCAGATCTCCAGTGGGTGGAGATGAGGGACTCCGAAAGAGGAAGCCGGTCACGTGAAGATACAGTTAGAAGTGCAAAAACGGAAATATTACCCGTCAGTACGGGAGACTCAACGAGATGTCTCTCTAAAACACCACTAGAAGCTTGTTTAAAACTCTCTGAAAACAAATCAAGGGTATCACGGAATGTAGTTCGGGGCCTTGTAAGTTGTTAGCCTAAGCAGTAATATTAGCAGGCATATATTTGGTAGTTTACTTGGTACGGGGATAAATACACTCGGACAGGAATATTGAAAATTACACATTGTGCAACCCGCGAACCCGAATCGGGAAAGGGTGCAACTCTCCGACCACGTTCGTCGTTCCGATTGTCTCGGGCCTCTTGAGCCACCGCCTCGTTCAGCACTCGACCCTGTCTTCTTTCTGACTTCTGACTGACGGACTGAGTCTTCCTACTACACACACCAGCCAGCGCCGCTACCTCTGTCCAAAATGAGTGCATCCAAGGCGCAGTCTCAGAAAATCTTCGAGAAACTCAAGTTGAAACCCGCAAACAAGGCGCGTACAGCCCCTCCTTATCGCCCACGTTTTGACCGTGGCAACTCGCTGACTGTGTTTTTCTCCCTCTGTATAGATATGTTTCGATTGTGGCTCCAAAAACCCGACCTGGTCGTCTGTTCCTTTCGCTATTTACCTGTGTCTCGACTGCTCGGCCCACCATCGTAACTTGGGTGTCCACATCTCGTTCGTGCGCTCGACCAACTTGGATCGTATGGATACCTTTTTTTTTCTTCTTAAATAGGAAATCCGATCGGCAGTCTAATGTAAACTAACGTGGTGTTTCAGAATGGCAATGGGAACAGCTTCGGATGATGAAAGTGGGTGGGAATGAATCGGCGACGAAATATTTCCAATCGCACGGTGGTTCTGCGGCCCTCGCGAGCAAGGATCCCAAGGTGAAATTTACATGCAATGCCGCGGTCAAGTACAAGGAGGAGTTGAAGCGGAGAGCAGCTGCAGATGCGCAACAGTGAGTGCTTTCTCTCGTGTGATACATTTTAAAAGTTGGCTTTAGTGTGCTGAACGACATGTCTTTGTTTAGGTATCCTGAGGAAGTTGTTATCACTGATATCCCCGCTGGCACTCCTTCTGACGGCTCCAATACCCCCGCCGGCGAAGACGATGATTTCTTTTCTTCTTGGGACAAGCCCTCGATCAAAAGACCCAGCAACCCTCCCTCCCGCACAAATACCCCCCCAGTTGTCAGCCGCACGGCCTCGCCGTTCCTTGCTGCTGGTGCCAACGGCGCTCGCTCAAAATCGCCCCTTTCCGCCTCCGACAAAGAGTCCTCCGCTTCCGTCCCTGCCGCAGTGAGAGCCGCGCCTGCCGTTCGCAAGGTCCCCGCGGCTGGTGCCGCAAGGAAAGGTAACGTGCTGGGTGCTAAGAAGGTGCCTAAGCTTGGAGCCAAGAAGGTGGTTGGTGCAGATGCGATCGATTTCGATGAGGCGGAGAAGAAGGCCAAGGAGGAGGCAGAACGTATCCAGCGACTTGGATACGATCCCGAAGCAGAGCAAGCCGAAGCCGACGCCGCAGCCAAGTCGGCATCCGCAGCCACACCCATTGCCGCTCCAGCCCCGATCAGCCCGAGCAGAGGAGGGTTTGGAGCTACTGGTAAGGCCCACGAACGAAGCGCCAGCGAAATGGAACGTCTCGGTATGGGCATGGGTCGACTGGGATTCGGTCAAGTGAGCAAGCCCGCTGCTCCCAAAAAGTTGGGATTCGGAGCAGTCGGTCCGAAGTCGCCTGTGAATGGTACGAATGTAGCTCCAAATCATAACGAATTTCACCGATTGGACTAACTTTTTTCTGTTTGTTTTTACAGAAGAGGAGCTGGCAGAAACCAAGACGCGGTTCGGTAACCAGAAGGGTATCTCTTCGGATGAGTTCTTCGGACGAGATCGGTTTGATCCGAGCGCCCAGGCAGAGGCCAAGGAGCGCCTCCAACAGTTCGATGGAGCTACCTCTATCTCCAGCAATGCCTACTTCGGCCGGCCGGAAGACGAGCTCCCGGCTGCGGAGGATACCTATGGCGATCTGGAGAACGCAGCCAAGGACTTTGTCCGTCGCTTTGGTATCACTGCAGGTGACGACCTGGAAAACCTGTCACACCTCGTTGGAGAGGGTGCCACTCGGCTGCAAGGTGAGTTTTCTACCTCGTACCCATACCTCTTTCACTTTCTGCAAAACTCAGCTAATGTTTGACAAAGGAGCTATCCGGAGTTATCTGAACAGCTGAGTCGGAAGTGCACTGCATTTCCTCGATCAATCTCTCTTAACGAAAAGATACACCATGTCTTGGCTTTATTCAGTTGTTAGCAATATCTGTTTTCTCCTTCAGTTCTTATTAACATAAGTACAATTCAGTTGATGCTTTTTTAAAAATGACCATTGCGACGCAAGAAAGAACTGTCCGATAACTATTTCTAGGCTAAATAATTACTCAAGGAATTTGTTGGCTGTACTACTGACCTACTCCATAGCTCAACCTGCTTATTAGTATTTAAATATTCAACTACTATCTTGAAAAGAATCCCTTGAGTTTCTGATAAAATACCGGATTCTGATTGTATTATGTCTTGATTTGGCTCGAATCTAAACAAGGCCTGCCTCACAAATTTACACACGGTAGATAGCATCCGCCACCCTAGCAGCTTGCCACATCTCGTGCACATCGTGGACACGCACAATGTCCGCCCCGCCGACCACGCTGGCCGTGACGGCGGCGGCAGTTCCGAAGACGCGATCACTGGCCTTGTCGACGCCCGTGATCCGGCCGATGAACCGCTTGCGACTGGGGCCCATGAGCCAAGGAAAGTAGTCGAGACCGGGGTACTCTGTGCGAAGGGCGGGGAGATCGCGGAGCAGGGCGAGATCGTGCGGTTGGGATTTGGCGAACCCGAGACCCGGGTCAAGAATGATGCGCCAGCGACGGACGCCCGCTGCCTCGGCGGCACGGACGCGCTCGAGCAATTCGGCCGCGACGCCGGGAACAACGCCATCCGGGTACTCGGTTAGTTTTGTCATGTTGGATGGGTTCCCGCGCATGTGCATCAGGATGACGGTTTTGCCGGTGCGGGCCATGACTGCGAGCATGTCCGGATCGAGCAGGCCGGCGGAGACGTCGTTGATGATGTCCGCGCCGGCGGCGCAGGCTTCCTCGGCGACCCGGGCGCGGTACGTGTCGATGCTGATGGCGATATGGTCGGCCTCGGGGATCGCGGTGCGGATGTGGCGGATGGCTGGGATCACGCGAGCGAGCTCTTCAGCTTCGGTGACCGGGGCGGATCCGGGGCGGGTGCTCTCGCCGCCAATGTCGATGATGGTTGCCCCGGAGTCAATGAAGCGGCGGACAGTAGTGGTTAGAGCGGTGTAGTCGTTTGGAGAATGCACGCCGCCGTCCGAGAAGGAATCGGGAGTTAGATTGAGAATAGCCATAATGTGAGTGCTGCGTTTCGGGTCGTTGGAGTGCAGGGGAGGGAAGGAGGGTGAGATATGCGTCGTGGCAATCGGTTTGGACTCTGGCGGAGGAAGTGAATTGAGATAAGAAAGGTACGTGAGGTTCTTTCCCTGGAGGGGAGATCGCTCGTGAGGAATGAGTCTGTTCGATTTTCCTGTTAGGACACTCAGGAGATGCTGGGCCTTCTTCAAAACACTCACTGGCATAGAGGACGCAGGACGAAGTCTCGCTCGAGCATCAATTTGTGGGGAATGCTGAGCCGTTCATGCTCGAAGACCTCTTGGTCGTAGAGGAGTATATCTAGATCAATCGAACGGGGGCCTTTGTCGATGAGCTTTTTCCGACCAAGTTCCTTCTCGATTGATTGAAGCGTGTTTAAAAGTTCCATGGGTGAAAGACTGGTTTCCACCTTTGGAATTGACATGGATCAGACCAAAGGTCATATTTGATAGTAATAGACAGCAGAAGCTCTCACCTCACAGACTCCGTTCATGAACGGGTCTTGGTCCAAAACATACATCGGGGCAGTCTCAAAGAGCGAGCTTGTTCGCTTGACCTTGATACTGGCCCGCTCCATCTCAAGACAAGCTTGCTCAATCATCTCAATCCGTTCGCCGACATTGCTCCCCAGAGCGATGAACGCTCGGTGGGTAGTAACACCATCCATGGAAGACCCAAGCGAACTGAGGCTTCTGGTCTGGTGAGAGCCAAAGCAACCGGCTGTATTCTGTCTAGGTTTGAAGCTCTGGAAAGATGAAAGGTGTTTCTCAGAGCATCTGGTTGCCAGAAACTTCCCTGAACAGGATCCCTTGTCAGCCAACAGTACCTAAATACAGAGCAAACCGCGCACTGCTTTTAGCCCGCGAGTGATACGTACTGGAATACAGCGCACTCTCTCGGCTTTCTCTATATATCAATTAGAGCTCGCTCGCTATAACTCCCCTCTACCGTACGACATGCCTTGTCAGAGAGCCATAAAAGTTTTTACCCCCAAGCTGGCAGACTCCACCGGAATGTCCTGGACGCACCGAACAAAGCGTAAGGCTCGCCGAGAGCCATGGACGCGACCTGCCGCGCAAGACGCCAGACACAGCCGTGCTTGTCCAGCAGCTTGTCCCTGCGCTCGGTCGCATGCTGGCCAGATCAACAGTTCCGCAGTGCTCGAGGGAACTCTCGTCCAGCAAATACGTCACCACTGCGCTCCGCGGTCCCGTGCCATAATCCACGTGATCAAGGTCACATGATACATCCACGTCAACGGTCACATGATATGGTAACGCTGAGGTAAGCAGATGTTCTCCGCAATTGTGAGAGCCTCGGCTTGTGGCAGGTGCATCACAACGCAGGTTTGGTCCTCGGTACGTGCGTGTCGCCTGATTTAAAAGTCCTGGCATCCCCTTAGTCCTGCCTTTGACCTAATTTCAACGTGCGTGTATGCGAAATAGAGGACTCAATATATATTAAAACCACCTTTCATCAACACAGCCATGGCTTCTCCTCGTATGTTGTCCGTTGTTCACAGCGGGAGCTCCCCGCCACTCCCGATCACATGAGCTCAAGACCTGACGGCTGACGCCAGATGCTAACGATTCTACCCCTTAGAATTAATCCGAACTCCCATCACCGATCTGCTCAAGATCAACCACCCCGTCCTGCTGGCAGGAATGAACGTGGCTGCGGGCCCCAAGCTGGCCGCTGCTGTCACGAATGCCGGGGGGTTGGGTGTCATTGGCGGTGTGGGATATACGCCTGAGATGTTACGGGAGCAGATCGACGAGCTGAAGAGCTTCTTGAACGATAAGAGCGCACCGTTTGGCGTTGATTTGCTGCTTCCACAGGTTGGAGGGAGTGCACGCAAGACCAAGTAAGTAGATAGTCCTATAGGCAGTACCATACAGTTGTACAAAACTTACCGACGATCGTGTCTAGCTATGACTACACCAAGGGGAAGCTGAACGAGCTCGTCGATATCATCATTGAGAGCGGGGCGAAGCTGTTCGTCTCGGCAGTCGGTGTGCCTCCTAGAGAGGTCGTTGACCGACTGCACGCGGCCGGCATCCTCTACATGAACATGATCGGACACCCCAAGCACGTCCAGAAGTCGCTGGACGCCGGGGCAGATATCATCTGCGCACAGGGCGGCGAGGGTGGTGGCCACACGGGTGACGTGCCCACCACCGTCCTCATCCCTACGGTGGCCAAGTTGGTCCAGGGCAAGAAGAGCCCGTTGACCGGGCAGCCCGTACAGGTCATCGCTGCGGGCGGCCTGTTCTCCGGCCGGTCTGTGGCAGCAGCCTTGATGCTCGGTGCGTCTGCCGTCTGGATCGGCACACGTTTCATTCTTTCCGACGAGGCTGGGGCTCCCGAGGCTCATCAGGAGGCCGTCCGCACCGCCGGGTTTGACGATACCATTCGTACCATCATCTTCACTGTAGGTTTCTTCTTCTTCTTATTTTTCTTCTCTTGTCTTTTTACAATTCTCCTGATCTATACTGACTGTCAAAGGGTCGCCCGCTTCGTGTCCGCAAAAACGCCTACATTGCGAACTGGGAGGAGAACCGCCAGGAGGAGATCAAGGAGCTCACCTCCAAGGGAGTTATTCCAGTCGAGCATGACTTCGAGAACTTGGATGATGATGTCGATGACGAGACTATCGACAACGCCCGGCCATGGTTGATGGGTCAGGTCGCCGCTGTAGTCAACGAGAAGAAGTCAGCCAAGGCGATTGTCGATGAGCTGGTGACGGATGCGGCGGCCTTGCTGAAGAATGGCGGACAGTTGCTCGCCAAACTATAATTTTTTTTAATCTCTTCAAATTGGAACTTTCTCAGGCAGTAGTTGGTATAATCTTTTTGGACGGTATTGTGTGCATAACGCATTGTTTCGATTCAAGACTCCCAAGCCTTTAGCAAACGGACCCTTCTCCTTTTTGATTCCAGCCTGTCGAATAGTGGCCCTGCTTATGCTGGGAGTGGATCGTATAAATAATCTTTGTTCATGGTCCACATCACGGTAAAATTCATTAGGGCTGTTATCTTTCTGCACAGTAGGTAACTAATTGATATCTACAGTATTGTTAATTCACCTATAAACTCCAGTATAAAGTACACCAATCAACAATTACTGCAAATTATATATCCTCTCAAACCAACCGAGTTTCTAGAAGTCTATTTCCATATCTACGGGATACCGACCTTCAGTGCCGACCATTTTGAAAGATTCGGTCCGGCCCACATTTTTGTCACAGCGACTCCATCGAGACTCAGACTACGAGTTTCCCGTCTTCTTTCCGCGGGAAAGAGGGGAAAAATCGTCAAATCTAGTGAGTGAATTATTCATAGAGACTGGATGAATTGGTAAGAGTATGGTCAAAGAAGGAAGGAGGAAGTTATAGTCAGAACTACTCTGTAGGCCGTAGGGTCTATGTAGTAGGTTGAAGGTCTAGGTACCGAGTTCGCACTAGGTAAATGATCCTATTAAGCCTATTAATAAGATAATAATGCTGGAGCTTGTTGGAGCTGATCGATGCGAGAGGAAAGATGTGGACCTGATATTGAGTCAGGTTCGTCGGAGTCCTCCGTAGGCATAGCTCTATGTAGTACGGTTAGTTACTAGGTAGTTATACCATAGTATAGTTAAACAATAATGATAGCTATACTCCTAATCAAACAATGCATTTGATTAGAGAGGTCAAAAACAAATACCTTGGCTGCTTGAATTGTACTGCTCTTTCCATCACTTCGGTATTAGTACGGAGTATGTACTCCGTACTCTGTCCTTGAGATCGAGGTAGTACAACAGACAATTTCATGAGATAGATCTTGATTTCAGCAAAGAGCGGACTCTATACCCTTCCCAATCAATCCCTTATACTCATTATGATTTCAGAGCATCCATAACCCCTGCGTCGTGCGTGCGAGTCAGTCATCAGCCCGCAGATTTAGCAGCTGTCGGCAACCTCCGCTGAGCGACCATGCTTGCAGCCATCGCAGGTTCCCGATCTCCAGGGATCCTCCGGAACGTGGGGTAAAGGCAAAAATAGAGATCCTGGGGGATGGACAAGGAATAATAAGCATCCGTTCTACTCGTCCGAGGCCGTACGGGGGACTCCATACTCCATGTTGTGTCGACGCACGGTGGAAGTGTCCTCCGATCCCTGAAGACCACCACCATCCAGCAAGGCCTTCATGACGCGGACCCCCTTTCGCGGCAATGCAACACCATAGCCAAGCTTACCTCTGGGCATGTAGAAAGAGAGCTAACAGGTAGTTAGTTGGAAGGCTCTCTAATCATGAGACGAACACCCTGTCTGGCATGGCACCAAGGAGTTTATCTGATAGCGGACCAGCCATACGAGCTGAAGATAAGGGGGAAACGCAGTCCCTGCGCATTCATCACCCACCAGCATCGCATGTCGGCGTCGCCCGCTGTCTTTTGCGTATCGTCTCTATCCTGATCTTCATCAAGCTTTGATAGTTTCGGAGTAGTACTGTTCCCCAAAAGCAACATGATAAGGCGGTTGATGATAAGGATGCGGTCGCATGGATGGGTTCGAATGTTGCTTGTCGAACAGACCTAGCAGCTGATTTCATTTAGTCACTATCAACTGTCACAGCAAACCTCCGACGGCCTAACCGTCGTAACCGAGTGATACCCATTCCCCAACCCCCCTTGGCAGGCCAATGAGTTCGGTCGGCTTGGTTGCCACTTCAACACGTTTGGTGCGGCGCAGGAAGCAAAACAGGGCCACTTACTGGCTGCAGATAAGCTCTGGTTTGGAGCCCGTCCGGCTTTCTCGAAGCACCAGCCGTGGAACGTACGCCACGCGAAATGCTCTGCGTTCTGCGATCTGGGCCAAGTGGATCCCGGAAACGCGTGAAGGGGAAAAAATTGGAAAGTAAAAAAAAAAAATCGAATGGTTCCATGTAGTAGAAGGTATTAAAGGTCGCGTGTCACCGTCTATCGCCTCGGAGAAGAAAGAGAAAAGAGAAGATGTGACTGTCGTCCCGTCTGCTTTTACCCCCCCTTCCTTCTCCCCTTCAGGTTTGCATTATTTGCTTATCCTCCCCCCCCCCCCACCTCTCTCTCTCTCTCTAGAGCTCTTCGCTAGAACCGAGCCTTCTTAGCATCCATCGAGATGTTTCGCAGGGCCGCAGAAGACGTTGAGAAGGCGCCGCAGGTGGGCAATGCCAACTTCGACGATAGCAGCGATGGTGCTGTTCCCGGAGAAAGCTTCGAGTATGGCAACTCGCTGTATGCGAGGTTACAGCGGATCGCTGGCAAGTTCAACATCGAACAGCGAGGCATCGAGCGGGTGCCAGAGAGCGAACGGACGGATACCTCGTATCTGAACATTGGCAGCATGGTGTGTTGATACTCCTTCGCCGGGCGTGGTCGGCTGTCCAGAAGGACCCTCCCCCGATTGACTGTGAACAGTGGCTTGCGGCAAACATGGTCGTCAGTTCCTTCGCCATCGGTGTGCTCGGAAAGTCCCTCTTCTATCTGGGGTTTGTCGACGCCATCCTGGTGGTCATCTTCTTTAACCTTCTGGGCGTCTTGTCCGTCTGTTTCTTCTCGTCCCTGGGCCCTGCCTTCGGCCTTCGCCAGATGGTGCTCACGAGATTCTGGTTCGGCTGGTGGTTTACCAAGTTCAGTGAGTTTTTCCAAAGGAAGGAAGGAAGGTTTTATATGACAAGAAAGCAATACTGATAGTTTTGTGCTCTAGTTGCCATCCTTAATGTGCTCGCCTGTCTGGGTTGGTCTGCGGCCAACTCCATCGTGGGCGCCCAGCTGATTCATGCCGTGAATAATAACGTGCCTGGTTTCGCCGGTATCCTGATCATCACCCTGTGCACGCTGTTTATCACATTCGCTGGATACAAGGTCGTCCATCTGTACGAGTACTGGAGTTGGATCCCCACCGCCATCGTCTTCTTCATTGTGCTGGGCTGCTTCGCCCATTCGGGTGACTTCCGCAACCTGCCCATGGACGTCGGCACGTCGGAGATGGGTGATGTCCTGTCGTTCGGCGCTACCGTCTATGGGTTTGCGACCGGCTGGACCAGCTATGCAGCAGACTACACTGTCTATCAGCCCTCCAACCGCAGCAGCCGCCTCGTCTTCCTTTCCACCTGGGTCGGACTGATCGTGCCGCTCCTGTTCACGGAGATGATCGGCGTGGCCGTCATGACTGCGACCAGCCTCAACGGTGGTGACAACAAGTACATGACCGGGTACGACAACTCCGGCAACGGCGGTCTGCTTGCCGCCGTGCTGGAGCCTCTCGGTGGCTTCGGCAAGTTCTGTCTGGTCATCCTGGCTCTGTCCATCATCGCCAACAACTGCCCCAACATCTACTCCGTCTCGCTCACCCTGCAAGTCCTGGGCCGTTGGACCCAGCGGGTGCCTCGCTTCATCTGGGTCATCCTCGCCTCCTGCATCTCCATCGCAGTCGGCATCCCCGGCTACTCTCACTTCGAGACCATCCTTGAGAACTTCATGGACATCATTGCCTACTGGCTGGCCATCTACACTGCCATCGGCTTTGCCGAGCATGTGATCTTCCGTCGCGGCATCTCAGGCTACCGCCCCGAAGACTATGATAAGCCAGATAAACTCCCCTACGGCATCGCGGCTGGTGTTGCCTTCTTCTTTGGTGTCGCGGGCATGATCACCGGCATGAGCCAGACCTGGTGGGTCGGTCCTATCGCCCTGCATGCCGGTGAGGCTCCGTACGGTGGTGACGTCGGCTTCGAGCTAGGCTTTGCTTTCGCCTTTGTCGTTTACTGTGCCTTGAGGCCCTTCGAACTGAAATACCTTCGTCGGTAGACCGGCATGGTTGCATTTCTCTTCGATATATATATTAGTTTTTTCTGTGTAGCTCTAATTCAAATAATGACTAGACCATTTTCTCATCTACTATATACTCATATAAAATCTAATTTTGTAGTTAGTTAAAAGCATCATGCACTTCTAGCTACCAGGTTGCTAATTCTAACAACTCAAGCTTGACTTCGAGCTTCTGAATTTGTAAGGCAAGGATTACGCCATTGATGAAGCATAAAACTGTTTTATGCCAAACGCCTTGAAGTTGTATCTATTGGCCAATGAAAGAGATATCAGGAAGCAGCCCAATAGAAGCAGCGAGAATGATTTAATGGCAGACAAAAAAGAGATGGAATTAATATGCATCCTATTCCATCTTCACATTCACTGGTTCCAGCAAATTTGGTAGTCATCGACGGATTCTGTTTCAATCAATCTCATCCTCTTTCTTCATTCGAGGTGAATCCGGTATCAATTTGATGAGAAGGACAGCCTTTTCGAGTTTTAAATCTTTCTGGTCATCTTTCCCACGTCGAAAGAGCGCTGGGTACATCACCAGAAGGAGGTCGCCAATCTTTGAAAAATCCGAGACGTGTTCAAACCTGTCCCTCGGTATCTTATTGTGAGTCCTGATGTCAATGATAGTGAACAAGTCTACTTGACACTTGCGAATGATTCCTGTTTGGTACCATTCAGTATAACGATACCACTCCCAGCTGGTACTCTTCAAGAGAACAGCTCATTTCGATAGATAATTCTATAGCAGGCTTCAGGATTTGGTTCTGAAAACGGTTGGTTTGGTAACTGGCGTCAAAATCGCTAGAGAACGAGAAGAAGGAAAGAAAGCGATAGACAATTTCCGCTATGTGAGAACATGATTCCTTGACTTGATTCTGATGTTGAGGACTGCAGGTGTAGGCTTTCATGGTTTCTGATCTCCAAACATCGATACTTTGGCGGTCTACATTTATCAAGATTAGCTTTTGGTATAGGTGAAGGAATGAAGTAGTAATTCAATTTCTCTTACCTTTCCTTGATGAGCAAATCCCCTCCTGGAGAGTGTTGAACATTTCATTTTCAGCGTTAGATAGCCCGAAGAGATAACTGTCGTCAAAAACATTGGATATCAAAGTCTAGAAAGATGATGGATTATCATCTCGGCTTGGGCCTCTGAATTCTCTTCTAAAGACACTCTGAAGTTGTCTGAGAATAGAAATTCATGGCCGGACATAGCTTTCCAAGCAGATTCGAAACCGCGAATATCGGGAAATCCTTCCACCAAGCTTGAGAGACTCTCTCGTAGCCTTCCGAATTCCTCATTGACTCGGTTGTCACTGATTCCATCTACTGGGATAGACTGGAAGATCTGGTTCCTGCATTCTACAAGCTCCTGTTCAAGCCGAGCAATATGGTCCTGAGCTTCTTGGACTTCTATTTCTTTTTGCATCAATGTGTCTGAGAGGTAATGGAGGGTTCCTTCGGGCCGCTGTCCGCTATTATGGGCGCTCACTATCGATTTTCGAATCTCCTTTGCATCTTGACGTGCTATGAGAATTGGTTCCAGTGGATTTAGAACTGCGCGATTGCCCGACAAGATATTCTGATAGTAATGAAGAATTAATATCAAAACATCTCATTTTCGTTTGCAACCTACATCATGCCCGGTATCGCCTTCTGGAGATTTGTTAGTTTCCGACATTTGGCCCCCTCCCTTACTGGAGAAGAACTCTGGGAAAGGTAAATGCTATGGAATCTTACCTTCAGGATAGCACAGAAATCAGGAGGGAGATCTGACACAGCGAAAGCTAGAGAGGTAGGTGCAAGAAGCATAATGAAGAAGAGGGAGAGGCAGGGCGTTGCCTGGTGGCTTTAAGGCCTTAAGTTAAAGGTCAGTGAAGAAGAAAGCGAGAGTCCGTAGCACTGCTTCTATTGATAGCTTTCACGGAACTTCTCACTCCACTCAACTCCCCATCTTAGGCAATATCTTTTTGGCCCTGCTGAAAGATCTTCATTTTTGATGCTTCTTCTGCGACTTCAGCTCTCATTTTGTTTCTCTCTTGAGTATCCGCTGATCCATAAGAACCTCAGTCAACACTGGAAAGTCGTATCAACTTGAGCCTATCGACAAGGGGACCTTCAAATTTAGGAGCCAAGTTTTATTCCAATTACTTAGCATTCTAGTATTGGAGCTATGAAGCCATCCTCCGAAAGAACCATTGTTATCGCTGTAGACTTCGGGACTACCTTCTCAGGTATCGCCTGGGCTCAGACAGCAGATGTAAGCAAGCAATTACTACTGATATCTGATCATGGTTTAACCTGCCTTAGCCAGAAAGCCATCGTGTCATCAACCAGTGGCCTGATGTGTCCTCCAGCTCCTTAGGTGGAAAATCGAGTGAGAAGGTTCCCAGCGAAATTGCATACCGATACACCAATTCAGGCCCTGAGTCTCTTTGGGGATTCCAGATCCCGGACTGCATGCCGCGCCATCAATGGATTAAGCTTGGCTTGGTACCTGATAGGACGTCAGGAGTGAACTCACGGTTTTCTCATATATCCACAGACTGTCGAAATGTCCAGGATACTCCGTATCATGCGAAGCCCGAGGAAATTGTGACGGACTATCTTCGATCTTTGCGCAGCCATACAATCGAGGTTTTGAGATCAAAAATTGGAAAGCCATTTGAGACCATGCAGTTAGCGTTCGTGATTACGGTTCCCGCAATGTGGCCGGAGGCTGCAAAAGCGAAGACTCTTTCATGTGCCGAGAAAGCAGGCTTTGGGGAAACATCTAAGATTCACATCATATCAGAGCCGGAAGCTGCAGCCACACATGCTTTCAAAGTTTCAAATCCTCATGGTTTAGAGGTTGGTGACACGATTGTTCTCTGCGATGCCGGTGGAGGAACAGTAGATCTGATCACCTTTTCCATCTTGGAACTTCAACCAAATCTTCGCTTGAAAGAAGAGGCACCAGGCAATGGCGGCCTCTGCGGAGGTACGTTCCTGAACAGAAAATTTGAGGAGTTACTGAAAGCAAGACTATCCTCTTGCCCTGGTTGGGATCGAGACACCTTAGACGAGGCACTCAACAGATTCGAGGTAGCCAAGCGAAGCTTTGGAGGTGACATTCGTGACGACTTTGCGTTCCCAGTTCCTGGTCTAGCTGATGATCCTGAAAAGGAAATCAAACGTGGAAGAATCATGCTTTCTGGACGTGAAATGGCCGATATTTTCCTTCCCATCTTCCAGGATATCCTGGAGCTGGTTAATGAGCAGCTTGAAACATCAACACAGAAAGCGAAATCAATATTCCTCGTTGGGGGATTCGGACAGAGCCCCTATCTACGCAAATTTCTGCGCGACAATATTTCCAATGATATAAATGTGATTCAAATTGTTGACGGTTGGACAGCTGTTGTTCGAGGAGCACTGGCAAAGACAATCGCTTCAACCACCTCGTCCATTCCTAGAATTACCGTGGAGTCTCGAGTGGCCCGAAAGCATTATGGGATGATTATGAGTACACCATTCCAGCCTCATCTACATGAAGAATCAAAGAAGTGGGTGTTGTCCAAAATATTTATATTCGGTATCGAGACTGATGACTCCAGGTACTGGGATTATTTCCATGGCGACCATCGTATTCAAGTCTTGTACTGGTTTATCCAAAAAGTGTGAAAACATATTTTAACCATTATCCAAGTAAATTCCAGTTAGCTAACGAGTTTTTAACAGGGAGACCAGATCAAGGAGGGAGAACCCATTGAAACTTCCTGGACCCAAAAACACCTAGAATCCGAGGGCCCGTTCCATTCCATTTCCGTTCAGATGTATGAGTTGGATATCCCTATCGGTGCCATCGCTCCGTTATACTTTACTCGGAGTAAGCTCGATGAGTCTTGTTGATAGCCGCTAGCGTTTATTATACTAATTGTGATTTCGGTTCTAGAGATGAAGAAACATGCACGTCTTGACCCCAATCTAAGCCAGATCCAAAAAGACCGTATCCCTGTTGTTCAAGGAAAAGATGGCGAAAATTATTACAAGATCGACTTCAAGATCCATGCTGCTTATTTCTCGGCTCATTGCGAATACACTCTTTGGTACGAGGACAAGGATCATGGTTATGTGGATGTGAGATATTCTTGAAATCTTCAGAAATCTGGCTGTTGGTCAAAATATGCTGAGCCAAGCGATCCTTGACTCTGTTTGAATCAATTGTGAGGGTTTATTCAGGATACTTCATCTGGAATATTTCATTTGGGACAATTTGATACTATTGACTATTGAGTTGCTAGCAGAGCCGATTATTGCATCCCGCAATATGACTCCAGTGCCTTTGGTCGTAAAGGCATTCAAGTAACCTTGAGCTTCCTTGTAGCATAAGTCAACGTAGATAAACTCATTTGCATAGAGAATAATTCCTGATAGAGAACTGGTTGAACACGTGATATCGCCCTGATTCACCAGCCACAGCGGGCTTTCCTGCGCCACAGAAATTTGCCGCCTCTGAACAAATCCACAACGGATTCGCCTCGAGACGGAAATCCAGAAATTCAGCAACGACAACCTCATACACACGACAAGATGTCCAGACTAGCCAAGTGAGCCTATCCCCCGAACTAGAGGTCGCAAAACAGCATCTAACACATTTTTTTCTCGTCTAGCCGTGCCGACTGGGCCGACGACGAGGAGTTCGACGACCCCTCCGCTCTCCCCGCGCAACAAGTGACAACCAACAAAGATGGCACCAAGACGGTGGTGTCGTACCGCTTCAACGACGAGGGCAAGAAGGTGAAAGTCACCCGCCGGATCAAGACCACTGTTGTCCGCGAGCACGTCAACCCCCAGGTTGCGGAGAGACGGTCCTGGGCGAAATTCGGCCTCGAAAAGGGCCATGTCCCGGGCCCGTCGTTCGACACCACGTCCGTGGGCGAGAACATCATCTTCCGGCCTAGCACCAACTGGAAGGCCCAGGCCAAGGAGGCGGAGAAGGCCGGGGGCGAGAAGGGCAGCATGAAGGACCAGCTGAAGGACAAGAAGGTCAAGTGTCGTATCTGCAGCGGCGAGCACTTTACCGCTCGCTGTCCTTTCAAGGATACCATGGCGCCTGTCGACGAGCCCGCCGCTGGCGCCGGGGGAGACCTGGATCTCGAAGGTGAACCAGCGTCCGGCGCTCTCGGCAGTGGAACCTCCAGCTACGTCCCCCCTCATCTTCGGAAAGGTGCTGCAGGTGCTGCTGCTGGCGGCGACAAGTTGGGTGGCAAGTACGAGAAGGACGACTTGGCGACTCTGAGAGTTACGAATGTGGGTGCCTCCTTTTCGGATCGTGCGGGTTGCACGATCTGCATTTCTCATTTCGCAATTTCGCATTCTCTTTCGATTTTTGATTTCCGATTTTTTTTGACCCTTTGCTGACCTTCCTTCTTTGGGCAATAGGTGAGCGAGTTGGCAGAGGAACAGGAACTCCGGGATTTGTTCGAACGTTTTGGCCGTGTCACCAGAGTCTTCCTTGCCAGAGACAGAGAAACCCAGCGGGCCAAGGGATTCGCCTTCATCAGTTTCGCGGATCGGAGCGATGCCTCACGGGCTTGCGAGAAGATGGATGGCTGTAAGCTGCCTCTCCCGGATATACCCCCTCTTTACCCCCTTTTACGTCTGCTCTTGAAGAGCCTGACAAGGATAATCACTAACTTGTTGGCTTCTCAGTCGGTTACCGCCATCTCATTCTTCGCGTCGAGTTCGCCAAGCGGACAACTTAAAAAGACTGCTGCATCTTACTTTACGACACCTTGGATCTTTTCTTCAGGCGGGCTTGATTCATGGCTTAGGATCTTTTCTTTGTATTGTGTATGATCTGACTCGATAATGATGATTACTGAAGACATCCACACGTGTCACCTACTTTTCTCTTTTGTTCTTTTTTTCCTCCTTTCCCTTCGTCGAGTCTATACAGGGAAGAGACACAAAAAAAAAGCATTCATTCCATCGTGGATATACAGCTATGCATTAGACCAATTCTAGAGCACTCTTGCTTCCATAACGCTATCGCTGTTATGCTTGATAACTAGGGGGTATATCTCCACATAAAAGGGCCCATATAGTTATCCTCATGCTTTTGCAATGTGTTTACTAGGTCGCCATTGCGATTAAAATGGTTTCCCAAGGTGTAGAGAGCCTCCATATGATAATACCCCACCGTCTGTATCGTAGGCCTAACAACAGGAAAGGTGAGGCGAGTTTTGAAGAAAAATCTGACCCATGTCTTCAAACTAGACTTGGGTTGAAAGGAAAGAATGCTGTCTATGACCTACTTTGAAACTAGGGGAGTTGGTTCAGAAAGACTGGTTTTTCAGTCATACCTGCGCGGGACCAGGCTTGATATCTGTGAACAGAAAGACCCTCAGAATAGGAAATACATATCTATCTACCCACAAGCCATCTTGTTCCCATTCCCGAGGCAAAGAAGACAAGGCTCGCTCTCGGCGGCAGGGTCTCCGCAGAATAGGACCAATATGGATTGCTGAACTGCTCCCTTCAAGCCAAACGGTGGGAAGAGCTTGTCATCTGCTCCTATCTTGCTGCCCGAGTGTGTACTGAACAGATGCTTTTGCAATGTGTCCGAACGACGAACATAACCTCCCGTACCCCGGCCAATTCAATTGATGCAGCCCGACAAAGTTCCCGGCTTTCAGTTTGACCCAACAAGTTTGCGTCACCGTCACATCGATGCTCCATTTGATAGTCGAGATATTGAATGAACTAACACGCCTCATTCATTTCCTAGGCTTCACTTCGATTCAAAGGAGGCGGATCTACAAAACGCCAACAAAACGCCAACAAAACGTCGCCTAGCTTCCCTCTCAGACCCATGCCTTTCGAAACTAGTGTGCATGTGATGATGGTTCTAGAATCCCAGACTGAAGTTACATTGCAGTGAATCATGTCTCCTGTCAAGTACCGTCGGAATATTTATAGCATGTTGTGATTAGAGCGGCAGTCCGAGGAAAGTATCAATGGACAGGAATCTCGACGACTTATTGGTTGTTTGGAATCATCTCTGTGTGACTGAGACTCTGCTAGCACCATTCTGCTAGCCTGACTCACTTTGAAGGAGGAGGGAAAAGGATCAAGACGATGGATGGGTCCTTGAGTGGACTTGCAGCAATGGGAATCTCCATCACGTCCACGGGGTAGCCTCATATTCAGCCGGAACCAGACTCCCGGCCAGCAAGTCCCAGTTGCTGATCCAATGACGGTTTCTAGTGACACTTTGTTGGTATGTACCTCGCCTTATTAGTGCATACCTTGCTTCAACAATGCAGATGCCTGGCCCACTACCTTTCTGGGAGTACGCCTAGGCTCGGGTGTGACCACATGCACAACCTGAAAGACTCATCATGCCGTTTCATTCGCCACTGTAAAGAGTACAGCCGTCATCAGAAACAGGAGATCCATTTGGAAGGCATAGGAACCCATCAGCCTAAGAAACCGCAGCCTGACTTAGAGGCTGTGTCAATTTGAGGTTAACTGTCTTTGTCGATGCACAGTGCGTAGGAGATATGAGACGATTTTTTGACCAAGCATCCAGCGGAGATGATATTGGTCCAATCCTTCAGCTGTCGTCATACGTGGAAATCATATGAGAACTTGTAACGAAAGTCTCCATGTCGCCGAGGGCTTTGTACGTATACAGAATGTCAAGATTACTTTCACGTTAGCTTCTGTCATCATAGTTCACAGACAAAATTGAAAGACTCAAAAAAGGATATTCGCGGCCGAACTTATCATAGGCTGCCTGAAATCATATCTTGATGCCGATTGCAACTCGTCAAGGCCTCTAGCGGTGAATGCAAGGGTTCGAGCGCCATCTCGGTGCGAGATTGGCAGAGAAGAGATAGCATATGAGTTATTCAGAGCTATGGCAGTAACTATTCATTCTCTTGATGCAGAGTCTAGGCTGCAGAGGTGATTTGGGCCGAATTTCGCCATTGATCTGAGGCGGAGTCTGATCATGCCGTACCTATGGATTGCTGGATTCGTGTCAGATGATAGTTATTCTACCATGATAGGGCAAATACTTACTAGGCTAGGTATTGGTACGCAATTCGTGGTGGTCTGAACCCGGAGACCAACAGTGGATCTCTTACCATGAGCCCAGTAATAACCGCGTAAATTCAGCAATCAGTCATCGGCCTACAATACAGAGTTGCTGAGTTTCCCAGGTCGAGTGGATGGAGGCCGTCCTTGCTGAGACCCACAAGCTTGACCAGGCATGCAGAGGCCAGCGTTACAAGTCCATCTACTGGCGCGTCGCAAAGGAACTCTAAGGACTCTTTGCAGTCGGCATCCAAAGTGCCCAACACCGCCTTATCATGACTGGGAACTCGCTACTCCTATGAAATATCGAAACCACTGGTAGCGGCCGATTGTAGCTCGGAAAAACGCAGTCCATGGTGGTTGACCGTTGAACTGATGCTTGACGGCAAGATTGGTCGATTTTGTTGCACAGGTTCTGTCCCTAGAGAGGAATCGCAGCGGCCATCATTCGACCCCTTCCGTCCAGTTCCCCTCCTCCCCCACAGCCGTGAACTAGAAAGGGGTGGTCAACGTTCTCAATCAAACGTTTACTTTGTGCCCCTTTCCGGGAAAACGCTAGGACGTTGCAGAATCCGACCTCCAGCGTTTCACATCCGTCGGCTTGGTGAATCGATAACACGTGAAAACCCCATGCTGCATTTTTGACATTGAGAGAATGATGGGTGTTATTCTTAGTATCTTATGCAACGAGGACCAGTGCAAGATCACCTTCTTTAGCATCACGGCGAGACTCTAGACGTTCGAATTGGCTCAGGAGGACAATAGACCTGGTAGGACAACTTGCAGCATGTATGCGATCTGGAAATTTGGATCATGTAATTCATTAAAATGTCGTTTCTGCAGGCCCATTACTATTGCCACAGACGATTATTCAGGTGTAACTCACACGCCAAAGGTTGTACACCACCACTATTGGACTCAAGACGCCACGGAATCATCTTCCTCCGCCCCCTTTCCCCTTTCTTTGCCATCTATTTCATTCACTAGAACGCGCGAGAGAAAGAGAGAGATAGAGGGGGAGAGAGAGAGAGTTGAGAACGTGTAGACAGAAGTAGAAGGAACCAACCATCCTAAGCCAAGCCTATTTTGGCATCAGCAGTCACCAGGTCATCTAAGCCCAATCCGGCTCGCCGCTCTGGCATAGGGCGCACGTGCCATCCTCGTCCGTCCGGCGTCCACAGCGTCCCCTGACCAACTCCTCCTTCCATCTCCAGGACGACAACACAAACATTCTGTTCTGCTCCAGCATTAGCCTCGCTACGGTGGCTTGGGTGTCTAGAGGAGAAGAGCTAGAGTACTGAAGTCGACCTCCGAGGCTCTCCGTCGGGTCTCAGATGCTAGAAATCTGCGATGGAGCCTGCTAGGCAAGCGACCCTGTCACCCTGGTTTGAGATGTGATCGTCCTCCGCCGACCCAATACAATGTTACCACTGTCAAGAAACGCACTGTTACCTGCATGCCATCCCTTTCGGGCCATTGGGACTGGTTCTCGATAATTCTTTATCTCGGTCGTTGACCAATCAAGTGGTTGTGGTTCTTGACTGTGTTCAAATAGCGTCCTGCAGAACGGGGGCGATCTTCCCAACCACCCATCCGAAGATCGCCTGGGGGGGGGATAGTAGGGTAATCTGCTCCGCCTTCCATGATGAGTGGAGACTCTAGGATGAACGATTACCCTCACAACATGAAAGATCTTTGTGTCTCATTTACCAAGCCGCAGGCCATGGCGCTCGATTCTGGAAACATGCTGTGTTCACGGATTCCTTTACTTTGCAGCTGCCCCCGGGTGCGACTGTGGGCCCATCCGCCCCTCTCCTCCCGGAAGAGCATCTTGCTCAGATATCTCAATTCATAGGCTTCAGGCAGCCTATGGCTGCTTAGGACCCTCATGATTCGACTGGAGTCGGTGAGCCAGAGAACTGCGACGAATCAGGCATGGTATGGAGGGTTGATACTACTGCCGATCGCCCGGTATTCGCCTTACGCAAAATTACCCCCTCTACTCGTGCTTGGAGCGCCTTAGGAATCAAATGAGAAAACCTCCAAAGGCGAGAGACGTCTAGAACATGGCAGTAATCCTAGCGTCATTCTCCCCTGTCACCCACTAGCTACTTCCATCGACTGTTTCTAAATTACCTGGGATCATGATCAGCGCCATTGGTCGTTGCTGGAGTCTAAGTCTTAGTCGTGTCTTTAGTCTCTGTCATGCGACTGGGGTCTTTGCACGGAACTCCCGGGGGCAGGCCGATCATCACCACTTATCGCTTTTGGCGCCCATCTTTATTTCTGGATGCACATTTCCGTTGACCGGGTATCCATCCTGGAACAGCTGACTCTGCTCTGAAGCTGCTCCTGAATGGTGCCAGGCATCCATCTAAGCCTCCATTCGGGTCATGCTTCTTTTTTTTTTTTTTTTCCTTTTTCAATTTTTGAATCGGAACTGTTACGCTTCGGAATGACAGACGGTGTCAATGCGAGGCCTTTGTACGGAGCTTGGCTATGGAAACGTAACATGAGCCTTGTGGTCAATGTGGTGTTCAGGGAGCGCTCTCGGCGCTGCAATCGACCTTCGCGCTGGAGGATCAATGCAACCATTTGCCAGGATTTCAGGCCGTTGATGATGGAGATCGGTCCCAATAATTCCATTTACGACGGACGAACGAAGCCTTAGGTTGATGTCCAGGGGTTTGACGGTTGGACCCCTTTTTGCTGCTGCCACCCTCTGTAGTTGTCCTGGTGCACGGCGAATGTTCGGCAGCCCTGGCATGATCAAGATTCCACAAGAATCTCGTGGCAAGGTGATGCTAGGCCATCACGTTTAATTTGATGCTGGATTACTTCCAGACTCGTGCACGGCAAAGCCTGCAGACACATCCGCCGCAAAATTACGGGTTAACCAGGGTCACCGGGCGTTTAGGGATTGGGCCAGACACTGGATTAACGGATGTCAGATGGAAGATGACATGAACGAAGCTATAATATCCTGGGAAACAAATATCAGCCCAGCTTGTCCCTCACCCTCTCTGGACCTTATGCCCAAAGGCCATCGTTGTCTAGCTTCATTCAAAATCCAAAATTGCTTGCATTGTCTCGAGAATCATCTGAAACCTGCCGCCTCAGCGCAAGCGCAAGTTGGCTCTAGAGGAATCAAGTACATATTAGCAGCGCCTCTGCACCAGCAGGACTCGTCCAGCTGTCCGGCAAACGGCACCACCAGTTTGCAAAAAAGCCTCGTGCAGATTTAGCTGCCCTAAAGTCGCATGAACTGCTAAATATCCATTGATTAACTACCGATCAATATTTGATAATCTCCAAAGGTGGTGTAAGTCCATGACTTCTTCTCTAGCTTCATCCAGTGTTCTCCTAAGCCACGATATGATCATCCACTGCAGTTCGTGAGACTGTCTTCAACGCCCCATTGCACGTCTCTTGCAGTAGGAAGCCTCATCATTCATGGTTTACACTCTCTTTCAAACCCCTCATATCATCTTCCCCCATAACTCTACAAAGTCTAGCAGGACTAGGACTTCTGAGCTTTACTTACTCGGTCTCAATAAATAGTCGTCATGACTGATGGAAGGCATTTTCTTTCTAGGTCTAGCCAGCTATAGCGAAAACGAGAGTGCCATCCGAGCTCAGTGACCGAACAGCTACAATAAAAGTTGTGTTGAGGTTGAGATAACAGCTACCACAGTGGTAATCCCTCACGTTAGACATACTCTTTCTGCCTCTGATCGAGTCAGAAGGACCTTACCACCACCGTCTTCTGCAGCCTATCCTTCGCCACCGGTGTCATTGAGCAGCCTCACAAATGAATCACGGTGAGTGTTGACAATTTTCATCTGTTCCTTTCTCCATATCCTTCTTGCACGACGTCATTGGAATGGGCTCCTATTTTTCTATTTGTATTTTTTTGTCCACTTCGCCTTTTGCCATCAGGCAAGCCACGGTGAGATGTCTACGCCTGATGATGGAGCATCGACAAATTTGATATATGATCTACATTGTGACGGCATTTTTGTGCGCCTGATGGGTGAAATGGAACTGCTACCCAGACACCCCCTTCCCCCTTCCTCAATACGTCTCGGCAGCCACGCCAGCAATGATGAAAGAACCTCTGCAGATCAAGAGGGAAAGAAAGAATACAACAAATAAAACAGAGAACAAAAAAGACATCCAATCTGCCAGCAGAGCTTGAGGATTTACAGGCAGTTTCAAGCCCACTCCCTTCGTTGTCTAGCCCTTGAAGCTTGGCTCTGTTTTTCTTTGCTTTTTTTTTTTAATTTGCTAATCATAGCCGCACTAGCAACTTTCCTGCATAACACGCTTTCATTGGAGTATCCAGGGACGACCGAGGGCGATTACGGGACACACCGGCAGTTCCCAGGCGCCTCTGGCTTTGGGCCTGACGAGGATGGTAGTCGCAGAGTCGGCGCGCTGGGAAATCCCCTGGTCCAGCCGGTTTCCATACCTGGTACCAACGGCGTGAGGTACAGTGCACAGCAGCCTGCGCTGCAGGATGTAGCGTAAGTTGTTCTTTCAATTCGGGCCAGCTTCTACGCTACACTCCCCCATTCGGTGGCCCACTAATCAGATCATTCCCTGCTGGGCTGGGGGGCAAGTGATCCAGTCTCTTTTTTCTTCAGCTTTCTCTAGCAACTGCTTGCATGCATCCTGCCACATCCTCTCTATCGGGGCCGGACCTTGTAATACCGGTCACAAGCCTATATCTCACTCCATACAGATGGCACCCCACACTACACCCAAGCCAAAAAAAATTACTATTTGATCTACATCACGCTCTGCTGGGTCGTGGCATGCCTTATTCAGCAATATATCTTGAGGGAACGTACTCGGTGGCTAACGGACTTATCTCAGTTACTCTGCCTCTCCATCTCTCCTCATGAACTCTCCCGATTCATGTTCCGGTTTGTCTGCCAACTGAGCTCCTTCTCATTGATTTCCTGCTGGTACTTTTGCCAACTCGCTTTATGAACGATGTGATTAGTGGCCGAAGCCTTCTCCCCCGCAGCTGGTTCCGTTTATTCACACTCTGGCGGATTCCCTTACGATTCAAACATGTCCGATTTTCGATCCCATCGGGTCCCTGCCCTGTACGTGAATAACTGCCTGCCCCATCTATTTTTTTTTCTTTCCCCCGATTAACGAACCTGCTCACGTTTCCCTTCTTCTTCTTCTTCTTTTTTTTTCTCTCTGATACCCTTTTTTAGTCAACCACCCGCGGGTCTTTCACCTAGCCTTCAATCGCAGAGCGCGGTTAGCGCAGCCTCGGCGCTGATGGGAAGAGGCGACACCTACGCATACACGTTGAACCGAAGTCCATTCCCGTCCCTGTCGACGAGCTTAAATGATATGTCAAGGTATTCGCAGTACACGAGCACGCCGCGCCTAGCAGTCGAGAGCTCGTTGGACCGGTCATCCCAGAATATACTTTTCGGCCACAATGGGACCATGATGATGGAGCCTGTCCAACGGGCACCATCGAATCTGACGGACGCACCACCTTTTCATGAGACCAGTATCTTACAATCCATCATCACGGGGAACCAGACGATCAAGCCCGAGATCCAGGCCAAGATCCACAAGGGCTTCTTCCAGGTAGATGAGAAGTGGACCTGCTACCGGCGCAACTACTTCTCGGTCTCCTGCTCCTTCTCGTTACGCCCTTGGGCCCCGAGCTCTTCGCTGTACCTCCGATTCTCCGACAACACGACCGAGCGGATCGGGGCGTTTGGCATGTCGATCTCTGCCATCGTGAATGAACAGTACGGGGAGATCCGGGACCTGGTCCAACACACCCCAAAGCGGGACAAGCAGTCGGAGCGAAGACCCGGCCGCATCACGCTCCAGCCATCACAACCACAGCCGCTTCTCCTGGGCCATGCATCGACATCCAACGGAAACACGTTTGGTTTCGGCATGGGGCACTCCTCTGGCATCCCCCTGGAGTATGGGCCCTATACGAACACCTCCCAAGCCTCCCAGCCCCCTACTCAACACACCTTCGAGCGCATCCAGTTCCAAAAAGCGACGGCGAACAACGGCAAGCGCCGAGCGCAGCAGCAGTATTACAACCTGGTGGTGGAACTGTGGGCGGAGCTGGCCGATTCTGTCAACGAAGATGGAGAGACGGAGTGGGTCAAGATCGCCCGGAGGCTCTCGGACCCCATGGTGGTTCGGGGCCGTTCACCGGGACACTACAAAGATGGCCGACGAGACAGCACAACCAGCATGGGCCCGGATGGAGGGAATGGGGCCGCTGGAGATGGCGCCGGACCTGTATTGCCACCCGGAATCGGACATCCTCCCCGTTCGCACCCCAGCCTGATGGCCTACGATCCCTCCCATCGCGGAGGCGCTCATCAGTACACCCGGCCGGACTACCGCCATATGCCAGGGACAGATCATTCACCCTTGACGGAGAGTCCCCTGATCTCCTCCTCATCCTCGTCTGGACTGGATTTTGCGATCCTCAACGATTCCATGGATCCAATGGACACAATCAAATCCGTGTCCAGCATCGACTCGTTGCCCGATTCAACATTCTCCCTACCGTCCCCGGACCCCCGGAAGCTCGATCTGCAGAGTCAGTACCGAGCTCCGCCATGCGCCTATGGATACGATTCGCCCAAAAATAGCGACGAGCCCAGCAGCAGTTTTCCGGAATCCTACGACCCGATGATTTCCATCCTACATAGCGAACCCGATGAATCAGCGCCATATCTGAGGCAACTCCCTCGTCTGGGCGCCAGCCAGTCACATCCACCAAGCACCAACAATTTCGATCCTTTTTTCTCCAGTCGACTCGCCGACGGCCGGTCTTATAATCGGTTTGAGTCTATCCAAAGCTCCCCCAGCTTATGCACCTGAACGGTCTTTCTTTCTTCTCTTTCTTTCTTTTTATTTTTTGATTTCTTTTTTTTTTTTTAACCTCCTGTGACTCCCCTTTTTCCTATGTCTGTGACACCCTTGCAGGGGCTCGATTTTCCTTTTATTTTTCTCTCTGTCAAGTAACAAAAGTGTTCCTTTCCACCTTGGGTTATCGATGGCGGGGTTCTTGGTGTTTGTGAGAATAGAATCCTTTGACAGGATGTGCCCAGTTTGGACGGTGTAAATTTCCTCGTATCTTATTGATATTTGTTTGTTTGTTTTTCTCTCCCTTCTTCTATTTTTGTTTTCTTTTTTCATTGCATGGTTATTTTCTAGCTGCCTGCCCCCCTAGTCTTTTAGTCTTCTATTTCCCCCCCCTCTTCCCCTTCCCCTTTTTCACTAATTATTGACGAGGATTGGGGTCCAAGTAGCAGGCTACTCCGAGTCCATACCATCAGTGCCAATCAGACTGCCAGACTTGAGAAAACAAAACAAAGAAACGCTTCCGAACGTTGTTCCTTATAATTACTACATAAGTCCGGCTGCCGTTTTTGTGTGACATGGTTTTGTCTAGCTGGTAGAATTAGACAGTTAGCTACCTCGTACTTTGTATACTCTGTACCCCGTACTTGCTCCGAAGGGTCGGCTCAAAAGGAAGTACCATGGCCAAATACAGAGTCCTCAATGATTACCTGGGAATTCTGTTCAGTCCAACCAATTGAAATTTTCCCCTTATTGACAAATAAAGCCTTGCTTGGAACCGGTATATACCACATCAGGAAGGACGAGAACAGGCCGATCGAGCTCCGGGCGGCGACGATCTTTCAACTAACCTAGGGTACAGAGCAGATTTACCCATTTGGTATCTTTTGCGCGGCGACCTTCGGATTACAGGGGATGTTGTCGGGTGTTGATAGTTATTATTATTATTATTATTACTAACTACATACTATTTACCTCTATTTAGTGTTTGTTTGTTACGCTATGTCAAGACTAGACTGGAACTAGCGCGGATCAGACGCGATGATCGACCGGGCAGGTTCGGTAAGTTCCGAGCCGTCCGTACTGTATGGTATTAGTAATGGTATGTATTAGTACCTCTCTCTCTCTCTCTCTCTCTCTCTCTAGGTATGTGTATATTGTACCTAGTACTTCGTATTTATGTACTTATTAGACCCTGCTTCTGTTCCAGCTGTACAACTTCCACTCGTGGGCTGTAAACCAATTGGATTGCGCCTGATCACCGCCTAGATGCAGGATGCACATCGTACCAGGGTGGGTGTGGCTATAGATTGATCGGGGAAGCAGCCACATCATTCAAAGAAGCAAGACTTGGAATAAAGGGGGCGAAATCAATGAAGCCGGGGAAGTCGGCGCTGTTTGCGTCCGCCCTACTCCGTGGGCCATGCGAGTCCTTCAGGAAAAACCTGTTCACTATCAAAATCACTGGATGGGGGTAGTATCTATACTCCCGTAATCAAGTACGGTCAGTATTTAATTGATCTATCATCACGTCACACCGACTCGCCCACACCGTCTCCCATGACACCCTATCATCGCCGGACGTAGGGTCGTACAGAACGGTTGGCTCTCGCCGGAGAATATCCCTCGTACGGAGTCCCACGGGACACGGGGGGAGCACGCGAAATCATTCCGCCGCTAGAGTGCCTTTCCTTCCTGAGATCACCGATCTCGTAGCCATCACTGTGGGGGAGGGTCCTCGTTTCGTTGGGAGAACGGCATGCCAGACCATCGTAGTTGTCTTCTTGTCACTTCAAGACACCAACTTCAAGACCATTCGAAGATCATTCAAGGACAAGAAACCATCTCACCCGGCCATTCTCATCGGGCCACGAACAGGGTGGATTCGGAGATCTGCGCGTATCCCGGCATGCTGATAGTCATCAGCATTCTCATTCATTTTTTTTTATAGAAACTTTCTTTCAAGACTCATGACAACTCACCTCTTCATTTGAAAAAAAAGGGTAATATAATTAGAAAAGGGAGAGAAAAAGAAAAAGAAAGAAAAAAAAAACCCCCCCCGCTGTAAACTCTATCTACTCTTTGTCAACCCGCGACACCCGAAGAGAGAGTTTCCGGTCCAAATCCGCCTGCTGCTCCGGCGTAGGCACCATGCCTAGCGCGCCCTCCACCTCAGATGAAGTCCAGAGCCCAATAGACGCCCATGCCATCAGGCCGACGCCGAAGAGGGCGCGTGTCTTGGGCGAGAGGGATCGGTAGGAGCTAAGAGAGAGAAAAAAAAATAGACGCCCTGTTAGCGGGTTTCAAATCCGGGTTTGGTTGCGTTTTCAATAGTGGGGGGGGATCAAGTCAGGATGGAATGAAAAAAGAAAAACAAGGCAAATTACCTCCAGAACGACATGCTTCACGGCGTTTGCGGATTTGCTCTCGACGTCGTGTTGTTCGGGGGTTCACCGTTCACATGAAGTCGCGTTTATGCTTATGTAATTTATGTCACGTGCTGGCTTACTAAGTTACTGACTCTGGCTTGCTCAGTATCAGATTGAAGAAACTCTGCCTGGCCATCTCTTAATACTATTTTCTGTTCAGTTCTAGCTACGACGTAGGATCAACTCTAAACATATTGACATTCGTATCAATCAATAACTATGACCGGGTCATCGAATTCATCGAATAGATGACAACAGGTATTGAAACAAGCTGACATCAAACAGTGAACTGCACACGAGCAGCAGGGAATAAAACAAAGGAGAAAAGAAAGGAAAGGAAAGGAAAAAGGGGTTGGGAAAGAAGAGAGACTATTTTTTGTGGTAGGCTTGGTCGATTTCCTTGCGATACCGGTTCATGATCTTCCTTCGCTGGAGCTTCTGTGCGGCGGTCATGTAGCCCTAAGCATTCGTTAGTAAGATAGATATATAGAAATAGAATATAGAATATAAAAGAAAGTATGGTGCTCACATTATGAGGAGTCCATTCTTCGTCGGAGAGAACCACCCCGCTGACGATTTCGATACCACGGAGGCCGCCCGCCTTGCCTGCAGCCTGGAGCTGCTTGAGGACGGCAGCGTTGATGTCCTTATTATGCACAAGCGCTTCGATGGTGTCGCCCTTGATGTTGTTCTCCTCGGCGAGTTTCTTCAGGGCGGTCTCGATGGGGACGATGATGGCAACGGGCTTGTCCTGATCCTCGGCGGCGTAGACGCAAATGTTGCCGACAATGGGGGAGGAGCGGTAGATGGACTCGAGCTTCTCGAGAGCAATGTACTCGCCGTTGAGGGTCTTGACTAGGTTCTTCTTGCGGTCGATGATGCGCAGGTGGCCGTACTGGTCGAACTCGCCAATGTCGCCGGTCATGAACCAGCCGTCCTCGCTGAAGGCGCTCTTGGTTTCCTCCTCGTTCTTCCAGTAGTGCGTCGTGACGCTGGCGCCGCGGATGAAGATCTCACCCTGCGGCGGGCGGTGCGAGGTCAGGTAGCCTGCGTCGGGGAAATCGACCAGCTTGACCTCGACGGAGCCCGGGATCTCGCCCAGCGCGTTGCAGTTCCAGGCCATCGGGTCGTTCAGCGCCCCCATGGCCGAGGTCTCGGTCAGGCCATACCCGCTGATCATGGGTGCGATGGCCATCGACAGGAACTGTTGCGTGTCCTTGGAGACGGGACCACCGCCGTTCATCATGATGCGCATGCGCCCGCCCGTCGCGTCTTTGAGCTTCTTGAAGACGACAGAATCAATGAGTCCCGTGGCAAAGCTGGCTCCAGGGAAGCCCGTGGTCATGAGGAAGCTCTTGGCGGACATGGCGCCCCAGAACAGACTCTTGACAAGGAAGCTGTTCTTGTTGAGGTTGTTCAACACGCCCTTCTTCACCGATTCCCAGACCGCGGGGACGCCAACCAGGATGGTCGGCTTTAACTCGCGGATGTCGCCCTTGCAGTTCCGCATCGAGGTGTCGGACAGGGTGCGCGGGTTCCCGTATCCCATGGTGCCACCCCAAAACAGGCAGAGGTTCTCGAACATGAACTCGAGGATGTGTGCTTGGGGCAGGTAGGTGAGCAGGATGTCATTCGGGCCGATATACTCGCCGACAATGGCGTGGATCCCCGCGGTGGCCGCGATCACGTTGGCGTGGGTCAGGGGAACACCCTTCGGAGGGCCGGTCGAGCCGGAGGTGTACATGATGCAGCAGAGCGCCTCGGGCGCAGGCGGGACGGGATCGACCAGGTTGTCCTCGCCCAGCTTGCGTAGGTCCTCGATGCTAAGGATGGTGAGGTGGTCGAAATCGGCCTTTAGTTTGTCCAAGTCCTCCTGTTTGACCTCGTTGTCGGTGTTGTAGATGACGTATTTGACGGATTTCGCATCGCCGAGCACATTTCTCAGGGAGTGGATCAGGCCAGGGTCCAGGAAGATTGCGAGACTCCCTGTCTGCACGAGCGAGTGCTTCAAGCCCTCCTCGCCCAGGGTATCATACGCGGTGACGATGACCAGCGACTGAGAAGCAGCTCCGTGAGACATGAGCAGCCAGTGTGCACTACTAGAGTTATTTACCAATGCCAAAAGAAAGAACTTGTTTGTACCCACCTGGTCGCTCCGTAGAGGTGAATCATGTCATCCTTCTGCAGACCCAGCTTACGAAGGCCACTCCCGAGCTGCAAAGCCATCTGCTCGTACTCGAGGAAGCTCTTGAAGGTGTACCCGCTCATCTCAAAGTAGGTCCACTTCTTGTCAACCTCCTGCTCGACGCCGTCCACGACCTTCTTGACCTTCTTGTTCTCTACATGGGTCTTGATCAGCCGGCGGCTGCCAACGGCCTTCGCGTTGCCGAACAACCTGGCGGATCGGCGGAAAACATCGTAGGTGGTTGCCACGTCGTCCGCGGGACGGGTGATGAGCTTGTCCTTGGCGGCAGGCAAGCGACGAGGGATAGTCTCTCCCTCCTTTGGTTCGTAACCCGACGCCTCGACCGTGAAGGGAGGCTTCTTGGACATGCGCGGGTGCAGATGGACGTCTGATTTCGACATTTTTTTTTTGCTGCTGGTCTTTCGATCCTGAACTAGAAGAACAAGATTCTACAAGAAAAAAAAAAGTCATCATCAGCGAGAAGCCAGAATAAAAAAGAAAAGAAAAGAAAAGGCCACATGCCCCCCAGCGCAGCTCTGGCTCGACACCGAGGGCAGGCGAAGAAGAGCAGAGCAGAGGAACAATAACACAGCAACGTACCAGTATCCCAACAAGGCAAACAACGGATATTTCGCTCAGTACTCTCTGATGAAGAGCAGACGAGGGCAGTCGAGGGAAGAAGAGAAGGGGGTGGGGAGGCAGACGAGAAGAAGAAGAAGAAGAAGAAGAAGAAGAAGCCCGGGGCACAGCAGTAAGCTAGAGCCTAAAGGCTAACAACAGCTATGAAGTCAGCGGTGATGAAGCAGGCGTACCCGGAGTCCCGTGTGGCTGGAGTCAAAATAATTAATGCAGTTATGAACGGCCAATAGATTTAATCTCACAGTTGCTACGTAGGCACCAGAGAATGAATAAGAGAGGTTTCTACTTAGAACTACATACTCTGTAGTTTAGATGACAGATATTATTTAATATCAACTATCTAATATCTTAATCTTTCTATTACTCTACTCCATATTATTAGCATGTCAATTAAGAGTGAGTCTGACCGCACGGTTAAGTGCCCCTGGTAAACAGCAGGCGGTCAATTGCAGCAGATTCAATCTGACCGTGTACCTGAAATAAGGACAAATTCTGGTAACTACTGTAGCACTCGAGAGAACGAGGTGTATTTGTATTCGTATAGCTTAACATACTGTAATAAGGAGTATAGAATTGAACCACGTAATTAGTACGGAGTGCAAATTGTCCGACGTACGGAGTACTCAGGAGATAGTACATGTTCCACTGCGGTCATAGTCTGAGATTCAGGTACACTACAGACACAGACACAGACTTAGACTATAGACTCTAGACTACAGTCTACAGTTGCCTAGGTTGAAGTCACCATGACTCTCGTCGACATCCTGAATACAATCGGCACCGAAGTCGAAGATGCCGAAGAAGGTACTATCCCCTATCCCTATCCATCCCTGTCAAAGGTTAGGGGGGGGGGGGGGGGGGAAACTAGTCCACCAGCTGACGATAGTAGAATCGTTCCTCCTCTTCTCGCAAGACATTCCCTCGAGCAACCTCGGCTTTGTGGACTCGCGCGCCTCCAGCGTGGAAATAACTATCAACGAAACAGAATACACCATCCGCCAGTCTCCTACCATTCTTTCATCGGCACGAGGGGGGGGGACAACCGGCGCAGGTAATCACTACCATCCACTACCATCCAGAACACTGAACTACTCCATAATCTATGAGTCTACTCCATACTCTGATAAATGTTAATAAGCAGTCCTGTGGAAAATCACCCCCCGGCTCGCCTCATGGCTCACCTCCCCGAACCCCCTGTGGAAAAATGACCTGTTGACCTCCTCTTCGGCCGTGGTCGAGCTCGGCTGCGGTATCTCCCCGCTCGTGGGCTTGAGTGTAGGTTCGCGTGTGGGCTCCTACCTAGCTACAGACCAGGAATACGTCCGGAAGCTATTCATGGAAAACATCACGCAAAACACAACCACAACCATGAAGACAAGAACAAAAACTAAGACTAAAAGTAAACATGCATCGACCCTCTCGTTTACAAGTTTGGATTGGGAACGCGATGATCCCTCCTCCCTCTCGAAAGAAGGGTTCGACCTCCTCCTCTCCTGCGACTGTGTCTACAACGAGGCTCTCGTCAAGCCCTTTGTGCGCACCTGTGCGGATATCTGTCGGCTTCGGAGTCGCGAGTCTGATTCCGCGGATCATCATCATCACCACTCCCGGCCTACGCTTTGTCTGATTGCGCAGCAGCAGCGTGTCCCGGACGTGTTTGAAACGTGGTTGAAGGAGACGATGCACCTGTTTCGTGTTTGGAGGCTCGAGGATCATCATGTCTTGGGTTCCGGGTTGGGGTTGGGGAGTGGCTATTTGCTTCATTTACTGGTTTTGAAGACAGCTCTATAGTCTATTTATACTATTTATACTATACTATTTATACTATTTATACTATTCAATTAATTATTATCTGTACTGTCTTTCTCCGGGCGTTCGGGGTCGATGATGGATGAGATGCTGTGTTTCGTCGATGGTGATCGGACAGCCGTACTGGTGCCGGGCTGACTAGTAGACTCGGTGGCAGAGACTATGGGGGCAGAGGCAATGGGCTCACACTCTGCGACAGGAACAGTGCTGCTGGTGGTGGTGGTGGTGGTGGTGGAAGTAGTCTCCGGCTCGGCCTTGACGGAGTATTCGCTGCCGGACGAATAGTCAAGTTCTTGCTGGTACCCATCCGCCGTCGACTCCAGCCGACTATCCTCCGTGGAGGCGCGCGGCGGGGTGGGAGCCGGGGCCAGCGGCGCGGCGGCATCAAAGACCACGCCGCAGACCTCGAGGGCGCGCGACTGGCTGCCCAGACTGCGGTCCTTGTGCTTCTTGGTGAGATGGCACATGAAGCCGTGCAGCGTGACAAAGTCTGCCTTGCCACACCCGGCCACAGGACACGTCAGGTACACCAGGTTGCCGTCTGACGGCCGTTTCCACAGCGCCCGGCCGTGCGGGTCGTGCGATGCCGGTCGGCCGTGTCGCTCGCCCCAGGCCTCCACATTCTTGATGGTATATTTTTGCTTCCGGCGTAGGGTGGTGTGGAGATGATGGTGGTGATGCGGTGGCGGCGGAGGAGCGTGAGAAGCGTGAGAAGCGTGAGGAGGGTGAGGAGGAGCGTGAGGAGGGTGAGGAGGAGCGTGAGAAGTATGATGGGAATGAGAAGGATGATGAGGATGGCCGTTCGTGTTAGTTTTCATGCTGCCAACATGCGGATCTGGATGCTGCGGCGGCATCGGGGCAGGGGGTAGAGGAACCTGCAAGGCCGCCGGACGAGGCTCCTGCGGGCTCTGTTGCTTGAAAAAGGCGAGGGTTGTGGCGGCGCTGGTCTCGGACAGTCGACGAGGGGGGGTCGGACGCATTGGGGGGGATTCGATTGCCGCATTGTATAAGCCCATTGACTCGCGTTTGATCCGTTTTCGTTGCCGGCGGAGGTCCTAGCCAGTTAATAAATACAAGGAACGTTTTTTAGTTGAACACAGTCTTCGGTGTGTATATGTGTGTGTACCTCCTCCTCTGCTTCCGCGCTCTCTGTCACCCGTCTAAACTCCTCATCTTCTCGCTTGCGGATGGCCAGCAGATGGCTGCGAGCCGCCATACGGGCCGCCTCTTCATGCTCCAATTGCCGCAGCCGGCTCTCGATGTGATCGATCTGGCCGACAAGCGGAGCGACCGAGGCGGACGAGGACGACGGCTGCGGCGGCGGCGGTGGTGGTGGTGGTTGCGGGGGATTGGGCGGCAGCGGAGGCTCCTGGTGAAGGGGTGGCGGAGGACCAAAGGGACGGAAGGGCTGAGCGTGAATCAGATGGTCAGGGGCCAGAGGCGGCGGTGGGTTAGGATTGATGGCGATGGGGTGGAAGCGGGGGAGAGGAGGCATGTTGAGATGAGGCGGTGGATGATGATGGGCCGGGATGGACTCTGGCCCTTGGGGAGGCGGCACGGGGGGGAGAGCAGCGGCGGTCATCACTGAAAATTTAAAACAATAGAACGATTAATAATTTAACTCATCGAAAAGATACATTGATAAGATGAAGACGACTGAAGACAGAAGACAGAAGAAGCTATTGAATGGAAATTAAGTAGGTAAGAACTTACTGACCATAAGAATTATTTAGAAAAGATGATGCACGCCCGTTGGCTTTAGTAAATGTCCGTCAATCTTGATCTGACGCCAATGCAGAGCGGTCAACGGTGCAGCAAGGAGGGCGCGGATCGAAGAGCAAGAAAGGTCGAGGAGGAAGAAAGCAGGAAAAGAAAGAAGAGGTGATGTGATGGTGAGTGAAATGATGGATCAGTAAGATGACTAGTGGTTTCAGCTAGTGTGCATTAGACTGATATTATTGACTGACTATTTTTGATAAGAATAGATTCGTCAATAATGTCTTGGAAGTAGATGGTAATAGTATTGATTATATATTAGATACTAGGTACTTATAAATTATATAGAGCATAGAGTAGCTTTACTATATATTTATTACCTAGTAGGTACCTAGGTAGGTGCAATAATCCTGGTCTACAATCTCCAGTACCTTATTATGTTATTGTTATTGTGTACTATAGAATAGGAAAGAAAATATATTTCCAGTGGAGACAGCGCAGCCAGTCAGAATGACAGTATTGATAGTTAAACTTCTTATTATTATTAGCAGAGATTATTTAGAATTATTAATATTAGTTAATATAGTCAACCCCTAGCTCAGTCTAGATCTATGGGCAGCTTTTCCTATTGAGTAACTAATTCCTGCTCTATTAGACTTAATGAATTTCTATTTCTAACTAGTTAGTAAGTTCTTCTAACCTTAATAGCCCTACCAACTGTCCTAAAAATTGGCCACTTTCTTCTGCCCTGCTTGTCTCACCTAGACAGGATGGAGTAGCCGCCAACAGGTTTCGTGCAGTAGCAAAAAGGCTTACGGAGGAGAGTTCCCACTAGGTTATGTACTTATCAAGAGTAATAATCGCCGTCGTATTGATCAACACCTAACTCGTTCAAAAGCACCCACTCGTACTCGGGTCTCTATTAGATTAAATCACATGCCTTGCTTCGACACATCGCACCACTAGTTGGGTGGCTCGGTCCCACGCTATTCATTGCTCCCAATACAGACTGTGGATTACTTGGAGGTAGTGAATAAAGAGAGGAGTGTATTAGCATGCAGCCAGTCCTTTTTGCCCCAGCCGTATCTCATTAAATACAGATGTAGAAATCCGCTCGCAAGTACGGCGGAATACCCCAAACCACTCCGTACACCGAAAAAAACATCCAGAGTATGTGTACAGTATGCTTAGTAGATCAAGGAAATGAGAAAAAAAAAAGAGAGAAGGAAAAAAAAAAAAAAAAAAACACAAAGCTCTAGGCTGAAGGGGTGGGGGAAAAAATACACAAGAATGGGTGGTTAACCCATTCTTAAAAAAAATAAGAAAAAAAAAAAGAGACTCAACGTGAGTGTAAGAGAGTGAGAGAGAACTCAAGCTTACTGCTTGTTCTCACCCTCGGGCTGCTGCTGCTGCTGCTCGGCCTGGGAAGCCTGCTCCTTCTGCGCCTTGTGCATCTTGTCGAACAGGTTCAAGCTGGCGTTCTGCAGCTCGTCGGTCTTCTGCTTGAGCTCCTCGGCGGTGGCAGTACCCTCGCCGGACTGGTTCTTGACAACGAACTCGCGCAGGGTGGCGATCTTCTCACGGATCTGCTCGGCCTCAGCCTTGTCCAGGCGGTCCTCGAACTCCTTGAGCGCCTTCTCGGTGTCGTTCAGGACACTGTCGGCCCGGTTGGCGGCCTCGATGGCAGCCTTGCGCTCCTTGTCCTGCTCGCCGTACTTCTCGGCATCCTCGACCATGTTCTGGATCTCCGAGTCGGAGAGACCGGAGCCCGAGGCGATGGTGATCGACTGGTCCTTGCCGGTGGACTTGTCCTTGGCACCGACGTGCACGATCGAGTCGGCATCGATGTCGAAGGTGACCTCGATCTGGGGCACGCCACGGTGGGCGGGGGGGATGCCGACCAGCTGGAAGTTGCCGAGCATCTTGTTGTCCTTGACCAGCTCACGCTCACCCTGGAAGACCTTGATCTCGACGGCGGTCTGGAAGTCGGCCGCGGTGGAGAAGGTCTGGGACTTCTTGGTGGGGATGGTGGTGTTGCGGTTGATCAGACGGGTGAACACACCGCCCAGGGTCTCGATACCGAGGGAGAGGGGGGTGACATCGAGGAGGAGGACATCGGTCACGTCACCGGCCAGGACGGCACCCTGGATGGCGGCACCCATGGCGACAGCCTCGTCGGGGTTGACCGACTTGGCGGGCTCACGGCCAAACAGGCTCTTGACGGACTCGGTGACCTTGGGCATACGGGTCATACCACCGACCAGAATGATGTCCTGGACATCGCTGGACTGGAGGTTGGCATCCTTCAGGGCCTTGCGGACGGGCTCGATGGTGCGGTTGATGAGGGGGTCGACGAGAGACTCGAGCTGGGCACGGGTCATCTTCAGGTTGATGTGCTTGGCGCCGCTGGCATCAGCGGTGATGAAGGGGAGGTTGATCTCGGTCTGGAGGGAAGAGGACAGCTCGATCTTGGCCTTCTCGGCGGCCTCACGGATACGCTGGATGGCCATGCGGTCACCCGAGAGGTCCAGGCCGGACTCCTTCTTGAACTGCTGGACGATGTGACGGACGAGGGAGATGTCAAAGTCCTCACCACCCAGGTGGGTATCACCGTTGGTGGACTTGACCTCGAAGACACCCTTCTGGATCTCGAGGACGGAGATATCGAAGGTACCACCGCCCAGATCGTAGACAGCGACGACACGGTCGCTCTGCTTCTCGAGACCGTAGGCCAGGGCAGCCGCGGTGGGCTCGTTGACGACACGCAGGACGTTAAGACCGGCGATCTGACCGGCATCCTTGGTGGCCTGACGCTGGGAGTCGTTGAAGTAGGCGGGCACGGTCACGACAGCGTTCTTAACGGGCTTGCTCAGGTAGGCCTCGGCGGTCTCCTTCATCTTGTTGAGGACGAAGCCACCGATCTGGGAGGGAGAGTACTTCTGGCCACGAGCCTCAACCCAGGCGTCACCGTTGCTGTGCTGGACGATCTTGTAGGGAACCTCCTTGATGTCACGCTGGACCTCAGCGTCGGTGAACTTGCGTCCAATAAGACGCTTGGTGGCGAACAGAGTGTTCTCCGGGTTGACAACAGCCTGACGCTTGGCAGCAATACCGACAAGGCGCTCACCATCCTGGGCGAAAGCGACAACCGAGGGCGTTGTGCGGGCACCTGATTGATACGTTGTCAGTTTTCTTGCTTTTATTTTTTTTTTATCTCCAAGCTCTGACCACTTGGTCGCAAGGGGAGGGAAAAAAAATTTTCTTTCTTCACATACCTTCGGCGTTCTCGATGATCTTAGGAGTCTTGCCCTCCATGATAGCAACAGCGGAGTTGGTGGTACCTAGAAAAATAATTAGCTTCTTCAATTCCCCTTCTGTTTTGTTTTGAAAAGACAGTCATACCCAGATCGATACCGATAACCTGGCCCTTGACCTTCTCCTCACCACCCTCTGTCGAGTTCCATCTCCGGAAAGAAGCACCGGGGACTCTGAGTGTGGAAGGGCGAGCCAGAGAGGCAGAGCGCGGGACCTAAAGTAAACAAGACGACGATGATCAGCGAGGTTGTCCCTGCGAGCGCGTGCTAGACTGGGGGCAAAACTTACGGCGCGAGCGAAGCGAGAGGACAACATTGTGTAAGAATTAGGTAGAAAACTAGTACAAGAAGACGAAGAGAGCCCTAGACGATACAATCGAAGGGATGAAGATGGATGGATGGAAAAATAGGGAGATGATGGAAGAAGAACGGAGTGAGGATGGGGAGGAATAAGGAGAGGTAGATGGATGGGTTTTTTCCAAAGCAAGAAGGGGAGAAGGAGCCGGGTAGAAGTAAAAATTGCACGGAGAGCTTCGGCCCGCCGTCGAAGACTGTAGAATCACCTCCAACCAATGAGAAGCAGTGTCCGAGCTAGGAGCGCCCCAGTGGCCACCGCAGCTCAAGCTGGACTCGCCGACAAACGGAGTTTTCCTTGGTCTGAGGCTCAAGATATTCTAATATGTAGTATATGTAAGGTAGTAAAGGGACTACTTTAATGGATATGATTTTAATATTATATTACTAGTGTCAGATAGTACTAATTTCTGGTGAGAAGGGTAATGAAGTGATATATATCATTAGAATGATGGAGAAAGTACTAGGTAGTCAATAACTAATACTATAGTTACTCTGTAAATTCTTCCTACTTTAGATAAAGCCGAATAATAGTACTTCTTAGTAGCAGTATACCAGCAAAACAAACCAGGATCAATATTAATCCCAGACCGTTGCTACCAGGTAATTACTCCAGACATACCTAGTAGGTTAGGTATCGTAGCCGTCTTCCCGTCCTGGCAAGCGCCCAAGTGACACCAAATATCGACACCTCAGGCTCCACGTACGCTTCGGGAATAGGAAACCAATGAGACACGTGATGTTAGCAATTACCTTCGGGAGAAACTGGATACTCCTACAGACTACCTAACGGTAGGTACTCTGTACACTGTACAGTACTTTCATTCCACCTCATCGATAGCCACCTAGGGTAATAACAATAGGTGCGCACTCATTGCTCACAGCCTGACACTCTTATCACACCACCGACTCTAGCCGATGCTCGGTCGTCCCAACAGTTAGTGCCTCGGACTGCTCCCTCGCATCCCCGGATTGGGACTCTCGCACCGTGTGTCAAGTCTTACGTCATCCGCGCTGGCCCTCCGAAGTAGGAGAGAAGCGCCTGCGGCAAAACGCTGGGCGAGTTCGAGCCCCGATAAGTAATCCTGGGAAATCAGACTACCACCTCTGGCCTACTCGTGTCCCCGTCCCCCTCTCCAACCGCTCCCGCCATGTCCTCTGTCGTTTGAACGCGGCGCTCAGTCACCATGACCCTGGAAACTGCGCTTCTGTCTGTTGCATCCTCCCCGTGGGTGTGAGCTGTGTGCTTCTTGCGTGCTGGTTGCTGACCTCGCTCTCTTGGCCTCCCCAATAGACATCGCCCTACCGAGTCGCTAATCCTTCCAACCAAACGCCGATTTTTCCCTCTCAAGATCCCGAACTTGTACGTTGGCCTCGCTCTTTTTCTGCTTGACATGTCGATGCTTGGTCTTTTGATGGCTTCTCGCTGACATAGGACCTCCGCTCCTTGCTTTCCCCCGCGATCTGTAGCCATCAGCAACTGCGTCATTATATCAGTACCGCCGACCCAGATCGGGTCTACCTCGTGGCCGACCGCGTCGTCTATGCGATTCACATATCCTCCCGCAAACGAGAGACAATCGCGGTCATCCCCTTTGAGCCAAAATGTCTCGCTGCTGGCTGCGGCTGGATCGGTGTCGGCGGCTCAGATAATGGGGAGTGCGCCTTCATCAGAGTCTCCGACCGCAGCTCCACGCGCCTCGCCGCCAGCCACCCCTCGCCTTCGCGCCACTCGGACTTTGACAACACTACTCTGCCCCTTGATCTGGATATCCCATCCAGAGCCTCATCGCCGTGGATTAATCATGACCAGCCCGATCCCACTCGTCGAATGCGCCGACGACAGTCCCCCGAAATCCAGCTTCACCGGTTTGGAGGCACTATCGTGAACTCGGTCTCCATTCACCGTTTACCAGGAGATAATAGAGGCCTTGCTGATGAGGAAGTCATGGTTCTGAGGTGATTTCTCTCTCTCTCTCTCTCTCTCTCTCTCTTTCTTTCTTTCCTTCCTTTTTTTTTGAGTTTGATTTCCCCCGACCTCTGCTCACGTGGTTCGGCTTGAAGCAACAATGACAGGACCGTGACCATCTACTCCCTGACTCGAGCAAAAGTTTTGAAAGTGCTTCATCACCCGGCATCGATGAACTATGCCGCCATATCGCCGGACTCGACGATCCTGGCTGCAGTTGGTGATGAATCTCACGTGTACTTCTACGCCATCGTTCGCGACATGAGCTCCAGTGTGCTGGCAGATAACGGACAGAGACTTACCGCGTGGGATTGGACCTTGATCCAGTCCGTCGATATGGACATCACAACCAGCCGCAATGATGAAGCGTGCTGCTTCACCGTCGCCTTTTCCCCCTCGAACCATCTTTGCGCCGTCGGGGCGCAGTCTGGAGTCATTTACGTCTTCAACGTGAAGACGATCCGTGACAACAAAGATGCCGAGGAGCCACAGGATCCAGTTGTATGCGCGTTCCGTTCTTCCAGGTCCTACTATGACGGCGGTGCCGTTCGGTGCATGACATTTTCTCCCGAGCCCTGGGACTTGTTGGTCTGGATGGAGGACCACGGCAGAGCAGGGGTCGCCGATGTGCGCCAGGCGTTTGTACGTCGGCAGATCATCCAGTTGGATTATGATGAACCAGGACTGCAGCAAGTGCGCACCGAGCCCATCCTGACGGATTCGACCCTCGATAGCCGGGGTTTCTCCGACTCGCGTTTCGACTGGGACGTCACGCCCCAGGCCATGCTGGACATGATCGACAGCCCAACCATCGACCATGAGGGCGAAGGGTCCGATCGCCACTCTTTGCGCGAGAATCTACTACAGGACCTCACGGAGAGAGAGAGGCTGATTGTTGAATTTCTCAACACCGCGCGCTGGTCGTCTCGAGGAGAAGAAGGATATCCGGAGCGCCCCGCGCGATCCAACGCTACTCCATATTCTGCCAACCGTCCTCCCCCCCCCCCTCAGGGTCCCACTGAGAGTAGCACCAGTGCTAGAGCATCTCGCCCGACTTCGCCCATACAATATAATGATGCCCTTCACGAGCTCTTTCGGGAGAGCTATCTGGGCCGGATGGGTGCCCTGGACCGCGGCATGAATTCCCGGCGTCCAGGCTCCGTGGTTCTCTCGCAGAACCATCGCGGCACGAACCATAGATCTCCAGAAACCTCTGAGATGCTCACCGACGTTCAACCCAGCGTCACCTTGAGCTGGACCGCATCACCCTCCGAGCTGCTACCCACCGACTCGGACGCTTCACGCACGGCGGATTCCCAGCACCCGGTCGAATCGGGCACTTCCAGTACCGACGTCCTCAATAATAATAATAATAATAACAACAACAACAATAACACGGCCACCCGCCCACACGAGGCCGCGACTCGACCCCGCGTCGTCTTGGACACCACGATCCCCGCGCCAGAGACCCTCTCCCGACAACGATCACAACGAAGCCCTAATCCATCTCGACCGCCAGAGCCACGCGGCTCCGATGCGAGACCCGAACGGCATCGTCTACTCGACTCTGAGCTCCGAGCGAACGTGGCGGCGGAGCGCCTTCGACGTCAGCGCCAATCCAATCCCGACCAACAAATCCACGGCCTTACCAGCCAGTGGGAGCAACGTTATCGACAGCAGCTTATGGGTTTCGAGCAGACCCGTTCCCCGCGGTCGATTCGGAACATTCTGAATGAGCTCCCAGAACGTCGCACGCGAAATAACTATCGAGACGAAGAGCCCAGCGGTACCGCGGGACTGGGATTTGGCGCCGACGGGAGGACACTGTGAGTTGCCACTTATATATATATATATATATCTTGTCTATCTTGTTATTGACAGTTCCTCTAGGTACATTGGCAGTGTCCAGGGAATCTTTGAATTCCAGCTGAATATCCATGACCGTAAGACCTTCCCGATCTTTTCTTACCGATGACTTGCCTAGTCGAACGCTTAACGAGTTGATGTCTTGCGCTTTTTCTTTTTTCGTTTTTCTTTTCCCCTTCCTTCCCTTGCATATGGTTGCACATTCTGACAATGGACTCCTCCCTCTGTCTTTTTCATACATAATGGTCTGCCCCTTATACTCCCTACCTACATACCTAACCTACCATGTTGACCACCTCTTAACCTGTTTACTGGATATATGAATACTATCCATATTGGCCCCGGATTCTCGAAGATACCACTTCCATTCTGCATGCGTTGATGTTCTCTTTTTCCTTTCCCGTGGCGATAGTTTTTCTACCCTGGAGATTATAGCCTATAACTACGAGCCGTTTGACCTGGCTGATCATATTCTGCATCTGCTTTGGGCGTGATTGGATCCTATTTTCTTTTTTTTCTCTGGTTGTTTTACCTTTTTTTTTTTTTTTTTTTTTTTTTTTTTTTTTTTTTTTTTTTTTTTTTTTTTTTTTTTGTTGTATTGCTAGCGATGGCGCCAAAAAGTTGAGTTTGGAATACAGACTCTTATAAAGCATACTTGATGATAATTAGCCAAGATCAACTTGTAGTAAATATCGACCTTCTGCACTCCTCAATAATTCTCCTCTTCACTGCTACATCTAACTAACTACTAGTTATCTAACTATCTATTAACTAACTATTCACTAACTTACTATTATTATTCTTGCCCCACGTAATGTGGTCTTTACTGCCATTAAATGCCGCCTACCCGGTTTATGCTGCCCATCGCCGTCTTGAACACTTCTCTCACTTGCTCTCTCTCTCCCCTGAACAATCCTGGTATGCTGGGTAGTTGTGATAACCTCTTTATTCTGCAGGGAGCTGTCTAGTCGCCAGCTGTTTTATCGGTCTTCATCATTCGAACCGGTGGGAATCTCTCTATACATCTCAACACACTGCTCGATTGACCAAAAAAGCCGGCAGTCTCGCTCGAGGCAGAGCTCATGGCGGCATCTCTAGCTACGGCCTTGTCGCAGCTCAAGCTGGACGCTCAGCAGGTCAGGACACCCGATTTCGATGCCCGGCTTGTGGAGGAGGAAAGCGGGGGGGCGTATGCGCACACCCAGAGGCCTCGCAAGAGGGTCCGACAGGACGCAGAGGCGCTCAAGGCGGAATTGGAGCGTGATTTCCTGACTCCATCGCCTCGGTTTAGTCCCGAATGGCTGAATCGACTACAGAGACGCTGGGATGTACCGACAGATTACACCGACCTGTTTGATGTGGCTGCAACCCAGACACGGACTGTCACCCGGTTCACCCGCGAGGGCCTTGAGGGTCGTGTTACTGGCTATGTGGAGGTGACGGTTCCTGCTGCGAGTGCGACGGCCAAGAACTCGACGTCCTTGCTGCGTCGGCCGGCTGGCCGTGCCGACTTTGTCCGGGGGGCGGCTGGGTTTTTCCCCTTCGCGCCCGGTGGACTGGATGGCGTCGAAGCCCTTGCTGCCATGGAATCGGAGGCGCAGGCGGCCGAACAATCGCGGTTGGGCGGGGCCAAGCAGTCGGGTCTCGATCGCATTATCAACTTCAATACGGAAGACGGGTTGCTGGAGATCCCGCCCGGATTCTCTCGTGGGTTGAAGTTTGAGAAGGCCAAGTCTACGGAAGCTGATCAAGAGGTGGAAGCCACCCTCCAAGAAGAGGAAGTGGTGGGATCTTCTCGCGAAGACGAGGAGGCCATCCCGGGGGCTGAAGAGAAGGGCAAGACCGAGGAAGACGAAGATGTCAGCGAGGGTGAGGAAGAAGACATAGATACCCTATTGCCTGTTGAATTTCCATCACTGGAGCCTCGTGCGCCGCTTCTCTCTACCATCGCGAAGAAAGGTGGGAAGGAATGGGCCCATGTGGTCGATGTCAACAAGGATATCCCGAACTTTAACGAATTGGTGCCCGACATGGCTAGAGAATGGCCCTTTGAGCTGGATACATTCCAGAAGGAAGCCGTGTATCATCTCGAAAACGGCGACTCGGTCTTTGTTGCTGCCCATACGTCTGCGGGGAAGACGGTCGTCGCTGAATATGCCATCGCTCTGGCTGCGAAGCATATGACCAAGGCCATCTATACATCGCCCATCAAAGCCCTGAGTAACCAGAAGTTCCGGGATTTCCGGACCACCTTTGACGACGTTGGTATCCTTACAGGTGATGTCCAGATCAACCCGGAGGCAAGCTGTCTGATCATGACGACCGAAATTCTTCGCAGTATGCTCTATCGCGGCGCTGATTTGATCAGAGATGTGGAATTCGTCATCTTCGACGAGGTTCACTATGTGAACGATCTGGAGAGAGGCGTGGTCTGGGAAGAAGTCATCATCATGCTTCCAGAGCATGTTACCCTGATCCTTCTCTCCGCCACCGTTCCTAACACGTACGAGTTTGCCTCCTGGGTTGGACGGACAAAGAAAAAGGACATCTATGTCATTTCCACGGCCAAGCGTCCTGTCCCGCTAGAGCACTACCTATGGGCTGGACACAACAAGCACAAGATTGTGGACTCCAACAAACGATTCCTGGAGCAAGGCTGGAAATCGGCAGATGAGATCCTGTCAGGAAGAGACAAAGTCAAGGCCCAGAAGGCTGCTGAGGCTCAGGCCCAGTCTCAGGCCCATCAATCCCAACGCGGCGGCGGCGGCCCTCAAGGCAGAGGGCGAGGCCCGGGTCCTGCTCGAGGTGCTGGTGGTCGCGGCGGTGGTGGTCAACGAGGAGGAGGCGGCGGCGGGGGTGGTGCACAGAGAGGCGCACCGCAGAGGGGTAGAGGACAACCGTCCAACAGAGGAACCGGAAACATCGCCAGAACCGGTCGTGGAGGCGGTCGCACTACGGTCGCTCAGGACCGTAACATCTGGGTACACCTGGTTCAACATCTTCGCAAGGAGAATCTCCTTCCCGGCTGTATCTTTGTCTTCTCGAAGAAGCGATGCGAAGAGAACGCCGACTCGCTTTCGAAGCAGGATTTCTGTACCGCTTCTGAGAAGAGTCTGATCCACATGTTCATCGAGAAGTCCCTTACTCGTCTGAAACCAGAGGACCGGTCCCTGCCGCAGATTCTTCGCCTTCGTGAGCTCCTCAGCAGAGGTATCGCGGTTCACCACGGTGGTCTCTTGCCGATCATGAAGGAGATCGTGGAGATTCTTTTCGCCAAGTCGCTGGTCAAGGTCCTGTTCGCCACCGAAACGTTTGCCATGGGCCTCAATCTGCCTACACGCACCGTCGTCTTCTCCGGATTCCGCAAGCATGATGGTAAGGGCTTCCGAGACCTGCTGCCTGGCGAGTACACGCAGATGGCTGGTCGTGCTGGGCGACGAGGCCTCGACACGGTAGGCTATGTAATTATCGTGACCAGTGGTCGCGATGAGGCGCCTCCAGTGGGTGCGCTGCGACGGATGATCCTGGGCGACCCGACGAAGCTCCGATCCCAATTCCGGCTTACATACAATATGATTCTCAACCTGCTCCGCGTCGAAGCTTTGAAGATCGAAGAAATGATCAAGCGGAGTTTCAGCGAGAATGCAACCCAGGCACTGTTACCTGAACATGAAAAACAGGTCCAGCTGTCCGAAGCTAGTCTGGCCAAGATCAAGCGCGAGCCGTGCTCAATCTGCGACATCGACCTTGCCAACTGCCATCAGGCAGCGATCGAGTATGAGAAGCTAACCGGCGAGCTCAATCTCGGGTTGCTTGCGTCTCCAGTGGGACGACGTCTTTTTATCCCCAAACGACTCGTCGTGTACCGAAAGGTAAGTTTCTCCTTCTCCTCCTCCTCCTCCTCCTCCCCCCCCCCATCTCCTACAGGATTCACCAATTCTAATAACTCCCGCTTTAAGCAGGAGGGACTTCGAACGGCCGGCATCGTGGTCAAGGAAGGGGTCAGCGGCGGGACGACTCCAAGCATCCAGGTCCTTGAGATCGGCACGTTGAGCAGTAGACGTCATCCCAGCGATATCCTTCCCTTTACCCCGGCATTCCGTCACTTGTTGCAGCCGCTGCCTACCCGCGCTGCCGACATGACGCTCAAGGTCTGCCGAGTGCCTATCCAGGACCTGGAATGCGTCACCAAGACCTTGATCAAACTCGGGGGCCCTATCTGGTACCTCAACATTAAAAAGGGTGAGCTAAGAACAAGGGTTTACATTTTTGAGATGAGAAAAACAAACAAAAACGGCTGATAACCTGGACTATAGAAGCAGCCAAGTATGCCGATAAAGAGTTGTCGAAACTGTGCGCCTCTTGGACCAATCCTGTCTGGGACGAGGTAGACTACGAGCGGATCAAAGAACTTCAAGTCCGGGACATTCTCGAGAAACGACAGGCGCAGATCAACATTGCGCAGTCTTGCAAATCTCTCGAGTGTCCAACCTTTTTGGCGCACGTAGGTGTTCCCTTCAAACATCGAGAACGATGTATCAGACTTTTTTTTTTTTTTTTGCTAAGAAAACAAACCTTGAATAGTTCGAGATGCAACACGACGAATGGCAGGTCAAGGAAAACATCAACCAGCTTAAGCAACTCATGTCCGACCAGAACCTACAACTGCTACCGGACTACGAGCAGCGAATCTTCGTTCTCAAGGAACTCGGGTTCATCGACGACCATTCGCGCGTTCAGTTGAAAGGCAAGGTGGCCTGTGAGGTGAGAGCTGCCACTCGAATCCACTCTTTTGATATGGGATAACACATGCTAATTCGGCCCCAAAAAATAAAAGATCCATTCGGCCGATGAGCTGGTGTTGACGGAGCTGATCCTAGAGAACGTGCTGGCGGAATTCGAGCCGGAAGAGATTGTGGCCTTGCTGTCGGCGTTTGTCTTCCAAGAGAAGACAGAGAACGTGCCGACGCTGACGCCGCGGCTGGAAAAGGGCAAGGAGGCGATCATCCGGATCTCCGACAAGGTCAACGACTTCCAGGTGCTACACCAGGTGATCCAGTCGAGCGAGGACCAGAACGACTTTGCCAGCAAGCCACGCTTCGGCCTGGCGGAGGTGGTGTACGAGTGGGCCAAGGGCATGTCGTTCAACCGCATCACCGACCTGACCGACGTGATGGAGGGCACCATCGTCCGCACCGTCAGCCGGCTGGACGAGACGTGCCGGGAGGTCAAGAACGCGGCCAAGCTGGTGGGAGACCCGACGCTGTACACCAAGATGCAGCAGGCGCAGGAGTTGATCAAGCGCGACGTGATCTTTGCGGCATCGCTGTACATGTGAGAAAACCCAATAAATACCTTATTATTACCTACCACCACCACCACCACCTTACTTGGCTGTGGAGCCGTAGCAGACGTAGATCAGTGCAGTCTCTCCCAGAGGCTGATTTATCAATTTGTGTGGGCGGCCTCTGATTAGCCACGGCCGAGCGCGGGGCGGAAAATCCACGAGAGAAAACCAAACCAGAGCGTTTCTCTTGCACACAACCACCAGGTCCTTCTGCGCTTCCCCTCTCACCTCCCCCCCTCTTCTCGCCTCTTTTTCTCCTCCCCCTCGAAAACGGGCCACCGGGGGACCCCTTGATATCTGACGACTTTCTGGCGGGGGTCCGTTGGCAGGAGCGACGAAGATGGATGTGGCAGCGCTCCGAGACCGCATACAGTCGACCCTCGACGCCAATGCGGATACGAGACGTCAGGCGGAGTTGGACTTGAAATACGTGGGTGGAGTGAAAAAGCCAGGCTGCAGGGATTCAGGAAGCTGATTTTTTTTTTATTGAACAGGCCGAAAACCAACCGGGTTTTATCAACGCGTTGCTGGATATTCTCCAGGCGGAGCAGAACAATGCCGTCCAGCTATCGGGTAACCCCTCACCAACCTAAAAAAAATCAAAAAATTAGAAAAAGAGAGAGAGAAAAAAAGTCTTGTGTTGTTCAACGAAAATAACCGATTTCTATCTAGCTGGTGTGTATCTTAAGAACCGGGTGAACCGTGGATGGGCTCCTGTCGAGGACTCGCCGTCACGCCGCCCCATCCCCGACGAGGAGAAGCCTGCCTTCCGCGAACGCCTGATCCCCGTCCTGGCCTCGTCGCCGCCTAACGTGCGCGCCCAGCTGGTTCCTTTACTGCAGAAGATCCTGCAGCACGACTTCCCCGAGCAGTGGCCGGGGTTCCTGGACATCACGCTGCAGCTCCTGGGCGGCAACGATGCCAACTCCGTCTACGCTGGGCTGCAGTGCCTGCTGGCCATCTGCCGTGTTTACCGCTTCAAGGCGGGCGAGAAACGCGAGGAGTTTGACAAGATCGTCGAGCATTCTTTCCCCCAGCTGCTCAATATCGGTACCAAGCTTGTCGATGAGGAGAGCCTGGAGGCCGCCGAAATGCTCCGCATTGTCGTCAAGTCTTATAAGCATGCCATCTACGTGGGTTTTCAAGGGAGAGAGAGAGGGAGAGAGAGAGCGATGGAAGCAGAAGGATTATGTCGCTGACGGATTTTTCCATAGTTCGAATTGTCTCCTCATCTCCAAACCCACCAGGCAACCGTCGACTGGTGCACGCTGTTCCTGCGGATCGTGGCCAAGCAGCCTCCTGCCAACGCAATGATGGAATCCAAGGAGGAGCGGGAGCTTAATCACTGGTGGAAGTGCAAGAAGTGGTCTTATGCCAACTTGAACCGCCTTTTCATCCGGTGGGTAGAAGAGACAGAGAGAGAAAGAGAGAGAGAGAGAGAAAGGGAATGAAAAGCTAATTGTGTATACAGGTACGGAAACCCGACTACGATGACCAAGTCCAGCCAGCCCGATTACACCCAATACGCCAAGATGTTCATCGGCACCTTCGCCCCGGAGATTCTCAAGGGATATCTGCAGGAGATCGAAAAGTGGGTGTCGAAGACCCAATGGCTCAGTAACCCCGCGTTAGCCTATACCATGATCTTTTTGGAGGAGTGCGTTAAGCCCAAGGCCATGTGGGACCACCTCAAGCCACACATGGAGAACCTGATCGCCCACTTCATCTTCCCGATCCTGTGCCAGTCGGACGAGGACATCGAGCTCTTCGAGACCGATCCGTCCGAGTACCTCCACCGCAAGCTGAACTTTTACGAGGAGGTTTCTGCCCCGGATGTGGCCGCCACAAACTTCCTGGTATCGCTCACCAAGAGCCGCAAGAAGCAGACCTTCTCCATCCTGACTTTCGTCAACGGCGTGGTCAGCAAGTATGAATCGGCCCCTGATGACCAGAAGCAGCCCCGCGAGAAGGAGGGCGCCTTGCGGATGATCGGTTCCCTCGCATCCGTAATCCTCGGCAAGAAGAGCCCGATCGCCAACCAGGTCGAGTACTTCTTCGTCCGCCACGTCTTCCCGGAGTTCCGCAGCCCGCACGGCTTCCTCCGTGCTCGGGCCTGCGACACGCTGGAGAAGTTCGAGCAGCTCGACTTCAAGGATCCCAACAACCTCATGATCATCTACAGGAACATCCTCGAGTCGATGACCGATCCCGAGCTGCCCGTTCGTGTCGAGGCCGCGCTAGCCCTGCAGCCGCTGATCCGCCACGACATCATCCGTACCTCCATGCAGCAGAACATTCCTCAGATCATGCAGCAGCTCCTCAAGCTCGCCAACGAGGTCGACGTCGATGCCCTGGCCAACGTCATGGAGGACTTTGTGGAGGTCTTCTCGGCTGAGCTCACCCCGTTCGCGGTGGCGTTGAGCGAGCAGCTGCGCGACACCTACATGCGCATCGTGGGCGAGCTTCTCGAGCGCAACGCGGCCAAGGGCGATGATGATGGCTACGGTGACTTCCTAGACGACAAGAGCATCACCGCTTTAGGTGTCTTGCAGACCATCGGCACGCTCATCCTGACCCTCGAGAGCACACCTGACGTGCTGCTCCACTTGGAGACCATCCTGATGCCCGTCATCTCCATCACCCTGGAGAACAAGCTGTACGACCTGTACAACGAGGTGTTTGAGATCATCGACAGCTGCACGTTTGCCGCCAAGTCCATCTCCCCGACCATGTGGCAGGCGTTCGAGCTCATCCACAAGACCTTCAAGGCCGGCGCTGAGCTGTACCTGGAGGACATGTTGCCCGCGCTGGACAACTACGTCGCGTACGGCTCTGAGACAATGGTGCAGCACCCTGCCTACCTCGCCGCGGTCGTCAGCATGGTCGAAGACATTTTCCGGGATGAAAAGGTTGGTGGCGTGGACCGGATATGCGGCTGCAAGCTGGCCGAAACGGTCATGCTCAACCTGCGCGGTTGCATCGACCAGTACATCCCGACTTTCATCGAGCTCGCGATGACGGTCATCGATGCCGAGGAGGCCAAGACCAAGTCGTACCGCATGCACCTGATGGAGATGGTCATCAACGCCATCTACTACAACCCCCTGCTCGCCCTGCAGTACCTTGAGTCCAAGGGCTGGACCAACAAGTTTTTCAGCACCTGGTTCTCCAATATCGATAACTTCCGTCGTGTCCACGACAAGAAACTGTCCATCGCCGCCATCAGTTCCCTCCTGACTCTCAAGGCGGAGAATGTCCCGACCAGCGTTCAGCAGGGTTGGCCCCGTCTGCTGCAGGGCGTGACCCGACTCTTCCAGACTCTTCCCGCCGCCATGAAGAGTACGTCTCTCTTTCTCCCCCCCCTTTTTTTTACCCTAACTGTGACATCATAGCTAATTTTGATAGACCGTGAGGAGGCTACTAAAGAGTCCGACTTCACATTTGATGACGAAGATGACCTCGACGATGAGGAAAACGACTGGACTGGTGATGTTGAATGGACCGACCAGGACGAAGCTGAGGCTACCGGAGCTGACGGTGACATTGCCGACGAGAGCGCCGCGTACCTCGACTTCCTCAACCAAGAGGTAATATTTTTTTTTTCTCTTCTCGGACTTCTATCAATACAGAAATAAAAATCTGACTTGCGTAGGCCCAGAAGTTTGGATCCTTTGCAGACGATGATGACGATGAACTGGACGAAGAGAGTCTTCTCGAAACTCCTTTGGACAAGGTCGAGCCGTATGGCATGTTCAAACATGTCTTCATGAGTATGTTCTCCTTTCTCTCTCTCTCTCCCTCTCTTGTGCTGCTACTAAAGGTTATATATAGACCTCCAACAAGAGCAGCCCCAGCTCTATGACAGTCTGGCCAAGATCCTCAATCCCGAGGAACAGCAGATCATCGAGGCGGTCTTCCACGAAGCAGATGCAAAGGCTCTGGCCGCAGCCAACGCCGAGGCTGCTGCCGCCGCCGCTGCCGCCGCGGGTGTCCAGACGAATGGCAATTGAGACGGGTAGTCCTGCTATACACGCATGATATAAAGTTGGCATTTCCGATTTCTTTTCCTTTTATCTTATTCTCGTCATTTGCCCCCCCCCTTTTTTTTTCGTGGATTTTTGGCATGGTCGGGGACTGCATGTTTGCATGTTCCAAGATCCAGGAGAGCCTCCGGCTTGTTCCTGTCCCCATTAGATTTTTTGTTCCATTCCTCTGTTCATCACGTTCTCATGCTCGAAAAGTCATGTCCCATGCCCTGCACAGATTCCCCTGATAATATTCCACCGATATGGTATGTTCTACGAATCTATGAGTCTATTGTAGAAGTAACATAAAACATAAGCCACTAAATTAATCAGAGTTCTCGTTCTTATTAATAAACATAGCTTACGTCCACCTAGGTAGGCACTTACTAGGTAGGCAAGTAAGTATCCATAACTTGGCTGTAACGTCATAGTGATATAAGTATATCCAAGTAACTTAAATACCTTAGCATTCCAACAGCACCTCACTCAACTTTTCTAACAACCATCAAAAACAACCTACCACAAAGCCAAGTAAGTACCTTATACTTTTCCACAATCCAAAAACAACTACTGAGCCAAAAAAAAAAACAAAAAGAATGTCATCCCCCAAATCCGGCCGTCAGTCCCCCCCGCCCGAAGAACAACCGGGCGCGCAGCAACAGGATCCGCCCGGGGTGGGCAAGGCGAAGGAGTACACGGGTGGCCAGTCGAGGGCGCAGGAGGAGTCCGAACGGTTCAAGGAGAGTGGGTTGACCAGCAACCCGGTGCATCCTTTGGAGAAACATGTGACGGAGATGTTTGAGAAGGGAAATAAGGCCTAGTGTATCATGTTGAATCTAGTATCTAGTATCTACTGTTGTCTACTGTTGTCTACTGTCATCTACTTTGTTATAGTACGGGTTGATATATGGACATAGGTATTGATAAACACAGTAGTCATAAATACAACAGCAGTCATAACCATACATAGTCATCATTCAGAAACGAAAAGAGAATTACGCCTGCTCCGCAGGGGGAACGGTGCCAGCAGGCTCAGAAGCCGGAACCGTGCTGGGGGCAACACCCGCGGCCTCAGCAGCAGCAGGGACGACGGGCTTCTCCTCCTCGGCGGAGGGCTTGCCGCTCTTCAGATCGGCAAGACGACGGGCCTCGGTGTGGATGTCGCGGACCTGCTTGTCGGTCTGCATGTAGAAGTCGCGGACCTTCTTGCCGGAGGGGGTGCCCATGGCCTTTTCAAAGTAGGAGTTGAGGCCGCGCCAGCTGCTGGTGGCCTTGTCGGTGATCTTGTAGCTCTCGTCGAGGCCGCGCGCGCGGTCCGTCGCATGGTACTTCTTGTCAAAGTCCGAGAGGGCGGCGTGGAAGCGCGACGAGAAGCCGTGCTTCTGGTCCAGCTCGATCGCCTTCTGCAGCGCGTTGTCGCCGATCACGTACCCGTGCGCCAGATACTCGGCTACAATCCGCGACCGCGGCTTGTCCTCCTGCTCCAGATCGTGCTGGTATTCATCCCGGGCCTGCCCCGCGCTCGCCGCCTGCGTGCCTGCCAGCTGCTCGATCGTCGGCGCCGCTTCCACGTGCACCGACGAGCTGCCGAGCTGGGTGTGGTCCAGAAGCAGTGCAGTCTTGGCAGCTCTGTTAACAGTCAGTCAGGCTTATGCTTCAAATGTGCCAACCGTGTTGAAATCAGGGTGACTTTTTTGACTTACGCGTCCTTCTCAAACGTCACAGACGCCGACTTGGGAGCATCAGCCTCCCCAGAGACAGGAGTCAGAGAGAGCGAAATAATCTTGCCGCTGTAAATTGATTAGTCGAGTTCTATGGTATTCTTCAGCCCAGAGACAGATCTACACACCAGAAGCTGAAGAAATCGTGGACCTCCTTTTCGGTGGTCGTGGGCGCAATGCCCGACACGTGGACGGTGGTGCTCTGAGACATGTTGATGGATCGAATTTGATCAAATTTTGGAATGGATATTTTTTTTTTATAATCTTAGGAGGATTCAAATAGAATAGGATGAGAGTGTAACTTGGAAAGGAAAATAGGAGACAAGGTTCCCACCAGCTTGTATTTATTATGGGAGGGCAGCCCGATCGCGCCACAGTAGGTGACGTAGTGAGGGGTTCCCAGCACAGCCACAGTGGATGTGCGGGCTGAACACCGTCCCAAGAGCTCACAGCTGTGGTTTTGAAATCAGTGATAAGAATAGAATAGAACAGGCAGAATATAGTTAATAGTGGATAAAGAAAATCGATGAATATCGAGTCAGGCACCAGTGAGAAAACTGTTGTGCGTATAGGAAAAAAAAAGTACAGCGCTGGGAAATGAAGGAACGAACGGAGAAGAAGAAAAAAGAAAAAATAAGCTAGGTCGATCAACACAGATCGTCTGCAGGAATTCGCGCCAATCAAGCCTGGCTAGCCTCTGCCAGCGAGACCTCGGCTGTTTTGGCCAATTCGAGCTCACGGTGTTTCTTGAGAGTGAGCTCTAGCTCGCGGACTCGCCGGCGCAAGGCTTCATTCTCGCGTTTGACGGCGTCAAGCTCTCCCCGTTGGTGTACGATTTCCTCGAGCCGAGACATGGTTCCTGCCTGTTGTCCGGAGAAGCCCTGTTGGGGGGGAAGATATCTTTGTGAACTAGCAGGAGCATGATGGTTGCTCGTAATGTGAGCAAGATAATCTCCCTGGTACGGCTGGGAGGTCGGCTGCATCAGCAACGGCGACAACGAATTCTCTGACGGGCGAGGGGAGGTGATGGACGGCTCCCGACTTCTACAAGACCGACCCAAATCGGTAGCCGGGCGGCTGCCAGCCGCCATGCCTCCTGCCCGGGACCCCTGGACCGCGGGAATATAGGAACTCAGGTTTGACGATGACCGGTGTCGCCTAGATGCAGTCGGGTGCATCGAGCTGTTGATGTAGGGGGAGTGCAGGGGTTCAAGGGACTCATTGAAGGTCGTCGAGGTCGACGACGCGGTGGACGCCACGGAAGCAGTCTGCTGGCGGAGGAGCGAAAGCTCCCTCGAGAGACGATTCACCTGTGAAACAAACACACAAATATCAGCACACCACCCTTGGTCCGATCTTGCCGGGGGTATCATTGGGACGCTGAACCATCGATTCCTGTTCCTTTTCTAGCATGAGGTGCAGATCGGCAGCCGTCAGAGGTTTGGGGTGACGCAACGGGCCTGTTTGAATACGGGTAGTCAGCCTACTAGAAAACCATCTCCATTCCGCTATATGAATCAACCTTGTCCTGTGCCTCCATTGCCATGATCAACAACTATTGGCGTGGCTGTCGCGTGCGCCGTCGGGCCGTGCGAAACCATCGGGGTGGCCATCGTCTGGGAGGGTCCTCGTGAGGAAGGAGACGAGGGAGCATCAGATGTGCGACCACTGGTCATTCCACTAGGCGGTTGAGGTTGAGGGGATGGAGGTACTGAGTTCGTATCGGGAGCCATCGACTCTTGTCTTGTTCGGCTGTTTTATCTCACGAGACGAGGGGGAGACCAGATGCCATAAAATACAACAACAAAGAGGACACAAGACACCCGGTTGGCTCTTATGGCGGCCCGGGCCAGGTACAGTGATGGATCACAAAACACGATGCAGCTCGTTGATGTCAGTCGACCCCCTTTAGTGAACTGAGATTCCAACAGGTTTCAAGTCCGACCAGGAATGGAGAAGATAGCTCCCAGCGGGAGGGGGGGTAAACAGGTAGGTGTCACCCGTTACGTAGGCCTCTTCTGTGCTGTTCGTTGGCTATCAATCGAGCAGGAAGCATATTGGAGAGAAAATAGAAAGGGGGGATGAAAAAAAAGAAATCGTAGATCGGCTGTCTGTCTTTGACTCCCTGCCCTTTGGGTACGGGCGCAAGGTTCCTGCAACCTGGGCGATCATCGGTGACTGGTCAGACCCGGGCGTGTTTGGGCAATGAGGAATCAGAGCTCTCCAAGGCAGCCTATTACAGAGCCCAGTAATTCTCGTGGCTGTCGGCGCTGCCTTCTACGCTGCTGGATTCTTCGCTTCGGCTGGTGAGGCGATGGAGGGTTAATGTCTCATCTCCTGTTATCAGCCTCTGGCCTTGGTAAGGACAACAACATTCCCCATTGACGCACCCAAGAATGGGCGATGAGCTGAAGGGGGTTCGTTGATACGAGCCATTTCTGAACCGTTGGATATGGGAAATCGCTGCCGCCGTCCTTCCAACTGCCTCTTTAGTCCAAATTATACGGAGAACAACTTCTGATAAGAGATGGTTGTCTTTGGGGGGGGGGTATTTTTTATAGAGAGTCAGCTGATCAAAACACCACGTGATCGTGTGGTTCTATCAAATTCACCAAACCAACCTTTTCAACTACCGACGCACGACTTCAATTGCCTCTACTGATTGAAGGATATCCCGACTGCCTGGTTGACTCTTTTTGACCAAAGAGTCTAAGCCACCGACCGTCAATGCTGAGCTACGGAGGGCAGACGATAGTTAGTACTCAGTGCTCACTAACTACTCACTGACCGCCGAAAGGAGGAAAATAACAATACCACGGGAGTGTCCTTGCTCTGGGCAGTGTTATCAACGGTTGCAACCAGATTCCTGCTTCAGAGTGTTGTCTTCTGATGATATATAGTGATCTTGAATGGATACTGCATCTCAGACTGTCGCAATGGCCGGCCAGGACGAGTCCGCCCTCCACATTCCGCCGTTCGCTAAACCCCTCTCTCCTTACGTTAAGAGCCGTCAGGAAACCCTGCGGATCCGCCGCGTGTTAACGCTGTACCTCCGATCACAAATCACCCTTGCCGATGACCAGACCGAGTACGCACCGCCGCATCTTGCGTTGTGTGCCCCGCAGTACGTCGCGACGGCTGTCAAACGCATTCCTTCCGACGTGACGGGGCTGCGGAGAGAATATCTGGAGGCGCTGCAGGCGAATATAACGGCACGGAGAGAATATGAGACTGTCGTTGAAAGATTGGCAGCGAGAAAACCGCCGGGGGAGGAGGGGCAGTCTTCGCACTCGGAGACGGAGGCAACGGAGGGAGTCGATGCAGGGTTGCAGACGTACTTGAAGCTTCTCCGGGACCGTCGCCGGCATGCCAAGCTCCAGGTTTTCGAGCATTATCTCCAAGACATGAAAAAACGCCGAGAGAGGGGGAAATCCGGGGACGGGGAGACACATGCACACCAGCCATTATTCCCGGCTGACGGCAGTGGCGTGGCTGGGGCAGGAGATATCGGTGTGAGAGGACTGGTCGATGACCTGGAACGAGCCATTGTCAGTGCCAAATCGCGGCTAGACCGGGAGAAAAGAATGCTGGAGGAGTTGAAATCCCGGCACGAGTCTTCGACACACTCGGATTCTGCTCTCCCTGTCAAGGCTAGGGCCCTGCAGCGGACCCGGGACGAGCTGGTGAAATGGGTCGAGGACCGGCTTGCGACCGCCAGTCACGAGGAGGCTACATATGTTGGCCTCCCCGCGGCCGAGGCAGAAGGCGCCCCCGCGCATCTGCTGGATGATCTACAAAGCCACATACAGGAGGAATACAGTGCGTATGTGGATGCCCGGCGGAAGCTTCTCGAAGTCCTGTCAAGAGCATACCGAACGCTCTCTACGCCTGCTCCGAAGCATCCTCCCGCTCATACTAGTGATAACCCCGGTGAAAGCAGGCGGGAGACCGGAGCGGGGTACGACTTGAATGTCTTACAGCTTGCGAGCGAGGTGTTCCTGCCACTTTCCAAGAGCCAGAAGGCTCTGATTTTACAGAAATCGTACCTAGCCGGTCTCCTAGCGAAGGAAAAGACGACAGCACTGCGCCTGCTCGACCGATTGAGCAGCGAGAGCCATCTGCTGCCGGAATACCCTATCCTCGCCCGACATTCGCGGTTCCAGCACGCCGTGGCGGCGCTCGGCTCTGCTGCAGAGCGAGCACCCCGTGACGAGATTCTCGCCTCTGCCGAGGCATGGGCGTTTGCTTCGGACGCAGCGCGGACGAACGAGCAGGAGCATGTCGACCAGCAGATCACGGTGGGCATGGAGGCGGCACAGGAGGCGCGACAGACGCTGGAAGTGGTCTACGGCATGATGAACCAGGATCTCGAGGCTGTCACGGCCGTGGATGACACTGGCGATATCTGGGCCTCTGAGGTTCAGTCTCGCAAAAGTAAGCCTGTTCGACCTAGAGGGCCATGGTCGAGACTGAACGGCAGCATGGGATAGTGTCTATGTTTAGTACTCCGTATGTAGGTAGTCTAATCAATCATAAGTTAGTAGTAAAATATACCTATTCCCAACCACCTAGGTAGCCTCTTCTCAACCTACCATATCTACTAGTTATCTACTATCTACTACAGAGCAATAGTTGTCCCCGTCTTATTGAATATTTTTACGTATGCCGCCCTCCGGCTTTCGCTCGTCTCCCGGGAACTGCTGCGAACTAACCCATTCAGGCCTAGCGCCTGGCAAAAGTTTGGAGCTCCCGGCCCCCTGCTAGCCCCAGCCGGGCCTAGCGCGCTCCCCTCCGAACCAGTCACACGCCTCCCAGCCCCGACCGCGCTGGAGCGGGACAGGCAGCACGCGCGCCCATTGGCCGTGCCAGCAGGGCGGTGAGTGGGGAAGGGAAAAAAAGACGCCGCACACCGGAGCGCTCTTATCGGCTCTTCCTGTCCTTGGCCGCGAGCAACAAATTCTCCCCCGGCCTTTCCTCTGCCTTCTCGCTGTTGATCCACGAGCGAACGAGACAAGGACAGGACCTGGTCTGGCATTGACTCATCGCCCGCCCGGATAAAGTCCCCCCCTGTCTGAATAATTATTGTCTCTCTTCTCGCTGCTCTAGCTTCCTCCTCCCCCCCCGTCGTGAGACGAAACAAGCAGATTCGAGGCTTGCCCTGCCCCGTCTGTGTTTGGAGACAGTGTCTTTTTTTTTCTATTTCTATTTCTGGTCTTCCTCCCTGTCAGCGTAGGTCTCTTCTTTTTTTTATTGTTCCTTTGCTGTCTCGCGCAGTGCGCAATGGCTCTCGCTACTCGCTGTGGGCACGCAGCCGCCCTGTTGCGTCAGCGAGGTTTGGTGGAAACTCGGGCGACGCTGGCGGTGCGCGCCTTTTCCTCCGCCTCACACACCCCCTCCGCCCTGCGCTCTACGGCGTCGTGTCTGCGCCTGCAGCAGCAGCAGCAGAAGGGCGCTGCCTCGTGGCGACCGCAGCAGCTGCGTTCCTTCTCCAGCACCCTGCGCCGTCTGGCCGCCGAGGCCGAGAGCTCCCCCTCCGCCCATTCCTACCTGGCCAGCGGTGCCGTCAAGACCGGCGGTAATCTGGTCGACGTGAAGAAGGTCTTGGTTATTGGTAGCGGTGGTTTGAGTATTGGTCAGGCTGGTGAATTCGATTATTCAGGTGGGTAACTTTTTTTTCTATTTTTTTATTTTTTTTTCCTGTGAAAAAAAGGAAGAAAGTCAAAGTCTAACGAAATATAGGCTCCCAGGCTCTCAAGGCTCTCAAGGAGGCCAATGTCAAGTCGGTGCTGATCAATCCCAACATTGCCACCATCCAGACCGATCACAAGCTCGCCGACGAGGTCTACTACCTGCCCGTCACCCCGGAATATGTGACCCACGTGATCGAGCGAGAGCGCCCCGACGGCATCCTGCTCACCTTTGGCGGACAGACCGGTCTGAACCTGGGGGTGCAGATGAACCGCATGGGCATCTTCGAGCGGTACGGCGTCAAGGTCCTGGGAACCAGCATCAAGACCCTGGAGACCAGTGAGGACCGCGATCTCTTCGCCAAGGCCCTGAACGAGATCAACATCCCCATCGCCGAGTCCATTGCCGTCAACACCGTCGACGAGGCCCTCGATGCCGCCAAGGAGGTTGGCTACCCCATCATCGTGCGGTCCGCCTACGCGCTCGGGGGTCTGGGCTCCGGTTTCGCCAACGATCCCGAGGAGTTGAAGAACCTGGCTTCCCGCTCGCTGTCTCTGGCTCCCCAGATCCTCGTGGAGAAGTCTCTCAAGGGCTGGAAGGAGGTCGAATACGAGGTCGTCCGTGATGCCGCCAACAACTGTATTACCGTCTGCAACATGGAGAACTTTGATCCCCTCGGTATCCATACCGGTGACAGTATCGTCGTCGCCCCAAGTCAGACCCTGTCGGACGAGGAGTACCACATGCTCCGTACCGCCGCCATCAAGATCGTCCGCCACCTGGGGGTCGTCGGTGAGTGCAACGTCCAGTACGCTCTCCAGCCCGATGGCCTGGACTACCGTGTCATCGAGGTCAACGCCCGTCTGTCTCGTTCCTCCGCTCTGGCCTCCAAGGCCACCGGCTACCCTCTCGCCTACACCGCCGCCAAGATCGGTCTCGGCCACACTCTGCCCGAGCTCCCCAACGCCGTCACCAAGACCACCACCGCCAACTTCGAGCCGAGCTTGGACTACATCGTCACCAAGATCCCCCGTTGGGACCTGAGCAAGTTCCAGCACGTCAACCGCGACATCGGCAGCGCCATGAAGTCCGTCGGCGAGGTCATGGCCATCGGCCGTACCTTTGAGGAGTCCTTCCAGAAGGCCATCCGTCAGGTGGACCCCAGGTTCATCGGTTTCCAGGGCGACAAGTTCGAGGACCTCGACGAGGTTCTCCGGAACCCCACCGACAGACGCTGGTTGGCCGTCGGCCAGGCCATGCTGCACGAGAACTACTCCGTCGAGAAAGTTCACGAGCTGACCAAGATCGACAAGTGGTTCCTGTACAAGCTCCAGAACATCGTCGACTGCCAGAACGAGCTCAAGGAGATTGGTAGCCTCTTCGGCATCAAGAAGGAGATCATGCTCAAGGCCAAGAAGCTCGGCTTCTCCGACAAGCAGATCGCCCTTCTTGTCGGCTCGACCGAGGATGATGTCCGGGCTCGCAGGAAGAGCTTCGGCATCAGACCCTGGGTCAAGAAGATTGACACCCTGGCCGCCGAGTTCCCCGCCGACACCAACTATCTCTACACCACCTACAACGCCACCTCCCACGATGTCACCTTCGACGATCACGGCACCATCATCCTGGGCAGCGGCGTCTACCGCATTGGCAGCTCGGTCGAGTTCGATTGGTGCGCCGTCAATGCCACGCTCTCCCTGCGCAACATGGGCAAGAAGACGGTCATGATCAACTACAACCCGGAGACCTACTCCACCGACTTCGACACGGCCGACAAGCTCTACTTCGAAGAACTCAGCTATGAGCGTGTCATGGACATCTACGAGCTCGAGAACGCCAATGGTGTCGTCGTCTCGGTCGGTGGCCAGCTCCCTCAGAACATCGCTCTCCGTCTGCAGGAGACCGGTGGGGCGACCATCCTCGGCACGGATCCCAAGGATATCGACAAGGCCGAGGACCGTCACAAGTTCTCGCAGATCCTGGACAGCATCGGTGTGGACCAACCCGCGTGGAAGGAGCTCACCTCGGTCTCCGAGGCCGAGAGCTTCGCCGAGACCGTCGGCTACCCCGTGCTGGTCCGTCCCAGCTACGTTCTGTCCGGCGCCGCCATGAGTGTCATCTACAACGGCAACGAGCTCAAGGAGAAGCTTCTCAACGCCTCCGCCGTCTCCCCCGACCACCCGGTCGTCATCACCAAGTTCATCGAGGGCGCCCAGGAGATCGACGTCGACGCCGTCGCCTCTAACGGCAAGCTCATCCTGCACGCCGTCAGCGAGCACGTCGAGCCCGCCGGTGTGCACTCTGGTGACGCCACCCTGGTTCTGCCCCCCGCGGATCTGGACGAGTCGGTCATGGCCCGCGTCAAGGAGATCGCCGAGAAGGTTGCCAAGGCCTGGAACATCACCGGTCCCTTCAACATGCAGATCATCAAGGCCGACGAGGAGGGCGCCGAGCAGCCCGCTCTCAAGGTCATCGAGTGCAACCTGCGTGCTTCTCGTTCCTTCCCCTTTGTCAGCAAGGTCCTGGGCACCAACTTCATCGACGTTGCCACCAAGGCCCTCGTTGGCAAGGATGTCCCCGAGCCCGTCGACCTCATGAAGGTCAAGCGTGACTACCTCGCCACCAAGGTGCCCCAGTTCAGCTGGACCCGTCTTGCCGGCGCCGACCCCTTCCTCGGCGTCGAGATGTCCAGCACGGGTGAGATTGCTTGCTTCGGAAAGGACCTCATCGAGGCCTACTGGGCGTCTCTGCAGTCCACCATGAACTTCCGTGTTCCCGAGCCCGGTGAGGGTCTGCTTCTCGGCGGCGACGTCAACAACCCGGCTCTGTCCCAGGTCGTCGAGTACCTCAAGCCCCTCGACTTCAAGCTCTATGCCGCCAGCCCCGAGGTCAAGGCCCACCTGGAGTCTACCGTCGGTGTCTCCGTCGAGGTCATCGAGTTCCCCAAGCAGGACAAGCGCGCCCTCCGTGCTGTCTTTGAGAAGTACAACATCCGTGGTGCCTTCAACCTGGCCAAGAAGCGCGGCGAGACCCTCCTGGATGAGGATTATGTCATGAGACGCAATGCCGTGGACTTTGGCGTGCCCCTCTTCATGGAGCCTAAGGTTCGTTTCCCCCCCCCTTTGATTTAAATTAAAAACACACATATATAATATTGACTTACTTTTCTTCTAGACTGCCGTCCTGTTCGCTCAGTGCATGAACGTGAAGCTTCCCCGCCAGGAAGGCATTCCTTCCGAGGTTCGCAGCTGGTCCGAGTTCTCCGGTACTAAGATGCTGTGAAGTCGTTTTCAAAAAAAAAAAGTCCTCCTCGTTTTTCCATGTACCGGATTTGAACTCCTGACATCAGAGGTCTGATTTGACCCTTCCTCTTCCCCTTCCCCTTCCTCTTCCTCTTCTTCTTCTTCTTCTCTTCTTTTTGTTTGGGCATTGCTCCTTGCTTCCCCTGGCTAGGAAGCCGGGAACAGTGAAAAACGGTGTCGTCTGCTCTTATGATTCTCCTTGATGTCGTTTCATTCTGGTTGGTTACCATATTCGGCTGGCTATATGTGTGCTTGAGCGAGAAAAGAATACTGAGCCGGGTTCTGTTTTTGGACTGTTTCTATTATAATTTATTCAACCTGTATGTACCAGTATTATAAGATTCATCAATCTCCATTCATCTACATATGTAATCTTTGGTAGTTAGCATTTATTAGTTCTTTTATATATCGATGCCGATGACTAAGCAACGGCTCCACCAATTGCAAAATACATTGGATCAACAACGTCGTGGCTCTAAACACTCATCTTGTACTGTTGTCAAATCAAATCCATAGAGACCCAATCTCTAGTTCTCTGGTACGCTGGCCCGAGTCACGAAGAACCGACTTCTGTATTTCGGTGTTCCCCTTTGCCTGGTTGTGTACTCTGCATCTGCATAGCAATAGAACCAGAGCTCTAGAAGAAGAGAAGAGAAGAATGTCCGAATCTCCCCTTCCGGCAGTGTATACAAAGACAGAACCTCGCCCAGCCCCCAACGGGCAGGGAACGGGTCTCTTCGCGACAACAGACCTCGGCGTCGGGAAGGTCGTGCTGAATATCAAGACTCCGTACGTGGCTGTCCTGGATACGCCGCGGCTGGAGGATACCTGCTCTGGCTGTCTTGGAAGAAGACAGCATGGGGAGCCTGGTGTGGTCTTGAAGGCGTGTACAGGCTGTCAGGTGGTGAAGTATTGTGATAGAGTGAGTTCCCTCTCCAGTTGATATGACGTATACAGTCAAACAAATCTTTTTGTCTTGTTGATTGCTTTGTGCACCTGACTTCGCTTAGCGCAGTGCCTCGCACAGTATTCAACAGTTTCATCTCCTTTTTTTTCTTCTTCCCTTCTCTTCACTTCACTTTACCACTATACTTCTCTTACTAACAGTGAAAAGACCTGCCAGGCAAAGGACTGGAAATTCTCCCACTCTCTAGAGTGCGCCATCTTCAAGCAGCTTAGGCCTCGAGTCCTCCCCAACAACGCCAGGGCTGTTCTTCGGATGGTCCTGCGCGCTGCCAAGGGGAGGTATTCCCCTCCAGAGCTGGATGCCTTCTCCAAGCTGGAGACGCATGCCCGAGAGATCCGTCAGCTCAACCCGCAGCAGTGGGGGCGCATTGCCCTGTCGTCCAAGGCAATTAAGATGTACTCTGGGACTGATGTCGAGGAGGAAGTCATTTCCGCATGCGGTGCCAAGGTAAGTTGGGGCGTTTTTTCTGGGTTAGTATATTGGTCTCCTAATTGAAGGACTTTTTATAGCTCGACTTGAACTCTTTCAACTTGACCAATACAGTGTACGACCGAGTCGGGCTGTATCTGCATCCGTATGCTGCTCTGATCAACCACAGCTGCGACTATAACTCCGTTGTGGGCTTTGATGGCGACGAGCTCTTCGTCAAGGCAGTACGGCCGATCAAAAAGGACGACCAGATCTTCATCTCGTACATCGACACGACATACCCCTCCACTGTCCGGCGCAGTGAACTGTCGGAGAGATATTTCTTCAACTGCGATTGTTCCAAGTGTAAGCTCGGGCTCGATGCTCCGGAAGCTCGCTTCCTGTCTGGTTCTCATGATACCTCTAAGCTACACGCGGTCGAAGGTGAAGCTCGGAAACTCATGCAGTCCGCCGCTGCAGATGACAGCCCTTTGGTTACTGTCCAGAAACTCAAGTCAGCCATGCACCTGCTGCACGAAACTTCTGCTTGGCCCGTCACCCGGCAGCCATATGTCTCGCTGCGTGACGAGCTGATCACGGCATTGATCTCGGCAGGTCTTTTCGACGAAGCTTTCATCCAGGCTGCGATCAGATATCTTCGTGTTGACCCTGTTGTTTATCGTCAAGACGGGCACCCGATACGCCAGGTACATGCCTGGGCCTTGGTAAAGCTTGCAATTCACCTTTCTGCAGACGCAGGGGAAACCCGGCTTGAACCCTTGTTTCGCAATCACCATATCGCCACCCCAAACCTGAGCCTCCTCGTTTGGTCTGTACTGCACCGACTCGTCCACATGGAGGATCAAAGCTGCGTTGTTCCCTCCTTCAAAGACATGCTGCATGCAACGTTCGACGACGTACAGCAGGAATTCGAGAGAGGACGCTCTAATCCCCGCTCGATGACTAGCGAAATCAATACTCAGTGGGAGCAGATCGGGGCCCTGGTGGACTTGGTCTTGGCCAACGAGTAGATCTGCTGCTCTTGCCAACGCCGCGGAATGAGAGAAGCCACATTTAACCTTTTTTTTTTAAACCAAAAAACCGGTGGCTTTGGCTTTGGTCTCTTTGAGATCTAGCACTGACTGGGATCTGTGCCTAAGGGAGGGTGGGAGGGTTGGCACAGCGCTGGGGGGTCCTTTCTCTCAGATCGTCAGCTAGGTTCTGCAAAAGGACTTAGATGGCATGCTTATTGGGTTTTATCCAATTTGAATTGAATGGATCTTAAATGATCACTGGATGGTTTAAAGAGCCATCCCAGCCTTCGGGCAAGAAGGGTTACTGCGCAATGTCAGTTCTTTTTCCGCATTGAGAATCTCAGAGAAAAGTCAACTGGTTGTCGAGTGCTAACATTCGAAGCAGGTCCTGTCTGAAAGACATGGTAAATGGCCTTAGTGCTTGGCCAAAAAGGCTCTTTTCGGTGAGACATCCTTTTGCAGTGTTGTCTTGTCTCTTCTCTCATCGGGTGGTCTTCTTCTGAGAGTGCTCTTGAGGGAACTGACCTACCCCCCCCCCCGCTCTTTTTCACCCTTTCCCTCTTCCACCTCTTCCTTTTCCACTTCTTCCCTTCCCATCTCCTTTCCATCCTTCTCCCTCCCTGTTAGTGATTCTATTTAGCCCATAGCAGAGAGATCTCGAATCTGGAGTTTTTTTGTTATCCTCAAATACGCAGAACTGTCCTCTGTCCTCTGCGTTTCCCATCTGGCGAGCTCTTTCGCAAAGAGACATAACACATATCAGAGAAACAGTCGTGCCCGGATTCCTGTTTGTGATTGCTATCTCCATCTGATTTCATACGTCAAACCTCGATCATCCACATCAGTACATTGCTCTATCCCATTTCCATTTTCCTGTGAAGGCGTGTCTCAGCTTTCATGTGAACCAACACCCTGCAGAGCAACGCTGACCAAGTCTACATATAGGCTACCAAAATGCCAACCGAAAAGGAGCTCAAGTCCATGCTCTACTCACGGGAGGACCCAGCATACCTGCTGGTCCTCCTGTTGGCAGCGCATGGCATCGAGCCGAACCACCGGTTGATGGCGGACGCCAGCCTCAACTCTCCCCATTTCAAAATGTGGTTCTCTGGAGACGAGGTCAGACAGAAAATGCAACCTTTTCTAGAGGATGCAGAGAAGCTCAAGGCCTGTACGCCATTTTGTAAGTTCTTCGTGTTATATAACCTCTCGATCTCAACACTCAAGCTAACTCAACTATTAGCTTCTCAGAGTACAGCAGAAGACATCAAGCAGCGCAAGGATAAGCAGGGCTTGCCTACCGCTCTCGCTACTACTGCTACTGTCGCCCCATCCTCGTCCGTAAGTCAGCAGGAGCATCCCGGTACACATATGTGCCCCAGATGCTGCACTCAAGGTACTGCACCCTTTTTCCTCACTTTAATGCTTCGAAATCTTGTAGACTGACATCATCTTCACAGTCAATCGTGTTACCCAGGAAAATCAGGCTGCTATAGTTACCGAGTACACTTCGTCTTTTCAGGTTGCAAACGCTGGTGGCTATAATTCGCCTTCTTGTAACCCAAAGAAAGCAGCAGAGTGGGGTTTCCTGTCTGCAGACGGCAGTATGTGGACAGCTCTTCCACGTGGTACCAAAGAAAAGGAAGAGGAGGAAGAGGAAGAGAACGTATCTATGGGTGGTGGTGTGTGGATGAATCCTCGTGCTATCAACCCAAGAGACTATGAAGAAGATGATGATGATGAAGATGATGATGACGACGACGACATTCGATCTCTAGGTGGCGGCGTGTGGATACAGCATCGACGCGATATCCCAGCATGGAGAATTGCCGCGATGATACGGTACTATCAACTTCTCTTCGCTGATTAGACAGCTTTCTACATGGTAGTCTAGCTATGAGCTAGTCATATGACCTCTTAATGCTTGCGAGATAACAGACAGCAATGATGACAAAGATGATCCCTTGATTTTGTTGATGATGTCCACTGTAGTCAAAATGAAATACGAGATCAAGCGCCCTCCAGTTCAAAAAGAGGATAAGAAAATACGTAAATAGGACAACTGATCTACTTTTTGTAGAATAGAATTGTCGTAGTGTACCGCTTTTCTCGAATCCAATTCTTGAGAATGCTGTTATTCTTACTTGATGTTAGGGCAAAAAGGTCACGCAAGTACAGCCACTCAGTCTTGTTTAAAGTAGATGGTACGTGAAAATAAGACTTCGTTAGATTAGACTCCCATCCCTTCCGGGACTTAAATCATAAAGGAATAGATGACAAAAGAGTCTCTCCTGTACCTGGTCGGACCAGAAGAGAGGAAGTTGTCTTTGTCATGGGAGGTGTTTTTTCTTCGAAAGATCCCATGTTTTGGTATTTTTTTGAATTCATTGCATGTCGATAAAAAAAGATCTTTCTATTGAGATGAAAACAATTGGATTGCACCCCAACATACAAAGAATGAACTCGACATAAAGTCCATTCTTCTTTTCCTCCACCCAGTGACCCGAGTCCCGTTCGTCCCGCTCCTCCACAAGACACTCCGAAAAATAAAAGAGAAAGCTTTTTACTTGAGGGGAATGAAACGGGAAGAGTGGGTGGCACCGATACCGGGTCTACCGTGCTTGACGGGCTTGCTGTTCAATGTGTTAGTTGTAACTGGCCAAAGATAATCATGCCAAGGAATTCATGATGTTCCACGTACTATGAGATAGAGAATTCACCAAGGTAGTGACCAACCATCTCGGGCTTGATCTCAACCTGGTTGAACTCCTTGCCGGAGTAGATACCGACAACGCTGCCGATCATCTCGGGGACAATGATCATGTCACGGAGGTGGGTCTTGACGAGGTCGGGCTTCTCGTTGGGCTTGGCCTCCTGCTTGGCCTTGCGGAGCTTCTTGATCAGGCCCATGGGCTTGCGCTTCAGACCGCGGTTGAACCTGCGGCGGGCGCGGGCGTGCACGACATCACGGAGCTGCTCGGAGGAGAGGTCAAGGAGCCTGTTTGCCACAAGACAGTCAGATCAATCCATTTATCCAGGTTCCCCTTCTCCTTCTTCTTCTTCATTTTTCTCTCTGTTTCCTGGGAGGGAGGCTTGGACGTACTGGTCGAGATCGATGCCGCGGTAGGTGAACTTGCGGAACTGTCTTCTCTTCTTGATCTCTGTTCGAGCAAAAACGGACTGGTCAGCGCTATGGTTCTTTTTTTAAATCCAAACTCGCTAGCCCGTTGCATCCGTTGTATTCTTTGAATCAATATTTTCCCCTTCCCTCCTGATATCCAGTTGCCATCAAATCCAAGTGACAGAAAAAGCTCTTCCTTGTCGCATTTCACAGCAGACCAACAGTTCCCGGGTATAGCATAGTAGGCGAAGGAAATGAAATCTTTGTGGACAACGTACCGGCAGCCTCCTCGGCGTTCTATAAAAGAGATTGTCAGTCACAGATAATCCAGCTTATGGAGGGTGTTTTTTTTTCGAGGTCACTCACGTATTCGACGTCAGCCATGGTTGTGGATGTTTCCTCGAGGTCGCTTTCCGAACGGGATCTCGAAAAGCGAAGGGAAGAAGGTTGTCGTGTCGTGTCGTGTCGCTAAAGGACTTTCCGGCTGCGTGTGGCTCCTGCGCAGTGTCCAGGTGGGCTGGCAGTTCGCCTAAGCGAGACCAAGCCCTAACCCATTTTTGGATGCTTAGGGCTAGCCGTTCTCACCGCCCTGCCGCAACAGATTAACTTCAGGGACTATCATGGAATTATTTTGGGAGCAATGGACGGTGCTATTAGTATTATTGTTAGCCAGTATCGCTGGTTATCTTTGTATTAGATAGTCATAAATTATTTATATTGCCTGTATGAAAGCTGATCTGTTCGTAAACTACGGGGTAGATTCTGGTACTTCGGTTGGATTTACGTCTACTAGATTGCGGGTACTGGAGAAGTTCGTTTGGAGGTCAGATCATCTGCATTGGTTTAAGAGCTCCTTTCAGCTCAATATGGCATAATTCGTAACCGTTTCAGAACAGTGTCAAAACATGCGCACATGGGGACCAGAAGTTGAAGGAATTGGCCCTCCAACCCAAAGTGACAAGTGCTAGATCTCTGCTCCTCCACCGGTTGATATTTTTCTGCTCTCGGGATTTGAAGAAAGCGTTTAGTCGAAGAGACCGAAGCCCATGTCCTCATCGGACTCCTCCTTCTCCTCCTCCTTCTCCTCAACCTTCTCCTCAGCAGCGGCAGCACCGCCGGCAGCGGCGCCAGCGGCAGCGGGGGCACCAGCACCACCGGAGGGAACGGAGGCGAGCTTGGTAGCACCCTCAGCGATCAGCTAGATTGTGTCAGCAAAAACTAGTTCAATGCCAAAACGTGTTGCGATTTCAACTGACCTGCTGGAGGTCCTTGCCCTCGAGCTCAGCAATGAGCTTGGTGAGGCGCTCCTCATCGGCATCAATGCCAACGGAGGAGAGGACGGCCTTGATGTCCTCAGCAGAGGGGGAGGTGTTGCCGGCAAGGCCGAGGAGGAGGTAAGCGGCGAGGTGCTTCATTTTGAATGTGTAGTTTCTGAAGAGAAAAAAAAACTTTGTCAGCTTCAAATTCAAGAACCTTTTCGGTTTGACAACGAGGAAAACTAGGCTTGTAGATATTGAATTGGTGACACTTGTAAGGGAACATACCAAGATAATATATCGAACACGAGAAACAATCGATTTAACCGCAAGTTGGGCGGAGACTGAGACGTCGAGTTCGCTGGTGAGGTTTGGCGGTTGAAAAGATGTGAAGCGAAAGATCGAAGGGCTAAAATCTGATGAAAGTGCGGCATAGTGTGGCTGGTACGAAGCCTAAACCTAAGCGAGTGTTTGTGTGGCGCAGGCCTGTTCTGTGAACCTGAGGCTCCCAAGGATGTAAAAGCAAACACTGCAAACACTTGAGTCCGCGATCCCACGTGACCGTATTGATAGAAAACAGAACATATGGCAAGTTGCTGTTGCATTCTCCCCGCTTCTACGAAATAGTAGAAGCAGTCCTCACCCATCTCTAGACGGTTATCGGCTCCAGCTTCGCTCCCCTGGGGAGTCTGAGTGCGCAAGGCCAGGTTTTCCGACGCCCGGGCGCACTTGACTCAGGAAACCTGGAGTTTTGCCTCCTCGGTCGAAGAACCTTCAATTTTTAGCGTTGCACCCGAAGTCATGAAGGTGTTTCGTTGTACTAACTACACCGACGGTGAACGATCTGCACTCCTCTCTACCTCTCCTCTCGGACTGGTATCTAGACTGTTTTCAGCATGAGTGTAAGTCTTGGATTTCATTCCTGCAGGTCATAAGAAGATTCTCATCTCACCCTAAATCCCAGTTCCTTGATTCGGTGCTCTCGTCTATCGAGACGGGCAAACCCTCTCCCATACCGCCACCGAAACCAGCTCCGTCACGGTCTCCAGCTCCTGCCGTTTCCACCATCGCAGAAAAGTCAGGATCCCTTAAGTCTACGTCGGTATCCCAAGATGTGCACTCGAACGGAGGTCAGGCCACCACCACTACTGGTACCAAACGAAAAGCCGAAGAACAGCTGCGCCGTCCACCGAAGCTCGATACACAAGTATCCAGCAAACCTACGATTTCGAAATCCACACCTCTATCGGCAGTCTCTAAACCGCGCCCGCCGTCGACCTCTACCAACTTGAAATCGGCGAAGCCTCCAAACACAGTCAGCAGTGGTCCGTCAGCGCCATCCAAAATTATCTCATCTACGGCGTCGTCAAAAGCGCCACCGAAAGGCTCATATGCCGATCTTATGGCGAAGGCCAAGGCTTTGCAAGAAAAAGCACCCGCTCAAGTAGGCATGTTTAGGCATCAATCAGCCCCAAAGGAGCGAGTTAGCAAGGTCGAACGAAAGCGACGGGTGGCAGAAGCTCAGGTAAAAGAGAAGGATGTCAAAATAGGGAAAAAGCCTAGCCCTGTATCTGGCGCCGCGGCGGCAAAGGACAAGGCTCGCGACGGATCCATCTCCAGGAAACCGGAAGAACCATCCTATAAAGGTACAGCTCGGCCATCACAAACCCCCGCATATAGGGGCACTTCCGGTCTACCTGCAAAGCGCGATCCGAACGATCGGTATCGACAGGGACAGTCCAGCTATGGCAGACGTTCGAGGGGCAATGAATACCTGGGCACAGATGAAGAAGACGAAGGGGATGTCTATGACGATCACGACGACTACTATTCGGACGCCTCATCGGACATGGAAGCTGGTCTCGATGACATGGAAAGCGAGGAAGCCGCGGCGTTGGCAGCGGCAAAGAGGGAAGATGAAGAAGAATGGCGCGCAGAGCTTGCCGCGAAAAAGGACAAACTAGAGCGCCGGCAGAAGCTCACTATCTTGGCTTCAAAGCAACGCCGATGACTCCCGCCCTACATACACCGTTTTCCCCTTATCTTTCTCAGTACATCTCTTGCTATTCTTCCCTCGTTCTCATTATCTTTTAGACCCCTTCATGGGCGAGGATCACACTTTGCATCACCCGACTACCCAACCTACCAAACCAACACTATCCTTTCCCCATTCTTATCCTTTCCCCATTAAACCGTTCTCCCTCTATTTTTCAAGCATTTTTGTGCGTGAACCGGCGTCGATAGATGGCGGGTGGCTTGAATTTTCTTTTATTGTTTTTTTTTTCTCGTTGCCAAAGCGGGCGTCACTGTTGCTTCCAGTGCTGTTTTTGCATAGTCCCCACGTAGATAGAATTTTATATTGATCCGATAGCAAGCTAGAAATCAATACGAATATAACACAAATACATCAAACCACTGGACTGTGAGTAGTTAGTAAGTACTGTCAATTCATGGCCCTCTTGAGCTGGACAGGGCTGGCCCCACCCGCTAGTTATCGCGACGTAGTGACATCACCCGTCTCGAGACTCGAACCTGTCTGTCTCAAACATCTACACGTTGGCTCTGAACGGGAGCGATTGCTGTACAGATTCGAAGGCCTTCCTTTTCACTCTCTCAAGATGGAATCTGTGCACCATGTGTCGACCTCGTCAAAGATCCTGTTCAGTAAAGTACGAAAAATAGTTCCTCCAATGCTGGAGAGGTTTCACAAGGGTCTGTTTTCTTCTCCCTCTTAAACTCATGGATATATGTGTATACTGAGTGTTACTGACTTGGTCAGGGCAACTGGGTCGAGTGGCTGTCATTGGCGGATGTGTAGAGTATGCTTCCAAGTTCATTGTTCGGCTATGTTGGTATATATTGGGCTTTCCTGTCTGACTCTCTGGCTTGAAGCTATACCGGTGCTCCATATTTCTCTGCCATGGCATCTGCAAGACTAGGTATGTGAAATGGTTCAGCATTCTGACTCCAGACTAATGCTGCTGCTTGTAAAGGATGTGATATGGTAAGGCCAGGTCCTCGACATGAGAGGTTCAACCTGTCTGATATTGATAGAGCCATGTTATCTGTGAACGCTCAGCAGCGTCTGTATGTCTATGCACATTCTATGATGTTGATGTGTCAAGAAACTCATAGGATTTAGGTCATCAAATCGTATTCGCCAAACCTGATGGTTCACCCGCTCCTCCCGAGCAGCGAGACGGTCCAGAATCCCAACTCTATTGATGTATCGGCGCTGGCCAGTCCGATTGTTTCTATGCTCTCGCGTTTACATGTGTTGGTGATTGGGCCCGGGCTGGGTCGGGATGGCGTGACGCTTAAGGTGGTGGCAGAGGTTATGAAGGAGGCCCGATCACGTTCGGTCCCTTTTGTTTTGGATGCCGATGGCCTGCTTCTTGTGATGGAGAATCCAAACTTGGTCAAGGGATATAAAGAGTGTATCCTAACGCCCAATGTGGTGGAGTTTGGTCGTCTTGTCAAAGCATTGGGAATCCAGGTCCCCAGCCAAGATCAAGTCAAGGTTACGCCCGGCGAAGATAGAACAAGCAAGGAGACGGAAGCCTGCGAGGAGCTGTCGAATGCTCTCGGAGGAGTAACCGTCATTCAGAAGGGACCGCACGATGTGATTTCCAATGGCGTCACCAGCATCGTTTCTGACATTCCTGGGGGGCTCAAGCGAAGCGGTGGCCAGGGAGATACCCTCACTGGATCCCTGGGGACCCTTCTAGCTTGGAGAAGTGCTTACCATGATCGTCTTTGGGACTCGGGAGAACAGGACAACGTCAGGGAAGCATCAACCAAGGCGGAGGTCGAGTCGGAGTTGGAGACTGGGGGCAAACGGATGTCTCCAGCTACCACTCTTCTGCTTGTTGCTTGGGCAGGCAGTGGTATTACGCGCGAGTGTTCGCGGCGCGCCTTTCAGGCAAAGGGCCGGAGCATGCAGGCCAGCGATCTGACAGATGAAGTGCACGGCAGCTTTCTCTCGTTGATTGGCGAGCCCAGTGGATCCAAGGTCAATCTTTAGCAAGGCAAGCTTTTTCTAAGCTATACATAGTAGTCAATCGCAGCTCAGAGTTCCCTCCCTCTATCTCTTGTCTCAGGCCACCGACCAGGAAGGACACGAAATTTCTGAGTCTCATTCATGGTTCTCCCTTTCCGGTGGACTCAGCTGACTGTCTGTATGTGCAAATACCTCACAGGTCAGACGACTAAGCAGCTTGTATTGGCCAACTCGTCGTAAATCTGACGTCGAACGGACCCGAATCAGGTGAAACCTTGTGCAACGTCTAAAATAGAATAAACTCATGACAAAACAAGAACTGCGGATCTCCATGACGATTTCCGCATGCGGACAGCATCAGGTCAGATGAACACGCCCAGCGTTCTCACAACAACAACAACAGACTGTATCATAGCAGTTCACAGTCCATGGATGATGGGGGTTGTCACAGTGTCAGTTCAACGCCTTCATATTAAGCAGCAACCGTCAAGACAGATCCCCAGATGGGTTGCAAAAGGAGCAGCTCTTGGCCATCTGTCTCGATTGCAAGGTTGTTCCAGAACTCGTATTCAGATCCATGAACTCTAGATCTGCACCAGGGCACTCCCTACCAGAGAATAGCGCGCCTGAAGTGTACTTCCCCAAACGAACGAGTCATCAAAGAACGGTACTAATGTATTCTATCGTGGATTATGACACATTGACACGAACACTTCGAGGGAGCCTCATCGATGATTGTACATGTTTCAGCCGGTTCTTGGGTCTGTATCCGTCGTTCATGACTTCCCCATGTGAGGTGGCGGTTCAATTTGTCTGATCGAAGTGTGACTTGTACCAGGCAGGCTTGGATGGGGTGTCTGAGGAACAGGAATCGTGAAGGAAGGTGCTCTTGAGGGGGCTGGCTATATAAAGCTTGACCGGCCCTCTCCCAAGTCGTCGATCGGACACCAGAATCAAAGACTAGAATCAAAACTACTGCTTATTAGTCCACAAATACCACGTCAGATCTCACCTTCAGAAGAACACACTTGTACCCTCCACGATGCAGACTCGCCTCCTTCTTGCTCTCTTTGCCTCCGTCCCGGCCGTGCTGTCCGGTGTCATCCAGCATCCCACCTGCGGCACCTGCAACCCCGTCTCCGGTGAGAACACCTGCGATATCACCACCTCGTGCATCAACACGGGCACTCGGTTCCACTGTGCCTGTCGCGCCGGGTACAAGGCCTCGGCCGATAATGACGATATCACCCAGCAGTTCCGCCTGTCGGTGTCCAACTATGAGTTCCTGGTCTTCACACCCGAGAGCACCGTCTGTGACACCCTTTGTGACAATTCGCAGGGTGCTGGCCCTGATCTGTGTGCTGAGGTGCCCATTTATGATTCGTGCACTGTCTGATTTCCCTGTCGTCTTGTTGGCATGAGAATGGGGGGGAGGAGGGCAAGGCGGGGAAGAGAGAGAGAGAGAAAGAGAGAAAGATGTAACAGACGGAGAAAATGGCCGGAGCTGAATATCGAAGGAAGCTAATCGCCTGGCTGATAATTATTGATACTTCCAGTCCCTAAGGTTACTGTTTTTTTTAATGAATGAATGGACTACATGCTTTGCTGTTGAAATCAACGTTCAACCTCATCCAGCCGACAACTCGTCCATTATCGTATCCAGTCACTTTGACTACCTTGCTGTAGCTCAAGCCAAATAACACATAGATGACACCATAAACACCCCGATTCCCAGATTCAGCCAACTCCAGGGCCGAATCATAAACGCTCCGATGTCCAAAGAACACACAAGTCACGCAAGCATATAAGTTGAGGAAAGCTGAAGACGAAAAAAGGAAGACTACTGTGAGAGTAAAGGCCGTCACATCCCGTCCATGTTCTCGTCATCGTCCCCGGCTTCAATAAAGACCAGGCGTGTTCCGTTGCCAGTGACTTGCCAGACCTGTTCAAGGTTAGCTGGGAGGCACAACCCGGAGTAACTCAGAAGAAGGAAGAAACTTACCAAGAGGTTGGCATATTCATCAATGGCCATAGTGAGCTGATCCTCCGTGAAGCCCTTGGCCAGGACTCTCTCACGAACCTTCCTCATGCTCAGCTCGCCATCATCCCCATCCCCAACGGCTGCAGCGCCGCTTTCCCACATTCCCCGAATGAGGCTGTAAATCTTGCTGCTGGGAGTCTGGTCCAGACCAGCCTGTCCATCTTGGTCGAGAGATGCCTTGCTGGCATGAACCAAACGCAGAGCCTCATCGACATCCTCAATAACTACTTCTTCACTAAATCGAAGCCGTGCGAGGGCCTGAGACAAGCGGATCACACCCAAAAGCGTACGAGGCGTGACATGAGTGAACTGCTTCTTGCTTCCTTCATTCATCTTCTGCTTCTTACGCATGCTCACGTAAGCTCCTACCATGTAGTCGGAAATAGCCGAGGGCACAATAGGGCGATAGGTTCGAGCTTTGGCGATGTACTGGCGAACCTCGTGAGGTGCGAACATGACGCCCGAGTCCCCGGTTTCCGGGTGCTTGTTGTGCATGTGAACATAGGCCACGTGGTTTGCCAGTTCCTCGTCGGCATCGCGAGAAGGTGTGTCGAGGATGAGAAACAGAACATCGAAACGAGACAGAAGAGCGGCAGGGAGGTTGATGTTCTCCACGGGGGAGATTCGTGGGTTGTACCGGCCATAGAGCGGGTTGGCGGCGGCCAAAATGGACGTCCGCGCATTGAGCGTAGTGGTTATACCCGCCTTGGAGATCGAGATTGTCTGTTGCTCCATCACTTCGTGAATGGCAGTTCTATCTGCGTCATCCATTTTGTCGAACTCATCAATGCAGCAGATGCCGTTATCAGCAAGCACAAGGGCACCTCCCTCCAGCACCATCTCATCTGTGACTGGGTCTCTCATGACTGCGGCGGTCAGACCAACACCACTGCTTCCTCTACCAGTTGTATACACTCCACGTGGAGCGACCTTGGTGATGTACTTGAGTAATTGCGATTTGGCCACACCAGGATCACCCATAAGACAGATATTGATGTCACCACGAATATGCATTCCATCGCCCATCTCCTTCGTAACACCTCCGACTAGGAGCAGCAACAAGGCCTTCTTAACATCCAGATGGCCGTAAATTTCAGGCGCAATGGATCGGGATAGATAATCATACAAGTTGCCGGAGCTTGTATGTTGCTCGATCTTGCGAAGAGTGCGGCTGTCCATCATCAAATCATTGTATGCCTTCTTGTGCTGGGTGATATGCTGGGCTTCAAGATAGGTGTCTGTAAGCAGGCCCGCGCGAATGGCCCGGAAGCCCGTGTATGGAATCGGAAGGAAAATGCCATCGATATCGACGACGTCACCAGGGTTCAGCTGTCGTGTGAGACTACCATTGCAGTGCACCGTCATAGTGCGAGGAATGTGGCCAACGGGCACCTGGTCAGCCATTTCCTGGATCTTGACTTCTTGGAAAGGAATAAACTTGGAGGCGCGAGTTGATAGAAACAGTTGGCCCTTTGAGTTATTCCTTTTGCACTCCTCTGAGAGACACTCAGTCAGAGGGACAAATTGTCTGGTGGTGATCGGCTGGAAGACTTCACACCCACAGCGGTCGCAGGTATAGGCGTTGATCTGCACAGCCGGCTTCACATCTGACACACGGGTAGTTATGCCCCGAACAGTGATCAGGCTACCGAGGTGATCCGACCGCACGTTCCTTACAGCCAGAGCCTTGGTGTCTCGTTCGCTGCTCGACCCGGAGGGTGTCAGGGGCTTGAAGTTGAGGGTATACCGGCGGGTAAGCTCTGGGGGGAAGATTGACGGAGCAGTCACAGCATCAACATCCGCTTCAATCGCCATCGCCATCGTCTCGTTACGCTTCTCACGCTGGGACATGATCACATCGAGAACGTCGTCCTTGAATCTGGGCCAGTTAGCAGCAGTCACTTGCGCTCTCTCTCTCTCTCTCTCTCTCTCCCCGCGACGTCGCCTTACGTGATTTCCTTGGTTTCCTTTGGCATGACTCGATCCACCGCGTCGGAAAAGACATCAAGATAGCGCCTAGTGTTTTTTTGTATGGACTCAACAAGTTTCAGCTCCGAGTCCTCGGGCAGGGATTTTTCGAACTGTACGCCAGGTCAGCTTTGACATGTCGCAATCTTATTTGAAGCCCCCAACAAACTCCAGCGTGTACTGACAGTATTCAAGTCATCCAATTCAATCAGGATGTTGGTTTTCTCGCGATCGGCAATCTCTTGCAGAATCTGCATGTACTTCAACTTCGGCTCTCGTCGCCGCTTGTCGGCTCTAGATCTCTGTGCGCCGCTCTCATCGGCATCATCCATAAAGTCGTATTCATCGCTTGTTCCATCGCCATCAAGGTTCAGGTCTTCGATTGCCTCGGTTGCTGCGGCCTCGGACGCGGACTCGAAGGTTTTGAAATGCTTCAAAAAATCGGCAAACGCATCCACTTGCGCCCCGTAGTTGACGGGCGCAGGGTACTGAAGCAAAGCCATGGCGATGCGATCTGACAACCAGAGCAATTGGAATGAAACGATACAGCTGGCTTCCTGTCTGTGGTGCTTGAAGAAGAGTCTTTGTCAGGTCCCTCGCAGCGGTGCGGCTCTCGCACCTGCCAAAGTGGACTCGGCGGCGCCAACCGCTTTTGGACACAAACACGTCGCGACGCGCTCACACGCGTAGCGCATTCTTCAAATTGCACTAGTCCCAAAGCAGCAGCCTCCTGCCATGTGACCGCACGTGGGGTCGGAACGGATTAAGTCTCGGCCCGTCCCTCCCTGCCACGGCCGCCTCGGCGATTTGGGGCCATGCGGGAGACGCTGGGGGAGTCTGACGTTCGTCCTGGCCGTGTTTTCTGCTCTGCTCAGACAGCGCTTATCTTGTGGAAGATGGCACCTAAGAAGCCCTCCACTACGGCAGAGGTTGCACTCGTGCCCCTCAAGAACTGTCTGGTGAACCTGCCGCCTTCTCTGGTCTCTCTGCTGGTCAACGCCAACGCGGTAAGCTAGCTCTCTGTGTCTACAGTTCGTTCAGTGGCTCGGTGCTTATTCTATGTCCAGCCTGCACAGAATGTGATTGTGGAACTTCAATATCGCCCATCTGGGAGGAGCAGCGCGACGAATGGGAACACCACTCCACGGTCATGCTACCTGGGGTGGTCGGGGATGCCCAGCAAACGGAAGCTGGCGCCGATGCTGGGCAGAGACGGCATCAGCAGTGGCGCATCTGCTAGAGACCATGAGGTGTCTGCAGTGGAGATTGACATTACATTTGGAAAAGTTCTCGGCCTTGATGAGGGGCAGAAGGTAGGCCAAGTTCTTCTGCGTACTATCTGCTTATCTCGTGCTTGTTTCTCTGACCGGTGGACAGGTTGGTTTATTTATACACCTTGACCCTCCGGTCGCGCACACCATCAATATTGAGCCTCTAACACCGGAGGATTGGGAAAGTACGACGCTCGTGCCATCTCTACTCCGTGTATCGTTTTGTTTGGCAACTAACAGTGGTGGTTCTAGTCATCGAGCTGCACGCGACCTTCCTCGAACTCAACCTTCTCTCCCAAATCCGCGCCCTTCCCAATCCCGCCTATACCACAACTCAGGCGGGCCACATGCACCCCCTTACACTGCATCTGTCGCCCACATCTACAGCCAACATCGTTATTACATCACTCACACCACCTCCGCCATCTACCGCGCCGTTTGCAAAGATAGCCCCGGACGCGGAGGTTATAGTTGCGCCAAAGGTGCGGCAAAAGCCAACAAGACCGTCTCGTGGGGATTCACGCAGTGTTGCAGGTAGCAGCAAAAGAAGTGTCGGTGGAAGAAGCTCTGGAAGCGCGCCTCGGCCGAAAAGCAGTCGCGGGGATTCCAACGCTCGGAACTCGGTCTACTTGAGAGGCGTTGATCGGGAAGTAGCCAGCCAATGGTTCGACGACGAAGTGGATGAGGACCAGAACGATGGTTTCCGTATCTGGCTTGATCGAGATTTGCTGGCCAGCAACGAGCTTCGAGGGGCCAGCTGGGTGTGTGTGACCATCGTCCAGCCTTCTGGCACCAAACCACCACCCGACCCTCAAAAACAACTGAATCAAGCCGAGCAAAAGTCTGTCGAGCCAGGCCTGCCAGCTACAAAACTTGTGGCCAAACTATCTGCATGGGAAGATGCGCCTGACAGCCAGCATGTTGCCCTGTCGACGGTTCTATGCAAGTCGCTTGGTGTGGAAGGACTCGTAGGCGGAATTGTTCGCCTCGAGGCAGCGCCTCCGCAGCTTCATCGGTCCTCGGTGCAGTCTTTCAAAGTTTACCCATTCATGTCAGATGCCTCCAAGAAGAAGGATGGCCTAAGGTTCGGAGCTGACACAGCGGCATCAAAGGACGCGTTAGCAGAACGCATCAAAATTCTGTACGGCAGTACCGGATCAGATACTGGGCTCTTCTCTGGGTGTTTGACGGACGGCATGGTTCTCCCAAAAGACTACAATCAACTCGCTGTATCCGCATTTGACGGCGCCATCCTCCGCTTCGACCCTCCTCTGCAAAGCGAGTCCGATTCATCAAAGACCGGGTTTGGGTGGCTTCTAGGCGCCGAACTCAAGCTTAACGTGGAAATACAGAACGAGATCCAAAGACCCACAGAGCAGAATCCAGTGACCCTAGCGATTGAGGACTCTGTTCCTCGTACTTCCCCTGAGCTGGTTGGGATTGATTCGCTTATTTCTCAGTCGCTTGCGAACCTGACCAGATCCTCTTCTATCATGGTGACTGGCGGTCTTGGGTCAGGAAAGACTGCCCTCACGCATCTCCTGTCGCATCGACTCCGAACGGACTATCTTTTCAACGTCAAGTATTTTTCATGTCGTAAGCTAGTGACGGACGAAACGCGAGTCTCCAACATCAAAGATACTCTTACTCGGCTGTTCATGTCTGCATCCTGGTGCGCTCGACTTGGTGGTCAGTCGGTAGTCATCCTAGATGATCTGGACAAGCTGTGTCCTGTCGAGACCGAACTGCAGGTAGGTGGCGAAAATGGCCGCAGCCGGCAAATCAGTGAGATTATCAGCTCGGTGGTGCGAGAATACTGTTCATTGAGTTCTTCGGTCGTGTTGCTTGCCACCGCGCAGTCCAAGGAGTCGCTGAACAATGTTCTTATTGGCGGCCATCTCGTTCGCGACTTCATTAACCTGAGAGCTCCTGACAAAGATGGGCGACGAAAGGTTCTTGAGAAACTTACAAGTCAAGACCGAGCCAAGGAATCGATCAATGGCCATGCACGAAGCGAGAGCGTTTCATCCACCCACGACTCCTGGCTGGATCCTTCGAATCCTGGGAGCCGCCCAAGCACTGCGGGTGGTGAAGGGTTTGTTCTTTCGCGAGACGTGGATTTTCTTGACCTGGCGGGCAAAACAGACGGGTATATGCCGGGAGATCTGGTGTTGCTTGTCGCTCGTGCCCGGAATGAAGCTTTGATACGATCCGTTCAGGATGCCCAGGCAACGACCATCAGCCTAGGGACGGACGACTTTGATCGTGCTCTAAAAGGGTTCACGCCAGCCTCTCTGCGTAACGTCACGCTGACATCCTCTACGACCACATTTTCCGCTATCGGAGGTCTGCACGAGACGCGTAAAATGCTTCTGGAAACATTACAGTACCCGACGAAATACGCGCCTATCTTTGCGCAGTGTCCTCTCCGTCTGCGATCCGGGATTCTGCTATACGGTTTTCCCGGGTGTGGCAAGACGATGTTGGCCAGTGCCGTGGCTGGCGAGTGCGGACTGAACTTTATCAGCGTCAAGGGCCCTGAGATCTTAAACAAGTATATCGGAGCCAGTGAGAAGAGTGTACGCGATCTTTTTGAGCGAGCGCAGGCGGCGCGGCCGTGCGTGTTGTTCTTCGACGAATTCGACAGTATTGCGCCTAAGCGTGGCCATGACTCGACAGGGGTGACTGATCGCGTGGTGAACCAGCTGCTGACGCAGATGGACGGCGCCGAGGGCCTGTCTGGCGTGTATGTGCTGGCCGCAACGTCTCGACCAGACCTGATCGACCCTGCCCTACTACGACCTGGCCGTTTGGACAAGTCGCTGATCTGCGATATGCCATCGCATTCAGATCGGGTCGACATTATCCAGGCCGTCAGCACAAAGCTAACCATGAGCGCCGAGGTGCTCGACCGGCTCGACGAGATCGCGGCGAGGACAAACGGCTTCTCGGGCGCCGATCTCCAAGCCGTTGTGTACAACGCTCACTTGGAGGCTGTGCACGATGCTCTGGGCGACCACTCGTCGACTACTAAGAGCAGCAATGCTACTACTACCAGTACTGCTGCTAGTACCAAGTCGGCGTCCAAGTCGTTCCTACAATTCCTCTACTCATCTTCGGAGCAACACGCAGGCTCGGTCTCGATGCCCCCGGCCGCCGTGGTTGCCGCCAAACTCGACGCCATCAAACAATCGAGACGCCGCCAACGACAGATTGAGCAAGGGGTGACGGGAGCGCAGCAGCCGGCGCCGGCCAACATGAACGGGAGCGCACCCGACGAGGCGCGGCAGGAGATCATAGTACACTGGGAACACATGGAGCGGTCCCTAGCCACGACGCGCAGCTCGTTGAGCGAGACGGAGCGACGACGGCTGGAGGCGATCTACCAGGAGTTCATCTTTGGTCGCAACGGAGAGATGCCCAACGGAGACGGCGGGAGAGAAATCGGCGGGCGAACCAGCCTTATGTGATTTATTTATAACATTCCGTATACTATTTAAAGTATATATTACCTACAAAGTTTTATATAACCATGGTTGTTTACCGTAGTCGATGTAACTTTGAAAAGTGTATAAAAAAAAAAAAAAAGGGTCACTCTCCGCTTCGAACCAGCGACGGTCCCTTTTTACTGGAAGCTACATCTACAGCGTATACTTCGCACCTCCAAATTGGGTCTGTAACGATTCAAAAAAAAAACTGGTAGCTTCTCTTTGATTGAGCGTGTCATCCTTAGTGCAGGGGCCATGCTAATCTTCTCTGTATCGTTTCAAATTGACCAAATGCCCGAAGGCACTTGGTTACCCTTAAGGTGGTTTATAACGGGAGCAATGTTTCTGCCTTGTGATTGGTCAACTAGCCGAGATCTACTACCCTTCATCTGAGCCCTACCTAGACGTAAGTTAGGTAGGTAAGGTAGGAACCCAAGTACCTAGGAAGTATCAAAGGCTAACTTTTTTATTTCCAGATTATACTTGGTTGGTGTAAATTGAGGGATAAAGGTTCAAATTTCAACTGTGACAAGAGTTGAAGTGGGATGTGTGATTTATCCCGAGACATTTTAAGAAAAGACCTAGAACCAGCAACCCTATGTGGAGTCCTTAAAGGTCTATCCTATAGGCTGGTAGATAATAAAATCACCGAGGTTAGTAGGTAAGCGTACCGGCTCCAAGGAAGGGTAAGGTCTGGTCATTGGTTAACAGATAGAGTGATGATTTCAAGCACTAGAAGGAAAACAACTGATGACCTCTGGCTTATAATTTAGGGTTCAGGTTTATCTACAGTCAATGCTCATGATCGAGTACATCTATATTGCGCATTTATCATAACATTCCGGGGTTCGTTTCTCAGCATCAATGATCAATCCTGACGAGCCGGATCCAAGGCAGGCTTGTTCTCCAACAGTTCGTCGATCTCCGCCAGGATCTCTGGGGTGAGCTTGGGCAGGAGCTTGAGACTCTGGACGTTATCGACGATCTGCTCTGGCCTCGAGGCCCCTGTGATGACGGCCGAGACGTTTTCGTTCTTCAGGCACCAGGCGAGTGCCAGTTGCGAGAGCTTGAAGCCGAGTCGATCTGCCAGAGCCTGTTCATCATTAGATAAGCCAATCATAGTTGAAAGAGAGAGAGAGAGAGAGAGAGAGAGAATAGATTTTACCTTCAGCTTGATCACTTTCTGAATGACGCCCGACCACTCATCCTTCTCCCAGTCCCTACGGACCTGGTTTGCAAAGCGATCCTGGCTCTCTGAAAAGCGAGACCCAGCCGGCGGCTCCGTTGTGGCATCGTTATACTTGCCGCTCAGCAGGCCCATCTTCAGCGGGGAGAAAGTGGTGAGACCGATTCCGCAGCGGGTATACAACCGCTGGAACTCGCCCTCGACCTTCCTGCGGTCGAGAAGGTTGTACAGCGGCTGCTCGACGATGGGGCCCACGAGCCCCAACTGTTTAGCAATGCCGCACGCCTCGCTGATCTCGTCGGCGGACCATTCCGAGGTGCCCCAGTAGAAAGCCCAGCCCTTGTCGATGACGTGGTTGAAGGCTCGAACCGTCTCCTCCATGGGTGTCAGCCGGTCCGGGCGATGGGCGTAGATGATGTCCACGTATTCCAACTGCAGGCGCTCGAGCGAGGCGCGCGTCCCCTCGACGATGTGTTTCCGGGACAGTCCATGGTTATTGATGAGAATCTCGCCGTTTGCCATTCCCCAGTTGAGCTGTATAAGAAGAAAAGTGAGAAAAGAAGGAAGAAGAGAAATTCGGAGGAGCAAGACGTCTTACCTTGGTGCTGATAACCAGGTCGCTGCGCTTCCAACCGAACCTGCGAATCGCTTCACCCATGACGATTTCCGACTGACCGTTGGCATAGCTGTGCATGTGAGCTGGCTATACTGATACAATGTTCAGCGAACTCGCCTACCTTTCCGCCGTATCGAAGAAGTTGACTCCGCAGTCGTACGCCTGCTTCATACACGCAAAAGTGACCTCTCATCATTCTTAGTCTTTCTCAAAAGAAACCAAATAAAATAATAATAACGTACCGTTATCGACATGACCGCCAAATCTATCGGATCCCGGTATTAATCAATGAGACAAGCAGAGAAGAGAAAGAGAGCTCTCACGTCAACCATCCTCCCAGTCCAATTGCAGAGACATGAAGGCCCGAGTTTCCCACCCGGCGGTACAGCATGTCTTTGTTCTTGTTGGGCCAGGCCATGATTATTGTTATGGATTCAGTAAAATTACTACCTTGCGAAAAGAAGAAAAATAAAAGATGCAGAGCAGACAATTCCCTTATTTATTGATCTGCGGAGTTATTCTCGGGGGTTCCACCTTGACAATTGTGAAGAACGGTTAGATGGGAACCAAACTTCCATCGTCTGAAGTATACTCCGTAAGACTCCATTATTTTTGAGTCAATCCGCGCTCGTACCTCATTCGACAATTATCATAGCTTCCCCTGCTGTCGCATCGGCCTCGGCATGGCGTTTGCTGTGGAGAGGTTCACGCCATCGCAGGCCAACCAGTGGAAACGGTGACGATAAACGGCCGAAGCAAAAGTGTCGCTGTCGGTTTTCTGCCCGCCGTTTTGGCAGTAGAGAAACTGTAGCAACGAGGTCATTAGCTAGACTATACTTCGATAAAGACCATGTCGTCGACAAAAAGAGCCTGCGATGGCTGCAAGATTCGCAAAGTCCGCTGTGGTGGTGGCCAGCCCTGTCGCTCCTGTCTCAACGCAGGCCTGCAGTGCACGTTTATCCGCATCCAGCAGCAACGAGGGCCACAACAGCTGCGTTGCACGACGCGACTGCTGATCGAGCAGACGCAGCGGCTGTCGACATCAAGCACGAGGTAGGAGAAAGACGTTTGTGAGTTCTATTTAATACTCTGCTGACTCTTTTGTAGAATCCCCCTCAACGTGTTGGCGACCACCCTCTCGATCTACCAAGCCCGCCTGTACCCCGTCTGGCCCGTTGTGGACGACGTCGCTGTGCTCGCGACTCTACGGCACGAGGAAACGGAGGATGGCGAGACATACGTGCTGGCGACGGCTCTGGCGGCAGCAACAATGGCTCAGCTACGTCTACACCAGCGAGATATCCCCGGGGAGAGCAGCCAGGCAGAGGCGTTGGTGGCGGAATGCCTGCGTGTCCGGTCTGCCTTACGCTATCGCTCGCTCTGCTCCCTGCACGCCATCCGTACGTCGTTCTTCCTGCATGTCTATTATGAGAATCAGCAGCCGGGAGGCAGTGAGTCACTGCTGTACCTGCGCGAGGCCATCTCCTACGCCCAGATGATGAAGCTGCACCGTCAGTCTGCCTACCCGGGCGTCGATCTCGTCGAGGAGGATTTGCGTCGGCGTGTGCTTTGGTTGCTCTTCGTTACAGAGCGGTAAAGCTATTATTACCATTAAAAATTCTGCTGTCAGATGGCTTATTTTTTTTTTCCATAGAGGCGTTGGGCTCCTGCACCACCTGCCCATCGTGTTGAAGACGAATATCTGCCCGCCCCGGATCGATGATGACTCGCACTTCCTGCCTGCCTTCCTCAATCTGCTCAACCTCTTTCGACTGCTGGACCAATGGCGCGTCTTCGACATGATCCAAGACGATAACGATGATAACGACGATGATAAGGATAATAATGATGACTATGATAATTATGGTACCTATAATAACAACAGTGAACAGACAATACCCCGAAACCCCCTTACAAGCAGTGGAAAACGCACGATCCTGGCCACACTGCAGCGCCAGCTGCAGCAGGACGGGGCTATATTCCCGCTCGATGCCGTTTCTGACGTACAAAAGGCGGACCTGTGCGTGACCCGACACTGGATGCGGATGATCCTGTGGAAGCTGTCCTGCCGCAAGGAAACGGAGACCGCGACGGCCACCGGGATGGGAATGAGGATGGTCCGGGCCTTCCCTGTCATGGTTGCCACAGAACTGTTGCACATCATCTCCCGACTGCCACGGTCTGCGCTCGAGGCCCACGGGCTCGGCATGGAACTGAAGATCTACGAGATTGCCAGCTCGCTCGCAGACGCTGTCGCTTCTACTACTTCATCCTTATCTTCGTTTTCTTTTCCATCTCCCACTTCGTCAGGCGAGAGTCTACTCGCTCGCCTGCACGCCATCCTGGCGATGGTCTGGGGAGGTACCAACCAGCCCCTAGTCGACATGCTGCACCGTAAGATGGCCGGCCCGGCTCTCTCGACAAATCCAGCGCTTCCTCTCCCTCTCCTAGGCCCGTCTCTACTACTTCACCCGGTTGAGACGGAGACGGAGACGGAGACGGAGATGCAGACTCCCACAGTGGCCGTCAACCAATTGTTCGAAAGTCAGCAATTTGACGGTGACATGGATTTGCTGGATCTCTCGAACCTCTCTGGAGGCATTTCGTTTCTGGATCACTATCCCCCGGAGATTCCCCCGTCTGGACTACTATCTAATCTGACGTCCGGGTATGAAGAGTATCTCTATAATGAATGAACCTATATCATGACGCTACTGTATCTCTCTTACGATAATGTGCTTACAGTTATAATTCATTATCATTCATCATCACTATCTTATATTTACAGTCTCCCCTCTACATCCTCCCTCCGTGACTTGGAGTTGGGGTCAAAATACGGCGCCTCGCCTAGACTGCACACGCGGTCTCCGGCGCGCGCCTCTGCATAGTCGTACGTGGCCGTGTGCCAGGTTGATCGGTTGTCCCAGATAGCAAGGTCGTTCTTGTTCCACTTGAAGCGGACCTGGGCGTCGTGATTTTGTGTGACAAGCTGTTCAGTCAATAGTCTGCAGGTCACTATAGGGGGGAATATATTTCTTACGTTGAAGAGATAGTTGAGAAGCACGTCCGACTCGTCTTTGGAGATGCCGTTGATGCGCTTTGTGAAACCCTTGTTCACGTAGACCGATTTCCAGCCGGTGACAGCTGATGTTGTTAGCATAAGACTTTGCTATATTAAGCAGTCATTTAGGAAGGATGTATTGCGTACGGTTCGTGCGGATCACAGGATGTACCGCCTGTAATTCCTCGCCACGGTTCAATGGAGAGCCTCGCTCACCCTTGCGAAGGGGGTTCCCCAGCCGGCGGGCCTCATCGTGGAAGAAGCTCGCGTCATGGGTAGCAGTCAGACCCTCTAGAAACCGCGCCATGGGCTTCGAGAGCCGGTCGTACACCTCATACCCGGAGGCCCAGAGGGTATCTCCGCCCGTCGGGGGTAAGGTATGGATCTTCAGCATGGCGTAGTCAGAGGGGACGCGTTCGAAGGTGATGTCGCTGTGCCAGCCGGCGGAGGCGAAGCGGCTCACGTCGCTGAGCTGGTGCGTGAGGCCACCGCCTTTCTTCTGCTTCTCGCTGCTTATCACGCTGATCTGGTCGCCTAGCTCGCTGCCTTCTTCGGTGAGGGGGTGGATGTGGAGAGTTGACGAGGCGGGCTAATCAGTTAGTAAAACTTATCCATCACTGAAGTCTGGTGTGTAGAGTGTAGTACTGACACATCCTGCCAGAGCTGTCATCTGCTCGCCCAACTGACGCATCTGATCCGGCGTCACTTGCTGGTCACGCAGAAAAACCACGCCTCGTCGAGATACTAGAACGACTCAGTATATATATTTTGCATGTCATCTTTTGAATCTCAATATCCTACCAGTCACTGCCAGGTCTCGAATCTTGCGCTCGCTGTCCGCCGCCTGCAGCAGATCCGACACCTGTACCCCGCGATACTCCCTGCCGATCACCGGTGTCAAGTCGGTATAATCAAAGGCATCCAGCGAGCCGGACGATTCGAGCGGCGCGGAGATGCTCGGCCGGGCCAGCTCATGGCCACCGAAGATACCCGATGGGGTGTTGTCCAAAGCTCCGGGCATGATGGATATGTATGTATGTATGTATGTTTGTTTGTTTGTATGTTAAGTGATATAATTCAATGGTAGAGAGTAGGTTTCTCCATGTTCGGATAGATCATGTTCGTTGGCTCTTATACCTCGGTAGATCTCCACACCCCGGCTAGGCAAGATGATGCATCTTTACTCTCCATGGCGTGATAGCCCCGGTCTTCTTCTCGGTGGGGGGTCGGCGAAATTCTCGGCGCCTGTAAGCCGTTCATAGGCGGGGGATTTTTTTTATTGAATTTCTTTTATACTCTTTTTGGGGCGTGCCTTTTCTTATCTGGGGCCTCATGAAACGACTCTGCATCCGCTGGATGGAGTGTCCTCCGTAGTGAGTAACAACAGCCCACGTTTTTAACCTTTTTTTGCCCTGGCACAGCGCAAGCCAAGCAACAATTGGTAGCGACAGTGCTCCAGTAGCACCATTGTCGGTGCCGATGATGTGCTCGAGATGGATTCCAGACTATGCAAAGGTCCATAATTGCTTCGTAGGCGTTGGAGTATAAAATCCAGGTGCATTGCCCCTGCCCGTAGCCAAGGGATCACCACCCACGCGTTGAATTAATCTTTTTTTTCGAAACCTGGTGGACAAGTAGTGAAGATGGCTGACGTGGAGAAAGGCGTGTCCAAGGCCGCCAGCGATATTGGAGATGAGACCTCGTCCATCTCCATCCAGATCGGTCAGGACCACCTGGCCGATGTTGTCCCCCCACACGAGTCGTACGAGGGATACCATCGCTTCGACCCGACAGCCACCTGGACGGCCGAGGAGGAGAGGGCGGTGGTGTTCAAGACGGACATACTCCTGCTCTCTTGGATCTGTTTCATGGTGTGTGTGTCTCTTTGTCTTAACTATGACCTAGACCTTTAGTAGTACTAAGACTTCCCGTCCAGTTCTTCGGACTCCAGCTCGATCGGGGCAATCTCTCAAATGCCCTGACAGACGACTTTCTGGCCGATCTAAACATGACGAGCGACGACTACAACGATGTGAGCCGGGCCTTTGCCCCGTGAAAAACAGGAAATGATGTGCGCGTGCTCACCTCGTTTCTCTCTATTTAGGGCAGTTCTATCCAGTTGGTGTGTTTTCTGACTGCCGAATTCCCTGTCCAGATGGTCATCAAGCGCCTGGGATTCCGCCGTGTGCTGCCTGTCATGGTCATGTTGTGGAGTATCGTTTCATTCGCGCAGGCGTGGATGACAGGGCGGGCCTCGTTCTTTGTGACGCGTGCTCTGATCGGGGCCCTGGAAGGAGGCTTCATCCCCGGTACGATCCTCTTCGCCACGTACTTCTACAAAAGCAAGGAGCTGGCCATCCGACTGTCCCTGTTTTGGGCGACATTGAACGTGGCACGAATCGTCTCGTCCCTGTTGGCGGCTGGGATCCTGGAAATGCGAGGTACTGGCGGCAAACCAGGCTGGTTCTGGCTGTTCCTCATCGACGGCCTGCTCACGTTTGTCATTGGAGCAATTGTAGGACCTCCCCTCTTTTCAGGTTATTGATTTTTTTTTTTTTGACACTTAGTCTCTGCAGAGCTTCTTATATCTGCCTTCGTCACCGACCAACACCACCAGCGTCCTGGTGCGCAAGCCGTGGTACACACCTCGCCAGGAGACGATCATGATCAACCGGCTACTGCGCGACGACCCATCCAAGGGTTTGACGCACATCCACGAGGCTGCCACTTTCCGTGACGTGCTGAATACCTGGAGCGACTCCTCCATGTGGGGGTTATACTTTATCGGGCTGATCGCGTACATCCCGCAGTCGCCCGTCTCGTCGTACCTGTCGCTGACGCTGAAACGCCTCGGCTTCGACACCTTCCAAGCCAACATGCTGAGCATCCCGTATGCCGCGCTACAGATCATCTGCATGCTGCTGCTCTCCAAGAGCAGCGACTACTTCGGCGAGCGCACCTGGCACTGCTTCTTCGGCGAGTTCTGGTCCCTGCCGTTGCTGGCCGCGTTGCTCTCCTTGCCCAACGGCGGCGACGACTGGGGACGCTTCACCATCTCCACGATGATCGCCGGGTACCCGTACTTCCACCCGATCGTCTCAGCCTGGATCTCGGAAAACACCTTCGACGTGAAAAAACGAGCCATCACGGCCGCGACGTACAACGTGATCGTGCAGATCGGGTCGGTAATCTCTTCGCGTGAGTACCCTCTTATTGATCATTCTATCGTTAGTATATCACTGATTATTGAAGAAATCTATCGAACCGATGACGAACCATACTACCACCGGGGGAACAAAGTGCTCATCTCCATCTGCTGTCTGTCGCTGGCTGTGTTCGTGCTACAGCGTCAGTACCTGCGATATCTGAATCGGCAGAAGGAGAGGAAGTGGAACGCCATGTCGCATGAGGAGCAACTCGAATATCAGGCCGACAGGGAGGCACGAGAAAAGGAGGGCAACAAACGCCTGGACTTCCGATTCAAGTACTGACGATGCATTGTAATGAAATTTATAGACTATCTTCGCTCTAGCTCCTTCCCTAGATATAAAACGGGCTCTATTAGAATTGAATAGACGATTATGATTCTTCTGGCTGAACTCCAGCTCGGAAAAGGGGGGTCTTTCCCAATCCGGCCTAGTGGTAGTGCTCTTTCGCTCACCTCCTCCTCATTATTTAGACTTCATCTTTCCTTTGCTCCTGACATCCAGTCGTACCTGCAGCCCAGACGAGCAGACACAGAGTTCTATGACTGATTGTGTTCTCTAGAATCTATCGCCGACCCTAGAAGAGGATGATGGCCTGGTTCCCCTTTGGTTCAGAAAGGATTGGGAGCACTGGGAATCATATAAGGGCCTTCTAGCCCATGGTCTGTATTCTCTGAAAGATTACTTAGATGTTGATTAATATATACTTACCCAATAATAATATCTACAGGTTCGTCATCTACCTAGGGTTCATGCTACTCTACGATCGGTATCTCCGAACAGTACGGAGTAAGGGCGGTTCGGTTCGAAAAGAATGGCGATTGTGATCTAACGATTAATGCACGAGTCCGACATGCGTCAGGAAAAGGCAAGCAAATCGAAATGACTTTCGGACGTCGAGAGGGAATACAATATCCTGCTCTGATAGGAGTACCGATATGCAGAGTCTCTTGACGGTATGGTACAGAGAGGATGACGGTATTCTCAGTGAACAGGGAGTATTGTTTAGGAGGTAAAGGTCTCATCTCATGATTACTTGACTGTTATTTAACCAATGATTCAACTAATATTATACTGACCCTGAACTTGAATAAGCCCTTCTATCCCTGTGCTGATGGTATCCACAAATCTGGGGTCCCCGCATTCATTATCATACTCTATGCAGACAGGTATATTATTATGTTTGGGTAGCTAGGAATGTTCTTTTGGCTAACTAGTTGTCTAGTTTGATTATATCATTATGAAAAATAACAACCATCAAGCATGGTACAGAAATCGAGGTACATGCGATTAGTGGTAGAAAGAATAGGCAATAATTGCTGGCTGCTGCTCATGCTGATGCTTTAGTTCACCAAGGTAACTATTGGTTGAATCTCAATACTACGCTACTTGCCACTTCCCCTCCCGGATATGATAATCTGCCGAGGTTGGACAGGCCGATAACCGACTCAGCTTCTCAAACCCCCGGGCTAACTTGCTGTCTACCTTCCCTGAAGTTACATGAGTATTGTTCGTGGTTATTGGGATATCTCGGATACGTGTAGCCAACGAGCTTTCCCCGCACAGAATGCCAACTGCGTCTCTGTATCCCCCGGTCGATATTCCCGACGTCGATCTGTGGACGTTTCTCTTTGAGCGCAAAGAACGACCATTCCCAGAGGACCAGAGTGAGTGGGAAGATTTTTTTCATCGAGGAAAATCAATTTCTTGGTGAGTTGCGAGGCTAAAATTATGATTTCTTCGGTCAGTCATCTACCAGGATGCAGACACACGCCGCTGCTACACCTACCAAGAGGTTCGACAGGCAGCACTGGACTTTGGCAAGGGCCTCAAGGCGGCCTGGAACTGGCGCAAAGGCGATGTGCTGGCCCTCTTCACGCCCAACTGCATCGACACCCCCGCCGTGATCTGGGGCACCCACTGGGCGGGAGGCGTCGTCTCCCCGGCTAACCCGGCGTACACGGTCGACGAGCTGGCCTTCCAGCTGAAGAACTCCGGGGCCAAGGCTTTAGCAACACAGCTCGCGCACCTGTCTGTTGCGACCGAGGCGGCCAGAAGAGCCGGGATCGCAGACAACCGGATCATCTTGCTCGGCGACCAGCGCCATCCCGCCGCCCGCTTCAAGCATTTCACTACCATCCGCAACATCGAGGGGACCGCGCGCTTCCGTCGGACGAAGGTCGACCCGGCGAAAGACCTGGCCTTCCTGGTCTACTCGTCTGGCACAACGGGGACGCCCAAGGGGGTCATGCTCTCCCACCGCAACATCATCGCCAATATCCTTCAGTACAAGGCTGGGGACAGGAACCTCAGCTGTCATGGAGGACCAGATGGCAAGGGTGACCGCGTCTTGGCTTTTCTGCCTTTTTATCACATTTACGGTACTTCCTACCAACTCGCTCTATCTCACATTAAAAACATTACTAATCTTCCCAGGCTTGACTGTTCTGATCCATCAAGCCATGGATTCCGGCCTGCACCTCGTAGTGATGGCCAAATTTGACCTGGAGAAGTTTTGCGCGCATATCCAGGACTTCCAGGTCACGCTGGCGTACGTGGCGCCGCCGGTGGTGCTCCTGCTCAGCAAACACCCGGTGGTGGACAAGTACGATCTGTCGAGTCTGAAAATGATGAACTCCGGGGCGGCGCCATTGACGCAGGAGCTGGTCGAGGCGGTGTATACGCGGATCCAGTGCGGCGTCAAGCAGGGCTACGGGCTCAGTGAGACCAGCCCGACGACGCACACACAACCCTGGGCGGACTGGCGCCGCACCGTCGGCTCCGTGGGCAGGATGCTACCCAACCAGGAGGCCAAGTACATGACCATGCCGGAGGATGGGTCTGCGCCGCGCGAGTTGCCCGTCGGCGAGACGGGCGAGCTGTACCTGCGCGGGCCCAACGTCTTCCTGGGCTACCACGGCAACCCGGCGGCGACGGCCGAGTGCCTGTCGGCGGACGGCTGGTTCCGCACGGGCGACGTCGGCTACCAGGACGCTGAGGGGAACTTTTTCATTACGGATCGCGCGAAAGAGCTCATCAAGTACAACGGTTTCCAAGTAGCGCCCGCCGAACTGGAGGGCATCCTGGTCGGCAGCCCGGCCGTCGACGACGTCGCGGTCATCGGTGTCCACAGCGCCAGCCATGGTACTGAAGTCCCCGTCGCGTACGTCGTGCGCAGCGCCCAGAGTAAAGAGTCAGGTCGCTCCGCTGAGGATGAGGCCGCCAGCATTGCCCACTGGCTCGAGGATAAAGTCGCCTACTACAAACGTCTGCGCGGGGGGGTGCACTTTGTCGACGAGATCCCCAAGAGTCCGAGTGGGAAGATTTTGCGGCGGGTTTTGAGGAAGAATGCACAGTTAAAGCAGGATAGTATAAGAGCGAAGCTATAATACATATACACTACTGTACCCTTGTATGCTGTATATTGTATATTATACGACAGTATATTGTATATTAATTAAACCTCGCCACCATGGCATCGACATCCTCACCGTCGACAGCATCAACCTTATCCCTGACAACGCGCTCTACCGCCTCATCGACCGGTTCCTCCCCGTTTAACAAATCGTACCAGCCATGCGTGTCCTCCCTGGCCAACAACTTATCCGCCACGATGGCGACATCCTCGCGGGTAACGCTTCCCTCTGCGCGAGTCTTGCCTAGCTGCACCTCTCGCGTTGCCGGTCCGTCAGCCAGTAACCCAGGCCGCAGCAGGATAGACTGGAAGCTGCCACTGGTAGCTTGCTTCTTTCTAGCAAGAGCAGTCATGTACTCGTCTGCTTCTAGTTTCGCGCGGTAATAAACTGGAAGCACCGCCTCGTTGAAGTACCGTATACGTCCCCAGTCCCCATCGGACATCCAGGAAGGCTGGCACCTCCGACTGCCAAGATGCGAGATGAGAAGGATCTTGGAGACTTTCTTCGAGGCAAATGCCGTGCTGATGAAGAACTTGGCCGCGTTCTGGTCGATGGCTATTGTTCGATCGGGGGATCCTTTTCCTCCGGCTCCTAAACACAGTAAATATATCATCTACCGCTTTCTATATCCGTTTATATATATATGGATGCTTACCTGCCGCCCAAACAACATAATCCGGCGAAACAGTATCTAGGATAGCCTGTGCGTCTGCCTCGCAACGTACGTCGTCAAGACTACTCAGCAAAACATCCAGATGACCAGGCTGTCCTTTGGCGAGGGCTAGGATTTCGTTTTCATGTTCTGGGTTGCGGATCACGCTGGTCACAGACCAGGAGCGGGCGAGGAACAGCGGGGTCATCGCCATGGCGACATTGCCGTGGCCGCCGAGGAGGAGGACGCGAGGCATTGTAGTGTATATCGTAGATGGAGATGAATGGAGATGGAGATGAATAGAGATGTATCTATATAGAGTGGGTGGGAGTCTGAAGAATGTAGCTGAAACTCGAGCGGGGTATGACGTGATGTAGTATGGAGGGACACTGTGACACAGTCGCACAGAGTTAGGAGTAGAAGTTTTGAAGTATTAAATAGCAATAACTAGCATATGAGTACTATTATGATATATATAATATCAGGAATCATGATTATTATTGAAAATGCTATGGATAAAATATTGTACTAGGTGATTATACTGTCTAATTTGCTATAATATACACATTTCCGTTATTCTCTTCAACAATCCGAAATGGTGTAACGGTCAACATCGCCGTCTTTCACACGGCAGCTCGGGGTTCGATTCCCCGTTTCGGAGCTTTCTTTTTTTCCCCCTCTATCTACTTTGTATATACTACACATACATACACTACTTACTATAGAGCGACTCAACTCACTCTTCTTATTATTATTTATTACATTCACCCTGACATAAATAACATGCGTGGGTTAGTATATGGTTAGTCTTTTCTTTAGATTCCACACTACCATGAAATATAGGAACTACGATATGGATATGCTCACGCAGAATACCGGCGTACATATATAATGTTGACATAACTACCGGTAAAGATACCACGAAGTGTGGGTTAACATTTTGGTCGAGTAGTCTGCCAGATATTAGAAGATTGGAATCCCCCGAAGATCCAGTAAGAGGCATAACCAGAGGAGACCTGAAAAGACCAGAAAAAGCCAAAAACTCGTGATCAAAGACATCCTCTCGCACCGACTTTTTTGTTGTCACCGACCGAACTTTCCCCATCGCCGAGAAAATATAGGTCTCGGAGGCGCTGCAAATCCAGCCGCTGCTCATGACTGAGTGCACTGAGGCATTCACTGCCTAGGACCAGGAGGCATCGGCGAAGACAGGCTAATAGGCCTTGGCCCCGTGGCTGTTGGAGAAACCAGGCGATTTCAAATAGTTATTTAATAATTATATATGCCTTTGACACCACAGGCCGATATAAGCCCTCAATGGCATCAGGCCACCTTGCCCTGGGCAATCTGGTGGGCTCAGAACATGACCTTGGTCAGGACTTGTCACAGGGGAACCTCCCCAAGGGCTGCGGCCTGGCGTCGTCTTTCTTGATCCTTGGCCTCGAATTCAACAAAGTACGCCAGGTTAGTCGTCACAAACACAAGGCCTGGATATAGAGCACAGTCAAACTGGTCGTGGCAAGTGGAATAAAATGCGATCACGCTCAGACAAGACATGAGCAGGTAGTTCATTAGCCCTAGACCCCTCTATAGCAATACCTACAGGCTTATGATCAGCACTGTCGTTTTTCATATATATATCTACAGATGCCCTACCTAACGGTCCTCTTTCGCCATGACGTGGCACACTCGTGGTGATAGATTTAGCTCGCAGTTCAGTTGCCTCCGAGAAGACGCTGAACTGATTCGTTGAGCCGACCGTTGTGCCGACGTTGAGTCATTAACATTTGAGACTGGCCATCATCATTGAAGGTGGGTAAGTCGTACGCATTGGCGGTAAGACGGTGTCTGATGTGGTCGATATATGATCGTATATGTGAGGATCGTTCCGCATCTGTTCATATGAGCACCACCCGAGTTCCGTGGTTGCACCACGACGCTTAGTGCGGGCGATGGCCACGATCTGACGTCTCGAGTCAACAGTGATCTCTCTTGTGATACAGTGATAATGCTGATAGCTCGTGCCTGGATCACCCACTTTGTGAAGAGATCGAGGGTTCTTCCGCCCACGGTTTGTTGCTGGTCTTCCTGGCGTAACCTACCTCCTTCCTCGACGACGAGAACCCATGAAGTTTGCCTCAAGGTCGTCAACGGACTGGAACAACAGGGTCATAACTACATACTGTTGCGAGAGGTCCAGGATGCGGAAGAGATAGGTGATGGATGAAGCTATCTAGGACACTCGCAAGGCGAGAGAAAAGGCAGCCTGTGGCGCTAGGCCTAACTAGTTACTAGGCCCCAACATAGTGGTAACTTACATATGTAGATCTGCTTATTCACCAAGGTTACTTAGGTAGGTACCTAAGTTAATATATGATTTATTTTATAGTGAGTTCTAGGCCATACTACCATCAATCAGATGTACTACTACATAACTACATAACATGTAGTTGTAGTAAATCAGTCTAATCTCAGATGAAACACGGAATGTAGATAGTCTTTCCGCCTTCGTTTAGCTGCCATGTTGCTAATAGCCATAACGAATCGATCTTCCTTGTCATTGCTCCGTAATTAAAGGACCACCGTGTCGGGTCAGGCTCATTGGCAGTTCCACCACTGGCTCCGGTAGCCGCTAGTGGCTGCTGGGCTGAATTAGGTACCTGGTAGGTACTAAGTAGGTAAACCAGGTTTTTATAGGTAGTTACCTGTAGTTAACTAATAGTCAGGTACCTGGTAACGAATAGTTATACTATGGAGTCATAGGTGTATTGTCACTGTTGGTACTAATACTAGCCACTAACCCAACAGGGGTAGGTGTTGGGGGTCTTCCTGTTCGGGTTAGTCAGGGGAACGGCGCTGTGCCGCTAGAAGAGGGGAATTCTGTAGTACTTTTGGTGGTACCTGCTGGAACTAACTAATTATTAGTTAGCTTAGGTACCACCCAAACTCCTAGCTAACTAGCTAACTACGGAGTAACTGCACAGTCGCTACTACATATTACAGTGTACTCCGTAGTTAGAGTCTAGAGTCTAGGCTTGTCCACAATTCTCTCCACTGCACAACAGGATCCGAAGGGTTTTCACATCATTATGACCACATCCATAACCCTTGCCAAGCATAGGTAAATACCGATCTGGGTGACCTTCCGTCTTGCTTTATCCACTTCAAGTTCACTGACCAGCATATAGTCGGAGAGTAGCTATGGAGTAGTAGCTCTTAGTTAACTACGGTAGATTTCTTCGACAGTCGCTTCCTGACTCGAATCCTTCCTCCTCTGCAAGGGTCGTCAAAGACGGGTGGAGACAAGGAAAAAGAATACGAGTACTCCGTTTCGTCGAGCGAGAGATGAGAGAGACAAAGTTTGATACTGTTGTTTGCTGGTTGGCCTAGCTTTTGGTCCTGGAGTCCTGGAGTTATGGAACCTTCCATCCTTCTCCATGCTCGAGGCAGCCCGGAAAATTGGAACTGGATGGACGGTGGTACCCAGCTGAAATCAATCAATCCACTAATTGAATAATAGATACTCTTCTAGTAATCTCATTCTCATTTCTAGTGCTTTTCCCGGCCTCGCTAGTGGTCGCGTTGGGCTGCAAGGGGTCGCTCTCCGCTCTCCCTCTCTCTTGTGTGGATCGAAATACAGTAATACCAATACATATACACCCGTTGCTCCTGAATTACCCACCCCAATGAGCCCCGAATGAGCCCCAATGGGCACCATACTAAACCGCCGTAATACTGTATCATACGTAATAATACCCCATCATGTTTAATGAGTTGATTGCTGATCTCCTCCTCCTCCTCCTCCTCCTCCTCCTCCTCCTTGGTCACATCGAGTCGAGCCTTTTTTCCCTTGTTTTCTTTTCTTTTCTTCTTGCTACGGAGTACCAACTGAAGATATGCTTGCTAACTACTTGCCGAGTAGTATCTAGTCATTAATTCTACCAAATCCGGTTTCAATTCCAACCGCTGATGCATTTCATGCTTCCCACTGACCAGGGACGTGCTCTGTCACGCTATCGCTGCATCGTTACTGCACAGGTCACTTACTAGACGCTCGTCACATCGACGTTATTATTATTATTATTATTATTGGAGTACGGAGCATTATCTGCTTCTTATCCAGTCCTTCCCTACAGACAGGGATATGCCAACGACCTGTCTTTTCTGCACCACCAGATCGTCCCACTCCTCTCTCTCCGCGTAATCGTCGCTCTCTGCATCCCATCTTCCTTTCCTTTCTTGTTTTCTTTTTTCTCTTTTCGTCGTCTTCCTCTTCTCGCCTGTTTCTATCAAAAAAAAAAGTATTTACTAGGTCATCGAATTTGTGAGCTCGGCTTTTCTTGGTATACTGCAATTGATACCCATTTTTACTGACCTGTCGTTTTGTATGATAGATACCCCAGTCCTCAAAAGCTCGCCCCCCCAATACCCCCTTATCGATGAATCGCTTCCGCAAAAACAAAAAGAAGGAGGAGGGCCCTGTCGGCGTAGAGGCTGACAGGGCGGCGTCGGTCTCCAGCTCGAGAACCTCGAATGATAATAACAAGAAGAAAAACAACAACAAGAAGACAGAGCCGGAACCCGTGCCGAACGTCGATCTCGCCTCCGTGCTGCCTCCCAGCGATGACTTTCGGACCAGTCTGCTCATGCCCAAGCTGTCGGCTCGCTTTAGCATGTTGAGGGAGCAGGATGACCCGACGAGCATACTTGGCAAGGCCAGCGACGACAGCGTGCTGTTCCCCAAGCGCGCCTCGCGCTTGAACCTCTTCGGCCACCACCCCAACCTGCTGTCCGACATCGATGAGGTTTCCTCTATTGCCGGCCGAACTGCCTCCATGGCATCGGGTGGGGATGGATATGGCACCGACGATGATCGCTCTTCACAGCCGGGAAGCATCATGAACCGTGGTCGTCGTACCGAGGGCAACAATCTGTTCGGCGGCCGGCAGAAGGTTTACAAGATCGCCGCAAAGTCTTCAGCAACAGAGGGCGGCAACTCCTCTGGCGGTATGGGTGGACGTGCTCTATACGAGGATGATCTGTCCATGTCCGCTTTCCAGCGGTTGCGGCTCAAGGAGAAGGAGGAGAAGCTGGCCGCTGAGGAGGCCGCCAAGGAGGCCAGCCAGACCACCTCCGAACCGGAAGACGCCATGTCCAGTATTTCGTCGACGATTAAACGCACCACCTCCTCCTCCACCGCTTCGGGCCCCTCTGCCTCCCGTACGTCTACTGCCGCCACCTCCATCGACGAGCAACAGTCGACAACAACAACTGCTATCGAGAGCCCTCGCATCACAACCAAACAACCTTTCCCAGGAATGGCGCCGGAACGAGGCTCGATCAAGACTCGCCGGCTGTACGGTCAAAGTCTGGCACAATCCTCCTACAACCAGCAGTCGTCTACCCTTCATCGACTAGAGAGCCTGAGTCGCCAGCGCGCCGGCACCCCTGAAATCCCTCAGCTGACCCGCGCTTTCTCGCGGAGCGCCACCAACCTGCACGACCGCCTGCAGAGACTCGCCATTACCGAGTCCTCCTCGCCTACCCTGTCGCCCGCGCGACCCACGAGTCCGCCCTCCTCCTTGGCCGCATCACCGGAACCCCGCGAGCGCGGCAGACTCAACAACCCATCACCTCCGCCCACAGCAGGGACAACGGGCAGTTTCGGGTCCGCACCTCCTCTCAGTCCCCCGATCAGCGAGAACGACGAAGGCACACCGCTGGCGGCCGCCTTGCAACCCGAGGACCGCGGCAAGGCTACCGCCATGGGCATTTTCAACAAGCCTCGAACCACCCTCTTTGACGAGAATCAGTTCACTCGCCGGCAGTTGCAAATGCATCAGGGTCGGAATACCCCTTCTCCCATGCGACAGCATTCTCCTCCTCCCTACCCGCCGGTTGCCGAGATCAATAATACCATCAACCACAACATCCTTCCTAGCGCCATCCTTCCTAGCGCCATCCCTCCTAGCACCATCCCTAGCACTATCCCTAGCACCATCCCTAGCACCATCCCTAGCACTATCCCTCCCAGCAACATCCATCACAACAACATCCCTCCTAGCCATATCAATCAAATCCCCAATCGCCCCCGAGGTTATTCAATTGCGAGTTATCGTTCACGAGCCGAGTCTGTCTCGTCTCATTACAGCAATGCGTCTCGATCTGTTGCCGATCGCTCGCTACCCCCGAGTAGGTCCGGAAACTCGCCTCCTCGGAATTTGTACGGAGCCCAGACCTTTTTCAATAATTTCAGCGGTAGTGAGTCAGAAGATGAGGGAAATCAACCTGACTCAGACTCTAGCCGGTTTCCCCGTCGGCCATCGCACGGAAATGATGTGCATCCGGCGTTTCGCTCCAACAATATAGCCATATCGTCGTCATCGCCACCAACGGGCCCGGCAGACCAGCCCGATCCCTTGCCCGAGTTGCGGTACTCGGATGTATGCGATCTGAAACCTATCGAGGAAAATGACGGGACCGACAAGAAGCCCCCGGCTCCTTTTGCGCCGACCCTGACTTTTACCCCGGAGAAGCCGGATTCCCCAACCCTACCCCCGAATGGGTTGGGCCTCAGCGGCATGATTCGTACGCACCTACGTTATGATAGCGACAGATCATCCATCTACCCTCCGCCGTCGCCAGGGTTGCCTCCAGCCCAGGCCAAGGAGCAGCAGACACAAGTCACGCACGAACAAGCCCCGTGTCTTGAGAGTGAACGGGAAATCACTGCACCCTCGACTGCCGCTTCAAGTACGTTAGGCGGTCCTTCATGGCAGGAAGATCTCAAAATTCGGCACCGGCGGGAAGCCAGTACCGAGACGCAGAAGGAACGCGAAGAGTTTGCGAACGAGCTGGCCGAGCGACGCCGGAGGGTGCAAGAAAAGCTCAAGACCTTTGTCGAGAGCGAGAGTCGATCGGGTAGCCCTGTCCCGAGTCGACAGGCACCCGAAATCCCAGGGGTTAGACCCGGGAACGCGTTTGCGATGCTCAAGAACAAGTCAGCCATGCTTGGCCGACAGGAAAGTAAGGGTACGAAGGTCCTGGGCCTGGGAAACAACGCGTCGACCCCGGCTCTGGTCCCGGAGGACCCATCCGCTTATTCATTTCCCTGGCGGGAGGACGACGACCGCAGCAGCGGCCCCTCTGGCTTCGGCAAGCATTCCAACTCGAGCTCCCCGCATATCTCCTCGACTAGCACCAACACCAGCACCTCGGCAGACCGACCGATTCCCTCCCGCGTGCAGGCCGTGAGCCGTAGCAGCCAAGAGGACTCGCGGGAGTCGAGCCGCAGCCGAGGCGAGTCACCGCACTCGAGCTTCAGGTCGCAGCGCGATCGGTCCGAGTCGGACGCCTCTGGCCGGTCCAAGAGCCGCACCCGGTACCGCGATCGCGACGATCTCGAAACGGTCGAGGAGGGCGCCGTTGCCGGCATTCGCAGAGGGCCCTCCGACAGCTACCACCCGCCATCGGAGCACGGCGAGCGACACAGCAACACCCCGTCGCTACTCTCATCGGCGCGCCCGTCCGTCGAAGTGTCTGGCGAACAGCAGCAGCCACCGCTCGTCTATGATCGCTCCCCCTCCGCCGCCTCCGGACGATACCGTAGCGGTAGTCGGTCGGCTGCCCCGACCGGATATTTCGACGGTCATCATCACAGCAAACCGCCTGGCGTCGGCCCTCCATCCGTGTCCCCGATGGTCGGCGTTACCTCTCCCCGCCCGTCTCCAATTGCTCCGTATTCCGCCAACGCGACCCCGCCATTGCATGAGCTGTCTCTGGACTCCGGGGTCGCCGGGACGCCGGCCCTGTTGAGCGCTGCCGTACAGCAACAGCAACAGCAACAACAACTGCAGCAACTGCAGCAACAGCAACAGCCACAGGCAGCGCCCGTCGGGCGGGCTGCCGGCGGCTCCAGCGGGCTCCAGAAGCGGCCCGTGAACAAGCTGCAGATCTCGGAGCCCAAATTTATCTCGTCGACGTCAAACGTGCCGCTCGTGGGGTTACCGCCGGGGGCCAGTCTGAGCAACGGGATGGACACCGTCACACCCCCCATCCCACCGATGAATCCGCGGCGGCGGCGGCAGACGACGACGCAGACCATCCTGGGAGCTTTCAAGAGCGATCACCGCCACGAATCGCGGTACGGCGGGCCGTCTCCTGTCTCTACGCGGGCGGCGGATGAGCTGAGCAACTTCTCCGACGACGAGAAGCGGCCTCGGCCACGCCAACGGCTGCGCAAGACCTCGAGCGAAGGGGGGAACCTCAACGCGCGAGCATACCAGGAGGCCATGGCTGCGCCGTCGCCTGCCATCCCGACGCACCCGAACGTCAACGTTTCTGTTGACGGAGGGATGTTTTAGTCTTAAGACTTATACCGCTATATACTGCTGTATACTGCTATATACTGCTATTTATACTGCTTGGCTATAGGCTGTACTATACTGTCTTTGATGCATTGTTTAGCGAGAGGCTGTATCATAGTGTCGTTTCGGCTGTATTCCTTGTCTGTCTGCACTTTGTATATTAGCTAGAAATTTACTTTAGATTTATAACAATATTCTATACAGAGCTTTCCTAAGTCTGCATAAAGCTATAGTATCCGCTAACACTATTTCTATCATCATCAGAAGACAACAGAATCTTAATTGTGTGGTATAGTCACTAAATGTTGTAGTGACTTTGTCCTTATCCAAATCTTCTCACCACCACCACAATATCGACACAATCGTCACACCCACCATGAAACCAGTCAGACTTTTCTTTTACTCCCCTATGGCAGTATTTCTCTTTCTCTTTCTCTTTCTCTTTCTCCCTCCTACACCCTCCTCTCCCTCTTTACCTGGCCCTCGCTGCCTGTATTCCCTCCAACTGGTTCCGCACCTAGGATGCCTCGGAAACGACAGACAGGCAAGAAGAAACCCAAAGGCAAGAACAAGACCAGAACTGCCTCTGAGTCTTCGGAAAAGGGGACCAACATCCAGCCCACTGGAGCGAACACCAACGCAGAGATGAGTGCAGAAGACGCGCTCGCGAACACCTTCCGTCTGCTCGACCTCAACGGAACGGGGGTAGAGACCGAGAGAGGTAAAGATTAAAACCCCCCAGATTTCGTTCTATCACGCAAGCTGATTCTAAAAGCAGAGTTTTGGCCCGGTCCTATGATTGTGGACGCGTCCATGGCGGGGGGTAATAAACCGGTGCTGGTGCGTTTCGCCTCGTCGCTCTCGAGTCGGTATCAGCGGGTGATTTATCCTGAGGGTATTTTTTCTACTTGCTCTCTCTGTCTAAGTTGCGGAATTAATGCTTTCTAGGGACTGAGCCGGAATCCCATTCTACGGAGAGTGCAAGCACGGTCCTTGAGCCTGTTGAGCCTGTTGAGCCTGTTGAGCCTGTTGAGTCTGTTGACCCTCAGCCTGGACCTTGGGCGGATATCGTCTTCTCGCAGGATGACTCGGAGCTGTATGAGCTGGAGGCCGGTGAAGACATTGTTCAGATGTCTGATACTGGTGATCGTGTGGCTGATATCGGTCGTGTTGTGTCTGATACTGGTGATCAAGTTGTATCTGAAATCGGTCGTGATGTGTCTGACATCGGTGATCGTGTGTCTGACACTGATGATCGTGTGTCTGACATCGGTGACCGTGTTGAAAAAAGCCAGTCTGATGGTAAAGTTCCTGTTGATGAATCTATCAACGACACGGCCAGCTCTTCCAGCTGCACTCTTAGCATGAACACCAGTGATGAAAGCGTCCTCGTCATTGCCCAAGAGGCTGATGTCGCTGCTAGCAATGCCGATGTTGCTCTTGACGATAGCAGTCTTAGTCTCGGCGTCACTATCAAAAGTGTCAGTGTCGACGCTGTCAACCATACCGTTGATCAGGCCAGTATGAATGGTCAACCGATGTCTGGACCTATGCTTGAACCATTCGTATCCTCTTCAAACCGCCTGCCTCCCCCATATTCTGCCACCGGAATAGTCGAGCCCCGTCCTCGCCGTGCTCGGCCAGTGTCTGTATCCCCTTCGGTGTCCATGGCTAGTGTCACTTCCGAGAAGCCAATTGTCATCGACAACATGGCCCGCCACACACTAAAGCTGCTTGAAGAAGGTCGCTTCAGCGACTGCGATCTCCTCCTGCGCTCGTCCACGCGTGCCTTCAAGCCCGTCCTAATCCCCGTGCACAAGGTCACCATGGCCAGCAGTGCAGCCATGAACAGCCTGTTCACCATGCGGCCTGCCATGACGGCCATCACCGTGCTCCCCGGACCCGAGTTTCGCATGCTCAAGGCGTTCGAGGTTGCCATACAGACCCTATACGGTCTGCCGGTGCTGACGAACGAGCTCCTTCTCCCCCGCGGAACCATGGCCACCCTGGACCAGCACAGACCTGCCATCTGCCCCCCCTACGACCCTGCCACGGAGAAACTGGCCGCGGTCGAGTTCGCGCTGTGCTACGCAGCCTCTGGCGCCTTCTTTGCCCGACGCGACATGATCGAGGCCGGGGTCACCGCCGCTCTGGCCCGGCTGGACTGGCACACCGTCGAAATGATCCTCGGCTTCGGCCTCGCGGTCGACAAGTGGATGATCCACGGGCGAGCCGAGATGCACCCCAATCCGGGCTGCTCTTGCTCCTGTTCCTGTTCCTGCTCCTGCTCCTCTTCTCCCTCTTCCCCCCTTGTTTTCCCCGGGTTGACCCTCGACGAAGAGCTGCGCGAGTTCTGGGCCCCGAAGCTCGTGGACGCCTCCCTCGAATTCATCGCATGGAAGGCATCGCCCTCGTTCGAGCTGTCCACCGCAGCGCAGGTGACCACCATGCCAGACCGGATCATAAGCGCCGAGAATTTCATTCTTCATTCTTCTTCGGATTCCATATTTGGGTTTGAGGTTACTACTTCTTCATCTTTCTCAGCCATGCATTATCTCCCCTCGAGCCTCCGCAACGCTGCACCCCGCCAGCCAGGCCATGTTCTCTCCGCCATCCTGCTCGCTCTACCCTTTGACACGCTCCAGACCTTGTTGGCGCGCATCCCAGCTCGAGCCCAACGGTGCTGGTACGAGAATGGCGTGTGTGCGGGTCTCGTCGTCGAACGGGAGCAGCGCCGTGTTGCAACCATTCGGAAATGGAAGCACCGTCAGTCCATCCTGGAAGATGGTGGGACTCTTGTTCTTGTTCCGCGGGATCTCGGGTTCCAGGAGACTCTGCTTATCAGACATTTGGATGGTTTGGGCCCTGTCTATCCCCTTTTCGAGTTTGTGCTTCGTAAATTGTGGGTGGGGGTGACCTGTCTTTTTGACCTTTAAGCCGAAACTGGAAGGAAACACTGGAATTTGATTTTATCTTCGATTCTAGGAATCTTGATTTTCGATGGTATTGATTGTATTCTGCTTATTACTCTCTAGTACTTAGGTAGTAATAGAATACAGAAATTCTAAGAATTATTCATGGTTCGTTTCTATATACGTCTATGGAGTGGGTGCCTATCTGCTACGACTTATCCGGGAAGCCAAAGTCAACGCCGAAAGCCGGGTAGACGAAACGCTGGAAGGCGTTGTTGGCGGCCAGATCGGCGGTGTATTTGGCGATAATCTCCATGTCGGTCTCGTCGAGCTGGATGAGCTGGCGGTTGGCTTCGATACGGGAGGGGGTGACTGATTTGGCGAGCACGACGGTGCCACGGGCGACTAAACAGTGAATATGATGAGCCTTTACCAAAGAAAAGATGGGAAGAAGAGAGGATATAAAAGGGGGGGAAAAGAGAACGTACCATGCCAAGACAAAAGGACAATGGCCGGGCTGACGCCTCTCCGCTGGGCAACCTCAACAATCGGGGCGGCGGAGAAGAGCGGCCCTCCCGTGCTGCCTAGCGGGCTGTAGGCCGTGACGATGATGCCGTGCTGCTTGCAAAAGTCGATGATCTCCTGCTGGGGCAGGGCCGGGTGGTTCTCGATCTGGTTGACGGCGGGGATGATGGTCGCCTGGGGCAGCAGTTCCTCGAGATACCGCTTGCTGTAGTTGGAGACGCCGATGGCCTTGGTCTTGCCGGTTGCCATGAGCTTCTCCATGCTCTTCCAGGTGGTCACATGGGAGTGGCTGTGGACGATGTCGCGGGAGCCATCTTCAAGTTTGGGGAAGAGGGGGTGATTTCCTGTTTTTCCCTTTGTTAGAAGCTGAATAATGATATATATATATATATATGTGTGTGTGTGTGTGTGTATGTTTACCTTCCGGGTTCATGGCCGTCGGCCAGTGGACAAGGTATAGATCAACATAGTCCAGCCCCAGGTTCTTCAGACTCAGGTCGAGGGCTTCCTCGACGCGAGTGTGGAAGGTACACCACAGCTTTGTCGTCACAAAAAGATCCTCACGCTTGACGATACCCGCGTCCAGCGCCTTCTTGATGCCCCGGCCGACCTCTTCCTCGTTCTGGTAGCAGAAGGCGCCGTCGATGTGTCTGTATCCCACCGAGATGGCGTGACTGACGGCCGTTTCGACCTCACCGGGAGCAGACTGCCAGGTTCCTAGTTTGTCAGTACAATTGAAGAATAGAGAAGACAATGAAGAGGAGGGAGAATGAGAAAGAAAGAGAAAGAGGGGTATACCAAGACCCAAGGCCGGGATCTCCGCGCCAGTGTTGAGCTTGAAACGCACGTCTGCAACGGCCATGATGGAAGCTCGAGTAATCAGGAAGAGAGATAGAGAGACAGGATGAAAGACAATCGGAATTGAGCAAGGATGAAGAGAAGAGGAGGGGGAATAGGAAAGGATTCAGAGGGAGAAGATAAAACAGCAGAGTGCAAACAGGACAAACCCCCGCTGTATTTACTTTCCATTATCATTTGGTACCGCCAATTTTGCCGTCAATCCCGAGGGCCGAGTCAAAACTGGCCCTGATGAACAAGGGCCGTGTACGATTTAGAGATAGTAGAATATGACATAGTAATGATATAGTGATTAGATAATTAATGGTTATAGTAGTTGAATATACCAGATGAGCAGTAGCAGGATAGTAGTAGCAGATGAGCAGTAGCAGGATAGCAGTAGCAGGATGGCAGTTATTTAGTAATTAGTCAACTTAGAAATACTAATAAGATAATATCTTCAATAAATTAGCTAGAAATTATTCCAATTCTTCTGATGGTAAGTACAATATATATCCTGTAGGCAAATAGTAGTTGCTGTAGCCTGTAGGTGTAGGTAGTAGTAAGTGGTTTGCACCTCGGAAATCATCTACCACAATTACTTCACAATTCCGAACCCCTGGATCAGAACGTCATCAGAATCATCTGCCCTGGTTGGTCTGTCGAACTGCCTATTAAACAATCGTCAAGTGACTGATTAACTAAGACTCAACCAGAACCCTTACAGATTCTCGATTCTCGATTCTCGGAAACCAGAATCCTTGGACGACGCACAAAACCCGAGGCGTTGGCGGGGCCCAACCATGGCCCAAGCAGTCAAGACTCAATAATCCAACAGACATCATTCGTCTCCACGCCTGCGGTCCCGATCTGGATCCTGAGTCGTTCCTCCATCGGCAGTGGAGACTGGCTGACCAGGCGTGAGGATCTCATTCGCAGTACGGAAGCTGGAATCCGTGCCTGGAGAAGTGAACCCGGGGAAAACACCACTGGAAAATAGAAAATATGGGCGTTGGGCAGGGCCAGAATGGGCGTGGGGAAGGGCAGCGTCGAGGGAGTCCTACCTGTCGGATTCCAGATCCCATTTTCCAGTGACGGGGTTTCTTAAGAGTGAGAGAAGTCCTGGGTGAAGAGTATATCTACCAGTGTACTCTTCACTTCACCCTCTCTTACTTCAACAAGCAAACAGCTGTGTTTAAAAGTGGATCTCTTACTCTTCTCTCTACTCATCGTTAACCGTCATTCATAATGGCCCCCGGTGCTATCGTCGATTTTCCTACCACCAATGCCACCCGTGACGGGCAGGCCCTCGAGGAGCTCTCGGACGCCATCGACCATGTCAACGTGCTCAAGGCCAATATGAAGAAGGAGAAGGGTCTGTACGAAGAGTCCGAGTTCGACAAGGAAAAGGACAAGACGCAGTTCCGCCAGTACGAAGACGCCTGTGACCGCGTCAAGAACTTCTACAAGGAGCAGCACACCAAGCACACGGTGGCGTACAACCTCAAGGCCCGCAACGACTTCCACTCCAAGACGCGCGCCGAGATGAGCATCTGGGAGGCGATGGAGAAGCTCAACACCCTGATCGACGAATCCGACCCGGACACCAGCCTGTCGCAGATCGAGCACCTCCTGCAGTCCGCCGAGGCGATCCGCCGCGACGGCAAGCCGCGCTGGATGCAGCTGACCGGCCTGATCCACGACCTGGGCAAGCTTCTGTTCTTCTTCGATGCCCAGGGCCAGTGGGACGTCGTCGGCGACACCTTCCCCGTCGGCTGCGCCTTTGACGACCGCATCATCTACGGCACAGACTCCTTCAAGAACAACCCGGACTTTGGCCACGAAATCTACGGCACCAAGTTCGGCATCTACAGCCCCGGTATCGGTCTCGACAACGTCATGCTCTGCTGGGGCCACGACGAGTACCTCTACCACGTCGTCAAGGACCAGTCTACCCTTCCCCCCGAGGCTCTGGCCATGATCCGTTATCACTCCTTCTACCCCTGGCACACCGCCGGTGCGTACCACGAGCTCATGAACGACAAGGACAAGGAGATGCTCGGTGCCGTCAAGGCGTTCAACCCCTACGATCTCTACAGCAAGAGCGATGACATTCCCAAGGCAGAGGACTTGAAGGTGAGAAAATTCCTTAGAAAAAAAAAAGAAACATTTTCTCTAGAATACAACTAACTTTTCTAGCCTTATTACCTCGAACTTATTGATGAGTTCTTCCCCAACAGAGTCATCAAGTGGTGATTGAAGTGTTTTTGTGTTTGCATAGGGTTATGATTTTGCTATTTAATGTGCTTAGCGATAATGATGATGATGTCAATAGACATGTCTACTGTAGACAATATCAATACTAAAATTGAAAACATTACTTCCTACCCACTAGTTGCTACCCAGTGCCTTCTTCTTATCCCTTTTATCCTTCTTGTCCTTGACAGGATCCTTGAATCCGTCACCACGCATCCACACCAAGGCTTTGCGAAGGCTACTCCCCCGAACGGCAGCCGGGTACGTGTCGAGAATCACGCCGATGACCGCCCACGCGGCCACGACCAGGGCGACATCACCCGGGAGTCCGCGTGTGCGGGACGAGGCGCGCGAGGGACTCTGGAGCTGTTTGTTGTGGTGGTGCTTGTCTCGGACGCGCCATGCGGAATCCAACGCGGCGCGGACAAGATACATGGCCATTCCGCGGCAGTAGGAGGATCCGCGGAAGAAGAGGCCGAGCGGGAGGCCCGCCAGGGCGCCGCTGAGGAAGAAGCGTTTTGTGGCAAGCGACGACCGGGGCAGCAGGGATGTCCACAGACAGAGACTGGCCCAGGCGAGCCCGGTGGTTGTGGAGAGAGTGGCTGCGAAGGCGAGGACGCGCTGTGCAAGCTTGGGAACACTGGTTGGGAATGGTAGGGCGAGGGATTTGATCAGCACGCGCGGGACGGTAACAAGCGCGGCGGCGACGGCCAGGAGGCGCACAAGCCGTGGTCCCGTCAGGAGCAGGTGGTGCAGGAAGGCAGTGCTGCAGCTGGGTAGGGCTGGGTGTAGCAGGGCGCACGACAGACTGGCGAGAGAAGGGTGGGCGGACCCCGTAAGTGGCGAGATGGACTGCACGGCGGCAGGGAGGGTTTGCGTGGTTGAAGGATGCAGAATCGGCGAGACAAAGTCCCTTACAATCATGTCAGTATGGGCGCGCGGGGAACATAACAAAAAAAAAAAAGAAAAAAAGAAAAAAAAAGAACATACGGCCACTTCAATTCTGCAATTGTGGCGAGAGAATCAAGGACACCCTCCTGGTCCGGCCAGGGGAGCTCTACCGGATATCCCTCCGGGCGAGGATGAATATAGCTCGGCGACAGTCTCAAGGTGAGAGCGGGGAGCCATTTGGGCGTAGTCTCGCGGTCAAACACCAGCGCGTGGAAAAGCTGTGCACACGCGAGTGGCATCAACAGCCAGCTGCCCACCCACTGCGGTCGAGTTCCGAGCCAGCCCTGCTCGTCAGCCACGTTGTAGAAGAACTCGGCCGCCCGCGACCCGGTGTAGATGGCGAGTGTGCGACGCAGGTCACGCTGCGGACACAGCACCAGCGCCAGCCCGGCGAGACTGGCGCCCACGGCGGGCGCTGAGCGTGCCGTCAGCGCCCTGGTGACGCGAGGGTTTCGCTCGCGAAAGGGGCGGGCCTCGTCAGCGCGGAGGTTGGCGCGGAGCTTGACAAGGAAGCGGTACAGCAGCCGGTGCAGGAACAAGACAAGCGAGAGGGATAGCGAGAGTCTGGCATTCGTTGCCCGATTCGACTTGGATGGTTTTCTGATGGTCAGCCTAAGAGTTACAAGCACATATAAAGAAGTACCATACTTGACGAGGTCGACCAGTCTCAGCGCAGCGCTGGACAACGCAAAGACGCGCAGCGAGACCCGCAACGCGGCCTCGAGCGGTTTATCTTTACTCTTCGCATGCACGAGGGCACCGAAGCGAGCAGGCGAGGGGACATGGTCCAGAACACTCGACGGGGCTCGCGAAAGCAGCCGGTCGTGGATCAGGCGGTACTCCTGGGCGCTGACGATAAGACGGAGGGCAGCCCGTGTGTAGGAGGGCGATGGCGAGGGCGAGGATGAAGCAGCAGGGCGAGGGCGCGAACCGTCTGGCGTGTCGGATGCGTCCATCGTAGAGATGCCTCAGACCATGATGCGATGTGCAGTGATGCCGATGAAATGAAGTTGTTTGATCTGGGAACTTGCAAGGAGACGGGGTCAGGCAGATGAAGCCGAGGTCAATTATGAGCACAAGCACAAGGAAATAGTGCATAGAGGCCTGAGGCAGAAACACACCACTTTCCTCGAGACGACTTCATATTGAGACAACTTCGATCATCAGACTTTGCTCTACTCTCTCACTTTGGAATTCACAGTTGGAGATTAATTACTGATTACCACAATAATTGCTAATGGCCAGCAGGGGTTATCTGTCTACCCTACGCAGTGACTGAAGAGACGGAATCAACGCAGAATCAATACTCTTATGCTTAACTCCTAGAGAGTTGGTGGTTTGGATGTACAGGCTGAGGTTAGTTTCTGCCTTGATTTGATTGGAATAACTGTCTGACAGACTTTTTGGAGGATTGGCAGGATGGTGCAGCAGTCATCTGGATATTGTCAGAGATACAGGACGTGGTTCTCAAGGTAACGGCAGGCAGGAATACGGTCTGAAGGGCTTATGCGCAGTGTTTGCAATTGGATTGACAAAGCCATAATAAATACTGCTGGTAGTTGCATACATGGGGATTGATCTTATAATGCATCCTCCAAGGATTTGTATCTGAGGTATAAGGATGAGGATGCTCTTCTGCCAGCAGATGACTTGCTATAATACCATAGACTGTCTGTAAATTTCTAGAGATTTCAAGAGAACTAGAGAGCGTTAAAGAAGTAGATGATAGTCAGGATAGGTCTTAACTCTACCTAGTACTGCCAGTTTCTCAAGGTCATCACTGATCAGAATGTGTTGTTTACTGACATTTTCCTCAGGTCTCTCTCTCCCTCTTCCCTCACTTCACGATCGTTCACTCCCCTCCTCTTTATCTCTCTACCACCAACCCTTTTTATTCTATACAGAGGTGCTGTCTACATGCTTTAAATCTAGTAGATAGATTGAGCTATCTTGTCAGAAACTACCAAGCACATATATTGAATCAACCCTCTTCTCATTCATCTGCAGTCGGGTGCTTCTTGGCTTTGAGCCTGCAGCATTAAGACCAAGTTAAGGTATGGCATTTAGCAGCAAGCGTGAGCTTTATCTTTATTCTACTTCTGACCATGATCTGATTCCTCAGACTGGAAGACAAACATGGAATCGTCGAGTGGTCTCTGGGAGAGAAAGTACGGCAGCATGACCGAGAAGCCTGACAGCGTATCTTGGATAGCTGCCATGGATATGTTGAAGCTGGGAGAGGCCAAAAGAGACCCGGAAGTCATCACCATCGCGATTTTGGGTGTCAAGGGCGCCGGCAAAAGCGCTTTCATCTCTAATTTGGTGGGAGAAAAGTTGGATCCAGGTAAGTCACAAACACAACACAGAAGAAAAAAGAAAAACAGTTGATACAGGTTGGGGGCTGATACTGTCAATAGACACCAAGGAAGTGTCTATGCATTCGTATGAGTATAACGAATTCATTCATGTCTGTTTCATCGACACGCGGAGCTTCGACGGCATCACGAAAACCGATTTCGATGTGCTGAGAGAGGTCGATGCCTTCCTTGACAAGTCGCATGAGATCAAGATCCGACTCGACGGGATCATCTACTTCCATCAGATCGGTGACAACCGGATGCAGGGACCAGTGTCCAAAAGCATGTTGATGTTGTGGAAACTTCTCAAGCGCGAGGCATACCGCAAGGTCATGCTGGTGACCAGCATGTGGGATACCGTCGATTTCAACCAGGGCAAGGAGCTCGAGAAGGCATTCGTGAATACTTCCACCCTTTTGACAACCATCCGACGGAACAGATGGCAGATCGCTCGGCATTGGGGGACCAAGGAATCGGCTTCGTCCTTGGTTGACTTCTTCGTCAAGAAGAAGAAACGAGACAAGAAGCTGTTCCCCGATCCATCTCGCCGAGGCTACGTACCAGATGCTGAAATAAAACAGAGACACCTCTAGAACCACCCTGAGTGCTAGCTAAATCCCAAACCGTTGCACTCTCCCCATAAAACCCTTGTTCGTAGTCTTATAAAATCAACAAATTCTGCCTCAGGCACGCCGGCCCGACAACGTCCCGCCTTCCACTTCCGCCTTCCACTTTCACCTCCTCCTCACCTCAACTCGAACCTCACCTCCTCTTCGACTTCAGCTCCACGATCGCCCTCGTTCATGTCCATCTAGCGGGCATGTCTACGCCCTGCGAGTGCTCTCAAGCATGGCGCAACCGGCTCCCCTCTCAGATCTTGCCCAGAGGCTCTTCACGGAGCTGCGTTCCAAGAACGAGGAGACGCGCGTGAGGGCCTCGTTGGAGCTCTACGACCACGTTCTCGCTGTCTCGAGGGGTACTCCTCTCCTCTGTTTTATTCATTTACCCGGCGAAACATGACTGACTTGTGTTTAGACACCTCTCCGGAAAAGTTCCTCGAGTTCTACAATGCCGTCAGTCAGCGCATCGCCCAGCTGGTCGTCACCGGCGGTGACCCCCACGAACGTATCGGCGGCCTGCTGGCCCTTGACCGCCTGATCGACTTTGACGGCGTCGACGCTGCCCAGAAGACCACTCGCTTTGCGAGCTACCTCCGCAGTGCCCTTCGCAGTAATGATAATGCGGTGTTGATTAATGCCGCCCGTGCCCTGGGTCGCCTGGCCAAACCCGGCGGGGCGTTGACGGCCGAGCTGGTCGAGAGCGAGATCCAGTCGGCCCTCGAGTCCCTGCAGTCGGAACGCCAGGAGAGCCGCCGCTTCGCCGCCGTCCTCGTCATCCGCGAGCTCGCCAGGGGCTCCCCGACGCTGCTCTACGGCTTCGTGCCCCAGATCTTCGAGCTCGTCTGGGTCGCCCTGCGCGATCCCAAGGTGCTCATCCGCGAGACCGCCGCCGATGCCGTCAGCGAGTGCTTCGAGATCATCGCCGCCCGTGATCTGCAGGTCCGCCAGCAGTGGTTCGCCCGCATCTATGAGGAGGCCCTGACCGGCCTCAAGTCCCCCGTCGTCGACTGCATCCACGGCTCGCTGCTCGTGCTCAAGGAGCTGCTGCTCAAGGGCGCCATGTTCATGCACGACCACTACCGCACCGCCTGCGAGATCGTCCTGCGTCTCAAGGACCACCGTGACCCCCGCATCCGCACCCAGGTCGTCCTCACCATCCCCATCCTCGCCTCCTATGCACCCTCCGACTTCACCGAGACCTACCTCCATCGCTTCATGGTCTACCTGCAGGCCCAACTCAAGCGCGACAAGGAGCGCAATGCCGCCTTCCTCGCCGTCGGCAAGATTGCCAACGCCGTCGGCGCCGCCATCGCCCAGTACCTCGATGGCATCATCGTCTATATCCGTGAGGGGCTCGCCCTCAAGGCCCGCAACCGCGCCGCCGTCGACGAGGGCCCCATGTTCGAGTGCCTCAGCATGCTCGCCCTCGCCGTCGGCCAGGCCCTCGGCCCTTATATGGACTCCCTCCTCGACCCCATCTTCGCCTGCGGCCTCTCCGAGGCCCTCACCCAAGCCCTCGTGGACATGGCCCATTACATCCCCCCGATCCGTCCCACCATCCAGGAGAAGCTGCTCGACATGCTCAGTATCATCCTCTGTGGCACCCCCTTCCGGCCCCTCGGCTGCCCCGACCACCGGCTACCCCCCGTGCCCGCCTTTGCCAAGGACTTCGCCCCCGCCGCAGGGGCACTCGGCGGCCTCGGTAGTGGTGGTGGTGGTGGTGGTGGTGGTGGCGGCAACGGCGGCGGCGGCGGCGGCGTCTTGGCCTCCTCGTCGCAGGATACCAACTCTCAGAACTACACCGACGCCGACATCGCCCTTGCCCTCCACACCCTCGGCAGCTTTGACTTCTCCGGTCACATCCTCAACGAGTTTGTCCGTGATGTCGCCATCAACTACGTCGATAATGACAACCCGGAGATCCGCAAGGCCTCCGCCCTCACCTGCTGCCAGCTCTTCGTCCACGACCCCATCATCAATCAGACCAGTGGCCACTCCATCCAGGTTGTCAGCGAGGTCATTGACAAGCTGCTGACCGTCGGCGTCGGCGACCCGGACCCGGAGATCCGCCGTACCGTCCTCTGGTCGCTGGACCGCAAGTTCGATCGCCATCTGGCCCGGCCGGAGAACATCCGCTGCCTCTTCCTCGCCGTCAACGATGAGGTCTTTGCCGTCCGCGAGGCCGCCATCTGCATCATCGGCCGCCTGTCCAGCGTGAACCCTGCCTACGTGTTCCCCGCGCTGCGCAAGCTGCTGGTCAATCTCCTCACCGGCCTCGGCTTCGCCAGCACCGCCCGCCAGAAGGAGGAGAGCGCTCAGCTGATCAGCCTCTTCGTCGCCAATGCCACCAAACTCATCAAGTCCTACGTGGACCCCATGGTCACCTCCCTGTTGCCCAAGGCCACCGACACCAACCCGGGCGTCGCGGCCACCACCCTCAAGGCCATCGGCGAGCTCGCCAGCGTCGGCGGCGCCGAGATGCAGCGCTATCTGCCTCAACTCATGCCCATCATCCTCGACGCCCTGCAGGATCTCTCCTCCCACACCAAGCGCGAGGCCGCCCTGCGCACCCTCGGCCAGCTGGCCAGCAACGCGGGCTACGTCATCGACCCGTACGTCGAGTACCCCCATCTCCTCGCCATCCTCATCAACATCATCAAGACCGAGCAGACGGGCACCCTGCGCAAGGAGACCATCAAAGTCCTCGGCATCCTCGGCGCTCTCGACCCTTACAAGTACCAGCAGATCAGTGAGGCCGCCCCGGACATCCATCACATCAATGAGGTCCAGGACGTCTCGGACGTCACCCTCATCATGCAGGGGCTCACCCCGTCCAACGAGGAGTACTACCCCACCGTCGTCATCCACACCCTCATGCAGAACATCCTGCGCGAGGGCTCCCTGGCACAGTACCACTCGGCCGTCATCGACGCCATCGTCACCATCTTCAAGACTCTCGGCCTCAAGTGCGTCCCTTTCCTCGGCCAGATCATCCCGGGCTTCCTCGCCGTCATCCGCAGCGCCCCGGTCAGCCGACTCGAGTCGTACTTCAACCAGTTGGCCATCCTGGTCAACATCGTGCGCCAACACATCCGCGCCTTCCTGCCAGAGATCATCGCCGTCATCCGCGACTTTTGGGATGCCTCGGTCCAGGTCCAGAGCACCATCCTCTCGCTCATGGAAGCCATCGCCAAGGCCCTCGAGGGCGACTTCAAAAAGTACCTCGCCGGCCTCATCCCCCTCATGCTCGACAGCCTGGAGCAGGATAACTCCGTGCGTCGCCAGCCCTCGGAGCGCATCCTGCACAGTTTCCTGGTCTTTGGCGCCAGCGGCGAGGAGTACATGCATCTCATCGTCCCCGCCATCGTCCGCCTGTTTGAGCGGCCCCAGAACCCAGTCCCCGTCCGCCGTTCCGCCATCGACACGCTGGCCAAGCTGTCGCGCCAGGTCAACGTCTCGGACTTTGCCTCACTCATGGTCCACTCCCTGTCCCGCGTCATCCCCTCGACCGATCGCCACCTGCGCCAGGCGGCGTTGGACTGCATCTGTGCCCTCATCTTCCAGCTGGGCCAGGACTTCAATCACTTCATCCACCTGATCAACAAGGTGCTCAAGCACTACCAGATCACCCATGTCAACTACCAGACCCTCGTCGCCAAGCTCCAAAAGGGCGACCCCCTCCCGCAGGATCTCAACCCGGAGGACACCTTCCGCCCCTTGTCCGACGACGCCAACTTTGCGGAGATCGGCCAGAAGAAGATGGTCGTCAACCAGCAGCATCTGAAGAACGCCTGGGACGCGTCGCAAAAGTCCACCCGCGAGGACTGGCAGGAGTGGATCCGCCGCTTCAGCGTCGAGCTCCTCAAGGAGTCCCCCTCACCCGCCCTACGCGCCTGTGCCAGTCTGGCAGGCATCTACCAGCCGCTGGCCCGCGACCTGTTCAATGCAGCCTTTGTCTCCTGCTGGACGGAGCTCTATGACCAGTACCAAGAAGAACTGGTGCGCTCCATCGAAAAGGCCCTCACCTCGCCCAACATCCCGCCAGAGATCCTGCAGACCCTGCTCAACCTGGCCGAGTTCATGGAGCATGACGACAAGGCGCTGCCCATCGACATCCGCACGCTCGGCAAGTATGCCGCCAAGTGCCACGCCTTTGCCAAGGCTCTGCACTACAAGGAACTCGAGTTTGAGCAGGACCAGAACTCGGGCGCCGTGGAAGCCCTCATCACCATCAACAACCAGCTGCAGCAGTCTGACGCCGCCATCGGCATCCTCCGCAAGGCGCAGGCCTACCGCGACGTCGAGCTCAAGGAGACCTGGTTCGAGAAACTGCAACGCTGGGAGGAGGCCCTCGCCGCGTACAAGCGTCGTGAGAAGGTCGACCCGGACTCCTTTGGCATCACCATGGGCAAGATGCGCTGTCTGCACGCGTTGGGTGAGTGGAAGCTGCTGTCTGATCTCGCCCAGGAGAAATGGAACCAGGCCTCGCTCGAGCACCGCCGGGCGATCGCTCCGCTGGCTGCCGCCGCCGCCTGGGGCCGTCGCCAGTGGGAGCTCATGGACTCCTACCTCGGCGTCATGAAGGAGCAGTCGCCCGACCGATCCTTCTTCGGCGCCATCCTCGCCATTCACCGCAACCAGTTCGACGAGGCCGCCATGTACATCGTCAAGGCCCGCAACGGTCTGGACACGGAGCTTTCCGCCCTGCTGAATGAGTCTTATAACCGTGCCTACAACGTCGTTGTCCGTGTGCAAATGCTCGCGGAACTCGAGGAGATCATCACGTACAAGCAGAACGTCGGCGATCCCGAGAAACAGGAGGCGATGCGTCGCACCTGGAACAAACGCCTGCTCGGCTGCCAGCAGAACGTCGAGGTCTGGCAACGCATGATGAAGGTCCGTGTGCTCGTCACCCCATCCCGCGAGGACCTCGACATCTCCATCAAGTTCGCAAACCTGTGCCGCAAATCCAACCGCATGGGTCTGGCGGAACGCTCGCTCGCCGCACTCGAGAACACCGTCACCGATGAGCACGGCATCGTGCGCAAGGTCTCTCCGCCCGAGGTGACGTACGCCCGACTCAAATTCAACTGGGCCACGGGTCGCCAGCGCGAAGCTCTCCAGATGCTCAAGGAATTCACGGCTGGCTTGACCGATGATCTGTCCCGGTACAATGCCCTCATGGCCACACACTCTACGAATTCCTCCTCCACCACTACCACCACCATCACCAATAACAACACCAACAACAACAACAACAACAACAACAACAACAATAATAATAATAATAACAACTCCGCCCCCTCCGATTATCCCAACGGCGGGACTCCGAATGGCGTGAATGGTGTCATTGGTAATGGCGCGGGGGGACTCCTTGCAGGCGGCCTCTCCGAAGCTGATGCCATGGGCCTACGCGAACGCGTCGACGATGTGACCAAGTTCCGCAAGCTGCTGGCCAAGAGCTACCTCAAGCAGGGCGAATGGCAGACAGCGCTACAGCGGGGTGACTGGAAACCGGAGCATGTACGTGAGGTCCTCAGTGCCTACTCGGCAGCGACCCACTACAATCGTGAGTCGTACAAGGCGTGGCACGCGTGGGCGCTGGCCAACTTTGAAGTTGTAACCACGCTGGCCGGCCAGGCGAATCGCGAGGGGACGTCGTCGACGGTTATGCCTATGGTCCCCGCGCACATCGTCACCGAGCACGTCATCCCTGCAATCCGGGGGTTTGTCCGTTCGATCTCGCTGTCGTCGACTTCCCCCCTACAGGACACCCTGCGGCTGCTCACGCTCTGGTTCACGCATGGCAGCGACCAGGAGGTCAACACGGTGGTCACCGAAGGGTTATCCGCCATCAATATCGACACCTGGCTGGCTGTCACGCCACAGTTGATCGCGCGCATCAACCAGCCCAGCATTCGCGTGCGCAATGCCGTCCATCGCCTGCTGGCCGAGGTCGGCAAGGCGCACCCGCAGGCCCTCGTCTACCCGTTGACTGTCGCCATGAAGTCCAACGTCGCACGACGGTCGCAGTCTGCCAGCAATATCATGGACAGTATGCGCCAGCACAGTGCCAAGCTTGTCGAGCAGGCAGACCTGGTCAGCCACGAGTTGATTCGCGTGGCCGTGCTGTGGCACGAGTTGTGGCATGAAGGTCTGGAGGAGGCATCGCGGCTCTACTTTGGCGACCATAATGTCGAGGGCATGTTTGCCACGCTGGCCCCGCTGCACGAGATGCTCGACCAGGGCGCCGAGACGCTGCGGGAGGTCTCGTTCGCGCAGGCGTTTGGGCGCGACCTAGCGGAGGCGAAGCACTACTGTATGCTGTACCGCGAGACGGAGGAGATTGGCGACCTCAACCAAGCGTGGGACCTCTACTATACCGTCTTCCGCAAGATCAGCCGGCAGCTGCCGCAGCTGGCGACCCTGGATCTCAAGTACGTGTCGCCGAAGCTCAAGGACTGTGTGGATCTCGACCTGGCGGTACCAGGCACGTATCAGAGCGGACGGCCGGTCATCCGGATCATGAGTTTTGACCCGCTGCTCCACGTGCTGCAGACGAAGAAGCGACCGCGCCGGATGACCCTCAAGGGCAGTGACGGGAATTCTTACATGCACTTGCTCAAGGGCCACGAGGATATCCGGCAGGACGAGCGGGTGATGCAGCTGTTTGGCCTGGTCAACACGCTGCTGGACAACGATAGCGAGAGCTTCAAGCGTCATCTGTCGGTGCAGCGGTTCCCTGCCATCCCGCTGTCGCAGAGCTCCGGTCTGCTGGGCTGGGTGTCCAACAGCGACACGCTGCATGCTCTCATCAAAGAGTACCGCGACAGCCGACGGATCCTGCTCAACATCGAACACCGCATCATGCTGCAAATGGCCCCGGATTACGACAACCTCACGCTGATGGAGAAGGTCGAGGTCTTTGGCTACGCCATGGATAACACGACGGGCAAGGACCTGTACCGCGTGCTATGGCTTAAGAGCAAGAGCTCCGAGGCCTGGCTGGAGCGCCGCACCAATTACACCCGCTCCCTGGGTGTCATGTCCATGGTGGGCTACATCCTCGGGCTGGGTGACCGGCACCCGTCGAACTTGCTGCTCGACCGGATCACAGGCCGCATCGTCCACATCGATTTCGGCGACTGCTTCGAGGTGGCCATGCACCGTGAGAAGTATCCCGAGCGCGTGCCTTTCCGCCTGACGCGCATGTTGACCTTTGCCATGGAGGTCAGCAACATCGAGGGCAGCTATCGTATTACCTGCGAGGCGGTCATGCGGGTCTTGCGTGAGAACAAAGATTCGTTGATGGCGGTTTTGGAAGCGGTAAGCTTTTCTCTTCTTTTTTCGTCTTTTGTCAAATGCTGATTCAATAGTTCATCCATGATCCTCTGATCAACTGGCGCCTGGGTGTCCGCGAATCCCCCGACCGCATGCCGTTTTCCGCAGAGCGACGCCAGTCCCTCATCGAGAACATGAACATGGAGCACGGCGTGCAGCCGAACAATTTCTCCCGTCACCGCCGGCCGTCGATCCTCGAGGGCGGCATCCTCGATGCGCAAGAAGGCGTGCCGAACGAAGCCCGCGAGGCGCAGAACGCCCGCGCGCTGCAGGTTCTCGCGCGGGTGAAAGACAAGCTCGTCGGGCGCGACTTCAAGCCCAATGAGGAGCTCAACGTCAGCGACCAGGTCGACAAACTCCTTGCCCAGGCCACGAGCGTGGAGAATATCTGCCAGCACTGGATTGGGTGGTGTAGCTTCTGGTGATGTGTCTTCAGACGAGTCCTTCTTCTCCTTCTTTCTTTTTCTCCGAAAGACATCTCTGCGATACCTTCTCATACCTTCCTGTACATAGAGCATTTTCTCTTGCGTGTACCTGTTTTTTTTTTCTCTTTTCTTCTTCTTTTTCTTCGTTTTTCCTACGGGCTCAGTGTAGCTTCCAGATCTTGTCCGTAGAGTGATGCTTCCAATACTATTCCACCACAATACATCTGCATTTATTCTCATTCTCTTCTCTATGCTAATTAATAATCTAATGATCTTCTACCCACGCGTAGGATTTAATGTGATTAAAGCTGGTTGCTGTATAAAAACTGCATCTTTGGTCGCTACGGTCCCCTCGACCCTTGGCAGACCGACTTTTCCCAGACGTTCAGCTTCAGCCTGCAACTTGACCACGAAAAGCACCACCAACCAAGCACAGGAAGGAATCCCACCCAGACCACGACATGGCGACGGTTCGACTCTCGCCAGCAGCCAACCTGCTGCGTAAGTCGCGTCTGTTCGCGCTGCCGCCGGCGCTGCCGTCACCACAGGAGGCGGCCACATCGCGGGCGGTCTTCCAGTCTGAGACGGCGACGCTGCCTCACCCGATCCGACAGTCGATTGTGACGCCGGCCTCGTCGCTGTCTCGCGGGGACTGGGGGCTGAAGCGACCGCTGCCGGCCAAGTCGACGACGGACCGGTCGTCACGGCCCGTGGTGCGGGTGATCGAGCTGGACAACTTCGAGCACGTCACGGACTTTGAGTCCGCCGCCGACCACACCGTCACCCTGGAGAAGTTCCAGGAGCTGCACATGCCGTTGTCGCTGCCGTCCAAGGTCAACTACGCGACGACCATTGTGCCCCGCCACCAGAGCCCCTTTGAGACCGCCGTCGACAACACCGAGAGCAGCAGCGGGCTGGCCAGGCCGGGGGCCCGGCAGTTCCGCCACGCGGGCCCCTGGCTCGCCGGGCAGACGGAAGCCGAGTTCGAGACGTATCTGCGCCAGGTGCGGGCGCGGAAGCCCGAGCTGATGCAGAAGCTACGGGAGCGGTTCGTCGTGATGCGGACCGCCGAGAGACGCAAGCGCGCCCAGGACAACGGGGAGGATCTGGCGGCCCTGGGGCCCGTGGAGGTGAGCGAGGAGGAGTTCCAGGCCCGCCTGCGGCTGCTGCGCGCCGACCCCTTTGCCCTGGGGCCCGCCGTCTTCGAGCTGCTGGACCTGCCGTCGCCGCCCGCCATCCCCAGCGATCGGATCGGCCACAAATACTACCAGTCGCCGGGCACCAAGCTGTCGTCGGCCGAGTATGCAGTCTCGGGCCCGCCCAAGACACATCCCTCGGCGGGCCTGTCCTACACCCGCTCGCACGCCCTGCTGTACAACCACCCGCGCTTTGGCCCGCAGGCCTTCCAGAAACCGGTCGAGGCGCGCATCCTGCGGCCCAAGGGCCGCTTCAAGGGCAGGACCTCCAAGGCAATCGCCGGTGTGGGCGGTATCGCCGTCGAGGACCTCAACGCCATGACCTTTGTCGAGCAGGGCGCCCCCGCCGGCCTCGCCACCTTCGACGCCTCCACCCCGGGCGGCTCCAAGTACTGGGTAACCCCCATCCGCGCCTCGGTCGACTCCGACGGCCGCATCGGACTGGCCTCCTACCGCGCCAGTGCCACCGCCAAGGCCCCCTACCGCATCGACGAGCAGAGGAAGGCCACCAACATCATCTCCGACGCCGCGCGCGGTGACCAGCGCTCCGTGCCCCGTCTGGACCTCGCCCGCTCCGCGCGGAAGCCACTGTACAATTCTCCACACGCCCGCTCTCTCGAACCGACGGAGCAAATCGCCCAGACGTTGAGGATGAATCTGCGGTCTTGAACCCCTTTCCCTTCTCTGCTGTACTATAAGCTAGCTTCATTGTTGTACCATCAAGCATTCAAAGACTTTTCTACTTATCCTTAATAAAATAAAAAAAATAGTCCTCCCTAAATAGCCGAATATCTTGAAGTATGCCCAAGGCGAGTCGGATAGTGTCACGTGAAATAGTCACGTGATTACTGGGTCCACTTGACACGTGCCATGGTAGCGAGATGACTAATCTCTTAGTCACCCGTTTTAACGACGCACAAATCCAACCGCACAATCGAATCCGAACTTTGGATACTCCCGACAGACAACAGCACAACCGCCAAAATGGGTCGCGTCAGAACTAAGGTGAGAAATGCGAATGAGAACGATGATTGTTAAAGAATCTGCTAACGACGATTCAAATAGACCGTTAAGAAGTCCGCCAAGGTCATCATCGAGCGCTACTACCCCAAGTTGACTCTCGACTTCGAGACCAACAAGCGCATCTGCGATGAGATCGCCATCATTGCCTCCAAGCGTCTTCGCAACAAGGTAAGAAGAACAAGCTGGAAGAATAATAGCGGGGGGAAAAAATAACGGGAAAAAAAAATATGAACTCGGTGCTGATTCTTGGATAGATCGCTGGCTACACCACCCACCTGATGAAGCGTATCCAGCGTGGTCCCGTCCGCGGTATCTCCTTCAAGCTCCAGGAGGAGGAGCGTGAGCGCAAGGACCAGTACGTCCCTGAGGTGTCCGCTCTTGACGTCTCCCAGACCGAGTCTGGCCAGCTTGACGTTGATGCCGATACCAAGGACCTCCTCAAGAGCCTTGGCGTAAGTCTTTTTTTGTTTCCTATTTGAAGGAGGTCACATTTACTGATTTTAATCTAGTTCGACAACCTCAAGGTCAACGTCGTCAACGTCAGCCAGCAGCAGGTCCAGGAGCGCCCTCGTCGCTTCGGCGGTGCTCGCTAAGTTGTCCCTGCGGATCTTCTGACGGAAAAAAAAAACAAAACAAAACAAAAAAGTTCTTCGACCGACCAGTCGGGCCCTGGGGCTCATGGTTGTAGCTAGACAGGAATGAAAATTACGATTTCTTCCCCAAAAGGTGTCGCTGATTCCTCTGGATGACGCTTGATTGCCAATTTTCTTGCACTGTAGACTCTTGTCTGGACTCTTTTGTCTACATGGGATTGTCTGTGCATCTTGAAGATATACTTTTTATTTTCGACGATGTAGACTTACTAGGTTGATTGATTATCGATCATTGACATGTAATAAAAGACTAACGTAGAGGGTATCATAAACATCAACGCCATGCAATCCTCCCAACGCCTAGACTCGATTCAAGACACTGGAAGAAATTCTCTTGATCACAGCAAATCGAGCATGTCCTGGTCCTGGTCTTGCGTGTCTCGGGGCACGTATCCCTCGATGGCTCCTCCCATGCGGTCCTCCGGGCGCAGCTCCGGTGCTCTGGTCGACCCGGCGGCGACTTGCTTCTCCCTGATCTGGACTTCAACCCGGCCGCCGTGAAGAGCAGGATGGACATCGCCACGCTCCAGCGCGAGGTCAGCCGAGTCCGACGCCGAGCCCGTCGCGAGATTCAGATTATCCAGCTGGCCCAGTACATCTTTAACTGAGGCGGAAGGCTGGCGTTGCCGGTGGTGGTCGTTGCTTGCCGCCCTCCCTTCCTCGAGCAGGAGGATCTGCCTGCCGCGTCTGTCGTCCGCCCGGCGCTCCCAAACGGGCTCCTCGGCCAGCTGGACGCGAATATACATGGCCCGCTCGGCACACTCGCTCGAACACCACATCTCCAGCTTCTCGCGCGGCACGATATCCATCTCGCGGCCGCGCCCGCCCGCACCACTCCCCTTGGCGCCCCAGACGATCCGGAACCGCACGCGGGGGTCCTCCTTGCGGTGCTCGCGAGGACACAGCGCATACCCGCAGCGGCCCTCGATGTTCCGTTCCAGGATGAGATTGTCGTAGTCGGCCGGCTGGAAGGGCCGCAGCGCGGATTTCAGAGCCGCCACGTCGGCAGCCGCGGGCGTCGCGGGATCCGCTGTCGGCGAGCTGGGCAGCTCGATCAACTCGAGGATCCGGTCCAGGATTAACGTCTGCGTGTCCTTCTGTGCCTGGATCTGCTGGGCGTGGTGCAGGGCGATCGCCAGATGGCGAGGATCCGTGCCGGGTCGCTGCGCCAGCGCCGGCGAGCTCGCCGCAGCAGGACGGTCGGGAGACGGCATAGAAGCTGGCGTCTAATATGGTTCCCGGTATATCTTTCACTGAATTAATGGCCAGAAAACGGTCTCGGTAGCCTGGGAAAAGGGCCTATCGAATTTATCAGAGAAAAAATTAGCAAATCTTCGTACAGCGAAGGATCAGCAGGGCAAATGGGCACTCCGCGAGATATTTTATCGCTCACGATTTGATAAAATCCTAGACCAACAGTAAATAAATACCGTGCACTCCTCTTTCTCCTGAATTCCTGCTCTGGTTGTGTTGTTGGAGATTATTTCGTCCCGCAGGCCTGGCAGTTGGCAGTTTCACCCCCCTCTTTCTCTCTCCCCTTTAGCTGCCGATCCTCGTCCCTCTTCCAGATCCCTCCAACCTCCCCTCGTCTCGTTCCTCAACCCACCTGCAGCCCACCATCACCCAGTCCACCCAAGAACCACCACCAACCCCCAGCCCTCAATCTGCCCTGTCATCGTCGCATCGACGCCTGTTCTGGATGCTGTTCTCAGTATGTTCTCTCTCTCTGTCTTCGTCCCCCCGGGCGTCCGCCGGCTCCACTCTCCATGACGTACTGACGTGCCCGCAGCAGGCTGAAGCCGAATTGCTGTCCTGATCGACCGTGCCGTCTCGTGCCGTCGTCCTACACGTGCCTGGCCATTGAGATCGTCTGAGAAGGCATCCTGTGTGGTCTTTGTTTCCCCCGGTGGTTGATATCTTGATAATTTGCGTCAGCGTTGTTGTCCCCACCGGTAATTGCCAGTGTGCTGCCTGTTTAGCGGATTTGCTTTCAAAAAAAAAAAAACCACCCCCTTTCCTTTCCTTTCCCCTCCCCTTGTCCTCCCCTCGATCAAAAGAATGCCTCATCCGACCCCGTTCACGGTCAAGGCGGTCTTCGAATATACATCGGGCCACGATGACGACCTCAGTTTCCCCATCGGCCAGATCGTGACCGTCACCGCCGAGGAGGACGCCGAGTGGTACTACGGGGAGTACACCGACGACACAGGAAATAAGCTTGAGGGTATCTTCCCCAAGAATTTCGTCGAGCGCTACGAGCCTCCTGCGCCTCCTAGGCCGTCGACACGCCCGAATAGACCGAAGAAAGAGCCAGAACCGGCCGTTGTTCCTGAGCCGGTTGTGCAGCACCAGCCGCAGCAGCAGCAGGCCCCACCGGAGCCCGTCGTCGTCGAAGAGTCATCCGTCTCGTCTCCTATAGCCGAGAGAGAGGTTATTTTACCTCCGTCATCGTCCCCGGCGACTGCACACGTCCCTTCCGTGGCCGTCGCTGTTACAGAGGCCCCCCACACGGCTCCCTCCCCTCCCAAGCCTGTTCAGCAGCTCTCTGCTCCGAGTGAACCTGCGCAGCAGAAAGCCCCCGCCAAAGCCGCGCCTCCCGCTGTGGCCGACAAGCCGTCCGGCTCCTCCTTCAAAGACCGTATTGCCGCCTTCAACAAGCCCGCGGCACCGCCCGTTGCTCCGTTCAAGCCGAGCGGGTGGGGAGGTCAGAACACCTCGTTCATCAAAAAGCCATTCGTCGCCCCTCCTCCCAGCAAGAACGCCTACGTACCACCTCCGCGTGAGGCGCCGCCCGCCAAGCTCTACCGCAGGGAGGAAGACCCAGAGATCGCCGAACGCGCTGCGCCTGAACCCCCCGTCTCGGAGAGCCGCCCCGCTCCTGCTCCTCTCACCGAAGGTGCCGAGGGCGAGGATCAGCCCAAGCCTACCAGTCTGAAGGAGCGGATTGCCCTTCTGCAGAAGCAGCAGCTGGAGCAGGCCGCACGCCACGCAGAGGCTGCTCAGAAGAAGGAGAAGCCCAAGAAGCCCCCCCCCAAGAAGCGAGTTGAACCCAATGAGCAGCAGGTGGCCCCGCCCTATGTTGCTGATCCGGAAAGCAACAACAACGAACACATCGTCGAATCGACACGCGATCACAGTGCCGATACACTGAAAGCGGCACCGCCTCCTCCTTCCCTGCTCCCACCAGCGTCCCCTCTCTCACCATCCCAGGAGCCAGTCAGTGATGCCGACGATGCCGACTACTCCGCTGCGGCTGATACAGAGGACGCAGAGGAGACCTCAACCAGCAAGGAAGACTTGGAAGACCGTGTAGAGTCTAGAAGAGAAGTTAAGCCTCAGTCGAACATCGAAGACGACGAAGCAGGAGAGGGCGAAACGGAACAGGAACACGGCAACGATCAGGAGGAAGAAGAAGAGGAGGAGGAGGAGGAGGAGGAGGAGGAGGAGGAGGAAATGGACCCGGAGGTCAAACGTCGGTTGGAATTGCGTGAGAGGATGGCCAAGATGAGTGGCGGGATGGGTATGATGGGCTTCTTCGGACCCCCCGGCGGCATGCCTGGTATGTCTGGCGCTGGTGCTCGCAAACATAAGCCAGCTGCGGAGACTGAAAGGCGGACCGATGACGCTGAAGTTGCCACTACTCCAGCCGCCGCTCCTCCGGTTCCCATTATGCCTTTGCCCGGGATGAATGTCAGAAAGGCTCCCGAGCCCCCTGCGGAAGAGGTTGTCGAGAAGGAATTTGAAGAGCCGCAGGCTACGCCTATTGCGGAGCAGCACCCTCCAGAGAAGGTCACGGACATCGAGGAAGTGATTCACGAGGAGCCTCATCGATCGCCAACAGACCGTCGGTCTTCTTATTTCCAAGGTGGCCCCTCTCTCCCCTGCTCCGTTCTGCCGTACTACAGACAAGACTAATACCCTCGCAGGAGTTTCTGCGCCAGCCCCTCCCCTGGATACTAGGCCTGCTCCTCCTCCTCCTCCGACAAGAGCTCCCTTGTCGCCCGATCCCGGAGATATCTCCGATGATGAGCTCTCGTCCCACACCCGGAAAATGTCTATCAAAACTTCGGTCCCTCCTCCTATCCCGGGCATGTCCCCGGAGGCTCGTCGACCTTCCACCGCTGATACCATGTCTCCTCTATCACCGATTGCTCCTTCGGAGAAGAGACTGAGCCGTCCCCCACCTCCCATTCCGGCCAATTCCTCTTTGGTCTCACCCACCCAGTCTCGCCCCCCACCTCCGCCACCTCCTGGCACCATGCGCCGGCGGTCTACAGCCGAAAGTCGCAACAGTATCCTACCCGCGCCTCGTCAGGCCGGCGAAGAAGTTGAGGGGGAGGTGACGGAGTACGATGGTGATTATGATACTGACATCGCGTCTGGAGCGAGGTTCAAGGATGCTTTGAAGGCCCATGGCCGTGATTCGAGCCTTGACGATGGGACCATCACCGACGATGTCTCTCTACAGTCCCCACGAAGTCCTCAGGAGGCTCGATTGCCCCCACCGCCGCCTCCGACTGCTCCTCGCGCAGTGCCTCCTCCCCCTCCAAGCCAGCCACCCAAGGTCACCAGGGCATCTGTCGATCTGCCGCGGGGACCTCCGCCGCCGCCTCCCCCGGCCAAGGAGCCATCTTTTGATGACGAGGAATATGATCCGTACCGGTATACAGCTCCACACCACGGCCTGCCCTCTCCTCCACCTGTTCCCAGTGGCAGACCCGAGGCACCTCCTTTCCTCCCTCCTCCGGTTCCTCCTGTCGTCCCCTCAACCCTGTCTGCGGAAGAACCAGAGGAAGAGGAGGAGGAGGAGGAGGAGGAAGAGGGCGATGTGTTCGATGTGCCACCGGTCCAACCGACTTCTTTCGCCCCACCTCCGCCACCGACGGGTCACGCCCCGGCTGCTCCTCCTCTTCCACCGTCCTCTGCCCCTCGTAACACTCGAGGGTCAGTGGATATCCTCCGGGGTCCACCGAATTTGCGGCGATCCATGGACATTGCTCGTCCCTCTGTTGACCAAGGCTTCATTGCCATGGAGGTGGATCTGGGCGAGAACACACTGTGGTGGGCCCAGCCGAACACGCCTCCGCCGGTCTTCCAGAACCGCAAGGATGTCCTGTTTGAGATGGAGGAGTCGAGTTCGAGCAAGCGCGGTGGCAAGACAACCGTCTCGAAGAATGTGTATGTGCTCTTCCTGGATTACTCGCAGACGGTGATCAGTGTCCAATTTGATGCGCGCAACCCGACCGATGCGGCACTAGAACAGCGGCACGAGCCGCCGCCGCTCCAGCTGCGGCAGGACCAGCTGGAAAACGCCCATTCGCTGATGGGAACACGGATTTCGGACGCGGTGACGAGCATCCAGAACACGATTGTGGCGGACGGAACGCCGTTTGGGCTGGTGCAGCACCTACTCGGCCCGCTGTCCGACGCCCTGTTGCCCGTCGGGACGCGGGCGTATGGTGCGCTGGTCTACTCAAATCTGGCCAACGCGAGTGTGCAGCAGAATGACGAGATCCGCGCGGGCGACATTGTGAGCTTCCGCAACGCGCGTTTCCAGGGCCACCGCGGCACCATGCACCAAAAGTACAGCGCCGAGGTGGGCAAGCCCGATCACGTCGGCATCGTCGTCGACTGGGACGGAACCAAGAAGAAGATCCGCGCGTGGGAGCAGGGCCGCGAAAGCAAGAAGGTCAAGATGGAAAGCTTCAAGCTCAACGACCTGCGCAGCGGCGAGTGCAAGGTGTGGCGGGTCATGCCGCGCAGCTGGGTGGGTTGGGACAGTCAGAAGTAATCTGTCCATCCTCTGTCCTCTTTTGTCTATCATATGCCATGTCCCTGTGATGAGCATCAAGACATACTACTATTCATTGTCAATCATGTAGCTTCCTGCTGATAACTAGCAGTTGTGTCTATCTCCTATCTTCTCTGTTATTATGTCTTTCTGTTGTACCTATTGAAGCTACTGTCTATGATTCATAGAGCTGGCCTACTGTCTATACATAATAGTATATTGTCTGATATTAGGACTTGTTGAGTATTCATAGCCAGTACAGGCATAATAATCAGTATGAGTTATTGCCAGCCAACTGCCTAAACTAGGCTGATAAAATCACGTGACGTGGCAATAAAGCGGTTACCGTAATCTTATCACTACTGCTGCACTTCCAGTCTACAACACAGCTACCATCAACCGTCAAAATGGGTGGCGATCTCAATCTAAAGAAGTAAGTGCATCAGACGAGTCTGCCCTTTGATTATATTACAGTCTACTAACTTTGATTTTTTTTTTTTTTTAGATCATGGCACCCTTCCCTGCTCCGCAACCAGGAACGCGTCTGGGCAGAAGAAAAGCGCGCCCTGGAGGAACGCAAACGGATCGACCAGCTACGACGCGAGCGCGATGAGGAACGCCAGATCCAGGAACTGCAGCGACTGCAGGAGGCATCGGGGAAGGCGGCGACGCAGGTGCGCGTGGACTGGATGTACCAGGCACCCTCGTCGGGCGGGGGCCCCGTCTCCGAAGAGATGGAAGGATACCTGCTCGGCAAGCGGCGGGTGGACGGCTTGCTTCTCAAACGGGAGGAGAATGCGAAACTGGAGCGCGGGGCGGCAGATGCGGTGACCTCTGCCGGGGCGGTTGGGGCGGCTGCTGCGGCGCCGCTCGAGAACTCGCGAGATCTGATGGTCAAGGTGCGGGCGGACCCGTTGCTGGAAGTCAAGAGGCGGGAGCAGGCGGCGTACGAGGCTATGATCAAGGAGGCGGCGCGCAAACAGGAGAGAGAACGGGAGCGGGAGAAGAGAAGCGGGCGTGGCGGCCATCGAGAGAGGGAGAGGGAGAGGGAAAGGGAGGCGCGAGATTCGCGAGATTTGCGGAGGGAGCGCAGGCCGTCCAGGTCTTCGTCTCCTGGTCAGAGCAGAAGAGACAGAGAATATCGAGACAGAGACAGAAGAGACAGAGATAGGGATGATCGAGACTACAGAGAGAGCCATCGACGGGAACGGAAAGAAGAACGAGATCACAGAGACAGGGATCGGGACAGAGACAGCCACCGACGGGAACGGAAAGAGGAACGAGATCACAGAGACAGGGATAGGGATCGGAGAGAGAGGAGAGACCGAGATACCCGTCGCGAAGAGGACGACAGACGGTACAGAGAGAGCCACAGGAGAGACCGCGACAGGGAACCAAGAGATAATAATAACCACCGCGCCTCATCCTCCTCCTACCAAGACAATCGCTCGACCCGGCCCAACCAGCCGGGTTCTACGCAGCCCCCGGCCAGCACGGATGAAGACCGCCTCCGCAAACTTGCCGAGATGCAATCCAACGCCCAGGAACTGGAGACCACCCGCGTGCAGCGCATTGCCGAGATCGACGCACAGGAGGAGCACGAGCGTGCCCGCGACGACCGCCAGCGCTCGGATCGCGGCCGCTTCGTCTCGTCCCTGCACCGTCAGCTGCAGGAGGATAGTTTGGATGAGCGGATTCGGCGGAGTAAAGGTGGGTTGGCAAAGATGGAGGATTAATTAGCCCCGTCGGCATCTTACGGGAGAGGGGGGGGGATTTCCAATTTCAAATATACTGTCGATAGTAATGATTCATGCTATGATACTTATATATATATATTACAACAAGAGTAACTCGCCCGTCGCCGCCCCCCCAGCCAGCTGAGGCTGGTATACCTGCTGCTGGTTCTGCGTCACAACATACTGTGTCTGCAGCGCGCCCCCGCCGCCGATGCCGCCGTCGTCGCGCCCGCCAAGACTCAGGGCAGCCATCTGCTGGTTCCCGAGGCCGTTGAAGTAGGAATCGGCCGCTGTCACCGCGGCAGACATGTCGCCCGCCTGCGCTAGAGGGGGGAATTCGCCGTTCTGGTAATTGGCAGCAGCAGGTGCATTCGCAGGTGTGATGCCAAAGACTGCCTCCCCGTTCCCTGCAATCCGCGACTTCTGTAGGGCCGGGCTGTCCTGGAGTCGTCGAGGCCGGGCGGAGCGGAAAACCTGTTGCACCGGCTTCAGATAGACGGTAGCCAGTGTGCCAACATTCAGGCAGAGCTCTTCGAGGGTCTTCGGGTCCAGGCGCTCGCTCTCCGCTGTGATGGGCGGCTTGTCACCCATGACAATGTTCTTGGCTGCCGCGGGATCCGTCGACAGCAGACGCCAGTACATGTAGCCTCTGTCGCGAAGATCGGGATCGTCGGTTTCCTCGGTACACCATTTCAGTACTTGCGGAACCAATTGTTTGCCCTTGGTCGGCCGTTGAATGAACAACTTTACTGTAGCCGTCAGCAGCGCCAGCTGTACCTCGATAGGCTCGTCGTGGAATGTGGCCAGGTAATCCTGCAGCAGGCCGTCCGAATTTTCAATCCGGTCGGCATACTGCCCGATGATCCAGATAATGGCCGCCTTAGCTTCGGGCTCATCGAGCTCATCGATATTCTGTATGACCTGCCCAATGATACTTTCATACTGGTTTGGATACTTCCGGAAGATATTGCGGATCACTACTGTCGCCTCCTGTACAATATAGGGGATCTTAGCGTTCACCAAGTCAAGCAGGGTGTCGATACACTGCCGAGCTGCAGACTCGATCTTGATAGCCAGTTTGCCGATGGCTCGCACAGCTTTGCGTACAAAGTGAACGTCGATCTCAGTCGCATATCTTAGAGAAAAAAATCAGTAATGGAGTCTTGCCCAGGGGAGCAGAATACATACTCTCGTAATTCCGCCAAGACCACAGAAATGTTCTCTTTGGTGGTTAGCATGAAGATCAGCTCGAGCTTGGTCACCTTGACATAGATAGGATCGTTGTAATTACAGAAGAAGACGCGGATATCGTTGCGCAAGACATCGGGTCTCTTCTGCAGGATCAGAATAGCGTTACGCAGGGCCAGGTATTGGACTTCTGGCGGCTTCGATAATAAGGTCACCAGGGGAGGCGATAATTTTTTCGATAACGATGTGATGTGTCTCTCTTCGGCAATGTAATTCATGAGGTAGAGGATTACCCGGATCGATGTCAGAACGACGGCGGAGTTGGAGTGGGAAAGACGAGGCGCTATGCGCTCCGCCAGCAACAGCGCTTCTGAGGTGTCTTGGGGAATATAGGACATGAGGGATTCGAGAATATATGATTGGCCCCATCTATGCGACGCGAAAGAAAAGTATTAGCAGAAGAAAATCATGAGGTAGTAAATAGCTTGAGCCTTACTCGGAGCAGTCTGGAAGGATCGAGACCAGTTTCGAGGCGCTCGCGTAGTCGATGGTCAAGGAGATGGACTCGCTCCGCCCCCAGATATCATTAAGCGCTGCCAGTACGCTGGATACAACCGTGGGGTTCTCGTCCTTGAGCATGGAATTCAATCGGTCGATCAGATCGGAGCTCTCGACCATTTTCTTGTCGTGTTCGTAGAGCTTCGACACACAGAAGGCCGACGTCTTGCGCACATAAGGATCCGTGTCGTTCATAAGATGTTTGAGGGGTTGAACGGTCGCTTCGACAAACTCGCGGACGTGGATGTAGGAGATGGTGCGCAAGGCCAATGCGCGTACTAGTGGGTTCGAATCCTCCATGTCCTATGTCATTCACATTAGAGAAGCGACCAGCAGCGGGAGAGAAATGGACAGGCATACCTCAACCAGGAAAGGCAGCGCCTTGAGGGCGACTTCTGGCTTCGTCCGAGCATAGTTGACGAGAAACAAGAAGCACCTATACATCAATCAACCATGAAATCCTGCGCGAAATGATCACGATATATATATATATGTCCCACGCACATCTTCTTGATCTCCAGACTGGGCAAGTTCATGCATCCTACCACATCGGGAAACAGGGCAATCATGTCGTTGTTGCTCATGGTCATGTTTGCGACAATCTTCTTGAGGGCGATCTTTTTGGCGGAGTAGTTTTTGTCCTTCTTGCCGCCGCTGCTGAGATCCTGTCGCAGCTCCGCGACTTTCCCCTGCGGTGTTTGAGCATAGTATGAGCCTCGATATCCAGAATACGGATATACTGCGATAAACATAGGAGGGGTAGGAGGCATGTGCAAAGAATTTGGCAATCAACAAGGCAGAGAAGAGTGATGTGTATCAACAAGGACTACACGGCAGTAGCAGCGACAGCAATTATAGCGACAGAGAGCCGAAAAAACCACATGATGTGTGATGAACAACACCGCTTCGCATCTGGAACGGTCGGCATTGAGATAGACAATCACAAGACACACACCAGACCACTGTCCGCCGAAGCTGCAGCGGCCTAGATACCAAACACGGCACATCTGCGGGGTTGACCTGGAAAACGGCAAAGGGAAAGGGGGGGGAGAAACAGGGTCGTGTGGTAAAGCTTGAGAAAGACGTACCCTAGCGAACAGCTTCGCGTCTCCCCCGCTGGAACTCATTATTGTGGCTGGATGGATGACGAATGACGACCGAGAACAATATCACCTCGATAGATAGAGCAGATATTGGCTTCTACCGGGCTATCCGATAACATGAAGGTCGCGACAGAGAGGAAAGGGGCGGCTATAGTAGTGGTGGTAGTAGTAGCAACAGTAGCAGGAGTATCGTCGTGGTCAGTTTGGTGTGTGGGCTCAGACAACAGGGCCTGGTTCGCGGGTCGGCAGCGCAAAACCTCCCATGAGGAGAGACCGCGGCGGACACGTAGATGAGAGAGACGAGGAATTGACGAGACGCTGTAGACGTCGGCGAAGCTGAAGGAGGTGAGCGTCTCCAGGTGTTTCTCCTGGAATGGAAGGCGACGGAAGTGGATCGCCCGCTCCGAGAAGCTCAGGACCCTCTGGAACGTCGACCAACCTCCACCCATCATCAACCCTCCACTTCCTCTTCAAAACAGCAGGTGTTGTTACGAAAAGAACGTCAAATCTAGTTATAGAAAATGTCTTCAAAGACGGTGTTTATGCCGCCGCCGCCGCCGCCGGCATGGGTTGTTGCGCTGAATTCGCCGATGCCCAGTCTGTCGAAGAACGCGAGTCGGATTCCGGACCCGCCAGGCTACACGAAAACCAAGCAGGTATTTAGAGTTATATTCATCAAAACGATAGGTTCTCCAGCTGAATTTATTTATTGATTAGCGCACGCAAACTTCCTCCTCTTCCGCCCCCGCGAAACCCGTTGAAACCGATGCCCTGAAGCTGAAGAAAGCGTGGGAGATTGCTCTGGCCCCCTCGAAGCAGATCCCCATGAACGCCATCATGATGTACATGTCCGGCAACAGCCTGCAGATCTTCAGCATCATGATGGTCTTTATGCTCTTCAAGGGCCCCATCCAGGGACTGATCAACACCAACGCTGCGTTTACCAAGTTCGAGGCGGAGTCTATCCGCGGGAAACTTGTTGGCGTCAAGGCTGTCTATGTGCTTATGCAGCTGGCATTGTTAGCGTTGGGGATTTGGAAGGTCAATGGCATGGGATTATTGCCGTACGTCCCAAAAAAACACAAATACCCCCCCATCTCTCTTGTCTGTCTGCGTTTCATACTAATATTATCTTTGCAGAACGACAAGGTCGGATTGGCTCGCATGGGAATCGGAGCGGCAACCGCTAGAACGGGCCTATTTTGCGTTTACCTGATCGTTGATGATCCAATCTGGTCACCCAGATGTTTATACCGGTCTAGCTAGATGAAAAAGACAAACAGTTGTATAAAGCACTGGATTTTCTAATTTGCGTGGTATATTAAAACGAAGTATATATGTGTGTATTGTAGTTATGCATCTATTGCTGCCTTCTGCCGGGCATCCTCGACACTCTTTGTTTCTTCGCGCAGGCGGCGCTCCTCTCTCCACAGCGGACCGAAGTGGATATCCGCCATAAGTAGCGGAGCGGTGAGCATCATGACGAGGGCAATAAAGGTGAAGCACCAGCCGCGGCCCATGGCGTTGAGCATGGGGTCGAGGAGAGCAGTAGCCCCCGCGCCAATGAGGCACCGGGCAAAGTTGTTGGCGGCGGTGGCTGTCGCAGCTCTAAAAGGGTAGAGGTCAACCAGCAAGGTGCTGACGGTGTTGAAGGAGCCCGTTAGCGACAACCCCATGAAGAAAAGGATGGTCGTCGGCGCAGCGAGGGGCAGGCCGAAGTGTAAGAACCAGCCGAACAGGATGACCGTGATTCCGCCGATGGTGAGCAAGGGCAACGCGATCTCCAATCGGGCCTTTTCGATGGGGAAATTGCGCAGGTCGGTGTGCCGGTTCTTCACCATGGGGAAGCCCAACTTCTTGGCCAGGCGGCGGTAGTTGTAGTCGAGGAATTTGCCGTTGACGATGGAGGCGATCGATGCACCCAACCCAAAGGGAATATAACACAGGCCGATCTGCAGGGAATCGAGACCATACAGTTCTTTGTATATGTTGGGGATCGAGGCGCTGACGTCGTAAAAGCCGGCAAACAGAAGCGCGTTCGACAGCAGGATAATGCTTGTGTCCTTCTGGAACAAAATCGCCAGCGTCTTCATCGGGTTGGGAAGACCGACCTTGCGGCGCGGAGCAGTGCTGACCTCGCCGCCGGTTTCACGTGCAATCCTGCGCGTCTTCAGGTAGCTGATCAGCGACATGTTCCAGTGCTGGGGCGCGATCGAGCCGTTGCCGACAACGTCCCTCGCCGTCTCCGGGAAGAAGATCAGGAAGGGGACCAGCCAGGAGCCCGCGAAGATAGCTAGGAACCAGAAGATCGCCCGCCAGCCAAGGTACTGCGCGAGCAGGCCACCGATCACGGGGCCAATTGATGGGCCCAGCAGACTACCCGCAGTCACGATGCCCATGTATGTACCTCGCTCCGACGCGGTAGCCACATCCGCCACTACGCCTGAGCTGAGAGCGATCGTGGTGCTGCTCCCGGCGCTCTGCAGGCACCGCAGCAGAAACAGGGCGACATACTTGTCCTGCAACGCCAAGCCGATGTCTGCAGCGATATAGATGACAAAGCAGATGATGTATGCCGGTCGACGACCAGCCTTGTCCGCAAAGTCCCCGACGAACATAGGCGAGAGTCCTTGGAAGATCTACAGATATTATTAGTTGAAATTCGGTCCGAGTAGTATACACAAGGTCGACCAACCATGAAGCTGGTTAATGTCAGGTTGATCAGCGAACTGGACACATGAAGGTCTTTAGCCAATGTGTCCAGCGCTGGGTAGTAGATCTGTGTCGACACTGGCGAGAAGAAGCCTGCCCACGATGCCGTGAAGACGATATATTGTTTTTGAGCGGCCGTGAATACAGAGTACTCGGCATCGGATGCAGCCAACGCGGCAGGCGTCAGCACACCATCGCCGCCGGGACCTTCGGTCTTCACATTCGCCAAGTCGATGCCGTCTGCAGACAGGACTGTCTCGTTGTCGACATGCTCGGTAGGGGTTGTCGTAGCCATTGGAGACCACAACCGCGACGACACCCAGAGAATTACTCAACAAGAACAATCCACAAAGAGTGGGGCACCTATTGTTGTTAATATTATTGAAAGTCAACCGCCACCTCATCTCTCTGGGATCTCCTACATATATGATCCTTCATATTGGCTGGGTCGCTGGGTCCATATGCAAAGTGGTGCCGAGTACCGACTTGTCGGAGGTCCGAAAGCGTCGCCTACTCATCGTTCTCAAGTTTCAGCGACAAGATGGCGGAATAAAACCTGTCTGGCGCTTCTGCCTGCCAATAAGAGTGAATGAGCGGCTTGATCGTGTAGAAAGAGATCATTCGACTCGGAAAAAACGTTGAAAGGGGACTCAGAAAAGGGATACCCTCGCGATTGTAGACGTGGTAGAACCTTGGAAAGAAGTCGGTCTACACAATCTTGCAGGGATAACCATGCTATCCCTTTCTGGTAAGCAGACCGTTTTTGACACATGTGGGTATCCACCAGACATCGAAGTAAGCATTGCTTCGTACTACGTGGAAGAGCTTAAATTGTGCTTGCAGGCTCTGCTGGTCGGTCAGTTAGATAAATTTCTCAGCATGGATATACAGATTAGAGGTAAATAGTATTGAAAGTTACACGCGTGGTAAAAGACGATGATACTAATAGGTGGTAGATTGGTCTTGGTTTTCTGGTTTTGCTTATATTATCAAGAATGGCTCCGGTATACAACAAGGCCCTATGGCGTAATTGGTAGCGCGTGTGACTCCAGATCACAAGGTTATCCGTTCAAGTCGGGTTGGGGTCATTTTTTTTCTTTCTCTACACTTGAAACTAGGCTTTCTTTCTGCTTGAATGGCTTCTTTTTTTGGATCATTAATGGCAGACTCTTTTGTTCTTTCTTTACACTATTATTAGGCTACTGATTATAGAGTACTAATGTCTGGTTCAGGCGTGTGCTCGTCCAACGCCATACAGATTTCCTCGACTAGCTTACCTACCACCACACTTGCATAACACCTACCAGATTACTCAACCAGCAGTTCCTCTGGTATCTGGATACCAGCATCTCCGTTAAGAGTTTATATCGAGGGGTTTCTTTCCTCTTCGCAGTTCGCCGCATCAATACTATGAGATTCGTTGGTTCAAGGCAGCCCTTTCCAGGCAGCTGCCATCCGCCTGGCTCTCGACGTGAAGATTCGGTTTCTTTCTTCGAAGCAGTGACTATTTGCAGTTTCTACTGACTGATAATTATAGATGTATAGTCGCTATCAGCAACAAAGATCGGTATGCTATAAGGGCAACCCGGCTTATGGTCGCTACGTGGAAACCACAGCCTCCATACCAGTCTTGGATCCTAGGTCTCGCTAAAGCAGTATGTCAAGACGAATATATGAGAAGCTCAAGCTCCTTTCTTGGCTATTTCATGGTCCAGTGGCCGATTTATTTCACGCTGGCCATCCGGGGATGCATTCTCGAGTTTCAGTCTTTATATTGGCTATTTTCTCATGACCTCTTCTCTCTATGGAGATGAGTGCCCTTGGAGAAGTCACTCGACGACCTCACACATCTCTTACGGTGGCCTTCTTTTCCCCTCCTCCGTCGACGGCAGGCAGTGGCTCCGATGTCTGGCAGGTCTGTGAGTGACTAAAGCTACAAAAATCTACAAGGCTACATTCTATCTGCGATTAGCTAGGGGAGTTTGTGAAGCATCACGCCTCTCTCTCTCTCCAGATCGCTCTGGCCGGCTCACCTTGTTTTGTCTTGATCGATCACTTTCCTCCTTACGGCTCATCGGCGAGAGCTGTCCCGGAAAAAAAATCGTGTGGCGGCTCTTGCAGTGACGCCGCCGTCGCTCGATTGACAAAATCCCCCGCAGGCCCCAGTAGAGTCATCTGGTGTCTTTTTTGAGGGCTCCCCAAGGCTTGCAGTTGTATACCAGTCACATGTGCTTCGTCTTTCTGGATAGTCACTCATTCCTCGGGTATCATCTCGGGCAGCTTCTTCTGTGCTTATGCTCTAGGTGCACCAGCTTCGGCAGCCATGGACATGGTTATGGTCAAACAATAAACCAGACTCGACCCTCTCTGCAGTTGGGGTCTAGAAATGGCGCTATCGAGCGTTCGGGCGATAGGTTCTCCCCTCTCGGTGACCTCACTCCGCTCGACACGCATCTACAGCGTGATTCGTTCGGGTTTACTTGATACACACTTCCTCTGTTATTCGCCAGACCGGGCCGCCTCGGTCTTTTCCGCGTGTCGCATGGTTACCTGTGTTTATGCGGCGAGGGGCGGTCCATCAACTTCATGGCTCATCTCTGGATATATCTACTTGCTTATGGTTGGGCTGTGGTATCAGTGCTTGTCTCTGGTATGTCTATTCCCTTTTTATCACTCTAGTCTGTGAGGCATTGTGGTATATTACAGGTCTATGATCTCATGTGGGTGTGGTATGTTCGTGTATTAGTTGTGTGGGCATCAAAGAACATTCTGGTGCTTTATGTGCATCTTACTGCTCTAGGGTGGTTAGTATATAACTACTAGCTAGGAGATGTGCCTATAAAAGGGCCTGCGATTTCCATCTTCTTATGGATGGCTAGGGAATATTTTCAGTTTCAGTAGGCCACCTATGCTTATCTAACCCAGTTTGTTCAACTTGCTATCATAGAAGCATTCCCAAGTTCAATATATATAGGCACATTTAACCCTAGTCTAGTACCAGGTTAAAGGAGTATATATTGTGATCTTAACTATAACTGTTACTTACTAGCCAGGTAAACAGTCATGTAGACTTATAATTAAGATAACTATAGAGATACACCCTATTATAATAAAAGAAAAATAATTATTCACAAGACAATATAGAAGATTAAATGTAATTGGTGAGGGTAATATGAAGGGAGTTTTATATTATATATTTATTTAGCGCCCGCCGTTTCAACAGGGCCCTATGGCGTAATTGGTAGCGCGTGTGACTCCAGATCACAAGGTTATCCGTTCAAGTCGGGTTGGGGTCATCTTTTTTTCCCCCCTTATTTTATTTCTTTCAACCACAAGTTTCTTGCCCTAGACAAACAATCCCCAGTTCGATTCAAAGCGTTTCAACAAGGCCCTATGGCGTAATTGGTAGCGCGTGTGACTCCAGATCACAAGGTTATCCGTTCAAGTCGGGTTGGGGTCATGTTTTTTTCTCTATTATTTTGGTTCTTTTTCATACGGTATTTTTTTTTTCCCTTTTAAAAAGATACCTACCCTTCCTTGCCTGGTTGGTGGCAAAATTACAATTTACTATCCCATCCATCATAAAATACAAAGGGTTGGCACAATTTATTCCTCATTAAATCTAATATTCAATGGGGCATTGTCATTTTGCCGCCTATGCCTCTGCGTTGCATGCCTCGTAGAAAACCCGGCAGAACTCCCATACCTCCGTATAGGTATTGTAGAGTGGTGCCGGGGCGACGCGAATGACGTCGGGCTTCCTCTCATCAACGACAACCCCGTTATCTTCGAGACGCTGCAGGACATGCTCCAGGATGCCTGGCTTCAGACGCAGGCTCAACTGGGCGCCACGCTCCCCCGAATTCGAGGGGGTGATGATCTTGAACGGCTTCTCCTCCGGTGTGGCATCGAGAGGGTATGTTAGCAGGAGATGTTCTAGGTAGCCGGTTAGCTCGAGGGATTTCTTGCGGAGATCAGACATGTTGGTGCGGTTAAACAGCTCGAGGGAGGCAACAACGGCGTTCAAGTCTAGGACGGAGGGATTCGACAGCTGGTAACCTGCGGCACCTGCTTGGGGGATAAATTCTGGAGATGGTTAACAAGAAATAAACAAAGACATAAAAAGAAGGTGCATGTCCATCCATACTGTTGTCCATGAGAAACCTCGTTTCCTTGTCCCCACCCCACCATCCAGATAATCTGGGTCGGAAGGGTTCGCTCCCAAGACCGTTCTCCCCCTTTTCTACACGTCCATGTTTTTCATGGACGAAAATGCTGGCCATTCCACCAGGCCCGCTGTTGATGTATTTGTAGGTGCACCAGGCGGCAAAGTCCACGTTCCACTCGTGCAGTTGCAAGTCGACGTTGCCCGCGGCATGGGCACAGTCCCAGCCGATCAGGATATCCTTGGAGTGAGCGTACTCTGTGATCTTCTTGACATCAAAGTACTGTCCGGTGTAATACTGGATGGCTGGAAGGAGGATCAGAGCGGTCTCCGCAGCATGCTTGTCGATGACGCGAATGACCTGGTCCGTATCCAACAGTGGACGATCCTGATCTTCCGGCTCAATGAGAACCATGGCATCTTCCGGGCTAAGATCGTGGTGTCTGATTTGCGACTCAACCGCATACTAAACCAGATCAGCGACCGAGCAAACGTTAGGGTCCTGTCGACAATAAGACTTAACATACATGATCGCTCGGGAAAGCCTTGCCCTCAAGAATGATCTTATACTTGTCCTTTGTCGGGCGGTAGAAACTCGCCATCAGAAAATGCAAATTGGCAGTCAGCGTGCCCATGACCGCCACCTCGCTTTCCAGCGCCCCGACCACTGGAGCCATGAGCCTGGAGCCGGCAGAATCGACGTCCACGAACGGAGGGAGTAATTGGTCGTCGTGTGGTACAAAATGTCCGGTGACACCCTTCGTTGCCCATGTTCGGAGGTAGTAGTCGATATACTTTCGCACAGTGCGAGGCTGGAGCCCGAGGGAGTTTCCACAGAGGTAGATACACCGCGGCTGAGACGAGTCGTCTTCTATAGCTCCGTTAGCAACGAGTCATAAGCGACAACCGAGGGTTAGCACAAAAGCCTACCTTGATCAACCGCAAGCGTCTTCCTCTTCAGATCCTTCCTCGACGGAATGATAAATTCTTCTCTGAAGTGACGAAGGGGGTCCTTGGCATCAAGGGCCTCAGCATACTCCCTCTTATGTGCTCTGATATCATCTCGATAGGGAAGCGGGGGGCCGCTTTTGATATCTCGGACGTGCTGTCGGGATCCCATGATGAATGACCCTGAAAAGAGAAACGCAGACAGTATACAGAAGTGCTACCTATACAAGATCAGCACACTCTCCACCTGTAATTCCAGACACGGTAACCGTTTGTCTCGCAGTCCGTCTGGCATTCGAACCCCGCAGCCATTATTGTCCATGGCAGGCGGCGAGAGATTCTGCCGCCTGACACCGGTGGCGACCATCCAATAGGCACCTCTGCCGAGGGCCTGACTAATGCCTGCATCGCCCGAGGTGATAATAAGCGTCGCCGGCAGAATCACAATTATTATTAATTCGAGTCTTGACTCTCTGCCATCGATTCCTGAGCCTCAAAAACAGAGGAGTTTGGCCGAAGATCATGTCTCGCCCAACCTCGTCGTCGTTTACCCGTTGCTTGACCCGACAGCGTCGACTATCCTCCGTCCTGTGTGCTCCCCAACCGCGTCGCTCGCCGTCAAACTACCGACCGTCTCTGGGCTTCTCCGCATCGCTCGACCATGCATCGATAAGCCGGCATATATCGAAACCGAGATACCAGGTCCCAGGCTGCGTCTCTTCTATTCCCTCCCAGCGTCATGCGTTCTCGTCCTCGACTGCCCGACCGGCTGTTCGAGTAACGCAGAACCCGCGATCCGATGAGGAGGGCAACGCACTGATGATCAACATTTCGTCCAGGGCTGCAGAAGTATGTTGAACCCGTTTGCTTTCTATACATACTGCTGTTGTTTCTGTGTTATATTGGTGGTGGTGGTGGTGGCTGTGGCCGGGTATGGTTGTGGACGGGACTCTGCAACTTTTTGAGATGAAGACACGGCCAGACCTAGGCCGTTATAATTCGTCTTCTATCTTTGTCCATCACATACGACCACAGGGTGTGGAAAACAGGGCTTCCCGTCCGCTCAGCCGTACTTAAGCCACACGCCGGTAGGTTAGTAGTTGGGTGGGTGACCACCAGCGAATCCCTACTGTTGTATGTTTTTTTATTTATTCTTAATACTTGGCCGTCGATTGAGTCCAGTATTTTTTTTGTCTTTTTTGTCTTTTTATTCTTTGTTTTCAAAAATCTATATATTGACAATGCAGCGTCTCCGAGCAATTACAGACCCGTCGTCTTCGCCCTCGCCCACCAAGGAGGAGAATCCATACCACCACCTACGCATCACAGTGACCAGCGGAGGATGCCATGGCTTCCAGTATCTGATGTCGCTGGAGTCGGCATCCAAGATCGATGTGGAAGAAGATACAATTTTCGAGGCTGAGGCCGAGGACGGTGTGCCTGCCGAAAGTGCAGGCGACGCAAAGGTCGTTATGGACGAGCCCTCGCTGGAGCTCCTGTCCGGCAGCACGGTCGACTATACCATGGAGTTGATCGGGAGCCAGTTCAAGATCGTGGATAATCCGCGGGCAACGAGTAACTGTGGCTGTGGCACGAGTTTTGATGTCAAGGATTGATCTGACCTGACCTTCCCTGTAACTACTATATAGCTAATCTCCCTCCCTCTTGTACATTAAAATCATTTATAGACTTGATTGAAATGACCCATCCTACTCTCACCACGCTTTTTTTTATCATCAGTATATAGTGTACTGTACTGTACGTATGCTATGTTTGAAATCGGTATCATTTTTGCATGTTTCATGTCTACATCTTTCTTCCCCTCCAACTAGCCACGGCGTCGAAAAGTAATCAAAGTAAACCGTGAACAAAAAGCGCAGAAGACAGGTAAAATAAAAAAGAAACATCAGCATGTACGCCTCCGAGAATAATTCCCCCTGATTTTAAAAACTAGGAACCACGGGAGGGTGAGCAACAGTGGCCCCTTGGTTTCTTGAACATGATAGAAAATTTAAGACAAGAAGGGAAATCAGGGTAGAGGGGAAAAGAGTTAACAGGTCTAGATCAACGTTGAGTCTCATTCATTTGATCATTGGCTTTTTCTGCGCAAGAAGTACACCGGGGAGGTCACTTCAGCTGCAGGGCTGGCTTTTTTTTTTTTTCCTTTTGAAATATCGTGCAGATTACCGATACAGTATTCTGCTGTACCCATTAAATGCCGACGTCCCGTCCTTCCATTTTTGAGATACTTCTTTTTTGCCTCTTCCAAAGAAGTAGTGCCCTAGCTCGAAGCATAAAAGAACGTTCTAGTACACCCGGGCAAGGTTTCTTAAGTACCAGTCCACAAGGCGACGACCGGCCTTGGTCTCGCTGACGTGAATCAGATCGTTCTCCAGGGCGTAGTCGAGATCGTTGGAGATGACGGGGTCGCCCTCGAGGAGGCCGCCGTCGACCCAGCGGACCTGGCGGCTGCGCTGCTTGTTGATCAGCAGCCAGGAGCGGAGCTTCTCGGGCTCGACCTCGAGGAAGCCGGCCAGCTTCTTCAAATCCATGGTGGTGTACAGCTTGAGGTAGGAGCGGATGGTGGGATTGAAGAGGGTGTTCTTGACCTCGTCCATGAAGATGGCGGTGTGGTGGTCCACGGGGTCGATGTTGACGGCCGGGTTATCAAAGTCCGGCGGGGTGGGGCTGATGAACTTGGGGCAGGCCGAGCGGAAGAGCTCCTCGAAGAGCGGGAGGGCCTCGGGGCCACCGTGCTGGAGACGGTTGAGCTGCTCGCCGTACTTCTCGCGGAGGGCGGAGTGGATGGTGTCGTCGAGGCGAGTCGGGTGGAGGGCGACACAGATGGCAATCAGAGCATACATCTGATCGTTCTTCTTGGCAATGGCATCGTAGCTGCTGCCCTTCTGGAAGTTCTTTGTCCGCGAGACGTAGACAAGGATGTGGCTGAACATGCGGATGGCGTCGGCGTAGCGGCGCATCATCATGTAGGAGAAACCGACGTAGTAGTACGTCGTGAAGTGGGCGGCCATTACCCGCGCGAACATGGCCTTCTTGTTCATCTCGATGTCATCGAGCGTCTTGAGGGCCAGGCTGAAGTCGCCCAGCAGGCAGTGCACGCGCAGCAAGCCGATGATCGAGAAATAGCCCAGCATCTTGTAAAGCGGGCGAGAACCGTACTCCCCAGCAACAGCCAGAGGGTCCTCCCCGCGCTTGATGGCGGCCAGTTGCTCGTTGATCTGCGATCTCTGGATGAGGGAGTAGAGGACGTTGAGCACCGAGTAGCAGCCCCAGGTGTTGGGGTTCTCCCGCAGGAGCTGGGCCTCCTCCTCGTTGGATCCGCTGCGGGCAACACGATTGCGATAGCGGCAGAACGACTCAAACTGGTAGATGAACTCGTCGATCACGTCCCAAGCCCAGAAGTACTGTAGAAAGAAAAGAAACCAGTCAGTTTCATGACCCCACTCATATTCAAGACTCCAAAAAAAAAAAAAAAAAAAACAACAACAGCAACAACAGGACCATCATACAGAAGGAACCTCCAGCTCAACCGGACCGTCCGAGTTGAGGATATAGTGGAAAAGGCTGCAGTAGTTGTCGTAGCTGGCAAACTTGGTCTCGAGGGTCGCTTGGTATTCCAGCGGGGTCGCGGCGGCGGCCAGCTGCGCCTGGAGATCTTGTGTTTGAGAAGCAGCACCCAGCGACGTCGTCCTCTCCAAATCGCTCATGCCATCTTCGAAGTGAACCTGCTCACGGTAGTCATTGACGAGGGCTTCTTCCTCGACATCGGACTCGTCATTGAGGTTGGGGTGCGCGTTGGCGCGCTCTTCGTACGACATGGTCGATATTTGTTGGGGGGGAAGGGAAAGCTCTCTTAGAGAGATTTGCAACTGTCCGAGAATCGAAGAGGCCCTGTCAAGTCCAATGGCGGGCCGTTCGGAAGGGAAGGGGGGGGGGTGCACGTCGTCGTGGGAGTTGAGCGTTCGGCGTGTGGGTTTTGGATTCGTTTTGGCGGAGTTCGAGTTTTGAGGGTTTTCGCTTGTGAATGTTCGTTGTGCTTATCTTATCGATGCATAACAGACATGCTGAGTCAGATATGAACTGCATTCCTTACTACGATATACTTCAATATTTGATAGTAAAATACCTTGCTTAGAATTTCTGACAAGAGATGTTCCAGCCTAGATTATATTCAATGGAAATCATTGTGCTGAATTGTCTCAGACGTTGATTTGAGGTTGTTCTTCGTGGGCTACCTGAGATGTAGGTAGCTATAGTTACGCAGGTAGGTAGTTAGTTATAATCCAAGTATCTACCTGGGCAATATTCAATAGGCAAGTCTATTGCTCAGTCCTAGATTCGTATAGACGTACAGTAACTGTGGCTAGTGGGATTCTAAGCCCGAAGTTTGGACTCTAGTCACCCCATACACAAGGCAAAAGAGAAGCCTCGATAATAAATATTTTGACGGGATTGAGTACGGGGTACTTACTACCTACCTGCCTATTAGTAGTATGTAGGTATAGTTCTGTATAACAGAGAGTACCTACCTAAACCACCTAGTACTAAGGTAGGTACCTAGGTAGGAACCTATACCCCTAGGCTTCTAGTAGGCACTTTAATATACGCAGGTACTAGGAGGAATTTAGCAGTGTGGCTGACAGGTGAAGCCGATGGTCACTAATTATTAACTAAAACAAATTCCCTCATTAAAATTGAGAAAATTTGCCAGAATGAAAATTGGTAAAAATACCCGATACTGAAGTTTTTCATGGCTGGCTCGGGATGGCGGCGTGCACATATGGCCACGGCACTGGGCACTGTCAGTCCTTCTCGCCATTGCAGTACTCAGTAACTACTAGGTACCCCCTACCTACTAGGTACTACCTATTGATGACTCCTACTCTACTGGGAGATATATATGAGGAACCTAGGTGCCTGGTCACCTAGGAGTTAGATAGGTAGGAATGGAAGCTCCAACCTCCTGCCTTACCTGGTTAGTTACGTACAGAAGACTGATCTTCAAGGAGTTATTACCTTACAATACCATGATAGATCACCGGTACAGGATACCAGCCAATCATACGACGTGGGAACAGCTTCCAGTCGTCTGTCTTTACTCCGTAGTCAGCTCTAGTCAGGTAGGTACCTGGGTTCCTGGTGGTCCCAGAGAAGACAATTATGGTATTTTAAAAGGCCCCTGAAGACAGCGACTCTGCTTCTGTTCCTACCAGAAACCGGCCTTGTCCCCTGTCCAGCTCGCGGGACTGTCGGGTGCCGCTTGGGCTGGCCCTACCTATTCAGGAAGTGCACGCGCCAAATGGATGCCTCTGGGTTATTAAGAAAGAGGTCTTACCCTTCCTCTCACTGCCAGGAAACCCCTCCCCTCCCCTCTCCTCTCCTCTCCTCTCCTCCAGGCTTTTCCCTACTGGCTTTGGCACTCTCAGGGTAACTGCATATCAGGGTTTAAGCCCCTTCCTACACTCTGGTAATTCCAAGGATGTCTCTCTAACAGCCTAGACCGAAATGACGAGCCTCATTACTTACCCACCCTTTTTCTCCTCATCCAACCCCAACGGAAAGATCGTACCCAATTCTGCACCATAGATTATCCCACAGACCCCTATCCTCGGCACTGGATAGCAGAGAATGGAGAGACACACGGTCGCCGGGAAATGCCCGGCCTAATGACAGAACAAAGAATGCGTTTTCCCCGTTAGATCCACTCGAATTTGTACCGATATCCGTCGAAATAACCTCACCAAAGAACGAACGGTTTACCCGGCGAAGGAAAGAGCTTTCAGATCCTTGGCTGGCAGACGATTACCGGTTCCTCCTCTGTTCCCCGAGGCTTCTCTTTCGATCCGTCTCTTACCAGCGTGACGCGGCTGAACAACCCCTGATTTTTTTTTTCTCAGTACTGTTCCCAAGTCCCGAGGAAATCCAACAACCTAGAACCAGTGCTCTCCTCTCCATGCCAGAGGATCTCAGATAGCCTTTTTTGTTTTTGTTTTTTTCATCCGTGCAGATCCTGGGCGTGGTCGGCATACGTTCCGGGATCATCGAGGAGGGAGGCCACACCAATTGGCAACTTGATACATAATTTGCGGGCGGTCGACTTGATAACCTCAATGGCATCTTTGGCAGATTTGAACCTTGTACTGAATGCACGGATGTGCTGGCAGAGCTCAGCAAACGCCTCCACCGACTCATCACTCTCCAGATCCGGAAGCAACGCAAGGAGACTAGTCCGGGTGGCTTCAAGCATGTGGTACGGTATATGCTTGAGACCATAGAACCGCCGCTGTATAGCAAGGAATCGAGCGATCTCTTTCGCAGACTGGTACCGTATCCCTTCGGCCTGTTTTGATAGAGATGGATGGGGAGTGAAGGCGAAATCGGGGCTCTCAACGAAGATACTGAAAAGTGCTATAATCTTCTGGTGACAGACTGTACTACTCAGGCAATTCTCATTAGCGACGGAAATAGTCGATCGGCCAATCTCTCTTACTGCAGGAACAGCACCTGTGGCACTGGTTGGTCATCGATATCGAGCGCCTTCGGCAAGTTCCGTGACCAGTTTTGAAGTCGTCTATGAAAGTCACTGGCCGCAGCCCAGATGTCCCCAGGATCACTACCAAAGGCCCGTTCGAACAGCAGCCCATGAATTTCCCACGCGATTTCCATCAGTTTGATCAATTCAGTCATGACACATCGAAGAAGTGCGGGTCTCGATGTACATTCGATCTGATTGGAACGAGGATACGGCGTCCAGGCAATGCCGTCGCTGTGGTGTTTTTGAGCATATGGCCAGAAGATCGGCCTACCTAAGTTGGCAATCTTTCGGAGTGTCATCGACATTTGGCTGAATGGATCAGTCAAATGGCCCTTGACCGGGAACAACGTGTGGGGGGGGGGATGTATACCAATTGAGAATAAAGACACCCCAAGCTGTGAGCGCGGCTACATGCTGCATATCTGCTGAAATGGCCCTTGGATTCCGGTACGGTATCCGGGGAACTTGAAATATTCCAAAGTCTTGGGCTAGCTGCACGGCTTGTCTGATCATCAGCCAGCCAGCTTCGGGTTTTCCCTGAGCCTCAAGGCTAAGGAAAAGGGTTAGCCGTGCCACGAAGGTACAGATAGGAGGAAATGAGATCGCCCTGGATGACGTACAAGCAGCCCAAGAGAAGAATTCCTTGAATATTCACAAGCGTCGCCCGACCTTCCTCGGCTTTCCACAATTTCTCTGCTTCATCATAAAAATGTTGACCGCACGAGTTCACACCATGAGTAACGGCTAAGACCTCTGGCAAGTCAGAATATGCCTACCCAGCGCCACGTCAGCTATCAGCCAGGATCCTAGGTCAGACCGGATATAGACACATACACTTGCCACTGACAACAGACTATTGACCAGAAAGGGGGTGCAGAATTCCGAGTCCGTATTTCTCGATACCATGTGCTCTAGAAACAATTTCTGATCAATCAACTGGGAGCATGGGTGATCCCACGTGAAATACAGGGACACTAAATGTGAGACAAGATGGTCATCATCGGTGACACTGGTCCAAGGCTTAGCCGGGACTCTGAACAGGGGAATATCGCAGAGTTTTTCCAACGACACAAACGATCGCCGTTGGTTAGACTCTGTGCTGAGAGGCGAGAGTTGGGCCTCTCGCTCATCAATATCTGCACAGTTTCTGCATAGGGGTGACGTGAACCTAGGGTAGTCGAAGATATTTTGACTGATTGCAGTGACAATATCCTCCAAAGAAGCGTTGGTACGTATCACCGCCATGAGCCGTGCTATATTTTCAGGGTCCGCTGAGCGAAGAAATCCGAGCAAGGAATGGAGCACATCCTTGTGGTATTCGAGTTCATCAATCGTGCGTTTGACGGCAACCTTGCGCCTACGATCGAGAGTTTCGTCGAAGATACACTCTCCTTCCGTGGCCTCGCAAGTTTTACAGGGTGGTGGTGGACCGGTACACTGAAGATAGCAAAGCACGCTGTCAGTCCAGGGGGATCTTAAAATTGACACCACTGATTTCGCTAAGAAAGAGAGATCAGGGCTAGGGGGAAATTGGAGGAGGTCGGTGCCAAAAGAGACAATACCTTTTTCTTGCTCTGCTTACAAGCAAGGCAAGCAGTCGAATTCTTCTTGGGTCGTATGATCGCCGTCGATATCGGTAGTATGGGTATTTGCGGGCCGGGAGCCAACGGTGGAAGCCGCCTCGAAGTCTCGCGGGGGTTCATTGCTTTGGACCGTGGTGGCCACTCTCATTGCACGAGCTGGGGTGCTCGTGTGAATTTATCATCAACAGATGCAACTTGGTTTTTTAAGTTGTTGCAGAATCCTTTGGCCTTTGACAAAGAGTTAAGGGAGAGAAGTGAGCTTGATGGATCCCTGCTAGTTGAGGCATGTGTGTGTGCGCGCGTCTCGAGCACCAGAATCCCACAAACCAAGCGCGCTAACTGATTGCGAGCACCCGCAGGAGAGGGGGTGAAGCAGAATCAGGCCGAATGTATCTTGGGTGCGACTGGCCTCCAGGCCAGCAGTTTCTGTCTTTTTGTTGCGGCTGCTCGAGTACCTAGGTAGCCACCGAAAGACTAACAGGCCACCGTCGCGGAGAGCAGGTCTAAGGATTCGAATCCAGCAAATGTCATTTAATATGGGTATGCTGTCCGGCTGGTCCGGCTGGTCTATTCCAAATACACCTTCCCCTCGATATAAAGACTGTCAGAAGTCTAACCTGACTGGCAGTGGAAAACTGAACAGAACAATCAGGCTAACCAGGCCAACCAGGCTATTGGGACACTGGAACACTGCGAGAACTTGTTGACAATAGATTTATGGACCGATGCAAGACGCCTTGGTTTTTTTTTTTTTTTTTGTTTTTTGTTTTTCACTTTTCCCATGGAGAAGTGGAGAGAACCGGAGGATAGACTTATTGGTTCAGGGGACACCTTTGTTCCTTGAACATGGCTGGAGGGCCAGACAGGTTCTAGCCAATTCGTCCTTGGCCTCAACCATGCGTGCGAGAAACAAGAACTGACAGGTCGTTCCAAATGCACGATTGGCGAACCGCAAGCGAGATCCAGCTGCAAACCGGCTGCGGTCATCCTCCCTTCTCCAGAGACTTCAGAGAGTGATGTGAGAATGATAGAAACCATCCTCCTTCGGCTAATGAGGAGTTGATTTCTGGTCCATCAGGCCCTTATAAGCAGTCCCGACTCCCAGCCCACCATTTGTTGTGGAAGACGATCCACGATGATGTCGCTGTTGAACACCCCTTGCCAGGTCTGCCCACCCTTATGATGTCATACCCTGATAATTGTTTCGGAATTCCCTTCTCCGCTGGCGTTTGTACCGCTAATTAACCTGGGTGCCGACTGAGAAGTCGGCTGCCGGGTCTTGTTCTACAGAACGGGCGATGTAGCAGGCGATCTGGACGCCAGCTGATTTCCTGCGCACAAAACGATTCGCGAACGACGTTGACTCGGAAATAATTTGCGGACCAAAGTGGATCACCCAACAGGGATCCGGCACTACAGGATGTGGTGGCTTTATGTAGTAGACAATACTATTATGGAGTACATCGTCATGCTTTACTGCCTTCATGTGAGGCAGCACTATGGAGTACATAGAGAGATGACCATTCATCTATTGTCTTTTGTTGGCCGTCTTGGATATAAATGAGGTAAGACTGGTTATTTTATACTTACTCTACAGTTCATCATTCCTCTACCCTGAGGAATATGAGAATTAATTAGTGCTACAAACGTATATGCCAGCGCTTTACACTACTAGACTATTAGGTAACTACCTAGCATATGTAGCAGACTACCAGTTCAACTTATAGACAGCAACCAGACATAGAGCCCCATAAAGTAGCCATCAACATGTCCAGATATCTATACCTATACTAAATACCTGAGTCAACTGTATATAATTATTAATATATATGCCATGAATGATTTTGGTTCCTGCTGACATGGGTACCCCTGTACCAGTAGTTCCAGGTTAGTGGGCCAAGGGTGACCTCAATGGTATCTTTGTCTTTATGTACCAAGCACTACTCTGGAGTACATATACGGAGTAACTATTGCCCACTACCAACATTCTTGAGACCTTTGTCTTTGTCCTCACGGTATATCAGTTGCCCTGACCAGAATGCTGGCGGCTAGAATCGGCATGCCGTGAGGAGCAAAGGGGGGGACCAGTGGGGCGAATCTTTCGGTCTGACAGAAGCTTGAGCGGTTGGAAAAGGCAAAGAGACACACAGGATTTGAAGATATTGAATGTCGGCGATGATGAGTGGGTATGAGAGCCAGTTGCACTGGATGTCTTTCCATCGCTATCGGATCTCGGATATCGATGGCAAAAAACCATCGCTGGGTCGCGGCAACACAATTTTTTTTTTTTACCTTTGGAAGGCGGATAGAAAAAAAAGTGTCTTCCAGTTGCTATTTAAGATCCCTCTTAATTGTCATTTTGTGCCGTTTTTTTCACTTTTATTTACCTATATTTTTTGTCCTCATTCCTCACGGTGTGACTCATAGTTGCATCCTGATTCCGGTGTGACCTGTACCACTCTATAAAAGTATCAACCGGCAAGCGACATCGGACGTGAATAAACAGACAGACAGACAGACAGATATTCCTTTTCAAAACATGGGTTCTATTGCTCCTACTCTGCCGGAGCTTGATGCCTCCTTCATCAAGGTGACCCGTACCACCACTCCCCGGGAGGTCCCTCTGCCTGGGTCTCCCGAGGAATTGAGCCATTCCCACTGTACAGATCATATGGTTACCGTGCGGTGGACGTCGAGTGCAGGATGGGACACGCCGGAGGTGAAGCCCTTTCAGAACCTCAGCATCCCCCCGACGGCGTCTTGCCTGCACTACGCGACAGAGTGTTTCGAGGGTAAGTCAGAAGACAGGCGGCGGGTAATGGTGATGTGGTGCATTCTCACTGACTCTCTTCTTCTTCTTCTTCTTCATCTTCTAGGCATGAAGGCATACCGAGGATACGATGGGAAACTGCGTCTGTTCCGTCCCGACTGCAATGGCGAGCGACTTGTCATGAGCTCGCAGCGAATCTCTCTGCCAGGGTTCAAGCCTGAAGAGCTCAAGCTTTTGATTGCAAAGCTTTTGCAGATTGACGGGCCTCGTGAGTCTTCATCATCCCCCTTCCCCTCATCCCTAGCCCCTCTGGTTACCTTTTAGAGCTTCTAGCAAGATCATTCTAACCGACGGTGTTTAGGTTGGCTTCCCAAAGATAGACCCGGTCGATTCCTGTACATTCGCCCCACGCTGATCGGCAACGGAACACAACTGGGCGTGCAGGTGCCCAAGGAGGCGCTCCTCTTCATCATTGCCGTTCCCTGGCCCGACCCATCGCAGAAGATCGGTCTGAAGCTTCTCGCCTCCCGACCGGAGACCATCCGAGCCTGGCCCGGCGGGTTTGGCTCCGCCAAATTGGGCGCCAACTACGGCCCTTCCCTGCAGTTCCACGGCCAGGCCCAGGCTGCCGGGTTCGACCAGGCCCTGTGGCTATTTGGCCCGGACCGCCAGATCACCGAGGCGGGGGCCAGCAACTTCTTCCTTGTCTGGGATAACAAGACGACGGGTAAGCGCGAGCTCGTCACCGCACCGCTCGACACCCAGATCATTCTTCCGGGTATTACCCGTCGGAGCGTGCTGGAACTCGCGCTCTCGAGACTGGCCACGAAGCAAGTCGGTGGTCTGGCGCCCGTGGAGGTCGTCGAGCGTACCTTTACGATGGATGAGCTTACCCAGGCGTGGAAAGAGGGTTGTATCGTGGAAGCTTTTGTTTCTGGCACTGCTGTAAGCTAGAATTTCACTTACTCTTCCCTGCTGCTGATGTCTGTTGCTAATCTTTACTTATCTAGTTCTTCATCACACCCATCATGTTGATCAGAGACGGAGATCTCGACATCACCCTGCTTTCCGAGGGCGAACGTGCCGGATACGCCGCGCAGATCAAGACCTGGCTCGAAGCCATCATGTACGGACGGGAGGAGCACGAATGGGCATATGTGATTGAGGGGGAGAGCGAGAAGAATATAATTTGAATAAAGTAGACAATAAGAGTTCTTTTTAATGATTCATTTTTATATGATTATGTTTGTACTAGAAAGACTTCATGGCCCCGTTCAGATGCGTGACGACTGACTCCCTGAAATCCGCCAGGAAAGCCCAGCGCGTCTTCTCGGCCCAACCCTTCTCTTTCCACCCGTTAGCCTCAAGCGGGAAGAAGTCGATCACGCCACGCATGGCCGGGTCGTGCGCGAGGATGACGAACACGCTCGCCGGGTGTGCATCATAGCGCTGCAGCGTTGCGAGGCTGTCTTCTGCGCGGGCGAGGTCGGTCGCCACCCCGGACCCATCGGGATACGTGCCCATCCGGTAGAAGGGTTGATCTGTGCAGCAGGCATGATGGACGCGGGCGAACCAGTCGCCTGGACAGGGCCGCGGGGAGGTCGCCTCCAGTGGGCTTGGGGAGATGCTGTCGGGAAGAGGAGACAGGGCGCTGGGGCGGAACTCACCGCAGTGATGGGCGATGTCGCCGCCGAGGAAGATGAACGTGTTGTCGGGTCCTGTGCGGGCGAGACCGCTTATATGGCCGATGGTATGCTTAATAGTTAGAGAGAGAGAGAGTCGGATCTCATATACACACTGGAGAGGTTGGTTGACTTACACCCGGCGTATCGAGGAGATAGAAACTTCCGTCGCCAAAGTAGTCAAATGCAGCAAATCCGGCGAGGTCGAGGGTGAATTCGTGGCGCTCGATTTCGCGCAAGCTCCGCCCCTGGTAATATTGTTCCTTGATGGAAGAGCCCGCGATGGGCTTCCCCCTTGGGAGGTATCTTTCCTTGAAGCCTGGTCCGACAATGAGGGATGTTGAGGCCGGGAAGGTGGAAGGGTCTCCGACATGGTCCCAGTGATGATGGCTGCGAATTAGCATCACATATAGATAGGCTTGTCCATATAGGTTGCGCTTACCTCCATATTATTGCTTCGATTTGCTCTCTGGGATATCCATGCTCGTCTAGAATGCCTGCCACGTCCTTTTCCACCTTGACCTGCCATTTATCCTTCTTGATCTCGGCCACCGTTGTCGGTGCCAGGTCCTCCCAGTTCTTCTGCAGGCCCAGATCGAATAGCAGCCGTCGTCCGGACGATCCATGCTCGATGAGGAAGGCGTACGAGGGGAAGAATAGTTCTTTGTGGCTTTGAACTCGCGGCCACAGGATGTTGTCGATCGGGAGGGTCAATTCCGTCGTCGTGTCGATGACACGAACGGCGACCGTCTTGGACGATGAAGGGAGGTGAAGATCGTTCGACATGATGATAATTCGTTGAATCAATTCTTATTTCTTATTTTTTTTTGTCTTTTTCCGTCTTTTTTTGAGCCAAGCATATGACACATACTGTTCGACGTTCCTGGGTGACATCATGGTATTACGGAATCCAATCCCTAGATAAGTTAATCTATCCGCATTTTAATATAAGGCTGAGTATAATACGCGAAATTGTACATTCTATTCTATGAACAGTCTTCAAGGTCGACCACCAACGGGGCGTATTCGCCGCTTTCCTCATCAGCGTCTGCATCGGCCACATCCATCTCTACTTGTTCTCCGTCTTCCAGCTGCAGCATGCCTCGTCGGACAATGGCCTCGCGTCTCAATTCCCAGTCGTACTCCTCTTTGACCCAGGCGTCTAGTTCATCCATGGCGGTCTTGACGGCTGATTCGACACCGTTCACCTCCTCGTCGAGATAAGTTTTGAATCTCGTCAGCAGTTTCCGTAGGAACTCGCCGCCGCCGTCTCCGTCGGTCTGGAAGAACCCGCCCTCCACGTCATCGCATCTCTTCAGTTGGTTGAGTAGCAGGCGAATGACCTCTGCCATGAAAGGCTCCCGTTCAGTAATGGCGCGCCGAGAGGTCAAAATCAGTTCCAGCAATCGCTTCCATTGCTGCAGACAAGAGTAGTTCATGATCGTCAAAGCCATCAAGAAGGCGAACTGTAGTTCGCCCACTATCTGCAACTCCCCCCACCGTTCATCTTCCTTCGTCACATCGGGAGGGGTACCCGAGAAGCGACGGATGAGATCTCCAAGCGCCCAGGACCGATCTTGTGCAGCCTCTGTTCTTTCGCGTCCGACAGCCCCCTCCCGCCAGGTGCGTTTGAGGTCCACAGGGAGGAAAGTAAACTCCTGCTCCTTTTCCTCGGCTCCATATTCAATGCCCGGAATATTGTCCGCATCCCTGCTCGCACTGCTGGCAGACGTGACTGCCCACCGCGGCCGCCCATTAAGATCCGTTGACGGGCTCCCAACGATCCGCGAAAGCAGCTTGGGCGTGAGTCTATCCGTCAGATTGCGCCAATCGATCTGTGCGTCTTCTTCGCTCTCGTATTCTTCATCAGCGTCTGCGGTTTGCGTCGCGGCCGCCCTCGCCGATGATAATGACTGCGTCACCCGGCTCCGATACTGAAAGAGCCCGCCATTCTGCCACAGATGGCCCAGGTTCGCCTTGTAACGCATGGCTTCTTGTAGTTCTGCATCGTTGGCCCCCCTGAGAGGAACCAAGGCCTCGATGTCGGAGTCCCATTTCCAAATAAAGATATCCTTATCCAGTGCCTCCCCGCGCGTGGAAAGCAGCGCCCGGCTGTTACTGTGCGCAGCGCTGATGGCGCCTACATGAAACCACCCCCCGCATCTGAGCGAGAAACTCTCCGTCGTGCCCGTGTAGAGAAAATGCCAGCCGTTCGGTAGGCCTTTGACGCCATGGAAATTGGCTGTGGACGTGAAACTGATGAGGTCCAGGCCGACGAAGGTTTTGGGCGGCAGGTGGGGGACAAGGATAGTCGGAGATGGCAAAAACGGCGAACTCATGGCTAGTTATAATCGACGTGAGAACCTTTTAAACCCCCCTCAGCACTGATTCGGCTGCCTTTTCTCTGGAAAGGAAAGTTTACAAGAAAGCACCTTTTTACACCCCGAAAATCTTGGAAGATGCGGACGGAAAAAGATCCCGAGCTAGCAGTGATTCATGACTGATTCCCGACAATCACTCGATAACGCTGCTCAATAGACAGTGAGACTCACTGGTCCCCATGTGGATATTTATGTGGTGTGCTTGAGATACGAATAAAAAAAGTCGTGGTGGTGATTCCACGGGAAGGCGGTAGGAAAGCGTTACATCATGGCCTGGCCGATCTGATAATATCTTGGGTGGAGTGAGAATCTTTTCCCTGTTTTGCTTGCGTAACCATAGGAGTTTCTCGCTTATATGAACCGGTAATAGAAAGATCTACGGAGGCTACGAAAAAAAAGATATCTGTCTCAGAACGAGAGCAAAGAAGAAGGCGAATCCCCTAGGACGAGACATGCATTGATGTAACGTAGGAACAGCATGGCGTGCCTACAGCCAAGAAGAATACCGACATGATTTTTTCAGGTATGAGAAAAAGATGAAGACCAGGCGAGAGATGCCGTTCTTCGCGTCTATTCCATCCACATTCGCAAACGCAGGCGCTTGCTGGAAACCTCCTGTCCTCCCGTGACGACTGAAAGTAGCACGCGAGGCAAGAAGATCGCCCGCACATACCTACAGACGACGACCACGGCGACCACCCTTGCGACGGGTCGAGTCGGAGGGAGTAGGGGTAACGTCCTCGATGCGACCGATTCTCATACCGGAACGGGCAAGAGCGCGGAGGGCGGACTGAGCACCGGGACCGGGGGTCTTGGTACCGTTACCTGCAATATGAATCAGATATAGAAATTAAAAAAAAAGAGCTGTTAAGTATCTGGAGACATACCACCGGTGGCACGGATCTTGATGTGGAGAGCGTTGATGCCAAGCTCCTTGCAGCGAGTAGCAACGTCCTGGGCAGCCAGCATGGCAGCGTAGGGAGAGGACTCGTCACGGTCAGCCTTGACCTTCATACCACCAGTGACACGGCAGATGGTTTCGCGACCACTGTATGAAGACAATAAGTTAGCCCCGCATTCCCATTTGTAAATTCGCTGGCTTTCGACGGTCCGGTTTCCCATCAAGTTGTCCAGCCGCTTTTCACCGAGGGTATAAAAAAATAAACCAACCTCAGATCGGTGACGTGAACGAAGGTATCGTTGAAGGAGGCGAAGATACGGGCAACACCGAAGACAAGCTTGCCTGCAAAGCGGTATGATTAGACACAACATCCTGCACAGAACCAAATTTCCAGGACACTCATCAACATACCATCTCCGGCCAGAGGGCCGAGAGAGACGTTCTCCTTAACGGCGGGGTTGGTCTTCTTGGGGGCCATTGCGACTGTTGTTGACTGAGGTCGTTTGTGGATGGAATATGGAGAGAGTCAAGAAAGATCGACTTCGCTCGCTGGGCCAAAAAAATGCCAATGTCCTCCCACGCCCGATACGGGAAAAACGGGTCGGTGTGTGCCCTAGAGAGAAAAGACGGGCGCTGATTGGCTCGGTATGCTCACGGGCCACTCTCAAGCGAATGGCTGCCTGAGGCATAGAAAAGGGAGCGGGGCTCGGCCATTAGTCGGCCCGGCCGTGAAGCGTCTATTTAAATTTTTGTGTGGTTGTTTTCAACCTTCTCTTCGTCCGCATCTCCTCCTACCAGGAAGAAAGAAAGAAAGACAGAAGAACCAACGGCCACCGAAAGGGTTACATCCTTGACCGTGTCTGACGGTGAAACAAGTCTGGTGTCTTGATACTTGGGTCCTTGTTTTCGTACCAGCTGGCCCTGGTCAACGCAGGAGACTCCAGTGCGATGGCGCGTACCCAGGAAAATGCCTCCATCGGCATCATTGGCATGGGGGATATGGGCAAGATGTATGCTCAGCGGCTGAGTGCTGCAGGATGGAGGTAATTTTGCTGTACCTTGCTTTTCTTTATGTCGACCTGGTCTGTGTGGGTGTGTTGCCGCCGTATTCTTTTGAACAGGTAAGAGCTTTTTCTATTTTGTGGATTTTTTTTGCAAGCACCTTTAGTATGATGACTTGAGTGCATTTGGCTCGAGCATGACTCGGGGGTCATACCGATATACCATTCTGGTATTGTTGGAAGGCGTCCGGGTTGTCACTGATGTAACATCTCAGCTACCTTATTTTTTCTTGTCTGATACTGTCATGCTATTGCTATGCTTTTCTATCTGCAATGAATTGTTTTGACCAGATTGGCTAATGCATGAAATCAATAGGTTGTCGGGTTCATTCTCCCATCCATCCTTTTCTCTCTCTCGGTGACTCATTTTTCACCCTAGTATATTGAGACTAACTCGCGTAATCATTGAAGGGTCAATGCCTGTGACAAGCCTGACAACTACGAAGACTTGCAGAGTGAATTTTCGTCTCAAGTACGTTGGTGGCCAGCGTGTTCATTGCCCTATCCCCAAAAACTCATTCGTATGAATAGCAAAGGATCAAAATATTCCCCAATGGACACCTGGTTTCCCGGGTTAGCGATTTCATTATCTACAGTGTAGAGGCTGGTGTGATCGATCGAGTAGTGGCACAGTATGGCCCATGTATGTGAGCAAAAGCCCCATATGGCCAGAGAGCTTGTGGTCTGACCGTTCTGGACAGCAACCAAGGTCGGCGCTATTGTCGGCGGCCAAACGTCTTGCAAAGCGCCCGAGCTGGCTGCATTTGAAAAACATCTGCCGACGGATGTAGAGATTGTATCTTGCCACTCGCTTCATGGACCTAAGGTCAACCCCAAGGGGCAGCCTCTGGTATGCTTCCCAAGTCACAACGGCACCCATGGTCTTAAGGATATATTGAATCGCTGATGGGGTCCATTCGTCTACTGATAGGTCATTATCCAACATCGAGCTTCGGACGAGAGCGTACGGTTCGTCGAGGATGTCTTTTCATCGTTTGGATCAAAGTATGTCCACCTCAGCGGCGAAGCGCACGACCGGATCACCGCCGATACCCAAGCGGTCACGCACGCTGCGTTCCTGAGTATGGGGACCGCATGGCAGGCCAACAACCAGTTTCCGTGGGAGATCTCGCGGTGGGTGGGGGGCATCGAGAATGTGAAGATGAACATCACGCTGCGGATCTATGCCAACAAATGGCACGTCTATGCCGGGCTGGCCATCCTCAATCCGGCGGCGAAGAAGCAGATCCGCCAGTATGCCGAGTCCGTGACGGAACTATACAAGCTCATGATCGGAGGTCATCGCGAGGAGCTCAAGCGTCGCGTCAAGGCTGCGGGCGCGGCGGTCTTCCGGTCCGACACGGAGGGTCAGGATCTCCTGCTCAAGGACGAGGTGCTCGATCGGTTCTCGCTCGGCAACACGCCTCGCGACCAGTCGCCTCCGAACAACCATCTCAGTCTGCTTGCGATTGTCGACTGCTGGTCGAAGCTCGGCATCGTCCCGTATGACCACATGATCTGTTCCACTCCGGTAAGCTGACCGGGACCGGTTCTCCAAACATAATATCACTTTTTTTTTTTTTTATAATTGCTAAATGGGTTGTAGCTCTTTCGCCTGTGGCTCGGAGTGACCGAGTACCTTTTCCGAAACCCAGACCTTCTGGAGCAGGCGTTGGACACGGCGATCGACGACAGCACATTCCGGTCCGATGACCTTGAATTCACCTTTGCAGCGCGGGTAAGCTGAAGATATAACAACCCACTCAAACGGAACAATCACTGACTTTTGTATATAGGCCTGGTCGGATTGCGTTTCGTTTGGCGACTTTGAATCGTACCGGGATCGCTTTGAACGGATCCAGACTTACTTTGCTCCTCGATTCCCCGAAGCCCTCCGTCTGGGCAATGAGATGATGAAGACCATCCTGGAGAAGACGGCTGATTCCTAGAGGAACTAGGATGGCGTGGTCGAGGCTAGGCCCGGAGCATTCCCATCTCTGTAGTTCCATCTCGCCATTACCTCGTCTCGTCTCGCCTCGTCTGCTTGAGTCGGTTGTCCCGCTTCCCTCGATTTACCCTGGTCTCTTCCCCCCCCCCCCCCCCCCTTTGATCACGGAGTATGTTGGGATGGTTGGAATTCGATCAGGCCATGTAAGTTGAACCAATTCTGAACAGACAGGGAAGAGCTTTATCCGCATTGGGCAACTCGACGAGGGGGCAGCGAAGTGACTCGTGACAGAGATAATTCGACTGGCCAGAAATTCTCAAACCTCGGCGCGCCACACTGGCGGGACTGATCCATGCATGGTGACGCAGAGACCTCCAGAGGAAGTCCTATACGGAGTACGGAGTACAGAGCACTATAGTATGTAGTACATCCTTTGTCCTGCGTATTCGGCTCGTATTTAATAGTATCACGATATTTTTAGCTCAGATACGATTACTTGGACAGTTGAGTACGAGTACATAGTAAGACTGGGTACTCTGTGAGTCTCTGTTATTCTATTATTATTCAGAAACAATTGACCATTCCTCGATTAATAATAAGGGAACGTTTATGGAGGACTCCATCCTCAGTAAGACAGGGAACTAGTTTAGAGGTAACTACTCGGTACCTTAGTAGTAGGTACCTAAGTTCCTGTCATGTCATTGTAAGCGTGTACGTACTCCATCGTTCGCGGAGAAGTTCCATGACCCAAATAGACTCCAGAATAGATTAACTTGGTGGTTATTACGGAGACTCCGTATTCCGTATAGACAGAGATTTACCACGGAGTACTACATACTCCGTACTCCGTACATGATGTCTGAACAATTTGTACGGAGTACGGAGTAACTACCTAGTAGTCCCTACAATGACTCGGGAGACCTCCGCGATTCAGGGGGCCCATGCCCTACCCAGCACCACTAAACCCAACATGGTATGTCGCAGTACGAATCAGGCTTGGAGGACATTTTGGCAGGAGAAGAACTAGTGTCGGTTTAGTAACAGCTCCGGACCAGGTTCCTAAGGAGAAGAACTCGGATGATCTGGGTCCGAGATCCGATTTAGTCCTGGCATTTAGGGGTCAACCCAGGATTTAGTCCGAGTACTAGGGATCTAGTTACCAGGTACTCCGTACTACCTGGTTATTACTCCGTAGTAGGTAACTGGTAGGTAGGTACCTACTACCTGACACAGTGACTGGGAGGAGTACGGAGTACGGAGTACGGAGTACCTACTACAGGCCTAGGCTCCAGCTGGATAGCTCCTTCCTCCTTGGTGTAGGTAGGCTAAGACTATTACAGACTAGTTCCACAAGCCGGAAAAAGTAATAACTTTTTCCCCTCTTAAAAAAAAAAAAAAAAAAAAAAAAAAAAAAAAAAAAAAAAAAAAAAAAAAAAGGAAACAGAAAAAGAAAAAGAAACTGTTTGACAAAACATCAAACAAGGCTTTTGCTCTGCCACAAACAACGCCACCCTCCAGCAGTGACACCCGAAGCCATGGCCCATTCCTCCTCCTCCTCCTCCTCTTCCCGTCCTCCGTCCACCTCCTAACTTCCTCACACGCGATAAGGGGTAGGACGAACGGCCCCGCTTGGTGACCATGGTTGGGATAGGTACGTACTCTTGTTACGGAGTAGTTTCCTAGATACTAGAAAGTCTGGGTCTGTGGCGTCGACAGAGCACTAAAAATGTTTTCACGTTTTTCACACTATCAGTCCAATTCTCTCTTCCCTCCAGTTCAGGCCCACCGTCATGATTGGTACCGGGATACGACGCCTCCGAACCTGACATCCGTTCATTCGAGCAACGGTGACCCCCCCCCTCCCTCAGCACAGACGTATGTGGCCCTGTCGGGGACTCGGGGAGAGGGGGGGGGGGCGGGCTTAAGAGGTTGAAGAGACAGGGAAATAATAATAGTTTTAAGCCAAAAAAAAAAGCAAGGAAAAATAAAGCCCGATGATTGTCGTCGGGTCTCGACGATCCTCAAGTGGACTCGGAAATAAACGCAATGGCTCTCCAGTTCGACTATTAATATTATCGTCGATCTTCTCTCGTTTCGTGTCCTGTCAACTGCTCCTGCAGCAGTAACTGGCAAACTGCTATTCCTTGTGAGATCTGGTACGACTCTCATCGAACCTGCCATGCAGATCCGTCGCATGGCACACTATGTGGGTTGGTGCTGAGACCTTACTTCCGATCATGCCTGTGATGATGAGTATGTACCAGTCTATCTTTTGATCTTGAGTTGTCTTGCTTCGCCTTGCCCTGGTGGTGGTGGTGATGGTGATGGTGGTGGTGGTGGTGATGCTTGTTACCGTCGTCGTTCCACTCCGGGTGCTCAAACCGATGCTCCAGGAGGATGCTTTGCTGCAAAGGGAAACCTGCTGTAAACCTTCCCTCAGACATAAATGGACGCGCGCGCGGGGGGGAACATCATCTTCGTTGGGGATTGTGTGGCTTGCGCCTCGTTGCAGTCTGACTCGAATATTCAATATGGATGCTAACAGAATGATTCCAGTTCCGCACAGATTATAATTTTATCTTTTGCCGCCAGCAGCGTGGTTCGAAAATACATGATCATATCCATGATTCTTTTCTCTTCTCCTCGAACCTTCGTTATATCTTTCTTTTGAGACTTTTATCAGAGAAACCATACGCTCCTTCTATACATACACTCATCACTCTCGTTCTCCGACAACTGCTATTGTCATAATAAGCAGATCCCTCTTCACTATGCGAATACTATCTTCTTTAATCACCGCTCTGGCGGTTGGACTAGGTTGGTTGCTGCTTGTGTTATATAGGAATTTCCTACCGGGTTCTGGAAGACCATGAGAGCTGACTGTCGACTTTGCTAGTCCCCGCTACTCTCGGGCAGATCATCTCGTACACTCCTTCCCTAGGGCGAGGGGTCTCATACAGCGTTAATATCCCGGACGACACGGCGTCGGCCGGCTCTGGGCCCATTTATATGCAGCTGACAGCACCCTCGGACTTGAGATGGATGGCCTTGGGGCAAGGCTCCCGAATGACGCACGGTAATCTTTTTATTGTCTACTCGGCATCGGCAGACAACGTGACGTTATCCACACGAAAGGCTCTGGGCCATTACGAGCCCGTGTACGACTCGGAAGTGGAGGCCACTTTGCTGGACGGGTCCGGCATCGTCGACGGGGTGATGACCGCCAATATCAGATGCGACAACTGCATGCATCTGTTCAGCGGAAAAAGCATCATGGGCTCGGCCAGCGAGTGGGTCTGGGCCGTCAACAAGGGTGCTGCTCTCTATTCCACCAACGTTTCCCAACACCTGACCCAGCACGACTGGCACGGCATCTTCTCCTTGGATCTTACCCTAGCCACAGGAGGCGATTCGGCGAACCCCTTCGCCTCCAACGCATCTTACTCTACTGTTAACTATTCCTCCAAATCTAAGCAGCAACAGATCAGCGATACCATCCTCCACAAGAAACGCATCGCACATGGCGTCATGACGTCCGTTGCCTTCGTCCTCCTCTTCCCTAACTTCGCACTTACCCTCTTCATCTTCCCATCGCGATACACCGTTCCGTGGATCCACGCTCCCCTACAGCTCTTCGGGGCCTGCCTGGCGTTGGCAGGCTTTGGAGTCGGTGTCTCGGTCTCCCGCGATCTTCAAGAGCTCGGGGGCTACCATCCATCCATTGGATATGTGGCTGTAGGCGGCGTCGTGGTTCTTCAGCCGATCCTGGGTATCATACAACATATCAAATTCCGACGGACGAGGAAATCCACCTGGTTTGGGGTTGCACACCGTTGGCTGGGTCGTGGCCTCGCTGCTCTGGGTACCATCAACGGGGGCGTCGGATTCTACTATGCCAGAGCCAAAAACCCCGACATCCCACCAGCCTCTCCGATTGCATATGGCGTCATCTGCGCCGTAATGTTCCTCATCTACGTCTCAGTCATCTGGTGGAGAAAGTCGAGGGACAAAGCTAAAGCCAAACTGCAAATACCAACAGAGAAAGTCCTATCCGACACAGACAGCGGTCTCTCTGGCCGTACAGCCTGCGAAGAGGTTTAGGAAAGAAATAATATTCCTGAACCACACTCATCTTTGATCTTGATATCCAGGGTTTGCTTTCTTTTTTTAGCCTGCATTTGCTGGAGTTTATTTTTTATTTTTTTTATATATATTTTTTTTTTGTGATTTATCCTCTTTTTTTTTTTTTTTTTTTTGCATGGCAATTGCCAATCATACCCTTTCATGTCTCCATTCTCTGTACCAACGCCTTTTCGATCTTTCAATATTTTTCTTGTCTTATCATTTGTTGCCTTCATCTACATAACTGACACTCAGTCTATCCGGACCACTCTCCATTGTTTCTATGTATTTCCCTCCACCTACTGTTCCCTCTACCGAACCGTCTCTCTTTTGAATACCCGCGGTTTCAGTCTTTGCGCGATTTCAGCGTCATGTCTACCAACGACTCCTTCCATTCTCTTGTCTACCATGCCCTGTCTTGCCTTGGCTTGACCTGACCTCATGTTCTCAGTCTTGAAACGCTGCAAATGCCAGCAGAATGTTCGATTGGATGCTTGGATCGAATGAAATCTCTCGAGCGCTGTACGCTGCGTGTGTTTTAACAACAATCAATTGACAATAATAATGGATTCAAACCACAAAGGGCTCGTCATAATTCCCATAGTTATTTTCGACAACTATTGATAATTAGTTATGTAGAAGCCTCAGGCACCACACCTTAGTCAGCCCATTAAGACTCCAGCAGGAACAGCCGCATGTCTCAAGCCGAAGCAAGAAGCCTGGGATAGTTCCTGAACCATTCGACTTGTGCTTGAGGGTGCGTGGCGTCTCGCACTAGTCTGTCTTTTATTTCTTTTTTATTTCTTGCTTGCTCTCTGTTCTGCTTTCTGCTCGGTCTTTCCTTTAGGTTGTAAGGCTTCTCTCGCCTGGGAGCTTCAGCCCACACCTCCTCGAGACTCCCCGCGCCTGCTTTGGTGCATCAACAACAAACGACAATTCCTCTACCTTCCAGCGTTGTTGGACAAAAGAACCTGCCTCGTCACCGCATCTTCGAGTCCTCCGTGCTAGCTCCCAGATTACGACGACCGCCATCTTTTCGCCCGTGTCCTCCTTTTCTCAACCTCAATGCTCTTCTCCGTCCTCTGTCTCGTCTTCGAGCCGTGATCAGCATCTATATCCTACTCACCCTACGGCTAGATGGGGATATATGGCGTCCGGATACAACTCAGGGTTCTCCGGAACGTCGACACAGCACCGTCCCCTGGGCGACGGTCGGTCGTTGTCAAGCCAGGATGACGGGTCTGTGGATGGAAGCTGGTTCGACGCGGTCGCGCGGTCGACGCGGACCGGGCGCTCCGAGTCTGGAGGCAGCGGATCACTCGCACCCCGAGGAGGAGGAGGAGGAGGAGGAGGAGGAGGAGGAGGTTCTCTGGTACCGTCGATGATGGGCGGGCCGGGCAGTTTTAGCTCGGAGCTGAAGAGCATGCACACGTCGCGGAGCACGACGCCTCGGCCGGACGGTGGGATGACGCGGCGCGGAAGTAGTGCGGTAGATGAGGAGGATGAGCTGCCGAGCACGGAGCAACGACAGGCGATCATACGGGACCGGATCGCCAAGGAGATGAAGATCAAGACGGGGACGGAGAACATGCTCGAGGCGTTGCTGGTCAAGAATCCCAAGTACACCAAGGACCAACGGCTGCGGGTGGAGTCCGAGTTGAGTTCCTCGAACCGCAAGCTCGCAGAGCTGCAGCATGAGCTCGAGGAGGAGCTGTTACGCGCGCAGGCGCCGTCGACGCCTCCCCGCAGCCGGCTGTCCGCTCTGTTCCGCGGCAGTCCGATGCGGTCGCCCTCGCGGCATGCCGAGTCCATCGTCGAAGAAGAGGAAGATGGGTACAATGAAGGCGAAGGGGACGGCGAGACCGAATCCCCCACGTATGTCTTGACGGAGACCCTGCAGGCGTTGGAGATTGAGGGCATGGCGCCCGATTTCTACGTCGAACGCGCCAATAGCCTGGTCGAGCTGTTCAAACGCCATCCCACCCTCAAGTACGATCTCGCCTGGTCCGTCTTTGGGCTGCGGGTCCAGGTGATGCTGCTCAGTGACAGCAAGGAAGTGGTTGCGGCCGGTTACCGGTTGACCCGTTATGCAATCGCTGATCGCAAATCCCTGCAGATTATTCGCTCCCTGCACACAGACGAATTTGTCATCCTCTCGCTCGTCAAGGAGAGCAAGGCCGGTATCGAACGGGAGCAGGCTCTGAAATTCGTCAGGGCTTTCCTGGATGTGAAGGATGGCGTGCATGAAATCTCCCGTGCCGTGGTGCGGACGATTGTCGCCGTCGCCGAGCACCACGAGGACCGTCTGCGGAACATCTCCATCATGACACTGGCAGAGATCTTGGTGAAAGACCCCGGTCTAATCTTCTACGCGGGTGGCTTTGCTGCCTTGCACGACGCCCTCGCCGAGGGTACCTTTGGCGCCTCGGAGAGTCTCATGGCGAGCTTCCTCCATGTGCTCGATACGCCCCAGAGTCGACGGTTTTTGCAGGGCGGCTGCGAGCTAGAGGCTGTGCTCACCCCTTTCACCGACTCCATGGCCGACTCCGTCCGCACCGGCCGGCTCAAGTCCTCGGCCAAGGCCATCTCCGCCATGCTGAAAACGTGGCCTGGCTTGCTGATTTTGGCGCGCCACGAGGCCCAGCCCCTTCAGTCCCTCTTGGATTCTCTGAACTACCCGGATCCACAGGCCCGAGACCTCATCATGGAGCTTCTCTTCGACGCTCTCCGTATCAAGCCTCCGTCCTGGTCGTCGTCCTTCCTGGCAGGCCGTCGCCTGACAACGTACAACAGGGTGGCCAACCTGAGATCCGAGTCGGATGCGAAGCAGTTCCGCGCCTTTTACGAGAATGACGGGAACAGATTCGATCTCACCACGCATTTCTCCACTCTTATCCTCGCCACGCTCGTCGATGCCGGCTTGATCAAGGCGCTGTCGGACTTGATCGAGAATGAATCCGATCTCTCCTTGAGAAGAAAGGCAACTCTGCTCCTGACCGAAGTCCTAAAGTTGGCGCATCATTCCCTTCCCGAAAGCATGAGCGCCAGCCTCCAGGTTCTTCCGCACTTACTCCCCGCCGCGATCAAGTTCGATGTAGAGAACCATGATGTCTCGACGTCGACCATTTACCAAATCGAGAGCATCAATCGCACGCTGGCTCGTTCCGGGGGGTTTTCCGATGCCGCTGGTCGGTACTCTGTCGACGCTGATATCTCGGCCTCCCTTCTCTCTGGCGAGCCGGGGAAAGATAAGATGAACCCGGTCATGGACGAGACGCAGTTCCGCAACGTGATCCTGGAAACGCACGTCCTGAACAGCGTGAACTATCTCAAGTGGAAATGGGATCTGATCCATCGTATCGTCGAGGGCCCACTGACCAATCCGAAACGGCTCGATGAGGCGATCAAGGGCTCCAAGTTCATGAAAAGACTGATCGGTTTCTACCGACCGTTCAAGTACCGGTTTGCCATGATACCCAACACCAAGCCTAACCAACGGTACGTTCGCACCGGGTGCGCCTTGCTGCGTACCTTGGTCCAAAACCCCGAGGGACAGAAGTATTTGGTGGAGAACAAGTTCCTCCGGCAGGTAGCTGAATGTCTGGCTCAAGTGGACCGCATGAGTGGTCTGACCTCGTCGTCACCGCTGTTCTCCCGGGAGCAAATGGCCAACACGCTGAGCGGTGGGTACTTTGCCATGCTGGGCGTGTTGAGTGGGGATGCGAACGGGTTCGCGATGATGGAGAGGTGGCACATGCTCAACATGTTCTACCACATCATCGAGCTGCGTGACCGGAACGACCTGATCCAGACGCTGTTGGGGAATATGGACTATACGCGCGAGAGCCATCTGCGGGTAATCCTCTCCAAGGCGCTGACCACGGGGTCGAAGGACATCCGGATCTTTGCGACCAAGCTGCTCCGCAAGTACGCCATTGGAAACGTACCGCTGTCTCTCTCGCAGGGGGGCATCGCGAACGCGGACTGGGTTGTGAAGCTGCTCGTCACGCAGTTGTATGATCCGGACGTTGCGGTTTGTCAGGTTGCCGTCAAGATTCTCGAGGAGGCATGCAACCAGCGGGACTACCTTGAGTTTGTTGTCAAGTGTCGGCCGTCCCTGGACCATCTCGGAGAGATTGGGGCGCCGCTGCTGTTACGGTTCCTGTCGACCTCGGTGGGCTACCACTATCTCGATGGCCTCGATTACATCACCCAGGAGATGGACGACTGGTTCCTCGGGCGGAACGACGCCTATGTTGGTCTCATCGAGGCGGCGCTCTCCCGTGCATACGTCGACCAACCACGCCGCAACAGCAGCTTCGTGCCCGAGGACCTCGTCGACCTCCAGGACATCGGGTTGGTCCCGCCGCACTTCTATCGGGAGCTGGCCCGCACGGCGGAAGGCTGCCGGCTGCTCGAGCAGTCGGGCCATTTTTACGAGTTCGCGTCCACGATCCGCGACTTTCGGCTGGATGAAGAAGACACAGAAGCCTTGCTGAAGGTGAAAGGGTGTCTGTGGGCGGTGGGGAATGTCGGCTCCATGGAGCTGGGGGAGCCCTTCCTCTCCAAAGAGATCGTACAGCATATCGTCAAGATTGCAGAGAGCGCCGAGGTCTTGACCATGCGCGGCACCGCCTTTTTCGTGCTTGGTCTCATCTCCCGGAGCAGACACGGTCTCAAGGCCCTGCGGGAGGCGGGCTGGGACTCGGCCATCGATCAGAAGGGCGAGTCGTTGGGGCTGAGTCTTCCATATAACTTCAAACGGCTTTTTTTGGTACTCCTTTCCCTTCTGTCTCTTCTCGGGGACTTGCTCTTAATTTGTCTCCTCCTCCTCGTATGACTTTTGCTAATGATCAGGTTTCTTTCCCTCCGTATGCTCGCGACCACAATGACAAGCGCAGATCCCATGAGAGACTCAAGGCTGCCTCGATGGATCCCGACCCGGTGAACCAGAAGATCTTGAAGTTGATCGTCGACATGGGTAACACCGTGTTATCCAAACGAGCAGCCGCCGATCTTCATGGGTATGAATCCTTTTTTCTCAAAATCATAGACAAAATTTATACTGATGATCCCCAGTCTCAAGTCGAAGCAGCCCGACCGGTTCCATCAGACTCACTTGTTCCGCAAGACCCTCAACATTCTCGAAAGCCATCATTTCCGACTCCCCGCCCGGCGATTCGCTCTCGACCTGTTCGACAAGAGTGTCCTGCAGCGAATTGTGCTGGATGAAGAGTCTGACGCCGATTCGGATTCGACCTCCTCCCAATGACAGAAATCTAGATCATCGGCATATTCATTGACGAGCGCTGCGCGCCTTGTGTACCACCCAGCCCTGTTGATATATACCCATTTTCCCCCATTGTCTCCATTCCTCGTGTTTGTCCTTGATTGTTCCATGCCTTTTTTTCCCTCGTGTCATCCATCTATTAAGGTCTTGGAGCACTCATTTCGGGTAGACTGGGCGTTGTTGGTACGAGATTTGATTTTGTCCTATTGTATGGTACTCGGCAATTATGAGCTATGATCATCCAGTTTACAGATCCAGATTCAATTTACGAGACTGAATAGTAATCATAGTATTAGTATACAGTATACGGAGTACTTCCAATCTACGGCCAAGTATAAGTATAATTGTGGTTCGATATCTTATCTGTCGGCAACCTCAGAATTGATCGACACAACAAACATCTACCAGGTACCAAGGTAGGTACGGAGTATACATGCTACGTCTACGGTTCAGCAATTAATAAATTCATTAATATACACAAGGAATGAGCTTCTCTTTTATTCCACCATTCGTCGCCTCCCACCCCTCCTCCCTCTGACACGATGTCTACAGACCTCCCCTCCACCGAAGCCGAACAAACCAACCCCTCAATCCTCCGTCTGATCGAATGCTCGCGCTGCAAGTTACCGTTTCAGACCCCGCTCCGACTGCCCTGCGGGAAAACGCTGTGTCGGGCGTGTATGCCCCCCGTCCGGCGACGCGTGGGAATCAGCTATCCCGGCACCGAGGACCGGAAGCTCGGGTTCAGCTGCTACTGGGACGGCCGGGAACATTGCCTGGGAGACTGTGGGGTAGACGTGTTGATGGGAAGATTGGTGGAAGTGTTTCTTCAGTATACCACTCAAGGAAAACTAGAGCTTGAGTTTGAGCTTGAGCTTGAGCTTGAGCAGTTGGTGAGAGCCGTACGCGCCGAACTCGACTGCCAAGTCTGCTACGCTTTGATTCTCGACCCTCTGACCACCCCCTGCGGACATACCTTCTGTCGGAAGTGCGTGGGGCGGGTTCTCGACCACTCTGATCTGTGTCCCATTTGTCGACGGAAGTTGAACCTCCCACTGGCTGTTGAGAAGGAGCCGGTCAACGAGCGCGTCGCGACGCTCATCGAAGCTTGGTTCTCTGACGAGGTGGCGGAGCGGCGTGAAACGTTGGCAGAGAATGAGCACGAAGAAGAAGGAGAAGGAGAAGGAGAACATGGTGGCGATGGCTACGCGGGTGATACCCTGCCCTTGTTTGTGGGCGCGTTGACGTTCCCTATGATGCCTGTGTTCTTGCATATCTTTGAGCCGCGGTACCGGCTTATGATGCAGCGCGTGATGGCAAGTCCAAGCCGGCGGTTCGGTGTGCTTGCGTTCAACCGTTCCGGAGCGCCGCAGGGCGAGCTGGGCCTTTCGTTGCCGTTTATGCAATACGGGACTGTTATGACGGTCGATCGGTTCGAGCTCCTGCCCGACGGACGCAGTTTGATTGTCGCCACGGGCTTGTCGCGCTTCAGGGTCGTCGAGTCCCGGCTCCGCGATGGGTACTACGTCGGCAGGTTTGAGCGGGTGACTGACATCTCGCTCTCGGAAGAGGAGGACGCGGAGATGGCCGAGGTTGCTAGTAGGGCTGCTGCTCTGTCTAGGGAGTCACGGGAGAATCTCGAATCTACGGAAGAAGCTGATGCAGATTCTTCGGAGCAACAGCCCATCCCTCTTGATGCGCCGTTGGAGTCCCTGTCGACGCGGCAGCTCTTGAGGCTGTGTTTGGATTTCGTGCACAAGCGGCAGGAAGAGGGCGTGGTCTGGCTTCATCCCCGAGTGCGGATGGCGTACGGCGAAATCCCAGACGACCCCGTTCTCTTCCCGTACTGGCTCGCCACCGTCCTCAACATTGCCGGGTCGGAGGGGTACACTCTTTTGCATTACACCAGTGTAAGGGAGAGGATGAAAATGGCCGCGCTGTGGGTGAGGGATTTTCAAGGCCGGGGCCGGTAAGCAGTCTACCTACCTACCTATATCCAGTGCTACTTGTGTCTTTTCTAAACGCTAACTCATCTCTGCAAAGGCAAAGTTCAACCCGTAAGGTCTCTGCTATCCTCTGACTAGCCGTCCCTCTCTTCATCATCTTTGCCGCTCTGGTTCAATCCCTTGGGCTGGTCTTTTCGCTTGGACCGTGGCCTTCCTCCGCCAATGTCTTCACCTCCGTCACGCCGTTTTCCTTTACAGTCTCAATCTCCTTTGGCTCCTCTGCGTCGCCTTCTGGTCATAGCCAAGGCACCGAAAAATATATACCGCAGACGCTGGTGGTTGGGATCCTCCTGGTCTTGTTTGTGGCCAGGCTGGCGACAAGCGTAACCCATTCTGTTCGGACACGGCGACGACAGCTCGCTCGAGCTCGTGAACAAATGCTGCGGGAACCTGAGCCTGAGCCCGCGCCTGAGCCTGAGATTGAGCCCGGGCGACAAAGCGAAGCAGAGGGACGTCCTGCAGAACCTACAGACCGATATGGTCTGTTGTAACATACCTAAAATTAGGTGTTCCTACTCAGCAGACGCTGAACCATCGTGCAGTAAGCAGGCACTTACTCACAGTATATTGATAGCTACTCGGATGATGAGTGGTATACTCAAGTAGCTACTGACTGGACCTGGTTGTCGATCGACCATTTCCTCTAATTGTATACTAATTTGAAGCCTGGTCTGGTTTTTATTATGACGATTTCCATCCTATTCTTTACTATCATTTTTGGATCTTATTCCTAGCAACCAACTATCAGCCTCCTCTGCATATATTCCCCTCCATAGAAACATATACCCTTGTTCTTTCTTCCTACCTTTAGCATTGAATGGATTTCCATCAAGGATGACTAGGTAGCATCGTGATGGGGTTAATTCACAACCTCTGGCCTATGTTTTACCTAATACTACCACCACCACCACCGATGACATCTACACACTCTTCTTTCTTTCAGGGGGAAGAGAAGGAATGGAACATATGTAACTATTTTCTCCCTAGTCTAGTGAATGCCTCCCACTGGAGCCTTTTTTCTTCTTTCTCTCCTCATGTTATCTTCAGTCTTCGCGAGTCCTCTGCAGTCGACGACGACGAGCGCGCCTACCCATATTGGCAGATACGAGACTCACTGCCTTTTCTGTCTCCTTACTGGCCTACCTATTTATCCCTGCTTCTCTCTTTTTCTCTTTTTCAGCCATCTCATGGATTGTTTTTGACAACACGATGGGATCTTATGGTCAAGATTTCGCCTGCAATGGTAACACTGTAAGTTTTCGCCGAAGAGTCAAAATAACTATTAACAATGCCAGGACTCGCAAGGAATTATGGGCTCTCCTGATATGGAAGCCATCACTATTCCTAGGATTCTTTATGATGGGCTTGTAAGTCCTCGAGACTCCTGGTATATTCTAAAGATTTCTGACCGGATTGGATGGTAGCTCCTTGAATCTTTTCATCTCAGTGCGTGCAATGCCCTTGAGTTGCAGACCTTTTCCATACTAAAAAAAAAAATACAGCTAAGTTGAAGGATTCGCTTCTTGATGGAGGGTTGCCACAAGAGACACTTGATGTATGGACTCTCGGCCATCTGGACTCTGGGGATACCATAGCTGACCGGGCGATACTTTGTTCAGCTCCTGATATATGGTCCTGATTCTTCGGTCACTGCCTCTATTACACGTACAGGGCTACCTGTCGGCCACACCACGCCCATCAGACAGGTTTCAGGCAACACCAAGAACACAGGGCTGAAAACAGGCAATAACAGTGAAGCTGCTCAGGACTATGGGGGGGTCGATGCTTCTTTCCCTTGCGATGAAGCGCAGGATGAATGCGTGGGCATGTCCAAAGGCGAAAGATCTGCCTCGACCAACATGGCCCGTCGTACTGTTCTCCTCCACAGTCTACCCACTCGCGTCTCTCTGAAAGACATCACCGATTCAATCAAAGGTGGCCAGATTATTTGCATTTTTATCCGTGGTCGCGACCCATATGCACAGGTGTCCTTCGTTGAAGAATCCGCCGCCCAGAGGTTCATACAGCATGCAAAGCAGTTTGACGTTTACGTTGCAGGAAAACGTGTAAGTTTTCGAATTCTGTTTCTCTGCAGCAAGTACCATCAGGCCTATTTACTTGCATTCAGGTAGAAGTTGTGTGGAGCGACCGTCTCTTCCACCTTTCCTCCTATGTTCGAACGAAGATAGAGGGAGGTGCCACTCGGAACCTGACCATCGTCAATGTGAATCCAAACATCACGGAGGGGATGATACGCAGCGATTTGGAACACATCCACAACCTCGCCGTCATCAAGGTGGAGTTCAAACAAGGGGATGCGTTCATTTACACTAACTCGGTCCACAATGCTCTCTTCGCGCGGTCTTGCCTGCTATCTCGGAGTTTCTATAAGGGTATGAAAATTGATTTTTTTGCTGACGAATGCGCTGAGCCTCTGGTCGACGGGCCCATTGGTCTTCGGGCTGCATTCCCGGCACTTTCTAGAAGACAGCCGCCATCTTCGATCCGGAACCGTTTTCAACTTCTTTCTTTGGACGGAACCGACGACGACGACGAAGAAGAAGAAGAAGGTGGTGGTGATATTGTTGATGCTCATGCTAATGGAGACAATAATAGCGATGGCGAGGACGGTCAACTCAGGCTGGGCCCCATGTGTCTCTCAGCAATGGATTTTGTTGGGAACAAGTTCGCCTTGCTGCAGGATGCATAGCCATCGGTGATAGTATCCCGACATGGCATAAAGTTAGTCCAATTTAATAGCAATGAGCAATCAAAATAGCAGAGAAATTCCAAGAACACTCCTTCCTACCACTTGCTTACCAAAGATTTACTTCTCTTCTCGAAGTAGGAGGTGAGAACTACTGCTTTGAAAGTACGGAACCTGGATGGTAGGTCTTTCACCTCGCTCTAGGAGAGCCAAACGATTCATTACTGCAATTGATTGTAGAGTAGTCGATCGATGCCACTATCTATATCCAAAAACCCAGGGTATATCCGCGCTGCAAATGCAAGACTCGAGAATTTTAAACACTCAAAAACGCTAAAGGAAAAAGAAGCCAGGGTATCTATCTATTAAGAATAATCCCATACCAGGGAGCCCAAAACAAAAAACAGGAAGGAAAAAATCGCCCAAAAGAAAGCAGACTATCTAATAAGAATAATCCCATCCAGGGAACCCAAAACAGGAAGGAAAAAAATCGCCCAAAAGAAGACAAGCTCTCTAGTAAGAATAACCCCAGCCCAGGGGTGCCGATGCAGAAAAGGAAAAACAACCCAAGAACACAAGAGGAAAAACAAAAATGCCCTGAAACACCACGAGATGCTCATTATAAGTAGGGGGAAAGAAAACCCATCCAGGGACCGCATGCAAAAAGAGAAAAAAAGATACTTGAAAGACAAAACCAAGTCCAGGGAAGATGAGACAACCCAAAAAGAGATAAGAATGAGGCAAGAAATGCAACACAAACCCAGTATAAAACAAGTGTATACCTGAGACAGGTTCCCAAAAAGAAAATAGAACGCAGACAGAATGCTGACAGAGGGGTATGTATATCGCTCAATGCTGGCTCGAAAGAAAAGACAAACGTCGACCAGAATATGATTAGACGAGGGAAAAGATGTATGCAATGTGACCCTTAAACAGGGACCTGACCCAAGAAATTGCAAAGAAACGGAGAAAGAGGAAGAGGGAAAAAAAAAGAGCCATCTTCGATCATCGCCAGTCGTCAGTTTTTCATCAACGCAAGAAAGCAGTGAACGTGCATGTCGTAAAGAGCCAAGAGCTCGTAGTCAAAGGGATAGATAGAGCACAAGTGTATCGATATATCGTCGCCCTTGTGAAGCGACTAGAACCACCTGTAACGCATCTCCTCTGGTTCCTGGAGGACTGCAGGATCCCCACAGTCCCAAGGGCTCACTAGGTCTTCTGGCTTGAGAATCTTATCCTTCAGCTTGTTCATAAACCGGGACCGCCGGCCTCGTGGCTGGGGTGGTTTCATTTTAGTAGCCTCTTCGAGGATGCGGCGTGTGTGGGCTAGAATTTCCTCGGCCTCAGGAACGCGCGAGTACTTCAAGTCGGGGCTGAAGGAAACCTATTTTTTCCCCTCATCATTAGCCATCATCATCGCTGTGTGTTATTTTTTCTGGGCAGTGGACTTACGCGTCCATCGCTGTGGATCTTGAGGAAGATCCATCTGTAACCGTCGGTACACATGCCATACATCGCTGTGTTCTGGTGGCCAGCCCGCTTGCGCACTTCACGACCCATCGCTACTCAACCGGTCAGAACCCAAGCCCCATCATCATAAAACGAGGGCCAACGATGTCTTGAACTTACCGAGATAAGCAAGACATTCGTTGACTCTCGTTTCCCAGTTATCACCGGGCCAGACGTGGTGGATAGCCAGGTTGGTGCCCAGTTTTCTTGGATCTCCCCACCAGACAGTCATGTCAGCTACCCCGTGAAGGGCGCGAGTCTGATGATCGTAACGGACTTTGTAGGTGAGTTTAGTTTCGTACAAGATCTTGAAGAAATCCTTGTAACAGTCCTGGTCGGAATCGGCCGCTCGGATGAAGAGCTTTCTATCCTCTCTGGCGGCTCGGTCCAAGAGGCACTTGGCCTTCCCGCGTGTTCCTTTGACGTCGAGTTCTGAAGGAGGGAAATTATCGTCAAACCATCGAAAATAATATTCTGTGAGCAAACTACTGTTAGCTGGTTGCTTTCTCTGTGTCGCTTGTGCGGCGCGGATGTGCCACTTACTCAATGCAGCGGGGAGTCTGCCTTTCTTCTTAGGATCCACAGCCCAGTCTAATTCTTCTTCCTTGGCAGTGGACTCTTTCAAGTGAAATATCTCAAGGATGTCTTCTCGGTATAATTCCTTAGTCGAGAGAGAGAAGGGAGGCTCACGCTCCTTGCTGCTGGCAGAGGAGGAAACCTCGGAAAGAAGTCGAACGAGAGACATGTCTCTGGCCTTGCCCATCTTGCCGTTCCACCAGTTCTTGAGACGGCGAGTGGGGAAGTACATCTTAACAAGAGGTGTACTGTATACCTATGCTATCTTGTTTGAAAAGAAAGACGGATACCGTCAAGGTATGATAGAGAGAGAGAGAGAGAGAGAGAGAGAGAGAGAGAGAGAGAGAGAGAGAACAGTGGCAAACGCTTTATGTATCTAGCTGACGTTGCAAGTATAGAGTAGCCTATAAAGTGGACTGTGTTTAATACGCTTGGGAAAGCAGAGAGAAGACAAGAGACAGTTTTGGGAGAAGAAAGAGGGAAAGAAGAGAAGAATAGAGACGGGAATTTCTCCTGGTTTTTTATATTCCCCCCTCCCAGGCATCTCGAACGACATCGAACAATAGATCGCCACCCAATAAAGCTTATAATCGAGAGGTTGGGATACATCAATACGTCGAAACCTGTCCGAGACGGTATGGGTTGTCCTGGTGGCCTGCGTCGTCGCTGCCTTCCGCCGGCGGCGACGAGGTCAACACACCGTTCTATACCGTACAGTACGCTCTGACAGCGTGCTCCGTGCACTGCTGCCTGAGATCTGTTACGTGGCTCAAGATAGATAGGAGGATTCACGGCCAATCTGACAAGTTTCTCTAATCTACGAGGGAGAATTGCTGAGGCTTTATCTACGCCGAGAGACTGCTCTCTTCGCCTCGAAGCCTTTGGCACCCATCCCCCCCCTGCACAAGGAATCTCTGTAGCAAGAAAGGCACGATACAGTGATCAGTCCAGTTGCCTGGGCTTCAATGAGGGAAGAACTCAAGAGGCAGGAGCTTCAACGTGTCTCCCTCGACTACTCCTTCCTCCCTCAGACTACTAGATTAGTAGAAAGCTATTTCACAGCGAGGCCCTTTTATTATAGACCTTATAAGCATCGCAACTCTGTAAATCGCTATCTAGAGAATCGTTCTAGCCCTTTGGACCCACGCCAGTGACTCACTTACGGCCCACTGTGCGGTCATCGATGCGCAGTCAAGTACGCTCAAAATTACAGTCTATATTATATTCTGGGCGGCGGCTGCCCCAACAGAATCCGGCCTAAGGCCAGCGAGGAGCACCATAAGTGTGAGGATGAAATAGACATGAAAGAGAGTCGAAAATGTGGGTTGATTCAGGAGGAGATGGAATACCGAAGATTTTACATGATGTAGATTTGATATCTGACATGAAACAAGCTTTCGTTAAGCACTGCAAGTGACAAGGGCCTCAGCCACGGATCCATACATGGGCCAACCCTTGTGCAGCGCCATGTCTAGCTTAAATTGACTTGGAAGGTAGGTTGTCTTCATCGAAAATGATGATACTTCAGTATATTCAAGACTGTGTTGTTACTCTTAACAGTGAGTCGGGGGCAAAACGAGAAACACAGTCAGTCACAGACCCTCTGCCGTACTAGACAAGATCCTCTGCCGCTCGATGAAGCTATATCCGTACATAACAGAAGATCGCTTGAATGCATTTGCTCACGTAGAGATGTAGTTGTCTGATGTCGAATATGATTGGCTTGAAATCGATCTACAACTTGATCCAATCATATCCATGGATGGCCGTTTGATCTTGCAGATTAGGGCTGGGAGTCCGATACGGAAGATTAGGGCATTTATAGGTACTAGGTACCATAGGAGCATAGAGTACTAACTTATCCTTAAAATGCTCTGTTCAGTACGGTCTACAGGCTCATATCAGACATAATCGTCAAAGTCGTTGAAATGTATTTTTTTTGCATTACTCGAATATGGTGCTGCGACCCCCTCTCCAGGGCTATTCGGTAGCCATGAAGAAAATCCTTTTTTGAACAGAGAAAAAACGGGGGTGTTATTTCATTTCAGATACCTGGCCTACACTATTCCCAGCCGTAGAATAAAATAAAAGCAGCCAGTATATCCCATATGCGACTGTCACATAACCATGATCCGAAGTAGATTTTTTTTCTTCTTGAATCCCTAGAATCGCTTTTCGGCAATTCCCGTTCCTCCAGACATCCTGCACGTCCACCAAATCCTCGCCGTGTAAAGAAACCAAAAAACAATATTCGCAATCGCTTTTGTTTCTTTAACGGTAGGACTTTTGGTAACGAGAACGGGCACCGCGACCACCGAACTTCTTGGGCTCGGCACGGCGGTTGTCGGCCACGAGGAGTGTGCGGTCGTACTGGACGAAAGCCTGCTTGAGCTGGTTCTTGGAGTGCTCGTCAACGTACTTCTGGTAGTAGGCGACGATCGACTTGGCGATAGCCTGACGGATGGCGTAGACCTGGGAAGTGTGACCACCACCGGTGACGCGGACACGGATGTCGACACCAGCAAACTTGTCGGCGCCAACGATCAGGAGGGGCTCGTAGACCTGTTGAGTTCACGTTTCGAATCAGAACGTGTCTTTTCCAAACAAAAACCCTTCCCTCCAAACGATATTCATGTCCGTATGTTTCCCAGAGTTGCGAAGTAGCGTACCTTGAAGCGGAGGATCTCAGGCTGAACCAGAGAAAGGGGCTGGCCGTTGACCTTGATGAGGCCCTTGCCTTGCTGTTGTTGAAAAAAAAAAGATCTCAGTATTCTATCCGTCAAGAGTGACAAAAAAATTATGTCGATTCCTCCCTCCTCCCCCAACGTATCCACTCAAGAGTATAAAGATCGCAGATCGACAGATGAAGAAAAAAGGGAATCATTCGTAGGTGGCAACGTTCTCATACCTTGCAGTGGGCGACAGCGGTGGCTATATCCAGAAAGCAACAATGTTAGCCAACCGATCAAAGAATTTTTGCTCGACATCTCAGGACAACAAAAAAAAAACCACTAACCCGTCTTCTTCTTGCCGAAGCATTGCACACTCGGGACGGAAGCCATGGTGGGTGAAATGGCCCTTGTCGGTGTCGAGAAAGGGGAGTGTGCGGAGGGTTTCGAAGGGAGAGTAGTCGTCGTGTCGTCGCTTCTCTTCTCGATTCGAGATACAGAATCCGGGTGGGTGTGCGCGTGTTCGCTTAGTGTGCGCGCTAGTGCTCGCTAGGGCTTCCGTTGCTGGCATACCGCTTTGGCATTTGCCATTTGCGCAGGTTAGTCACGTGATAATACTCGGCGGACCGGGCGCCGAGCGAACTCCAGGACCTGAAGGGGAAAGTCGGGAGGCCGGAGGAGGCTGTTTAGCTCGCTGGACAGCATTAATTCTCCTGCCGGTGCTGGAAATAAATATAAGTCTGATTATATCTTGAATCGAGAGTTGTTTGCCTTTCCCCTGAGTATACTGTCACAGAGAATCCCCCGCGGTGTGTGAGTTGTTGAAGGGAAAAAAAGGGCCAAAACAAAATGTCGCAAGCAGTTGGCAAGGTGAGTCTTTTCGATCGCGATTCGATGCGCCCAAGTCTATCATTTATACTGATACGGATTGCTATATGTCTTCAGACCCGTCTTGCCTTTTCTCGCACATGGCACTGTGTCGACGTTGGAGCCGACCCGCGTTCCCTTGGCCGGCTCGCCTCCTCTATTGCTCTTTTCCTGATGGGCAAACACAAACCCATCTATGACCCGTCAACCGACTGTGGCGACTACGTTGTCGCCGTGGGCTGCCATGACCTACGTGTCACGGGGAAGAAGCGCCTGCAGAAGCAGTACTACACGCACAACACAAGGCCCGGAAGCCTGCGAAGCATGACCATGGACAAGATGTTTGAGAAATGGGGCGGCGGCGAGGTGCTGCGCCGCGCAGTTAGGGGAATGCTGCCCAAGAACCGGTTACGGAATAAGAGACTGGCTAGATTGAAGAGTACGTGAACCGATGCTTCTATAGGTATATTGATACTGACTTTTTTTCCTTCAACAGCCTTTGAAGGTCTTCATCACCCTTACAAGCAGAACATCGTCAAGATCGGCCATGAGTCTGCCATTGGGAGCCTTCCCCAGGTGCAGGAGGCGTTCAAGAATGCTAAAGCACCGGAATCTTCACCATAGTCAGGAAAAACTGAAAGAGATAGATGCCTCGTTTTTGTTCTATGTGACCTTGTATTTTATCGTTCCCTTTGTGTGTTTCCAAGCTGCAAGCGCATGGGTGGAGTCCATCTTTCTGTTCCCCCTTTTCGGTTCTCTACTTTTACCACAAGGGCTACTCAATCCCCATGGACCTTGTTTTGCCCAACTCGAGAGAAGCCTCGGGGAGGGTAGGGAGATTGAGAATATGTATTTGATGCTCGATTGATTCCCTCTGTTTGACGCTGTGTACTATATGAACATATACCAAAAATTTAAACGCTAGCTTGACTATCCTATCCCCAAGATGAGAAGCCTACTTTATCTTAAGTGCAAGGCTCTCTTTACAAAAAAAAAAGACTTCTTGATATCATGACCAGGTCGTTACATTACAGCTTCGCTTTTTGGCCCGCTCGGCACACTGTGCACTTGATCAGACCGTTGGGGTTCGTTTGCGGGGCATAGACTTCAGCGTCTTTGCCAGTGTTCTTGAGTCCTTTGTGCCAGCTAAGGTCTGTCGAAAACGTCAGATACAAGTTTTCCACGTTAGAATGCGGCGCTGTAGATTTCTAGACTTACCAACTTCAAAGTAGTGTTTGTTAGGCAGAGAGTACTCGACCGACTCAACCAAAGGCGCAGCCGCCAGGATCTGGTCGGCCATTTTGTACATTGTGTTCTGCACACTGGCGCTGTTGTCCTCTGCAAACGTCTTGAGGGTAATATCTCTAGCAGCGGTCCACGCTTCGTCGAACTTTGGGATCACTGCCTTGACGGCATCCAACCCGTTGAAGCGCTTCCACTTCCAGCTCGCCTCGACGTCGGTGCTGAAGATACGATCCCACGTCTCCTTGAGGGTGGTATACTCATCCCGAACAAAGCCCCAGAACTGCGAGTTCGTGCTCTTCAGTACTGTCAAGCCAGAGATAGACGACTTGATGTCGATACCCACTCCCTCTGTCACGTCGACCTGTACGTTGCGGGTTTCCTGGCTGTCCCGAAAGAAGGAGTGCGGGTGCGGCTTGCCGTCGATGGTCAACCGGGCCCAGCGGTGCGTGATGATATCAACATGCGCAGCATGGATGTGCTTGTACTTCTCAATAAAATGGGTTCCGACGATCGAGCCGAACAGCTCTGGCGGTGTCACGGGGACTTGCTTCGCGAGGATATAGATCGTGTTTTTCATCGAGTCAGTCGCGACCACGACGCTGTTGTCGGCTTTGGTATAGCTAGACAAGCGCACGCATGTCAGCAATGGGGTTATCTCTTCTCTCGAGATCTTCTTTTCCATAGCTTCTCTGCACTTACGAGGTCTCAATGTCCCCTTCTAACAGGACGCGGACCGTCATCTCCACCACAGTCTGGATCCCCGTACTTTCATCACGGTGGACCTTGTAAACGCGGACATTGTCCTTGCCATATCTGGCAGCAGCAACTTGAGAAGCCATCGCAGATGAGTTTAAATTGTAATGAAAAGTGTCTGGGTGAAGGAGGTTGTTATCTGGTAGAGGCGAAGCCGATAGATACCGATAAGCGTCAGTGGTGGTGACCTTCGGTCGATGGCAGGTGCAGAATATGGAAGGATAGGTAGTACCCGAGACAATGTCAATGGAAGAAGGATAAAAACTTATAGACCAGAGTCACCAGGCAGCGATCTGCTCTTCCTTATAAAAGATGAATTTGTTTTTCCCTCGCGCAGAACCGAGGATTGCATGATGCCATTTGGCATCGGACAGCTCCGAAGCCCGCGCAGAGCAACGGCCACATCCTGACTCGCTCTTATCTTATCGACGCTGCTCGTTACATCAGGCTTATTACAACAGAGGTTTTTGATGGCAACTATTTCCGTTTGCTGTGAGACTGCATCTGGAGTTATGACAAGGGTTTCTCGTCTCTGACAGGGTATCTATGCATGACGAAGGCTCCATGGATTCCAACAGACAGCTCCATTGCTCCACAGCAACTTCCCCAGGTGATAATCGTTGTGCTAGTTGCAGAGACCATGAAAAATCTTTTGCGTTATCCCGACTAATCTTGCATAGGAACTATGTAGGTAAATTGGCCGGTCGCCGCTTTAGAACCGAATATATCGAAGCAAAGTGCTGTCTAAGGAGCCAGAGAACAAGTACCATCGTACCTTGCATCGTTTGAGACTATGGTGATAGCTTTGAAGTGCCCGGAAGTTCATGTCGCGGTACTCGACTTGGGTCCCTCGACTCTATCAGACGTGAGTGAAACCTTTCTCTCGGCAGGCGATCCAAAGAAAAAGAACTTTTATATCGGACAGACATAAGAACAGAGAGCGTACCGAATGCCAACTATTCCCCCCTTGACTCCAACTGGATACTCCAGAGTCTATCCTGGAGAGCAACACTTGCAGTTACATTATTACTAGTCTTTAATTCTGCTAACAGTCCAGCCAGGAAGCTTGCATCTATTACCTATTCCCAAAGCGCGGTGAGGATCAATGACACCGGCTATCTTCGCAAGCCAGGAAATCCAGTCTGAAACCAATTCTATAAAATCAAACGTACTTGGTACGTTTCACTGCTCAGTAGGGGACATGAGAATCGTCAAGGTTCAGGAAACACGTGGAGGGCGATCTCGTTACGAAGCCTTTCCTTGAATCGTATGCAGCTATAATTGGACTGCAGATTCCTGCATAGCCCGATCTAAGGCTCAGAAAACGATGGAAAACTCGATACCCAAGCCGTATAAAGTCCATTTAATTGACTAGGCAAATCACAGGCCCAGCCTCGCCAATCCAGTAGTGCGCCACTACTTCATAGGATGTAGTACAGACAACAGGGTAAAAGGTCTGTGGGGATGCCAGCAAATAGGTCAGAGCATCCAGGCAATCAGATGGCGTGGGGAGGAATTATATTATCTTCATTCTTGTTGACGTGGTTCCTCATTTGATGGTTAAGAATGCGCCAACTCGATAAGGACTGAGTCACCATAATAAGCTTCAATTTTCGCGACTTGCTCTACTACTACTACTACTACTACTACTACTACTACCTTACTATCTCACCTCGGCTGATCTAGCCGCACAAATACTATTGTCATTATCTAGGATATAATCTGCTATTATTCAGTACACAGTCCGACTATCATTGACAGGTTTTGCCCTGCCTGCGAAGATTCTTTCTTGGCTTACACCGCCAGTCGTCAGCATGTGTATTGCAGTTCTGCGATCACCAGGGGATCGCCCTCCATGGATGCTGAAGCTCCGATCGTCGACTGGATTCATCATTGCGACCGTGTGGATGTCGTGTTTCACAGTAAACGATATGCCTTCTTCCATTTTGACTAGTGGTCGTGCGCTGACAGATGCTCTATAGGAGTTTGTACTCTATGCGATGGTGAGATGAAGCAAAAGCTCCCAGCAAAGTCAAGGACGACAATTGATTTACAGATTGTCCCGGTCATGCCCACCGCGCTAGTGACTCGCGCCGGAGTACCATATGAAGAGCGTACGTTTATTTTTTTTTCTGTCATATAACTATGAGATGTCTAGACTCAATTCAATTCCTCTCCCACAGGCGAATACTGGGTCAGCGTGCTCCTCATGGCAGAGTCTGGAGTTGCGCTGCTCTGCTGTCCGATCTTCGGATACTTGGTCGACATCTCGGGGACTCGCCAGCCGCCGTTCCTGTTCGGACTGGTGCTGCTAGGTGCATCGATGGCGATCTTCGCTGCGGCAAGGGACGTCTCGTGGTTCGTGCTGGCGAGGCTACTCCAAGGCGGTGCCACCGCCATGGTGACCGTTGGAGGACTCGCGCTGCTGACGGACTCGGTGGAAGCGGAGCATCTCGGCCAGACGATCGGATACACGGGCTCGGCCATCACCCTGGGTTTCCTCCTCGGTCCACTCCTGGGGGGGCTGATCTATGAAAATCTCGGCTACACGGCCGTCTTCATGGTTGCGTTTGCGGTCATCTCGGGCGATCTGCTGCTCCGCGTGCTGGTCATTGAGAAACAGGTCGCCAGCCGGTGGACCAAGCCGACGACGACGACTGAGGAGGAAACTGCTACAGCGCATGGCCCATCACGTCCAGGAGACCAATTTGCCCTCATCCGACTCGTCAAGCAGCCGCGCATCCTAATCAGCTCGTGGGCACTGCTTGTCCATGGTATTATCTTTGCCGCCTTCGACTCGGTTTGTTTTCTCCCTTCTTTTTTATAAAATCTCTTTTTTTGAAGAAAGGTCGTTCTCTAATCTATAGACCCTCCCTGTCTACGTCGAGTCGAGATACGGCTGGAACACATTCGGCGCGGGAATGATCTTCCTCCCGGCGTCTATATCATCTCTTTTCGAGCCAGTTTTTGGTAATCCAATCCCAATTCTACATATACTATGAACGATTGATCTAACGATCAGGATACCTTTCCGACCGGTACGGCGCCCGCAAAGCCACATTCACAGGCTTCCTCCTCCTAGCGCCGAGTCTGATCTGCCTCCGGTTCACCGAGGAGAACAGCACAGCCCACATCGCGCTCCTAGTAACCCTCCTGGTGCTGATCGGGATGTTCACCAGTCTAGCGATTCCAGCGCTGTATGCCGAAACGCAGACGGTGCTCGACGAGCTGGAGGCGCGCGACCCGGGCATCTTCGGCCCCAAGGGAGCCACGGCGCAAGCGTTTGGCATCCAGACCATGGCGCAGTTCGTCGGTCTCTTTGCCGGTCCTGTTTGGGGCGGGTTCATCGACCACCGCTTCGGCTGGAAGGCCATGTCGGCTTCTCTGGGTGTTTTGGCTGGTATCACTTCTATCCCGATGTTATGGTTGAGCGATGACCCAGAGAATGCTGATGACGATGAAGAGAGTAGACGGCCTTTACTGACATGATAACATGATAGATAAACATTATATATAGAATTTATGTATAGCTACCCCCTTTTTTTTAAAAAAAAAAAAACGCCTACACCTATGTAACTCCCATAGTAACCCTATGTAAACTCCTATCCCATCCCTAAGCATAATGAAGTGTTATAAACTCAATTGATCAATACTCCCCACACGACCACTGCCCCCCAACCGCCCCCCCCCCTTAGTAACCATACCGAGCCTGTAGAAGCGTTCCTCCCCTGCAGGAGTCCTCCCACCGATATACCATTTCTCATGGCCCAGGGCGTCGCGGAACCCACCCCCGCCCGCGGACCCGTTCGAGCTATCGCTCCCCCTGCGTTGGCGGTGGTGTTGCGAGTGCGCCTGCGTCTGCGTGTTAAGATACTGGGTTGTCCCGTACTGGTTCGGGGTTGTGTTGGAAGTCTGCGTGATTGGGATGGGCGTCGTTGATGAGGGTGACGCTGACGAGGATGAATCGCGGGGATGTCGATTTTGATTCTGACTTTGATTCTGACTTTGCTGATACTGTTGCTGCTGTTGTTGTTGTTGCTGCTGCTCTTCTGTGCTTCTTGATATCGCTCGCGTACTCTGAGAAATCCCCGTGGAAACAGTAGCCTGCGAGCCTGCGCCGGCGCTTGCACCGCTGGAAGCCTTGTATGCCGACTGGGCGCGGAAGGCGGCCAGGAAGTTGGCGAGGAAGGGTCGGTTGGTGGTCATTTGCACTTTCTCGCTTGAATCTGCTATGGTATGTATTCTTCTTCTTTCTCTCTTGACCTGCAAGTAAGTCAGGAAAGTCAGGAAAGTCAGGAGAGTCAGGAGCAGGAGTAGGAGTAGGAGTAGGATATGAGGGGACTTTCCCGTCCCGCCGACCCTCGGGAAAACGAGAACCGCCACGTCCAATCAGCCGCTGCCGATATCGATCCGGGGAATCGCGACTGGATGCCTAGATGCCTGAATGACGTCGATGATCGACTCCCTGTATACTGCTATTCAAGATCTAATATTATGTAGATTCAGTACAATTTCAACTCAAACTGATCTTATAGAGGATCCAGTGCTAAGATCCGATCTTATAGAGGATACAGTCCTAAGCTCGGTGTTCGGTGTTAATCGGCCAGTTATGATTAGTGACTAGTTGGTACGAGTGAGACTGGAGCCATTTGGCCGTCACCAGTCGGGATCCAGCCATGTCTCCAGGTAACTATCCCCCGGTTTTACGGAGTACGGAGATAGTACATCTACGTAGGTGTACCAAAGTAACTATGTCTTGTATGATAATAATTGATCGCACTATATTACAACTGTACTCCTGACCATGTCGGGTCCCCTCCAAGCGGTGGTGTGATGCACCAGGCTGTCGAACAATTTGTTTCCCCATTCTTTTTGATATCAACTCTATATTCTAACAACCCTTTTGAAATAGTTTCTTTTTTTGGTCTTCAATCCCAGTCCCGGCCCAGAGTTTTCGCCCGTTTCCTCTTCTGTGTGGGTGCGTCTCGCATGGTGAGAAGGCCGAATCGAATGAGCCGAACAAAATGAACAGAGATGTATAAATGACACGGAGAGAAAGCGAACAAGCCAGGCCTGTCAGCATATGAAAAACAGCGTGAACAGATATAAGACAAGCTCTACTGACCCAGCGCCGCGAAAATGCACACCCACAGCAAGGAAGAAACAGGTTAGGAAAAAAAAAAGAAAACGAAAGAGGAGCAATAAAAAAAAAACGAAAAGAGAAAAACCACAACTCAACACCTCTGGCCCTAATCAATATCTTATGTCCCTTGCAGATCATACAGATTGTACTTACATGGTTTGATCGAAGGGAGGTTGGGGAAAGCAGTAGGAGAAAACAAGATGCAAACGGCCGTGACATGATGCAGAAAAAAGTAAAAAGGAAAAAAGAAAAAGAAAAGAAAACATGATCCGAAGACTCATTTATTTCCCCCTTTCTCCCTGCAACTGTTGTAGAGCGATCAACATGCGAGGAGTGGAGTAAGTAGGGCGAAGAATCGGACTGTACGGAGTAGCCTTCCCTTGGAAATTTTGGTCGCCGTTTTTTTTCTTTCTTTTTTTCGGCGAGGAGTAAAAAGGAGAGAGGGGGGGAGGAAAGACAGGAAAGATTTTTAACTGGAAAAAAACTGAGAAAGGGAAGGGAAAAAAAAAATGAAAACAAGAAAAAAAAAAAGGAATCAAATCGACAATGCCCAAGTCTATAGCTGGACGCCAAATAAACCCACCATACCACCTGCCCACTTCGAGTGGATGGGAAACAAAACAGACTGAAATCGAAAATCACCACGAAATTGGACTTGCCGTTCGAGGTCAAAGGATGCAAGCAATCGGTTGAGAGGAAAATTTTGTCATCAAGTGCCAATTTCACAACACACTGGAAGGCAGCCGCGACATCCAGAAAAAGTAGCCGATATGCTGGGGTTTTTCTTCTTGAATTGCTGTATTGTTGGAGAGAGAGAAAAAGATAATAGAAACCATCAGAAGAAGGCATATCGGTTCAATCAGGTCAAGTAGCGCGGCAACGAATCCTTGTGGTTCCAATCTACTGACGAGCGGGCTGCACGGTGCCTGCAAAAGTTAGTATTTTGTTTTTTTTTTTTTTTTTTTAATAAAAAAAAGAAAGAAAGAGGAGGGTGAAAACATACCGTCGCCTGCCAAGGTGGTGGAGGCCAAGTAGAGCCCGTTAATGCCACCCTCCTGAGGGGGACCTGCAGAGGTGGCCGGGTAGAATTTTCTCTCAACATCGACATGAGCCTGGATGGGTTCTTGACCGGCCGCCATGGATTGCGGGAAGACCGGGTTGATGTAACCGTCGGAGGCGCCGGGCTGGAACATCGAGGTCCAGTCGATCTCGCTGGGCTGACCCGGGTGAGGGGGCCCCGGCATGACTGGCCGCTTAGGATCAGAAACGATCGGTGGCTTTGCCTGTTCAAGGGAAGGACGGTCAACATTCAAAGGCTGGCCAGAGGCATCAGTGCCAGGCTGCATCAGGTACATGTTCTGCTTCGGGGGATGAGCAGCCATCCAGGATGCTCGCGGGGGCGCTTGGCCAGCGGGGAACGCGTCGTCCGACGGACCACGGCTCATTCCGTTGGCGGCGTGCAGGGGGGAGTATCCTAGAGGCTGCTGTTCCGTGAACCCCGGTCGGCCAGAGGCCAGCCCGTTCCCGTTCACGGCCCCATCGCCGATAAGACCATGGGGAGGTGGGATGGTACTACTGACTTCATCCTGAGCATTCTTTGCCAGATTGTTCGCCGCTTGTTGATTCTTTCTCAAATGCGCGTTAGGATGTGACAGATGGGTTGCGCCAGTCGGGTTACCGCGGCGGAGGGAGCACTTCTGGAAGTGGCGCTTCAGAATGTCACTGCGAGAGAACGTGTCCTTGCACAGGACGCACATGTACGGCCGATCACCAGTATCTACACGGGTCAGCAAGGTGAGATTCTTGAATGATGAATGTGTAAAGTACTTACGTCTGAGCAGGTGACGCTTGAGGTGCTTAGCATGCAGGTAGGTCTTGTTGCAGTGAGGGCAAGGGAACTTCCCATCGGCATCCTTGGCGGGGATGGTGGTGCTCTTGGCGGTGCCGTTGACACCATTGGTGATGGGGGCGGCGCGGCCGGGGACGCTGGGGAGGATGCCGCGGCGACCCTGGGAGCCGACAACCTGGGTGCGAGGCGGCTCCTTGGGGGCGTAGGGCGAGGCACCGTTTACCCCGATGGGATCGGCGGGGTTCACCCAGGGCGAGGTCTTGCCGTCCGAGTAGCTGAAGGCGCCCGAGGGCATGCTGGCGAAGTCCGGACGGCGGTCGCGCGGGGGGGCGGGCGCAATGGGTTGCGGGTAGGACTGCGCGGTGGACGAGGGGGGCAGGACACTGTGCGGGGGCGGGTATTGCGACTGCTGCGCCTGAGGATTGGGGTGGGAGAGGAAGGAGGAAGGCGGCAGGCTGCCCACGGTGGTGTGCGGCATGATGGGCGCGGCGGAGGCGGCGTAGACATCATGCGCGGTGGTCGCCGGATAGCGCGACAGGTCCGGGCGGTAGGGCTGGGGCATGTAGTGCGGCGCGGGGGATTGAGTATGATGCGGCTGCAAGGGAGGCAGGGTATGAGGCTGCGAGACGGAGTATTGCGGCTGCATCGTGTATTGAGGCATCGGCATACTCGAGATAGGATTCGATGACAACGGCGTAGAGCCCTGAGGCAGACTCGTCGAGGGAGGTCTAGCCGGATGAGATCGAGGATCCATTTGTTTGCGTTTGTTTGGATTTTCAGGTACAACACAAGCGGAGAGAGAGAGGGAGAGAGAGAGAGATGGTCTGGAGGGGGTGGTGGAGAAGAAAAGACGAGAGGGAAAAAAAAAAGAAAAGAAAAAAGAAAAGAAAAAAGAGGTCCTTAGATCAGATCACTGTCTCCAGATCATTGACCGGGGAGGAGGGGCGAAAGTAGATGTGAGAGTGAGAGAGAGAGAGAGAGAGAGAGAAGGGGAGAAGAAGAAAAGTAGAAAAAAATTTTTTCTCTTCTCCGAGGCGAGGGAATCCGACAAGAAGAACCACAGACGATCGTATTGGTTTAGAGAGTTACGACCGAGGAATCAATTGGACTGCGACGAACAATTCAAAGAGCCAAAGTACCGTGATGAGACTTGCGATGAAGCTATTCACGATAAGGTAGGATGTTCGACGTGATGGAGAAAGACGGTGGTGCAGGATCGAAGGGGGGGGACTCCACTGCGGTCGAAGGTCAGGACAAGGTCAGAATGCTTAATCGGACAGAGGTCTCCACGGTCGCCCACCAGACAAGTAGCAGTGACAGGAGGGAAAACCAACCCTTGTGTGGTGTGGGAACCTGATTTTTTATCCGCACGTTGTTCACCAAAGATTCAGTATGGTTCTGTATCCACCAGGGAAGCGGCGTGTAAGTGGGTCTTTCCAGCAACAAAGCAGTTAAAAACTGTTTTTCTGACGAGGCAATCGCTGGCTTTAGCTTCGCGTCAAAACGGGCACGCGCCAGGGCAATATTGCAGGAGAAGGAGGAGGGGGGGTGGGAAGAGGGAGGGGGGAAAAATAAAATAAAATAAAGGAATAGAATAAAGAAACAGGACTGGGCAGGATATCAGACGCGTTGTGGCGGAGGACAGGGGGGGGGGGGTTGTTGATTTTAGGGAAGGGGAGGGAGGAGGAGAGGAGGAGGAGGAGGGGGGGGGGGAAGAAGAATCAAGAGGAGGGAGAGAAGGGGAGGGAAAAAGAAAAAAAAAAATAAAAAAAAAAAAAAGCTACACTAGGAGGCCGAGATAGGAGGGACTGAGGGACTCTTTGGATCACGAGGAATGGGAGGGGCGACGGCGTAAAAGGTTAAGAAGAAAAAGCGTCAAAACTCGGAAGGGCGAGTTGGCAAAAGTCTTGGGAGGAAGAAAAAAAAAACGAGTAGGAAAGCGGTGACGATCGGAGGTAGCTGTGAGCGGCAAAGAACCAATCCCCAAAAAAGTTACTTCGTACTTAATAATAATAATAATTAAAAAAAAAAAGGTTCGAAACGAATCGAATCACCGATTGAGAGTGCTAAAACACGGAATTATTGTTTGGGATTGGACTTGGCCGTGAGCCGTGGCGATGATTCGCGCCTTTCGCTCGGGTTCCGAAGACAGGTTAGACTAGGAGGGAGCCGAGGAAAATATGGGATTCCCAAGGTTTGCTGGGAGTTAGTGGGAGGCGACGGGAACAGAGAGTTTTACCGTTCCCAGCAGAAATGAATACTTAGTAGTAGTAGTAGTAGTAGTAGTAGTAGTAATAACTAGTAGTGGTAGTAGTAGTAGTAGTGGTGGTGGTAGTAGGAAGAAAGAGACGGAACTACGGGAGTCCTCCGTACGGCGTCCTGCTGGACCGGGAGTGTCGGCGCAGGCAATCAGAACCTATTCCGAATAATGGCCGGAAAGGCAGGGGTGGGTAGGATGAGGCGTGACAGGCTGTGGTTGGCGAGGACTAAATTTCAAATAATAATAATAATAAAATTTAGAAACAAGATTATTATTATTATTATTATTATTATTATTACTGAATGAATCAAGTATAGTGCACCTCCTAGCGGCACCCAATCAGGGTAAGCTTCCGATTATAGTTGAGTGTGCAAACAGTCGGACGTCTTCCGAAGACAGGAAGTACAGAGTAGGTAAGGTACCTAACCCAAGGTATCTTAGTTAACTAACAGTAGGTAATCGTACTGTACTATGTATTTCGTACTCATGTAACGGACTGCAGATGCCGCATCAGGAACACCGAAACCAGCCGAGGATGCAAGCGGCATCCTTCAGGAAGAGATATTACTACTACATATCGTGTGATCATTTACTTCACTGTATAATATGTAGTTAGTACTAGACCTACTAGGTATTCCTAGGTAGTTACTAGGTAGTCAACGATACTCCGTAGTACACATACTAGGTACTCCGTTGACCTGTAGATCAGAGGGGCAGATGATTAATCTATGTGGTTGATACAGTACTTATGTAGTAGTTAAGTTACTACATAACTAACTAGCTAACTAGTAGATAGTACTCAGTACTTAGTCTGACTATTAATTCATATGACTACTGAATACTAATATTACTACATAGTTACTACTAGTTACTACCTAATTTACATTCCCAGTGAAGAATGCTCCGAGGCTTATCCTCTCGATAGCGTGTCTTGGACAGGCAGATGACGTATGTGTTGAGGTTCGCCTTACCAATCACCACCGGCTGGAATGCATAAGTCGTTGACTCCGTACTTCCAGCTAGCCTTGACGAACTAACCCAACAAGGGACAGTCCATCTACATCGAACAGGTCGATCATATCCACCAGGCTACAATATTCCGAACAGACTTAACATCTACGCAGTACGGAGTACTACATATGCTAAGGTAGGTAGTAGGTAGTAGATATAGTTATAGGTAGATACAGAGGAATTTAGAAATACAACATATTAACCAACTAACTAGGTACCTAGTACTCTATGTAGGTACTCCGTACCAGGTACTATCAGTACTCGGTAATACTGCCACGCACCATCCCGGTCACCCGCCATGACCTTCCTTTTGCAATCATTAATCTCGGCGCGGAAGTGACCATGGCTCTAATTCCGCGTGAAGCCTGGATTCTCCCTAATCACCCAACATTATTAACTCATTTGCCACGGGGTTCTCGGTATCAAATAATCTCTGATGAAATGATTGTAAGACTGTACCTAGAGTGAAAACTACTACATACGGAGTATACTAACTAACATATGAAGTATGGAGTATGGAGTACTTGTTGACAGGATATCAGATCGGGCCCATCAGCTCCACCGTGTTTATTCTCTGGGAGTTCTCCCGCTTCGATTGTGGACCGACTAGATGCATGATTCACAGGGACTGGAGCAGTTGCTACTTACTACTTATTTGCTATGTCTATATTGTATTCCAATTTACTGAGTCTATGTAGTACTTTGTAATATTTAATACCTCAGCTACTGCTCAATAACTTTTATTACCACATCATTACTATTATTACTATTACTATTACCATTACTATTACTATTATTGTTTGTTCTCGGATAGTGGGTCGGCAGTTCGCCTTCGCCAAACTTGCCTAAAAGGGGGCAGGTGTGGCGGTATGGTCCGATTCCGGCTTCTGAGCATATTATTATCGGGGATTTTACTAACAGAGACTTTATGAAGACTAATTATTGAATAATGATGTCTTATTCAATAGCTGGTACGGAGTAGTATACTACATACAGTCGTCAGCACTACGTGGCAGGGATGGCTCCAAACAACTTGGCAGTTACAGCCATGCCGATCCGTCGGATGCCTCGGTCGAGAGAGGACTCAAATAGGTACTATGCTAATAAAATACTCCGAGTACAGAGTACCTAGGTACGCTGCTATGTACGTCAGTACGGAGACTCCGTTCGGATATAACTTCTTTGTCGGTCCGTTCTGTACGTAGTACGTAGTACGTAGATTAGGTAGCTACCAGGTAAGCACGATATACCATTCTACTTCAGTTGTACTCCGTATCTCCGTACCCTATACATATATATACATATACTGTAGTATATACTATAACTTTGTAATAGTAATTAAGCTCGGTCACCGAGCTTAATTACATTACATAGACTGACTCGCTCTAACTCGAGTGCTACTCAATATGCTCCATACCACTACTCCGTACACTCTATAGTATATACACGAATACTATACTATACCGTCGTCAAAAGAGACTGCATACCCATGTACTCCGTTCCTACCCCGTTCCTGAACCTGTTTCTGTTCAAGATCCACAGCTCCACTGATCTCTGCTCCATCGAGCCGCCCGTTCTGGTCGGCATCTGGGGCTGCGAGGTGGAGACGCGCTGAGGATGCGGATGGAGTCCTTCGTGGAGTAGTAGATGTGGCTACCCGAGAGGTTATCCTGACTCCAGAGAACGGAGTATACATGGAGTATATATATTAGGTTATATCCTTTCTTAAATACAATCAATCCTTGAGAGATTTGCTCCCTGCCGACTCCGACGCATGATTGTCGCCATCGACCACCACCCCCTCTACCACGCTGTCCTCCTTTTGCTCTGGATGAATGGCATGCTCGACATTCACCTTGGGGCCCTTGAACCATTTCCGCGCATCTACTACCCACCAGATGATGACTGCCAGCATCGGCCCCCCGTAGACGAGACAGGTCCAATTCATTAGATCGGGCGTCAGGTCGTTGCCTTTGACGCTGGGAAGACACAAGATGGGCACCATCAGCAGGACAAACGATACTCCGATCCCGCCGATGACGGGGCCGTACCGACCCAGGTGCCAGGGGCCCCGACGGAACCGGTTGCCCACAAAGAACACGCGGATTGCAATGGGCACCGCAAAGGCGACGAACTGCGCGATCGCACCGATAGAGAATAGTGCCCCGATCGCGGTTGACCCGGCCAGAACCAAGAGGCACATCAGAATGCCCAGGACGGCGTTGAGAATGACCGCGTTGACGGGCGTCTGCGTGTGCGGGTTCACCTGCTTCCAGATCCGTGACAGCGGGAAGCAGTCGTCGCGCGCATACGCGTAGGTCACTCGCGACGCAGCGACCATGCAGCCCTGGCCCATGGAGAACCCGCAAATGATGGTGAGGGCTAGAATCGCCATGGCTGCCTTCTGCGGCATCACCTGAAGCAGGTACGACGCCCATGGCTGGCCTAGACTCGAGTCCATGACCTCGTCAATGTCAAGCACCGTGTACGCGACCACGAGTTGCAAGAACCAGCCGGTCAGGCCACCAACGCCCGAAGTCATGACAATGGCGCGGGGCGACGCAACGTTGGCGTTGGAGCATTCTTCACTCAGGTGAAACGGCGAGTCGTAGCCTGACATGGTCCAGATGACGGCGACAAAGGTCATCAGGACGGCGACCCCGTCGGGGAAATCGGTCAGGTTGGTGATATTTCCCCAGACTTCTTTGGATGGCAAGAACTTGGGGCTGTTCTTCGTCCCGGCAGGGATCGCTATGATGACCGCAAAGAGGGCAATGAAGTTGAATGTTGATCCGTACGAGTTGAAAGTGGCGATCCACTTGGTCGGCATGCTGCTGATGACCGCGTGGATAATCATAATCAACGTGGTAAGGAGGAATACCTGCCAGTTGGTGGGGACATACTCTGGGTTCGCAATCGAACCCGCAGCCAAAATCATGGCAGACAGTGAATAGTCGACAGACGGTGCTCCTGTAACCTGGCCGATCCAGTTGGACCAACCAGTGATCCAAGCTGCAAAGGGGCCATATCCGGGAGGGGCGAGAACTGCTGCAGCGTAGTACAGGCCGCCACTAGCATCAAGTCAGCCATCTAGCTGGCCATGGAGAGACAGAAAAAAGAAAGAAAAGGGGGACAAACCTAGTGGGCATCGCAGAGCACAGCTCTGCCATCGACATTGCTACACATTGGATAAAGACCATGGCAATGATCCAACCCCAGACCATTCCAGCTGTCCCGGCATAGCCCATTCCTATTGTAAAACGGGATCAGAGTTGTCGAAGAGGAGGGAAAAAAAATAAATAAATAAGAGAGAGAAGGGGGAGCATACCGTAGTACAAGGTACTGGCAAAAGAGGGCAACAGCCCAAGGACCGCAAAACTGACACAGAACGTAGTCCATAGCGAAAACTCGCGCTTGAATTCCTGTTTATAACCCAAAGCCATAATCACCCGCTCATCGGCATCCATCTCATGATCTGTGTAAGGGATGTCGCCATCCAGCAAAACGGAGGTGACGGGAGCATGGTCAGCGTCAGGGTAGATGTTGGGTGGTTTCGTAGTGCTCATGATCGAACGCTTTTCTTGTAGTAGGGATCGCAGGTAGTAAACTCCAGTCGGATATGATATAACAGAGCTGGGCGCCGTGTGGATATGGCTTTCGTTTTAGTTTATATAGCTAGCTGTCTCCGTTATCAGATGCTTGAGAATGATAATGCCTTGACCACAGCCATGGTCGCATGGCGTACGGAGTACGGCAGCACAGAGGAGGCACTGTGATGCAATGCAAGGCGGGGGAAGCGGCTAGTGGTTTGTGCCTGTCACATCCGTGACTGTCTCAATAAATAGATGTGTGTTATTGGGCACAGAGACAAGTCTCAGTGTCATGGCAAGAGTTCTGATATCGAGGTTAGTCCCAGGAGGGAAGGTATAAGAGGCGCAGATCTGTCGAAACACAGCACCAGACCAGTCCTGGGCTTGGAATTCTGGCAGCGACACGCTCACAAACCTCTTATCAGTCGGAGAAATTAAGTAAAGCAATCATAATAACAGGCAGGACGTGGCTCACGACCGATCGTATGGAGGCTGATAAGAGATGTGGGATGGCCAGTAGAGATGAGGAGGAGCAGCCTCTATCAAGCATCTCCACAGCGATAGATATGTACTAGGTAGTAGATAAGCCTGAAACCATCCCTATTGATAGATTACTACATAGGAGATAATAATAATGCCCTTTTCTGTTACTCATCCTGCCCAGCCGATAAACTAGTAGCAGTACTTACTCCGTACTCACTGCTCAGGGTCGGGGCCAGGTTAGACCTGCCTCTCTGGGACAGGAATCCTTGTTGCCCAGACCATCGCCTAGAAATTTAATACCAATTAACTGGTAGGGAGGGGGGGGCAAAAGAATATCCATTAGTTTACCCCTTGAGCGCCGTGGTCGTGGTAAGCTAGAGGAGGGTTCCTATTTCAAGGCAATCTTGTTATCTGGCGGTGCAACTTAGTCTGACGTCAAATCGAAGAGCCAAAATACCTTTCGATATAATTCAAGAGAAAGAGATCGCTTAGATTTCTACTACGGGCGAGGATAAAAACAAACGGAGGTGTCTATGTGCTATCAAAACGGTCTCATTTCTATTCTACAGCACAACTGCTTCTCTTGGCCATGTATTCGAAGGCGCAGCTGTACACCACGAAAGTCACAGACAACCAATCGCGGGGTTCGCTCAAAAAGGACAGTAGGGGGTCTCGAGCGCGGAACATTTAGAAGGGCTTTAGAAAAAAAAAGTCAGCGTCAGTTTCACGTGCTATTCAAATTCGCCGGGTACAATATAACGGGGCCGACAAGAAAGGCAATGATGGTAGAAGGCATACTGCTTTCGAAGCAGTGTAAAAGGCAGGAATAGGACCAGAAGCAACAAAAAAGACATGACACAACTTACGTTGTCCTCGGGAGCAACAGTCCGATCATAGTAGGTATCGAAGAAAGGAAGCTGCTGCAGGATATCCTTGCGCACACGGGGGACTTCGCCGAAGAAGAAGACGGCGAAGAGACCGGCGGAGACAGCAAAGGGAACGGCGATCGTGCCGCTATACAGTTAGGTATGAGCGTCAGCAAGGGCTATACAACCACAACCATCGCGATAGCACTTACACCTTGGTAGCGTCCCTCACGGTGTAGCCCTGGAAGTTGGGGGGGATGGAGTAACTGTATATTCGAACAGAGTAATTAGCGAGGTCAAGCAGATTATAGGCGCCATTTCAATCAAATCTATCCAATCCACGAGAATCCGTGCCATTTAATCCCGAGGCAAAACTCGACACCTCAAACAGAAGAGTAGGACGAGCGGCCCTTGAAAAACGTAGGGCGCAGTATAGAAAAGACTCTCCACTGCACATTGACCGACGGATTCGATCCTAACTCTCACTCTGAAAATGCTCATATCCTCCACTTCTTTCACTCGGGTATTGTACAGAAAGCGAGGGAATCAATCTCCGCGGGGGGGGAGTCTCACGAGGGACCAAAGGGAGAGCGGTAGGCCTGAGCGGCAGCACGGCGGAGAGTGGGAGCGAAGACCTATAGAGCAGAACAAAATCGCATTAGCCATTATTCATATTGGACATGTTTGAAGAAGAAGAAAAGCCTCCTCCATTGTTTCCCGCGATGGACGCCCTAGGAAACGTATGATCCGAGAAAGCAACAGCGCCCTCCTCCCCCACCCAATTCAGCACACAAAATCAGTGATCCACGTACCATTTTGACAGACGCCTGCAAGAAATACGTAGAAATAACGATTGTTCACGGGGGAACGTTGGGAGCTGGCAACTTGCACCACGAGAAGTGTCGTCGACGAAAACCGGGTGTGAGCTTGCGCCAGCCCGAGAGCCACCGGTGGGCCAATCACCGCCGGGGAATATAATCACGTGATGTTGAAGACGAAAAGGCCAATGAGATGCAGCAGATTTCACATTCTGTATGAGACTCGAGGAATTACGCGTTACCAGAGGGCTTCAACGTCGACCACAAGATGATATCTCATTCTAATCCGTATTTATTCTGAAATTGGATACAACTACTCTTGATATAACTCCTTATATAGTGAAATACAAAAAAAAAAAAATAATAATAATAATGACATCCAGATCTAAGAGCGACGTTGAGCATTATCAGAGAAAAGGGAAGAACCTTGGGAAGGCAAGAAAAAAAAGACAATGGAAAGCAAAGCAAAGATATGAATGAATTGTACATCGCCACTCCCCCATCTGCACGGTTCTAATCAACCTTTCCAGTTGCGCCGCCATTGAGAAGGCCCTCTTTGCCGTCTAGATGGAAAAAGCCCACACCGCCGTTGTTGCCGAGGATGCCGCCTCGACCAAATGCTCCACGCTTGAGAAGCTTTCCGCGGGCGGCCATGGAGGCGGCAGCGATGGAAATGAAAAGAAGAACCATGAAGATAAAGGGATGGTTGAAAATGAAGGACCGAGTGAAGAAGAACGCAGATTCGAAGGTTCCAATCGTAGACTTGGGACTCAGCTTAGGGGAATCGGCGATGACCAAGGGGATAGTTTCAAGAATAGACGTGCGAGAAGCCATGATCGAGGCCCCACTGGAGGAAGTATCCCAGTAACGTCGGTTCTGCGCATGGATGTCAGTTTTTCAATCAAGGTTCGAGTCGGGACGCGAAACGAAGCAAAAGAATACTTACATCCTCATCATTGATAATAACGCGCTCTCCGTGCTCCACATCGATACCATACGTAGTGCGAAGCCAGCGCTCCCAGAAGTCACCGTCAATCCACGCAAAGGCAACCTGCTTCTTGTCGTCCTCACGGATAGTGATCCGCATGCCTTTAGCAGCACGCAGAGCACGCTGATCGTTGCGGTCTTCGGCTTCCTCGATCCGCAACTGCTTGGAATCACGAAGTTCTTGTCGTTCGAGTTGGAAGAGCTGGGTCTGCTTGTCCATCCACTCCAGAGCAGCGTTCTTCAACTCCCTCTTGGCCTGGATGAAGTCGTCCGACCGCTTCCGGCTCAGAACACCAAGGACGACATACTTGCCTCCCATGATCTCCTTTGCGTTCGATGCAGTCACCTCAGGCACAATCGGGAGCCACACACTTCGCATCCAGTTCAAAACTTGGCGGTAATCCCTCATATCCTTGGGGGCCAAAGCATTGTAATAATTGGGTCGACCATCTCGAACAACCAGAAGGCGCGGCCACGTGGAGATCTTGAAGCGCTCCGCTAAAGCGGGGTCGTCTGACTTGACGATCTTAGCATGGCCGACAAGGCTGAGTGTCAGGCGCTCAAGGGCAGTGAAGTCTTCAGACACGGTCGCATGATCGTAGAGGTAGAGGAAAAGAACCTCCTCTTTCTCCTCCATCTCCTTGAATGTAGCCGCATCAACATCTTGAACGCCTGATCCGATGTCGACAGCCTTATGAGCATAGCTAAGCAGGTCGCCGAGCCCACGCAGACCATTATACTCCACTCTTTCACCACCGCGGAAGAAGTACATGGTCGGATAGCCTTGGATGCGGGCATCCTTGCAAAGCCTGGTCTCGACCTCGCAATTCACTTCACCGACATTCAAAACGCCCTTCATCTCCTTCGCCATCTGGCTCCATGTAGGCGCTAGAGCCTGACAATGACCACACCATGGAGCGTAGAACTTGACGAACCAGGGGTCCCGAGTAGTCGTAACAAGTCTCTGGAAGCTCTCGGCAGTGAGAGGCACCGACATGCCCTGAGGATTAGGCAGAGCCTTTCCCTTTGGCGAGGGGGTTTGAACGGAAGCCTTGGCCACGGCGGCCTGGGTTGCCAGGGGAACTTTATCGCCAGGAAACGCCGGTTCGATCGATAAATCAAATTCTGTTACCCCAGGCTCAGGGTATTTGAGACCAACCAAAGGGCGAGAACCGGGTTTGATGGATTCCAATGTCTCCTCGACAAAGTCGCCGAGCCCCTGCATCGTCTTCTTTCCGGTATAGACTGCCTCCAATTCCCCATTGTGGTAAACTGAAAAGCGAGGGAACTCCCGGATATCCAGTCTTCTACACAGATCCGCAAAGGCAAGACAGTTCAGCGAAGCGAAATTGAAATCGTAATAGTTCTGGAAGGAATTCAAAGACTGCGGTTCAGAGGGTTTCGAAGAGGACGAGGACAACGGGTTGGATGTCTGCTAGATATTAGACCATACTAGACGAGTATTCCCTGTCCAGTGACAATAAACATACATAGTAGAATTCGTAGAGTGTCTGCCACGCGGGAGCAATCTTTTTGCAGTGAGGGCACGCTGGAGAGTAGTGTTTGACAAACCTATCGACATCGCGGTTAGAAAATAGGCTACTGGTTATATATTCCATAGGCAGGTTCGGCTTCTCCCTTACCAGTATCCATTTTTGATTGTTTCGTCAAAGTCATCCGGTGTAAGTTCCCTCAATGCCGGCACTGCAATGCCGTTGAAAGTTGTCGACCCGACATCCGGAACCTCATCTCGCTTGACAAGACGATGGGAATCGCTGGCATCACTTCGAGGAAGGGTATCCTCGAATGGGACGGCGACGGCGGGTACGGCCAAAAGCGAGAGAAATGACCACGCCAGCCACGTCGCTCTCATGCTGGCTAAAGAGTAGAGTTGCAAAACCCTAGAGAGACTTGAAACCAAATACTAAGACAAAATGGTAGATATGAAAAAGAGCAAGCTCAAATGGGTGACCTGGCGAAAAAGAATCGAAAGGCGTCACTGTTGGCACATTTGGGTGATCTGGTGTCTGGATGCGGCTCGAGGCGCCAGCCCACACCAGCGCTCTTTGATCAAGCGGGGAGCAGACCTACAGAAGCAGCTGCTTCGGTAGAATATGCAACAGAACACACAGATACCAGTCCTGTGTGTTGGAGCGTCTGGTACCACGTAATCCGTAGTTATTTCTTTGATCGCAGGAGGCGCTCCGGAAAGAAGATCATGCCCCCTACTCCAGTCTGGGCCTGGGGACTTTATTTCTCCGGTCCGGTCGGACTTCAACCACCAACTCGGAGTATCTGAGGCGGCTCGAAATATCACCTTCAAGCAAGCTTCCCTGCCATTGGGTCGACCACAGCCCATTTTTATTGTCTTTTCTTGCAAGATACAGATATCTGCAATGCGGTCTACACTCCGGCTGCTTGCCAGCGTCAAGCCGGCGCGGTATCTGGAGCCTTTTGCTCCTACCGGCTTGACTGGCCTTCCGACTCACCCAAGCCCTCGTCCCACCTTAATATATCTCTACACCACCACTCTGCAGAAGCTGAAATCGTTCCCTGAGTCTTCCGCCTACCGCCAGTCCGTCGAGGCCCTGACTCGCCGCCGCCTGGAGATCATCGAGTCTACAAAGCCACCTGGGTTTGAAGCTTGGCTGGAACGTGTGAAGAAGACCGTGGGCGCCGAGCCCGAGCGATTCGAAAGCCTTCGTCGCGCTGATGGCTCGTATGCCGCTGCCCAGGTTGAAGATGGTAACGACCATCCCCGTGGCCAGGAATGGGACGGTGAGGCCATTGAGGCTTTGACCGAGGGTCCTGCCCGTACTCCGGAGGAAGAGGCTCGGTGGCAGGAAGTGATTGATGAGGCAATGGACACCAAGTCGGATAGCTCCGATTTCCATGTTGAGACCATGAAATGGGAAAACGAGCCGGCCCTTGAAGCCGAACAGTATGGATACTCCTTATCATGCGGGGTTTTCTTTTTGCTGGTTGACGAATTGGCTAACATACCTTACAGGATCTCCGAGATCGAGAACAAGATCGGGGCTGGCCTTATCGAGGAGGTTATCCAGGTTGCAGAGGGCGAGCTGAAGCTTGTTGATGAGCTGTACAAGTCGCAAGCGTAAGTACTACAAAGCCTCTTTTCGCTGGTTTGTGTGTTAGCAGACACTTGCTAATTGTCGTTACTAGGTGGGAGGAACTTGAGGAGAAGCCCAGACCGGGTCAATGGACTTATTTTGAACGCAAGGCTGAATAAATCAGCAGACTTGCTCTCGGTCATTGTCCTACCATCTGTATCTATTATTCTTGGCCCGCATAAGCAGCTGTCTCTCTTATGATAAAACAATATGATAAAACACTATTTTATTGCTATGTTAAGTATAGAAAGGCTTCGTTTTCAGTTGGGAAGTCTCTACTAAAATAAGGGATATGGTTCATGAGTGCTTTCTAGCCTTCTTTGGGCGACATCTATATAAAAAACAGTTTACAGTGCTACATCTGCGATCATGGAATAAGAGATGATAGTGGTTTTTTTCTTGTTGTATCGTACTCGGTAGTTAGAAATTCCTGTTGACGCCCTCTGCGCCTTCATTATATATAAAAGTGCTCGGTATCTTGTCTAGGCGATTGTTTCCGGACGAGTCTCCTCAGAGATAGGATTTAAGAGGAGCCTGTCCATTAGTCAAAACCAAGTTCAACCAGCCAACAAACAGCAAAGAGTTTCTGTCCATCGCGGGCGCTCTTCAAACCACCATTTAGTATTCATTATTCCCTTGAGGACGTGGGAAACCAGTTGGTGTGACAGGAAAAGAAGGCGGTAAACCAATGGCGGCTAGCCCCCTTCGAGATAGCTGGCGGGACTCCGTTTGTGGACACATCGAGGCCTCCGTGGCAGTTCCTGAGTGCTTTATTGCCGACCGTCTTGACAATTACGGCTTGGGAATCCGAGTTCTCGAACCGGCCGATATCTTCTATCAACAGACAAATCCCTGCAGGACTCTTGCCGCTGTGGTCGGGTCTCCTGTGCGGCGTCTAGCCTGCCTCCTCCGCGTTTCTCTCTCCAACTCCGTGGCCGCACACACTCGCGATAGAGCCCCCCACACAACATGCGGTTGGACGTGAAGGTATGGCTTGAGATGCCGGGATGAGGCGAAATCTTGTGGCTATCTTGAGTCTTGGATCAAGGCGAGCCTGGCTGTGGTAACTTTATAGTGGCTAACGGTTGTCGCAATCTATAGAGACAGCTCTTTGCTCGCTCTGAGCGGGTTAAGGGCATTGACTTCCACCCGACTGAACCATGGGCAAGTGATACACTTCTTGACTGAGAGATGATAGACACCGATTTTACTAACAATTGGTAGATCCTGACAACTTTGTATAGTGGTGCGTTCGGCGCGGGAATGGAGGCACGGGAACAAGCGCTAATTGGAGACAGGTCACGTATATATTTGGTCTTACGAGTCCCAGGTAAGCATCCGTGTCTGAAGGCATTTGTCTTGTCAAGCCATGTCTAATTGTTGCTCTAGTCTATCATCAAAACTTTCGAGCTCACCGATGTCCCCGTCCGAGCCGGTCGCTTCATTGCGAGGAAGAACTGGATTGTCTGCGGTTCGGATGACTTCCAGCTCCGTGTCTACAATTACAATACCTCCGAGAAGATCACCTCGTTTGAAGCTCACCCTGACTACATTCGGTCGATCGCGGTTCACCCCACCCAGCCATTCGTCCTCACGGCTTCCGATGACATGACAATTAAGCTCTGGGATTGGGAGAAGGGCTGGAAGTGCGTCCAGGTGTTTGAAGGTCATAGCCATTATGTGATGGGTCTGGCAATCAACCCGAAGGACACCAACACTTTCGCTTCGGCTTGTTTAGACCGGACCGTGAAGATCTGGAGTCTTGGTTCACCTCACGCCAACTTCACCCTGGAGGCTCACGAGACCAAGGGCGTGAACCACGTCGATTATTACCCTCAGTCCGACAAGCCGTATTTACTTACTACTTCGGACGACAAGACGGTCAAGGTGTGGGATTACACAACCAAGGCTCTCATTGCCACCCTGGAAGGACACACTAGCAACGTCTCGTTCGCTTGCTACCATCCCGAGCTACCAGTGATTATCTCCGGATCTGAGGATGGAACGATCAAGATCTGGCACGCGAACACTTACAGACTGGAGCAGTCGTTAAGCTATGGCCTTGAGCGAGCTTGGTGTATCGCCTACCAGCGCGGTAAACAAGGTATAGCCATGGGTTTCGATGATGGTGCGGTGGTGGTTAAGATGGGCCGGGAAGAACCCGCAGTTTCGATGGATAACTCGGGAAAGATAATTTGGGCAAGGCATAACGAGGTAGTGTCGACGGTCATCAAAGGTGGCGATGAAAGCGTGAAGGACGGTACGCCTATTTCTTTGCCCACTAAGGAATTAGGATCTTGTGAAATTTATCCTCAGACGCTGTCGCATTCGCCAAACGGTCGGTTCGTCTCTGTTTGCGGCGATGGAGAATATATCATCTATACCGCTCTCGCCTGGAGAAACAAGGCCTTTGGGCAGGCTCTGGATTTTGCCTGGGGATCGAAGGACAACAGCAATGATTATGCTATCCGAGAATCCACCACGAGTGTCAAGATCTTCAAGAACTTCAAGGAGAAGAGTGGCGGTCTCGACGTTGGCTTCCAGGCTGAGGGTCTCGCCGGTGGTGTCCTGTTGGGTGTTAGAGGTCAGGGAGGCATTGGCATGTTTGACTGGGAAACCGGGAGCCTGGTTCGCCGCATTGAGGTTGACCCTAAGGCAGTAAGTTTTCCCTTTTTATATTTTTTTTCTCACGATCAGAGACTGATTTTACCCTTCTTACACAGGTTTATTGGTCTGAGTCAGGAGAGCTGGTTACTCTTGCCTGCGAAGATACTTTCTATGTCCTCCGGTTCTCTAGAGAAAACTACATCAACGGTTTGAATGCCGGCGAGGCGGATGAAGATGGCGTCGAATCTGCTTTTGAAGTCGTCACCGATATCAACGAGACTGTGCGGACGGGCCAATGGGTTGGAGATTGCTTCATCTACACAAACTCGACCAACCGGCTGAACTACCTGGTCGGCGACCAGACCTACACCATCTCACACTTCGACCAGGGCATGTACGTGCTAGGATATCTGCCCCGCGATGGGCGGATTTACTTGGCCAACAAGGATGTCGAGGTGATCTCTTTCGGTCTCTCTCTCCGGATGGTTGAGTATCAGACCTTGGTGCTGCGCGGCGACATGGATATGGCTGCCGAGCTGCTGAGCGATGTACCCCAGGACCAAATGAACAAGATCGCACGGTTCCTTGAAGGGCAAGGCTACAAGGAGATGGCGCTAGAGGTTGCGACAGACACGGAGCACCGGTTCGAGCTTGCCCTCTCACTGAACAACCTGGAGATCGCCCTTGAACTTGCCCGCGAAGCCAATGTAGAGCATAAATGGAAGACTGTCGGAGATGCGGCCCTGGCCGGCTGGAACCTGAACCTGGCCCAGGAATGCTTCACCAACGCCAAGGACCTGGGATCTCTTCTCCTGCTGCACACCGCTAGCGGCAACAAGGCCGGTCTCCAGTCATTGGCCGAGCAGGCCTCCGCCGCCGGCCTGCACAACGTCGCTTTCTCCACTCTCTGGTCTCTCGGTGACGTGGACGGCTGCATCGACCTGTTGGTGCGGACCGACCGTCTCGCCGAAGCAGTCCTCTTCGCGCAGACCTACAAGCCCTCGCGCGCCGCAGCCCTTGTCCTGCAGTGGAAGGCCTCCCTCGAGACGGCTGGCAAGACCAAGGTCGCCCGTCTGATCGGCGTGCCTCCCGGCGCTCCCGACCAGGCGTCCACAGATGACGACCTCTTCCCGGAGTGGGATGAATATCTCCGTTTAGAAAAGGAAGGCTCTGTCCCCGAACCGCCGTCTTCGGAATCCCTTATTGACCTCAACGCGGACGAAGCTGCAGAAGCGAACGCTGCCGCTAACGGAGCTGCCGCTGACGGGGACGTAGAGGCAGAGGTTGAAGAAGACGTTGAGGAAGAATCCGAGGAAGAATCCGAGGAAGAATCCGAGGAAGAATCCGAGGATGAGACAGAGGCGTAGAGGTGGATGGTGTTGTCATTCTGAGGTCTTGTTTGCCCCCTTTTTTCTCTCTAAACTTTTCAATGCTATATCCAATGCCGTGTTCCTTTTTTTACTTCTCAGGATAAAATGCATGAGTAGCTATTCATCTTCTTTCTCGACTTCCATCCTTAACACAGTGCCTTTGTACAATGGTATCGTCTTTCATTTACCCGGGGTGATTGTGGTTAGGCTTGAGCTTGGAAATAAAAGCAACCGTATTTCCGGTGAGGATTTCGAGATTGAAGTCCGATTGATTCGCTTGATGCAAGATGCCGGTCTACCTTACGTCAAGTAGTGGAACCAAAAAGAAAGAGCAGATTCCATGCACCCAAAACAAACTCAAGTAACAGACAATAAGTCTCTAAGGATAGGTATGATGGGTGAGTCCAGGCTAGGGAATCTCCCATACTGAACGAGACAGGATCAAGCCAGCAGATCAGATAGAAAAAAGAAAGAAAAAAGTGAAAGCCCAGCTCTTCCGAAATCTGAATGACGAACAGACAGTGAGAAAAAGAGAACAGAGAAAAGAAAGAATAGAGTATATTTAAACCTTCATTCTTTCCATGCTCTTTCTCTCTTGCGAGAAAAAGAGTACATGGGTCATCGACATGCCTCAAAAAAATATAGGAGAGGGTGTGGAGGAAAAGGAAATCACGAGTTGTGAAGGCCTGCCTGTTTGAGCTAGAGTAGATTGGAAAATATCAAACATCGCTAGTCACCAAGGAAATGATTTGCAAAGGAGAACATCGGACTCGCTTGGATGAGAGAGGAATCATAGCCATCTGGATGAAGCAAAACCAGAACACGCAGCGACAGAACCGAAGCGGAGGAGAGGATCATCAGTTGCATAAAAATAACCAGCGATGATGCGGGATGACAGGTAGAAGCGGTTTGACGCCTTGGTTCTACTCTGCAATACTCTCGAAGGACGGATCCTTGACACTTCCACCAGCGTCGCCTAGACCTGCTACGGGCCGATTGTAAGACCAGCCGGTAAACTGCGCTTGTTGCTCCTGCGTCAGCATAGAAGTCTCGACAACAGAGTCCAGGGGGACCTCGTCAGTAAAAACTGTATCGATTTGCGTTGTGTCGAGAGCATTAGCCTGTTCTAGTTAGCTCTATGCTATTAGAATGTCAACTCGGCGGTACGCTTCGACTTACCACACCCGGTTTGAAACTAGGTTCGTATTTCCTCTGAAGTAGCTTGCGCCAGTCAATGTTGGCGAAGAAATGGTGAGACTTGATCTCTGCAGCTCCGTTGACACCTAGACGGCGCTGAGGGTCGCGGTCCAGTAGGCGTGTCAAGAGGTCACGAGCAGCGGGAGGAACGATGTCGCTACCGGGGAATGTCAGGGGTTCCTGCAAGATCTTCCGGTACATCTCATTCGTGTTCTCGTCGTAAAATGGCGGGAGACCAGTCAGCATCTCGTAGAGGAGAACACCCAGTGTCCACCAGTCGACTGTCTTGGTATAGCCGTTGCCCAGTAAAAGTTCAGGAGCAAGATATTCGGGCGTGCCACAGAACGCTGATGACTTTTAGTATCATATGAATGGGGATTTGAGGGGGTGGGCCAAGAGCTTACTGTTGGTGCGGTCTTCGTCCTTCATATCTAGCTTGCAAAGACCGAAATCGCAGAGAGCAACGTGACCGGTATAGTCAAGAAGGATATTTTCCGGCTTGAGATCGCGGTAAATAACCTTGAAACCGTGAAGACACTCCAAAGCGCAGAGAAGTTCGGCAGTGTAGAAGCGAGCGCGATTGACATCGAAACGTTGCTCGCGCTGCAGATGGTAGAACAATTCACCACCATTGACGAAGGCTAAGACGAGGTAAAGTTTCTCCGGTGATTGGAACGAGAACTTCAACGGCACGATGAAAGGGTTATTGATCTGGGCCAGTACAGATCTCTCTGCCAGGGTGTGAGTAACTTCGGAGCGTGAGATGATGTGAGCCTTTCGGATGGTCTTCAGGGCATAGACTCGGCCAGTATCTTTCTTCCTGTATGAAAGGAGCCTTGTCAGCGTCATTGGAAAGCGTGAAGATGTTCGGAAAGGAAAGAGGGTTGCACCGACATGACCTGCATGACCTTGCCGAAACTGCCCTTGCCGACAACCTTCAGCAAGTCAAAGTCCTCGAGCTTCAGGCTTCGCTGTCTATTTTCGACAAAGGAGACACCGACTTTGATGGAACCTGTTCCAAATTGCAAATCCAGCCATTCAGCACCGAGCTGGCCTAGGTGGCGATCCTGCTCAGCGTGGGCGGCGGCGGCCTTTTGGTTGTCCTTCTTGCTGAGTTTGGGGTCGTCGACATACGGCTGGGCCTCCTCGAAGCGCGGGTGAACCTTGACTGCTCCGAGAAAGATATCTTCACTTCGCCCGGCATTCGGTGGGGCCGCCGGATTGCGCAAATAGAGCTGAATGTTCAGCTCCGTTTTCCGCGAGACATCGAACTTGAAGGCCGTGTTGTCACCAGCCCACAGGGGATTCTCGGGCGAACCCGACACAGCGTCGACAAAGACCTGGTTCTTGTCGAAGTCTAGGAGAGCATATGGCAAGTGCTTTGTGGAATAGCGGCCATGGATGGTGGGTGCCGCATTGATGCCTCCGCTGGTAGATTGCGGTCGGCCGTGGGCGAACTGGGTACTACGGGCGTGAGAAGAATGCGAGGAAGAGGAGCTGGGGCGCAATGATGGGTTGTAGGAGTTAGTATTTTGAAAATGCGAATTGAAGATTTGCTGGTAGTGCGGGGATAGGGACAAGGCCTGGCCCTCGTGAAGGGTAACAATCAAGATTCCAGGCTTCACAGGTGCAACAGGAGGTGAGACCAGAGACTCTGACGCCGCTTTATTCACCAGAATAGATTAGTAATGTAAATAAAGGAGGTACTAGGGGAGAGTATAGGAATATAGGAAGACAAACCAATGCCATTTGAGTTTGTGGAAGCTATGCTGGGGGAGTGTGTGGCCACAGGAGTGTGTGCACCATCGTCGCTCGCCGCCGCACCACCCTTAATGGTGGATGTCGATGATGACCGACCGAATGTGCTGGTCAACGGAGCGAGATGTGTTTCCTTCAGCTCTAGTTATATGATAGCCATCTCAGCAATGATATTCTGACCTCAAAAGGATATCTGGACCAGCATCCAGACTTGCTATGGGGAAGGGAGACCAACTGAACATACTTTTGGTGATGTTCCACGACATCTTGTTGAGATGATCAAACAATGGCACACAGAGCAAGAAACAATAGCAAAAATGGCTCTATCTAAGATAGACCCCAAATGTAAAGTCCTTGAGGTGACCGGAACCACAAAGAAGGGGCCAATGCAACGCGAAAGAAAACACTGGAGCGACGTTGCTCCAGATGGACAGGCAATTCAGCTCTCACACGGTGGAATGAGGAGAAGCGGCGAAGGCGCCCAGCCGGCAAATAGGAGAAGGGCGGAGGAGAACACGAACAAGAAACAGAGCAACGACTAGGTCAAGATGGTAGTTTAAACTATGGAATAAAGCATAGGACGACCCCGGGTGTGCAAAAGAAAGACGCTGGTGCTGTACAGGCGCGGACGGATAAGAGGGAGGGAAGTTCAGAAGGAGGGAGGGGCTGACGATGGCCAGGCGAGGTGAGGTGGTTATTCAGATCGAAAGCGCTGAGGACTCGGAGGGGAGGGGGGAGAGGGATGGGACAGCCGCCTGAGGAGAGGTGTGCCTGAGGCTTCAAGGCATCCAACAGGGGGCTGTGCAGTGCAGGTGGCTGATATTATTCGTGGCGCTGGAATACCTCGTCCTTTTGGGACTAGTGGGCTAATGCGCCGGTTGCCGTCTCCACAGGCAGGAGCGATGCGGTGACTGCCATCCCAACCGTACTGGCACCGCTACCAGGTACCTAAGCTTACCCAGGTACCTCTTGGTGTTGTTCTCTCTTCCTACCGCAGATCTTTTGGAAACGCATTGCTCAACGCCGCTGCCCGTCTTGAATTTGCTCCCTGGCCTTCTCACACCTTCCTTGACTGTGGAATCTCGCGCCTGCCTGGGCCCTTGACCCCCACATCTCTCCACGCAGAGCCTCAGATCGAACCGACCACCTAAATTCACTCGCTGCTTGCCGCCCTCTCCCACATCTGGAGGGCATTGGTTATTACAGAGGACGGAGGCGGATTCAGCGGAGGATGAAAGGGTCAGGTCACCGATGGGTGTAATACGGAAGAAGACCGCCTCGCGCGGCACGGAAGCTGGCACGAAGTACCACTGCGATATCTGCTCCATCGACGTCACGTCAACGGTGAGTTGTGTCGTCGCGTGTTTCTGATGGTTATGAGAGTTCCTTATCTGACAGTGTCTTCCTTTGCTAGGTCCGGATATCGTGTGCTCATCCCTCTTGCCATGAATACGACTTGTGTGTCCCTTGTTTTGCTGCAGGCGAAACCTCCAAAGCCCATGATCCGACCACGCACCCGTTCCAGGTTATCGAGCAGAACTCGGTACCGATCTATCAGGAAGACTGGGGTGCGGATGAGGAATTGCTTCTGCTAGAAGGCGCTGAGATCTACGGATTGGGCTCGTGGGCGGACATTGCGGACCATATTGGCGGCTATCGCAGCAAGGAAGAAGTGCGAGACCACTATGTCGATACGTACATCAATAGCTCTTATTTCCCGCTCCCTGACCGCGCGGATCCGGAGGACACAAGTCTGCAGGATTCGATTTCAAAGGAGGAGTTCCAGGCCCGGAAGAAGCGCCGCATCGAGGAGCGCAAGGAGGCGGCCAAGGCTGCACCTCCCACTACCCCGAAGCAGAAACCCACAGCCAGCGTGCCTGCTTGTCATGAAGTCCAAGGGTATATGCCTGGGCGTCTGGAGTTTGAAACCGAGTTCTTGAACGATGCCGAGGAAGCAGTACAACACATGTCCTTTGAACCCGGGGCGGGAATCAATATCGGTGGCGAGCCGGATCCAGAGGTGGAACTGAAGATGACTGTTGTGGATATCTACAACTCACGGCTCACAGCACGGACAGAGCGCAAAAAGATCTTGTTTGAGCATAATCTCCTCGAATACCGGAAGAATACAGCGCTGGAGAAGAAGCGCACAAAAGAGGAGCGAGACCTGCTTAACAAGGCTAAGCCATTTGCCCGCATGATGAACCGTGATGACTTTGATGAATTTTGTAAAGGATTGGAGTACGAACACAATCTCCGGCTGGCAATCACCCAGTTGCAAGAATGGCGGCAAATGGGGATCGGAGACCTCAAAACTGGAGAGAAGTACGAGCAAGAGAAACAACAGCGCGCGCAACGCCTGGTTCCTCAGGGGTCCTTTGATCGGTTTGCAAGCGCCCGTCCCAAGCAGACGCAGCAGCCCGAGCAACCGTCTGCAGCGAACCAGCTGACGACTCCGGAGCTGCCTCTACGGCTGCAGAAAAACACGGAGTCTAATTTACCCTTTAACGATTTCGATCGAGCATTTGCTAGCAACGGTGATGGGGCCAGCACCCCGCAACCGACCAAGACAAAATACGTGATCCAGCCATTGAGTGGTGTAGTGCCGTGGAAGCTGGAAGCCGAAAGCGCCGCAGACCTCCATCTCTTGACCAAAGAGGAGATTGAACTCTGCAACGTGCTCCATGTCCACCCCAAGCCCTATCTAGTCATCAAGGAGACCCTTTTGAAGGAGGCCATGAAACAGGGGGGTAATCTCAAGAAGAAAGATGCCCGGACCATTTGCAAGGTATGTATTGCTACGTCTGAAAAAAAAAAGAAAGCATGGCTGACAGCTCCAGATCGATGCTACGAAATCGAGCCGAATCTATGATTTCATGGTACATAGTGGATGGATCAACAAAGTGTAGATTATATCAGAAATGAGTCTTTGCTCCTTGTATATGAATTATGATATCCATTTCTACCCCTGGAGGGGTTTGGTATGGCGTTATGGCGACAGCTAGGGATGGATTGATCTCCGAATCTATGGCACAACAGATTAATGATAGTTATAGAATATCGAATAGGTAGTGTTATTACAGTAGCTGTCTAGAGTAGTTTAATCGGAGGCAACTAGTTCTTTTTTCAATGCTCATCTCCATTCCATATCTTTGTTTCGGCTGTCATCTCCACATCCCCTCAACAACCTCGGCAGCTGGACAGACCGAGTGAAAGCTAAACAGTACATAACTACATTTATCTACTGCTACACTCTTATTTGAAAGAAATATAAAACCACTATTATAACAATCATATTACTTCATCCAATTGGAATCCCCAAACATGACGTTCACCACCTCCCCCCCAACCCCCGAATACGCCCTGCTCTCCTTTCCAACCCCCCAGATCCTCCTGGTGACACTCAACCGCCCACGCAGTCTCAACTGCATCAACACAAAGGGCCATCAAGAGCTCCACGCCATCTGGGAATGGATGGACTCGGAACCGTCGTTGCGCGTGGGCATCCTGACCGGAGCGGGGAGGGCGTTCTGCGCCGGCGCAGATCTAAAGGGTAGCTATTTCTAAACAACAAACTCAATTATTTCTTACTAACTAACTCACATTATAGAATGGCAAGGTAAAGCCAACTCCGGCGAAGACCTCACCCCTCGATCCGGGTTTGGCGGACTCTCGCGCCGCACAGGGCTCAAGCCGGTGATCTGCGCGGTAAACGGCCTCTGTCTAGGCGGAGGCAGCGAGATGGCCATCAACGCAGATCTGGTGATTGCCAGCCAGGGGGCTGTGTTTGGGTTTCCGGAGGTGAAGCGCGGGGTGGTCGCTATTGCGGGCTCGCTGCCGCGGCTCGTGCGGACGGTCGGCCGTCAGCGCGCAATGGAGATGGTTCTCACGGGGCGGCAGGTCTCGGCTGTCGAGGCGGAGAGATTCGGCTTCGTCAACGAGGTGGTTCCTTCCGATGATGCTGCTGCTACGAATGGTGCTCCTGGGGCCGTCGTGCGGCGCGCAATCGAGGTGGCCCGGGAAATCGCGGAAAACAGCCCCGACGCCGTCATTGTCAGTCGCGAGGGAGTCAAGATCGGCTGGGAGGGTGTCGGCGCGGAGGATGGTACGCGGATGCTTATCGACGGTTGGTCGAAGCGTCTCTACGGGGGAGAGAATATCAAGGAGGGCTTGCTCGCGTTTGTAGAGAAAAGGAAGCCCAACTGGTTCGACAGTAAACTGTGACTTGCATATGGAGAAAGTGCGGAAGGCACTAACTATAGCAGGTTGTTGTTACACCCTGGCGGGCTCTGTGTAGCTATATCTAGGTAATATACGAATGATACTACAGAAATAATAAAAAAAATAAAATCACTTTGTTGGCTATTACCCTGCTAAGCAGTCATAAGTCATAAAAAGAACGCCCAGCCAACCATCCGGTTCTCCATTTTCGCCATATCCCATGCAGTCCAGTGTAAGCTTCATCTTACAACTCAACCTGCCGATTCAATCGGTTCTGCCCCAGTCGGGTCGTTTCTCTTAGATCCGCGGACGACCCAACTGAACCCTGAACGTAACAAATCAGTATTAGAACAGACAAGAAAAAGAGTTATAGATCGAGCTTTTGGGTGTCCTACTTGGAGTCCTTCTGCACCTTTTCCACAACCTTGAGCACGTGCGAATAGAGAGGGTGCTCCTTCTCGAGGCCAGTGAGTTTGGTAGTTGCGTCGTCAGCCGACAGTTCCTTGAGAATCTTGGCGAGTTCGACACTCTCGTCGTCACCGGGGACGTTCTGGAAACGCAAGGCGGTCTCCAAACCTCCAAGAAGAGCATCAAACTTCAGTCCGCGCTCAGCCAGCTGAGCGGCAGGTCCGATGAAACGCTCCTTGCGAGACACCTTACGGATGGGAGCCCGACCGACACGCTCGACGTTGTCCTCCAGGTAAGGGTTAGAAATGCGGGTGATAATGGTGTTGACATAGTCCTTCTGCTCCTTCTCAGAAATGTTGTGCTTGGCGACGATGAGTGCGGCAGTCTCATTCAAGACCTTTTGAACAGCTTCACGGATAGTCGCATCGTGGAGAGCGTCGGCAATGGTTGACTTTTCAACCAAGTGGCCGGCGTAGGCAGTAGTGGCGTGACCAGTGTTGACCGTGAAGAGCTTACGCTCAATGTACGGCTCCAAATTGTCCACCCAGTGGATCGCCGGGATGTCAGGGTGGCCAACGTCGCCAAAGGGAGTCTTTTCAACAACCCATTCGTAAAACTTTTCGATGCGGACGTTCAGGCCACTGTTGGGAGGCTGGTTGGGGACAATCCGGTCAATGGCGGAGTTGGCGAACTGAGCCCGCGAGTAGAGGGACTCCAGACGCTGCTTGTCGGTGTGCTCCTTGATAAAGCCATGGAGAGTGTCAGTGGCACCAATCGCGTTCTCACATGCAATAACAGCCAGCGGCTTCGAGACAGTACGGGCATCGATTCCCTTGGCGATGACGGGGGCGATGAACTTGAGGATGTTGGGGCCCACGGCACAGGTGACAACGTCTGCGGTGGCGATCTCCTGGACGACATCCTTCTCGTGAGTCTTGGAGTTGATGGCACGATAATTGGTGATGGTCTTGGTCGACTCGCCCTGCTCACTGATCTCGGTGACCTCGTAGGAGCTGGAGTTCTGGAGGCTGTTGATGATGTTGTCCATCACGTCGATGAAGACCACCTCATAGCCAGCCTCATGAAGAAACTCGGCCACGAAGCCGCGGCCAATATTTCCGCCGCCAAACTGAATCGCCTTCTTTCCCATGATGTGTCTGGTTTAGTGTAGGGCAAGATGTGATGTTGTACGGCGGTATATGTTTAGTCTGCTACGCAAGGCAAAGGCAAGGTAGTGTAGAGTGGTAGCCAGAGGCCTGGAGCAGGATGAACAGAAAGAACACGGGCTGACAGCGGGGGAGGAGAGAAGAGAGTATTTGAAGCTGTTATGTCGAGAGGAAGAAAAGGAAAGAAACCCAGCGAAGGCAGGAAACCGGATCCCTATCGTGAGTTCCGGACAGAAACAGAAGGAGGGGCCCGGTGAAGGAGGGGCGGCGCAGCGCAGATAATGGAACCGTTCACATTCACTGAGGAAGCGACGACATCATCGATTAGCCACTCAGGGCGCCGGGAAATTCGTTCCTGCCAGCTCTGGAAGGAGCATCCGGATTGGAGCCCGAGCTGCGCGTGTCCCTGTTTGTCCTGTTTGTCGCCGGTGGTTATCTGACTGACTTCTCTCTCCTTTTGCTCGTCGTTGCCTGCTGTACTCCTCATTTTTGCAGACACAGATATGTAGCTACTCCTTTATCTAGGTACCCTTGGGGATGCTAGGGATGCTACAAGAGTAGTCAGCACGGTCGTATTAAACACGACGACGTCACAACCAGCCTCAACCCCATGGGCCAGCCAACGCCATGGCGTCCAGAGGGGCGACCCCGCTAACTAACTATCTGCTGTTATCTTTGCGGCAGCCTGATATTCCAGGCCTTCAACCTCGGTCAGCTTGTCTCCACCGACATTATCTCTTCTGCTCCGTACGCGAGTACAAAAGCGAACTATAGTCTGCAAGGCAATCGAGTTTTGGTGACGGCTTCTTTTCGTTCTATTGATTTCCGGTAATCGCCCACACCCTGTCACACATGAGACGCATCGGTGTAACACAGGAGAACAAGAAAGGTTGAACCTCTCACATGTCATCAGCCGGCTTGGCCATGGCATGGGCTGTTCATGATAGGCTTGCAGAACCCCCCCGATGACCTCACGTTTTCAGGTACCTGATTTAACTAATTATTGTGCCCCAGCTAGTCAACGACCCTTCGGCTGCCAAATACGAGCCATATGATCTGACGTTCTGCGGTGGGGGTGGATATGTCAACAGCGGAACGAGTGTCGGACGTTTAGCAAAAAGAGATGTGCCGCGGATCGGAGATGACCTGGTGAGGTATTTCTGACTTGTCGCTGGACGCCCGTGTTTAATTCCCGCGCAGCTGCTCCTTAAAGCTCCGGATTTCGAGGTATCGCAAGGTTGCACGGAGCACGATCAGAGGGCGGATGCAAATGCTCCGTATAGGCCAAAACACCCAGATAAAAAGATTATCCGGCACTAGCAGAGCGCCGCTGCTTTGCTTCGACCTCGTTATTCGCTCGGTCTCGGAAAGAAAAGGGAAACTTTCACGTCAACCTCAGAAATTGTTTCTCCTCCTGTGTGGCTGATGGCGTGGATCTCCTGATCGGCGCTTTTTTGAGCCGGAACTTCTTTCGACAGTATTGTATCCGACATGGCTGCAGGATAGCCAGGATAATGATGGTACACCGGGCGTCTGGGGATGGAAAATCACGCAATGGCGTACGGTGCTGTATCTCTTAGCGGAGGTCTTTCGGAGAGTCCTTTCCTTTTGCCGTCAGACTACCAAGAAAGCGGCGATCTTCATGGAAAGACAAGAGAAACCAACCACTCATTCAGCCTATGGTCAAGAACTTCGAGTTTTATTATTATCTAATAGTACTACTAACAACATATGGGGGTGGAAACACCTCGCCCCTTAGGTGACCGTTCAAACCCCACCGCAAACAAGCCCCGCGCATTATTATTATTGCTATTACTACTATCTTTCAGGTTATTGTTGCTACTACCCCACACTCTTCAACCCAGTCAAGACCACGCCACATCTTTGCAAAATCCAGGCCTGTGCAACATGTTGCTGTCTCTGGGCTTTCTTTTTGGATGGAAAGAGACATATTTTAGGCACCGTGTACTGTTTTCTGCTCCGTACAGCTTCAGAACAATCCCTGTTGCTTGGTTATTCCTCTAATAAGGGCTTTGCCTCGCCTTCAGGCGGATCACAATGACAACGCTTGGAACGATCGATGATCACTGCTGTCAGAATACTAGACGACGCGATAAACAATAAGATGACAGCGGCCCAGGTCATCTGCAGAAATTTTCTTCCAGGATCAGCGCTGACGCCTGAACCTTGAGCATGGTGGTTGATAAGTTTCACGAATTCAGTTGCCATGACGCTGGCAATTGTCGAAGCGCTGCCAGTATTGAGGAGGCTGATCTGTATGACAAAAAAAAAGAGGTGGGGAGAATATGAGTACAATTCAATGTCAAAGCAAGCAAAACCAAGGCGTTGCTAGCACTTACAAAGAGACAGGTGAACTCATTTGACAGTTGCGGATCTCTACCCGTCGCTGACGTCCAGACTCTCAACAGAATCGACAGACCAGATGCCCCCACACCCAAGACATATAGTACCGACATTGTCTTGCTCGTGGTGGCCATGTATACGAAATCGGCGCTGATGGCGCTTGGCCATCCGATATCTGTGAGGCTCTGTCCCGTTTTGATCTCATTTGCCAACACCACTTCGGGGTCGAACCAAAAGGGAAGTTTTCGGTCGGAACAACTGGTTGTATTCCGCCCAGTCCTGGTGACATTTGAGCCGGGAGACGAGCATTCTTCCAGGACACCTTCGCAATATGACATGACATAAACAGAATAAAAGTCCGATATTCCTATGTTGCTACTAGGATTCGGGGTATTGATCTAGCCCAACATGTTATACATCAGATGGTGAGGCTCATGGAGACAAAGGAAAAAAAGAGACCACGTACCGTTAGTATGTCGGCGTCGATGATGAAATTCTTCTGGGTACCGGCGAAAAGACACAAGATGCTGAGCGTGAAGGCCGTGAAGGCCGCCACCGTCGGCAGAAGACCGACCCAGAAATTCATTTTGCCCGACATGTGTTAGCTGAAACTCGATTTACCAGATTGGTGTTCAGCCTTGGTCTGAGATTTCGAGTGCAGTCAAGTAACCGTTGCATCCTAGGCTTGAAAGGACCCCCGAAAAATAGAAAGAAAGAGCGAAATAATGAGAGTCGAGAAGATGCCAATGCTAATATCAACGTCTCAGAAAGTTAATATCAGTTTGGAATTCCTGTATAAGAGCTAATCTAATTGCAAAGATCAACGATCTCTCTCGGCACTTGAGGCTCCTCCATTCCTCGATCATACTCCATGCAGAGGGTCTATTCGAAGGAGGATAGGGATATCATTGACTCATACTCAACCACACGAGGCAATCGACAATCCACATCTCCCGGTTGATCTGAAGTATGTATGTCCCAGCCCCTCTGGCTTTTCATCTTACCGCAAGTAGAAAGGGATACTAGAGAAGACATACAGGAACCGGTTTTCACAAGACTGCCTTAACGATCGCGATCGTATCAGATACAATTATAGCAGTTCTTCTCAAGACTCACGGTCAAGTACAATCTGTCTCAGATAACGATCCAACAACATATTATTCATTTGTTTGTCACTCATTCCTTGTCCTCCCGCGGACTCGCTCTTGAACGCTCACTGGCAGTTCGAAATACTGTCCACGTTTTTCTTACGGAGTAGGCACTGATGGGCGGGGTTGAGATACCACTGTGGTGGCGTGGGTAGTACCAAGTTACCTGGAAATCATCAAGGTAGTCAATGGCCGAATAAATCCTCTCAGCAAGGGGACAACTTCCTGTTTTCTTTGCTTTGCGACACAGACGATGGTCCTCTGATACGATACCCAACTTCGCGGAGTTCCCACTAACATTCCGAAGATCAGGAGCTAAAATCTCTAATCTTAGAGATGAACCTGGCAAATCTGGTACGCATCCTCCAGGAACTCCACAGCCCGACGGATATTCAGCCCGAGCCAACCAATGGCTTCAGTGGAATGACTCCCGGCTGGCTGTTGCCCTTGCGTCCAGCATCTTGGGAAGCCTCAAGCCCCTTTCTCGGTTTTACTTCCCGACCATTCATCGGAGAGCAGCAAACCATGCCCGTTCTGGAATAATCGAGATTCCTCATGTTCATCAATGTGATATATACTTTTAAACCGCTCAGAGGGAAAAATGCGTCATTCCAGCTACCTACGCAACTGGTGCAACTGGTGCAACTGGATGCAACCGAGATAACCTTATGCCTAACTATTGTCTGCATAACTAGGTGATGTTTTGGCTGTTGCAGCGTCGCTCGGATGATCTGCACCGAACTGACCTCCCCTTCTCCTCGGAATCCGGAAATAGCCCATTCCTTATCAGAGGTTTAGCATTTAAAGACACTACAACCAGTCAAGACAGCCCAAAGTCCTCAAATTAGGCAAGGGAGAAGATGGGAGAAGATGGAACAAGGTAACGGTACGCTGATAAGAGGCAAATCGCTTGGTTCTCTCATCGTGATATTGAAACTGTAGGCTTTCTTTCCTCCCAGCTCTTCCTGTCTACCATGAATATCACCAGGCCTCGCCCTTAGGTTCTGACAAATTAACTGAAAATTGATTTTAATAGAAAATAGACTTTATCTATTATTTACAAGTATTGAAATAACTTTTTGTGTTTAACGCTTTCCGTGCATATATTCATTATTCTGAGCTGTCACCTGACTGTAACTCCTTCCTCGCCTTCTCTGAAGCTCAACTATCTTTTCTTGCTTCAAGGCACTCCTGCACGTACACCCCTCGGTAAACCACTCTAGGACATGACTGTTGTCTATTAATTATCCTAGCTAAGCTATAAATCCTTTTCTGGTTCGTTTCGTCTGAAGAATGCAAGGAGAACCCAATCGTCAGGACCATTCCTTAAACTTGAACTAATCATTCAGAACGAAGAATAGTTATCTTCACAAGATATCGTCCTCTTCCTCTTCTTCGCTCTCGCTTTCTTCCTCCTTTCCTAGGCCGATTTGGGCGGCGGCTGTTTCGAGGAGTAGCCTTGAGTCTCCTCGGTCGAGCAGGGTCCCCCCCTGCATCAGGGGCTCATACTCATGCCCCAATTCCTCCACGAACGCGCGCAGCATATTTCTGGCCATATAACGGCCTGGGGTCCCCCAGAGGGGCTTCCCCAACTCATCGTACAGCTCAAAGGCGGCCCGTTGGCCCGGACCAACCCGCCATGCGCGCCGGAGAACTTGAAGGCAGTAATGGAAATAGAGGTACCGGGCCGCCGGGTGATACCTTCCTCTGAAGTAAAGACGTCGATTGTCAAGGTCGCGCCATTTAGTCGGACTGCTCTCTTGTATAATCTTCATGTCCAGGCAGCTCCACGAACTATCGATGACCCGGATCTTGAAGTCGCGGGTTTCCTGGCCTAGCCAGTAAGACAGCATCGCCATTGTCGGCCTTTCGGGGAGATCCGGGACAATGGTAATTACCCCAGCATCGAAATACTCCTCGACGGCAGAGCAAATCATCAACCCATTCCTTGAGGAAAACAGCTCGGCTGGGCGGATTTGCCCAAAGATGGCATCCATGGATGCCTGCCCATGTTTATAAGAAAAGAGGTGGGCAGCAGTCATGGTCGATGGGGGGAACCAGTCCTGCATAATCGGACACCAGATTTTACCATTTTTAACTACTTCATAGTCTTCCAAAAGCTTCATTCGGAACTGGCTTTGGAAACGAGAGTCGCGGGGCTCCATTCCGGTGCGAATACCCAGACCCATTGGGCTGCTGATAAAAAGATTTATAAAAGACGCCCCCAGGCTCCGCCTCTCAGGTTTAGGTGCCTCGGCCTGCTTTCTGAATGAGGTGACACGACATTGCTGGGCGCGAAGTTGCTCGAACAGCTGCCTGGCCTCTTCTGTCTGTGCCCACATCGAGGGCTCGCCTTCAAACTTGGCTCATGAGATTTTGGATACCACACGCGTTTTCGCGGTGACGGCCTGACACTGCCGAGCAATATGAAATTGCCGATACGGCACCGGGGTGTTGGGAATCCTCCCATTGGCCGTCAGAAGGACCAAATCATCACGGATCCGGTCATATTCCACAAAAGTAACATAGCGGCCGATGGCAACCGCACCAAAGACCCGATGGGCAGGCTTTTGGGGCTTCATGCGGCCAGTGCAGTGTCCCAGACGGTGGGAGCCCATTCAGCGTTCAAACGCTTGCATTGAACCAGCATAAAGTCCACCAGACCTCGTTACATAGCGCTCGCTGTCTGAAACATGCGATGAAAAATCCCAGACCAATTCCAGCCTGTCGATTGCCAGGCGTGCAGTGTTTAGCTCATAATACTGACATATATTAGCAGTGTTTGATGCTATTATTCTATATGCTTACATTTCCTGGGGGCTCCTTTGCAAGGAGACGACCTGGCATAGTCCTCTTTATTAGACAGCAAGAGTATTGAGAATTTAGAGAAGATCCACTGGAGAAGGAAACGACATGTCTGAGAAATTGTCTTATACCTACTATATCGCTCTGCCATTGAGGGTATCCAGTTCATTCACATACTCGGTGACTTGAGTTAGAATAGCAAGGATACGGGATCTGTTCCAGATACCAAGAGAATCACCGAGGATATTCTTGTCATTGACCATCATAGTCAGATATGGCCAGTCAATGGTCTCGGGAGCCGTCAATGCCTTGTCTTGAATCTCCATATAAAGGGTGGTGGGGATACGGTGCAGCCAGTAGGAAACAGGCAGCGACTCGCCAAATGCAAGCAGCATGTTTCGCACACTGGTGGCATCCAGATAGTCAGAGATGGCATATTTGATCTCCAGTGGAAGGGAGAGGCGTGTTGACAGATAAGCTGTCACTGATGATGATGATGATGATGATAATGCTGTCACTGGTCCTTCTTCCCCCCTGACACGAGACCGATGCAACAGTTCATTCACTGCAGGAATGTGGAAAGGATCGTCAATCCCGGGATAGGGGACAATTACACCTCCAGTCACACTCCTTTGGCTCTCCATGAATATAGGTTTCCCGGTGAAGTCTATTAAACCCTGATATATGAGACGAGGAATCTCCAAGGCACCCTCCTGGCTCCAGAACTTCTTCAGAGCAGCAAGAATATAATCTAATTGTTGAGTTGCTCGCGAGCCAAGCTGTCGTTCCAGGAGATCCCAGCATCTAGCATGCAGCAGATATCCTTTTAGAGCGGGATCATCACCATCATCATCATCGTCATCGTCATCATCGATGTCATGCGCGCGAGATGGGTGTGGAATCCGAGCTACAACGGCAATTCTGGCCGTCTTATGGCCAGGGCAGCCAATATAGGCCATCTCCGGGTCCAGAGGAACGAAAAACAACCGGTGAGGGGCTCGGGCGCCGTCCATGTCGCCAATTCCAGACAGAGAATAGGATGGACGGCAAGGACTCTCATCTGCTTTCTCCAAGACTAAGACTTTACAATCAATACGACCTAGGCATATATAATAATAATAATAAAGAAAAAGGCTTCATACTCATCCGGAAGAGGTGATACCAGCCTTTCTGCTGCTGGAAGGCCATGGAAAGCTCCGAGGCGGGCAGGTGGATGGCAAAGGGTCTATTCCGGGTTCTTTTCCATCGAGCATGCTGCTTCCATATCTGCTGCCATTCTTCCTTCTCGGACACAAGCAGAGGAGGAGTCCCGAGCTGCCAATCGTCGTCACTGTGGAGGTGTCCACCACATATCCAACAGAAGAAAGGAAGAGGGTTTGTCGAGTAGAACTTGCGGGGCATATTACAGTAGATCAATTGATTATTGATTAATGATTAATGATTAATGATCAATAGATCAATAGATCAGTAGATTGTAAGTTATACAGTGACATAGTCGTTACACCTACACTACAGACATAATCGTTACACCTACACTACAATTCAGAAAGTAAATACACTCTAGTTCCTATATCTACATATCTTAAGCAGTCTGGCAAGACCCCCATTTCTGCGGCTGCGGCGGCGAGACAGAAACCGTCTGCTCCCCGTCCAGGACGACCGAGGAGCCATCCACGCCCGTAAAGGTGCAGAAGCCGCCTCCAACCGAGGCGATGCTGCTCACGTTCAACGGGTTGGCTGGAAGTCAGTGAGTTTATTGAGCACCAAAAAACTAAATTCTTCAAACACAAGTCGACGTACTGATCGCCACGAGGGAGTCGTCGGCGGGAAAGTTCTGGGAGAATGAGGCTCCATTGACGCCGTTGAAGGTGATGGAGACCTCGAAGACGGCAGAAGAAGAGGCGATGGGGGTGGCGCTGGCCAGGGAGAGGGCAGCGAGGATAACAGAAGTCTTCATGGTTAATAAGATGTAGTAGGAGGGTTATTATTATGAGTACCACTCTGTACTACTAACTTATATATGTAGGACTACATATCTATGACTAAATGACTATTAATCTCACTGATCAGCATCAGGCCCCCAATAAGCCCAATAAGCCCAATAAGCCCAATAAGCCTAATAAGCCTTTAAATAATGTCAATCACTTCTATTCATAGTACAAGGCGACCAGCTGTCTCAGGTATGACAGAACAGGGCTGAGCCAACCAACCCTAAGAATATCACTGGATCGTAATGGTATTATTAAACTGCCATGAATCTATATAGATTATAATCATATAGACTTATTCTACGCAGTAAAAACATACAACTATCTAAAAATAAGTTGCCTCTAATGTCAAGACTCAGGCTAAAGATGCAGCCTTCATAGATATCTAATATATTAACTATATACATCCTATGGCTTAAAATAGATACTAAAAGCAAGCATTTATTTCTAGCCTTGAACACTTACCTATTATTAATTATACTATGATAGCTATAGTTTCATTAGTTATTCTATATTGGCTGATGTAATCAGCTTCATAGTAATAACCAATTTTCCCTGTATCCTGCCGATCTTCATGATTCAAAGAACTGCTCCAAGAGAGACCTCATCTAGGTCGCGTCTGGCTGGCAACGTCCAGGATTTTCTAGTCAGGCTTTGGAGCATCCATGGGTTCTCCAACTTTGAGGCTCTTTGTGCCACAGACGTATCTCATGCAGAAGTACAGCCTTTACATGACCATCATAGTGATCATAGCATTTGCGTCTGCTAAACATAGCTGTAGGTGGTTATAAGACCAATCCTCAGTCTAAGATTATATATTGAAGTCTTTGGCTTATCTATACTTACCTAGTGCCGACATTATACTATACAAATAGAACAGGTGGACTCAGCAAGTAAAGGTGTTCCGCCCAGTACCAGATGGCACAGTGGTACACTATAACTATATTTCATCATTGTCCATAGCCATCTACAAAAAGAACCGGATATGGGGAGAAGAACAAGAGTTGGGGGGGAAGGTCTGGTATTTATACCGAGAGTTTGATGCCTCAGGCTTTTATTTTCTACCATTATTTCGATGTATTGTAGGGTCTACGTTTTCTATGTGCAAGAGTCAGTCCGTCACTCTTTCCCGCTCGTTTCCTTGGATAAGCAGTTGATTCCAGGCAGTCTTCGCTGCCGTAACAAATTTATATCATTCTCCAAATTGACAGTATTAGCAGAGGACTGCTAATTAGTATATTACTACTATTCATGCTTCGCTCTGCTATGCTAAGGTAACTCAGGCCTGACAAGTAGCAGTGTGTTTACCCAGTTTGCACATTATCATTCACTTCTTCCTTCCTCTTCTCTTCCTTGAGCTTAACCATCTCCCTTTCCAAGATACGGTGATGGTCATCGTCGTACAGTCGGAAGAATTTCTCACCAGCTGCCCTCCTAACCTGCCTCCAAGAAACCGAGCCGTTGCCGTCTGTGGGATTGCAGATGTGAATGATGCTGCCCGTCCTGGCGACGACGGCTGGTTCGTATCAGACTTCTACCTGTTCAGACACCTTCTGTCATCTCGAGGTATATCCTTCTTTCTTGTCATATTGAATGCCAAAGCTTAGCTAATCAAATATCACTAGTGACATACAGACTCGGTGCGATGCATGAAGCCGACTACTATCGCCGGCAGATGGGGATCGATGACCCCTCAGTCTTAAGTTGACAGTCTCGTGTGGAAAGAAGAGCACTGGGGTCAGTCATCTCCCAAGGAGAGACAAGCCAAGCAAGAGAGAGCCTCAAAGGCCTACCATTTCATCAGTCGTCATGAGATCATCACATATCCTATTCAGTCAAGGCCCCGAGCATCTGTATTACCTTGCTCTTGTGCTGGCCGACTTGGAGCTTACCTGGGAAGAAATTGAGACGAAACTTCGTGATGCAGCTCTACACATAAGGCTTGGTACCGCTCGGTGTACAGAGCATGGCGTGGCAAACATGCTGCAGAAAATGAGCTTGTCATGAGTCGCCGATGGGTGTTCATGGATGAAACTTGCTTTGCTTCAATAGATATAAAAGGTCCTCCTACAAGGTCTATGAATCATTAACTACTTACTCGAGACCAGATAAGGAACTAAATGTAGTAATATATTGAATAGAAGCGATGCTATATCGTGCATACTCGACTTGAGCGTTATATACCTTTATGTCGCTGTTACATCATAATCAAGCGCTTAGTATTTGATGTTCTCTTATATATTATTCCAGACCAGAATAATAATTATATCATGATTATACCTACAGCATGTACTATCTCTAGGCAGAAGTGACAAAAACCAAAGTGAGAGTATTCAATGACAACCACCAAGTGACACTTCATTTCTCCCTCCCCTCTTCTCTCTCTCTTCCTCTTCTTCTTTTCTAATCATAAATTCAATCACCATTTCAACCATGAACGCCGAATTCGAAGACACTCGCCGCCATGATCTCATCAAACATATTGCTAAAGCAATGAGCGACGCACGCATTCCTTTCACCCAGGCCGTTTGGGCTACCCTCTGGCTGTCTGACCTGGAGAATTTGCAGGCAATGGTGAATGAGCCCAGAGTCATGAATATCTCCACCCTAGTTGCCGATATGGCTTATGAGAAGATTGTCAAGCCATGTACATATTCAACTGCTATCCCCTACAGCTGTGGGCTAATAACGAATAGGGAATACACGATCCTGCTCATCAGCACCGATGACATCTCTCGAATTATCCCCTGAAGCACAACTCTCTACCTCCGAGATCCCGCCGAGAATCAACAGGGTATGCATCGAGGAAAGTAGAGATCAGGTAAAGTCTGCGATCTAATTCTAGACCTTGAACCATGGCTAATTTATTGATTTCAAGTGCAAGATAAGAGACAACGAGCAATGCATTTTGACAAAGGCAGGTTATGTTGTGGAAGTCGCTCACATTTATCCCTCTTCTCTTCAAGGGCAAGAGGCCAAGTCGGCATTCTTCTGGCAGGCCCTGCGCGTATTCTGGACCGCCGAGAGAACCAAGCGCTGGGAAAAAGATGTATTTGGACCAAATACGAACACCTGTGCGAATCTGGTGACGATGGCACCTCACACGCATGCCTACTGGGATGGGGCTCTCTTTGCGCTGAAGCCTCTGGGTAAGAGCGAGGACGAGAGTAAGATGGAGATGCAGTTCTTTTGGCTACGGCCCACCTCTCTTTCCAGTCCTGTTATTCTCGATATCCCTCCATCTATCCCTACCGACTACGACTCATCTGTGGTGAAGGTGAAACTGTTCGATTGCGAGGTCGACAAAAAGCTTTGCTCGGGAGATAGGATTGTTATAACAACTGATGATCCTATCAATCGGCCCCTTCCAAGCTATAATCTTCTTGAGATGCAGTGGGTTCTTCACCGGCTCACTGCCCTCTGTGGAGAAGGCGAGATCGCCTCTCCCTCAAGCTCCGATGAGGAGGGGAGTGAGGGGGAAAGAGGTAGTCTTACGGTAGAGTGATATTCAACTAGATGTACCCATTCTTAGACATCTTATATGTTCACTCTTCTATGAACTCTCATGTATATCACAGGTGTGTCGGTAGATTTATATGAGCCATATTATGCGCAACACTAATAAGAGTATATTTTTATCCTAGTCAATTCTAACTTGGCTCATCCATTTACCGAGTTTAATTGGTTGATATACTGCATGTGCATATACTTAATAACTATAGTCATGTACTTACCTGTGTTGTATAGAAATTGTATAAATTATTCTATATTATTATATATGCAAACTCTTGTATCCTAGTATGGTACCTATACAACATAGATTGCATAGTTTTGTTGCAATAACTGTACCGTAGGCAGACTATATACAGTCAGGTAGTACAGCCATCTGATGTGATCATTGGTCTAAGCAAGGAGGTTCAGAGCACCAACTGCCACTGCATTCAAGGGTGTGTGTATGTGTCACCCATTCCTCTTGTGTATGTGTCCTTCCATTCCTCTAGAAACGGTTCCCCAGGCTCATCAAGCCTGTTGATCTGTTGATCTGTTTGATTTTAAAGTAGGCGCGACCTAATTTAGCTCCCCCGCTCCTTCCTTAGGGACGAACGCCCTGCAGCCAGGATAAAATGATGCTAAACAAGAGAGGCAGGAGAGCACGTGCTCGCTCAGTTTTCCCTCCTGCGCAACCCCAACAGGGGCAAGCCGGGTGTCATTGTAATCCGCCGACAGCCTGTATTCCGAGCAAGCATCTTGTGTTGTAATACCCCCCCCCCCCAAACATTCGATTTGGGTGGTTATTGTGTATCATAGTCGATACTTGCCACTGCCCAGCCGAGCATCTCACGAGGGCTTGCGATGGACGATCTGCGAGGCGCGCAGGGCCCGGCGCCGGAAACCGCAGGCGGTAGCGTCGCTCGCAGAGAATTCTGCCGCCACGTGCGCCAGTGATTGGCCACAGGCAGATCTGGCCGTACCGGGGCCACCTGCAGGATGTGGACTCTTCCAAGTCGTTCTTTCCTCCGCCTGGAAACTGGCGCGAGGCTCCGCCGCGCTGTGGGAGTGACAGTCGCTGCCACCCAATGGCTCCCTCGCAACTCCCCGCTTCACTCGCCCCAAGGCTTCCGACTGGGCGTGGGAAATGCGGGATACCATGCTCACTGCTCAGGATGGGTTTTTTTTTACCACTCCACCAGGCGCCGAGACAATGGCCTGAGGGACTGAGTCGGTGGCTACCCGTCCGCTATAAGAGCGGATGGCCGCCTCGGAGATATGTCTCTGTGTGTGTGCGTGTGTGTGTGACTGCTCCTTACAGCCCCCCTAGTTGGAGTCCCTAGGAACTCCCGTCTCCCCCCCCTCCTTCGATTCTGGGATTCCCTTTCCTCTTACTCTTCTCTCCCGCCTCCTTCTGCTTCTTCCCACTGCCTCACACCATGACCGATTTTGGTCCTCGGGCCCCTCACGGGCCTGACATGACGGGTACGCACCAGCCGCTCGAGGATATGGACATCCACGAGAAGGGGGCCTTTGACGCCCTGATCCGCCCGGAAGACAGCTACACCCCGGACGGCGTCTACTGGGCGGATCTGCCCCTGCTTCAGAAGGTCAAATTCGTCAGCTCGTACGATGCCGGGGAGGCCAAGCGGGAACTGGGAAACATCTGGGAGATGATGAAGAAGGATCCCCTCTCCCCTGTTAGCTACTACTTCCGCAACATGGTTCTACCCGGTGCTGGGCTTGGTCTGGAGGGGTGAGTGCTCTTCTTTTTCTTATCACTACTATTATTATTACTACTACTACTACTACTACTACTACTCTTTTCTAACTCGTGTTCGCAGTTATGTTCTCTTCTCTATCGGCAATATCAAACCACTGTTCGAAAAAGCTTTCCCCGCCTGCTGGGACAAGCACGAGACCTGCAGCGCCCAATGGATCAACGCCATCGATTACCTGGAAATCGTAGGGATTATAATGGGTCAGATCATGGTTGGCATTCTTGGTGACTGGTAGGTGATGGCAGCGAAAAAAAGAAGATCAAAACACACTTGCTCACCAAGGCACTAGGCTCGGTCGTCGTTGGGGTCTCATTCAGGATGCCTCGATTATGCTTCTCGGGTTGATTATGCTCACAGCGGCTTGGGGCGTCACTCAGAACGGTTGGGTGATTTGCTATGCCTGGTCTCTATTCATCTACGGTGTCGGTGTCGGTAAGTTCAGGGTGTTCTGTTCCTGGAGAAATGGGTTGTTTTCCCCCGCTAATAAGCTTAAGGGGGCGAGTATCCCATGACCGCGACAAGTGGAATGGAAAACGCCGTGGGATCTGGAAAGGTCTCCACCAAAGAAGATCGTCTGCACCGGGGCCGAAAAGTCACCAGTGCCTTTTTGATGCAGGGTTGGGGTCAATTCTGCAACCAGGTCCTCCTCATCCTTTTGCTGCTCATCTTCCACCACGGAAGCGGTAACGCTCCGTACTCTGAAGTCGCTGCGCAGTGGACTTACCGTGTGTCCTTTGCCATTCCTGCCGTTGGCACTCTCTGGCTGGTTTACTACCGTGCCTTTCACATGAAGGCGGCCAGTAAGCAGCTGCAAGTGGCCAAGAAGAAGGCTTCGGTGACAGGCTATGATGTCGAGTCGTTGCGCTTGACATTCCACCACTTTGGCTTCCGCATCCTCGCCACCGCCGGTGGGTGGTTCGCCAACGATGTTTTCTTCTACGGCAACAAGCTGTTCCAAAGCGAGTTCATCAGCGTCATCAGCCCCGAGACGACCTCCATCATGCCCAACTGGTTGTGGAGTCTGTGCAACGTCGGGGTTTCGCTGGTCGGCTACTACATGGCCTCCTTTTTCATCGACAACAAGCTGTACGGCCGCAAATGGATGCAGATCGTCGGCTTCCTGATGGTCTTCATCCTCTTCATTGTCCCCGGCTTCCACTACGAATACTACACGTCCAAGGAAAACATCAAGGCCTTCCAGGCAATGTACTTCCTCAGCTCCTTTTTCAACCAATTCGGCCCCAACTCGGTGACCTTCCTCGTGGCCGCCGAGGTCTTCCCCACGCCGATCCGAGCCACCGCCCACGGTCTGTCGGCCGCATCAGGGAAGCTGGGCGCTCTTCTCGCCGCCGTGCTGTACAACTACATCAGCACGCAGACCAAGTTCTACTTTGTGCCCTGGTTTGGCCTGGCGGGTGTGGTGCTCACGTTTGTCTTCCTGCCAGATACGACCGGCCTGGACCTAAAGGAACAGGAGCGCCGCTGGATGTATCTCCGCCAGGGCCGCGAGCAGGACTACCACGGCCCTGCCGTCCACCCGAAGCACCTGTCCCTCTGGGAGCGCATGCGGGGCAAGGGCAAATACTACGACGCCGAGCTGGACTACAAGCAGAAGGTGGAGGAGTACCGTACCGAGTGGGAGGAAGCCATGGCGCGCAAGATCTCCGAGAAGGACCAAAGCGAGGAGTTTGCCACCGAGACCGACGACAGCCTGCTCGAAGGCCACGTCCACTCGTACTTCCACCGCACGAGCCCCATGTTCCGGGGCATGGAGCAAAAGGTTCCGGCCAAGGGCGACAATTTCGCCCTTCCCCCTGCCGCGCAGGATGGGGATTCCATCGAGGCGATAGAGGAAAAAGAGTAGTCAGTCGTATATAATGATTTTATAGATAAGATACCCATTCAATAAAGACATCCATAAGTAGTTAGCGTATGACTCAGCATTCAAATAGTTAAAATAATCCTCTACTATCTACTCTACCATACCTCTACTACCACTCTACACTATACTATCATCACTAATTCATAAATGCCCCTCTACGCCTTTGGATCCAACGGATGCGGCCAACTCGGCCTAGGCCACGACGAGGACGTGTCCACCCCGCAGCCATGTCTTTTCGAGCCGTCCACAGAGGTAGACGTGGGAGATATCGTTTCCATCGCCGCGGGGGGGAACCATACCCTCCTCCTCTGTGACGATGGGAAAGTCTACGCGAGTGGATGTAATATTGATGGACGGTGTGGGGTATCTCCTGGACCAAATCTGAATAAATTCGTACAAATCGTCATTCCGACAAAGACACAAGGCATACTTGATCGGTTCAAGTATATTTCCGCAACGTGGGAGGGAAGTATTCTCGTTTCGGAGGGGGAGGAATCTCAAGTTTTCGCAATGGGATCCGGATCGAAAGGCGAACTAGGTCTCGGATCAAGCATGCAGGTATCGTCACCCACGTTGATACCGCTTTTCCCCCCGCGCGGGACGAGGATCGTCCACCTCTCCAGCGGGATGGGACATAGCGTTGCGGTCCTCTCGAATGGGGAGGTGTACGGATGGGGTGCAGCGCGGAAGGGCCAGCTTGGTGAGAGGCTACGACGGGAGAAGACCGTCTGGTCGCCGAGTAAGATTGAGGATGTTGAGGATATTGGGGTTATCGGGGGGGAGGCTACGTGCGGGCGCGAGTTTACGGTCATAGCGAGGAAGTTAAGTTTGGATTCAACGATGGATTTCTGCATTCTAGGCTCCGCGGATAATAGGTGGAATATCCTTGATGCACCCAAGGAAATCATCTCTGGTTACCGGTCGATAGCGGCTAGCTGGCATGGTGTCTATGTCCACCTACAGAACCGGACGCTGGTCGCCTGGGGCCGCAATGATCGCGGCCAGCTGCCGCCGCGGGATTTGCCGCCGCCAGAGCAGGTCGCCGTGGGGAGCGAACATGCGCTCGCCCTGCTTGGGGATGGAACCGTCGTTGCCTTCGGGTGGGGGGAGCATGGGAATTGCGGGCCCGAGACGGACGCGCGTGGGAACGTCGCGGGGAGATATATCCGGATCCCTATTGACCTGGAGAACGGCTCGGTTGTGTCGGGCGTCGGGGCAGGGTGTGCGACCAGCTGGATTATCGCGAAGAGGAGGGGGGGGGGGACAACGAACACCGACGAAATTCTAGTCAAACAGGCCTAGGCCGCGAACCTTTTTTTTTTTTTTTTATCGTCAGCATACGCATATACGGACATGTATATACAAGTCCTTTGCAGCCAACATACCTGTGACATGCGCTGAGTGGGCGGTATGCCCATACCCTCCTGGCTCGGTTCTGTTTGGTTCTGGTGCGAAGCTGATGCTGGCTCTGTGTCCCGCAGACCTCGACCCAAAGGTTCCTTGTGATCAAGTCAGTCTTATATCAGGAAGTCTTCATATCAGGATATATGGGGGAACCGTACCTGATCTCCCGTTGCGTCCCAGCCAAGCACATCCTCGTCCTGGGCCTCATAATTTGGCTCGTCCCATTGCCTGTCGTCATCCACTGGAACGAAGAGGCTGTCCAGATCGACAGATGCCGCCGGTGGCTTTGGAGCGCTGCTGCTTCTCTGTGTATTAAGTGTTGAATTCCCCGTCAAGGGGCGGATAGACCGGCTCGATGCCTGTGTCCTTACGGGGGGTGCATTGTCGTTGGTATTCTTGCTGTGGACTTGCCGGACGGGTATCGGGACTGGAGTCTGTCTTGCAGACAGTTGGGGAGCGTTCGATCGGGAAGAACTCGAGGTTTGCTCGCCATCCGCTTCTCCCCTTGTCATCAATGTAAATTCGCACCTCAGGCCCTCGATCTCGTATGCCAGTTGCAGAGGGCGACAGGGGCGAGTATATCGCGCAGTTATGGTGGCATCCAATGAATCGGCATGCGATACCACCGACTTGAAGTCTTTCAGATTAATGGCAACATGGAGATTCTCTTCGGCTAGGAACTCATCAAAGTCCTGCTTGGCAATCGCCACAGACGTATGCACGGGTTGCTTCAGAACCTCTACAGAGAGTCAGCTATATCCAAGACATAGAACTGGTTTTGAATAAGAAAAAATCGACCTTTCCCGTCAGTAATTTTCGTGGTGAAACTTGTAAACACAGCCTTGCCCGCGTCGACCGAGATATCAAGCTGCTCCGCTGACAGACTGAAGTGGTCAATGATCTCTTTCAGGAACTTGGGCTCGATCGCCCACTGATTTGTCGCTCTACTCCGGTCAAACACAGCATGCTGTGCACTGATCGGCTCATACGTGAGCTTATAAGACTTGATCACCCCTGAAGCAGAGCGTGAATCAGCAGCAGAATCTTGGAACCTGTCGGCTCATTAATTCTCACCTAGACCGCAGATCATTCGCACGGCCAGCCTACATGCTGTCTGTTCTTCATCCTCGTATAATTCCACCTCGCAGAGCTCAACTGCCGTGTCTTTATCTTTTTCGTTGGCCCTTCCCTTGAAGACGGAGAGGAGAGCCTCCATGCTGTCAGATCATATAGATGGAACCAAAGAACCTAGAAAGAATACAATAGCACACCTTTAGATAGATCTGGCAGCAGAAGCGGTCCAGAGGATCAGCCCTCGCTGTCTCGTCCTCTATCCTTCTTGAGAAGGCATAGCTCTGAAAGAATTTGTCTGCTTCTAGCCCAAAGGCAGAGTACGCAGTCCTCGTGGAATTAAGCGTACTAAGACGAAGCTTTAAACATCAATAAGCCGTATTACTGATTCAAGACAAGGATACACCTACCAAGTTTTGTTCTGCTTCGATTGTCACAGAGTCGCTGAACTTGGACAGGCATATCAACGTGTTGTGGAGCTTCACCAACGCGTCTGGAGCTAGCGAGAATGAGAGAGACGTCATTTCATCCAGGCACCTTCCTATAAAATTATAAACGGATGAAAATTATTTCAATATAACGGATTCTCTCCTTGAATCTCCATGTTATCGGTTGTTTCAAGTTGTGTCATTGAGAACCGCGCCGAAGCCAGGCAGATGCGGTGAGCTTACATAAGCGCGGCTGCTGTTGCATCGCCAAGTAGCTCGAGACGGTCGAGGACATGCTCCTCTCTTTCACGCCGCCTTCAAGCTGTTAATCGAGCCTGGAATTTGGGTCTAGAGCTCGCCAGATATCTCGAAAAATAGTCTCTTTATAAATCAGCTGGTGAACCGGGCTTCCCCTTTCATGATGAGCTTGACATTGCCCGGCGATGTTGTATACATGATCCTGGACCTCCTCCGGGACGACAGAGACTATAACAGCATTTATCAATGTGCAATTTCGTCCAAGTACCTGTGTGAGCCGGCCTTGGCTATTCTGTACCAGTAAGTGGCACTTAAAAGCACCCGAATTCTTGTATTATTCTCTATCTAAACGCCCCGAGTTAGACTCTACGATACGTCACCTGTGATGGGCGGCGGGACCGAAGAGGAGCAATTCAAAATCCCCAGACCGGGGGCTTCGTTTGCTACTGCCCGGAGAGAAGAAGATTCGACGATTAGGAAATGGGCTCTTATGTGGCGCTCCATAATTTTATCTACTTTTGACCAGACCTATCTACCGTATCACAGTTATATTCGGTACCTCGACCTAGGTGACCTGGAGAACCTACTGCGAGAAACCAGATTCACCGGTAGGATCAGAGAGTACGAATTGTCGAGTATTTACAGCTTTTTTCTCACCCCCTTGGTATTAATATCTTGTATATAGGGACTTTTTCTCTGGCGTATTGCAAGATGTCGTGTTTCGCGACTATGAACCCAAAGGCAATAAACGGCTTCGATCGTCCGGATATCCTGATCCGGTGTCCATAGTTGTCAAGTTCGGTGGCGGTGAGTATGTCCAACGAGGTGGGTTACTGGCCAAGGCTAACTGACATGAAGCAATCGTGAAGAAGACAAATACCATCAGAGGACTGTTCTGCAATGGTTGGTCATAAGACACCCTACAGCAGGAGGCTGTATAGTCATGCCTAACAATTCTTTATTGTCGTAGTCCCACCTGCTTCGCTCTCCGAGTGGATCCAGGGATTGCCTCACTTGCAGGTGTTGAGGATCTGGTCAGGCGAAGCCCTTACACAGCATGCGGGACAGGAGATACGGAGTCATTGTCCTAATTTCAAGCGACTCACTGTGTACAGATGGTATGTGAGACTCCTGTTTATCGAGTATTATAAGATGATACTGCGCTCACACAGCTCTTGCTAAAGGTCTAATTATCCACCACGTACTGCCGAGACTGACTCGGAGATGTTTCTGAATGAACTACGGCCGCATACCTTGGAATACTTTGAAGTGTTGAGCAATTCACAGCTTGGGCCTCGTTCCATCAGAGGATTTGGCTGTCATTTAACCTCACTAGAAGAGCTGAAACTGACGAGCCTCGGAATCGACGCGATTGCGGAGCTGGCCTCGCTGGGAGAAGCCCCAGCCTTGAAGGTCCTCGTTCTGACAGATTCCATCCCCACTGCACGCACCGAGAAATTCTACGAGATCATCGCCAAACTTGCTCTTTGGATCCGCAGCTGTCGAAGTCTAAGACGGCTCGAGCTCCGAAGATTTGTCGACGACCCGGCTCTCTTGTCACAAGTACTCACAGATGAAGGGCTTGCACTCACCACCCTCTCCCTTGCTGGTTATGCCATGAGTACAAGCCGCGCCTTCCACGAAGCTCTGGCCTGCCAAAAATCCCTGCAATACCTCTATCTTCGTGGGGAGGGAAACGAAGTCGTGGATGAAAACGAGGCGCTTGCTGATGCGGTCGGCCAACTCTGCAACCTTCGCGAGCTGGAGCTCAAGGATATCTCCGACTTTTTCACATCTGACCAAGTCATGCTCCTCACACTTGGCCTGTATGAATTGCAGCGGCTATGGATTAGTGGTGATTACTTTGAGGATAGCGTCTGGATTGCATTCTTGTGCCTTCCAAAGCTGCAGAGCTTGGTCATCCACGCCCTGAGCGAATTCACATCAACGGGGATCATCGATTTCGTCTCCCAACTCGGCCCAGGGAGTAGGGGCATGCATTTGTCGATCTTGAACGCGGTTACCGTCATCACAGAGGAATCTCAGGTGGTCATTCGCGACATCCTTAAAGAACGACTAGATGGGACATTCGATTTTGGACTCGCGCGAGGTGCGTATCCTGGACGTTAGGATTTTCCCCGACTGACTTGACTAGAGGAGTATACCGATGCGGAATCAGACGATCTATCCGACTAATTTGGCCAATTTGGATCGGCCTAAGGGATCACGGACATGGTTAGCAGTCTTGTAGCAATTAACTATGGGTCAGTTCCCAATAAACAATTACCTAGAACCAATGATGCCTCCAGGGCTGTGATATGGGTCGGGTCGTAAGCAGGACCACTTAAAGCGGTCATTGGCGGGGGTGCGCGTTGTGGTCGCGTCTCCGTGCACTTTACGCGTTACCGCTTTCTTTCACGCGAGACCGTTCAGAAGGCAGCTTCACCCCTTCCACCGTACTGGGCAAAGGATTGCTCGACGATTATAGCAAGAGGAATCTAGCCTCTTCAATTTCATTCTTTTTTTTCCTTTCAAAACTGTCGTGTCAATTTATGGCCCTCGACCTTTGTTAATCAGCACACCGCTATGGCTGATCGTCGTGCGAAATTAGCAGAGCTGCGGGCTCTTCGTGCCTCCGGAAAGAAGCGTATTTCGACGTATGCAGTTGAGGAACAAGCCGATATTTACGAGGAGGTCGATGACGAGGGATACAAGAAGATCATTCGCGATCGGTTAGACCAGGACGACTTCGTTGTCGATGACAACGGAGAGGGTTACGCGGACGACGGTCGAGAAGTCTGGAATGAACAGACGGCCGATTATGAAAGCGACAGCGACGAACTCCCTGCTCGAGGAAAAGCTGCCAAGAGGAAGCGAGAAGAAGAGCAGCAGAGGAAAGAGAAGATCAACAATGGCATTTCCAAGTACTTTAATAGTGGTGCGGCCGCGGCAGCACCAAAGCCTAAAGTGAGTGCGCCGGTGGTGGAGAGCGGAGAGGGAAAAAAAAAGATAAATGATCTAATAATAAATCTAGCCTGTCGCTACTGCCGAGGACGACGCATTCATGAACGATCTGCTAGGAGAAGTCGACACGAATATTGTTTCGAATCATGTTCCGACGAAGAACATCATCAAATCTGAGGCTCGCCGTAAAGTCCGCATCCTCTCTCCACCGCTGTCTGAGAAAGCGGCGTCGAGGAAACCGGCCAAAAAAGACGACTTAGAGAATTATTCTTCCCCAATCAAGGGGCATCAAGATGCCTCGGCTGTGGACCTGGACGAGGATGCTCCCCTGCATGTTCTGGATGATGATGATGATGTCCCCATGAGTGACGCATTGCCCTCCTCCCCCATCAGCAAGGCGGTTGAACGGAAGGCATCGGCTTTGATCAAAGTGGAAGAGCCAGAGGATGATGATAACGATCTGATGGATGTCGCAGAAGCCATGGGCCACCACGATAGCAAGGCAAAAAGTGTCAACATGACAGGCAGTCGACCGCCGCCCAAAATCAAGAAAGAGATCCGATCCTCGCCTCCGCTCACCTCGTCTCCTATGAAGGCCCCGAATGATGCGCTAAACGCATCCTGGAACGATGTCAGGAACAAACTGAATGTTCTCAGCAGCCCTGCTCCAGAGATGAAGACATTCGGTAAACTCAGAGCTCAGGACGTGGTCGAAGAAGATGGAAGCTTACGCATGTTCTGGCTGGATTTTACCGAGGTCCATGGCAGTCTATGCCTGTTTGGGAAGGTCAAGAACAAGCAATCCGGGACTTTCGTCAGTGCATTCGTCAAGATCGACAACATTATGCGAAAGCTCTTTTTCCTACCCCGGGATGTAAGACGGAAACAAGGTAGAGATACTGATGAAGAGGTCGACATGGAAGATGTCTATGGTGAAGTGGATGAGATGATGTCAAAACTCCGCGTGGGGATGCACAAAATCAAGCCGTGTACCCGGAAATACGCCTTCGAGTTGCCTGGCATCCCGAAAGAGACGAAATACCTCAAGCTCCTATACCCTTATGACAAGCCCGCTCTGCCCATGGACACCCAGGGAGAGACCTTCTCTCATGTTTTCGGTACCAATACTGCCTTGTTCGAACAGTTCGTGCTATGGAAGAACATCATGGGTCCTTGCTGGCTCGAAATCGAGGAGGCAGATTTTTCTGCAGTCAACAACGCCTCTTGGTGCAAGTTCGAGTGTCAAGTCTCTAAGCCAGCTTTGATCAGCCCTCTTCCGGACTCTGAAAACCTTGAAGCGCCGCCTCTCACGCTTATGAGTCTCTCGTTCCGTACACAGCTCAACGTCAAGGAGAACAAGCAGGAGATCCTTTTGGCGAGCGCAAGAGTCTACGAGAACGTTTCTCTCACGGATACCACGCCCCCAGATAAACTTCCTTGCAAGACCTTTACCGTCATGCGACCTTCTGGCTCTTCGTATCCCTTGGGCTTTGAGGTGGAGACGCGAAAGCAAAGAGGGACATTCATGTTGGAGAAGAGCGAGCAGTTCTTGCTCAGTAAATTCTTGGCCTTGTTCGAGAAGATGGATCCTGACGTTATTATGGGTCATCAATTACAAGAAGTTGACCTCAGCATCCTTCTCAGCAGAATGAAAGAGAAGAAGACCCCTGGTTGGCATCGAATTGGGCGGCTGAAACGTGGAGAATGGCCCAAGAACTTTAATAGGGGAGGTGGCTTCTTCGCTGAGAGACATCTGATTGCAGGAAGATTGATGTGCGATGTCGCGAATGACATGGGCAAGGCAAGTGCTAATATATTTCCATGCTGGGTCGCAGTTATACTAACAGTGTCTAGTCTCTGATGATGAAATGTCAGTCATGGAGTTTGACGGAGATGTGCGACCTCTATCTCGGACAAGGGAACACACGACAGGATCTAGACGTGGAGGCCGCCCTCAAAACGTGGGCGACGACCAAAGAGGGTCTCATGAACTTCGTCAACCATAATGACACTGACACCTACTTCATTGCTGCGCTAGTGCTCCGACTACAGATGTTGCCTCTGACAAAGATTCTGACGAATATCGCCGGTAATTCCTGGGCGCGAACTCTTAGCGGTACTCGTGCTGAACGCAACGAGTATATTTTGCTTCACGAGTTCCACCGCAACAAGTTCATCTGCCCTGACAAGTACTCTGGAAAACAGCAGCAAAGGATGGAAGAAAAGATGCAGGAAGGCGAGGATGACGACAATGTCGACAAGAAGAAGAAAGAGAAGTATAAGGGTGGTCTTGTCTTTGACCCCGAGAGGGGTCTGTATGACAGATTCATTCTGGTCATGGACTTCAACAGTTTGTATCCAAGTATCATACAGGAATACAACATTTGCTTTACGACGGTGGATCGCTCTGCAACGGTAAGACAAATTGGGTGTTTTTTTTGGCTGCTGAAAGTTGGGGACTGACAGACAACACACAGGCTGAAAATGAAAACGAGGAAAAAGTACCACAGGTCCCATCATCAGACCAGGAACAGGGTATTCTTCCCCGACTCATTGCAACACTCGTCGGTCGTCGACGAGAAGTGAAGAAATTGATGAAGGACAAGCGCGCCACTGCTGATCAGCTTGCACTGTGGGATACCAAACAGTTGGCCTTGAAGTTGACGGCAAACTCCATGTACGGTTGTTTGGGTTACACGCAAAGTCGATTCTATGCGCGACCCCTGGCCATGCTTACAACATTCAAGGGGCGTGAGATTCTTCGGAGCACCAGAGACCTGGCAGAATCAAAGCAACTTCGAGTCATCTATGGTGACACTGATTCAGTCATGATCAACACCAACATGGACAATATAAGTGATGCACTCAAGGTCGGTGAGGAGTTCAAGAAATCAGTCAACGAGAGGTACAAACTCTTGGAGATTGACATCGACAACATTTTCCGCCGCTTGCTGTTGCACGCGAAAAAGAAGTATGCCGCCATCAACATCACCGAAGTCGATGGCAAGTATGTGGACAAGCTGGAAGTCAAGGGTCTGGATATGAAGCGACGCGAATATTGCGCTTTATCCAAGGAGGTGTCCTCCAAGCTTTTGAATGAAGTGTTGTCCGGTGAGGACCAGGAGGTGGTTCTCAACAAAGTTCACGACTACTTGCGTGATCTCGCCAGCAAGATGAGAGAGCTGAGCATTCCGGTTCAAAAATACGTGATCTATACGGTACGCCCCCCCGTTCCCATTTATGAGCCTGCGAATCCGCGCTAAGCTATTGAAACAGAAACTTTCCAAGAGACCCGATGAATACCCGAATAAAGAAACATTGCCTCCGGCTCAGGTCGCTCTTCGAGAGATCGCACGAGGGAAAAACATCCGGCCGAACGATGTCATCGCATACATTGTCACCAACGGAGACAAGGACACGGCATCCCTGCCTCCCGCGAAGCGGTCATATACTCTCCAGGATGTGATGAAACCCGAATCGGGACTTGAACCCGACATCGAGTTTTATCTGCTCAAGCAGATCTTCCCACCGATTGAGCGTCTTTGTGCCCCAATTCCTGGGACAGATGCCGTTCGCTTGGCCGAGTGCCTTGGCCTCGACGTTCGCAAGTATCAAATCAACACGTCGCACACGAGCAGTCAGCAGAGCAACGAGATCTTCCCCTTGGAATCGCAGATTCCGGATTCGGTTCGGTTCCAGAGCGCAGCCAGACTCAGCTTGATCTGCCGATTCTGCAGAGAGAAGTCCACTTTTGAAGGTCTGGTTATTTCCTCACACATGTGCACGGCGCAAGGCCTGGTCTGCCCGAATCAGAGTTGCAAGAAACCCTTTGCCACGCTCTCGGTCATTGCGCAATTAGAAAGCCAGATTCGAGCCCAGACAGCCAAATACTACGAAGGTTGGCTGGTCTGCGATGACCCTGCCTGCGGGAACCGGACGCGCCAGATGAGCGTGTACGGGCACCGATGCCTTGGCCCCCGTGGACGCGCGGAAGGCTGTCTGGGCCGCATGTCCTATGAATATCCAGAAAAGCAGATGTACAACCAGCTACTTTACTTCGCCAGTCTCTGGGACGTGGACAAGGCCAAGACCGCAGCCGCCAAGGAGGCGGACCATGAGAGGAAGGATAGTCTGGCCGCCCTGGCGGAATTCAACCGGATCAGATTCGGTACGATGAAAGCAGTCGTCGATGGTTACCTGAAGAAATGTGGTAGACAATGGGTCGAGATGGATGGCCTGTTCCGCTTCATGTTAGCATAATGCCCTGGTGGCGAGCGCAGTTACACTTTGTACATACCTAGTAGTTTTTGATTTGGCTTTGAGGATAAGGATTGAATTGGCAATGGATAGGTCTAGATCGATTAGGGATCCCTTTTCAATGATGAATTGATATGTTTTATTTTCCTTTTCATTTTTATTTTTCCTTATATCTATTGTTTGTTGACTGTCCACCTGCTGTCCCACTTCTATCTCGGGAAGCTTATTTTTTTTTCGTATGAGGTTTAGTTTTGCATTCATTTCAACCCCCCCCTCTGCATCTGAACATCGACCGTTGGCTAGATCGGTTCACCATTGAGATATCGTCCGACTGCCTCGTTGTACAAATGTCAGGCAATATCATCAATTCGATGAAGCGGGTCCTGGTCATCGCAGGGTCCGATTCATCCGGCGGGGCGTATGTTTGATTGATCACCACCCCTCCTCCTCTACAAAACATATAGAAGTGATTTTGGCAATGCAAAGAATTTATCTCATTTGCTAATGTAAAATATCCAATAGCGGTCTCGAGGCTGACCAGCGTGTCCTTGCAACACATGGGTGTTACGCGCTTACCGCTACGACAGGCCTCACGGCCCAGAACACGCTGGGTGTGCAGGATATATTCGTCGTGCCGTCTGCGTTTGTACGGAAGCAGATCGATGCTGCGCTGGAGGATATCGGGGCCGATGTAGTGAAGCTAGGTAAGTTGGAAATTGGCTATAGAGATGCTAATATATTCTTTCTTTTGAATGTTACTAATGTGGTTTAGGGATGCTCTCCTGCGCTGAGACGGTGGATGTCATTGCGGAGGCTCTTATCGCGCATGGAGTGAAGAATGTGATATTAGATCCTGTATGTCTTGTCCTGTAGGCACCCTCGCCGTGCTTTTCTTTCTTTCTCATTCTGACGTTTCGATCCAGGTGATGGTGTCCACGAGCGGATCGCAATTGCTTCCCCAGGATGCGGTGGAAGGTGTCAGGAAGAAATTGCTTCCGCTGACGACAGTGGTGACGCCTAATATTCCCGAAGCGGAGCTGTTGCTCAAAGATGCTGGGATGGAGGTCACGGAGCCCGAGAACCTGCAAGAGATGATACAGCTCGCCAAGGAGATCAGCCGGCTAGGGCCTAAGAACGTTTTGCTGAAGGGTGGCCACTTGCCACTTACGAAGGAGCATAAAACTACCCAGAACCCCCAGGAGGCATCGATCGTTGTTGACGTTCTCTACGATGGCAAGGACATCACCCTGTTCGAGACCGAGTTCTTGAGATCAAAAAACACCCACGGTACAGGGTGCTCGCTCGCCTCTGCGATCGCAGCCAACCTCGCCCAGGGGAAGTCGTTGGAAAGAGCCGTGCGCAGTGCTGTGCGGTTTGTCGAGGCTGGAATCAAGACGAGCGTCAGTCTGGGTAAAGGGAGCGGACCGATCAATCACTTCCATTCCATGTACACGTTGCCTTTTGCACCGTATGTTCCTGCTGCATGGGTCTCCACAACTACCAGTGCGAATTGCTGACCCGATGGGAAATCTACAGAGGCCGGTTTGTCGAGTATGTTCTGGACCGCCCCGATGTTCGCAGGGTATGGGAGCGGTTCACAGAACATGAGTTTGTTGTCGGCTTGGGGAACGGAAACCTACCACTGGAGCGCTTCAAGTCGTACCTTGTGCAGGACTACCTATATCTCGTCAGTGATATATCTACATTCCACCAGGTAATTTCCGCGGTGTCTTACTGACACGGCATCAATCCAGGTTCATTTCGCCCGCAGCAACGCACTAGCAGCGTACAAGGGTCAAAATATGGAATCTATTGCTGCAGTAAGTTTTCTACAAACACTGTTTAGTGATGGAACAGAAATGGCGGCTGATACAACCTATAGTCTGCGAGGATTGTGCTACATATCGAACGAGAAACGGCCCTGCATCTGGACTACTGTGAATCATTTGGCCTGTCCAAGGAAGAGATGGAGAGACATCCTGAAACCGAAGGTATGCTCTTGAGATACCTAGCTTCATGCCCCTAAGTTGCTCACTTTTCAGCGTGCACCGCCTATAGTAGATATATCCTCGACGTGGGCCAGTCCGATGACTGGCTCGCCTTACAGATGGCCCTTGCCCCTTGTCTGATCGGGTACGGCGCCATCGCACAAAGACTATACGCGGAGAAAACAACGCTTCGTACAGGCAACAGGTACTGGAAATGGATCGAGAATTACACGGCCGATGACTATACCGAGGCGGTCCGCACGGGATCAGGTATTCAACCTTTCTCTCCTCAGGCCTTTCCCTTTTTCTGTGCAGCGGCTAACACATCCTCATCTAGCCCTCCTAGAAAAGCATCTCCCAAGTGTCTCACCAACCAGAGTGGAGGAGCTGATCCGGATTTTCATTCGAGCGACAGAGTTGGAGATAAACTTTTGGAACATGGGATTAGGTGGCGACCCCATGTAAAACCAGTTCGTGACAGAGCATGTCCTGGAAATGCTCAAAGCTCCCTATACATCAACATCATATAAACCATTTATGATCAGCACCTGCCGTCGACGCAAGAGTGTAGCAGTGAATGAACGCTTCACCGGCTTTTTTCAGGCACCAAGGCTGCCAGGAAGTCGCCGTAGTACGGTAACGTAATGTAATGGTATGGACCGTATGGCAAGCGCTAGCACGTGCTGGCCCTCTCATTGGCCCGACCGTCCCAACGCCGGCCTTTTTTTTCAGGCGCGCTCAGAGATTTTTTTCTCCGCCTGCCGTTTCTTGCGTTTTTTGCCTCCTGCCTGCTCTGACATACTTTTCTTTCCCTCATCCGCTCCGGCTCTTTTTTTCTTCGCCATCCTTCCTCCCTCCCTCTATCTCCCTTTCCCTGCGTCTGTGTATCTTTGTTTCATCGTCGGTGGACTGGACACTCTTTTCTTCCTTCCACCCTTTTCAAGTACTTAGGTACTCGACTTTACTCTCACTCTCTCAGACGTCCTCTTGTTGAGTTTCTGCTCTTCTCTAGAAAGACCGAAAGAAAAAAAAAACAACCAACAAACAAACACCAAAAAGTCATCAACCCGCCAGATTTCATCATGTCTTACGGAGGCGGTCATCGCGAGTCTTATCGGTAAGTACATATTTCTCGTCGTGATGCCTTTTTTTTTTCCGAAGTTTCTGGTGTCGTTTTGGGACGCTATCTATTTCGGTAAAAGGAGGCGTTCGGGCACCGACTGTCTGGGCGTTGGCCTGGTAAATTTCATGTCTTGAATTAGTATGAGAAACTAACTTGGTTTTTTGTATTCAGCTCCAGAAACAACGGCCATAACGATGGTGGCTACGGTGGTGGCTCCAACGGTTACCAGGGCGGCGGCGGCTACGGAGGTGGTGGTGGTGGTGGTGGTTACGGCGGTAGAGGTGGCGGCTATGGCGGCGGTAGTGGTGACCGCATGTCTAACCTCGGCGCTGGCTTGAAGAACCAGGAATGGGGTAGGTGCAACTCTTCATGGCAGACCAACAATTACCGTATCGCTAACGATTTTGTGTCATTAGATCTTTCCACTCTTCCCAAGTTTGAGAAGTCTTTCTACAAGGAGCACGAGAATGTCACCAACCGCACCAGCCGCGAGATCGACGAGTTCCGCAAGAAGCACGAGATGGTTGTCCAGGGCAAGGACGTTCCTCGTCCTGTCGAGACCTTTGATGAGGCTGGCTTCCCGCAGTACGTCCTCGGCGAGGTCAAGGCTCAAGGGTTTGAGCGCCCGACTGCCATCCAGGCTCAGGGCTGGCCCATGGCCTTGTCGGGACGTGACGTCGTTGGTATCGCCGAAACTGGTTCCGGAAAGACTCTTACCTACTGCCTTCCTGCTATTGTTCACATCAACGCCCAGCCCCTGCTGGCTCCCGGGGACGGTCCCATTGTCCTCATCCTGGCCCCGACTCGTGAGCTTGCCGTACAGATCCAGGTCGAGATTTCCAAATTCGGACGCTCTTCCCGTATCCGCAACACCTGTGTCTACGGTGGTGTTCCTAAGGGCCCCCAGATCCGTGACCTGAGCCGTGGTGTCGAAGTGTGCATTGCTACCCCTGGTCGTTTGATCGATATGCTGGAGGCCGGTCGCACCAACCTTCGTCGTGTCACTTACCTTGTGCTCGACGAGGCGGATCGCATGCTTGACATGGGTTTCGAGCCCCAGATCCGCAAGATCATCTCCCAGATTCGTCCTGACAGACAAACCTGCATGTGGTCGGCGACCTGGCCCAAGGAGGTTCGCCAGCTTGCCTCGGACTTCCTGAACGACTGGATTCAGGTCAACATTGGTTCCATGGACCTGTCCGCTAACCACAGAATCACACAAATCGTCGAGGTCGTTTCAGAATTTGAGAAGCGCGACCGGATGGTCAAGCACCTTGAGAAGATCATGGAGGATCGTAGCAACAAGTTGCTGATCTTCACTGGCACCAAGCGCATTGCTGACGAAATCACTCGTTTCCTTCGCCAGGATGGCTGGCCCGCACTCTGTATGTTTTCCCCTCCCCATTTTTCATGTTCATATTGCTTTCCCCTCGGATTCAGCTAACACGGTCATTTAGCTATTCACGGCGACAAGCAACAGAACGAAAGAGATTGGGTCTTGAACGAGTTCAAGGCGGGCAAGAGCCCAATCATGGTGGCCACCGACGTGGCTTCCCGTGGTATCGGTATGATTAAAATGCGACCCCTCTTCCCCTTTCTCCCCCTTCTCTCCCTATGATAGTGAGCCCCTCACCCGTATTGACGTTGTGTGACCATGGCACGGTGCTTGACTCTGTCTTGAAAAAAAAAAAAAGGAAACAGCCACTTCGCCTACCTTGGTGAACATGATCCGTTCAGGATTATCAGGTCTTCTTGATTGGTTATCATGCCAAGGAGGGCCTTGGAACTCACAATGCAGTGTAGCAGACGTATCTTGTGATTACCCAGTTCTACCTCACAGCCTGGGTAGAGAGATTGCGTCTCTTCTTTCATGTTTCGACTCGTTTTGAAACTGCATTCCAAGGTCACTCTAGGACCAACGATGGCTGCCACACTTTGGATTCGCTCCAATGGATTTCATGATGACAGAGTCCACTAAGAGTGATGCATCAAGTCGCACACGACTGAGAAATGGGCCCCAGGCCGCTTTTGCTTTACCCTATTGCTCTGTTTGCTAACATACCCTTTTTCTTGTCTGAAGATGTTCGCGACATCACTCATGTGCTAAACTATGACTACCCCAACAACTCGGAGGACTACGTTCACCGTATCGGTCGAACTGGTCGTGCTGGTGCCAAGGGAACTGCCATTACCTTCTTCACCACTGACAGTATGCTTCCATCCCCCCCACCCTTCTGGAGGCTCATCATCTTGCTAACATATCGCAACAGATGCTAAACAAGCTCGTGACTTGCTCACTATTCTCACTGAGGCCAAGCAGCAGATTGACCCCCGTCTCGCCGAGATGGGTCGTTATAGCGGCGGCGGCGGCCACCACGGTGGCCACGGTCGCTGGGGTGGTGGCCGTGGTCGTGGCCGTGGCGGTGGTTACACTGCTTCCAACGCTGCTCCTCTCGGCAACAACCGCCGCTGGTAGAATGGCTTCGAGCCTGTATACTTTTCATGTGTCTGAACCTGGTAGACCTCTTTTTTTTCTCCCCCTCATTTCCCTTGCTTCAAGTTTCAGTATGGGCGGCGTTCATCGATGTTACTACCATAGACTGTTCTCCGAGTCGCCCTTGGCTCATGGAGCTTTTTAACGTGTCCGCAGATTATTCGCATCCATGTCCCAGGTTATGATCGTTCTGTCAAAGTTTTAGAAGCTTTTTTTTTCTCTATTTGATAATGTTCTTTTCCCTTTGTGGACTCCCACATGTTAATTTATTTATTTCCAAAAGTGTGATTCGCCCATTAATTTACTGGTCTCTTGGGGGTGGAAAAGAAAAGTGCGAGGCAAATTGCATATGGATATTGATGCATGTTCTTCTGAGGAGTCTGCCTGTCTGTCTATCCTTGATAATAAATACAGTCTTTACATATCCAAGTCATCACCTACTTATGTAGTAATGTACAAGATACCCGAGTTGTTATAGAATGTACCTAGTAGATACCTAGCCAAGTAGTTAGTTTTACCACTTGGTTCCCTACCACCAACTCTTGCCCGGCCGGCGCCAACCTGTTCAAGGCAAAGCGACCGAAGCTTCGATGAGTTGTCAATGAATTAACTTTGCTTTAAACTTGCCAGTCTCCACAGAACAGTAGTAACTGTAAGTTACTAGGTAGTATACAATACGAGTTGAATCCAGATACGACCGGCGAGATTTCGGCGGCTATCGTGGAGATAGATAGGTTAGGGAGATGACTAACTAATTAACTAGTTAGTCTCTATCCACAGTTGTCCAGGCGGAAGGCTGCCGTAGTTCCGGTTCCCTACCTTGGGTCACGTACGGAGCACCTACTCCGTAGAGGAGGTACTTGAGGTCTGTACGAAGGGACCAATTACTCTGCTGATAATTGGTGCATAAAAGATGGCGTGATCTTAATCCCTCACTCGGAGGATTTCTTGAAGCAGTAAGTAGTAGTAGTAGGTTGGGTTGGTTGACGAGTTCTCGCTTAACTTAATACTTTGTTGTTAGTGAATTGCGGAGTAGCTACAACCAGTTCCTGTGATGAGCACTTTAGTTACCTAGGGACTGCCAGGATCACTAGGATGTACTCCGTATACTCTGTAGTAGTTAACTAGTTGGTTACTAACTAAGTACTTCTCAGTGTTCAGTTCGAGTCAGATTCATGACTGTACTATGTACTCCGTAAGTCCGGCCTGTGGACCTGAACTCCACCGTGGGTCGCGCAGACTCGCAGGACTAACTATAAGTAGTGTGATGGAGAGAGAGAGAGATCATGGAGGGAGATACTGGTGGTAGATGTTGATACTATGTAGTACTTAGTTACTGCATATGTAGTAGATGCTAAAGCAAGTATTTCTTATTGGAGGTATGGAAGTTAGTAGGACGCCAGAACGGCCGAAGAATATGCATAGAATAGGTGTACTACTAGGGGAGTAGCAGAGTACGGACAAGAACTCTATGAGTAGGTACTGGAGGTACAGACAGGGTGTTCTATCCTCCCTATACTCCGTGCTCCGTACTGAGATACCCCTATTGAGGTGGGTCATTACATCAATAGATACCTACCTACTTATCAAGACAGTGAAGATACCAGGTACCTTGTCTACAGAGTACTCCGTAGCAATAGATAATACCTAGAGGTACGGGGTACTTAGGTATCTAAGGTATTATTTATTCTTACACAATACTAGTGGGGGAGTATTCCTTGATAAAGTTGGACACTAGTAAATGAATTGAAATGTCATCTTTCTGCCCTGACATCCCATCTCAGATGATACTACTACATAATTAGTATGGGTGACACGATCTGAGATTCAGTCTGAGCGCATTGATATGTACTATAGTTAGTACTACATAGATGGAACAATTGAGCTCCATACGGAGTTAGGTAACCAACATACATTACCCGTACCAATATTACAATAAACATCGTGTGCTCCACATCGGAAACCGTCGGCTCGAGGGTGAGCTTTATAAGAGACGAATCGGAGAGTCCGCCCGAGACTAGGGTCCGTCCGTAGCAGTTTTAGGTGCCTGCCTAGTATGGTAGTTGGTAGAACCTAGGTTCAAGTACGGAGTGGTTAGTACCTGGTACGAGTACCAGAATATACCGTACTTAGGTACCTAGGTACGAGTACTCAGGAGATAGTATTATTTAGATTAATGATAAAAATGAGCGATTAGATTACCAGGAAGGTATAATATTATTATATTATATTATTATATATATTTAAAAGTATATTTTAGTGGAAATTAGTCAAGTACAGTATGTAGTAATGTCACCTGAGGATTGGTGTCCCACGTGGACGCAAAAGAGGCAGGCTTGACGCGTCGCTAGTCCGACTGCAGGAAGGAGCAAGTACCCTGGTAGGTACGACCTTGTCGATTCCCACGGGACTGGTGACTCGCCTGGAAGGATTCGCTTCATGCATGAGTCTCTATTCGGAAGTGACAAGTATGCAGTACTTGAAGTACTACATACTAACTACATAGGTAGTTATGTAGTACCTATGTAGTAGGTAGTTACTAGGTAGTAATGATTCTACAATCGACACTTCCAGAGTATACGGAGTAGCTACTAACTAGTTAGTAGCTTGACAGGTGTATCATAAAGTCTGGACTCAAGGGGTAGCTAGTAGCTACTAACTAAATATTAGTTACAGATGTCTAGCTCTACAATTACAGACCAATTGCATGTCTTGATGAATTAACCCTGAATAAGCATTACTCATGAATAATTGCAGAGTACCATCATAATTATTCCCTATGCTGTATAGTGTATACTGTACCTAACTCCGTACTGTCTGCCTCCTAACAAGGATGCATGCAACATCAGAGGCATGCCCCCTTTTCCCTTTGCACAAGGAAAACCCACTTTCCACCCGGAGTATTACCGGTCCTCCGCCCGATAACCCCTTGACAGCTGGACAGAGTACGGAGTGCCTAATAATGCCTTTATAATTGTCCAACCGATCTTGCGAATCACGATGATTATTATTGTTCTGGTGGAGGGGACAATTTTACACAGGCGTACTCCGTACCTCGTAGGTGGAGGACGGAATAACGGAAGTGGAGGTATCGGATACACTTTACCATACGGAGTACGTAACTTTCTCATAGGATTACTCGAGTACCTACTAAGGTACCTACTCCGGAGGTAGGTAGTACCTAGATATTCTCAAAGACATAAGACAAGTACCCCAGGTTTACTCTGTAAGCATATCGACTAGTTACTACATAAAATATAACCGACTACTGACTCGTATTGACCAAGTGCTGACTGTTTATCTTTGTTGTTGTTGTTGACAGACGCGTGCCTGAGGAGTACGTACCTCGACCATAATTACGCGCTCCGTACGGAAGAAACCTGTTACGCGGCATACCCGTTCCAACCACGAAACTAATACCATTTAGACTTGCCTTAGTAGCAGGCAGCTAACCCGGATAGGATAGAGATTAGACTGCTCTGCTATCATCACCAGTGGAGCCTTGGTAGTATATATGTAGGATGTAGTATGAACAAAAAACAGATTAGATGGACTGGAATCTGCCGATTCGAGCAGGGTCAGCACGCCCCAACGGGAGTACCCAGTAGTAGCTACCAGTAGTCTTGGAGAGGGGAAAGGTCCACGGGTGGTTCTGTACAGTCCGTACTTACAGAACCCAGTACCAACACAACACTCCCATGTAATAATCATGTATGCATTCCCTCGTTCTCCCTTTTCCCACCAGTTGCAGGCTCTTTTCCCTTTCCCCCCCCTCCACTTCCACACTACCTAGTGCACACCCTGGTCTCACTTTCTCCTCTATCCATCAACTATCAGTTTCCTCCGTATCTATGGAGTAAACCACGTAACTACAGGACAAGAAATCCAGTGTGATTTATATTATCTCCCCTCTCAGACCCCACTCCTGGGCTTTTCCTTGTCTGTCATCCTTCGGAAAACACGCTCTGAACTCTCATCATTTCTGAAAAAGAAGTGATTATTATCCAATACTCTTTATCATCATCACCGATTGTTATCATCGTTCCCGGCACCCTCTAATCTTAACCTGGCTTAGTCGGTCCACTAGCTTAGGTACCTCCCTCCCTCTCTCTCTTCACTAGGGGCCGCCCTAAGCCCATCTCAGCCTACGCTCTCACGCCGTTCCTCGGACACACCTTGTTGACTCCCTCTCGTTGGCTCGCGCTTTTCGCAAAGGTTTCTTCTGATTTGTCCTGCGAATTTCACGTCAGAAGAAAAAAAGAATCATAATAATCAAAATCAACCCTCGCCCGGTACCGGTACTCCGTTAGTACCTTACGGAGTGGAAGCGTCCATCCTGCCGTGCCTGTTACAGGTGTTGCGTACGCGCTAGGTTCACCACCGTCTCCTTTTCCCCCCTCCCCCCCCCTTGACGCGCGCACCGCCCGGTCCCGAGTTGCGGGTAGACTATCAGGGCTCTAAAATCGTTCCCAAGCTCGCGTCTATCAGAGCCTCTTCAGTACTACATACTGGTGGTACTGGTAGTTACTTACTAAGGTACCTACTACCTCCAGAAATATTTGGCGAAATCTCTAACAGACAAGAATTTGTCTGAAAAGGGGATCCGACTTTGCCACTCAGCGACCAGAAGACAGAAAAAAAAAAAAAAAAAAAAAAAAAAAAACAGGGAAAGCTTAGCCGGTAATAATAATCAAAACAGCACGACTTCAGTACGGAATAAGGTGGCTACTAGCTCCGTACCCTCCGTACCCTACCTATTCAGGTACCAACCATTTTACCATACCCGTACCTACTGAGGGGAAGGGGGGGCTAAAGACAATAATATTTGATATTGCTTGATTCTTTTGAGTGGGTCGTGGGATTGATTCCCTCGCAAAAGAGGAAAACTTGTCACCGCAAAAACCTCCGCTCAGCCAATCACAGCCTCGCCACACCACCACCTCTCTCACTCTCTCTCTCACTCTCACTCTCACGCTCTCGCTGTGTCTTGACTCTTGGAGGTCTCCAGGGCTCTCACTCCCCCCTCTCCCAGAGCTCTATTACTACATAGTATTTTGTCGTTTTTTTTTTTTCCTTTTTTCCTTTTTTCTTTTTTTCTTTTTTTTTTATCCTGTTCTTTTCTTTTCTATTCCTTTCTTTCCATTCCCTGCTTTCTCTCTTTTATTTTGTTCCCGCACCAAAATTACGGGCTCCACGGGTCGTGGTTTTTCAACTGTCTCCACCACACCCTCGGATCCCACGAGGTTCTCCTGCTCGCTGGCAACTGCTGCGACTGCGCAGCCTTTTTTTGAGGCCCGCCCGCCCGCCCAACTTCTCTTAGTCTCCTGGTCCTCGCCCTTCCCCTTTCCGTGACAAGTGCCGCCGTCGGACCCAAGTCGAACCATTACTTTCCGTCGCCGTCTTTTAGGGTCAAAAACCAACCGCGTTGCCACGATCGAGGCTTCCGTCTTTTTTTCTGCACTACTTGCACGACTAGTCCAGGCATCTTGGCCTTCTGTTTCCCCGTCCGTCCCTTTTTTTTTTTTTTTTTTTTTTTTTTTTTTTTTACCTCCCTCTTCCTCCCTCTCCTCCCCTCCCGCCGGTTCCTCGTGCTGGTTCTTGCTGGCCGCCACCTGCAAGGCATCCTCCGTCCGGCCTAAGTGCGAACTAGGACGATTAAGCACCACGCTGTGCCAGCACCGCACCTCTACTATTCCCCCCCCCTCCCCCCCACCCCGGACACTTCGCCTGGACTATCCCATCACCGCGTGTCTCTTGTCTGTCTGTGTGTGGCAGCTTAAGCTTCAATTCAAGTCCCGTGTGTGACGCGCCGATCGCCTGGTTCCCTCTATTTTTTTTCACCTTCACCACCACCAGTCTTATTATTATTATTACTATTTATTATTTTTTTTCTCTGCTTCATTGCGGGAAGGGAAAGAATATTAAATAAATAATATTAATAATAATAATAATCCTACCACGATCGCCCTTTGGCGCGCGAGATCGACCGCGACGTTTTTGTCACACCCCCCCCCCCCCCCCTCACACAGTACGTTCCTATCAAAACAGCCGGCTCGCCACAGTCGAGGTCACCGTGGCGAGGACTTCCCATTCCCTGCTCTCTTCTCTGGCTACAGAAAAATAAGACTGAACGTCGGTCGCTCAATTGAGCCTGGGGTACCTCGTTTTGAACTGTGAATCGAAGCTCATTGTGTTCTCCACGACGCGTTTTATAGACCAGGTTTACGCGCAGGAAAAGCATCAGACACATAAGAGGAGAATCAATTGGAAAAGAAACAAGAAAAACACACACAAAAAAAAAGGTACCTGCAACTTTTCCATTATATGGACACCAGGCCTCCGTCGGAGTACGCGCAGTCAGGTTCGCAGTTTCTGAAATCACCATCTCCTGCCACGACCCATTCTGAATACCCAGCTGCAGACCAGGCTTCTGCTGCTGCCACTGCTCAATATACGCCGCAACCCGAGGTGCGATCGTCCTCCCAGTACACGCCCCAGCCCGAGGTGCGCTCCGCGAACAACACGCCGCAATCGGAGTACGGCCTGAACCAGCCGGCCTCGACGCGCTCGCCCGCCTATCCCGAATACCTTGCCCGCCCGCCCCAATACCACCACGCGCCCAGCTCGCAAGCCGGTGGCGCGGCAGGTATGGCTCAAGCAACAAGTCCGTCCTTGTCCACCCTGCATCATGATCATCATCATCATCACCATCATCATCATGATGGGCAGCAAGATGACCATCATCAACGCAATCCCTCGATCGTAAAGTCTGACGCGGGCCTTGTTCCTATAGATCCCTCCATCGCGGCCTCCTCCCCGACCTACCCGCCCCCTTACTCGCCCTACCAACCCCAGGGCCATGACATGTCGCAGTACCAGGGTCACCCGCCTCCCGGCCCCCAGATGTATGCCCGTCCCGAATGGCCTCATGGCTACCCCCAGCATCAACACGGCTTGCCGGGGCCTTACTCCTCTCCTGCCACTACGGTTGGTTCCACCTCCCCTACCGCGACCCCAGGGCCGCACCCTGGTCAGGTATGTCTTTGGGTGATTCTGGCTATCGCTGTTTTGCTTTGCTTGGGCCCAGGACAGCTTTTTTTTTTTCTTTTTCTTTTTACTTTTTTTTTTTTTCCTGCATTACAATTTCTGCATTGCAATTCTGACAGTATGATTAGGTCTACTCCTTTGTTCCCATTCCTGGCGCTCAACAGCACAAGCGTCCCCGTCGTCGGTATGAAGAAATCGAGCGCATGTACAAGTGCGGGTGGAACGGCTGCGAAAAGGCTTACGGCACCCTCAACCACCTGAACGCTCACGTGACGATGCAGTCGCATGGTGCGAAGCGAACTCCTGAAGGTATTCTCTCTCTCTCTCTCTCTCTCTCTCTCCTTTGCACACACACACACTCGCACTCTATAGTTGTGGTTGTCGCAAATAGCCAGATTCGGCTAGCGCGCGCCATGTGTCCCGCTCCCACTAGTCGAGTTACACAGCCTGTTTTTTATTTTTCTAGTCTTGTTATTTTGGCTCGTGGGACCGCAGTAGCGCGAGAGCCGGCGTTGAGGTTAAAATCACTTCCTCTTCCTTCTCATCCATTGCTTATCCCCCCCCCCATCATACTCTTCACTGTTCTTGCTACTAATTTCTTAGAATTCAAGGAGATCCGGAAGGAATGGAAGGCGCGCAAGAAGGAGGAAGAAGCCCAGCGCAAGGCGGCCGAGGAGCGTGAGCGTGCCGCTGCTGCCCAGGCCGCCCAGGCCAACCAGGTCGAAGCCGGCGGGCCGACCGATCCTTCCCAGGGGGCGCAACCTCCCTCCTACGCGGGCGGCGTGCGGCCTCAGTTGCCTCCCATCGGATACCAGCCGGCCGACGGCCAAGTGCCCGGCCAGTACAGCGCCCCGGGGGCTGGCGGCATGGTCTATCAGGGTAACGGACAAATGGCTTATCCTCCCAACTACCCCCATTCTCCCTATGGACAGGGCAGCCAAGTGTACCAGCAACGTTAGTCTTCTCACTCTAGTATGTTTTTGTTTTTGTTTTTTTTTCATAATAACTGATGAAACCAGAGAGTCAATCGAGCAACTACCCACAATAAAACATGACGAGGACGGCCGTGATCGTATGTGGGCATCATTAATCACCACCCCCCCCCCCCCCCCCTTTTTTTTTTTTTCCCTTTTTCTTCTTTGCAACCACTCTCCCGCCTCGGATTCTCGTCAAGTCTCGCGCAAACATAATACCATTTTCGGAGAAAGCGTCTTGTTATTCCCCCCAATCAACCGAGTGGCCTCTGTGAATTTCTTTCCCTTTTTTTGTTTTTCTTTTTCTATGTCCAAAAGGAGGAGGAGAGGGGAAGGGAAAGCGACTGCGTTAGATATCACACACGGAGGAGAGCGAAATGGGTAAGGGGGAAAAAAAACCATTCGATACCTACTGGCTGCTGGAATTTGATGCGGGATGATTAAGTCTGGCTGCCGCATGCTGTGCTTGCCTCGAAGTCATATCTTTCTCTCCCTCCATTTTTTGTCTTTTTTTTTTTCCCTTTTGTCATGTTATGTGTATTCTTTATTCCTTTCCTCAATGTCCTTTTTTTTTTCATATCATCATGTTACCCTGATCTGAAGTTTTTTTATTCTCCTTATTGAGCTCCTCTTTTATTGGCTGTGTGTGCTTTGTTCCTCCCCCCTTCTATTTTCTGACTATTATTGACCCTAGTGGTCTGGAGGCGGACAGTGGTCTGGTGTGGCTCACTTGCCGAAATTTATCCATTTCTTATATTTCTTTCGCCTAGAAGTAGAGGGTATATGCCATACCATACAGACTGGATGAAGTGATGCATCAATTGTATGTAGCATACCTAAGGTATATACAGTAGTACCTACCTAGTGTATCCTTGGTGGTTCAGTACTTGTATGGTACATACAGGTAGACTAGCATTTGTACCAGTACTCGGTACAGTTAGTATAGGCACTACTAGGGCACCTAGTTAGTAGGAGGAAACCGGTTAGGTACTTAGTACTTTAGTAGGTACCTGACTAGTTACCTTAGGTACCTGTCAACCCCACGTATCCATCTAGTGAGCCAAGGAAGCGAGGAGCACACATACTACATAGGTACCTAGGTACTACTTACATACCTAGGCAGGGACCTAGTACTAAGCACTAGGTAGGTGGCTCGAACCAGGGTCCAGGAGTCATTCCATAAACGGCCGCTAGCCTGTTCGACTCTAGTCTACGGAATGTATATGTAGTACAACTGAAGCATACGGCTAGTAAATTGTATCCAAGATGTCATCGGAGGTTAAGCTTAACGAAGACTAGATTGAATTAGGAAGGTGAGGACTTGGCTGTAGGATAGGTGTGCAAACAGCAAACAATGCAAACAGCAAATAGTGCAAATAGTGCAAACAGCAAACAATGAATGCGGTATCACTTGGCAGAAATATCAATTATCGTGCTAGATAGGACTACCTATCTACTGCTATTACTTACTGCTATTATACTCATTCTCACTTTGCCCTTACAATACTCTAATGCAATGATACGAGGCGTGTGCAGGGTTCTCGCGTTATCGCGCAGAACGCGAGTGCCTGCTCTCGTGGGTCCTCGATTGCGGCCGGTCCTGTCGACAGGGTTCCAGCTGAGATTGAATTCTACGAGTACGGGGGGATCATTCATTGGAAATGCAGTCAGACAGACGGAGAACTCTTTAGATTGGGAGAAATCGTTGGATTTGGAGAACTCTTCAGACTGGGAAAAATCGTTAGATTTGGAGAACTCTTCAGACTGGGAGAACTCTCTAGATCCGATGAAGGAAGAGAAGGAGGAGGAAGAAGAGGAAGAAGAGGAAGAAGAGGAAGAAGAAAGCGAGTCACCCAAAGAGCAGGCTCTGCGTGTGCTCGAAACCGAGGTCTCACGCAAGGTCGTCAACATGGAACTACGGTGGTTGAAGGACCCGCGCGCCCTGGCAGATCGGGTGGCGCGACTGCTGCTGGGCGAGGAGCTGCCGCTGGCTGTTGCCTTGGTGCGGACGGCGCACAAGGAAGGCATCGAGTCTTCCGTTGCGTGGAACCATATCCTTGACCATTTGATGGGCACGGAGAGGCCGTTCCTGGCGTGGAGGTTATACAACGATGTACTTTCTTTTTTTTCTTTTCCTTTTCTTCTCCTCTTTCATGTGTTCTGGACGGGGGTTAACCTTTTTAGATGAAAAAACGGCAGAAAGCTCCTACGTCGCGAACATACACGATCATGCTGGATGGGTTAAGCAAGGCGAAGCGGGAAAAGAAGAAAGGAACCATCGATCCCGTGCGCACGGCGTACACGATCTACCAGTCGATCTTTGCGCCCAATTCGCCCGTCAAGCCGCATATCATCCACAGCAACGCGATGCTTAACGTCTGCCGCTGCCATGACGATATGTATACCATGTGGAAGGTTGCGGGCAGTCTGCCCGAGGAAGGGCCGGGGGCGCCGGATGCATCCACCTATACCATCATCTTCAAGGCGATCATCGAGTCGACGCGCAAGGAGATCGGCGCCATGCCGCCCAACCGCATGGACCTGGTCCTCGCTAAGAAGGCGCACGGCGTCGCCGAGGCGAAACGCGTCTGGTCCGACGTGATCTACCGCTGGAAGCGCGGCGGCCTCGTGCTTGACAACATGCTCGTCAACGCTGTCGCGCGCTTGCTCCTCGAGGGGTCCAGTCCGCGCGACGTCTACGATCTATTTCGCTTGTTCCATCAGACTGCGGGCATCCCCATTTTTCCCAAGGAGCCGCCGGAAGATAAGTCGTCCCCGCAGTTGGACACGTCTACCAACAACTCCTCATCCCCAAAATACAACCGGGATGTGGCTGCGGCGGCTCTAGATCATATTCCCTTTGTTCCCGAGGACGCACATCTTCTGGCAGAAGATAAAGAGTCTCCTGAAAAGAAGGAGGAGGAGGAGGAGGAGGAGGAGGAGGTCGAGGACGAAGAGAACTTTGAGAACCTCTTCGAGCCCGTGGACTCGTACCCCCCGCAGATCGAGATCGGGAACAGAGACCTGTCCATCATTCTGGATGCCTGTGCCAACATGGACCAGGGTGTTGGCGTGGGGAAGGATTACTGGCGCTATTTCACAAAGGAGGACAACGACCACAACGTCCAACCGGACTCGCACTCCTTCCATCAGTACCTGCGGCTGTTGCGGGTGGCGCGCTCGAGTCGTGAGACGCTGCACATTGTGCGCGACCAGATCGTGCCCGGCGGCCTGGCAGAGCGGAAGACGTTCTTCATTGCGCTTTCTTGCTGCCGCCGGGACCGCAAGAACATGAACGTCTTCAAGAACGCCAGCGAGCTGATCGAGCTCATGGATGCAGCGCTCCCCTTGCCCGACCCGCGCGCTCTTCAGCACTACCTGGAAATGGTCAACTTCTTCCTGAAAAACCCATCGGATCTCATGTCCCTGAGCGGCATCGCCTCCGAGGACAAACCGCGCCAGTCGCTCCTGGCGCGAAGCAACTGCATGCAGCTGGAGCTCCGCAAGGCTGCGGCGCGCACCCTGCAGCCGATCATCACCAAACTCGACCTCGCCATGTCCGCCTCCCTGACCGAACCTGCTTTGGACGCTCGCCTCGCCGAGAAATTCCAGAAAGCGGCGGTTGCCGGCCACCACGTGCTCAATGCCCTCATCAAAACCCGCGCTCTCGTGGATGGCATCTTCAAGACCCCGTCCGGCGGCGGTAAAGTTCGCCTGGCAAAGACGGACCGGCTCCTCTTCGAAGATATCAGAGACCGACTGCGCAAGTACTCTGCGGCCGGCATGGCGGACCGTTTTGCCGCCACCCTGGTCTTTCCCACATGGGAGCAGCGCAAAACCTTTCGCGAAAATCATCCCCGGTCCAGGGTTTATGACCGTGTGCCGGACAGGTGGAGTTCGAGGCAGTAGTCGATTGCATTAACTAGCTTGGATTTGTACATCCTTTACACTCGTGTATGTATATTGCATATTGGCGTTCTTTCTGAGACCATCTTGCCTGTGTATCATCTATAGATTTTTTCGTCTTTTCCGTCTATTTCGTCTTGATTATGGCTGGTGTACATTAGTGGTTTTGACATCTCTACTTATTGATACCAACTATCTACCGTGTACCTTTCTACTTATGAATTATAAAAATACTGTTCTACATTTATTGGAATTTACCTCAATAAATACTAGAGTATTACTACATAAGTAATTACCAGTTTGTCGTAACTATGTAGTATTTATTATGGTGACGCGTAGGCGGGACATGAGACGGACGGAGTAATGCCATTATGCCACTCTAGCCTCTCCCGGACAGCTCTGGATGCTTGGCCTGGAGGCAACATCCACCACCACCACCACTCTCGATCAGAACTTCGATGCTCTAGCATTAGCAATCAAGATCTCAAAAGAGAAAAAAAGAGAATCCATCAAGAAAACAGACAGCATGGCGATGATGGCCAGTGGAGCGCAGAGCTCTGCGTACGGCGCACTCCGGGAGGACGACGAGTCGATTCTGGACGACGACCTGATTGATGCAGATGATGGTGAGAGAATCTACTCTATCCTTTATTATATACGACAAATATATATATATATATATACGGCTACTAACAAGACAGCCATCGAAGCGGACGATCCCTTACACGAGCCATCCGACACGGCGCCACTACGAGGCAACATCCAAGGACCGTTACGAGGCAGCGGCAGCGGCAGCGGCAGCGGCAGTAACAACGATCGCGGCGATTTCTCAGCGAATTACCTTACCTCTTCGATTCCCGGGGAGGACCGGCGCGCGACGCAGAACACCATCGACGAGACGGTATGGGAGACGGTGTCGCGCGACCTGCTGGCTGTGTGGGAGAAGCTGCGCCAGGTCCTGTGGCCCAAGTATCTGATGGGTGGGATGTTGCAGCGCGGCGGCGGAGGGATTGGGGGTGCGGCGGAACGCGGCGAGGTCACCACGGGGGCTGGGCGTGGTCTGCGTGGTCTTGTCGGTCGTTGGCCTGACGCAGATGTTGTTTTACAGGGGGGGATGAGCGAGGGGCTTCGTGACTGGGATCTCTGGTATCTTCTTCTTCTTCTTCTTCTTCTTCTTCTTCTTCTTCTTCTCTCTGTGTCCATTGCTAATCTTTAGGGGCCCTCTCATTTTCTGTCTCCTGCTGAGCTTGTTCCTCTCGATGCGGGCAAAGGGAGAACAAGTCTCGCTGGTCTTCTCGGGCGTGTTTTCCCTCGTGTGGATCGGAGAAGCGGTGGTCACCTTGCAGATCAAGCTGCTGGGCGGGAATATGTATGGAATCATGGAAATCTTATCTACCCAGCGCGAGAGCGTTATGTGACTACCAGATGCATTACTAACTGACTCCCAGTTCTTTCTTCCAGTCCGTCTGCATCATCGGCTACACCATCTTCCCTCTCGTCATCGCCGCCCTTCTCAGCGCGCTGGGTCTCCCCGTCATCGCTCGCATCCCCGTTGATATCGTGCTCGTGGCATGGTCGCTGGCCGCGGGCGTCAGCATCCTCGGCGGCTCCGGCGTGCTCAAGAACCGGGTGGGCATTGCGGTGTACCCATTGTTCGTCTTCTATGTGGCAATCGGGTGCCTCTGTTTCATCAGTTGAATATACCTGGGCTTGCGCGACGGGTGTTTTGTGTCATTCTTTCCGGGAATCATGCCAGAGCCCTGGATCCCAACCAAGTAGCTTTCTATGCCAAAACTTGCCAGTTCTGTAGATTTCCTAGCCTTTACAATCATCCGATTTATCGCTTTCCTTCGCACTGCAATCCAATTCAATCCAATTCAATCGTAGAGCCTTGCCTGCCCAACGAACCCCGGGCGGGCTTTCGCTGTTGGCGGCGGGGTGGAGCGAGCGGTGACCGGGCGACAGTAGCAAGTCCGGCACGAACAACACAGCAGAGCCAGCCCAGCCCGGCGCCTGCATCGTTTGAAGCCTTGCTCCCTCTTCGCTTAGGGAATTAACTGTCGACTGCCTCACCAACTCGTGGTGTATCTTTCGCTCAGAGCTTTATTCTTTTTTTTTTCCCCTTGTCTTTTTTCTTCTTCTCTTGCTGAAAGAGGTGGTTTGCTCGTTACTCTCTCGTAACCCACCGTTCGCAGGAAGCTCTCGCTTTCTTCTGGGCCCTGTCCCTCCCGAAGCTTGGGACGACACAATCCACCTCGACTCGAACCTTCAACCCTGGACGAAATCCGTGAGAGCCTTGCGTCTTGGCCGAGCTGGATACCGTTGGTTTTCTCTTGTATGTCGTATTCCTCCCCCCTCCCTCCCTCCATCGCCTCCCTCACCTTTCCCCCACTATCGTCATTGTCAGACGGTATCTTCCCTTCAGACGCCGGCCGTGGCGTGACTGACGGCTGCGTGCATATTCTCGCTGGACAGCCCTCGGTTAGATGGAGGAGGGGTGGGGGGTGTCTCGTCTGAGATGGGTACTAGTTAAGGTACTATACAAGATCTTAGCTAACCTAGTTGATCTTATAGTTAGGGACTGTCTCGCCTCGGGGTTTTCCAGTTTTCGAGCCTGTTGGCCTGCCTTAGTCGTGCCGTTTTGATAAGCAACGCCATCTCTCCCAGGTCGATCTTTCTTGCTCCCCTCTTTCTATTTCGCTCGGTGAGAGCTTCACGCTTGATAATCAAGACAATTTCGGGAAAATGGCCTCGGATACGCTACCGAATGGGCGAGTCGAAGGTATGTTGAGTCGTGCTGGCGAGACGTAGCAGACTCTGGCTTACCGTGAGATTAGATATCACGTCAAAGACTGATGCCGAAAAAGGTGAGATGTTGAAATACTTTGGTTTCTTTACCTTCTCAATTGTTCTGACCCAATTGTTATTTTAGCTGAAGACTCGACCGCATCGGATAATGACGGTGGCGAACGCCCTGTCCGGCACAAACTAAAGGAGACCTCCATTACGTCGAATCCGGTCGAGACTGCGAGCAGAGCGAGTAGCAGGGGCCGCAAGAGGTCTCATGACGACTCGGAGAACGAGATGCGAGACGACTACTCTGAAACCTCGGATTACGTTGGTCACAGAAGGAAGAGATCGCGCGACTCTAAGCTCGATGATGATAACGATGTGACTACACCCCCGGACGTGGAAAAGGCAAGGGATATCAATGATAGCGCGGGTCAGATCCTGAGTCCAAAGAAGAAGCGCAGCAGGGACCAACTGGACAAAGACATCTCCGCGAAGACGCAGGAAAATGTTACCTCGAAGAGTAACCTAGGAATTCAGAAAGACACCGCTGAAGGGCAGCCGGAGAAGAAGCGACACCGGGACAATTCGCAGGAAAGAATCTCTGCCCAACCAAAGGTGTGTGTCTAGCATCCCCTTCGCCTCTGCATTCTCCCTCCACTTGAGGAAGCTAGCTACTCACGGCTTCTTAGGCTATCTCCGGTGCCTTTTCCAACGCCTCCGCCGTTTCTCCGTTTGGTTCTTTTGGATCCGCAAAACCCGAGACCTCGCAAAAGGAGGAGACTTTACCGGATGCCGATCGAGTTACATCCCCTTCTGCCTTTGCTTCTTCGAGCCTGGCTGCCTTTTCTGGTTCGGAAAAATCTCCATTTGGGTCTATTGGAACCTCGACAGCTTCCGTTTTCAAGTCGGTCAGCACAGCATCCGACAAACCAGCTATCACGGGGTTTGCAGCCGCTGGCGGGGCCTCTCCCTTTGCCACAAGTGGTGCTTCTTCTGGGTTTTCAGGGCTCGGGTCGGGATTTGCAGGTTTTGGCGGTGGTTTCGGGGCGGCAGCCAAGCAAACAGGTGGTGGGCTAACTACCTTCGCCTCCCCCAGTGGCCCCGGCCTCCTTGGGGGCACTTCCCAGGCTAAGTCCTTTGGGGTACCAGCAGAGGAGGAGAGCGAGAATGAAGATAATGACGAGGAAGGCGAAGCCGGTGCCAAGGGATTCGAAAAGGAAACCCCGGATGAAAGATTTGTTGAGCAGCAGGGTAAGACTTTTTGAAGAGATGATATCCCGGCGTTGAAAATCAGTATACTGACTGACTCGGAACAGCTGTCCAAACAGGCGAGGAAGAAGAGAGGACTCGGTTCAGCTGCAAGGCGAAACTCTTTTCCTTCTCAGGGAAGGAATGGAAAGAACGCGGACTCGGCACATTCAAGGTCAACGTTAAGGAATTACACGAGGCGGAGGGCGGCAGTAAGACGGCCGCCCGCATGATCATGCGCGCTGACGGTGTCTTGCGGGTGATGCTGAACACGCCGATCTTCAAGGGCATGCTCGTGGGCGATCCCAAGGGCGATGAGCCCAAGTCCAGACAGATCCACTTGGCTAGTCTGGAAGACGGCAGATCTGTTCCTTTATTGCTTCGAGTAAGTCGTATTGATTGGTGTTTCTTATTGTCTTATCCACTACTGACGACCATTTATAGACCGGAAGCGAGGATCTCGCGAAGCAACTCTACACCGTTGTCCGCGAGCTGCAAGAGAACCTTTGAAATATTCCAACCCGTGTGACTACCACGCGAGATGAGCCTTTCGATATTCGAAACTCTCGTCAGCTCTCTCCCGTCGCCGCTATCTATTCCGTCCATCTATCTCTCATGAGCTTATTACTCCGAACAAGTTCGCAAGTTGAAGCGCAAGAAATATAAAGGATCCCTGCAGGTGTTTTAAAAAGGCGTTGATAGCCTGAGTACCCACTGTTGTTGGATTTTGGCCACCCTCTTTTATCTATAACTACTACCTCTGTGAGCGTTTTGGGCTAGATGTTCGAATCGCCAGAGCTGCTTTCCTCTCACATACAGTTTAGGATAATCTCCTAGACATCTTGAGTGAATACCTCCACCTGTACCTTTTCAATCTAATCTCTTTCTGAATTCTAATTTCCTCCCCTAGTAGCACAGTATACTATCTGTTATAGTTGTAGTTCTATTCTGCCACTATACTTATAGTGGCATTATTATATTGGGAACATCACGTGACAACGCGTCTCGAGCAGGCGAGAGGCAACGCCGTCGCCATCACGAACTGCTTCTTTATTACCCCAGCGAGCACGGCGCCATGCTGATTTTGCTGAAATGGATGGCTCTATATCCGAACCGGCGGATCTGGAACCAGAATCATTGAAACGAAAAAGAGAGTCTGGGACTGATGTACCAGTTGATGCTCTGAGCGGCGCGTCGGGGGGTTCCTCCTCTGCTACGGCCGCGTCGACGACGACAAAGGCAGTTCCTACAAAAGGGAGCCATGATTCTTGTGAGGCAAATGATGAAGAATGCAGACCTGGACAAAAATGCAGTAAGAAGAAGAAGAAGCAAAAAGAGGAGGGGACTGGAAAATCCGGCCGTAGTAGGTCGCGAACCGCCACACCGAAGCGGACGCCCTCTGGTCCCTGGCCTGAGCCACTCAAACAACTCGCGATAACCTACAAGGCCTTGAATCTTGTGTATACATTCTGCTGTACGCGGAAGCACTTCGCAACTACGTTTGAGAATATCAAGGGCGCCGTGCAGGCCCAGCTCCGGGGGCGGGAGCTGACGGTGGAGGATATCGCACGAGTGAGCGTGCTGGTCCCGCGAGCCGTGAGGTTCGAGTATGTGGATGAGGCGAGCTTGGAGGTGATGATTGCGGCGGAGAAGGACTCGCGGGATTGGGGAGGCGGAGGCGACAAGAACCGCGGGGAGATCACTACAGTGCTGCTGTTTGAGTTTCTCGATGGGGATTTGAAACGCCAGGTACAGCATCCTAAGACGGGGGAGCCGACCAATCCTCGACGAAGGATGAGAGATGAAGATCTAAAGATGCCGGTCTTCAGCCAGAAACAGATGCTCGGTCTGATTGAAAAACGAAACGCCAAGTTTACCGATGCCATCGACGCCTTTCTGGTTCAGTGTGAGGATGAGGGTTTGGACCCGGTTGAGAAACTGGAACGGGAGAAGGATGGCTTCATACCGAGACCTCCGCGACTCGACACCCCGGGCAATCAAACAACAGTAATAGCAAAGCCACCGCGGGAGATCCCCAAAGAGCGCAAGAGCATCGCGGAGATCATTGCCGAGATCAGGCAGATGGAGTGGTACACGGCGCAAATTGTGCCGGACGGACACCGGGTGTTTGACGCTCAGCCGCCGGTATACGGCGAGCTGGCCTTCCAGCTCTCCCAGAATCTGGTCAATGCACTGTTCAACACAAAGGGGATCACGCAGCTGTACTCGCACCAGGCCGAGGCGATCAATAAACTTTACGAAGGGCACAATGTCATTGTCTCCACATCGACCAGCTCCGGCAAATCCCTCATCTATCAAATTCCCATGCTTCACGAACTGGAAAAGGACCCAGAGAGCCGAGGGATGTATATTTTTCCAACCAAGGCTTTGGCGCAAGATCAAAGGCGCAGTATGAAAAATCTGCTGCAGTTCTTGAGCGGGCTGGAGGACACCTTGATGGAAACGTTTGATGGCGACACCCCCATGGAGTCCCGGAACGCTATCCGTGACGAGGCCCGGATCATCTTCACCAACCCGGACATGCTGCACATCACCATCCTCCCGCAGGAGAGTTCCTGGCGAACATTTCTGAAGAACCTGCGGTTCGTGGTGGTGGATGAGCTGCACGTCTACAACGGTCTCTTCGGGTCCCATGTGGCCTTCATCATGCGACGGCTGAGACGGATCTGCGCCGCCATTGGCAACCGGCATGTGCGGTTCATCTCCTGCTCGGCAACGGTTGCAAACCCGGAAGCCCACATGAAGGCCATTTTCGGCATCGAAGACGTGCGGCTAGTAGACTTTGACGGGTCCCCATCGGGCCGCAAGGAGTTTATCTGCTGGAATACACCCTACAAGGATCCCGGCGATCCCACGTCGGGTCGCGGCGACAGCGTCGCAGAGACCGCTCGGCTGGTCTGCCAATTAATTCTGCGCGGGGTAAGGGTAATTGCATTCTGTCGGATCCGGAAGATGTGCGAGATTCTATTGCAAGCGGTGCGGACGGAATTCGACGCCCTAGGCCGACCCGAGGTCGGCAAGTTTGTTATGGGATACCGAGGCGGGTACAGCCCGCAAGACCGACGGCGGATCGAGCGGGAGATGTTTGACGGGAAGCTGATGGGCATCGTGGCTACGAACGCGCTGGAACTCGGTGTGGACATTGGATCGCTGGATGCGGTCGTCACACTAGGGTTTCCCTATTCAATCTCCAACCTGCGGCAGCAGAGCGGGCGAGCGGGCCGGCGCAACAACGATTCGGTCTCTGTGCTGGTGGGCGACAGCTACCCGACGGACCAGCACTACATGAAGAACCCGGACGAGCTGTTCACCAAGCCCAACTGCGAGCTGTTGGTCGACCTATCAAACGAGCTGATCCTCGAGGGTCATGTCCAGTGCGCGGCGTACGAGATGCCCATCCGGCCGGACGAGGACCGCGTGTACTTTGGCGGCGACGCGCTGGCCGCCCTGGCGCGGAGCAGACTTGTCCCTGACGCGCTGGGCTTCTTCCACTGCCATGCACGCTTCCGGCCCCAGCCGTCACGCTGCGTCTCGATCCGCGACACGGAGGACGAGCACTTTGCCGTGATCGACACGACGCACGAGCGCAACGTCGTCCTAGAAGAGGTGGAGGCCTCGCGCGCGTTTTTCACCATCTACGAGGGCGGGATCTTCCTGCACCAGGGCCAGACCTTCCTCGTCCAGGAGCTCAATCCAGAGGGACGCTTTGCGCGCGTCGTCCGCGTGCACGTCGACTGGAGCACGATGCAACGCGACTACACGGACATCGACCCGATTGAAACCGAAGCCATCCGGACAATCACATGCACCGATACCTCCGCGTCAGATCTGCCAGGAGGTTCTTGTCGCGCGTTTTTCGGCGTCATCCAGATCCACGCCGTCACCTATGGCTTCTTCAAGGTCGACAAGCGCGGCCGCATCCTCGACGCCGTGCCCGTGGATAATCCGCCCATCGACCTCTTCACCAAGGGCATGTGGGTCGACGTGCCCCGGCAGGCGCTCGACATCCTGCAGAGCCACCGACTGAACGTCGCGGCGGCGATCCACGCCGCCGAACACGCCATCCTCTCTCTGCTTCCGACGTTTGTGCTTTCGTCGCCGGGCGATGTGCGGACGGAATGCAAAGTCGCGAAAAAGGAGATCAAGGCAATGCAAGGGAACGGTAGTTCTTCTAAAGACTATAATCAAGATGGCGTTGTTCCCGATCTACTACCTCCCTCTCGCCAACGTCCCGCCCGATTGACCTTCTACGACGCCAAGGGCGGGCCCTGCGGTTCCGGGATAGCAAGCAAGGCCTTTGAGTTTGTCGATCTGCTCCTACGCCGCGCCCTGGGGCGGATCGAGTCCTGCGCCTGTGTCGCCGCGGGGGGGTGTCTTGAGTGCGTCTGTGACGAGCGGTGCAAGGAGGCCAACCAGGTGATGAGCAAGGCGGGCGCGGGCGTCATTCTGAAATGTCTCCTTGGTGTCCATGTTGACGTCGAGCTGTTGCCCTTTGGCGAGGGGAGGGATGGCGAGTTAATTGGTGGGTTGGAGACTGTTGTTCCTGCAACGGAGGTTCCTTTAAAAAGATAATAGTACATGTTCATAGTGCATGGAATATTAACTTTTATTTTAACTTTATAGTATACATGGGTATTACTCTGTACTATTAGGGCTTGACCCATCCGGGCTTTCTCCGAGATTGATCTTCCAGAAGAGCATCTTCATGTCGCGCACGTCTTCGCGGAAGTGGTCGCGCGGTATCGAGGCCCGCTCGTGCGTCATGGTGCGGATCTCACGGATGAGTGGCGGGTAGGCTTCGTCGTTGGGGAGCCACCAGTGCGGCAGGTCAGGGACGTCCCAGACTGTTGCTAGGACGGTGCGGTACTTTTGCGCGGTGATGTATCTGTTCATGGTGAGTAAAGACGAGTGAAACGACTCATTAAAGGTAAGGAGGAGGGGGAGAAGAAGAAGAAGATGATGATGATGTAAAAGGAGGAAGTACGTACCCATTAGATTCTAGCTGAGCGAATTTGCGACGACTCCACATGATATGCCGCGAGTCACGCGGAAGAAAAATGCTCAGGATGCCCAAACTATTGCGGAAGGCGATGATGGAGCCCTCCTCCTTGTCTGGCCAGCGCTCGATGGACTCGATGAAACGGCACTGCTCGAGGGCGAGCGCCTGCAGTTCCTCGGGGGATTCCGTGGTGGTGCCCAACGCCTGGATGGACTGGTAGCGGAACATGAGGGTCGTGGCCAACATGTCGACCCAGATGTAGTTGGCCTCCCAGAGCGGGCCCTTGTACAGGCCGCGGGGCACGTACGGGTTGACGATGTCGTCGGGATTCAGCGGGAGGGAGTGAGGGAAGTCGGTGATGGCATGTTCGGAGGCTTCGTACTGCTGCAGGATGCTCTTCTCCCGGTCTAGGATCTGCTGCAGCTGTGCGTTTTCTATCGCAAAGTCCTCGAGCGAGATCACTCCGCTCGACAGCCGGGCGTACAGCGAGGCTAGCTCCAATCCGAACCGGCGGTTCAGTGAGTTGCACAGTGCTAGCTGTTTGCCGATGTCGTGCGGATACAGCGCCGCCTGCTCTGCGTCCCCTTGCTCGATGGCCATGTACCACTCCCAGCCGAGCACCGTCTCGGCGCCGGCTAGGATACCAGCCACCACGTCGAACCGGGCGTACCAGATGAAGATGTGCCGGTCGAGATCGTTGGTCTTGATTGATTCGGGCGACAGCAGTTCGTTCATCAACGCATGGGCCGCTTGGTGGTGGTCGATCAGGTTGACCCAATCCCCAACGTATTCCTAATAGAAGTCAACCAAACAAGAACATTCTGGGTGTTCTCCTTAAGACGTACATACCTCAATGGTGGTCAGGACCAGAACCGTGATCAAGGTGGCCTTGGTGTGTTCCTCCCCAGCGCCCAGAGACCTGCGCAAGAGCTGCAGTGCGAGGTTGTAGTATTTGAGAAAAGGGTGTAAGGTGCCCCCCGGGATGCGTAAAGAATGATGGTAGGCCGAAAAGGCAACGACAGCGTAGAGCAGCGGCTCGTACTGTAGAGCATGTTCGATGATGGTGTGGCGCATAAAGTGGCTGCCGCTCTGTCTCAAGAAATAATGGTGGTGGGTTAGCACACGCTGGTGGAAATCAAGATAGAACTGCTCGTCCCCTGGAGGTGGTGGAGTGCCGGACTGAGAAGGGCCGCCACCACCAGCATCACCATCACCGAGCGAGTGCAACGGTTTCAGGTGGGTAGTAGAGAAATCGGTGGGTGAGGGGAGGTTTGCTGCCTGTTGGGTGTGACTCCCGGTGTCTAGGGAATGGGAAATCTGGGATTGAGTGGTAATAGGTGCCGCTGTGGCCGGCGTGGAGGGACTAGATCCGGCAGCGTCTTCATCGACGATGGTTTCGAGCCCGCCACCAGCCGTATCCCCGGGCGAAGCGCTACCTTGCGAGGCGGGTTTGGATTCAGGGGACTTATTGCGTGTTTTGGACGTCGAGGACTTGGATGTCGGTACTGGGTAGACGCAATCCCGGTTTCCTTTCCTACATCCTGGTTGTTGTTAACGAGGAACTGAGAGAGAGAGAGAGAGAGAGAGAGAGAGAGAGAGAGAGAGAGAGAGAGAGCAACTTACTCTCACAAACTGGGCGGGCTTCATCACACTACCGCCGAGGGTGGGAGGTCACCGTCAGTGACGCGATATTCTCCAGACCGAGGAGAGTGGGAGACAAGAACAATGCGTACCTTGATACGGCGGGAGCGGCAGGTGAAGCATCCACTGCGGGTACGTTTATGTTTCTTCTGATCGGGAGCAGGCGGCAGTGTGGACGAGTGGTTATGTAGGGGATAAGGCGAGACGGAAATGGGTTGAGCAGGATGCTGGCTCCCCGGGGGATGATTGTTGCCATGCCACATGGTTAAGCCGTGGGGGGATTGGGGAGGAGCGAAGAAGGCAGCCAACTGGTGGGAGGGGTGCTGGAGTGGTATTTGATGCGGGTGATGGTGGAACTGATTCTGAAGCTGAAGCTGCTGCTGCTGCTGCTGCTGCTGATGATAATGATGTGGGATCTGAAATTGTTGCTGCTGGAGATGGAACTGGAGATCCGAGCAGGACAGATCGGGCAGACGGGCACCCGTCATGGAGGCTCTGGAAGGAGGGGGATTCGACGGCGCCATGGTCGTCGGAGGCAAACGAACATGCACAACGACGATGATGACAACGACTTGACACGGCAGACGGACTCAGAAGGTGGCGGCATAGACTGTCAATTAACCATCAGTTTTGGGTTGATCTAGTTGATATCCCAGAACTTAAAATCGGTGAGCGTAATAGAAAAGATAGAGAGAAAAAAAAGAGCTCTCTATCTAACTAACAAGGGAAAAAAGAACGAAAAGAACGAAAAGAACGAGAAGAAGAAGAAGAAGAAGAAGAAGAAGAAGAAGAAGAACTAAAAGAGCGGAGGAGACCGACAGTCATCGCAAGCTGGTGGGGAGAGGGAGAGGGAGAGGAGAGGAAGAGGAGAGGAAGAGGAAGAGGGGGGGGGGGCCATATGGGAGGTGGTCCCAGATCCACCGTTCTAGTGCCCACTGTCAATGTCACTGCGTACGGAATAATTATCCGTACCTGGCTGAGATGAAGACGGATGGCATCTGTGCAGGACAGAATGGAGTCAAGGTAAGGCGGGCAGTGACTATCATTACCACAGTAGAATGGAACAGACCAGACTAGACCAGGTCCATCAACCATCCGAATCTACCGAAGGGCTGAAAACCGCCCCACTGGGCGGATCACAGGAAGTTTTCGGGGTACAGACACGAAGAAGAGAAAGAGAAGAGAAAGAGAAGACGAGAGAAGATGGAGAGGTCGGGTGTCAGATTGAGGGATCCAGATGCTGTCAGTTGCGGCTGTTTGTCCCTTGTCCTGTCAACGGCTCGAGATGCTACTTTGATCCTAGCGTCTGGTTATGGCCGAGGATCGCCTTTGGGCACGAGCTGAGGTAGAAGAGACGGCAAGAGATGGCAGGAGATGGCAGGAGATGGCAGGAGATGGCAAGAGATGGCAAGAGATGAGCAAGGCTTGTCAGCATTTAGTTGAGTATACTCCATACTACTAACTAATTAGATACAAGTAAGTGCATGAGTAGTAAAATTCTGTGGCAGTGCGCGGAGTATTCCATTTCCACTTCGCGGCTACCTGCCATTCTGGGTGTGAAGGTTGCCACTAGTATATGAGGGAGTATATACTATGACATAGTAAAATGGCAGGTAACTAGTTACTCTATATAAGCACTGCCATGAAGGATTCAAAAACAAGGCAACTGGGGAAGGATTGATTGGGTTCCAGAGACCAGGTGCAATAGTTCTCCATGTGGCCACGGATCCAAGATGGTGTGCCGTGGCCCACTTTATACTAGAATAATGAAGGATTATTACCAAGTATGCATTCATAATTTATAGATCTTCATTAGGTGTCTATTTGTATCTATTGACGATAGTAATCTAAGAGTAGACAGAGTACAGAGTATATCGACTGTCTAAGTACTATAGGGTATGGAGTATATAGTATGCAGTAGCAGTATGCAGTAGGTACTATATGCAGTACAGTGACAGTTTATAGTGTGTGGTATACCTCTATTACCATACCAGACACTATGCTTTAACTTTAAGTACCTAGGTATTCCCAAGATAATTTAGCATTAATTATGCCCGGCAAACCCGGAAGCTTGAAGTTTATCTGAGCCACTACCTATACTACATAGTTATATCTCATTAACAAACTACTCTCATCCAATATTGTCAATACTTAGTAGATACTCCCACTACTCCTACTACTCCTACTCCTACTACTCCTACTCCTACTCCTACTACTACTCCTACTCCTACAACTACTACTACTACAGAGTACTCAATATGTCATACGGTGTCTATCGAGTAAGTGACCACTGAATATTACTACTAACTATACGCAGTACTTCATACGAGTACGGCACTAAGCATGCACCCCTTTCTCCACAAAACAGTCATGGGTGACGGTGGCTGAAGCTGATACAATGGTTCACAGTCTAATTTCTAGGGGCGTCAGATTCATCTCCGGCTCTTAGAATGCCGGTACTAGTCAGTGGTTCCTAGCATCCTATTGAATAACAAATATTACCCAGACTGCCGATTTCCGGCCGGACACGCGGATAATGCAGATTTAGCCTTTTAAGCATTTTCTCTATTTCATTTCCTGAGTACTAGGAAGTACTATAACTAACTACGTAGTACCTTAGTTAACTAATTACTACATAACTACCTACCTTGACTACTGTAGAGTTAACTAGTTTAAAAAAGCTACCCTCGGACCTCTATTGCCTGACTAGTTGGGTTAGCCTGGAACTAATGGGGTTAGTGAGCTTAGCCACCAGGTAGCATTAGGTAAATATAGGATTCGCCACATCGGGCTTGATTTAGTCCGTGGACCGCATTGTGTCGTGGAGTATACCGTACTCGTCTTCAAGTACTGGTTAGTGAACTTTCGCCTGAGCCATACACAGAATAGTACTAGGTACTCCATACTGTACAACGCATTTATACACTCTCAATAGCCATGCGTAACCCCTCAATGACCACCCCCCACTCGACAGCATGCACCTTCTTCTCAAAGACATGCACATCCTCGTCCTCCCCGGCGACAAACGGTATCTCCCGCACCACCAGGGGGGTCCCCATGTCCACCTCCGAGATGACCTTGTGGATCATCACGCCTGTTTTTGAAATCTCCCCTGCTTTCCATGCCGTATGCGCTCGTTCAATTGCATTCTAAAAAGTAGTTAGCCATATATGACATCGACATAGCCATGTACAAGAGAAAAGATGCTTATATAAGAGAGAAAATGCTTACCACCCCATTGAAAGCCCCCGGGAGAGCAGGGTGCAAGTTGATAATAACCACCCCCGCCTCTTCCAGCGGACCCAAAAATCGCGGCGAAAGCACATGCATGAATCCCAGACAGGCGACCACAGCAGGTTGATCGGCCAGAACCAGCCGGGCAAGTTCGGCATCGTACTCCTCCCGCGCGGCACGCACCCCGTCCTCCGTCGCGGGATGTTGTTTCTTGTATTTCACCAGGTTGTGGTACGTCGTCGGGATGGAGGCCACCCGCGCCCGTTCCAGTCCGTATGCATCTTTGCGGTTCGAGAGCACCCGCACGATCGTCGTCGCGGGCAGCTGCTGCGCGGCCACCGCGTCAATCACCGCTTGTAGGTTCGACCCGTTGCCGGATATCAGTACGCTGAGTCGGGTGGTCATTGTGAAGAAGAAGAGAAAAAAAAGAAAAGAAAATGAGGGGTATTGAAAAAGCTTGTCTGCTCAGCCTGCTCTCTGCCGCTTGCCTTGCTTGTCGAGGTGTCTTGATTGGTATAAACAGTATCTATCAATGAGGGTATATCCTGGCCTTTGGTATATGTATAGAGAGATGAACACTCATTGAATTGTCAAGGGTTCAATTGCACCGAAAGTGAACTCATGTTATCGAGGCGGGGCAGAGTCGAGTCCGACAATAGTGAGTGGGGGATGCTGAGTAAGCTCTACTCCGATAACCAGATACGGAGTAACTACCTATTCACTGTCTGTTATGTAGTTACTGGTTAGTACTATCTAGTCAACTATGGGATACTATTATGGCTACTGACAAGTATATGAATATTCGTTCGAATCAAGGAATAGTGACACAAGATAACTACATATGTAAGGCAATGAGATACCAATGGAATATGCAAGGGCCACGGCCTGTCCAAATGTCAAATCACTCGACTGGCTCGCTCAAAGGAAGACGGATCATGAGAATAATTTCAAAATCAGAGACAGGAAACACAAGAAAAATGCCACATAGGGGAGAGGGATATCGAGACAGACGCGAGAGAGGATATCTGCAAAGAAAATTCGTTATGCCATTGAACAACCAACAGCTCCGCGCTAAAGGCCCGCATGAGAGCCCATATGAAATAACCTAAGTCCGTAAATTAAGAGTGGCGCTGGCCTCCGAGAGATGAATAGATGTAACTCGATCAAAGCTCGGTCGTGTGGGGTAAGAACGGTCAGACGGCAGTGTCCTGCACTGGGTTCGAAGTAGAGGATTCAGTTACGCCTTGGCCTCGACAGAGAGGACAAGAGTTGCGGCCGGTAGTTAACCACTGCAAATGTACGTTAGCTCCAACCTCGTCAGAGGCAAAGCGGAAAACGTGGACAAACCTGGTCAATACAATCCTTGTGATAGATGTGTTGGCACCTCGTCAGTTGTCGGAGTTCCTCGGCTGCTTCATAGTCGCTGAGACAGATCAAGCACCGATCTCCGTCAGGAACCTGGAACCCGCCCACGCCGTCAATAGGTTCCGCAACCAAAGAGCCCGCATATTCAACAAGACGGAACAGACCGCCAGCTGAGCTGACATCTGCCTGAGAAGCAACCGGAGGCTTGGCCGGACCCAGTAATGACGAGAGCAGAATCATGTCCTCATAGGTGGGGTTCTATCAACATATATATTAGTACGGAGGATTGCAAAGTTAGGACTGAAAAGGCTTACATCGGTGAAGAGGCTAGGGGTGGCAAAGGCTGGATGATTCTCTGAAAGATTGGTGCCAACCACGTATATCAACCAGCTTCGGCCAGCAGTCGGGGTAGCGTTATCAGGTTCAACAAGACCATTGCGTCTGACAGACCCTGACCCAAGATCGCGATGACGAGCGTATTCTGAATCACTGCGGCGTCGCTGGTGATTGATACTCGGGGTCATCTGGTCTTCGGCTAGTTCGTCTCGAGGCTGGGTTGACTCGTCTTCCAGAAGTTCGGGAAGAATGTTGGGCGAGAAGGCAGAAGCCGATGATGGCCGTCGGCTTGGCGTTGAGGTCCCCGAGGATACCGCTGAGATCCCCGGTTCTGCAGGGGTCGACGGGGGAGGGTGGGGCCCCGGAGGCGACTCTGACATCGCTGTTGGAAGAGACGATGGCAGACCACCTTGGGACCCTGCATCTGACAGCCTGCGGGAAGAAAGAGGTGGAACATGTCCCTGAGCCCGATGGGAAGAGTCCGGTCCCCCTCCAGCAAGCACGCCGTTACCTCCCGCCGAAGGACGACTGGGTGCAAACCTTGGACGTCCGTCCATCCGAGGTAACGCAATATTACCGTCAGCGGGGTTTCTCGGTCTAGTCGCTGGATTCGAGAATGGAAGGCCAAGCAAGGCATCCAACCCGGTTCCAGCATTGGCTGGCGGCTCACTGCCCGCAGCATTGCTTGCAGGAACAGATCTCACCCCGACCACGACCAGGGTCACTGTGCGCCCTTCAGAGCCACCTTGTTGAGCGTCGTCAACTTCCATCTGATCGGATTGCCTGCTAGTCTCATTGGTGCCCGCTGACTGTCGACCTGGCGCAGGCGGAGCACCACCACCAAAAGTGTCTGAATTAGAAAACCGAAAGACCCTGAGAAAGTTTACGGGAGGTGCAGGCCCATCACCTTGAGGGTTCGCGGAGTCGCCAGGTGGCGCAGCATTAGCCTGGGCCGACGTAGCGTGTTGCAAGCTTTGAATGAAATTCTCCAAGGAACCATCGAGGCCATCGTTTCCCAGGGATTGGATGTTGGGCAAAACTGGCCCATTCACACCGGACAGCTGTGCTGCGATGGCTGCTGCTGCCAGCTGCAAGACGCGAGACAAGGGGGTATGCTCTTCGCGCCGTGCCGCCCGCGATGACCGGGCCCTCAAGAGGCTCGGAAGCCGGCGTACGCCCATCATTCCAGGACTGGACTGTCCCGAGGGAACGGGGGATATAGACCGCGTATTTGGAATGGCAGGCTCTACCGAGTCCAGTTCGTGAGGGGGTTCACTGAAATCCAACCGTGTATCCATTGCCCGCGGCAGAGGAAGAAGAATGTTGGGGCTGTCGTTATTGGATATGTTAACGGCTTGGTGCCGGGATGTTCCTGCATCTGGCTCCGTGATGGTCGAGGGTGGCTGGCCAAATATCTGAGAGATCGGGTTTGACAAAGAGTTCCGAACACGGTGTAACCGCGCACTTCGCCTCCAAGAAACACCATGACTAGATTCAGCGGAACGCTCGGACGTATGGAGGTAGGAAGGATTAGGAAGCGCATCCGAATTGAGAGATGCATCCGGATGTGGGATAAAGTACGGGGGGGTGCGAAGTGAGCGTCGTCTGGCTATGCCTCTTGACCCAAGCGAGCTGAAAGGGCTAAATCGGCTGCTGCCATGGGCGGTCTCGGAGCGGGGTAGCGTCCTCGACACGATACCATGTCGATGGGCTTGGCCTTCTGCAGGTGTTTCTTCTTCGCTATTGAGCAAGCCTCGAATGACCGAATTGGGCAAAATTCTTGACCCTAACCGGGACATGGTGGATTGTCTTCTTGCAGCCATGCGAGCAAGGGTGGCAGATCGATACGCCTGCTGCTCGTTGCGCGCATTCTGAGAGTCGTTCTCTGGTATACTTCTCATCTGTTCCCAAGCTGCCAGGTCGTTACCTGAAGGAGAGGAAGAATGCTGTGGTGCGGGGTCCCCGTGGAATGACGGGCCCTCATGGCCGTTGGAGCCTGTTCCCGAAGGGAAGCTGGACTCGGACTGCTCCGGTATCTGTCCGTTGTTCATCTCTTCATGCCTTGGGCCACGATCACGTCCTATCTGAGAAAACCTCCTGAAGTCTGAAAGAGATCTGCGGCGGGTTTCTCGTTGCGTCGAAGAGGTCTGTCCCATAGTAACAGGCTGCAAGCTGATACGTCGGGGGTGTGAAGCCTAAAGACTGCAGAACGCCATGGAAGTCTGCTCAACTAGAGCGACAGAAGTATTAGCAGTTTGTCCATCGATTCAAAAAGCAAAGTGAAGACTGTCAGAAGGCAGTCGGTACTGTTGCGTGTGGCCACCCGGCGTTGAGACAACCTTCTAGAATCTGACAAATCATTCAGCAGAGACGCACCACTTACTCAACGGCAATCAAGACACAATACAACCAGCGTAGCACACCTCAATATGTATGATGAATTATCTGTCCGATCTCTATCGTGGACCGAGAAGATGAAAGGTCGAGTAACCCAAGGTTTCGGCGGTTTCGAGGTTGAACAGCGCAGTTTCCCCCAACGGAGAGGACGATAACCGAAGACGATCTGACCCGACAGTCAAGACTCCACCGCCCCAGAATTCAGAGGGAAGCGATTAAATCCTCAAGAAACACCCGTAGATATAGCCAGAGTTATTTGACTACACAGAAAAGAACGGAAACAATTGTCCCGGAAAGATGGGTTGAGTCCCTGAGTCTTGGGGGTGGCGTGGAGCGAGTCAATGGGGAATTGAGTCGAGTCAGATCCAATCCGACCGGTAAAAAGAAACAGCTAGAAGATAAGATGAGCCAGACCAGCGAGCCCAATCGGAAGGAAGAAAACAACGACTGCAAATGATGTGGAAGAGGGATGGAAAACGGACGAAGACGAAGACGAAGACGAAAACTAGAGGAGGAGGAGGAGGAGGAGGAGGAGGTGGTGATGCTGATGGGCGGTTCGTAGCTGCTGTTCCACCCAGGCGGGTCGCCTATATTTGAGGCCTGAGAAACCAGGCATAAAGGCCCAGTTGACGGGTTCGTCAATCTTGCCGAAGTGGGCCTCAGGGTCGTCTTTTTTGACAACAACCACTACTGTGCAGGATGCGCTCTTGCTCACAACAAAGGGGCAAAGAGGACATTCCAGCATGGATAGGCGTCCCAAACGCTGCAAATAGCAACTGGCGACCGTGAGCGACACACTGGACCCTCTTAGCGTGACGATTACGCCGTACGAGAGCACAACCAAGACCTTGAGCTAGGCCGACTGATGACTGTGCGTTCTACGGTGAGGAAGACCTGGGCATAGTCTCGTGGCCATTGTGACTGTCTTTTCTGATGGCGTCTGGCCCATCGGCGTCTCTCTTCTCGTTGCCCCTTCCCTCATGGCACCAACCGCAGAGTGCACGGGTGGCACGTTATGAGCCCCGAAAACGGAGAAAGAGGCATGTGGACTGGGGGGAGGACGATGACGATTATGATGATGAAGACGCGGCTGCTGATGGTGAAACAACCGATGCTGTCTCTGCATCAGACGATGCCCCGACTGGTTCAACGTTGATTCTCTCGCCAGATGAGGCTCACCAGTACAGAGTGGCCGGTCTCTCCTTTGACAAAGAGATCCCGAAAGGAAATTTCCCCCATGGCCCGGCGCCGGAAAACTCTCGGTCTACTCACACACAATCTGTGGTACTGAAGGGGTTAGCTTCTCTATCGCCGCCGGTCTATCCTCCCCAGGGTGTCACCGCCACTCAGCAAGGCAATCTGCGGCTTCATCATCTGGCGGTCTTGACCGCCATCCTACACCGGTGTTTACTGGAGGGGGATTATATTCGCGCGGGAAGAGCGTGGGGATTAATTCTTCGTGAGGAATACGCGGGGGTCCCGATAGATGTGCGAAGCGGGGGTAGATGGGGCATAGGCGCCGAAATCCTCCTCCGTCGAGACCTGCAGCTCTCGCAAATGGCGTCGAGGCATCAGCGGGTTAACGAGGAAGCTCATAATTCGGATACCCGCCTGCAACCATCATTTACCAGGAAAGGGTTCGAGGATGCTAAGCTCTATTACGAGAGACTAATCATTCAACATCCTTATCGAAAAACGGCTCCAGATTCTGTATCATCTATGAATTTTTACCCTGCCATGTATGGTCTCTGGATCTATATCACCCAAGAGGAGAGCAAAATGGCCCTGGAAGGCCAGCCCGATGACGATGACGATGCGTACGAAGAAAACTCACACCATGAAGACGCCATGTCGGACATCGAGTTTAGCTCTAGTTCAAGACACCGGCAAACGCGGATATCCAAGGTAAAACAAAAGGAACTGGAGCAAGCGCAACAGATTGCCGCGAGGATTGATGAACTCATTGTGTCGCCCCCCTATTCTGATTCGCCCGAACTTCTCGAGTTGAGAGGGATGGTTTCCCTTTGGATTGCAGACCTGTTTGTCGCATCCCTGCCACAGGCAGGTTTTTCTGAATCCAACTCTGTCGAAGAATCACACGATTCTATTTTCGCAAGGCGTGAGCAAAGACTGGCCATCGAAAAACGTCAATCCGAGCTACAAAGGTCTCGGGAATTCTTCGAAAAGGCCCAACAACGCCGTAAAGGCGTAGCATATTCGTTCCAGCGGCTTCATATCGAGGACGGATCTCCATCTCTTTGATCTAAATACTGTCTAGAATTTTGGTTATAGATAAATATTTCTCTATACACAATGATATTATCAGAAGAACCTATCAAATAGGTGAGTAGTAGCTCTTAATATAGTCAGCTATTAATCAGATATCATGTAAACAAAGATAAGCGTGCTTTTTGAATGAAGCTACGAATACGAAGTTCATGAACGTATAATTGGCACGTGATCTCGTGGCTTGGTCGCGCGCTTGATTATCGCGTGGTCTGAAAAGTCCGACGTCTATCTGTCAACACGATTCCCTGTGTCTGCCATGGCCTTGAGCTCCCTTAGATCGACCTTGAGCCACTCTGTTTGCTGCTAAATTTTGTCACTAAACATTCTAATCCCTGATCCCTCGCCGAAGCAGCCATGCCTGTTGGGAATTATGTTCGATCCAAGGAAGCTGGCCCATTCCGTCCTACGACCGATGAAGGAGGGGTTCCGCGCAGGTCGCGGCAGTTCCTGGCCGACCAAGTGAAAGTAGAAGTGCCTGCTACGAGACTCGTCGGACCTACCTTCTCAGAGGCCAGTGGGGGACAGCACAGTGGTTTTCCGTTAGATGCGCCCCCGAATGGCTTTCACATTCAGCAGGAGAACGGTGTGCAGAGGGATATGTTCGACACAGATGTCGAGGGGGTGGATGATTCCACTATCGCAGGTACCAGTGTCATGGATGTTGACGAGTTCAAAATGCCTATTTCATCGTATTCGAGAGCTCCGCCACAGGGTACAGACTCGCAACCCCTCTACCACCCACCTCCGCCTGAGCCGCAAGCACGTGAATTCAAGTGGTCCGACTACGAAGCAGCTGCGGACGTGGCCGGATACAACTCAGACGATGCTGATAGTGAAGGGAGCCATCGGACGTTCGTGCTTGGAGATGAGAACACCAACAAGCCTACGGAGGAGCCGGTCCAGATAAACAACTGGTATCTATCACAGAAGGTCCGCACGGTTGAAGAGCCTCGCCCTACTTCTTCATCGAGTCGGCGTCTAGAAAATTTCTGGGCTGCCAGCAAAAGGACAAATGGCAAGTCTACAACTCTCTCACAACTTGAAGCGAAGCCCCTGGGTTTGGTTCCTGCGGTGACTTCGGGATCAAAGCTCACCGGTAAAGTGTTGCCTGTGAATGGCAGCAGACGGATTGTTCTTCCTCGAAGTATGACGACTACACCAAAGAGCCGCTTCAGTCCACCGAAGCCGTCACTGCTTGAACAACTTGATCTGTCTCCTACGCGCCAAACTTCTGGCCCTCGACCTCAACCGGGTGGAAAAAAGACGACAGTGGCAAAGTCTCCTCCTCCTCAAGATGACGAGAATGATGCAGGAATACTGAGTGATACTCGCCGAGACAGAAGGGACAGTAGTCTCTCAACAAGTGCATTTGATCTCACCAACATAGACATACTGGACCATACTGGTATCGATCATACTGATGACGGCCATGACGACGACACGCTAGATGACCTATATCCCGATCGACCGCCTATCCGAATAAACATACGAGAGACAACGGAGTCGAAGAAGACGCAGATCGAAGCAGACTACCCCATTGATGTCATACGTCAGAAGTCATTTTCGGATCTTCAGGCTGAGCCATTTGACCGCATCCCATCCCCAGTCCCCCAACAAGCCTCTTCTCCAGAACCAGTGGATCCATCCGACATGATATCTGCACTCCTTCGGTTTAGCGGCCAAGAACGAAACAACTATCTCTCGAATCTGACCATTGACGAATGGGAAGACTGTGGCGACCAGTTACTCGACCGGTTCAGCAACATGCTAACCCAAATGAAGGATCTGCGCCGCGCACGACGCAAAACTGCCGCGGCATTCGAAGCCGAGATCAAGAGGAGACACGAGTCCGTCCAGAACGAGAACTTGAACTTATCGAACCAGCTCAGCGAGATGCGCAAGGGTGGCATTGATGTGCTGCGCGGCCGGTCCCCGCCTAATCCCAGTCCTTAGGTTCTAATAATGCTGATACCTTGGGCTTCGCTTTCTACTGAATTTTGTCACTTCTGCGACCGCCTTTTCTCGTCCGCGAGTTTGTTTGTTTGTTTGTTTGTTTTTTTATGCTGTTTCAATGAGCCGATATCATATACCCTCTTGCCTTGTCTATATGATTCATGAATGGTTTTAAACCCCGGGGTGTCCCTCCGAGGATAAGACTACCTTTTCTCCCACGGTTATACTTCCAATGATAGAGATATCATAGTTAATTCTACGACTGTAGATTTGTCTCCATTCAAGTGATGAGTAGATAAATATATCCTCCTGCCTACCAACACCTCGTTCCATAATCTAGATGATATTCGAGAAAAAGAAGAAGACTCTATGTAGAATCTTGGCCTGCGCCCTGTCCGAATAATACCCCCGCAAGCCGCTTGTAGTCCTCTAATAGAAGAGATATATCTCCAATCTTCAGATCATGGACGTCCTTGATGTCGAGGAACCGCTGGATGGGAGGGTCCGGCTTAGGACCTGTAGGTCGGGAAGCCTCCTTAGCGGGAGTGGGCTGAAGACGGGTCTTGTCTGCGGTAGCGGTTTTCACTTCGGGGGAGGGATGAGAAGGAGTAGGAGGATCGGTGGGATTGCGGCCCAGGTTCCGGATCATTCCTGGGATGTGACTTAATGGGTTAAATGAAGTTCCAAAATTCTTCATTGACTCGAGAGGCGTGATAGGGGTGCTGGGTCCCGGCGGCAGGGAGCCTGGCGTTTGTGCCTCGTCCTTGAGTAGGGAACCAGAGAGTGCTAGCGGCCGCTTGGGTATGGTGCTTGTGGTAGTACTACTGCTCTGGGTTCGAACGCTATCCGTACTTCTATCCCGGGACGACTTCCCCCCGCTCATAATATTTCGCAATCTTTCCTCGGTTGTCAATTCAGAGGGTCTGTGTGTACGCTCTGTGGGAGGGGTCTCTCCTCGGAGCAGATTATCCTCTTGAGCCGATGTTTTCTTGTCCCCATCCGCCGGGTTTGCAACAAGACGGCGGGCTTCCGCCAAGGTTTTGGGTAGAGATTCTACACCGGAACCCTGGTGGTTTGCCTGTAACTCCTTAAGGCGACCAAATACAAAGTTGAGGCTGCTGTCTAGGGTTGCACCGATATTTTTGAGGCCCTGGTCCGCTGTGTTTCGGACGGCGTCATTGGCAGCGCCCAAGACCTTTGCGGGGGGCTGAAAAAGGTTACTCAGCCGTCGCTGCTGAGGCGATAAAGATGCTGCAGGTCTCGGCAATGTGGCGGGAATGCCTTGCTGAGTGGGCGGTTTCAAAAATTCCGGAGATGCAGAGGCTGGCGTCACCGACGATACTGGACCTTCCTGTGCGAGGCGAGGGAATTCAGACTTCTCAAGAGCGGCTGTTGCATCACTTGGCGGCAACGTATGGCTATCTGGTGTCTCTCCGGTACGCAGGGTAGAAAGTTCTATATTTTCTAGGAAGCTGACCGCAGCTTCAAGGTTAGTTAAGCAATAGGCGGTCTCGCCATCGATCTTGCTTGATGATCTGAAGTGTTGCACGAAGGACAAGTTGCTGATAATATTGATGCCCTCTGGCGGACAATTAATGAGACAGTAGATCAACGTGGGTAGAATCTCGTCGGCAGAGGCTGACGAGCCTATTAACTTGGTTAGGGCATCGACAATCGCTTTATATGCGGCGGCCAAATGTTGAAGCTTCCCCAGCGGGTATTTTTCATCATTCATTTTGATGAGACACTCTCGCGCAGTGGCGAGACATTCGTTCGTTTGTTGTTGCTTTTCTTCGTCAACAGCCGCAAGGTCAATGTCAACCCCCAGTTCTTTCAAGTCGGTTCCAACTAGAGACAGAGCGGCGGTCTTCGAACGCAGCTTTTCATCTCGAACCTCATCCAGCGTACTTCTATGCCGCCATATCTTGTCGTAGATGCTTTCACATGCGCGTCGTTCCACAGCTTCTTCCAGCGCAACACGTTTGCGAGCCAGGAATCGACGAGCTTTCCTCCTTTCAGCCACTTCTACAGCTGTCAGCATCTGGCGGCTTGTAACAGCCTTTCCTCCCTTCGCATTGGCCTTTGTCTGGGTTGCACCCCGCGCATTTTCCGGTGAAGAGTGAGGTGACGGCTCGCGATTTATCCGAGAGGCAAGAGCAGAGATATGTGTGGCAATATGGGAGTCTGCCCGAGCATAGAAGTCTTGAAACATATTTGAGATCCTATCCATGGTAGGAGGAGAGGAATGAACTTTGGCGTTGAGGGATCCGACGAATCTATCAACGGCAAACATTAATACGCCACTAGCCACCAGCAGATAGTAGAAGAGGATGCTAACCGATCGGTCAAGCTGATCAGTTCGATTGGCAGCTCCACCGGCTCTCCCTGCAAGCTCCGCGATATGAAGGAGCCTTCTTCGCCCTCGTCCCCCGGGTTCGTATCCATCGGGTCCGACTTCTCAAACACATCGGGACTGCCAGTCAGTTCCTGGCCATTTAGCGGCAATGGCAGTGGCATCGGTTCCGAATCCCCATTCTCGGAAATTGGCCCAGCCTGCATAGTCTTTGATCTGCTCCGCGCAAAAGGATTTGCACCCGATGATTGTATCTGCGTGTAGGATCGAGCTGCATGAAGTCGAGGTCTTGCAGAGCCATCGTCTTCGAAGGTATCCTCCGAAGACATTGCTGACAGAGGAGATTTCAGCTCGGTTGATACCAAAACAATGACCCTTACAGCTTCAAAGTCCTTCGGAGACAGGGGTATGTTGACTACTGTTCAGCGGACTTTGACCCCGTAACTATCAGTTGACAACCAGTGGACAGCGGGAACTTGGTAGATTCACTAGACCCAGGGCTGAGATGATCAGAAATTTAGAAAGCCCTGTTGATAAACGCCTTGATTATCTGCTCAGCGCAGTTATTATTGCCTTTATATTCTCGCCAGGCACCAGGTATCATGCCTCCTTTCTGGTGTGACGGGGCGCTGGAACGCCGGACGGCAAACGCCAAACGGCCAAACGCGCGTTGGAATCACGTGGAGCGCTCCATTATCGTAGCATCGCTGCCTCCGCACTGCGTCACCGTCCTGTTGATCTGATCCACTCCCAACAACGAACGAGAGCAACCAGGAATATAGTGAAACGACTTGATTCTTCACGAAATCTCGACTGTATTTGTTTTGAATATGGGCCAACGGAAAGATTTACCTAGAAGACCGACGTCCAGACGACGCAGGGTCTCCCATGTTGTCCTCGCCTTATCCCTCTTATCGAGCGTCGCCACCGCCTATAAGCCCGCATACCGAGACACTTTATCACCGGGGAATCCATTTCTGCCACCACAGGTGCCGTTGGAGGAACCGAAAGACCTGTTTGGGAAGCATGAGTTTGTGAGTGCTTATGCCTTGTGTGTTATGTGGTGACTTGCTGGCTGACGGTGCTAGACCCTTCGTCACATCTTCCACCGAGGGACGCACGAACACCCCGACCTACACAAGAGGCTCGATATTAAACCGGAAACTCGACTGCTGGCGATATCCGATGATGGATTGGAGGATGGATTGTATGCTGCGGATACATCGCTGGTGGCCCTGTCCAGTCCTGTAACGATTCAGCGACTCGCCGACCGACGGTTGCCTGTGATTGAAGAACACTTATTGGCGGCAAGGGCTAGCGGGTCTGCGGTCACGCTGTCCCCGTCGGCTTGGGTGATGGACACTCTTGCAGGCCCCGATGTGACGCATAAGGAGAGTGTCTTGACCTTCGCCAAGATGACATCGAATGACTATATCGAGGTCCCTGACACCGAGGACTGGCAGGACATCCATGGCCACTTCAACTACTCGAGCAGTTTTGGATGGCAGGGGGATGGACTTCGAGGCCATATCTATGCAGACAAGACAAATAGTACCCTGGTGATCTCTCTCAAGGGCACATCGCCTGCATTATTTGACGGTGCCGGTACTACGACGAACGACAAGCTCAACGATAATCTGTTTTTCAGCTGCTGCTGTGGCCAAGGAGGCTCCTATCTCTGGAGACAAGTGTGTGACTGTCAGTCGTCTGCCTATACAGCAAACCTGACTTGTATTGTCGAAGCCATGTCTGATGAGAATCGGTACTACCGGGCGGCCATCGACCTGTACTCGAACGTGACGGAGCTTTACCCCAATGCCAACGTCTGGCTGACCGGCCACTCGCTCGGGGGTGCCATGACAAGTCTACTGGGTCTTACGTTTGGTTTGCCTGCTGTGACGTTCGAGGCTGTTCCGGAAGCGCTACCTGCAGCACGCCTGGGTCTACCCGCTCCACCAGGCCATGACCCGCTTCTTCCTCAGAAACGGCGCTATACGGGGGCGTACCACTTCGGACACACGGCAGACCCCATCTACATGGGCACCTGCAATGGCGTTAGTTCAGTCTGCACATGGGGTGGTTATGCCATGGAGTCGGCCTGTCACACTGGTCAGATGTGCGTCTACGACACCGTCGAGGACAAAGGCTGGCGTGTCGCGATCGGGACGCATCGAATCAAAGCCGTCATCTCCGATGTTCTCGAGGTTTATGACAGTGTTCCCTCGTGTGTGGCCGAAGAGGAATGTTTCGACTGCGAGCTGTGGAAGTACTTTAAGAGCAACGGCTCGGAAATCACCACCACCACTACCACGACAACAACGGTCACGACGAGTAGCCCGAGCCTGACCAGGACGTCAACCTGCAAGACACCTGGCTGGTGGGGATGCCTTGATGAGACAACCACCACCACCACCTCTACGTCGTCAACGAGTACTACCACGACGACCACAACGTGCAAAACACCCGGATGGTTCGGATGCAAGGATCGTACTACTACTGCTACGGCTACGCCCGCACCATCACTGCCCACCACGATCCCTACATCAACGTCATGCTTGGATCCCGGCTGGTTCGGCTGTCGCGATGAACCCACAACACAGACAACCATCCCCTCCACAACGACATCGACTACCTGCCGCAACCCCGGATTCTTCTGGGGATGCCATGATAGAAGCTCTCTGGAGACACCTGCAATCACCTCCGCCCCGACCACCTCGACCAACTAACAAACATACCGTATATGTTGAGGGCATTTTCTTGGATTAGCGTATGTGGAGACCAGACGGGTGATTTGACTTGAATCTTCTTGGCTAAGAGCCTTCTTTGATTGAAGATAGTTGACACCGAACTTACTATATAAACGTACACAACACCCCTTTCTTTTGGATAGCACCTTGCTCGGCGAATATGGGATTGGATTAGACACATTTCACAGATAGATACAGACTAGCGAATGTCATTTTGAACTATTGAACTATTGACTGTACAAGCTAAGTAGTTTGAAGGTCTACAGAGTTGTTGCAGACTGTAATATCGATGTTGAGGTATAGACCCGCATTATGCATACACTTGTACATTTTGGAGCCAGTTTACGTATATATGAACAACGGCAGATCTACAGACGCGGCTGAGGACCATTGACATTCTCCTCGGTGGCCCTTTGGATACGTGCGCCGAGGTCTGGGTTGACGCGGCGGAACATCTCGTAAGTCTGTCTGCGGACGCGCTCGTGGGCGCCGGCCAGGTGACCGGAGACATTGGAGACGAAGTTGTCCTGCTGGCCTGGCTGGCGGCCGAGGACGAGCCAGAGGCCGTTGGCTTGGACATAGTCGTCGGCGGTGACGGGGAGTTGCTCGGCAACGATGGCGCCGGCCCACTTCTCATGCTGTTGAGAGACCTGGCCGGGCTTGTAGGTTAGAGAGCGGAAGGTAGACGGGTAGTTCGGGTTAGCGCCGTAGTTGCCATGGACATTCATGTAGCCGTCGCGCTGAAACGGGTTGAAGGCGTGCAGGGGGCAGTTGACGGGGATCTGCTGGTAGTTGCCGCCGAGACGGTGGCGGTGGGTGTCAGGGTAGGAGAAGAGGCGGCTTTGCAGGACGGGGTCGGCGGAGGGCTCGACGCCGGGGACCATATGCGAGGGGGAGAAGGCGGCCTGCTCGACCTCGGCGAAGTAGTTTTGTGGGTTCTTGTTGAGGGTAAGCTTGCCGAAGCGGCGAAGCGGCACCTCCGCCTGCGGCCAGACTTTGGTCAGATCAAATACGTTCCAGCGGAACTTCTCGGCCTGCTCAGGGCTCAGTGTCTGCACGTAGCAAGTCCACGAGGGGTTCTCGCCGCGCTCGATCGCGTCGAAGAGGTCCTGCGTGTGCCAATCCGGGTTCTCAGCTGCCAGCCGCGTCGCCTCCTCGTTGGTGAAGGTTTTGTTGCCCTGGTCGGACTTGAGGTGGATCTGCACGTAGTTGAAGCTGCCGTCGGGCTTGATCCACTTATATGTGTGCCCGGAGTAACCGTTCATGTGACGGTAGGAGTACGGGGTGCCGCGGTCACTGAACAGGTGCATCACCTGATGCACCGACTCGTGGTGGGTTGACAAGTAGTCCCAGAACATGGTGGCGTCCTTCAGGTTGGTCTGCGGATTCCGCTTCTGCGTGTGGATAAACATGGGGAATTTGGACGGGTCGCGTAAGAAGAAGACGGGCGTGTTGTTGAACACCCAGTCCCAGTTGCCCTCGTTCGTATAGAACTTGATGGCAAATCCGCGCGGGTCGCGCGCGCTGTCCGCAGAGCCCTTCTCGCCGCCGACTGTGGAGAAGCGAGTGAAGAGTTTGGTCTTCTTCCCGACTTCTTTGAGCATGTCAACGATGGTCTAAGCAGCGTCAGCAGAGCGCCCCATTTGGTCTCTCACCATGTTCAAATCTTCCTCACAATGTCACTGATATCATCCGTCACCTCGAACTCGCCGTAGGCGCCAGCACCCTTGGCATGGACCACCCGCTCGGGGATCCTCTCTCGGTCGAAATGTGCGAGCAGGTCGATCAGGTGAAAGTCTTGCAGCAGCAGCGGTCCGTTAGGGCCAACACGTTGCGAGGCCTGAGGGTCCATGACCGGACACCCATTGGAGGTAGTATAGACAGGAGTCTCATTGTAGCGGTAGGTCTCTAGAGAGCACGCTGTTAGCATAAAAGCTGGATACAGAGAGCTTGACGGAGCTTGATAGAGCCTGATAGAGCTAGACAGCTAGACAGAGCTACAAGAGCTCGCGACAGAGTTGCAGAACGTACTAGGTTCGTCGTCCTTCCCCATGGTGGCAGTTTTTAGCAGAGACCCTTGATCGTGGAGGAAACAAGCAAGCTCAGCTTCCCAGACCTCAGGTTTATGTACAATAATCCCATTAATAATTTGTTATGACCATAGAATGGGTATCTATCAAGTGGAGACGGATCTGGCTTACTCCACCAGGGCGGCCAGACACACCTGTCTTAGTCACCAGTCCATCCTGCAAAGCGACTGCCAGGATTTCGGCGGGCTAGGCCAATAGTAATGACAAACAGCGGCGATTCCAACTTGACTCCATTGATCCTGACCTGGTAGTATGAAGTACGGACAGTTCCAAGAGTTTCCGAAGTTGCTGGAGGAGCCCGCCTGGTGGACCCAACATAAAGTTGGATGTGGCCAATCATATGTGGGCGATTGTCACGGGGAAACCACCCTCGGCAGGTACGGATCGATACTCCTAATATAGCAGGTGCGACCTGTCAACTGATTATGTAATATAATATATAGTATGTGGTATGTGGTATATGAATAGGCAGATGTCAATGTTCTATAGAGAATATATCTAGTATTCAAGATACTTAGTAGGCACTTCCTCATCTCTGGAGGCAGATCTATAAAGTGCCGTCATTTCTCTGCTATCTCCTGCCTATCGGACTGTTATATTACGTAGTACATCTACCTGTTAGTTAGTTTCTCTGCAACTATCTACTAACTGTATAGCAAGTAACTATTAGTATTTTAGTATTCTTAAGTAAATATAATTACTAGACTGGAAAATTCCATCTAGGGGTTTCTGGTTACAATAGTGAGTTGATACTTAAGTAAGGTTTTGGTATACATGGAAACCTAAGCACTAGAAACTAATAACACAGTCATGAACAGCATAAACCTGACAGCCATAGCCAACAAACCAGTCTATATCGACATCCTGTCTTGATATCTGATTTACTTGCTTAATCCCAACGGATTGTCGGCAGTCTGAGCCTGCCCGCCGACGCTTTTGAAGGACTTCTCCGCCGTCTGGCCAACGCCCTTGGTGGTATTTCCCAGGCCTTCAGAGGCATCTGAGACGGTCTGACCCAGTCCACCTGCCACTCCTCCGACCGTTTGGCCCAGTCCTCCAACTGTCTGACCCAGAGTGTTGGTCAGTCCGCCGACGGTGGTTCCTAAGATGTTGCCGACGCCTCCGAGGAGGTTGGCTGGTTACTGTTAGCAGGGTAACCTTGAAACTGAGGTATTCAAACTGAAGGAGCAGAAGAAACAAGATACAAGGGTCAACATACGGTTTTCATCGCCCGAAGACATGTTTATTGTGTTTTGATGGTTGATGGATTCAAATCGTATGGGGATCGATATCAAAGGTAGGATTTGCTTTGAATAGATGTGTTTATTCTCCTCATACCTACTCGGTCCCTCTGTTATATGTCGTGTATAACCGCAATGATATCATACCTGGGTTAGAACTTAGCAAGACCTGCCACTGACGAATCCATCTTGATTTGGAGTGCAGATCACAGTGTCAGTATAGCCAGGATGCTCTCTGATTTGTCTGTTGCCACTTATGACAGCATCTGGCGTCGGGTACTGTCTTCGAGCCACGAGTAGTCCTAGCTGGTTTCTGGACCGTAGTGTGCTGATAGTACTGAAGCATATTGTAATAATTAATAGAAATTTAACGTCAATAATATACCTACTTAACTAGATCACTAATTTGCAGTCTACCTACAATCCACAGAAAACTCCGTAAAACCTCCGTGTGGCCAACACCTGTCAACAGTGAGTACAATTCATAATATAATAATAATTAGAATACAGCCAGAAAAAATAACTGGGTATCTTGATACCTAATAATAACCATTACTAGTAGTAGATTGTGTACGAGTACTCCTGTTGAAAAGTCTTGTATGCGATTCTGGAGTCGAGTCGGAAACCGTATTCCGACAGAAGAATAAAAACGCCAGAATCCCCCTCGACGGAGGGACCCCCCCGACCACTACTGAAATTCAAGCCAATACACCCAGCAGCGACTCAATTACTGATCTCCAAAATGAATAGCTACTCTATTCCTACCATGCATCATCTATTCTCAGTTGCTTCAGTCTTGGAGCCTCTTCCCACTCAGAATTCTAATTGGCGTGCTCACGCAGTATCATGAACCCTCAGGTGAACACCACTGTTTTTTTACACACACACTCTCATCTTCCATTGAGTTCTACGCTGACAGGATCAGACTCCGAACCCCCTAGTTTCTGCCCACGAAAAGACTTCCTCCGAACCAACAACTGCCCCTGACAAGACCCGCGAAAAGCCTGATAAGCGACTGAGCGACCGACACTCTCACCCGCCCCCACAAGACGACGAGTCCCCAACCAAACGTCGTGTCTAGACAAAATTGGACTCCCGGGAATTTAATACGAGGTGGACACTGGCTACCAGGCTGTCTTTTCGGACGAAGAAAGCACTCCACATAAAAATAATGCCGGGAACAAAGCAATAATGGTGTTGACCTCGCCTTTGGTCCGGGTGGGGGGGGTTTCTCGCGTCCTCCGCATCCGGGATAAATTTGCACGAGCGACCTCGTCCCACACTTATCCGGTTGAGCGTCCAACAATTCTCTCTCTCTCTCTCCTTTTCTCGTCACCTTCCGTTTTTGTGTATGAGACAGCCTCTGTGAGAGCATTGTTTTACGATCTTTTCGAGCGTTTGTGTTGTTTGCGGGAGCAATTTCCCCCCTCTTCTCCTCGCTCAAGATGGCCTTGGAAACGACGCAGGAGGTCATTTCTGCGGAAGACCGGGCACCTTCAATCCCTACAGAGGCCAAGAATGCAAGAATTCCAGCCGACGGTTCACTCAGCAAGGTTATCGAGAATGCTCGCGCAGCGACGGACAAGGAGCACAAGATGACCCTTCTCGAGGGCATCCGGCTGTATCCTAAGGCGGTCGCCTGGAGCGTTCTCATTTCCACCTGCATTGTCATGGAGGCGTACGACGTCTCTCTGATCAGCAACTTTTACGCTTTCCCCCCGTTCAACCGCAAGTACGGGCACAAACTCGCCGATGGGACGTATCAAGTCTCCGCTGCGGTGCGTAAATGATCTATATTCGTTTTTCACAAATGCAAAGCTGATGGTTTTTTTAGTGGCAATCGGGACTGAGTAACGGCGCCTCAGTGGGAGAAATCCTGGGGTTGTTCATCAACGGCTGGGCCTCGGAACGGTTCGGCTACCGCTATACTATCATGGTCTGTCTGGTCTTGATCGCGGCGTGGACAGCCATCTTCTTCACGGCACAGAATGTGCAGGCGCTGCTGGCAGCTGAGATTCTGGCAGGCATCCCCTGGGGTGTCTTCCAGACGCTGACCATCACGTACGCATCCGAGGTGTGTCCCGTCGCCCTGCGCGGGTACCTGACGACTTACGTCAACTGTTGCTGGGGGATTGGTCAGATCATCGGAGTCGGAGTGATCAAGTCGATGCTGAACAGGAACGACCAGTGGGCGTACCGGATCCCTTACGGACTGCAGTGGATGTGGCCGCTGCCGCTCTTCATCGGCATCCTGCTCGCCCCGGAGTCGCCCTGGTGGCTGGTGCGCAAGGGCCGCACTGAAGACGCCAAGCGGGCCCTTTTGCGGCTGACCAGTGTCCGGCCCGGGTCGGACTTCGACGCAGACGAGACCATCGCGATGATGGTTCACACCACTGCTTTGGAGCGCCGGATCACCAAGGGCGCCAGCTACTGGGACTGCTTCAAAGGGACCGACCTGCGCCGCACCGAGATTGTCTGCATGGCTTGGGCGATGCAGAATCTGAGCGGCAACTCCTTCTCGTCCTATTCAACCTACTTCCTGGAGCAGGCCGGGCTGAGCACGTCCAAGTCATACGACTTCAGCCTGGGCCAGTACGCGATCAACATGGCCGGCGTCTTTGGCTCCTGGTTCCTCATGTCGCTGGGCATCGGCCGCCGGTCTCTATTTCTCTATGGTCTGTGCGGCCTGTGCGCCATGCTCTTCATCATGGGCTTCCTAGGCCTGGTCCCGGACTCGCACAAGGACCAGGCCGCCCTGGCGACCGGCTCGATGATGATTGTCTGGGCGGTTATCTACCAGCTGACGGTGGGCACAGTGTGCTACTCGCTTGTCGCCGAGATCTCCACGCGCCGTCTGCAGATCAAGACCGTCGTGCTAGGCCGCAACTTGTACAATGTCGTCAACATCATTTGCAACGTGCTGACGCCCTACATGCTGAACCCCACCGCGTGGAACTGGGGCAACTATGCCGGTTTCTTCTGGGGTGGCGTCTGCTTCTGCGCCGTCATCTATACATACTTCCGCGTTCCAGAGCCGCGTGGCCGCTCCTTTGCCGAGCTGGACCTGCTCTTCGAGCACGGCGTCCCCGCCCGCAAGTTCACCACCACCCAGGTCGACGTCTTTAGCGAGACCATCGAGGGCACCGTCATCGAGGATTACCAGGCGCACAAAGCTGCCGGCACTGACGCCGACGCGGAGAAGGCCTCTCATCTATTCTAAATGATTAATGACTACGAACTAATGTAACTATATATAATATTTATCTTGTTTTTATGTGTAATAAGTTTCGTTCGAGCAAGTAGTGTACTTGGTAGACTTATGATCATTTGTTCGTCCATTCCGGCTTCCTCTTCTCTGCAAACGCCTTCATTCCTATTAAAGTCAGTAAAAGAAAAGCAATAAGGATAAAGCGGTAGTACTGCTTCGGACTTACCAATCTTCTGGTCCTCACTACCAAACAGACCATGGAACAAGCGGCGCTCATACTCAACCCCCTCACGCAGGGACAGCTCCTGGCTCTTGTTGACCACCTCCTTGGCCGCAACAACCGCGACACGACTGTATCCCGCAATCGTCTCCGCGGTGGCGATGGCTTCACCCAGGAGAGCCTGGTGGTCACCCTCGACCACTTTAGCGGCGACCCCCCACTCCCCGGCCTCGCGGCCGCTGAAGTTCTTCCCCGTGAGAATCAGCTCCATGGCTTTGCTCTTGCCCACTGCGCGCGTGAGGCGCTGGGATCCCCCCGCCCCGGGAACCACGCCGAGCTTGATCTCCGGCTGGCCGAAGGTCGCGCTGGCAGTGCAGTAGATCACGTCGCACATCAGGGCGAGCTCACACCCGCCGCCAAGAGCGTATCCGGCTACCGCGGCGATGACGGGCTTGCGGACCGAGTTAGCGAGATGTGACCACGGAGCGATGAAGTTGTTCGAGTACGCCGCCGAGAAGGTTAGAGGGGCCATTTCTTTGATGTCGGCGCCGGCTAAAAAACAAAAAATACAGTAAAATAAGCATTTGACCCAGCAAAGAAAAAAAGAAAGAGTAGAGATATATGCACCTGCGAATGCTTTCCCATTGCCGGTTATTACAATCGCCCCGATGGCTTCATCTTCGTCATACTTGGTGAGCGCGTCGTTGAGCTCCTTGAAGAGGGGGCTGCTTAGAGCGTTGAGTGCTTTCGGTCTATTCAATGTGACTGCCTAATTAGCATGCACGCACAAACTCTCTCTCTCTATATATATATATCACTCTCACATACTTAATCCAACGCCCGGCTTGGGAGTAGAAATCAGGATGTGTTCATAAGCGGCAGAAGAGGAGTACGGCCGGCCGACTCTCGCTAGGTATGTCGATAAGGGTACGGCGGTTTTGGACGCGACAAGGCGGGAGTAGCTGCGAGAGAACATGGCGCTGAGTTTAAGCAACACCTTAGGACTTTTCCTACAAGCCAGTGCGAGAGTGTTTGGAATGATTCTGGACCTTAGTATAACAGTAGAACAGGTTGTTACATCATGCCGAGGCCGCCGCTAACCGACCTGCCGACACGTGCTTTCCATTTCAAGACTAGCATATCACATGACCTTTCAATCCGAACACGGCTAGCCCCCCTGAGGCGCAGCATTACTAACCTCAGGACCGGCGTGGACCTGCTCAACCGCACGCGGCCGTGGCTGGTGTTTGTTCGCAGTGGACACTTTTCTCTCGAGGTGCGAGTTGCTTCTCCTAAACGCCTTCAACCACTCCACTCCACACCTTCACGATAAGACCAGAACCCAACAGGGGACGGACAAGAGTCGACTGGACAAGTCCAAGATATTTGCAAAGTTTTATTCCAGCGAAGAAAAGCCGTCTTTGTCGCCATGGATGTTCCCGAGCCTGATCAGAGCCCGTTCACTGCGGTGACGGCGCACACCTCCAAATTCACCAGAGTGAGTCGCATCAACCTCAGCAGCCAGCCAGCCAGACATGGCGACCACACCAGCCAGTCGCTCTTCTCCCAGGCTTGTGGACTCGGCTGACTTGATTAGAAATTCCAAGCGTATCTCGATGCCTCGACGCCGTACGCAGTCTATCGGTGGATCGGGACGGGCGTGTTCCTCGCCATTTTCTTCCTACGAATTGTTCTTTCCCAAGGATGGTATATTGGTGAGGATCACATTAGGGTTCTTTGTTGTTGTTTTTTCCCCTTAAAATCGGCTATCTGACTGGACAGTCGCTTACACGCTCGGCATCTACCTGCTTAACCTGTTCCTCGCCTTCCTCACCCCGAAATTCGACCCCTCGCTCACACAAGACGAGGGTCTCGAGGACGGCGATGCCTCTGCCTCCCTGCCGACCAAGCAGGATGAGGAGTTCCGCCCCTTTATCCGCCGCCTCCCGGAGTTCAAGTTCTGGTACGACGCGACCCGCGCCATCACCATCGCCTTCGTCTGCTCCTGGCTCTCTGTCTTTGATATCCCCGTCTTCTGGCCCGTCTTGGTCGTCTACTGGATCGTCCTGTTTGTCTTGACCAGTAAGTTCTTCTTTTTCGTTTCCCCGGCTTCTCCTTTCTTTCCCCCCTCTCCCTTTCTCTTCTAATCCTCGATCTTAGTGCGCCGCCAAATCCAACACATGATCAAGTATCGCTATGTCCCTTTCTCCTTCGGCAAGACGAGATACGGTAGATCGTAGGAGAGACTTATGGCTTGACATGTGAACCTGGAGGAACAGTCTTAAAACTTACCCATGTTCCTCTCTTTGTGTCCCTTTTTTTTGACGCTATATGATTGAATGGCAGTGCCCGAGTCACAGCACATGCATGACCTGCAGAAAATCATTGTTTCATCTATTTTAATCTTTTTTCTTTCTTTTTTCTATTGTTATTATCATCATTCCCCCCCCCCCTCTTTATTGTTCCACGTTTCAGAAACAGCAGAGAGGTATACTTCTGACCCTACTCTGACCCTTGTGCTCCCAAATCAATTACTAGATTAGGTATACTCATTTGGTTTGGGTTGGTTTTTTTTTTTTTTTCGGACGACAGGGGGGGAGGGTTGGTTGGTTCCTTTTTTCCCCCTTTTCTTTTCTCTGTATAATGTTAAGCCATCTGCTTGGTTAGCAGAGTTACTAGCCGATGATAATGGTGTATGAATTAGATTTACCTTGGATTCGTTCTTCAGATGTACGAGAATAGTATCCCCCATGGGCAGACAAAAATAATAGGATGGAGGACATAATTTTCATTCATTGGTATCAAGCTAAGTAATAAGTCTCATCGCCAGGTAAACTCCTATTTACAAGATCGGAAAACAAGAGTTCTAGGATGAAACAGTGGAGAAGAAGTGTTCGTTGAGGTGACAATAGGGTTGATAGAATCTTGCCAGAAGATTCTGTTCGTCAGGATTAGATTACAAGGTGTTCCACGCTATTCGACCGTTTCTCGCTGCCGTTATTCAACGACAAGGATGATATTGTCCTTCCAGACGATGGCCGTTCCAGCTCTGCCGTCTTGGTCAAGATCCAGGCTGAAGCATACATGTTGACCCTATATTTTTTTTTTCTGTCAGCACTCTTTCTTGGGAGAGAAGGAGAATCGAGGAAACTCACCGGTCAATACACGTTCCACGGAATCTGGCACCCACACGACGCGGTGTGAAGCCGTTATCTTGGAAGTGTTTGATATACCACGGATCAATACTGGCCGTTCGCAGGAGGACACGGCCTCCCATCTTCAGGGCATGGTTCAGTCTCCTGGCTTGTTGGGCGGCTTCGTCTCCCTTGGGATCGAACCAGTCCATGGAGTCCATAACCTGACAAATCCATCAATAAACCAAGACAAGCTAGAAGGGGGGTAGTACAAGCATGACTTACGACTGCAATGGTCAGAGTTCCTGGAGTGATCCGGTTAATCACCTCGTTGATCTCATCAGTGTGAATCCGAAGGCCGTCAAAAGCACCAGGCGTGGACAGCTTCACATGCGCCTTGGGCGAAAGGTAGGTCGGGTGACATCTGGAACCGGATCAGTTAGTGAGTGTGACATAAGACGGTTGAGGGTAAATGAGACTTACTTTCTCGAAAACTGTCCACGTAGACACAGGTAGTAGAAGTAGTTGTCGTGGCTGATCAAAGTATCCTGGATCACAGGGTCCAGCGTATCAACCACGTACTCCCAGATGGACTGCCCGCTCACATCGGCCGCCTTCTTCATGGCCTCGGTCAGGCCGTTTCTCTTCATGTAGTCATCAACAATCATGTTCCGCTGGTTGCGAGGCACACCGGCGGCCTTCCAGGCGAACCACTCAGTGCTGACGATCGCCCAGTTGAGAGGCTTGCTCAGGAGTACACGGCGAAGGCGCGGCCAGATCTCCCGCTGTTCATTGAGGGTCTGTGCCTCGCAGAGTTTCTGTACCTCGGCCTCCAGGCCAAAGAGTCGGAACAAGTGACGGACCATCTTGATTGCGATACGAGAACCACCGGTCTCGTAAAGACCCCTGCCCTTGGTTGAGGTGAAGACATGAGAATGCTCTAGCCAGTACTGGAACGCTTGGCTCGAAAGGTGAGGGCTCAGTTTGTTGATCAAGAGTTCACGGAATTCGGCATGTTTCCCGTCACCAAAGATCTTCCAGACATCGCGATGACCAAGGGCCATGAAGCTCGCAACCTTCAGTTCCAGCAGGTGGTTCTGGTTCGGGTTCAGATCGACGGCGTGGACTCGGCGGGGGCTCTTTTGCAGGTAATCCAGGATATTGTCACCAGCGCTGGTGATGGCGAGAATGACATCGTCACTGCCAATGTTCAACAGACGGTGGTCTACGCGAGGGTCCTCCCAGTTGAAGGCGTAGATATATTCGTTCTTGAACTGGGTGTGCTTGGGAAGGAGGTCATTGTAGAAGATGCGGTGGTGGTGGTTCTGGTAGAAGGAGGACGGGAGAGGAAGGTTTGAGCCCAGGTTGATCACTGCCGACTCGTAGGCCTTGGACCGGATCTCACGCGTGCTTTGCTCAACGGCCTTGTCCATCTCCTGGAGGTGGTTGGCGGGAGATAGGTAGGGCGATTCGGTGAACGAGGCATCAAGCTCCTCGATCGCCTCGTGGCTCGAAGGGCCCGAGGCAATTTCCTTCTGGCAGCCGATGAAGATGTAGTAAGGAATGCCACCGAGGAGGTAATTTCTGTTGCTGGCCGAGATGACGGTTCCGAAGCGGTATTCCAGGTAATCTCTGCGGGCAGCCTCCAGGCTCACGCGATCCACATCGAACCAGGCACGCCAGAAAACACGAGCGAGCCAATTGACGTGGCGGTTGAAGGCACCGCCGATATAGTTGCGGGAAGATACGTCGACAATGCTTTGGACTACCCTCTTGTGTCAGTGCTGCGAATAAGTTTAGATGCGGGTAAACAGGTCCTACCGTAGAAATCGCAAGCACCAATGACACCTTCGGGCTTCAATAAGGAGGTGAGAGAGTCGACCACGCTGTAGTAGTCTAAAGTGAAGGTTAGTCAAAAAGAAAAAGCAGCACTGAGAACGATTGGGTTCGAATGCTGACCTGGGATCATGGACAGACTGTAGCTCATGGTCACAATGTCTGCGCCTCCGGTTTGGGGCTCCTTAGTCGTAGGGCTAACGTTTTCATCTTGAGGGAGACGGAAAGCGCGGGCATCCTGACAGACAACACTGACGTTCTTCCATCCCAACCGCTCGAAGCGCTTGCGAGCGACGTCACAAAGGGAAGGGGACAGATCCACCAGGTAAACATGCTTGAAGAAGGTTTGAACGGGGACAAAGGCGGCCATGGCCTCGATATTGTAACTGTCGAGCGATTAGCGGGTGCTTCTCATGAGCTGGTATATATTTGTTGAGCGAAGATCGGGGTTCCTACCCAGTGCCACCACCAATCTATAATTCCACAGTCAGTCATTGAAGCTGCCGGAGGAGGCTTTCATTTTCTTACATCAACCCAGACGGCCTCGCCAGGCTTGAGTTTGTTGGCATCCTGTTTATACTTCAATTGAGCAGCCAACAGCCCCAGCATGTCCTCCCGACCACGAAGAAGGCGCTTGCGAGTCGCATCGTAGACGGCGGCCTGAAGCAAACATGATTAGAAGAATCCTGAGATTTCACATAATTTTCCGCCATACCTGAGTCTTGTAGAAGCTCTCCAATGCCTCCTGCTGGCCCTCGCCGTTCTGCTTATGCGGTTTGAGGAAGGTAGCGTAGGCAAACTTGCAGAAGCTCACAATTCCACTCTCCTGACCAGTCTTGGACTTTTGGAAGGACAAAAGAAGCACCGAGACAAGGGTAGCACTGACGAACAGTGCCGCGCCGGCAATATACAGATGTGGTTCACCCATGCTGCAAGCAATTGCCGAGACCAAGTGAAGGGGAGAGAGAGAGAGAGAGAGAGAGAGAGAGGGCAATGAGAAGAGAGGAGAGAGGAGAGAGGAGAGAGAGGCACAAGACAGCGCACACGATTTGTATCCGTAAGCGTCAACTGGACAGACAGACAGACACCACGGACAATTAGCGGACGCAGCTCTGTAGAAAGCGAGGGACGGCGCAGTCTTCTTCTTGAAGGCGAGAGGGAGCTTCACCTGGAGAGCACGAGGCCACGCCCCACCACACCCCTCGTCACGAAAGCTGGCCGCCGGGAGCTGGACAGCATCACGATGTCCTATCAGGACGACACATGGGCCCCGAGACCGATGAAAATGGACTGCGGGTCGGCGACTGGGCCGTGGCGGAGAAGAGAGACGATCCTCTTGGGTAGGAGCCTTAGAAGTTAGGAGCCTTGACTCCCCCCCTTCGTTATTGGTGCGTAGAGGGTTTGAGTTAGATCTCTAGGGCTGCTGGAGAGAGGGTGCCTGAGGCTTATCCGGATAAGGAAGCGGCCTCGTTGGACGGGCTGGTCTCTGCGCAGTGGCTACGACCAGACCAGAGGAGGGCGCCCCGGAACGAGCAAGTAGGAGGGCAGCGCGGTAGCCCGTGCGGATTTCCATCGTCACAGACATTCCTGGGGCTTTCCCTTGGGCAATGTCGCTGCTTCCTTTATCGCGACTCTTGACGGCACTGCGTCTGCAGGCCCGTTGGCGGTGGGCAGCGGGCAGAGCCAATCAGCAGCCGAGCTGTCGGCACACCTCTGGGATGCTCTCTTCGGGTGGGAGAGAGCTCATGTCTGGCACAAACTTTCCACGGCCGAATCATGACGGTCAAAAGCACATCGCTGTCGCACGGGATTCTGTAATTAGCTGGCGGATCCTAGGGTGTTCCATGGGTGCATCTTTGCGTATGAGGGGATACCTACCGTAGGTAGTAGTACCAGTATGTAGTACCTACAGGCTACAGGGTTAAGGTATGTACCTAGATGGTAGTAACTACTAGTACTACTGTACTCCGTACTGAACTCTGGCTACGAGGGAGTACGCTGTATCTACGGAGGATTTAGGTATCGTACAAGTAGCTACCTGGCAGTAGTCACTACTACATAAGCACGGTTGATCTACGGGGTACAGACTCGAAAGTGGATAAGACTACCCAGGTAGCTGACTACTAATAATAAACATGGAGTACCAGGTAGTACCCGTATCCCGCGTTCTTAGTAGAGTCCAGATTTACAAAGAAAGTGCTCTGTCTGATATCCATTGGATTCTTACCTTACACTTTATATCACTACCTAGGTATTTAGTATATAGAGTCCTGTCTCTTCCGGCAAAGGAATCAAAGAGTGTCCTTCGTATCAAGACCAAAATAGTTAGACTGGAACTAACTACCACGTAGTTACTCCGCACTCTGTACACTTATCAGTACTAGCTAGGTCTTACAGTTACATGGCAGATGAGGCGTCTCGCTAAGATTGTTTTCGTGGCTGGTCGGCATCAAAATACTACATAGTCGGGTGTGACCGGCCTCTTCCCAACAAAACTTGGGCATTTATAGTCGGTCAGTCGATCGACCCCATATTCTTGGTATTTTCAATACCATTTTAGTACTGACGATAACCCACCGGAGTTATTTGGCCATCATAAAACCATTATTGAAAAAATGTCCGTCGACCTGATAAGAGGGTCTCGCTGTTTGACCGCAAGTTCTGGCCAGTTGCCTAGCCGTGGTAACTACCTAGGTAGTTGGTCGTCTTGCGCATTCACAGTTCGGCCGGTATGCTTTCGACTCGACATTCCGCCGTGCAAAACTCTGGCCCTCGACCATAAAGCGAATCCTTCCAGGCCTCAATGACATGCTATCCACCCAATATTTCCTTCCTGGCGGACGCTAGGAGCTTGTTCGCCTGGCCAAAGGATCCAACTTGCCATCAGTGGTATCCTTTTATTGTGTTTCAGCATAGAGACCAATTCGCCACCAATATCGAACTTGGAGTGAACTCAAGAATTCAATTTGAACGCCAAGAATGATTAACGCCTCGCTAATTGAATCAAAGTTGGGTTCTCTCTGGCATGCCGATAGAAGAGTGCTGTTGAGTGCCTGCAGAGAGAGTGCCCAGCTTCATCTATCCATGACTCCAACCTTGCCATGTGAACCCAGATTTAAGACAAGAAACCAGTACAATGGGACAGGGTAAATAATGAACAGAAACCACGTCTCGGTGGCTTTGAGTCGGGTACTATCATACAGAGATATGAGAGCAGGATCTTGGGACGGAAATTGAGGGGAACGAGCCAGAGAGGAACGAGTCACGGTGGATAGGCGGCTGCAAACGGGTCAAGTTGCAACCTTATATGACGCTGGCTGACTCGAAAGAACCATGATTTTTGATGATGGTCATGCATTCGTGGATTTGCCTGGATAGAAATGCCGCGTTTCTGCGTTCAGCTTCGGAGATGGTGGGATCATTCGCCTCCTTGGTCCAGAATGCGGCCGTTGTGTTACATACAGTGAGTATGCTCTGACCTTTGTGGTTTCGGGCATAGATGTTGGCGCCGTACCGTAGTAGAACTGACACGCAGTCAACACGGCCTTGATAGCTGGCCAGGAAGAGTACGGTTTCGCCGAACCTGGTTGGCAACTCGGGGTCTGCCCTTCTAGAGATATCATAGTTACCACTGCTACCACGTGCCCCTCTCAGAAGCATTTCTAAATGTCGACACGTTCTCCCAGGGTCAGGGTCAATATCAGGGTCCAACAGAGGCAGATCCATCAATGTATGGAGAGGGGTAAACCCCTCTCGGTTATAGTGGTTGGGATCGCCACCACGTCTGAGCCAACCCAAAAAGTCCGGGGTATAAGAGTTGTTAAAATATGAAATCACGGCCAGCAAGTGAAACACGTTGTTGCCGAGGTCGTCTTCTTCAAACGTCGGGTCGTTCACAAACTTCTCTGCAGACTTCAACCATAGTTCCGGAGCTTCAAAGTACCACTGGAGGAAGGTTGGTGCGCGGGCGTTGCTTAATGCTACCGCACATTCATTGAGAGGTGAGATCATACAAGACCTGCGGCCAGTTATCCCAGCCAGCAAACTTGGATCCACTTTGGTCAGTATTTCGCGGCTGCCCTTGAGGGCTTCCAAATATTCCTGGGGGGTTCTTCCAAAAGCATCTCGCATGGTCTGTGAAACACCGCTTTCTATAAAAATACGGCAAATCCTTTTGCAGACTTCATCCGGTACATCGTGTTCATAAAGCCGATGCAGTGCTGTTCGGCCAAAGATGTCCCGTTCTTGCAGATCGAATCCACGCCGTTTGAGGTCTAGAAATAGCTCATACAGCTGATGCTGCATTCTGTTCGGGTTCAGAACGTGAAGAAAGGTCTCTCCATTGGCATTTTTGTGGCTAGGATCCACTCCGGCATCCAGGAGTGGCATAAGAGATTCGAATGTGGCTTGTCCATTGGCAGAATAGAAATGAAGTATAGTGTTTCCAAAGCAATCCTTCTTGTTTATTGCCGTTGAAAGAAATCCAGGAGAGACCAGCATGTCAAGAATTTTGCCAGGAGCTGTCATGGCATGAACATGGATAGGGTCCATAAAACAAACACGACAAACCGGGAGAAGGCCCTGGCCATTGCTTTGACAACACGCTCTGGTGGTTGGAGAGGCATGATCACGGTTCTTTGCCTGGAGGACGTAAATCCTGAGATTCTCGTAAAAGTCTTGAGGAAGCTGAGGGGTTGGGGGTGTCATTGCATATGTGATTCGAGTCTTCTGAGAAGGCGATGGGTTGACTTGCAGGTCGGCGGGGTTCTGTTCTTCAGCGTCATGAGTCTCTGCTGGAGACCATTTCCGTGTACACAGGACTCCCCATTTCTTCAATTGATTCTGACACGATCGTCGGCTATCATGGAGATTGGGGAACCGTGAGCAAGCATATACCAAGTGGCAACGAGACTTGATTTACCATGCATCCAAACCGTGGCTGCGGTTTCTCGTTTCGATTTCTTCCCAAGACTTTCTGGAATGGTAATCTTCGATGAGCCTTGGCTTATGAGGATCCCAGTCGTACATAGAGACGGGTCTGGTTCGAAAGTGACAGACTTTTGGGGAAGGGGGAAGCCTAAACACCACTTGCTAATGCATCAGACACTGCAACCTAAACTCTTCCTATGCTAACTAGAGAATGGAAAGCACAAACCTACAAGAAGAAGAATCCGTGCTCTTGTCTCCGAGTCCCAAGTATCACCTTGGCTATCCAATAATGAAGGAGTGGAGAGAAAGTGAACGACTAGTAATGGACGAGTCGTTGGTGCAGAGATATCTTCCAAACCAGGTATATTATAAGAGCAAAGAGTATTCGAAAAGAAAAAAGAATAACGGCTCGTCATATTGGAAGCCAGCGTCTTTAAATAATGATTCAATTTGGGGAGAGAATGAATTGACTGAAGACCAAGGCCGATTTTTTTGGAGCCTCAATTCTTTCACTGCACTTTGCACAGCCAATGTCCAGCTCAACCCAAGGCCTATCATATTCAAGATCAACTACAGCTGGTGAGAAAGAATGCCTGTCTGGTACTGGGTGCCACGTCGTGGCGCCCTACCTGACCCTGTGAAATGTTTTGGTGAAGAAAGCCTAGAGCGATGCCTTGGACTGCATTGGGCTCTATTACAGATGATGCCTTGGGTGAAGAGGGGAAAAGTGCAAAATTCCAGTCACATGCAGCTTGCTAGCTTGGGAATTGCACTTTCCTCCCCATCAGTGCAATAAATTGGGCTTTTTTCACTTGATATGCTGGACAAGGCTGAGGTATTGGGCATAAACTAAAAGCAATCCGAGAGATGCCCAAATCTACTCCGGGTTCAGGTTCCATCGCCAAAGGCAGCTTAGGAATCAGCAAAGGTGAGCAGATTATAGACTGCAGAAGCATACATAAAATGCTAACCCGCAATCCTTTTGATGGCGACCTTGCAGAAGGCAAATACCAAGGCTACATATATTTCTCCCAAGCCGACGGTACTGCTGCAACTGCCGAATATGCAATCAGACTGCTTTATTGCGGACTATGTCGACGGGACTAGGATGCGAGAGGGAGAGGAAATCACCGACGCCTATTATAATCGAAGAGAACACGGCATCCAGACGTGTGATGATTGTGGGACCGAAAGAGATGACTCGATGAAGCAAACAAGGTCTTGCGTTGCGGTTTCGAGCCCTGACAAAGTCCCTCCGTCTATTCTGACCATATCGCCATCTGGTCAACACCAGGAAGGAATATCTTGCCTCTCCCCTAGCCGGGGTTTCGGTACAACAAGATCGGGTTTTTTGGTCGGCGTCTCATCTATATTTTTATCGAGTCAGTCGCATCATTCGTCTCGAATGGACGGACCAATATTGAAATCTTCATATCCGAGCATTGAAAGCAATATGGTTTTTCCAGACACAAGCTCGACGGTTCTTGGAGACAGCCTTGGAAGGATGTGAGCGGTCCCCTGTTTCGTCTTCTTAGATAAAGTAACTAACGCCTCATTCTCTCAGTCATCATCTATCGATACGACATCTTCGAGGTGCAACTGAAATCAATAAGACAATCGAGAACATCCCCGTTGCGAAATATAAACCACGAAAGATGCATGCAGAGAACAAGAACCGGGATAGTATCGTCCACCGCATAGAAAGGGAATGTTGTGGCTATCCGTCAAATATTATATCCTTGGCTGGCCACGGAAGAATGGTTGAAAGCTGTGATAAATCGTTCCCAAACCCGATGAAAACGACCATACCCACAATGATCGAAGGCTATTCGGATCAAGCCATACACGGTAGGACCCAATACACACTACCTATCAGGTCTCCATCCAAACCGCTTGGGTATATTGATAACGTCTTGCCTTCCACTACGTGCCTGGACCAGGGCAAACAACGCAACGAGAGTCACCCTTCTAATACAGGAAGGGCAGGCATATTGAATGCTCTAAATTCTATCTCTCAAAGATGTGAGATTTCTCAGGGATGTCAAAGCAAGTGTTGGTCTCCAGATCCTCCATGCAAGACTCTGCAAAGTATAGGAGACAAAATTCATTTTGCGACCTCTTGGGAAGAAACCCCATCTGAATTTGCATGCCTAGGAGATGTATCCTCGAAATTTAAGATCGCTGGGGCCAAATACCGGCCATCTGAGCCGCAGGCTGAATCTCATACGAGATCAAGTCTCGAAGATGGCCAGAGAAAGATCGAACCGGCTGATGTGGATGATTGTTCTGGATGTGCTGGGAAACATGACGACACAGGTTATGAAATAAAACTCGCGCTTCTTCGGCAACGCAAGAAGCGGCGTTTGATGATGATGCGTTCTTGATATATTGCCTTGCGGTATCTGGTGACAGCGATAACGGCAATCAACTTTCTCGGTGTGTTCGAAAGGGTACGTATGTTTCATTCTAGACAGAGGATTTGATGTACGACAGTGCATATGCATAGTCTTTCATTTACTCCGGGATCTTCAAGACGGCCCTGCCATCAATAGCGGCTGCCTCCAGCCTGTCAAAGACCTCGTTGATCATGGAAAGGTCAAAGACTTCAATATGGGCTTTGACATCCCCTGCCACGGCCATTTCCATCAGCTCAGCCATCTCCTTGGCTGTTCCTGCAGAGTTTCCAACAATTGTGAGGCCTGTGTGGGAGATAGTCAAAAAGAGGGAGAAGAAGCAACTCCATGGATCAAATGTCAACTAGCTTACCCTTGACAATCATGTCGAATGGTGTAGCTGGCAGCCGAAACGGTACATTTGGGATACCAACACAGACCAAGACCCCGAGCCTTCGGAGCATCCGCATGCTCTGCATATAGGCAGACTCGCTATTGGCGGTGCATATCACTGCGTGTGCCCCTAGCCCGGCAGTTAGAGCCTTGACCTCGCTTTCCACGTCGTCGGCCCTATAGTCGAGGAACTTTGAGGCACCCAGTGATAGACATAACTGTTTTTTCTTTTCTCCACTGGAACGAAATCGATATCAGCGGTCATTTAGACTAACACTGAGGCGTGTGGGGGGGCATACCTGTCGACTGCAATAACCTTTAGGCCCTTCTTGACTGCTATTTGAACCCCCCTATAGTGGTTATCAGAAAATTGCACAGGAGAGCAGGTCTTAACTATCTAGGGTGGAGGAGCATTACATGTGGCCGAGACCGCCGCCCGCCCCAGGCAAAACGATCCAGTCTCCCGGTCTAGTTCTCGTTTTCATAATGGAGGAGTACATTGCAATTCCGGCTAGTTGAAAGATGGTCAGCGGGACACTCTCGATGTCGATCGTCAACGGGCTACCGGGAATATATATACGTACCACACAACAGCGGAGCAGCTGTGTCCGGGGGAAGTTCTGAAGGGATGCTGGTGACATGGATTGCAGGGCTAACGATATATTCTGGGAGGGGTTTTCTCAATGAAATCCCACCAGCAGTTGGGGTTGGATTTGGCAAGGGTTTGCTTACGCTGGAAGGTCCCGGGGACATTCTACACGATGTTAATATGATGGTCTCACAATTTAGTTGCCCTCGTCAATGGGAGTACTACTTACAGCACCGGCATTCTTCTGGTACGGACATGCTGTATTGTTGATTTCACAGATCTCGCAGCTCAAACAGGAGCTATATAGCCATCTAGTTGTATTTATAGGTTAGCAGTAGAAGATTACCGAAAAAGCAGGGAATATTAGTATTCATCTAACCGGATCCCAACCCTTTTATCCCTCCATTCGCTTTCGTCAAGACTGGCTCCGACTAGACGATTAGTACACGGTTAATAAAATATAAACAACACAAGGGCCAGACGCCTGGTTGGTACATAGCAAGCAAGCAAATAAATACCTTTGACTACCCTCCCCACCCCCTCATGCCCTGCCACATCCGTCAACATAGGCGTCTCGCCGCGAATACTGTGCAGGTCTGAATGACAGACGCCAGAGTACTCAAGTTTCACAAGCAGTTCGTCATCTGCGGGGACAGGGATGGGATGGTCTGTTGTGATGCGGAGGACGGTGTCTGCTGAGGCGCCAGAGGAGGGGACGATGGCTGCTATCTGTGTCTGTGCCATTCTGACAAAGATATACGTCTTTTATTCAGATATTAGTGGTATTCCTGAGATTTTGGAATTTAGAAATGACTATGACTTTGAATTCACTTTCTTAAAGACGAGGGCGGAGGTAGTGGGGTTAGTGGACTCGACCCTGGAGATAAGAGATGACAGGGTTTGGTATCCTAGCCATCTTCTATGATGGACGAATAGCTGGGAGATGAACTCATTGACTAGAATCTTATGAGTCCTGTAGCCAGCTGTCTACACTCGATGAGTCTAGTAGTATGTATGTATAGGTATCGATTGTCATTTCATGTATTAATAAAGTGTACCATGGAGAGAAGAGCTGCCGTGGATGGATTATAAAAAAGATCATCTTTTAGAGCTCCTGGTCACGGAACCAAGATGCCATATAGATAGATTTGTAACGGAGGTCCCACTCAGCCACTGGGTGCTGGGCCTGGTCTCACGTGTTGGGAATAAGTGTGAAGTATACCAAAGGTCGAAGCCGGCTCTCAAGACGAGTATGACATAAAGACGCCCAGCGCTTATGCGTTTTCCGATTGCAGAGTTTGCTGGGGTAGAGCAATGCGATTAGTCCAGATGCTAAAGGTCGGGAGGCAGGGGGAAGACTTACCACCAACCAATCCATGCCTTCGTTGATACCCTTGCCATCGATGGCTGAGCATGCAACAATACTCCAATTGCGATCCCGGAGTTCTCCTAGCTTCAACGCCTCTGAGATCTCGCCCGCACCCTTGGCTCCCGGTTGATCTTGCTTGTTGGCAAACACCAGGAGAGCTGCATCACGGAGCTCCTCTTCGTCCAGCATAGCCGCGAGCTCATCTGCGGCAATGCCTAGCCGCTCAATATCGGTGGAGTCGATGACAAACACCACTGCCGCCGTGTTTGCGTAGTAGCATCGCCAGTAGGGACGGATGGATGTTTGGCCTCCGAGATCCTAGAACAAAAGATCACCTGTGTCAGCGCTGACACGGGATATTTTCAACATAGAAAAGACACCCAACATACCCAGACGTTAAAATTCAGGTTCTTGTATGTCACCGACTCCACGTTGAAGCCAATTGTCGGTATCGTCGTGACCACTTCACCAACCTGTCGATCCGAGACGTTGTATTAGCGCGCTGGCTCCCTCCAAAAATAAATCGCCGGACAAAAACACAAAGCACGGAAGGGTAGGTGCATGCGGATCGGACCTTGAGTCTGTAAAGAAGCGTTGTCTTTCCTGCGTTATCCTACATCCAACCACAAAGGCGTCGGTCAGCATTCGTTTTCCAGCCACGTATTCTCACCACCGCCTGGGCAACGCACAAGTCCAAGAATCAGAATGCGGATCTCCTTCTTGGTCCACAGGAGTGACCATAAGCGTGATACCGAAACCCCCATTATTTTGTGCTGCTGAAGGTAGAATAGCAGTTGAGAGGAGACGGTGCGGGCAACAGCAGAACTGCCAGCAGTGGCCGTGGCAGAGAGTAATGAAGGGAAGCGTATTCTAGAAAACCAAATATTAACCCCAGCAAATACCAAGAGGGTTCAAGACATTCCTGATAGGAAAGTACAAGGATCCCAGCAGCTATCTACTTACTCCTCAGAATAATACTTGTGTAGACGTTCGATCGCATGATGACTAACCCTGCCGATCCGCCTGGCCCAAGCTCACCACGGTTCAGGGAGCAAAGGGAAGCGGGCGGAAGGGCTGGACCTGCTCCTGCGCAGAGCCGCTGCTGCGATTGTGGTAGAAAACTATCGCTTCTTGTCGCCAAACAGTGTGTGCCTTGTTATTTGAGCGGACCGCCTCCTGAATCGAACGAGAAATAAGCATCTCGCGCGAATAAATCGGATATACAAGGACTACCTATCTGCACTGCTACAATTTTCGGCTCTCCAGGCGGAGAGAAGGACATCATGGTCGGCAAAAAGTCTGGGAAGGCTCTCCTTCGGGATGAGGGTATGCGCTGTGTCGCCAGTCTGAGGTGCATAGAGAGGGCGAATAGCTGACTGCTGGATGCTTCCTACAGGTCTCGAGCGGACAGACAACAACATGGAGTTATCGAGCTGGCCTCAGATAGCAGCGATCAACCAGAAGAACTACTATACGTACGTAGCGGCACACTGCGTCAGGGGACGATGGCGAATTTCATTGCCCTTTCTTTCTGCTTTGTCTTTTTCCACCGATCTGGTATCAATTGAGCATTTGGCTGACCCTCCGTCCTCGCATAGTGACTATCTCAAACGCGATGATCAGTTCCTGGCGTTTCGCCTTCAAAACGAAGAAGCTAGGAACAAAATGACCAAAACCGCAAAAGATCGCGATCGCGCGTTAGCAATGGGGAAGACTGCGGACATGGTTGAGGGCGATATGGAAATGGACGGAGATGCGAATATGGAGGAGGCTGAGGAGGTACAGGCTGAGACGGTCGGGTCAAAAGTCATTGTGATACACGTGGGGAGTCAAAATCTGCGCATCGGCCTGGCCAGCGATGCCTTGCCCAAGACAATACCAATGGTTATCGCAAGAAAGTCCCCGACTAGCGAATCCGAAGACCGTGAACAGCCCAATCCGAAGAGAGTGAAGTTGGATGACGGGTCACCGACGGAGCCGGAGAAGATGTTTGGCCCCGAGGTTCGTATGAAATGCCTTTTTCTTCTCAAGAATTTCTTGTTAATTTGGCCTGTTGCAGTTCTCTACCCAGTATACGTCCATGTGCTCGGATCTCAAGGCCCACATGAGGTTGAATAAGAGGAGGACCCTTCCTAATTCCAAGGAGATGGTGATCAATTACAACCGGAGAACCGTCCCGGAAAACATCCCAGAACACAACGATCCCATGCGTATCGATTGGACAGAAATCCAAGACTCTGCCCCGGAGTACGTCGTTGGACAGCAAGCTCTACGGATCCCGGACTCATCGAAGCCTCGCTACAAGCTTTACTGGCCGATCAAGCACGGTGTCCCTAACGAGAAGGATTACAACAACAAGCGCCTCCTTTTTCTGGACATGTCTCTGATTTTTGAAGATGCCATCATGAACCAATTAGGACTAACCAGTAAGAAAGAATGGTCACAATTCTCGTGCGTCTTTGTCATTCCCGATCTCTACGAAAGGTCCTATGTGACACAAGTCCTGGAAATGCTTATGAGAGAGTTCTCTTTCGCCCGAAGCTGCTTCATCCAGGAGAGCTTGGCAGCGACTTTTGGTGCCGGCTTCACTTCCGCCTGTGTGGTCGACATTGGCGCTCAGAAAACATCCATCTGCTGCGTCGAGGAAGGCATGTGCATCGAGAATTCTCGAGTGAATCTGAAATACGGCGGTTATGATGTGACGGAAACTTTCATCAAAATGATGCTCTATGACCACTTCCCTTATGCCGAGATCAATCTGTGGCGCCGATACGACTTTCTCCTGGCAGAGGAGCTCAAGAAAAATGTTTGCACGATGAATGAAGCGAGTGTTTCTGTACAATTATTTGATTTTCACCTTCGCGTGGCCGGCCAAGACACGTGGAAGTACACGTTCAAGGCATACGACGAGGTTCATCTGGCTCCCATGGGTTACTTCCAGCCTTCGATTTTTGATAACATCGAGAAGCTGGAAGGTCGGAGGAAATTGATCTCGCGCTCGGTTGACATTTACGACGGCCAACCGAACGACCCTGTTTCAGCAGCTCAATCCGAGATTTTGACCGAGATCGCGCCTCTGCCTACAGTCAGTCAGCCGAACGGGGAGTCTCAGTCAAACAGTTTGGATGTACAAGCAACTCCCAGCCGCTCACAGCAGGTGAACGCCCTTAGCCGTGTTCAGGAGCTGGACGCCACGCCTCACTCGTCAGTCGCCGGCTCCCCTGCTCCCGAGGTTGTTGGCACCCCCCAAGCGGGTGGGACTGGCACACCAAGCTTTGGCGGGCCAGGCCAAGGCGCATCGACACGTGCGCCTGTAATCGAAGACCGAGATGACATTTTGCCCGTATTTCCTCTCGACAACGCAATCTTGACGTCAATCGCGCATGCTGCACGCTCTGACGAGCGCAAAATTCGAGACTTTATGGGCGGTATCATGGTCGTCGGAGGAGGCAGCATGATCAACGGCCTCCATCCCTTCCTCGAGGAGCGTCTCCAGCAGCTCCGGCCTGGTTTTGCAAAAGAAATCATGATCGGAACGCCTCCTCGAGAATTGGACCCCCAGGTCGTGGTTTGGAAAGGCGCCAGCGTCTTCGGCAAGCTGAACGCAACAAATGACAGCTGGATCGGACAACTCGAATACGACAGACTGGGCCATAGGCTATTGGCATACAAGTGCATGTGGTCTTATTGAAAGACGAATGCCCTCTTCTTTTTCTGCTTGATTTTCTGATGTTTTCAACTATTGGTTCTATGATATCCTGGGCTTTGAGTAACAATATGGAGAGTTTGGCGAATATCACGGCTGTCGTATGGTAGCAGACACATAGGCATTAATTAGAGTCAAATCTCTAAATAAAATGTCACACTTTTCATACATATTTTCACAATACATTTGGATCTGCTATAGATATTTCAATTCCAAACACTATAGATTGCATTCAGCTTATGTAATGAATAAACAATGGGCGGTGAGAAGCTGCAGAATGGATGGCAGATTCACCACTTAGAGGAGGTTGGTGTGTGAATTCAACCGGTCAGCGCAACGGTCAGGCTCGCTGGGGCTTCAGATTCCTACTAATAGGTTGTGTGTATACTGTTTTTCCAGTTCGCTTGGTCAGTGTTACTGTCTATCGCACTTCGAAATCAAGTCATCCTTCCCCACGGTAGCCCCGGTACAACGACAGGCGCCATGTCGAAATCGAAAGACGGCCGCTCCATGGAGGGCTCTCACCAGGATTACATCGCATCGCTGCGCTACCGAAATGATCTGCCACCACCTGATATCCCTCCGAAATTCCTCGATATCCCACATGAGGGGCTGGAACGGTTTCTGACCCCAGGCTTTGCCTCGAACCTGGCGCGGCGCGAGGAGCCGAATGTCGACGTCGACGCTGAAGGTGGAATGCCAATTGATCTAGTGGGTATTCCAGGGCTTCATCTCGGTGATGAAAGCGGTATGATGATTATCTCCTCCCTCCTCCTTTTTTCTGGCTGCCGTGAACGTGGCTAAACATGATGTTTTGTGTAGCGATCATGGCCCCCGAAACCGCACCGCCTGTCGACCCGGCTGACCTTCCGCTGCTTATGACGCTGGATCAACTAAGAAACCCGGCTCCCAAGAACGTCAATGTCAGTTTCCTGCGTCGCACACAGTACATTTCGGCGGGCAACCGCGGGACGGAAGGGATGAAAGTTACTTCAGGTCGAGTGAAGCCGCGGCCACAGGACAAAACCAAAGTATCTCTGGACGACCCTAGCTACATCAAAAAATACATCCAGAAAGGATTCGACATTGCATACCCAGGAAGCAAGCATTCCGGCGAAGAGACAGCGAGCAAGATCAAAGGGCACTCGGCTTCTAAGGCTGACCTTGACGCGTGGGCTCACCCTGTGCACCCGAGTAACCCAAAGCTGAAACCGGTCGGTTTCTATCCTCTCCTGCCGGATCTTCAAGGATTCCCGGATCCTGGAGGATTCGTCCAGTTCAAGTTTGACAAGGCTCCTATCCCAACTAAGCCTGGAAGACGTGACCGGCGCATGGACGTCGCGATCCTTCTTCCCTCCGCTCCTGAAGAGCGCATCTGCCAAGAACATGCGACAAAGGTGACACTACACAAGTCTAACCCCAGTCGCTACCCCGACCCGGGTCCTGTTCCTTGGGACTACGACTTGTTTTTGCCGGAGAAGGAGGGGTCGATTACGAATGTTATGGCAAGCTTAAGACTATCCAACCCGGACCGGAATGACGAGGGCTTGTACACGCACGAAGGCCAGGATGACACCAAGTTCCACCGTTTCGACCGTGTGCGGACATTTGCCACGAGCTCACAAACCCTTGGTAACGACCAGAAGCAGAGAGATGTTGCGATGGTGATTTTCGACCCCGCAGAAGCCAGGGTAGATCAGATGGACCCCGCCCAGGCCAAGCAGAAAGCCGCCTATTACTACCCGATTCTGGGCAAGACACGTTTGAAGCCTGAACGATCACGCACCATTGCCCAATCAGGACTGAGCTCTTCGAAGCCCAAGGCGAGAGAAGACCAAGTCGACCAGATTCAAGTTCTCGTCCGAGATCCCGATGAGGCCGAAACATATAAACGAGCCCTGCACCGCGCTGCAATCGACCCCCAATTCGCCAAGTCCATGCCACCGCCTCCCGCTGAGCCCGTCGATGAAGACCACGAATCGCCGGGTGAAAACGAGCAAGGCATGCAGCATCAGACCCAGATACAAGAGGATGACAACGACGACCGAATGAGCGAGGATTAATTTCTGACATCAGAAAGCTCGCACAAACCTCTCGCAAGACCTATCATTCCCTCCTGTTTTATTATACCTATACATACTATTCAAATTTCCGCTTCGATGAATTGCCATTTGGTGTCCCAATAGCAGGGGAGGCGTTCTCGACAATGGAAATCAACGGGCTGATCCTCTTCTGTACCACTAATAGCCTCAATCCAATACTACTTTACAAAGGACTTTAGACAAAGCATTATCAGTATCTATCTATATCCAGGACGTTTAATTTCCACAAGGCGGTGTGTACTCGTTAATTATGCCAGACATTCTCCCCCACCGCCTGTTTCTTCCGGTGACGTGACGCAACGAAAAAGCACAGGAAACACTTCGTAACTCCTTGTCCCGCAAGGCCGAGGGCTCGGTCGAGGTGCATTCTCCAACTCGAGACTCCATCCAGTCGATCAATTGTGAGTATATCGCATGCTGCGTGATTTCCTTTTTGATTTTACTATCTTTGAAAAGCTTTGGGGGGAGAGCGATTATCCGGTACCTGAAGAATACCCGAGGTGATGAGGCTCTGCCAAATGAAACCTTGAAGATTATTTTTTTGGTAGCAGTACGACTTGGTGACATAAGCTGATAGACTCCTAGATTGATTGAGAAGGGATAGCCTGTTGATGGCTGGTCAAAGCTACTGAATTGCCTCGATTCCGTCGCCATGAGTTTTGTAGGTTTGGGCGCCAAGGTTCGCGCCCTTCCGTCTTGCCGGTGGTCTAGGCGGCCCTCTGTGTTGCAGCAGAAGCAGCTTGCTACACGGCCACGCATTGTGTTTAGAGGTAACTCGACCTCGGCGTCAGTCACTGAGGCTGTGAAGGAGGCTCCCAAGAAAGCAGGCCGCGGTTTCAGGAGAACAATGATTGGCACTTCCTTGGCCATCGTTCTCATCGGGGGGTATTTCTACGTGACAGATACGCGGGCAAGTATCCACAGATACGCCGTCGTGCCTCTGATCCGCTGGTTACTGCCTGATGCAGAGGATGCGCATCATATTGGTGTATCCTCCCTGAAGACGCTCTACAAGTATGGGTTGAACCCGAGGGAAAGAGGGAGCATCGACGACGACGGTGCTCTTGCAACGGAGGTATATATATACTACTCTTTTTGTTCTCCTCTCCTATACAGAATTGAAAGAGGCTAAATGAGAATCGCTTTATGTAGGTGTTTGGCTATACCCTGGCCAACCCCATCGGCATCTCTGGAGGGCTGGACAAGCATGCTGAAATCCCCGATCCTTTGTTCGCACTTGGCCCTGCCATCGTTGAGGTCGGAGGCACCACGCCCTTGCCTCAAGAAGGCAACCCTCGGCCTCGCGTGTTTCGACTTCCCTCTCAGCACGCCATGATTAACCGCTATGGCCTCAATTCCAAGGGCGCAGACCATATGGCGGCCGTGCTGCGAAAACGCGTGCAGGACTACGCTTACGCGCATGGATTCGGACTCCATGAGCTTGCTGAGCAGCGTGTTCTGGATGGCGAAGCCGGAGTACCTCCGGGCAGTCTGGTTTCCGGAAAACTGTTAGCTGTGCAGGTTGCCAAGAACAAGGTCACTCCCGACTCGGACATCGAAGCTATCAAACGCGACTATGTTTACTGCGTTGAGCGCGTTGCAAAATATGCCGACATTCTGGTCGTCAACGTCTCTAGTCCCAACACCCCTGGTCTTCGGGATCTGCAGGCTGCGGCCCCTCTCACTGCCATCTTGAAGGCGGTCGTTGCGTCCGCCAAGAGCGTTGACCGCAAAACCAAGCCCTACGTGATGGTCAAAGTCAGCCCGGATGAAGACTCGGACGAGCAGATCTCCGGAATCTGCGAAGCCGTGTGGAACTCCGGCGTCGATGGTGTGATCGTGGGCAACACTACCAACCGTCGCCCTGAACCTCTTCCCAAGGGTGCCGCGTTACCACCGAAGGAACAGCCCGTGCTCAAGGAGACCGGCGGGTATTCCGGTCCCCAATTGTTCGACCCCTTGGTTGCGCTGGTGGCTCGGTATCGGTCTCTTCTGGACCAGGGGCCATCAGTCTCGGCTGCGGCTGCAGTCACTGCGGAACCCGACCAGGAGAATGTGCCTGTCGTAGAGACTCCGGCGGTGGAAAAGTTCACGCCCAAGGTGCTGTTCGCCTCTGGCGGTATCACCACCGGGAAGCAGGCCCGCGAGGTCCTGGATGCCGGCGCCTCAGTCGCGATGATGTACACGGGTATTGTCTATGGCGGTGTTGGGACGGTGACTCGAGTGAAGCAGGAGATGCGCCAGGTGAAAAAAGATGAGTAGAAACTTTTTTGGAAACTATCATATGCACTGTCTTCTTTTTTTCTCTCTTCATTTCTGCATGGTATAGAGTTTTGTATATCTCGGATTTCAATATCCAGATGTATAGAAGAATTAAGAATAGCAGCCCCTTATAAAAATGTTATAAGGTCTCCTCGACCTCTCTTACCACTTTCCGGACTCCCTCCACCTCGTGCGCGAATCTCCCCAGAAACATCCCGTCGACTGCCTTCCCAAGCCCACAAGCCCCCCACAGGCCGGGTCCTGCGCTACCGCCATACAGGACACGTACTTCCCCCAGGCGAGACCCGATGACCGCGCGGATACCCTCCACGACCGCCGCGACATGGTCCACGCCGGCGGGTTTCGGCTGGCCGATCGCCCAGACAGGCTCGTACGCGAAGATGACCGGCGCCGCAGGCGGGATGGCATCCAGGACGGGGCGGATCTGGACCTCACATTCGCGCACGGCTAATCCGACGGCCTGCGAGGCGACAGGGCCCGGCGTGGTGACCTCGCCGACGCAGACGAGCGGGATCATCCCCTGTGCAGAAGCGGCGGCGGCCTTGCGCGCGGTCTGCTCGTCTGTCTCGCCGAAGATGGCGCGACGCTCGGCATGGCCCAGTTCCACGATGGAGGCGCCCACGGAGCGCAGGGCGAGCGGGGAGACTTCGCCCGTGTACGCACCCAGCGGTTCCCAGAAGCAATCTTGCGCGCCTAGCAGGAAGGGCGGGGGTAGCGGTAGCGGTTGTTCTTGCTGCGCGGGGGGAGCCGGGCCCAGACTTGCTTCTTCGTAGCTCCTCAGGATCTCGGCGCACGGGTAGAGCGTGAGGAAGTCCGGGATCAGGGCGAGCAGCAGCTTGGCGCGGTTCTCCGGTCGGACGATTGCGTTGCGCGGATCGAGCAGGGCTCGCAGGTAGTCGAGGGTGCGGGTCGGGGTGAAGTACATTTTCAGCGAGATGATGAGGAGCTTCCTCGGCAGGACGGGGTATGTTGGCTCCATGGGTTCCATCTAGTCCCAAGTCATAGAAGTCTTGAGGCAGCAATTATTATTGCAACCAAAGACACCGATATATGACTCGTATCGATTGCGGCCGCGCTGATCTGCAAGTATGGACCCCGATATATCAACGATGATGTCACAACCGTGAACTCTTATGCCGGCAGCGCTGTACAGAGAATATAACAGTGGGTTAGCAGATAGCTAGATAGTAGATGATATCTACGCAGTACTTAGCTAAGTACTCACCATATGGCGGGTTCCTCCCGCCAATCAGTCTGGATTCTATCAATAGCACAGCTTTCGGATGCCTCCTTCAGGAAGTCAAGAGTGCCATGGAGGGGCACCCCGCACGGCCTCGTACCTGAACTAAACCCGAGGGTAAGCCCGGAGATGTCGCCGATAAGTCTGGAGCGACTCCTGGACCAGCGCCGTGTACATGCCGCGAGTCACTACTGAGCAACTGCTGCCAACGGGTTTCCAAATGTGGAGTATCCGGTGGGGGCTGGTGCAGTGCAACGCACTGGATAAGCGTCTTGTAATGTCTCTCTCGCGACGAGGAAACGGGTTGTATTGCGGTGTTTCCAAGCGCGAGCAGTAACTGGGTTACCAATTTGATCCCCTGGGTTGGAAGGAGCCGCAGTGTGAGAAATACTGAAGAAGGCCTCAAAGGTCCATCCTCGTGACCCCCGATCACGAGCTATCCCGTGACCAGTTGGCGATTAAGTAAGCCGCCGAAAAGGGTATGCCGGCCTTGCTCTGAGCGATCTGGCCATCGGTCGTGCCCACTGGCTAGACTACGGAGTATTGAGAAAAATCAGAGCAAATCCCTCCATGCAGTAGGCATTCTGGGTGGGAAACTACAGCACATTGATTTAGCTACACGGTGCTGGTGAGCAACCTCTACGTCAAGCTATACTTATGACGCAACTGCGGGGCAGTATCATTTCCAAAAAGGCTGTCTCGTTCAAGGAGAGCCAGGCAACGTTCGCAGCGGTGGAGATGCTTCATTCATGGTGAGGCAAATCTGAGAGCCATGGCTCAGACAACCCACCCACCGCAGTGCCAGGTTCAAGGGGCGTGGGGGGTTGGTTGTTGGTAACGAGGCCGGGGTATGTACCTCAGGTAGTAGGGAGGTTCTCCGTACTAGCTATGGGGAGCTCCTCCTGAGGGGATATATATATAAAACTACCTCACCTCCCGCCCCCTTTCTACTATCGATTTCTTTCTTGTCGCTTGTGCACCACCCGCCTGACCCTGTCGCCCTCTTTTTCCCTTGTACATACCCATAACTTATATAACCGTCATATACCATCGTCATCACGATCATGTCTACCGACCTCAAGCCCCTCCGCATCGTCATGGCCTGCGACGACGCTGGCCACCCCTACAAGGAGACCATCAAGGCTGTCCTCGAGAAAAACCCGCTGGTTGAGTCCGTCATCGACGTGGGCGTCAACTCCTCCTCTGACAAGACCGCGTACCCTCATCCGGCCGTCGAGGGCGCCAAGCTGATCAAGGAGGGCAAGGCTGATCGTGGTCTCTTCATCTGCGGCACCGGCTTGGGCGTCGCCATTTCTGCCAACAAAGTGCCGGGCATCCGTGCCGTGACGGCCCACGACCCCTTTTCTGTCGAGCGCTCCGTCCTCAGCAACGACGCTCAGGTGCTGTGCTTCGGTCAACGGGTCATCGGCATCGAACTGGCAAAGAAACTCGCCTCCGACTGGCTCACCTACCGTTTTGACCCCAAGAGTGCCTCTGCTGCAAAGGTCCAGGCCATCTGCGACTACGAGACCGCCCTGGGTGCTGCTCAGCAGTAACCCTTTTTTTTTCTCTCGTCTAAATAACCCACCTTTACTACTTCTTCTGTTTCCTTCTTTTCGGGTCGACGTGACCGGCTCCCGACGTGCGAGCGCAGCGTGAGCCTAGTCTGTCAGTTTGTTCTTGTTTTTTTTTTTTATCAAAACCGTCGTCTCATGATACCACGAATCAAGTCATATAAAGCACAATGTTTCGGGATAATCTTCGCTGGCTGAAGTTACTATCTTGACTGGCTTCTTAGGTTAGAGGATCACAATGGAATAGAGAAAATACACATTACATATTGAGTTCTGAGTCTCCAAGAAGAGCATTATCGAATGAATCGTCTTCGATGTATGTAGTAGTATATGCTAGGTAAATATTATGTGCCTGTAGTTCCTGTTCATATCAGCTGCTTAGTCATGGTTCTGCGGGGATCCATTAGTTTCGACACGATGAGAGAAGGCAGCACCAAACCACAGATTCAATGAGATGAGGTTGATGCTTGCGGACTCACTCGGTATCTTTACTTGTGTATCGTCTGCTTGCATGTTACAGAGCCCACTGAGGCCACTGAGGAAGGCATCTGCCAGCCCCTGATCCTGCTCGAGCTCTGGTCTATCGCTCACTCATTTACCTGGAACACTGCGCAGATGTCCTTCTTTGAATACTGACCCTCGACTACTCCTGATCCTTGTATCTTTCTTTTCCTTTCTTTCTTTTTTTTGGAGCTCTATAATATTTTGACTATCTCAAGATGTCTTTCGAATTGAAGGAGAAAGGCAACCAGCTCTTCAAGGAAGGCGATTATAGCGGTGCGGAGGAACTATATTCTCAAGCGTGAGCTTCTCACCAGTCTTAAAAGAAAGGGGGGGGGGCTGAGGAAGGAAGAATAACGACTCTGACATTGTCAGAATCCAAAAGAACCCGCGTGAACCGAGTTTCTTTACAAACCGAGCCGTCACCCGTCTTCGACTGGAAAAATGGGCCGGGGCTGAGCACGACGCGCGCGCAGCGATTGATTTGTACGGGCCCAAGACCGCGGCGAGTCTTAAGAGCTCGTACTATCTCGCGCAGAGCCTGCTCGGGCTCCAGCAGCCCCAGGAAGCCTACGATGTTGCCATCGACGCATACCGCTCCAGTCTTGCGGCCAAGAACGCCCAGACGGAGAATCTGTCTCGGACGGTGTTGCGCTCCAAGCAGCAGATCTGGGCAGCAAAGGAGACTGCCAGGCTCCGGGAGATGAATGAGACCCTTGCCAGTGTGGAGCAGTTGATCGAGGCAGATCTCGCGCGCGGCCTGGACGACCTGCAGCAGAGACTCGACCGCGGCGAGATCGGCCAGATTGGATTCGCCGAGGACGAGAAGGCACTTCGCGACGATGCGCAAAAGAACACGGAGAACTTGCGTGAGGCATTTCGCGTGGCCTCCAAAGGCGAAATCCAAGAACGGGTAGGTCTTTTTTCTCTCTCTTTATCTATGTCTATTTTTGCTAATTTTATCCCCAGATCGTGCCTGATTATCTCATTGATGGAATCACTTTTGAAATCATGCATGACCCTGTCATTACCCCGTCTGGCAGCAGCTTCGATCGCATCGGCATCATGAAGTATGTTGAACAAGCCGGGGTAGATCCTATCACTCGAACGACGATGACTGTCAACGACCTGCGTTCAAACTATGCGCTCAAAGCTGCCTGTGAAGAGTTCCTCACCAAGAACGGATGGGCTGTGGATTGGTAGTTTGTCTATTATTTTTTTTTTCTTTCCTGGCCTGTTCATATACCCGTTCTGCATGCATGCCCGGCGTCGGTTGGATTGTAGATTACCATCATGCAGCATTCTTGCATAAGCCCTTGTACTTATTAGTTTATTGAACTCTACAAGTAATCTTATACCTCCCCCTCCCTAGGCCTTCCTTGCCATCAAGGCCCCCATTTCTCATTTGTAAAGAAAAAAGGTCATGGACTAATAATAATGACAGCTGCTCAGCCAACTATGGAGCCCCTCATGTGACTTGTTACGCTAATCCTTACCCCACCATCCCACCTACCCGTTCTGGAGACTCTGTTTGCTCAGCTTATTTACTCAATTTTCCCTCCATCCTAACCCATCCATTACACCTCCTACTTCTTTGAACCCTAATTCAAAAATGGCCGACATCTCTAACTTCCTCGAAGCCTGGAACAAGCCCGAAGAGGCCGAGGCGCTCAAGGCCGCCGTCGACGCCGCGCTGAACGACGAAACCCTCTCCGCCGACCAGGCCAAGCTGTTGAAGACCGCGTTCGACGCCGCCGGTGATATCGTGCAAGGCCTGACGCAGAAGCCTAGCGATAACGAGCTCCTCTCGGTATCAAATACTTATACTATGCCTTTTTTTTTGTATGCTTTGCTAAATGCTTTTTTTTTAGATCTACGCCTACTTCAAGCAGGGAAACGAGGATACTCCCAAGCAGCCCGGTCTGTTCGACATCAAGGTACGCTACCTCCCTCCCTCCCTCTCTCCCTATATATACGTTCCGAACGGTTTCTGATGGCTACAGGGCAAATACAAGTACTCCGCATGGGAGAAGATCAAAGATATCAGTGCCGAGAAGGCGCAGGCCGAATACATCAAGCTCGCGGACTCCCTCCTCGCCCAGTACAAATAGATTTATGATAAGAATTTAAACTTGACTTGATAAAGAGATTATGGATTGGTATACTTGTATTCAATCCTATGGAGTGCATATCTATCTTTCTTGCTAAAGACGTCATGCCTCCCACGTCTGTCCGAGCCAATCCGGATCGGTGTGACTTGCTGTTGCACACCAAGGAAGGTCATCCTCAGTATACGGCGTCAGGGGAATATCGTATGGCATTCGCAGACCAACAACCACAGAGTCAGAAGGGCCCATCTTTGACTGCTGGACTGAGAATGCCTGGGAATCCTTATCGGGAAGATCACGTTTAAAGGTCGGGATCATGACCGCCCTACGCTGGCCAGACAGCTTTCTACCGTCTGTGAACAGATCAGGCCACACCAGTACACCGATCTCCCAGCTGCAGATCCGTACTTCCCCTTTGGGATCTGGAGCAGCGCCCCAGGCCTGTGTGGATAGATTGGCGGAGGTCACAATCGCCCAATCGATCGAATCTTTCCCCGCAAACCGGATATAAGTCTTAATGTGTGGTGCTGCCCTACGCCGTCCTGCCTCTCGTACGGAAGGATAGGCACCATTTGCGGGTCGGCCGTCACCAGCCCAGCGGCAGAGATGGGGTCGCATATATTGTAGTTGCTTCTGCTGTGTAGCCGTCTGGATCTTCATATGAATCGAGCCGCCAGACCCATAGCCGTTTAGCGAGCGACGTATCTCGTCAGGTGTAGGGAATATGATAGAGAATCTGGGTCGATTATGCGTAGTCTGTGTTGATGGAGACGGCGCACAGCTAGACAGGGCCTCGAAGAAGATCTCCCTGAGCCACTTATCTGTTTGACCGAGTGAAGCAATAGAAGATACCTGAAAACCCCATCTCAATGGAGGGTTCATCGTAATTAAAAAAGTTGAAGCAAAAGATCCCCCACCTGCAAGGCTATCTGCGGTGTTTGAGTGTCAGATCCCTGGTGAACAGTAACTTGCTGGAGGGCATCCTTCAGGCCCGGCCAGCCCCATATTGTCTGTTTCGCAGAGTCGAGTCCGTTGGTTTTCTGTCGGAGAGGAACGCTGGCTATCAGTGCAGCCTGCACTCCACCGAAATCATAGCCGAGTAGTTGTTTTACCAATGGCCCGGTCTTCTTATTCCCGTAGGCGTTGAGATACGCGAGAAGATCCCGTTTGAATCTCGCACCGCTCCCAATCGGCCCTGTAAGGTCTGTTGTGAACGGACTCTTGTCTTTCTTCAGAGGAAGCAAAGGAGACCGCCAGACGGCTTGACACATATTGGCCCAGTCACCTGGAATCATATTCGCGGTATGAATAACGATCCTAGCAAGAAGGAAAAGAGAGAGAAAAGAGTTAGTAGAATATAGAAATCCACCGACAAGCAGTACATACTGTGCCAGATCGTCGTGACGGAGCAATATCATCATTTTCGAGTGGTGAGTCCCAAAGGCCTCCGGCATATACGCCACTATAGCTTCTACATTAGGGTATCGAGGACATGCCTCCTAGAAAGAAAAAGCAGTTGTCAACAGTCAGTCGCAGTTTTAGTTCTGCTTTACTTACGTCAAGTCGAATCCGATTTGGAGAATCCCTCTTCCATGATCCATGCACAACTTTCACCTGCACGATATTCTGGACGTCTTCGTCGAACTGCGCCATGAGAAAGTCCAGGTCAAACATGTAATTAAATTGCCAGCATTCCCGGATCATTGGGTCCCCGAGGATGTCTTTCAGTCTCACTGTATCGACGTTGTTCCCCGACTCCTCTGGGAACCCCCGGATGTGTGTGAGTTGGAAGGGCGACGATATTGGAGACTTTGAAGGGATATTTGGAGGTGTTGGAACATCTTCATCGATGAGGCCAGTTATTTGATCTGATTCTTCTAGAACTTTTGCTTTTCCCTTGTCTTGCAACAGTGGTTGAGGCTGTGGTGAAGGCGTACAATAGGTAGATTGAGACCGGGATTGAGGTCTTGAAATCGAGCGTGGCAGAGGCGGTGTTATCGATCGTTTGAAAGACACCAAAGAATCAATGGCACTCTTTCTTATAGTACTTGAACCTCCGTTCAGGTTGGATTTATCGTCGCTGTTTTCGTGCTGGCTCCCTGCTTCGAGATTGTGGTCCCCTTGAATCGAACCCTCTACGCTCTCCGGGGCACTGTTCTCAGACACTCTCAGCCGTTTTATCGGACGATCCATGATCCTTTAATCGCTGTGGCATTCCGACAAAATCCGCTCGATGGGTTTGTTGATGGAGAGTCAGCCTGGAGTGATGGTTGTCGCAATCTTTCGAGTCCTCGACGGGCGGAAGTCACGCGTTTTATAAATACCGTGATTGAGATTTGCATTTTGGGGAGCACAGGACAGAACAGGATATAAGCTAGAAGAGGGATACTAGTAATACTGGTCTAAGTCGCCAAAACTGAACAAGGCAAAAGATTTTGACTGATTAGAAGTGCAAACCAGTAGAGAGGACAGTTTACGGTGCGATATACACAGTCCATCAACTCAGAGCATCCTGTGAATATTGTACAGGGAAATTGTAATTGAGCTAATTTAAGAAGATCTAATCTGTTTGAAGTACACACATATGAAGAAAAATCGGTTTTAATACAGTAGGCGATTCCGAGTCAACCCCCTCACCACATGAATCTTTGAACTTTACCAGGCTCTTGAGGCCATTCAAAGCCCTTGTAGAGGAAAACATACCCTGTAACGGCATTGATAGCAATGAACCATAGGGTTTCCATGATAAGAGGAAGATGGGAGACCAACACCGCTGGCAATGTTTTGCCATTGCCAGATGGTTGTCTATAGACGGAGGGAACCGGCTGGGGAGGCAGGTGAAGCCTCCACATAACCCAAGGAATAATGAAATAGCGCGGCTCAACAAGAGGTGCTGTAATGAGGGAAAGGGCTGTCGCGGCCAGCCAGACAAGCACAAAGCTGACGCGGGTTGGCCCTTGTTGCTGTTGCTGTCGCCGCTGATCGATGTGTGATTGGATTTGCGCTAGAACCTCCGGCGAAAATGGCTGTGCCCTTGGAGCCTCACTCGCCTTGATTGCGGAAGCTGGATTGCGTGTTGGCTTCTGCGTCGGCTTAATCTTTTTCTTGACATCCTTCTTCTGGTCTTTAACGGAAGTAGGCGGCTGTTGGGCGGCCCTCGGCGAGGGGGCAACTGAGGGGGCCACTTGGACAACTCGTGGGACTGCCGACGCAGCCATAAAACCAAACGCAGAGAGGGCAACCCAGCCACACAGAAAATAGACCACAACAGCGGCATACTTGGCCGCAGGGTGGTAGTTGAGCAGTATTCGGAAAGCGTAAAAGACATAATGTCGGTTGTCAGCCAGGGTAAACGGATGGACAATCGTGTTCCAATGGACGATCGCCAGCATGATAGGCGTCACAAGGAGAATTGTGGCGATCCTTGGCATTCCCTTTTGCTGCTTGGGAAAGCCATAGTCGACAACCTTTGGGAGGAAAGAGCTGGGAACAACCAAATTCAACAGAGGAACTGCAAGAATCGGCCAGGAAAAGAACACGATATACGGCCAGATGTATAGCATCTGAGCGAGATGGATGCCTGCAGTATGGAACTCTTTGTGGCCTGAAAATCTCAGTCTCAGCAATGCATCGACATAACGGGGCTTCCTGTTTAGATCACACTCACCGAGGACGACACCATTATTCCAGAGCACGAAAATGCCAAACGCCGCGAGGATAATTATGTACGGAAAGAGAGACACCAAGACAGCGCCAATATTCTTCAGACCTTGGATGGCTAATGAGATAGAGGCCTTGACGTAGTCTGGATACTAGAGTAAGCGAATAAGCTCTCAACATGGCGACTGGGCCGCTTACCCATCATGGATGCTTCAGCCACCAGAGGATCATAGAGCTCATTTTCGAGGCTCTTGTTGACGACATCAGTAAAGTTCGATGTACGGCATACCTTGGTCGATTGGTGAAGTGTGCGAACAATCTGAAGACCGCCCAGAAACACGGCCACCCAGAAGATATTGGTTTGTCTAAAAACAAGGGCAGCAAGCCCGAAAAGAATAAAAACCATGGTTTTGAAGGGGGTAGCTCCGCTTGCAGAACTACGTCGAAGGTCCCAATTATACGCCTCAACGACCACGAGAAGAGCGAGAACATCTGTGTAATATAACCCGGAAAAGAAGAAGATTGGTGGGAAAAGGCAGATATTCAGCACGGTGTGGCTCAGCCACGCACCTGCAGGGCGGGTGTTGCGCTCTTTCCTCAAGGCATCCAACAAAGTCTGCAGCCTCCAAGGCAAAAAGACCGACGTGGCAGCAGTATTCGTCGAGCGCAAGACTGCAGCATCCAACTCCTTCGGAGAGCCACGCAGCAGAAGAGCGCAGGCACAAAGTAGGTACGACCACAGATACAGACCAGGAGGCGTGGTTAGTTTCGGGTCCCATTGCGTCCATTTATGCGCCCAGTACGCCTGTGCCTGGGGGACATGGAAGACTTCATCCAGATACGGCTCTGGGACCTTGGAAGTGACCTGCGTCCACCAGAGAGGGACTAGCAGTAAGACAAAGGGAACAGCATAGCGAGCGGCGCGAGTCACGTCCGACTCGGATTGGACAGAACTCATGATACTCGCCGTACTCGCGTGGAGGGCAGGATACCTGTAGTAGCCCAATCAATCAAAAAACCACAGGAGGCATGAAATAGCAAGATAACGAGTCTCTTGACAGTGTAGGTGATGAGATGAAGAAGAGAGCAATTGTGAACGAGAGAAAAAGGTATGTCGTAGCTCCGGCCAATCCGTGGCCAAATTAATATGATGATGCAAACAGATCAAACATGCAGCCGACTTTGGATTGCCTCTCCAGGATAACTTTTGTATTTGCTGCCCACCAGCTCCCATTTCAGAGATTCTCGATAGAAAACACTTAAACTGGATGCTTGTGCTTTGGATTGAGCCTTCTGTTAGCCAAAGCAACGAATCTACATACTCATTCGACGTCGAGGGCGACCACCATGGCGTTTCCCCTCCCGCGGGGCATTACGCCCCCGGAGATAGCATTTCTTGCGGAGATGGAGATGGTGACTATAATTCCTCGTCAACGATTAGAAGGTCTTGAGCTTCTTGGAGTAAGTAACTTCAAGTTTTTGTTTGGTTTTAAGACCAGACTGCTACCAATGCCATCCGGCGCGCTGCGACCGTCACAAGTCGGGTGCTGCAGAAGCTCACAAAACATGGCAAAAAGATGTTTAGGAACCCACGGCTATGGCCAATTGAAGTGGGAATCTCTGTATGTGATAAGTTCTCTGCTGACGTTCTCCGTGTTACCAGGGACCTGTTGAGCCTCTACGACCTCCGCGCCGCGCATCCCTTCCGCTATGGCTCGCCCTCCTCCTCAAACGTCAACGGCGCGCAAACATCCTACCTCCCCCGTGGCTGCACCCAGAACCTCTTTCCTTCATCCTAGACGTCGAGACACAGCATCCAGACTACAAGAGCGCCTTTTCACCGCCACCACTGTTACCTGGCCAATCTCATCCTAATGCCCGCGGCCAAACGCCTGCGGCCAGGCCGCGTTACACGCCCGACGGCCAGCGATACTTTGCCGCACCGCCATTCTTGCCCCAAAACACTGCCCAGACCGATGCATCTGAAGTTGAGCCGCCATCATTACCTTACCACTGGCTGGAGGTAGGAAACATGCTGCTAGATGCCGCTAGTGATGACCTTGTGGAACCAGACCAGATACGAATACTCTTGAAAGACCTGAGAGAGGCTCGTAATGCGAAATTACGAGCGGGCATAGACGCTCTAGATGCCGCCTCGACTGGTGGAGGCGGTGTGGCACTTACAGGCGTCGGGGCAATGGAATTAGGCGAGGGGAGAGGGTTTATGGTAGGAGTCGTCGATAATCTCAGGTACGGAAAGCACTTCCTTAACAGCATTTCTCTACGCTATAGCCTTTGTAATTCAGGCTAGGTTTATATTGTGCTGACTGGATCCCAGGAAAATCGGAGCATCGAAAGAACAAGCACGCAGAGAACAAATGGCCGAAGAAATGGCCAACCGAGGATATGACAATACACAAGATGACGATGATGACATGGAGTTTTAGGTATTCCATTCTCAGTCCCGCTACTTTACTAGTCCACAGGTTTGACTAATGGTGTATAGCCTCCATTATGATGAATGATATCTCAAACAATATGGCGTTTCGGGACTTGTGCTCTTATTCCCAGCCCCGGATAGTGTGTTTATATTTTTTTACATCGATTTAGCCATATATTCCTATTGCATAATACCCTCCAAAAAGGTATTAGAGTATAAACATTTGAATGGCGACAACCATCAATAGAAAGCCTATTTAACCCATTATTATTAGGCCATATTCGAATAAAGTCCCCGATCTATCAACAAGAGTGGCTTTGAGAAGCATATGCCATATTCACATATCCCGAAGCAGCTATTGCCTCTGCTTCATTAAGGACAATTCAACCAAACACCAATGCTATTCGATACTTCCGATCTATAAACCACATGGGCACCCAGGGGCAGGGGGGGAAGAAGTGTGGTAGTGACCGACCAGACCCGTTTGCTATCAAGTCTGAGTGTACAATTCTAATCTATATAGCTAGCTCAAAATTTTCAAGAAAGAAGGGAGATGATGGAAGACAGACTGAAGAGTAGAGAATATGTAAAACATTATATCACAAGTCCCGATTTCGGCTGGCATTTTGATCCTTTTGCATCATCTTCTGCCGCGCCGCCAGAATCATATCATCCCTCCGTTTCTGCAATAGTCTCTGGCGCTCCTCTTTATTCTGTGACCAGCCATTGTTCGAACGAGAAGGAGAAGGAGAAGAAGGAGAAGAAAAGGGTTCCGTCGTTTCCTCTTCCCTGCCGATCTTGGACGCGAGGTTGTAGCGCGAGATGAGATCTTGCGAGTCCGCCTTGGAGAGCGTCCGGGGCGCGGGTGCGGTCTGCGCGGCTGCAGTGCTAGTAGAGGGGGCAGGGATATGAGGTTGGAAGGATGGCGGGGGCTGCAATCGATGGAACAATGGTTAGCAATGAACGTACAGTTGGTATGAAGGGGGCAGGAGGATTTATAATAGATCACCTACCACATCCAGTCCACGTCCAGTCAGGATCCTCTCTGTAGTCGCCGCCACACTCCCTCCGTTACGCTGGAGGTCCCACATGATGTCGCGTGTGCTGAGTTGAGGGAACATCTGGGAGATCTGTTCCACCTGGGCGGGATCGACCACATTGCCACGCCGACTGCGAGCACCCGCTGGCCCGGGGCTTTGATCACGGTTGAGGAACCATCGGATGACGAAAAAGGAGACAACGGCGAGTGTGAGGAGAGAAGGGATGTTGAGACTGGGCTCTTCGTCTGGCATTATCGCTCACCGTCAAGAGACGGCTGCCTCGGCTGCTCTGGGGGATCGGCGGGTAGGTAGGTAGGGACGGTGAAATCCGGGGATACGGCTGTCCAGAGCAATAGTATGCGACACCCAGGCAGAATAATAGGAGAGGCGACGAATGTCACGATGAAGGAGGATGTAGTGGCGGTGGTGCCTGTAACTAGTCTACTGGGCAACAATTGTGGCGGAAGTTGCTCCGCGATAGGACGATTAACTCACGTGCAATAATTCCCGAACCATCGACTAAAGTTTACTATGAGAAATTAGTATAGAGTTATTTGTCTTACTCTGACTTAGAGTTAACAATGTGTCCCTCGCTGTTCATCACGCATCAAGCATTTCTTGAGAATCGTTTCAATCGAAAATTCAAATACATCGTCCTGGAAACACCGTCGCCCCGGGTCAGCCCCGTCCTACCAGCCAGGCAAGCGCTGCCAATCTGCCAATCCCACCGGCCGAACAGAATATATCAAACAATAGCAGAATGAAAACAAAGTATGAACTAGAAAAATAAGGCATATAAATAGACTATCTCATGTCAGCAGGTGTTAAGGCCTGTACGACACTAGTTCCTTCGCTGAACCGGGTCCTGAAAATGCGGTTTGCGTTCTGGAACATCCCATCTTTCAAAGACACGACAATGAACTGAGATCCCTTGAAGCGGGTCTTGATGAGACGCCCGATATTCTGGGTATGCGAAAGATCTAGGGCGGCATCTACTTCGTCAAGAATGTACATTGGCGCTGGCTTGAACTGCAGCAGTGCCATGATGAGCGAGAGAGCAATAAGGGATCTGCCAGAAGTGAAGATAGACCATTAGCATCAAGCCTGAGCAGAACAACTTTTCGATGAACTCAAAGAAAAAAAAGGACATACCGTTGACCACCACTCAGCTCGGTTAGACTCTGTTTCCACACCTTGCCCAGAGACACCTTGACTTCCAACCCGTCAGTGATTTCTTTCCCTTCAGGTGGGTCGAGTTTGGCAAAGCTGCCGGGGAGTAATTCTGCGAAGATCTGCCCAAAGTCGCCGTTGACTTTACTCCAGGTATTGTGCAGGGCCTCTTTCTTGTATTCGTCCAGGTTGACAATGGTCTCCTCAATCTTCCGCTTGTCTCGGGTGACAGTCTTCATCATGTTCTTCAGAGCCGTCTCCTTCTTCTCCACGCTGTCAATCATGTTCATGACTTTGGGGTTGATCTTCTTCTTCATTCCTTGGAAGCGTTCGGTAAGATTCCGCAGAGTTGACCTGCATTCTGCAATGTTCTGGTTGTTGAAGTCATAGGGAGTATTGGGGCGGCCAAAGTGTTCCTTCTCATCAGCAATCCACTCGTGTTCTGCCTCCATGTGTGCTACAGTTTGCGCAGCTGCATGTTGATCTTTCTGCAGTTTTTCCAGCTGGTGTCCGAGCTTTTGCATCTCGAGGCCTTCCTCGGTGATGCGCGAGGATTTGGTTCTTGTTGCTTTTTCCAGCTCCTGTAGCTCCTCGTCAAAGCCTGTGAGTTTGGCTTGCTCGTCTTCCAAATGAGCCTGGGCGACATCGTGGGCATCCTTCATAGTAATCAGTCATCTGCTCATCAAATGTGCCTTTTCTTTTCTTGGCCATCTTCATGGTACATGTGCAGGGGGTAAATACCTTCAATCTGGCTTGTTCCCTCTTCAAGGACTCAATTTCTTCCCTCTGGGACTTTAATGCGCCATCAGACTCAGCCAGCTGTTCTTCGGCTGCAGACAGATCACTGCCAACTTGCTCCGAGTCCAGTCTCGATGCCTGGAGATCCTTTTGCATGGTCTTCACGGCATTAGAGTTCTTCGCGAGACTCTTCTTAAGGCCGTCAAGGGAAGTCTGAAGTTCTGCAAGCTTGCTATCTTTGTTGTTATTGAACTCACTCATATCCTTCTCGATTCGCTTGATATCCTTGGATGCTTCGCTTTGGCGTGTCTTCGCGTCTACAATATCTGCTTTGAGCTGTTCGATATTGGCTTTCATCTCCTCAACAGCATGAATAATCTAGAGCAGGTTAACATCGAACAAAAGATGAGAAGAAAAGGGGGCCTTCGCAGTTGACTAACCGATGAAGAAGAGTTGGAATTGATCTGCTCCTCGGTAAGTTTGATTTCGTGGGTTTTGAGGTCGAGTTCTTGCTTGACAGCACGAACAGCATCCAACTTCTTCCTCTCCTTTCTCATCGTCTCTTCCAAGGAAGAAAGTTGACGCTCCTTGCCTCTCAGCTCCTTGTTGATCTCATGCAATTTTTGCAAGGTAACAAGGACACCGCTAGAGTTCGGTGAGCTACCACCAGAGAGTGTACCGGATGGATCATAAACGTCTCCTTCAAGTGTTACACTCTTCATACGGACAGAAGGGTCGAATGTAACCTTTTTGGCAGTATCTGCGTCCTGGCAGATTAATGTATTCCCGAAAACATACTCCATTGCTGCCGAAACTTCGTCGTCGTATCCAATCAGCGACAGAGCAAGGTCTACCTTTCCAGGCGCGATCTTTTGTGCAGCACCAATCTTCTCCGCGGATGCTTTGAAGGCGGAGATTTTGTTGAGGGGAATGATAGTCACTCGCTTGCGCAGCTTGCCATTCTGAAGCAGTTGCGTACCTGTCTCGGCAGAATCGACCACGACGTTATAGAGACGGCCACCTGCACAGATTTCCAAAGCAGTTGCCGTGGGTATCCTGTCTTTGTCCAGCGTGAAAAGCTGGGCGACCAAGCCCTTCACCTTGGAACGGTCAAAGTTGGGATGAGGATCAGCGTAGGTGAAGTCGATATTTGCTACTTTCCTCTTCAGGCCATCGGCTCTCTCGCGAAGATCACGAATATCCTTTTGTAACGCAGCCTGTTCTTGGTAAATCTGGTCTTCTTTCCCCGGCTCGAATCCCAACTTTGTGAGTTCTGTCTCGAGTTTCTTGGCTTGTGACCTGAGACCCTCGAGATCACGAAGAAGCCCTGAATTTTGCTGCATAGCTTTCTTGGCTCGAGGCTCCTCTTCCTTTAGCCGTTTCTCCAGATGAGTGATCTTAAGTTTTGCCTGTTCCTGTTCTGTAGCAGCATTGCTGGCTCGATTCCGAGCATCTTGTAATTGTCCCTGATAACCGCTCTCTTGGCCTTCTTTTGAGGCAACGCCGGTCTGGAGGGTCTGAAGCAGTTCCTCTTTCTGATCCACTTCGGCTGTCTGTGCATCAAGTTGGGCTTTTGCTTCATCGTACTGCGCTTGAAGCTTGTCGTAAATCGCTCTCTTTGACTTCAAAGCCTTTTCGAGGTCGGTGACGGTTGTCTGAATTGCTTTACGCTTCTCTGTTTCTTCTGCCATGCTGGTGTTTTTTAGGTCAAATACAGTCGCCAGCCGAACGAGTTCATGTGAGTGTGTCTTGACTTCATCCTCAAGAGCCTGGAATTTTCCGCCCTTCCGTAACTCCTTGTCGCGAGCAGCCTTGACCCGTTTCACATCTTCCTCCAAGTGTGCGATTTCGTTCTTCAGTTTCACGGCGTTGTCTTCTAGGGACTGGATCTTGAGGCTCCTATTCTCGCAGTCCTCGCCAGCCACGCGCAATCGCTCACCACTCCGAATGTAATCATGGGCCACAACCAGGCGAGTCAACCTCTCGACATCGTTCTGGGTCTGCTGGAAATCAAGGAAAGCTCGCTTTTCAGCACGTAATTTTTCAAGTTTTGGCTCGATTTCCTCTTTGAGTAAACCTTCGATTTCGTTCAGCTTGAGTTCCTTCTTCGCCATTGTTTTGAATGCCTTTTCTCGCCTATCCTCGAACATTCGCGTCCCTGCGGCCTCTTCGATCATCGACAAAATCTCAACCGCCTTCATGTTCAAGACTTTAGTGATCCGACCCTGCATAATCAAAAAGTTCGGGTTGTTGATGTTCAACTGGACGCTCTGGAAAAGATTTTGTACAGTCTGTTGCTGCGCGCGGTGTCCATTGATCAGGTATTTGCTCGTACCGCCCAGAACAATCTGTCGCGTCACCGAGATATTCGCATATTCTTCGAAGCCGATCGGCGACTTGGAGGTATCCCGATTATCGAAAACGATGGTCACGCTGGCCTTGGTGACGCCCGCCTGACCACGCTTGTAGATGAGATCTTGGAGGTTTTGTGCTCGGACCGTGCTCATGTTGGTTATGCCTAGAACAAAGCAGATAGCATCTAGGATATTGGACTTCCCACTGCCGTTCAGGCCAGTAATCGAATTGAAAGATTCGTCCCTAATCAGAATTTTTGTCAGCTTCCCCGTCGGAATTTGCGCCCAGTCTGCCGCAGTCGCAGATACCGCAACTAGACCACAGACTGCAAAGTACAAGACATCCAAATTATTGCACTTACCATCCTGAGATGACCGTACGCACAGCGTACGATTTAAAACCCTATAAACCCAACGTCAGCTGCGCGATCCAAAAAGAAATGGCTGATTCACGAGGTGGTGGCTTACGTCGATGACAATCTCGACGATCCGCATGTTTGCGACACCTCTCCTTCTTTTAATCTCAGCTGCTGTAGTACATTAATCGGGCGCTGGCGAGAAGCGCTGGCGAGGATGGCTGAGAGAGAATGTGAACTGGTGGCCGGCGGTCAGAGTGTTTTGCCCGCTGAATCATGTGTTTATGGTTTGCCGATTGTGGAATGGCTTCCCTGGAGATGACATAAGCAGCACGCGCAGGTGAGGGGTACCAGACGCTAACCCTTTATGGAAGGGGTTGCACTGTGTGGAATGGATCCAAGGGTACTTGGAAACTGGGGCATACTTTTGACCTTGTACAGAGTACAATCTCGCTGCGAAATCATGGGTTCTGCCTGTTGGTTTAGGGCGAATGTCTCCGAATCTGCTCCACGCTATTCAAATGTGTCCGAGTCGGGCCAAAGCGTGACTATGTAACAATATAAAACCATGGACTAACACGCAAAACAAGCAAGGGAAGTACGATCTTCTCTCTGGTGCAGGAAAACGTGTTGCTGTACCTCCTTCTACAACAAGAAATATTTGCTACCTGATCGAAGGTCTTCATCTTTCCGCCATGCCAGTGATACAGAACATGGAGGCCATCTTCAAGAACGACGACTTCGTCGAGCAGTACAAGGTTGGGGAACGCCTCACGGGCAGCTTTGCTCTTGACCTCATCCAGCGGTCTGGCATCGTGAACGAATCTACCCAGGACCCGCTCGTAGTTCTGGACAACGCTTGCGGTACTGGCATCGTCTCCTCCACACTGAACCGATTGCTTAGCGAGAATGCGAAGGTAAACTGGCAGTTAACCTGTGGCGACTTCTCTCAGACGATGCTCGACTATACCAAGTCCAGAATAGATGAAGAGGGCTGGCCGAATGCCCAGGTGAAGATCGTGGATGCGCAGGAAACAGGGCTTCCGACAGCTCACTATACCCACATCTTCACAAACTTTGGTATGGTTATATGCCAGCTGAAGATATACCTACCATAGACCACCTGAGCTGATCCATAAATACTCCTAGGTTTCATGGCGATGCCAAAGGGCCTGGATGCACTTGACGGTAAACCTAGGTCTCCCAATTTGCAAAAGGTCTGATGCTCAGCTAGGCGTGATAGAATCGGTTCGGATGTTACGACCAGGTGGATTGCTTGGCTTTACAACCTGGAAACGACGTAAGCTCACCGTTTATAAGAGAAAAAAAAAAAAAAAAACCCAACTCAGATCTAGCAGCTTACTTCGAATAGTTGACTGGGTGCTCCTCATTAAGGGAGTCCTGGAATCGACCCCAGAGAAACTCTATTTCCCAGACGTGCCAGAATTCCTTGCCATCATGCAGAATGGGAACTGGAACGATGAGGCGTGGATCAGGTCTCATCTCCAGGACCGCGGCTGCGAGGACATCAAAGTGGAGGCGGCGACGAAGTGCCTCCTAACGAACATACACGATTTCTTCAAGTCAGCCATGATGCTTTTCCCGATGGCAATCAGGCATTTCTGGACTGAGGAGCAATTGGACAAGTACGAGGAGTATGCTAAGAATGCGGTCTGGAAATATCTCGACGACAAGTACGGGCCCGACGAGCTTGTCGAGACTGAGTACACTGCCATTGTGTCGACGTGTCGTAAATCTTCGGATTGAGAAGGCAAGGTGTGATGACTGTCCTGAAGAGATACTCGAATGTTTCCTACGGCAATCGCTGTGCTTAATGGCTATTCCTCTACTATCGTATATAACGCACGTGCTCATCGAGTCATTGATTTCAAGCGTAAATATCTTAGTACCCTGTACAGATCACTGCATCGTTGAGGATTCTGCTCCAAGGTGGCCTGGGGTTTGTCAATGGATGACGATGCTCCGGGTTTCAGAAAAGGAGATGGAAGGCACCGGAAGTCTGCAATTCAGAAATCCAGTGCTCATACCATCTCAACATGAATTCCAACCGAAGAATCATGAGACATGCTGAGGCATCCCGACCGAACGGGTGACCCGGCTATTGGGATCCAGCCTGTTGTCTAGATCTTCGTATCGAAGGATAAATTCACGCTGTGTCAGATGTGTTAGAAAGCTGTTTTGACATGGGAAGGGAATAAAACAAGACGGAGGCAAAAAACAAAAGAAAATCACTGACCCGAACTTTCTTCCAGCTAGTTGGATCCCACAGAAGATAGACTCCTCGCTCGCTCACACCCCGTTCGACGTCAACCGGGCCAGGATAGGTCTCGTCACGAGTCAGCCAGCAGCGTTCAATTTTGTGGTACCGCCACTTGCGGCCCATCAACTCCTCTGCAACAAGTTCCTGCATGATGTCACGGGGCATGCTGTAGAAGATGTAGAATAGCGTCTCGTCGCTAAAGCTCGGAATCCGAGTCTGAAGAGGCTGGATGTTTGCCACACTATAACACGAGGGAAGGTTGAAATCTTGCTCCAGAGGCACGGCTGACATGGAAGAAATGAACGGCGAGGCGAAAGACGTATGAAGCGGCCTACCCGACGCAGTCAGTCAGCTGCAATGGGATCTTCCCAAAGGCATTCAATAGGAAATAATAGGAAAAGGCTTCATTTCTTACTCAGGCTGATTCAAATCCAAGCCTAAAGTCATCAGATCCTGGCCGACCGCAAGGCTGGCAACATCGGGGCTTTCGCTATGAATCATCCGGAGCAGCCCCGCGAGCCCGAATCTGTCCAGCTCGCTCATCTGAGAGAGGGGGGGTTGTTCGGCGCTTTGCGATGAGGTTTGGGGTTCTTGTCCTTCGCTGACGACCCCTGTTTGTTGCGACCGTTGCTGCATCTGTTGCTGCTGCGCTGACAGCAAAGTACTACTTGGATCCTGTTGAGTTGCGTCAGTTTCGGCAACCAAAGGTGAAACATTTATCGGGCTTACCTCTTTGTCTTGTCCGAGAACGCCATTCGACCTTTGGTGAACGGGTGACCGTGAAGCTGATATGCCTGGACTCGGTTAGCCTGCGGTCCTGCCGTACGAGGAAACACATGCCGAGAGAGGGAAGCTGTACCTCCAGGCCCCGCGGATGCAGGGGACATTATCCTCGTCGGTTCTTGCCCATTGGCCGTCGTCGACATCACGTTGCGATTCTGCGATGACTGGGACTGGTTCACGGCAGAGAAGCCCAAGCCGGTATTGTAACTGCCAAGCCTTGCGTTTTGCAGCAGAGTCTCTCTGCGTTCTTGACCCAGTTCTCCGTGGAGGTTCCGACCCAACGGTGGAAACTCTTCGATATTGCCGGTCTGAGGCTGAGAGCTGGTCCCTAACTGACTGCTTATTCCTTGCCCGCCGCCTCGGAAGTCGTCCAGCCGATTCGCAAATTGCGCACCGGACGGGAAAAGATCGTCGTTGGCGGGTTGTGTTTGTTGCTGGGAGATGTGCGATGGAGTCTGCGCCCCTCGGGAAGGAGTCTGAGAAATGGGAGGGTGCTGCTGTCTTTGAACGGGGGTCTGCTGTGACGCACGCTGACTGGCATTCGCCCACACTAACTGCCCTGGATTCTGTGACTGGGACTGCTGGGGTGCACCTGATAATGAAGGAAACTCGCTGCACAGAAAGTAATACGATAAGTAAGTTGATTAGAGGAAGGTAAAGGGGAAGCAAAAAACAGGTTTCTTCACTCACGAGAGATCCAGGGGTGTATTGGGCTGGGAGTTCCCGATGCTTTGTGCGAAGGTACCCATCCCTCCGATGCCTCGCTGTTGGTTGCTCTGCAGACCTGGCGCTCCGCTCACAGGTAGATTGAAATTCCAGCTCGCGCCGCTTCCTGCTGACCAGATATAAATGTCAGTTGTTTCCAAGCACTCAAAACGTCGACAGGACGAGCGGCCGCACCCAGCTTCCCATTCGGCAACCGCGCCGAGGCTAGCGTCGCATTGCGAGCTTGTGTTTGCTGTTGCGCGGGGAACCCAGACATGCCTCTCAGAGGTTGCGGACCTGGTCCTAGACGATCGCGTGGTCGGTCAGCCAAGATATGGAAAAAGGAACTCCGGTCGAGAAGCGTGGGCAACGTCTCCGGGCGGGAACTGCAGGGATTTCTTGGCACCGAGTCGCTGGATATCCCGTTACCGCAGCGAGGAGATGCAATCTGCGCAGGCGGCGGTTGTCCCGGTGCACACGACTTCAATCTACAGATCCACCAAGGGCAGAGTCGAGGAGGGCGGGCATCCGGTGGAGTGGCAACCAGCAGAGGCAGAAGCGCATGGCTTCAGGGCTTGGGGCAGAGACTGAACGAACCTGGTCTATTCATGATCTTGGAAGAAAAAAGTGGGTGGTAAGGTAGGCTAGAGGAGCTGCCGAGGTATGCTGATAACACAGATTCTCATCCAGCTGCTCAATGAGAGTATCTCTAAGTTGATGACACTGCAAAAGAGACCAGGCTCTGATCCCACTATCCTCTCCGCTACTGGTGGTGGAGTGAACTGACTTTGGCGCGCGCTTCTTAGAGGCACAGTGCACGGACCAGCAAGCCCGCTTGGTGTTCTTCAGTGTTCCTCTAGGCAGATTTATATTAACTACTTCTGTTAGACAGGCGAGTAAGTCAGTCTCTCAGTTTCTCAGTCTCCAAGGGAATTGTCGTCGGTTATTCAATGAGATGCCCAGACGGCCGTTGTCTAAATGATACCTAGCATCACTAGAGTGGTAAATACTCTTTCTCAGCTTGAGACAAGCCTACGCCTCCAACAAGGGTTCAAACCGTCTGATAGCAGATTTTAATGGAGATGATATGCCTCAGATCCTGTTATATTTGATATGGTACCAGTTTCTAGACCTATTGGCGTGCTATCACGACTGTATTCCGTAGATCGTTTCGCATCAGTGTTCTCGAGGGATTCTAATGAAGCCACAACTGTACAGCAGCCATCTAAGTGGCCTCATAAAAAGAACCAACTTCTGGCTTTCTACTGTCAGTGCATGCAGGGAGTTAGTTTCAGTCATCAGTGACTACTGTAGTAGGTACCTCAGTTGCCAGTTGCCAGTCACTCTCGAGTCCCAGACATTCAGTGTAAAATAATCACGTGACCACACCCGGATCCGACTAGCGCCTGGTGTTGCAGCATCCCATCCGCGAAAAAGATGCGAACAATTGCTCGGGTCCAGCCGCACCTTCAGATCATCACCATGCATCGGCAATCGGTCGTTCGGCTTGCCCGCCAGTTCGGGGGCGTGCAGGTCGTTGAATTACCTCCTCCATATCTTGCGCCGTCGCTTCACTTTTCCCTCATCCGGTCGCCCATCCAGTGTTCGAGCTTTTCGTCGACGGCCGTGGCCTCTGGCCGAGACGCGAACAAGGTCCGCGCCGTGTCTGCGATCCATCGGACGGGCCCGAAGTTTCCCTTGGGAGTGTCGAAATACCCATTGCCAAAGCCCGTGTCGCCAGATGCGATCGAACGACGCAGTCCGACCCCTAACCACGGTCTCTGGGGTTTCTTCCCCCCAGATAAACAAGCTCTGAGCACGCCCGAGTACGACGGTGCTCATGGTCAGTGGAACCTGAATTGGGAAGATACCTCATGTTTGATACCCTTGCTGACCATATTCTCTCTCAGGCCGTTCCTGGTCCATTCAAGAACTCCGCGAAAAGTCCTGGGAAGACCTCCATTCTCTGTGGTGGGTGTGCGCTAAGGAACGGAACCGCATTGCTACGTCCAACCTGGAAAGGGAACGGCTGAAGGCTGGGTATGGAGAATACGAGGCGAACTCTCGCGATAGAGCGGTAAGCTGCACAACTCTCTCTCCCTCTCTCTCTCTTCTTTCTGTACCAAAACGTCGGATATAAACATCTATTCCCGTCTTAAGCACTAGTCCATCTGTCACTGTTGCCAGTTGCTAATAGATGATGGTCACAGATCCGAGTCACTCAGAAGAGTATCAAGCACGTTCTGAGAGAACGTTGGTACGCCTGGGAGGAGGCTCAGGCACTTTACAATAAGGGTTACCGACCCCCAACCGATGAGGAAGAACCGGGGCAATAATTGATCTCTACGAGCAAATTGCTCGTCTTCATAATCCCTATTGCCGCATGTAATATTATCAGGGCTTGTTATTGTGAGTGTGATGGTTGGTCATGTAGATTACATAGTCAAATTTATTTTCCAAGAACCCCTTCAAATCAGAGGATGAAGCCTCTCTTCACCAGCCACTCAGCTTTCGGTCAGTTTGAAACTGGCGTAGATAAATAACTTTCTGGTTAAATGGTCTGAATAATCCGCGGGGGCGCCAACGCCTCACCAGTGAAACTAAAACAAGCCTCCCAAACTCACCGCCATCAGAACACCGACCATTTCCACTGCAGCATCCTGCCCCTCTTTCTGGAGTCTCCCCATCGAGTGTTGAGTATTCATTTTTTCTTGGACACAGAAATCTTTACCTGATACCCAATTATGGATGAGATCGCCCCCGAATACGACGTTGTCGTCCTCGGCACTGGTATGAAGCTACCCCGCCAAAGTGACGTTGCAACTCCCAAGCTTGCTAACCTCATCTCCAGGTTTGACGGAATGCGTGCTTTCAGGGTAGGAACTCCACGAACAAAAGCTCGTTTTGTCACGTGGTAGAGACTCACAGATCTAATTTTGTGGCAGTGTTCTGAGTGTCAAGGGAAACAAGGTCCTCCACATCGATCGTAATGATCACTATGGTGGGTAAGTAGACAGTGCCTGGATCTTTGCTTGCGTAGCGTCCCCTATACTGACCCTTGAATTCTAGTGAGGCCGCCTCTGTGAACATTGAGACTGTCAGTTAAACCATCCCCCCCCCCCCCCCCAATAATCTTGTTGCCTTTGCTGATACCCTCTCGCAGCTGTTCAAGAAGTATCGCACCCTCAGCCCCGGGGAGGAGCCTTGGAAGAAATACGGACGGCCAAATGACTGGAACATCGATCTTGTCCCGAAGCTTTTGATGGCAAACGGCGAGCTCACCAACATCCTGGTTTCTACCGACGTAACAAGATATCTGGAGTTCAAGCAGATCGCGGGCAGCTATGTGCAGCAAGGCAGCGGGGCTAAGGCTACCGTGGCCAAGGTGCCCTCGGATGCTGGCGAGGCTCTCCGTTCCTCTTTGATGGGGCTGTTTGAGAAAAGACGCGCAAAGAAGTTCCTGGAGTGGGTTGGTGACTTCAAGGAAGATGATCCGTCGACCCACCAAGGTTTGTTGGCCGGTTGCCAGCTCTTTTGTTTTGCCTCCTGGATACTGATGGTTTCCTCAAGGTCTGCCGGTTGCCGCATGCACTGTCAAGGAGATTTACGACAAGTTCGGCCTCGAACCTAACACTCGTGACTTTGTCGGACACTCGATGGCTTTGTACCAGTCGGATGAATATACCACTACACCCGGCATGGCGATCGAGACCATCGAACGGATTCGCCTGTATGTGAACTCCATGGCGCGCTACGGAAAGTCACCCTATATCTACCCTCTCTACGGTCTTGGGGAGCTTCCTCAGGGCTTTGCTCGTTTGTCCGCCATCTATGGCGGTACCTACATGCTCAACACCAACGTTGACGAGGTCCTCTACGAAGATGGGAAGGTCTCCGGAATTAAGGCAACGATGAAGGACCGGGAGAATGGCGAGGCCATGAGCTTCCAGACGAAGACAAAGAAGATTCTCGCCGACCCGTCATACTTCCCCGACAAGGCCAAGGTGACCGGTTACCTCCTGAAGGCCATCTGCATTCTGAAGCACCCTATCGACAAGACCGATGGCAGTGACTCGCTGCAGCTGATCATCCCTCAGTCCCAGGTGGGCAGAAAGCACGGTAAGAAACATTGAAAATTGAGAGAGAGAGAAAGCCCATAAAAATATGAATCTCTAACGGTACGTAAGATATCTACATTGCAATGGTCTCGTCCGCCCACAACGTCTGCCCTAAGGGCTACTACGTTGCCATCGTCTCGACTATCGCCGAGACCGACGCCAACCACCACCTGGAGCTTCAGCCTGGCTTCGAACGTCTGGGTGCGATCGAAGAGAAGTTCATGGGCCCGCCGATCCCGCTGTACGAGCCCCTCGAGAGCGGCAAGAATGACAACATCTTCATCTCCAAGAGCTACGACGCCACGTCGCACTTTGAGACAACAACCGGTAAGTCGAATTGCCCCTGCCCTCTTGGACACGGGGAGTCTTCCTTGGAAGCTAACACGGGATTCTCAGACGACGTGCGGGACATCTACCAACGGGCGACTGGCCAGGAACTAGTTGTTGATGGTCTTCGGGAGGGCCATAACCTTGTTGAGGAGTAAACTTGGTCGCTCTACTGATTCAGATCGCTGTTCCCATAATACTACTATAGTGGCTTTTTAGATGATGATGATGCTGCTGACTCTTATTTTACCTCAGCCATATCTCTCTGGACATGCTTTTTACTCGCGCCCACCTGTTGCGTTTATTCACTGAAAACTTCGAATCGCAGCTGTTGGAGCAGAGCAACTTGAATATACTACATTCGCTTCTCCATCTCAGTAGTAGTAGTAGTAGTAGTAGTAGTGGTGGTGGTGGTGAAATATGATATACTAGGTAAAGATGTCTTTTGGATTCATTTAAGCCTATTGCGCCTTGTCTTTGAGCATTGAGGCCATTGACGTATCACGTGACCACATCCTACCTTCTGCCGCAGCCGCAGCTTGAGAAGCCACCCAGCTCTCTTGAGCAACATCGACAACCAGAGTGCACACCCCCTCAGATCAGTGGGATAGCCGATTGATTTCTGCTGGCTTCAGCAAGATAGCACGATGGCCTCTATCGATCCTGCGTTGCAGGATCCTCTCCTTTCCCTTCGCCGTGCCATCGAGGCCGGCACCCTTCCTACGCTGACGACCTCCCCCGATCTCTCCGACCAGAACGCGACTGACGACCTTGCCAAAGCATCGTATCTGTTTTTCACGCAACCGATTCCACAGACCATCTCCCTGACCACGCCAACGCGTTTCGTGTCTGCCGCGCTCGAATCCGCGGTCAACCTCCGCAGTATCTTTTTCGCATGGCAGAAAAAAGATGTCGCGATTCCCGAGTACATTGCCTCGGCGCAGGAGCTAAACGAAGCACTCAAGCAGAAGGAACGCCCGGATGGTGAGCCAGAAGAAAAGGTTCACAACCTGGTGTTCGTTGAACGGTTAGACCTGATCACCTGGCTGGAGGGCGCATCTGATGAGAGTGAGTACATCAAGCCCCTGGAAGGCGCGGCCGCTGCAGCCCCTCAAGCAGATCAAGCTGCGGCCGTTGCTGCCGGTGCTGCCCTCGGGGTCCCGTCCGCCCCTGGCGGCGGTGCACCAGCAGGAGCTGGTCCGGCTGCCAGCGCCCAGACTAGCCGGGCTCCAAAGCCCATCGATCCCAGGTTACAGGAGATCTACAATGGAGAAAGACGGATGGGAGATCGGAATACGGTCTTAAGAGGTATCAAACCGACGGTGAGTCTTGCATGCCTCCCCCCAGCGCCGAGTTAATTCCAAGCTAATGAAACCGTGACCAGGACTTTTCACACATTCGTAAATCGGCGGAATCCTTCCTGGCACGCAACCGGTCACGAAGCGGACAGTACCCCCCCGGCACGAAACCGGGGAGCAAGCCACTGGCGGCACCGTCTGCCGGGTTCTCGCTCTCCAAGTCTGGGCTCTCGTCATCGTCTTCTTCTTCTCGCCATCTCAAAGATCCTATCATCCTCATCTCCCCCTCTGCCTCATCGCTGATCCGCATGGCAAACGTCAAATCCTTCCTCCAAAACGGCACGTTCATGCCTCCGGACCATCCGTCGCTGAACACGTCTGACGCGCCGAATATCCTGCATGTCGAACGACCGATTCGCCATTTGGCGAAAGCGTCTGGTGGGGATGGGCCGTCGCAACAGCGCGGAGGCAAGATGACCCGGTTCATCCTGGTGGACAGCACGGTGAATTTCAAGCCGGAGTACTGGCAACGGCTGGTTGCGGTGTTCACGACAGGCCAGACGTGGCAGTTCAAGTCGTACAAGTGGACGTCGCCACCGGAGCTCTTCAAGCACGCGACGGGGATCTACGTCGGCTGGCGGGGCGAGGATACCCCGCGGGAAGTCAAGGGCTGGGGCCGTGGCGTCCAGAGCTTTGCCATCGAGCGATGGGACGACAAGGGCGGAGCCCACGGGGGTGGTCGGTGGCGGGACCGGGAGATTGTCGAGAACATCTGGATGGCTATCGAGGAGGGGATGCGGATGAGAGGATGGGGGACATCGAAATAGTGATATTGTTACATGATACCTTTAGGTGCAGGTCCAGCATATTGTATCAGAATATGCATAGTTATTTACTTGATAAGGAGGACTCTGGTTATTCTGTAATATCACTCATGGGTAGGTAGCTAGTAGCTGCCGATCAAATGCATCTATTCTGCATAGTCACACTGCTACGACACACACCCATGTCCTTATCCTGTCCAGGGATGGCGTGAAGAGTGGTATTTACCTGTACGTTGAAAGATCGACATGGTACATACACTATTAATTGCCTTCTCAGACTTAGTACTTCCTAACTACTAGTTAGTTAGTTAGTTAGAAGATACCTAGGTGCCTTAAGGTCTGTCCAGGAGCATCTCCGTCAGTGATTGGCTCAGGAGCTGTTTTATAAATGTACTCTGTACTTGTGGGCATTTACATTGCATTTTCCATCATATGATGCACTCGGCCGAAACTTGCGAGACCGATGATGTAATTATTAGCTGATACCTCTATTCTAGGTGCAAAGTGCCTCCTGATTCATAGGGGTACTATGGAGTAGAGGCACTAGGTACCTATGGAGTAGAGACACTACTAGGTAACTACCTATGGAGTACCTAAGTACCTACTGGAGTACTACCAAGGTACTAGGTACCTACCTAGTAGTATGTCTAGGGCAGTATTGTATCGTTAGTGTCGCGTGTCGATTTTCTATTGTTGGAAGGATCAGTTGAGTACCTAGTATACTACTAAAGGTACCTAAGGAGGTACACTGTAGTAGTTATTACTAGGTCATTCTGGCTACCAGGTAACTAAGGTACTAGTACCTATACTCTGTCTCCTCCTCCGGTTACTCCGTACTCCGTACTTGGTGAAACAACTTGCTAGTCTCTACTAGGCAAGTCACTAGAAAATTCTTCGGACAAGGATGACGTTCACCGAGGATGGAGCCTGCGAGTTTTCTAGCGTAGTTCTAGAACTCTTCTAGAATTCTTCTAGTGGCTTAGACTAGAGACAGTATACGTCTACATAACACAGGCTAGTTAGTAAATACGTACTCTGTACAGTACATTAGATAGGTAGGTACCTATTATACAATAGGTACCAAGGTATACACTTTTCTATATACTGTATATTGTAAAATATATAGCTACTACCTATTAGATAACCATAAGTAATAAAGTCACACCGCCATAATACAATCTATGAATAATACAACTTGTCGCTCGAAGATCCTTGTTCAGGATCCTTCTCTGGTCACACGACCACGACCACGTGGCGGGGACTAGCCAGGCCGTGTTTCAGAAGAGGCTAGCGTGTTTATCGCTCGTTTCATGCAGTAAGACAGTAGTCTTACCTAGTAAGTACTAGTTACCCTGGTTATGAGTTAACTAATTATAAAGTGTATGTAGAAAAAGTGTTAATCTAATTAGAAATCTACTCATCATTATCATTGAATTATAGATATCAATATAGATTGGGTACTACCTAGGTAGTAACTACAGGTAAGTAGTTGGGCTAGTATGTACATCCACGTGGGATAGAGTTCAGCTGACAGCAGGCCTGTTTTGATTCGTATAGACTGAAGCCAAGAAATGGAATAACTAATAGTTCTACATACTAGTCAAATACCCAGTTGACGCTCAGACATCAGCGTTCGGACCCGAACAGATTATAGAATGACTACGGAGTACATAGGAGATTAATAATAATAATAATAGTAATAGTTAGTATAACCCTGTCAGAAAGTTAGTGAGTCTGACGCAAGGGCCCTGGACTCTCATCGCTTGAACCTTCCGCCAGCCATGTCTTATCTCGGCACCCAATGATAGACACAGAAGCCAAGCGTCAGCCTTGTCCATCGCTGCAGGCAGTCGGATCAGACTTTCACGTGGCAGGTAGGGATTATCTGTGGGCTTTCCGGAGTACTACATACGGAGTAGGAGTATGGAGTATGGAGTATGGAGTACACGGCTCAAGATTGATATACTGATACTCTGTACTCCGTACGTACTACATATGTATGTAGTAGTCTGATGGCCGCCATTATGGAGTAACTAGTTTAGTGTCTATCAGTAGTATAAGGTTGATGATGATTTCCTGGAGTTTATCTTTGTGTAGGAGAGTATACGCACCTATAGGTATCTTGTAGATACAGACTAGATCAGCCGTGGGCAGGAAGACAATTGGTCAGCCTTAGTAAGAGCTAGCAGTAGTTAGTTGGCTCTAGTAACTAGTTGTTAGTTGGTAGTTAAGTTAGGTACCTAGTTAGTAGGACTCCCTTAGGTAGTTACTAGTTACTCTACTTAGTACTGTTATCATGACTAGTTTTCTAGTGCATCTTCACCGCCATGTCATGTCTAAGCGCCGCCACAACGAGAGCACGTCGGCAAGATTGGCTGGAGAGAAAAAGCCGGCCAATGTCGTGGACGATGGATGCTTTGACACCCACTGAATGTGGTAGAGAAGCGGAAATATTCCATGGACTGAGCGGTGGGATTCCATACTTTCCTGTAAGAATCCTTCAATGACATCAGTACGTAGTTACCTAGGTAGTACCTTACTTTTAAGATTATCTACTCCCAAGGTACTCCGTATGGATAAATCTAATAAATATTATAGCCACATCCTATTAGATCAGAGTACAGTACTACAGTCGAGAACATATAGGTAGAAACGATGTACGATGTGGTACCGTATGTTACGCCACCAGCAGGGAAGAGCAATCTCCACGTGTGCCCACGTGGGCCATGGGTTGCGAGTCGCAATCCAGAACCCCGTGGCTTACTAGGTACTCTACTGCAGTCATGCCGTCTCGGTATCAACGGCGGTAAACTATACCATTACTGTGGTACAGAGTAGGTGCCACGTTACAGTACAGTACTTTACCGGTACGGAGAGGAGTACTCCTCAATCTTACGAGTATGTACTCCATAGTAACTATTAGGTAGTTGATTAGTTATTACCTAGGTACGGGGTACTAGGATGATGTGATTACGGAGTACTGATAGATCAGCTTGACTAGTCAGACTATCAGTCACTACAGTAAGATCGACATGTCCTCAGATTCGAATGAGATGATTAGGTGGAATTCAATTCCAGTCTATCTAGACCAGTAGATCTATTATCCCTAGGTACTACCTCATAGACTGATATTGCTTGTACTACGTATTTATAATTAATTGAATATTGTAGGTATACCATGGTATCTAGGTAGGAACCAGGTACTCCGTAGTTAGTTACTCATAACTATCTAGGTAGCTACCGTAGTTACCTAGGATTACCTAGGTTAATCCCATTTGTCTTACATAATATGCATTGGCCACCGTATCTGTAGCTCGGGGAGAAGAGACTTCCCACGTGCGTTGCCTAGAGTCGTTTAGGCGAACGAACAGAGTTCTGCTGTGGAGAACATCCCGTACGGAGTATATGGAGAAGTCAACCATCTTAGAGTTCTAGTCGGCAGTTCGAGGACGATAAGAGGGGATCTACCGAGGAGATATTACTTAGTAGTAGGATGAAGTACTACAGAAAGTTAAAGAAACTAGTTACTAATTACCTATGTAGTAGGTAGGTAGTTAGTTATCAACCTAGTGAGTTACATGTACTAACTCCAAATACTCTGTAACTAGTCATTGACTAAGTATCGACTAGTTGGAAACTAGGCCACAGCATTGCCTTATTTGGTGAGTGCTCACAATGATCCATTGATGATCTCTACCGTTTTCTCCGTGCCGATCAACTAGTTGTCTGGGTTTGGTTTTGAGGGGTCCGCCAATAGGCGGTGCCGAGAGTTCAGTTCAGTCGAGATGACGCCAAGTTTGCAGAAGACTAAAGGTTTCCTCCGTACTACCTATAACCTGGGTAAGTGACGACTGCGATAAAGATTGTTTGACAAATAAAGTCAAGATACTAGGCCTACTCAATACAGTCGATCTGTAGATTCCAGGGAGTGATCGACGCTTGTGTAGTGTAATAGTAATACTCGGCTATTTCAATTATCTTTAAGAAATAAAACAGGTAGTAAATAGTAGTATACTATTAGTAGTATACCGAGTAACTAACTGAATTCCTACCTAAGAGGTACGGAGTATACAGTACTGAGTACTCCGTACTGTACCACAACGATACCGTCCTGTACGGTACGGTCACTGATCGTCCTCTGATCGCAGCAGGAAGAGAAACCCAGAGCGGCCCACGTTGTTCTGGTGCATGAAACCCCCGTCGTCCTCGCGCGTGTTCGGTGGAGTCCGGGTGGATGACAGGCAGCGAGCAAAGAATCCTGGGCCCTGCAATCAATTGTTGCCATTGCAGGCAGAAGAAGGGAAACGGGGTTTGGCACTCTCCCAATCCAGCTAGTCGCCCAGCCGTGGTCGCTTTCTCTTTATGGGACCTGCTTTCCTCAGCGCTCTCGGACTCTTTTTTCCTCTCTCTCTCTCTCTCTCTGTCTCTCTCTCTCTGTCTTTTTTTTTTTTCCTTTACCTATCTAGTCACCTACTATCTATTAGTCTTGGTCTCTTCATTTTATCGTGTTCCTTGGGTCCATTGTCCCCCCCCCCCACTCTCCCTCTCTCTCTCTCCTCCCACCCCCCTTTATTACAGTGGACACCAAACACTCATGCTGAGAGGGTAGAATAAAGAGTGCAATACAGAATTAGGGACGGCAATAGCCGATCATATTCTGGTGTTTCATACTATTTTTTTTTATTTTCCAAAAAAACAAAATAAAAATTTTTTATTTGTTATTATTATTATTATTATTATTATTATTATTATATTCTATTTTATTATTATTATTATTATTATTATTATTGATTTTTACTTTATTCATTTTATTTTATTTTATTTTATTCTATTCTATTTTTTTTATTTGTTTTATTTTTCAACGTTTTCTCCGCCAGGTCCCCTCCCCCCCTCCTCCTGTTTCCTCCCACTCCGCCTGGTTCGGGATTCAATGCCAACCACATTTTCCGGGAGCCACTGCCGAGAAGGATCTCAAGCTCAAGCGTATCCAGTGCCTGATTCTGACTACCCCCCGGTCTCCCTTCCTTCCGATATACTTTCCTCTTCTCCCGCCTTTCTACCCTCTGATCTCTCCTCCTCCTCCTCCTCCTCCTCACCTACTATCGCCACTACGAATCCCACCACCTCCTCTTCTACTGCCGCGACGACGACGACGACAACGACGACGAAGACGACGACAACTACTCCTCCTCCCCCCCCTACCATCGTCACGGCGACCACCACCCAGACCCCTTCTCTCCCTGTCACCACCTTCCAGGGTTCTGTCATCGGCTCTATTAGAGGAAATCGCCGCTCCTTCGCCGCTCTTGCCCGAGAGAAGACCACCAGTGCCTTTGCCAGTCTTTCCGCCATTGGAGGTACCGCCAACGCTTCACTCCGCGCCTCGGCTTCCTACAGTGTGCTTGGTTCCAAGCAGCATTCATACAAGAACAGCATCAGCGACTTTGTTTCCTCTTCCCTCGCTCCCGACCACCACTACCACCACCATCATCCGGATAGCTCCCTCCACCCGTCGCAGGACATCCTCGATTCTCTGCCTGCCCTTGGCTCGCGAACCCCAACTTTCGAAAGGCGTCGCCATACTCTCCAGCGAATACCATCATACATGACGGAAAATCCGTTCGCCGACCCTGCGGACTCTGCCGCCGCCGCCGCCGCCGCCAAGTCGGGGCCAAAGATGCATCAGACTTCGTCGCGCTTACTGCGCATGACAGAAGATGAGCGTCCATTCACAAAGGTACATACAATAGAACAGTGAGGAAAAGAAAAAAAAAAAAAAAAAAAAGAAGAAGAAGAGGGTAGGAGAGGGAGGTCTGTGGATCCTTTGCTAATTAATTGATCGTTATTGATAGGATTTTATGGACTTGTTCTCAACGTTGATGGTCAGCTTGCGGTTGGATGCCCACCGTATACGCTTCACCCGCTACGATCACACCTTCACGTCCGAGGAGGCGATCAACAACCTGGGCTCACTCAAATTCTCCCAGTCGAACCGCATGCCCGACCCCAAGGACCCGTCCCGAATCGTCACGACGACGACCACAACCACCTTTTCCATGGCCAAGGAGATGGCCCGCTCCGTCTGCCAGCGCTTCGTTGACGCCCGTTTCATCGAGCCCGTCGACGGCCGACCGGTCGCCATGTTCCCCATGAAGGGCGCCCTGTTCCAGCTGACCCCCAAGGGCATCAACATCCTGCAGCGCTTCTGCCAGCGCAACGGCATCACCGCGCGCCACGTGATGGACGTGCTCGAGTCACCCCGTAACACCATGCAGCTGGTCAACCTGGAGCGGGATCTGGAGACGGACAAGCTGTCACACGACCGCGCCACCATCGAGGTGATCTTCCGGCGCTTCGCCGGCCAGGACGGCCCCAACATCAAGAGCAGCATCTCCAGCTCCGACTCGGACTCCCTGAGTGACTACACCAACGGCTTGGTCGGTGTCAAGATGGCCCGGGAACGCAAGATCGGCGACAAGATGTTCCCCAACACCTTCACGGGTAAAGCCGCCGCCGACTGGCTGATGGACTGCTCCACCACCATCGAGCGCCGCGAAACCTCCCTGATCGCCGAGCTGTTCGTCAAGTATGGCTTGATCTCGATGTTGCAGGACGACAAGGCCTACCCGCAAGGCGACTCCAACACCGCCACCTTCCAGCCGTCCAAGTACGCCATCTACACCATCTCCGACCGTGGTCAGCGAGTCTGCGGCTGGATTGCCCGTGACAAGCAGAAGGACATGCCCGCCTTCGATCGCGGCATCCCTCGGGACTCCAACAACGCCCGCCTGACGCACATCCTCCAGGATCCGGCTCTACGCTTGCTCTTCCGCGAGTTCCTGCGCTACTCTCTCTGCGAGGAGAATCTTTCCTTCTACGTCGATGTCTCGGAGTTTACCGCCAACTACCACAAGGCCGAAAAGATGGGTACTTTCAAACGGGTCGATGCCGTTCGCGAGACCTTGGCCGCTGCCTATGGTGAGTTTCAAGCCTATCTATGTTTATTTTCAATAACTTTGCTAACTAACAGATCAGGCCTCTATAATGCTTTCTTGGCCCCTGGCTCGCCGTGTGAACTCAATATCGACCATGCCCTGCGCAACAGTCTGGCCAGCCGCATGACCAAGGCCGTTGGAGACGACGAATCAATGCTTAAAAGCTTACAGGAGGTGGTACATCTCTTTGAGCTTGCCCAGACCTCGGTCTTCAAGCTGATGTCGAGTGTATGTTTTTTCCATCTGAACACTCTTTTTGTTGAGGCGTAGCTAATCTGGACCCAGGACTCCATCCCCAAGTTCCTTCGCGATCCCAAATACGCCAGTGTCGTCCAAGAACACGATTTGGATACGATAGGCAACCCGCGCTCTTTCTCTCCCACACCCGTTCCGATCCCTGAACGTTCCATGAGCCGCTCCAACCGATCATGATGACAGGTGTATCATCAGAACATCACTCGATCCTCCCCGTCCCGCCGAAAGAAGAAAAAAACAAACATGTCACTTGACATCCAAAACTAACAGACGTGCCCGCTGGTGCCTCAAGTCGGATTACACGAGAACCTGTTCTGTCTCAAGGGATGGGGCCTAGACCGCTGGCTCTCGCTGTAACCTACCTTGCATCAAATGCACTGAGACGACTTTCCTACCAAAAACCCCCTCCATTCTTCTTATTGTCGCACGACCGCATTCCCATTTCCCAACCCACATCTATCCCCCTCCGATTTGAAAAGACGTTACGTTACGACCTACCTACGGATGATGCAATAGACATGGCCGGTACGGGGGGCCACATGTAATAATCCTGCTTTCACCGAGAGTTGCCTGGCGAGGAGCGCAAGCATTAGAGGCGTTCATTTCTTTTTCCGCTCCCATTTCTCTTCATTTATTACATTTCTTTTTCTTTTTCATTTCTTCCCCTCTGATCTTCTCTTATTCATTTTTATTCTCTTTTCTTCTTAGTTGCATGGTACATTCTGTACACAACTGCTTGCATATGCATTATCGGTAGCGAATCGCATACATTTCAGACTACACAATGAAGTAACTAGCAGTAAAGAAGGAGCCGTAGCCTAGTCGGTGATAAGTTACAACTTGACTACTGGATCTGTATTTGCCTTTTCATGTTCAGCCACGACACAGAGTATACCGTCAAGCCCATCCTGGAGATCATCCTCAGTACCCGGATCGCCCGGCAACGCTCTAATCTCCGATCTCAACAAGACCAGCCTCCGACCGAGATGGACCGCCTCCGTGACGAGGCGGACACGCATCCCCCGAGCAACAGGACGGAGGTAGGTCAAGCGGAGATTACGAGTGACGCCGCCGCGCTGGAAATGGCCCGGGGAGGACAGCGCAAGCACGAGCGTGGTGGAGAGGACGTCGACGAGCGTGGCGGCACACCCGCCGTGCAGGGTTTCGTGGAGATTACATAGTTCCGGGGTGATGGTGAGTCTGTAGATGGCGCGCGCGGGGTCGGCTTGCCTGCCGGACTCGAGGGAGAGGTCCGTTTGCGTGGAGGAGAAGCCCCATGTTTCTGGTTCCTGTTTGGTAGTTAGTTATGTCTTTCTTTTCTTGCTCTTGGAAGGGCGGGGGTACTTTGTTTGTTATGCTTTGGCAGCTGGTTATGAGGGCTTGTTCGAACTCGTCGAGGGGTCTGTTGGGGGTGCGCATTGCATAGGTAGTGAGGATGTAGTGAACTGTAGTTGTAGTACTGTAGTCTGTAGTCTGTAATACTGTAGTCTGTAATACTGTAGTCTGTAGTCTGTAGTCTGTAGTCTGTAGTCTGTAGTCTGTAGTCTGTAGTCTGTAGTTAGTAGATTAGTGGACTAACCTCGGCTGTCGGTATGAAATTCGTCTGACTCTGGTTAGAGTCGACTGGATAGACGATAGATAGTCTACTTATAAACAAGTTATAGACTGTATGTAACCTGTAGAGACGTATGTAGTAGACGTATGTAGTGTATGTAGACTGAAGACTGAAGACTGTCAGTGTCAGTGTCAGTTCACTGAAGTCGTGTCACATGACTTCGCGTCACGCGTTGCAATTTCTCTGTCAGATTGAGATTGTCACTTACTGACTGAACCACCTTCTATGGACTTGTCTATTAATAATTCTATTCCAATACCCTAACTTGATTTACTACTGTTCATATACTCTCTTCTCGAAATGAGAGACCCCAAGAGGAGAAAGGTGGACAGCGATGGCGACGAGACCATGCGCGAGGCCGACGATGCAGTCTTTTCCCTCCCCTCCTCGCCCGACGCACAAGACACAGACAGCGGGCCTGAATCTCCGACGAGACGCTCTGCCACGAGAGCGCGGCCAACGCCCACATCCACGAGACGGGCACGCCAGGGCGAACCGCCTGCCGAGACACCGACAAGGAGGACAAGCGTGCGCCAGCGCAAGGCTCCGGCAAGATATGCGGATGAGGTGGTTGGAACGCCGTCGTCGGTGAGACGAGCTAGTCATGTTGAAGATGCGGAGCAAGAAGAAGAAGAAGAGGAGGAGGAGGAGGAGGAGGAGGAGGAGGAGGAGTCTCCCGCCCCCCGGTCAACACGGCGGACCCGAATGAAGAAGACGTCGGTGCGCTTCACCACGACGGACACGGAAGAGTCACGAGATGCAACAGAGCAACAGCCTCTCTCGATTGAGGAGGAAGAACCGGATGGGGTTGACGATCTCATTGCGATGCAAATCCAGCAGGATCTCGCCCCGGACAATTCTTGTCCATCTGGAGACCCCCTCCCGGATTATGCTCAGCAGTTTCTCGCATGCTGCCAGGACGACGAGCTTTACGACGAGCTCAAGACATTGACGGAATTCGTCCTGGCAAAGCTCACCGGCAAGCGGCTCACCCCGCTCAAGGGCCTACAGACCGAATACCAAAAGGTCCATCAGCTCCTGGAGCAGACGGTGACGGTTGGCGAGGGCAATTCGATGCTGATCCTAGGTTCGCGCGGGTGCGGCAAGACCGCGCTGGTCGAGACGGCGCTGGCCTCGCTTGCAAGGGACCACGGGGACGAGTTCCATGTGGTCCGTCTCAACGGCTTCCTGCATACCGACGACCGGCTGGCCCTGCGCGAAATGTGGCGCCAGCTAGGCCGCGAAACAAATACGGAAGACGATGCAGCCAAGGTCAGCAGCTACGCGGATACCATGGCAACCCTTCTGGCTCTGCTCTCGCATCCGGACGAGACATTCAGCGGGACAGACAACCCGGACTCGACGACCGCGACGGCGAAATCGGTGATCATTCTCCTGGACGAATTCGACCTGTTCGCCAACCATGCACGCCAGACACTGCTCTACAACCTGTTCGACATTGCGCAGGCGCGCAAGGCGCCCATCGCGGTGCTCGGGATCACCACCAAGGTGGAGGTGACGGAGATGCTAGAGAAGCGGGTGAAGTCGCGCTTTAGCCACCGCTACGTGTTTGCACCGCTTCCGCGGACGTTTGAGATCTTCTCCGACATCTGTCTCGCGGGGATGGATGCAGACGAACTGGACAGCCTTGAATCGAAGCGGTGGAAGTTGATGCTCGACGCATGGCGAGCATACTTGAAGGTTTTTCACCTACCTCTAGCCATTCCATAAAGCAAACGAGAAACTAACTGTCTAGGGCCTGTGGAGCGATGCCAGCTTCCAATCCCACCTGCAACGAATCTTCCACCAAACCAAATCCGTCAAGGAATTCTTCACCAGCGCTTTAATCCCCCTCTCGGAGCTACACCATAGCGCATCAAGAAGAAAAGGAAAAGAAGAAGAAGGAAGTATTGAACTTGAAATACCCACCCCAAGATCCTTCACAGAGCAAACCCTTTCCTGCCCCGACCCTGCCCCGCTACCCTTTTCAATCTCCACCACCAACGGAACCTCGAATTCCTCCCTCCCTCTCGCCCTCTTACTTGCCGCCACCCGATTATCAGCCCTGTACGACCCGCAAAGCAACACCAACCACAACACCACCGCCTCGTCGTTGACCCCGCTGGCGTTGTCCTTCCCCGCCGCGTATGCAGAGTACGTCCGCCTCCTCACCGCCGCCAAGGTGTCGGCCTCGGCGTCCGGCGCGGCCGCCACGCCCGGCCGCGTCTGGGGGCGGGATGTCGCGCGCGAAGCCTGGGAGAAACTGGTGGGTTGGGGCATCGTCGTCCCCGTCGGGAGCGGCGCGGGCACGGCAGATGGGCGCTTGTTCCGTGTTGAAGTCAGCTTTGAGGAGGTGGTTGGGATGGCTGGCTCGAGTGGGGCGTTGGGCAAGTGGTGGCGCGATGCTTGATTAGGTGGTTTAATACTAGTACGGATTATTCAAGTTAAAATATACTGGTATAAGTACTGAGAAGAGATAGTGAGTACGACTCATTACACATAGCTAGTAACTAAGCTGAAGCTGTAGTTCATCGCTGATTAAACCCCCCTTTTTCCATCCCGAAACAATCAAGACATGACAGATATAAAAAGTAAACCCATTATCCCGGTACGCCTCCGCGCCACGCCATCGCCGCTGGTATAAGATCGAAATCGAAATAAACAAGATAGAAGACCAAAAGAAGTGATCATAGCTAGCCATAGCCGATCAAACCCTTTCTCCTTTCAAAAGAAAGAAAAAGGAAGAAAGAAGAAATGTCACAATCATGATACAGAGGGAACCTGCGGCGAGCGCGTGGTCTCGGGCACGTCCTTCATCGGCACGTCGACTACACCGCTTGATTGTGGCTGGATCATCGACTCCTTGGCGTCGACAGACCCAGTGCCATTGGGAGCAGACGCAGATGCAGCCGGCGACTTTTGCTGAGGCTGCTGCGGCTGCTGCCCGGCGGGCGGGAGCATCGCCGTGGCTTGCGCCTGAGTTTTTTCGGAAGTCGGGGTCGTCATGCCTTTTCGGATGAGATAGTCGCCTAGACTGAGCTTCTTTTTCGCAGGGCTGGGGCCAGTGATACTTGATGACCCTGGCGGTGCGGTGCTCGTTGTGACCGACGGGGATTCCATCGTGATTGACGGAGATTGCGCCGACCTCACCGACTGTGTCGTAGACGGAGTGGTGGATCTTGGACTGACGGTTGTTGGTGCTGTCGCCGATGATCCGACGTGAGGTTGTGGAATCGGGATGCGGAGGTCCGTCCGTGAACCATTGGCCGTCTTCGGTTGCTGATGCTGTTGTAGAAGCGGCGTATGGTGAGCGACAGTCGACGGCAACGGTGCGGGGAATGCCAGATTGTTCGGGCCGACGGGTGTTACCGGTCGTGAATCTTCCTGGCTGACGGCAATGCTGCTAGCCATGTCCGAGTCACGCGACAAAGGCCGTCGTTCGGTGGGGGAATCGACGTCTTGCATCTCAATATCTCCGCTAGGTGGCACCTGCACTGGAGTCATGGGCATGACGATGGTCGGTTGCGGTATTGTCGTCGTCCACATCTTTGCCGATCGAAAACGATCATGATGACATTTTCGCAGCAACCGCTGGCTGAGCGAAACGAAACTTGGCCGACGAACAGAAGCCGATGGTGAGGGAACAAACCGCGTGTCATATTCCGTAGGATCCGTTTGAATGGCACGGTGAACATATCCTAGCGTCCGGACAGGTGTATTGGAGGCCGATCGGTGCGAGGGGGAGCCAGTGTCCAAACGTTTGGATCCGGCGGTGCCGAAATACCCACCGTCTGTTCGCGCGGATGTCGAGGCAGTCTGGGTGGAGTGGCCGCTGGAGCGTTTCTTCTTGCGCTGTGCGGTCTGTTGGTCTTGCTCCAACTGCTGGAACTTCTTCTCAACGGCGGCGATCTTGCGTCGGTCACGTGCGGACAGCCCGTTCTCTGCTAATGACGGGGAGACGTCGTGCGGATTAGAGGGTATTGTAGGGGTCAGATCGCGGCTGCGTGTCTGGCCTCGCACGGAGCCTGACGTGGACCGACCGTCGGCAGCAGCAGCAGCAGCAGCAGCAGCAGCAGAAGCGGCGGCTGCGGCGGCGGTGGTGGTGGTGATGACTGGAGGATCTTCATCGTCCAGGTTCTTGGTCGATTCACTCCCCGCACGGCTGTCGATGGCGCGCCCACCGGCACTCAGCGGCGACACGGCTGACTTGGTGGAGGACTTGGCCTTCTTTCGCTTGGTAGTAGTAGTATTAGCAGTATTAGCACTACTACTACTCCCGTTTGCCTGCGGTTTATGATTGGACCCGCCTGTTTCAACGGCCAACTTGGGCTGGCGGCGGCGATCGAGTTTGGAGACGAGACAGTGGTGCGAGTCAGAGCAGGCGCAACCGCCAAAGTTGGCCAGGACCTTGCTGAAACAGGTGACAGCATAGTCTGAGGGGGAATCGCTGCCTTCGGGTTTGACAAAATCGTTTGCCAGGTGCAGGGCAGGCGACAGGTACCAGGAGACGGTGATCTCGGCGTTGGGGGGGATGTCATCCTTGGCGACAAAACAGAAGCGGTAGTCGACCTGGTTGGTGATGTAGATCTTGAGGGTGACGTTGGGACGGCAGGAGCGGCGCACGTAGCGCAGCAGACTGCCCTCCTGGCGACTGTCGATGTAGATCGGGAGCTGCGAGTGGAAAAAAACAAAGGGCTGCGGGTGCTGTAGCTCGGGCCAGCGGTTGGCGGGGTCGCGGCAGTAGTCGCGCAGGCGACCGACTTTTCCCTGGATCTCACCGACTATCTCGTCGCGCCGGACGCGCGAGTGGGTGCGGATCAACTTCCACGTGGGACTAGGCCCGTCGACCGTCAGGGGCGGGTGGGTGATGGTTTCGACGGCGAGCCGCGGCCAGCGAGACTGGTCCATGGCCTCGTCGGACCAAGTGTAGACTTCATGGGGTCGACGGCCGTTTGTCTCGTCGGCGAGGGCGATGGGATCGTGAAGCCACGTGGCAAAATCATTGGTGAGTGACAGACTGGCGTACAGGTTGCTATCCATTGGAGTGGCACCGGCATCGTGGTCGTAGAGATGAAGAAATTCCGGAGCGTAGCGGGGAATGGCAGGCCCCGACAACGACGACGACGATGCTGATGATAATAACGAGGGCGTAGGCGGAATCGTCGCCGCCATCGTGGTGGGACTGATGGCACTAGATCCGGACCGTTTGCGCGCGGGGACCGGCGCATTGACTAGAGGCAGGGCTGGACTGCCCGGTAGGGAAGAGACTGAAGCGGAGGCGCGATGGCTAGTCTTGGCCTTTTTAGATGGTGGTTGATCGCGCGGATGGGACTCGGTGCGGTTATGGTGATGCTGATGGTGGTTGTGGTGGTGGTGGTGGTGGTGGTTGTTGTTGTTGTTGTAGGTCACGCCATTGATGTGGTCAGAGGCAGTGGGAAGATAGTCTCGTGGGATGGTGGTGGTTGAGGCGGCGGCACTACTACTACTTTTCTTCTTCTGGCTCTTCGACTTGGATCTCCGGTCACCGCCGTCGCTGTGCTGCTCATTTTGCTGCTCACGCAGGCGGCGCTGTCGCTCGGTCGCACGGCGGCCATCGTACGGACGGGGCTCGCACTCGGCGCAGTTGTGGACCTCGGGCACCTCACGACCGTAATAGTAGCACTCGATGTGCTGCCAGGTCTCGCAGGCTTCGCAGAAGACGGTATTGCCATCGTCATCGTCGTAGTCGCAGATGCATTTGATGGTATAGGGTTCTTCGTCTTCGGCGAAGACCACGTCCTTTGAGGCGACGGCGCCGTTGGCGAGGGCGGGCGATTTGAGCGGGACGGTGACCGGATAGGAGTCCGTAGTGGAATGCGTGATGGCGACAGAGGAGGTATCTGTCATAATCCGACAGAATACCCCCTCTACGGCTGAGAGAAAAAAAGAAGAAAAAACACCTCCCCGATTTTTCCCTTCTTCAAGGCTTGGAAGGAGATCCAAACGAGCACGCTCGTTTTTCATGAACCAACCAGCATGTCAACGATCATCAGAAAGCACCCGGAACCACACCAGTGTGAATTCTGCGATAATGCGACCGTGGAGGGGGGGGGAGCGTGGAAGATGGATCGAAAGAGATCGCCTACCCCAACGGGAAGAAGGGCAAAGAGAGAGAGAGAGAGGTTTTATTTATGATATTGACGACGATCGGATATCACGTAGAGGGAGGTTTCGACGATAGAATGATCTGGATACCGAAGCAGAGCCCAGTCTCGAGGTGAAATTTTTTAATCCAGAGGGCGGACGGGTCACGAAGCGCATCGAGCGAAAAGAAGGGGGTGGAGGGAGGACAGGTTAGAGGAAGGGCGAGCGATCGACCGTCGAGAGTGGATTCTAGGGAAAGAAGAAAAGAAGAAGAGGGAAAAGAGAAATAAAAAAAAAAAAGAGAAATAAAATCCACAGCAAAGCTGGGTTGTTTAAGACGGAGAATGGGCGAGAGAAAGGAGAGAGAGAGAGAGGGAAGGGGAAGAGAGGGAGGCGAGTGAGAAGTGAGAGAGGGAGAGAGGAAGAGGAAGAGGAGGCTAAAGGAACGGATGGGCCATCCAAGCGTTTTTGCGCAGACCCAAGCGAGTAGCGGGAGAAAGAGGAAAAGCGTGGTTTTTTTTTTGGTTTGGTTCGGTTTGGGTCTTTTTGACCCAAGCGAGTAGCGGGAGAAAGAGGAAAAGCGTGGTTTTTTTTTTGGTTTGGTTCGGTTTGGGTCTTTTTGGGGG